TTCTACTCGTACTACGAGAATGTACCCACGCATCGACGTACACCGTGGACCGTGGACCATGGACGTTGGAACCATGTGGACATTATTGGTCTCAGCCTCACATGATGTTCTCTCGCCGCGCCTGGTTTGTTTGCGAAAAGCCACCTGAGTCTACTTGCATGCCTGATCTTGACCACCCATTTTGACTTTACTGATCCTGCGGCGAGTGCCTTCGAAATGTCAGCAGGTTCAGGTCCAACTTCGATGATCCCCTCCCCGCTCGAGTCGCCTGTAGTGTCGCTGGCTTTTGGCTTTTCCTTCTCTTCTCGTGACTACCCAAGTCAACGCCTTCGTTTTTCGTCAAATCGCCATTGTGTTCCGTGTGCTCCCGTATATGCCGTACCCTCCGCGCTCTCCGCACCCGTTTTTGACACCATGCGGCCACCTCGACAAGGTGACACTCGTACATTTCTCTCCGTCCACCTGACCTGGGGAAAAGTGCACGCGACAAACAAATCTTTCAAGCAATACGAGGTAATGCTGCCCCCGTCTTTCCGGTTCCATTTCCCCAGTTTTCTCTCCCCTCAAGTCCGTGCTCGGATGGGATACCTAGACGGACCACCGGAGATAACGTGGGAAAACGTTCGGAGTCCAGAAGTTTCTATCCACCTCTCTCTCAAGAGGAAAGAGACCAAAAGTCCAGGCCTAGCCCGGCCCAGCCCGGCTGTCACGGGGTAGGTACTCAGTACCTATGTCGCCATCCAATTTTAGCGGCTTTGGTAGGTACCGCTACCGGCACGTTTATTTGTTCCCAAAGCAAGGTCTGGCCAGGCCTCTCGTTATTGCTGCCAATTTCCCTCCCGCCTCTGTGTTCGTTTTCTCGCGGTCTTGCCGTGCCGTGCCGTGCCTCCTATGTACCTAGGTATGCATGAGGTATTGTCTGTAACAAATTTATTACGGAATACTTGCGATAACTCGGGGCAGTCTTTGCAGGGAGAGGCACTTGAAACGAATAGTTCCTCGCAACCGACGCCCCACCACCCTGGCACATGGCTGCATATTGGGGCTGTCTATGCCAGTACCGTTCACAAAGCCGTTAGATCCATTGACCCTCGACAGGTCCTTGGTACATACACATTCTCCGCAGAATCTGACGGTGTAGGCACGAGGAAAGATGCTCGTATATACCTCCAGGTACCCCAGGTACCCCAGGTCGGTACCAGGTATGTAGTCACTTGATATGTCAAGGTTTTCTAGGTACCCGGTACACACTCATGAGGTGTGGTGCCTCATGCGGGCGCCCGCATCCGCGCTGTAGATGGATGTAGGTACACTACCTAGGTACACTGTTTACTGTACCTCGTAAAACCACACCGCAAATCTGACCTTTGTTTGCTTATCCCTCCCTCCTCTCCTTCTCCCGGCGATGCATGTCCTTTTCCGATACACCCATTTCGTCTTCGTCCCATTTCCCTCTCTTTACTTTTTTCTCACCCCGTCTCTCGTTATCCATCCACTTGTCTCAAATTCTCCGCGCGCATATTATCGGCAGAACAGAGAGTTCATATTGCCTGACGAAAGACAAGACCGCGTCACTGTAACACGAGTAGGGCTGAGAAGAGGAAAACGAAAACGAAAAAGTTGACAGGACAGCTTCCGCTGCGCACCCACAACTAGGTATGGCTTCAGTCATCTCATAATCCTCAATCCACCACTACTCGTACTGATCAAATTCCCGCCCGACCCAAGGCTCCGGACGGGATACCTCGTATGCTATGTGTCTTGTAGGTATGGTGTACTGCGTAGAAGAGGCCTGGACGGGGGAAAAACAAACCTCCACCATCATCAATGACTATTACCGTCTTCGTCTCCATCATCGCCCTTTGCTTCCCGCACTTCCCACCCTCCTTCTTCTTCTTCACCATCATTCCTATTTCCTCCTCCTCCGGCCATGTTCCATTCTTCCCATCTTCCCATCTTTAGCCGGCGCCGGCTGGGGTGGAGGCGCTTAATCCTCTCCCCGCTTTCTGTGCCCGCGCAATCCTGAGCAGAATTGTTGATGGTGTGCTGTCGTTGACCCTGTTCTCCTGTGCCTGTCTTTCCCTCGAATTCAAGAAGCCCGAACCTGTAGGGTAAGTTACAAGTGTGTACCCCAGGTATGGTATACAGAGGTCCATGGGATCCCCGTCGCATTGAGCCAAAAGGGCTGCCTTTCATCCACTTATCCATTCATTCCAACAACGCATAATGATTTAACCGAAAACCTCCCCCCCCCAAATTCGGCGAGCTCGGAAAGAGCACGCGAGGAAGGGGGGGCAAGCTTGGGTTTCTACTTGACTCTTTCCATCAATGTCGGCACTATTACCGTGAGCCTCTATAAGGCACACACCCGAGCGCATAATACCTATGGGGGTCACATGGCCACAACAATTCTCGCTGTCAAGTAGACTCTACCACCATGCTTTTTTCCCCTCCTCCCCCTCCTCCTCTTCCTTCCTTCCTGCCTTGCCTTCCATCCATTTCTTTTGGGCCTTTGCTTGTTTTGCTTTTCCTTCGCGCCTAAATCCTTCATGTGGCGGGGCAAAAGACCAAAACCTCGTGGCGTCGGGGTTTCCGGATAAAATAGTCAGCATTCAGCATCCCATGGTGCCAGGCAACGTCCTACCAGCCTAGAAAGGCATGAGAAACTGGTACCAACAACTCTTCTTTACCCGTCCAATGTAACTATAGTACTGTACATACTCACCAAACCAAAGGACGAGTGATTAGAATGACAATTGCCAGTAACCCCATACCTGCTTAGTGGCATTTAACCCAGGTTCAGCCAAGGCTTGGACGAGAATCACTCTGCTTTTGCTCGCGCTCACTCAACGCACTATTAGATCGCTCGGTTCCGGGCGTCGGATCGGTTCAGGCATCAATGAGCCACTCAATCAACAGCAAGGCAAGGCGCAAAGCCGAATGTGAGGGGAAAAGAACGAAAGGAAGAGGCACGAAAACGGTTTTCTCGCTTCCGTTTCAGCCTTACCAAAACGGCGCCCCGAACATTTTTCTTCAGGTCATCAGGTACGGGTTCTCGCCTGCGGTCTCGCAAAAGGTCCCCCCCGTTTTCATCAATTCTCGCCTTTGTTTCTGACGGGGTAGTAGTTTTTGAACTTTCGTTGTCCGCATCTTCTCCGTCGTCCTCTGGCCGCACAGAGACACACACTCTCTCTCGAGTCTCGCGTGTGTAATTACCATCTTTGCCGAGTTTGCTCCATTCAAAACACCCTCCCCGTGCTCGTTCGGTCGACTAGGTAGGTAGATGGAGATCCTCGTAGGAGAGCAGAGGCGGCTGCTGTGGCGGCGGTGGAACCAGACTTCAAGCAACACTAGCACAAAGCATGCGCCTTCGGTACTTTGTCAGTAAAAAGGAAAGCAGCAAGTACCCCAAGGCGATTTGCTCGCATGGAGGTATTAGCTGCGCTACCTATAGTAATTTCTACAGTAGTATTTTGTCGTAGTACCGCTTTTCCTCCATAAGAAATGATACCTAATTACCCCTGTTCCCTTATCCTACGAAAAGGATGTACAAGGTACAAGGGTACAAGGGTACATTATTACACACCCAAAGTACCTCCCTAACGGGTCACGTTTCTCATACGTCTTCTGCTCCGTGGTCGCGTGGCAAGTTGTATGCAACTTGTCATGGGAGTTTCTTTTCACAGATCCAGTTCCATGCTTTGCCTATCCACTGACCTGTCTGTCTTCGGTTCTTGACGGCAGAGGTAACCGAGCCACCTACCTACCTACCTACCTACCTACCCTAGGTTTCAGTAACTCGTACTTTGTCAAGTCTACTGCGTGTCCTTTGCAAGTGAACGCATGTAACACCTCGCCATGTCGCATTACTCATTATCGCGGCTCGCATCATCACGCTGCGGAAAAGCCCCCCAAATAGTTTCCAATCCAATCCGTTCCAATTCCCATTCCCATATACAATAGCTAGCTGCATGATGCACATGCTCACCAAAACCCATGAGAATTTGCAGATTGCTCAACGCGCGCCCCAGGTAGCAAAAAAAGGCCTAATGCAAACCCGTAGGTAGACCGCTTGGAACCTTCTTTCCAAAAAGTACGTCACACCACAACTACTACTACTATCATGAGGGAAAAGAAATAATCACCTACGAGAGTATGAGAATAGTCGGGGAATGCAAAACTTGTACCGAGTAGAACAACCCACTTGACACAATGGAAACTCGTGCAAAGAAATGGGAGAGTCATGGGAGGGTGGAGTCATGACCTCGTCCCGATTGACGTGTCTAGGTAGAGCACAACACACACATACCCACACACACACGCACACACTCATATAGACCGTTGAGGAAAGGCCAGTTCCATGGCCAGCCTGGCAAAAGACACTCACATGAGCACACCACCATGCACAAGAGTGGACAAGTCATCAAAAGCCCCCAGCCCCCTTGTCAGGTATGAGCGAGGGGGCCAATCAGCATTTTCCTGGGAAACAACAAATTCAAACACACATTACATGCTTGCTATTATTGTGATATGCTCAACGAAAGGAAATATCGGTTGGGTATGATTGCATCTTCTGCTAATGGTACAACTGCGCTGGCCTCTCTTCTCCTGCAGCCAACTAGCCCGAGCTATCTGGTATATTCGTCGTATAGTACAAATTGGATGAATAGCAGAGCATTACCCATTGTTGAGCCAATACCTCTTTTCCGTAGCCGGGAAGCTTGAGGTCAATTGTATCTAGCTCCGTTCATAAACATGATAGTAAAAAAATGCTGATCACTTTTGAGCCGCCCTCCTTAAAGAGTATCGTCCGAGATGCGCCTTTGTACATGGATGGGGCGAGGCCTCACCATCCTTGTCCCTTCCCGGACTCGCCGATCGTAAAGTTTGGTGTAATGGTCGTAAAGCACATGAAAAACATGATCCCGCTCAGAACGCAGATGGAAAAAAGAACATGAATGTCAAAAAGCAAAAAGATCAAAGCCGCTCGCTGCCCAGGCCTACCAGCCTTTGGTGTGGTATTCCCAAGTGTTATCAAAGGTCCACGCGTCGTCCTTTGACAGATCCACGGCGGGAGCTGGAGGATGCGTTGGTCCTCCAGCCTGGCCGGCAGAGGTGAGATTCGCCATTGACTGGGCGTTTCGGCTCCGCTTGAGAAAAGCATTGACAGTTTGGGATTTCTGTTGTCTCTCCCAAAGGAGATTCTTCCGGAGAGATTCAGTCAGTTCGGTCGACAGCATGTTACGTCTTGTCGTCCTTGGCGAATGGGCCACAGGTTTGCCGACCGATTTAGGCGGTGGAATGGCAATGGGTGGCCGATTCGACGTCTGCATCATCATGCCGTCCTCTTCTTCAGGTGAATTTGCGAACGAAGGTCCTTGTGGAGGTGACGCTTGCCGAGACCGGTGTAGTGTGGGTTGGGAATATGCATGGGCTAGACCTGCTCGGCCTTTGTTCAGGGCCAAAGTCAGCATGGAGCGGCGGGATGGCAAGACACTGCGGCTATCAACGCGGCGGAAAAGATGAGGTTCTTGAACCACTTTTCCATCGTCCGACGTCGAATCTTCCCAGTCATCGCCGTCTTCCTCGTCCTCGTCAATGGCTGATTCCATCACTTCGTCAGTGTCGTCCTCGTCGTCACTGCTTGCGATAGCACCCTCGTCGTTTTCGGCGTCTTCCTGTATTCTCCGCTCGGCAACGACATCTCGGAAAGAAGTTCTCTTGGGCGGCAAATTGCTCTTGTGTTCCGACAGGTTCTGCTTGCTCAAGCTTTGGGAGAGTGAGCTTCTTTGCGGAGGGGCTCTGACGGATAGTACTCGCTGTTCGAATGAAGATTCATCATCCTCCGAGGATCCTCCGAGGGTAAACATGGCTGTTGATTTGAGGGCACCTTTGGGTTGAGGAATGACCTTGGACGGCGCGGTAGGTGGCTTGAGGCCCGAGCTGGTAGTTCGAGAACGGCACGAGGATGCTACAGGGGAAAAACCATGGACAATAGAACCGCTCGGAATCAGTCCGTCCGATGATACCGAAGTATCGGAATCACGATGCTCACTCTGACGAGCTGTACTTATTGTTGTGGTCGTGGCGGCGGAGAGACATGAGTCGGTGGAATCTTGAAGGTTTTTTAAGCCGGCTGGAGGCCGTGCTTCAGCTTCGGTGTCTCGTTTGTCCGAAGACTGCTTTTCCAGGGTGGGCACTTTTGCAAAAGGACGGCTGGCCTCGAGTGAGGGAGACAGAGGACATAGGACGGTCTTTTCCTGTATCGAAGCGACAATCTTTTCCAGAGTGATGGGGCTCAGATGTCGAGACTTGGAGAGCGAGCTGGCGCAGTCGTCTTGTGGAGGTGATCGGGACCTGGTCCTGCTATGGACAGGACTACATCGTCCTTCGCTCAGACTGTCATCTGACGACCAGGAATTTGAGAGAGAGGGCACCTGGCTTGCCCGTGGGGGAGAGTTGTCGATAGGGGTTACGCATAATGACTCTCGCGACCATATCCGCCAGCTCAGGTTCTCTAATCGAGGGCCTTCGTCCAGCGTATCTGAGCATTTTGAGAACATTGACCACATCGCCATCAAACTGCAGGCATTGGAAGGGTCGATGTGGTGCATCTTGCCCCTGTCCAGACACAGGACATGGGGGATTTTGCGCGGCGGCATCTTTCACGGGAGATGTTGTGCAAAGGGCAGTAGTGAAATGAGGTTGAATGAGGCGCCAAACAACGGATTATGGGGGAGGGTCAAATAAAGAGGACGGCGCTGGCGCTGGCAGTGGTAGAAGTCGCAGGACCGCAAACGGGTGGGAACTTGGTGGGCTCGGCTTGTGACGCAATTCGAGACCTCGGGCCGATTCAAAACGGACGTGTTCAGAGGACTGGACGCAACTGACGACTTCAGAGGGTGAATTAAAGGGTCGGTGAGACGGATGGCGAGGTCGAACGGAGTGTGTTTTGGTGTGAGGAAGAGTTGTGGGCGGTGTAGGAGGGATCTGGCCAGAGGGTGTAGGTACGTAGGTTGTGTGTGAGAGCGCGGTTACTGAAGAGACGTGTGGTGAAGAAATGGTGATGGGGCTTTGCGGATGGGGACGACCGGTATAAGGACCACAAGTCCGGACCAGGTGTACGACTTGCAGGGGTGGTGAGTTGCAGAGGGAGCCGGACCAGGGCACAAGGCACGAAAAAAGCGAACAGGGGTGCGATGGGGGGAGGCAGAGGATGGGGTGGACACTGGAGGAGGTGGCAGAAGACCGGCGTTCGGGTCGACAGACCAGGACCGACCAGGACAGGTCAGGACTTAGGGCAGGCCAGAGTTCCAGAGGGCAGGAGGAGACGCAGTGGTCGCAGCGGGTGAGCCAACAAGCCCAGGTGAGATAGGTGACTGCAGATTTGTGTCTTTAACTAACTGGTTATTGGCCGGTGGTGCAAAGTTCGAGACACGAGGGAAAAAAAGTGGGAGAAGGCCTAGAAGGGGTAAGGGGGCTAGGGATTTGGGGGGAGGCAAGGGGGGCAAAAGACGTTCTGGCAGACCCAAGTTTTAGTCAATACACTAGAATCCACCCGTACCAGATGTAATGACAGAGACCAGCCCTAGGCCACTCGTAGAGACCCCGAGCCCGAGAAAATGCTCGGGGAGTGCTCGGTGGTGAATGATGGGCTTTCTGGCTCCTTTGGGGGGAGAATGGGGTCGCATTGGGCTGGGATTGGGGGATGGCCTCCGTTAAAACCAATAGTGGCTAGGGCGCCCAGCTACTGACACCCACTCACACTCGTAGGGGGCCCCCGGGCACCACCCACACAGCCCATCTGGTATCTCCTTGGGCCTCCGATCATGTACCTAAATGTACTTATCCCCCTCTAGAATGCTCCCCATCTAGGCATCAAGGTCCCACGGGCCAGGCATCAATATCGTCGCCCATCAGGAAACTCTCGTCGGTACCTAGGTAGGTAGGTATTCTGTCAACCACTCCAAAAGCCGGAGATACATAGCACCCTTTCCCTTTTCCCAAAACGAACGGGGCGATTCATTAAATATTACTAGTGACATGTGAGACAGATGGGTAAATGTATTCGTGGGCCTCTTCAAAGGTCTGGAAGCCTTTTCCCGTGGTATTCTAGAGCTGCTGGGTCACATGCCAATAATAACATTTGCCCTGGTCCTATTTCTCGAGCGGTTTGTTCTTGCCTCAGCCACATACCAGGTACGCAACGAGCACCACCGCCGCCTCTGCCCTACAGGCCCAGGTCAATGTTAGCGACTGGCTGCATGGTAGTGTTCTGAGATGGACCAGCTTCGACATATACTTTCGCTAAGGGTGTCAATGTGACTGACCAACATAATCGCCCTGGAAAGTATCAAAGCCATCAACCACCATATAAGGAGATCCCAAAATTCGTCAAGCCAGCTGACTCGCCTCGCACGAATAGCAAGCATTTAACCATCATACCGCGGCGATTGGCGGACTATGGGGTGAAGGTTGAATTCCGCCAAAGAGGTAGGTAATCTCTCCCAGCCACTACAACTCCCGGGGACACACCTTGAGGACTAGGTCGAGTAAGCATGTCACCCTTCCTTTGCAGCCTTCCGCTTCCCCGTTGACGCTACCTGATGGGTTGCAAGAGGTTCTCCATAAGCGCGGTCCAAGGTTAAAAGCCCATCCAGAGGGCAAGAAAAACAAAGACGGTAAGTGGTCCGCAGGCGAGTCAGCTGGACAGCAGGAGAGAGGAGCATCTTTTTCGATCAGCACGTGGAACTGGCACCATGTCCGCTTCGGCCAGCTTGCAAATCTTGCCTTGACATGTGCCCCAGTTACGCAGAGAAGATCCTTTCCTTCCGTGTGCGACTTACCTCACCCCCATCTTCTTGTTCAACAACATGCCCGATGCTACAGTCCATGTCGCTCCAAGGCTTGGAGTGGGTGTGTGGTCGGTGGCCACCAAAGCTACACGACTTCCTCGACTGTGTCCAGGATGTGGTGGAGGGATGTGGAATCCTTGTCGCGCCGACGCACTGGCACCGATCTTTCGAATCGTCCGAATGCAGCAATTCACCGGGCAACTATCGATCCATTTCAAGGCCTGCTTTGCAAGCACGGCCTTGTTTTCTGAGCGCCGTAGCATTCTCTCATCTGGTTGAATTGTTTTTGGCTCTGCCCTCTGCATGCATGCAACCGCGTTCAGTGCAAGGACCCCTTTGCGCCTACCAAGTTCGCGATGCAGCCTTCCTCAAGCCACACTGTAATGTGTCCCTGCACGCTCGAGTTTCAACTCTCGGCATTCGGTTAGGGCCCTGCCTCCCATGCATTTGTGGCTTGAGAGGCGTCCATTCAAGGGCATGTGCGACCCTCTGTCTGTTCGGGGGTTTTGCTTCAGTTGTGGTTAAATGAACGAATTCCACTCTTCATTCGTCGGCTGCCTTTTCCCTTGCAGCTCTGGGGAGCAGTGCATTTCCAACGTTTTGTCTGTTCAATCCTCACCCATCACATCTCGATCAAGTCTGGGGTCGAAACTGGTCACGCTACCAAGAAAACGGTTCGGATACAATTAAGCAAGTGATCAGCCTCTCGAAACAAACCTCGATCTCGAAAGGGAAGAGCACCCTTGTCGATTCAGTAAATCCTGACGCAGAAGCAGCACTCACACAACTATCCCAGTGCTGGAGCTCCCCCGGACACCGGCTTTCACCCGGCTCAATAGTTGGTGGGACACTCGGAACCGCACAAGCGCAGACCGTTGTCCCGGAGCTGGCACCGACCAACGAATGAGCTGGGCTTGTCGCTTCGGATGGCTTCAAACCACCAAGACCTCCTTGGTTAAGGTTGCTCTCCTGGGTCCCTTGTCCCACCATGGCCGACTACTACGAGTTACATAGGTACCCTTTGGTTGACGCTTTCGATACAGCTGCTGGGCCGCCCACTGCTTCTGAAATCAGCTCGCCCCGGGCGGATCACGTCGTTTGCATATGCCGGGTATGGCGGGGAACACGGGCTCTCAAAGCCTGAGGGTCAACGACTCGCAAAAGCAGGGGACCCTTTTCGAGGCAGCCTTCGACGGTGGCACATGCAGGCTGCCCACTCACCTCCCCCCAACTCGTCATGAGCGCCATCTCGGAGATGCAACCCTGGGGCAACAAACGATCTGGTAGGCTACTCGCTTCTCGCAGCCTTGCCATTCGTGCAACTCCCTCGTATTGCGAGAGACACCGTCGTCACTGCCAACATGCACATTATTCTTTTTGGGCAAATACCCTCCTCGGAGTGGCGTCCTCGGAACTCAATTTTCATCCCTCCTTTACATTTAACCTACGCGTAGGTTAACCCATGGAGGACCCCTTTCGCAGCCTTTGAGCAACCTTGTGTGAGGCCTGGGCGAAGGTTTCCAGCCTTCCAATCTCAGTGTCTTAGGTCTGCGCTGCCCACAACTGTTACTCGCCTGAATGACCTCCCCGCCACCCATTGAACTTTCTTCCCCAAATGCATGATCCGAAGTTTTAATAGGCACCAGATAGTTGGACAGCCTCACATGCGGAAGTGAGAATGACCATCCAATTTCACCACCAATCACTGAAGGCTTCCGCACAGATGCTTTATCCGAAGTCTAACACGCTATAGCTGGGTTGAGCGTTACTTCCAAGAAACACTTGCATCCGGATCTGCGCATTTACCCCGATGTCAAATTGAGTCGCAACAACAATGCAAGGGTTACAGACCACTCGAGTTTTTCTGCTGTCATCAGCGAGCGTCCTATGACCGCCTCCTTTCCTTCGTGACCATATCCAGAGCTCCGCATTGTCAAGAGGGTGACAGGGAAACTTTTCTTGTGCTGCAGGCAACCCCTTTACTCTACATCAACGGCTGCATGCATAGGGGGTTGCTGGATGGGAATCTGAGAAATTCCTTTTCCCCAGACATGAGAATCTGTTTCACATGCAACGAGTTCCTCTTCTTCGCTGTCGAATTCGCATCCACTCTCTTGCTCGTGCTTGCAGATGGGTCTGCAATTGACACTCACTAATGCTCGCTAGATGGGTTTTTTCTCCGAGCTCTTTCCCGCCACAGTGTGGACTATACTACTGGGGACCGGGCCAGCTATCCGGGCTCATATATGACCAAATGTGTTCAATCCATCGGTGAGAGAACGAGGTGATCAGTGCCGAGCAGGCCTCTACCTAGCTCAATATTTGATAGCTGGTGTATCGAAGTTTGGCCCTTGACACCACCCCCAGGGGCCTAGTGTACCCTGGTCATCTTAGGGAACCAATACATCAGTTTGCGATGTCTTTCATGTATTGTTGATACTGGTCACAGGACGAAAGCCAGGAAGGAAAGACCCGTGCCAGTTCCGCAGGTCCGAGACTTATTCGGTCATAGAATGGCAGGCCAAGGCACGGTCCAGCAAGGCCATGGGATAATATATCCAACGGCACTTTCCTCGAAGGCCCAGCAGCGGAGGTATGTGGTCACTAGTAACACCTCTTGCATCATTGCTGCTGTTTACCTCTGGTGCCACTGGGGTATCTCTGGGGTAAGACATGGTCCGATGGGTCATTCCCGACCTGGGGGATCATCGCTCCTGGGGATTTTCGCTCTGCCTTGCATGACATCGCGAAGGATCTACCGCCCTCTGCGCAGTGGTTGGCAACTTCGCTCTTTCGGGATTTGACAGATAGTGTACGGATGCCTTAGATAATATTCTTTGTCTGCGTATCTTTTACGCAGATGTAGGAAAGGGACATTTGAGAAAAAAGACACCTAGTCCCCTTTGCGCCTTTCCCCGCGAGCTCGCCCTTGCGCAAGAATTTCGCGATGATGTTTGTTTGCCTGATGTCATAAACACCTCCCCTTGCTTTCTTGCATGCATGCATGCATGCATATGCAGATTTCCATGTTTTATCGCATGTTAAAGGGATTTTCCGAGCGTGTCAATAGCACCCACCACACCTGCCGTCCGAGCCCTTCTGCCCGCCTACCTGGCTGCATGACCCTCTCAAAAGAGATGTGCAATTCAGGCCGGATGGATTCTCCCGTGGCTCCACTCTTGGGCGCAATAGCTTCTTGGTCTGTCGCGAGACACTTCGAGTAGCTAGAGCGGGAAGAGAAGTATTGAGGCGGTGAGATGGACATCATACATACACATGGCATGCAGGATGTATGATGTATATGCGCGTCTATCCGAAGTCGCCTTTCTTTTGCCCATTCCAGAGCTAGCTAGGTAGCTGTTTTCTCTTTCCCTCCTCCCAACTCTTCGATATCATTTCTTGTGTCCTCGTGATCATTGTTCCTTGTTCTTTGGCTCTGGCCCGGGCCCTGCATCTGCATGTGTATATGCACTTTCCCGTCGTCTTCTGGTGTCTTCCCGGCCCGGCGATCTTGAAGCGGTCACGATCCAGACCGGGAAGGGACATTGTGCTCCGGCGGGATACACAAGCAGAGTAAATATGTATGTGTGTATGTATGTATGTTATGTCGCTTCCCCAGCCCCCTCTCATTTGGAAATGCAAGGAACTGGTGACGAACTTGGACGGGAATGGGAATGAGGGTTGGGTGAGATGATCTTGCCTGTCCGGTGGTTCCGGACGAGGAAGGGCGGGTAAGGTGCATGTACAGGTCATGAGCAAAAGCGAAAGTAAAGGACAGAGTGAGTGAGTGAGAGTGAGAGAGAGAACTCTATCTCCAGTACAGAGGTAAGTGGTGAGTATATGTTCGCCCAGTTTGGTGTCTTCCCCCCTTTGCTTTGGTTTCCCGAAGGGCACCAGCTCCAACAATATCAAAAACCCCTTTGGCATAAGCTTTGGGCGTGACTCACTTCTCAACAGCAACGACAATGGCAACCCACGATCTCGGGCGCTCACCCCCTTGCCAACCACTCAGTGGAAAGAAAAATGGAAAGAAAAAGTTGGTTTATTGCCAGCTTTCACAGAAATCACTCCAACAATTCACCTCGAGTCGCTGGTGTAGTATAGTGGTCAGTATGCTTCGCTAACAGCAAACGGACAGGTAGGGTTTTCTCTCTCTCCTCTTCTAATTATCTGTTATGCTACCAGACAGTGGCTTCAGAGATGGCTGATGAACCGTGGCCTTAGAAAAGGAAGGAGAAGCTCGAGACGTCCTGCTGCTGGGCCCCCGAAGAGACCCTGGTTCAAATCCAGGCACCAGTACAGAAGATGATTTTTTTCTTCTGTTTTTTTTGGGGTCCAGGAAACGGGCAGATTGATTTTGAAGGGGTGGTGCGAATGTGTGTGTGGTGGAGGTGGTAGGCAGTGCAGACAGAGGTGAGTGTAGGGGTGAGTGAGTTACTTATTGAAAGTTTGGTACCGTTTACTGCTTGAACTCTGCCTCTTCATTCGGGGACAAGTCGTGGCTCTCCTGAAATCGAAGGATACCGATATCATGGTTCTTGCAGAATGAGTGAAGCAAGTACTTGCCGTGTCTGCCCCCTCTTCATTTGGCAATTAGTACATCGCCTCTGTCTGTTTGTCCATGTTCCCCAGACTGACTGCGGTACCTGGCCGTTTGTCCTTTGCGCTGTTCCTGCCCGGAAGCTTGCAGCCTTGCATGCTTATTTTGCAGGGGCTGGCGTTGGTGACGGATCAGATATCAGATCTCATGCATGGGGTGGTTGCATGTGTTGCGATTCCGCCGAAAAGTCTATACCAGCCTCGTTCGAAACTGCAACGCAATGCAATGCAATGCAATGCAGTGAGGAGAGTTGAGAGACACACAGATAGGGATGAGGTGGTGAGTTTTGTCTCGCAGGATTTTGGGCTTAACCTGATCTGGAGATTCGACGCGGTGTAATAATATCCCATTCTTGTGGTCGTTGACGACTTTCCCACCAGCGATAATGCTATTCTGTGATGCATATGGATACACCGGCACAGCGCTTTTACAACCAACCCCTCTAGCTATCGCACGCCCCAGTACGAGAGAGCGCTGCTCTCCTCCTTCCCGCGGTGTTTTGGCTTGCGGTGGAGGTAAATCTACAGGCGGCCTATCCATTGCCGTCACGGTGAATGGTCCTACAGTACATCGTGGCGGGATTCTTTGCTTATACTACCTGGGCTCGGAGGTAGTGTAGAGAGATTATATCAGGTGGTGAAGATGCTGTGGAAGCCACTCACTCTGGATATGGTTTCTTTTTTCAATGATATCTATTGAGGTTACATTTCTGCTCGGCATGCTAAACGCCTTACTGGGACATTTTCAAGGCCTTCTTCTCTTTTAGACGGCCTCTCAATGGGGCATGCTACAAACCAGCTGATAGGATGCGTCTTCCTCGTCGGGTCATTAGAAGGGCCTGCTCTGTTTGCGCCCCGACAAGAAATCTTTTCTGTTCTACTCCATCGATATTTGACAAACCAGAATTAGTATATACTAACCCTATACCCAATACTATAAAACAAGAAGCTAGACGTCTAAATCTAAAATATGTCAAAACAGAACCTAATACCTGTCACACACGCCTCCGATCAATCCGATCTTCGCATCAACTATCCTTGGTGTATAGGCATCACTAGGGCCGTCTCAATCTCCGCCCTCACCATCGTTGTCAAGAGCTTAACCTCCTCTCCCAACTCCAGCTTCCCGCAATTTACTGATCATCCTCGGCCTCCATGGGACTGAACTTATCTTAACTCGTCGCGCAACATATCGAATCGATTGGACACATTTGGTGGCGGTGGATCAGCAGGACGAGCATCACGCATTGGCACGTCACCCAGAGAGTCTGGGGAATATGACCGACGACGGCTCTCATCTCGAACGCCCCATCGAGGCGACGACGGAGACCGAGACATTGTCTGTCGGCGGAATCTCTGCAGGCCACCGTGGCTCGGACCGTCTGCAAAGGCGACCTTGAACTCTTGCTGCCTGAGTCTTGCCAGCCGCGCAGCCTCAGTCACCCTCTGAATGTGTTCGGGTGTGGGTTCTCCGACCACTTCGCCATCGTCTCGACGATAGTGCTTTGAGAGCACAGCCGTGCTCCAACCCGTCAGCTGCCCAACAATTTCGATCTCGTTCGTGATCAGAAATGTTTGAGGAATTGTAAACTTAACCACGCTATTTGGAGCGAGGTTAGCGCTGTGAGGTTCCATCTCCTCTGTCACCAGGACCGGCAGCTCCGGATTCTGGCATTCGAAGTTGTCTGTCCGATGGTCGCGGATCGACATGTAGTGTTTCTTCTCATGCTGCGGAACGGGCGCCAGACCCCGCCCGGCATTCGTGAACACAGGCAACGCGACGTAGTGGGAATCGTAAACCTGGACCACAATAAAGTGACGATGTTTGTGCATAATCCTTTTCGTCCAAGTTTCAGACTCCTCGTTGAATGTCTGTCGTGACGCGCGCCGGTCCGAGCGGGAAACAGAGTCCACGGCTTCGCTCACGTGAAGTCCGCGAATAATGGTCCCTGCTGCAAGTTCATAAATCGAATGGATCTGAAACTTCCTGCGGTAGTTAGTAGGGTCCAAACAGGAGATGGAGGACGAAGTGGGAAATGTGCCGGTAGGTGTCTGGGGGACCGTACCTGCATATGCCACGCCATCAGGATGAGATCGTGGGATCAAGGGTGGCCTGTCTGCCTCTGTGATTCCGAAGCCTTGACTGTCTGTAGGCGAAGGACCTGATAATCGCCTCCACGGTGCTGACATATCCCTAGAAGGCGACCAACTCTGCCTCCAACCACTACCGGTCCCGCTGGTTCGGTTGGAGTTCATGCTATTGAAGTAAGCCATTTCTGCGTTAATCGAGCTCACCTGTGAGGGACACGACTGTGATGATAAACGCTAAAGTGACCGAAGAGGGCTTGGGGAGGTTTATTGGGGGTGATGTGATAGAAGAGTTTGATGGAAAGAGGCACACTAGCGTGCTGGAAACAAACCAGAGCGAAAAAGGGCGAGATTGCTGAGTTTTGGATTTTGTAGAGTTTTGGATGCTGTAGTCACAAGTAGAGCCTTTTCCTGCACTGCTGTGTTCACTTCGTCAGAAGCTCTTTTAACTATGGTAGAGGTTAGAGCAGGAAGCCGGTCGTTGCCTGACAGTCCAAACAGGCTTTTGTTCTACACGGCTTTTTGTCCTGCATGGCTTTTGTCCTATACGGGCTTTTTGTCCTGCATGGCTTTTGTCTTGCATGGCTTCTTTGTGCTGTATGGGTTTCTTTTCCTGTATGGGTTTTTTGTCCTGCCATGGCTTTTTGTCCTGCCATGGAGTTTTTGGTATGTGTTTTTTGTGCTGTTTATGTGGCTTGTTTGTTCTGTATGGCTTTTAGTCCCGCATGGCCTTTTGTTTCGCAAGGCTTTATGTTCCGCGAGGCTGAAGTCCCGCAAGACAAGTGACCGCCGAGAGCAGCAAGATTGACTGGTCATGATGCTCGCAGCCTCGGCCAACGCTCTGTCTGATGCCATCTGGTGTCCATAAGGAGCTCCGAGGGATGCCCGGGTCGAATTACCGGGCAGACTCACTAGTGGTTGGACATAGGGACACACCATTGCCACTCCACCTGTATTACCTAAACCAAACCGTCTCTTGTGGCCGGCAATCTTCTCCATAGTCCACCCATGTAATGCATTAATTCAGGAAGGACATTTCCTGATCTTTGATTATGTCCCAAACGTGGGAATTCTCTTACCTTTGCAGGCAAAGCATCTGAGTTTCATGATCCGACAAACATGGCTGTTATCTCCGGGATCAGCCAAGCTCGCCTGCTCTCGGCGTTCGATGGCATGGAGACCGTCTTCCGGTCGGTCTCCTGGAACCGCGCGGAGTGGCATTCGGATCGCGTGAATACATTGGATAAGTGTGTCAGTGGCAGAACGAAGCAAGAAAGAGGAGGATCATGGTCTGCTTCAATCTTCTGGCCAGAGTATGGTATGTTTCGCCTTTTGATAATTATGAATGATGTCTGTCGAGGCGGTATCGCGATTGATGGGATTGGGTACTCCCTTGCTGGAATGTACCTCTCATGTCCCTGGCTCTGACTTCAGCGAGAACCACATTCGACCAATTGTATCTGTTCAATACTGGTCGCAATCAAGCCGCCCTCCCAGTGTCTCTTGCCGTTACCAGCCTCGCCACCTTATCCAGATATCAACAATCTTGTCTGGGGTGTCAGTATCTGTGTCGATGATAAAATACCAGCTGAACATGGCCAGGGTAATGCACGCATGATTCGGCCAGATGCGCAGCTTTTGTCCATACTGCAAAGGAAATTGTCGTTTCTCTAGATCGCTGTCTTCAAAAGCCAAGATTCCGTGCTCCTGACTTATACGACTAACAATGATGCGATCTTTCTTTGTCGTGCCATAGTCGCCTGGCATGTTCCAGGGACTTACAACGCCCCACCCAGGATAGTCCTTGCAGGGCTCTCTCGCAAGTGCGAGAGCACCGGCAGAGATCAGTCCCTCAGGCTGTTTAGTTCGATTGGGGTACAAAGAGCAGATTTCAGCGAGCACAGATACTGCAATGGTATCGTGAGGATCTGAGGTAAAGCTGCGACTGCTGGCAGCCACCTGCTGAATGTCAAAGATTGGATAGACGCCGGCATGGATTTCAAGCTCGAGATTGGATTTGGTCAACTCAAGCGTGTCCTTGAGAGCATTAGCCGAAGGGGTAGAACTGGCCGCCGAAGGCAGAATGTTCTGTATGGAGAGAGCAGTGGGAGATGCTCCAACCGATACTAGAAGCGGTGCGTGTCGGTCTCGCTTGAAGTGTTGGGAAGCTTGCCGGCAGACATCAATTTCGACTCTGAGCATGTCCATCGCATCGTCTGGGGACGATCCACCATAGCTGAGACTATTATGGGAATAGAATCCGAGCAGCCACAGATGACCTTGCTGCTCGGCGGTGCCAACTTCGTGCACCAAGTCCATCATATCTTTCGAGTCTGGACTTAGACCGGCCCTGTGGTAGCCCGAATCTGCCTTGATGAATACCATGGCGGGAAATCCTGCCTGTTCTTTGAACGAGGGCAAGCATTTCAACTGTTCTGGATGATCGATCATGACTGTGATGGACCCTTCACCAAGCTGGCGGCCTACAGCAGCAAGCCGATTTACGTGTGAGGGGCCCAAAGGGACGCCATACAAGACATTGATCTTTGCAATGCGACTTTTATATTCCAACAGAAGGGGGACCAACTGCTCCGCCTCGATAATGGTCGACACGATCAACCTCACGTCATTGCAATCTTCACCGACCTGAAGCCTCGTAATCTCTGATGTTTTGTGAGTCTTCACATGAGCTCTGAAACTGACACCCAGCTCTTTGACGGCATTCAGCATGGACCTGCAGTTCACCTTTACCTTTGCCACATCTATAACCGCAGCGGGGACAGGTACATCGTGCAGCGATTGACCTTGGTATGCCTGGCGGAGGGCGTCTCTTGGCGAGAGTGGAAAGGCTGCTGTCGACATCGTGTGATTTGATCAGGTCACCTTCGATTGCTGTAGGGAGATATCAAGGAGTTGCAGCGTTCAAAGCTCCAGCCACTGATGCAAGCCGTAGGATTGGAAGGTGCGTCGTGAAGAGTCAAAATCAAGGGGAGCCGGGGTAGATGGTGTGCTATTCTGTTCAACGTGATTTTGATCTTTGTTTTGGCCTCTTGGTGATAAAGCAGCAGGCTACTTTTAAGGGACTTTTCAAGGGACACCCGTGCAACTCGGGGCGGGGGCGAACCGGGATCCCACGGCGCAGACACTAGATATGAAACAGGAGCAGCAGGATGGAGTCGAGCAGATGCTCCTGTCCACTTGGCTGTCTCTCTTTCTGGCACGATTTCCTCGGTGTAGATAGAGTCGATGCTGAGCTAAACAACGAGATCTTGAGAAGCGAGTAAACTTCCGCGTGCAGGGAATAGGTATTACCTTCCTCGTCCCAATCGTCTGCTCTAGGACAACCATGGTCATCGTCCAGTACTTGGAATAAGGGCGCCGGGGAGATGATCGTCGGCAACCTCCCGATCGCCTTTTGATCGGTGGATTCAATGGGTTGGGCCATTTTGATGAGCTCTTCCTTAGCCCTTGGTCGGGAAATTTCCTGGGGCCTATCGCGGAAGAGGCCGAAATGCAAGTCTGGTTTCACCATTTTCAACGCCCACAACGGGCTTCCTTAGGCCTGCGTGGCCTGGCCAATCCCACATGGTCCACCGTTGACTGTCCCTCTATCGCTTGCAGGTCGCTCTGCAGCTTCTCGACCACATCACGAAGTCTCACCAGTCTCACCAGTCTCACGCCGCTTTCAAAGGATGAAACGATGGGAGCATGGTCAAGACTCGCCCCCATGGCGCGTCAGGCCTCAAAAAATCACGGCCACAGGCGAGATACCCTGGTCGTCTCCGTGAGTGGCTTGATATGGATCTGCGTTTGCTGCTTACCACTATGCACGAGAAACGTCCCATCCTCCTCCTTTCGCCAGTCGTGCTCTGACATACAAGGACTTGGGCCACAGGTTAGATTTTGCGGGTAAACTCTTGTTCTCTCCTCTTTCAAGCCACCCTCAGACCAGCTGATCCAGGTTCCTACCACTGTCTGCTCTCTTTCGAATTCGCGTGCGGTAACAAGACCAGCGAACCCTGACTGCTCGATTCGAACTCGCCGAAGTTCGCACTTCCTATGACCGGCCGTTGAAAACGTCTCTACGCGTTTGCACTCACTTCTCCTCTGCCTGACCTATGGTCTGCCGTCATTACACAGCAGCTGAGACGTGTGGAAAAACTCAAGTTGCACGGGCCTGGTTCCGAATTCTCGACTTACCGTCCTTCTCCTGAATATCGGCCTCCACTGGTGCGTGCAGAGAAGACCATAGAAGAAAAGAATTGTCGAGGTTGGATATCGAAGTACATGGGGTTCAGGGTCAAAAGGTTGTGTTCTATGAACATGTTTTCATGCGGGGGCAAGGTGCTCGTCAACAATAGAAACCATCGCCTCAATTGATTGACATCTGTCTTCAGCTGTCTCGGGTTATCGGCTCCCGCGCAATGTCGATAGACAAGGGCAGCAATGGAGGGCAGGGCTTTGTCCATCCGCCCGCGCATCCGGTTCCGCAATTACAAAAGCCTTTCGAGGAGTCGATGCTAGAATCAATATCCGATCAGGTGGCGGAAGACATACCTACTGATGCCATGACACGAAGGACAATCCTTCTCGAGGCTCCTACCTATCAACGGGTCATTGCGGGGAGGTGGAAGCAAAAACCAGGAGAGAAATATCACCCATTGTGGAAACTCGTGGCGCAACTAACCTTTGGAATGCATCTACTATCACAGAACATGGCCATTTCAGAAGACGAGGTCATGAGGATCTTGCAGTCTCACGTTGACGACATTGATGCCTTCCTGGAACGTACCACAGAAGACTTCGATCTTGCCCAAAGTGACATCCACGAGAGAATACGGTGTCTCAAGCTCCCACTCGCACACGGGGAAGTGTTTGACCGAATGTTGGAGGATCGGGCATTTCGCGCTTCTATTCTCGACGGAAACGAAAAGATCGACCATGTCATTAGCCGGACCAAGAAAGCGGCAAAGGATGCACTGAAGGACGTCCAGAAGGGATTCGATGCTACCAACGTGATGGAAAAATACCTGTCTAAATTAAATTCAACATGGAAGAGAGACTCTCCCGAACATGAAGCTGTTCTAGTTGCCATGCTTGGAAATGTCGAAGGGTGGCGTAGAGCTTTTTTGGAATTGCATCTGCAAGGTAACAAGCTGGCTGGGTCTCTGAAGAAGCTTGCGGAGGTGGTCTCCGAGATGCAGCAAAGAGCTGCGGCGGTCAGCCGGAATCTTGTGGTGAGACAGTCTTTGACCTTTTTTGTTGACCCCCTTCTAACTGTTGCCAGGCTAGAGCTCAAAAGACGAAACACATTACTTCTCAGGACGCTGGTCGTGCTCCATCTCAGTTAGGGTCCATCGCCGAACACAAGCCGCTGCCGAGTGAACCAGGTCGCAAACACTCGACCAGGAATTCATCTCGGAGTACTCAACTGACCAGCTTCTCCAGTCGACCAAACAGCGGCCAGAAGTCAAGTCAAGGATTGGCTTCACATCCACAGTCTCTTGGGCATCAGTCGCCACAATCCCCAAAATCCAGAAGACCAGGCAACGGAGAAATTCCTGGGCGGTCATTTTCTTCCGAGGCGTTGGGGCCCGAGGGACCGCAGCAGGCTGCAGACCGAATGCATAGTCTAGGAGGGTTGCTTATCCAACACAGCGAGGAGCAGCTCGTTGAGCTTCCGGCCGATGTTCCTGAAGATGTACTTCGACAAGCGCCGGTATCGATCAAGAACCGATTGAGCATGACACTTGGGCTGAAGCCAAAGGACAATGCGAGTCACCGCATATCTAGTGTCTACTATCCGACAGCGTTGGCTGATCTTTTGAGATCTCCTGGACTATCTTCTTTGTTACTTACGCCGCAGACTGGAAAGTCGAAGGGGACACCTGTGCAGGCCATGATATCGCCCGTCATGTCGGAAGGAGAGGCCGGCTTCTTCCTCTCCCACGACCAAGATGCTTCGATTGGGATATTCAATGCGGATCACCAGAAGGACACCGACTCCGCCAAAGCATCTCCAACCGCAGCTCAGGCGTCGGCTCGAGCCTCGATTGTGGATCCATCCAGGCCAGTCACTCGTCGTTCATCAATCCCTAACCCAGCATTCACTTCGCACCCTGCCGTGATGGCCATGGCCTCTCCTCCAGTAGAGCTTCCTGCTCCGGTTGAGCCAGCGGTGGGAGAAGAGCGGTCAAACTCTTCCACATCCAGGAAAGGCTCTCAACTGTCAAGCCTTGGGGAACCTGGACCTGAGTTGAACGAAGGTGAAATGACAAGGTCAACCTCGGGGTCGGCGTTGAGCACGAAAATTCTGATTGATACGTCAACCATTACCGTCGCTATCGTACCAGCCTCTGCGAAGGAGGAGACATTTGCAGCAGCGCAGCAGAAGGCCGAAGACGACACGCAAATTCAGCTCAACGGCGAATTTGGGGCGACGAATAGCACAGACCTTCCCCTAGGGGAAGTGGTGGCAGCGCCTTTGCAGTCTCAGTTGACGGCTACAGTGCTTCTGCCGACTGCGGAAATCGAAAACGGCGGTGATGGCACAAAATCACAGATCCCTGTTGAAGCGCCGGCCAGTATTGAAGGCGAGATCACAGCCAAAACAAACGCACTCGACATCTCAAATGATACGTCTCCTCAGGAAGTCGACGAATTGACCCCAAAGACAGAATTTATTGCCGAGTTAGAGGCCATAGTCCCCAAGCCTCTTCAGCCCAAGCCGAAGGAAGAGGTTGGACCGGTAGAGCTCGAAGCTCCACAACAGACTTTCAACCTACCGCCCAGACCAGTTGCAGTCGCCAAAAATCCAGAGGAAGAAGCTCCCAGCGCCAGCAAAAGCCAGCCCGACGACTTTTTCAAGCTGCCAACCGAACTTACAATCAAACCTGGCATGAAGCCCAAGGATTTTGGCGATTCCAGCACACCAGAACCGATCCGGCCCTTGAAGTTGAAGCTCACCAAGAAAGATGGCAAGATTGTTCCCGTACCAGTCCCCAGCCCCAGCGTGGGCAGTCCCGGCCCCAAGCTCAAAATAGATGTTGTTGCAGATATCATCGACAGACTCTCGTATACACCTCCAGGTTCACCTATTCATGCAAGATCATCTTCGAGCGTCTCTTCAAATTCAGCACAACGCTGGTCACATCGATCATCTCGTTCGCTAGGACCGCCAGAGCAGGCTCCTGCGCCGCCCGCCCCCGGAGGTCGACCGATGGTGGAGCCTGATTTCGCCTCTGCGGGACAATTCGATGGGGAACGCAAGCAGAAGAAAAAGAAAAAGAAAAACAGTAATGCCGGTAGGGAAAGCAAGAGTGGATGGAAAAGTCTGTTCCGGGGAAGCATTGCGGACAGCAGCAGTGGCGGAGGTGCAAAGAGTTCGGAAAGGGGTTCCATAATAACAACGACGACGGCGGCGGCAACAACTACAACAAACCCTTCTGCATTAGCATCAAGAACAGGCTCGGAGGCGGCGCCCACCCCGATTGCGGATATGATGATGACGTCTGGCAAAGACGTACTTTGGTTCAAGGGCGATACGAAGAAATGACCTGGTGTCTTGTGAGCAGAATCTCTGGCGAGGGCGGACATGGACATTGGAGATGTCCTCAATTGCCGAGCCGCCGTCAGCAATCCATGCATGCTGAGCAGGTGAGCGTTGTGCATATAAGATGATAAATCCTTTTAATCTAATCCCATGGTTATTCTCATACTCTGCTCTGATTGCCGCGCAACAAGAGCTGACGGATAGTTTCGAATTGATCATATTGGGAGCGAAATGTCCATCTGTTTGCCGAAGTAGTTCTTTCGTGTTCGGCAGGGAAGTACGTCGGATAGATCCCTCGGAAAGCATAGCATAGGAAACGACGCAGCGTGTACCTAGGTAGGTCCCCAGTATGCCGAGAAGTCCAAGACCCGAGATGTTGGGATGCTGTCGCCAGTCAGAGAAGGACGATCCGTCACGCGATTGAATGGGTCAGAATCGCTCGTCCTGAGAGTTTCTTATGGCGTGCTGTTGCACTGGGAGCGTCATGAGAGGAGGTAATGGGCAGTTTGGGGGCGCACAGGGCGAGTGCGGTCACAGCGAGTAAGGCAGACTCGCATTCTGTGTTTCAGTTATTTGTATTGAGCCAAATCAAGGACAGAGCGAGGCGTGGACCGGTGAGAGGTGAATGGTCAGTGGGCGGTGGTGAGTTTGAACGATGAACAGCTGACCAGTATATATGGACCATGGGCCAAAGTCTGCCCTGTGGAACCCAGCTTTGAGACTGGGCGCGGTGCCGCTTGTACATACTCTGTTGCATTGGTAGAGCAGGACTGTACGGAGCATGTAGGTGTGCAAAAAGGTTACTAGGTAAGCAGGTGAGCAGGAAAGTCGCTGCAGGTGAGGGGTTCAGGTGTCGGCATCACGGCCCAGGGCATACAAGGGCCACAAAAGGGCATACTGAGTACCTAGTAAGGCTAAATTAAGGCAGGCGAGAGCGGCTGGGCGCCCGGGTAGCCAATTGATGCCCATTGATCGGCTTCGGTCCAGAACTCGGGCACCAGGCTTCGAGGCCAAACCCCATCGCTGCCCATCTCCACAAACCAACTAAGCAAGATCCAACGCCGACTCGTATGCGTGCTTGACCCGTTGCCATCACCCATTCCTCGTCGGCTTCACCTCAACTTGGTCATCACCTGCGCTCTCAGCCTGCCTACATTCAATGTTTCTTGATCCATCCTCTTCATCTACCAAAGTCAAGACGCCGATCTCCAGTCCCATTCTCAGTCCTTGTCCTTCGATTGAACAGTTGGCTGCCCACACAAAGCCACCGTCGACGACTGAGCCCGCGATGCCTGATCAGCTACGCCTGACTCTACCCATACGTATCTAGAGGCTCGGCTCCCACAACCATATATATTCTTCGAGCCCGTCTCGGTGTCGAAGAGATCTTAGCGTCCAAAGAACCTCATTGTCCGTACACGAGCTGGCCTAGTCCGCAACTGAACCGAGCATGGTGTCCGTACCTTTCTTGCGCCCGACGCGAAATTCAGACCGACTATACTAGACCATGAGCTGAAGGGAAACAGCGACAAGGGTGAAGTTTTTAACGTCGGAGGAAATATTGTGGGGATAAGAGAAGGTACGAGGAGCACGCATATTGTCATCCACGAGCAAGAGCATCCTTTGTCAATGAGGCTTGAACTTCTCCAGCTGGTCATCAGCGCTGCATCGCACAGCAAATTGTGTGCTATTCGACTATCTGGCTAGCATCTGTCCGGTACCGCTGTTCGTTCTGCGCCCGTTGCGGTTCTCTCCCGCAGGCCACATGGTTATCTTTCATTCATACTCTCTATGAAGAATGCCAGAGACATGGTTGCTCAGTTGAACTGACGTGGAGCCTTAGATACGTACTAGTCCTTGCTCTCCCATTTCTCGCCATGTCCCGTTCGAACAACGACGTCGCGCCATGGGACACCAGACCCTCGCAGCCAATGCCTCCGAAGGCCATGGCCATCTTTGGCACCGGAGGCAATCCGAATGCCACAGGCCGTCAACAATTCTCGCAACCACGAGCAATCAACGACATTGCGCCTTGGGACACTCAGCATCCTGACGATGACGATATAGACGATATAGCGCCTTGGGAACGAGATCCTCAGGCACACATCTCAGGCTCGCGGCCGCTGAATTCATCCTACTTTAGCGATTCTAGCGGTCGCGATGCTCCGGGCTCGTCAAGGCGTCCGGATACTGCAAGAACCAATACGTCAGATTCGCCAGAGTATGATGGTGATGCAAGACGACCGTCTATAGCCAGCGCTACAACTGTCAGCAGCACAGGTTCAAGGAGCAGCGCCGCCAATGGTCGATTCCATAAAAGCTTGAAGGGTTTCTTTGGCGAAGATCCTACGGATTCGCGGAAAGGGTCAACGGCAGATTTGGCAGAGCTAGCACCACCTGCCAGCTCATCAGACAAGCCATCACAGCGGAGTGGTTCGGTCCAGACTCAGACCACCCTCGACGAACGACCCAAGACCCCTGCTCCTCCTCCTTCCAGCGATGTTACCCCTTGGGCTTATCAGAACTTTGAGGATGTCTCAAACTTTGGCTCTGCACCGATACGGCAGGAACAGCAGCAGCAGCAGCAGCAGCCACAACAAGAGTCTCTGCAGCCAACCCCACCCGCGTCTACCCACCGGCGTGGTCTGCTCCATCGCCACACAAGAAGCAAAGAAGACCCGCCCAAAGGCCAGTCAGCCCCTACTTCTATACCCAAACGGCCTTCGACAAGTCGGGAATCCTCGACAAGTAACCTCGCTTTCTACCGCAATACACCGCCAAATAGCACGCCCATGAGCTCTTCTACAACGCTCGCTCGTAACGCCAGTCCAGCGCCTCAATCACGCAAGGAACCGCCGACGCAATCGGAAAAGAGATCGATATTTTCAAAGCTCACCAAATCGCGTAGGGACAAGCATTCACCCCAGCCTGAACCGATCAAGACCAATGTTGAACCACCACGGCCGCCCGAGGAGCAGAAGAAGGGCAGAACCCAGTCGACAAAAACCACAGCCTCGGACCTTTCTGACAATAAAAGAGATAGAGAGACGAGCGTTACGTCAGTCGACAGCGCTTCAACAATCAAAGCCACCGACCCTTCTCCCAAGCTTGACCGGACACAAACGGCTTCATCGAAGACGAGCAGATTCACGAGGCATGGCAGGCATCGCGGACCTAGTATCCAAAGCGATACCTCCGATAAGGGCAAAGCCCCAAGTCAACAAGCTCCAATGCAAGCTGGCGTCTTCAGCCTCGACACTAATTTCGATGACATGTCAGACATCATCTCTCAGCCGCCGGCTCCAAAAACTCCCGGAGAAGCTGGGATTTGGACGGGAAAGGCTTCCGCGACGCCGATGTCAGAACTCTCTGCCCCTGCTTGGGATGCCCCAGATAGCTGGGCTGTCAAAGGACAAGAAGATGAGGTTCTTGACAGCTTACCAGAAGCCAACGAGGATGGGTTACCGGCTATCCAGGAAGAGGATGGCATCTCCTACTTCATGCGTGTCTTCAGAACGGATGGCACGTTTGCGACGTTGTCCATGTCCATCAATGCAACTGTGGCAGAAGTGCTTCAATCTCTTGCCAAGAAATCTGTACTACATGATTCTATTGATAACTACCATCTCCTCATGCGCAAACATCAACTGTCGAGACAGCTAGGGTCGGGAGAACGTCCTGTGGCCATGCAGAAGAAGCTCCTGTACCTTGCAGGCTACACAGAAAGAGACAGGGTTGAAGAGGTGGGTAGAGAGGACAATAGCTACCTCATCCGTTTCACGTTCAGCCATGAGAAACAGACGGGATATGGCAGTGGCCTTGACAAAGACCCAGCATTCAACAAAATGCAGAAATTCAGCCATGTGGATCTCTCAGGGAAGTCACTGGTGACAATACCGATTATCCTCTATACAAAGGCGTCTGAAATAATATCCATCAACCTTTCACGGAATCTTGCACTCAGAGTGCCAAAGGACTTCATCACCGCCTGCATCAACCTGCGCGAGATTAAATTTACCGGCAACGAAGCGTGGCGTCTACCACCTAGTTTGGCTTGGGCAAGCCGTCTAACTGTGCTTGACGTGTCAAACAATCGACTGGAACAATTGGAACACGCGGAGCTGCACAGGTTAATGGGCCTTGTGAGTTTGAAACTGGCAAACAATAAATTGTCGGAATTGCCGCCCAACTTTTCGTACTTCCGCCAGCTTCGCAGTCTGAATCTTTCATCCAACAACTTCACCACGTTTCCAGAGAACATATGCAGTTTGAAGTCCTTGGTGGACCTTGACATAAGCTTCAACAAGCTGTCCTCGCTTCCGAAAATCTCACAATTGACCACTCTCGAACGCCTCTGGGTCACGAATAATGATCTGAAAGGTCCTTTCAACGAGACTTTCGCAAGTCTGATTAATCTGAAGGAGATCGATGCAAGATTCAATGCAATAACGAACATCGACAATGTGACAAGCCTTCCAAATCTCGAACAGTTGCTTGTTGGCCACAACAACATCACGACATTCAAAGGGTCGTTTCCAAAATTGCGTGTGCTGGTCCTGGATCACTGCCCGATCACGTCCTTCGAGTTAGATGAACCTGTGCCAACACTCTCTAGCCTTAACATTGCTTCAGCGAAACTTGTCGAGTTCAAGGAAACAATGTTTGACCACATGCCAAACTTGCAAAAGCTAAATCTGGACAAAAATCATCTTTCGAACATGTCATCCCAGATCGGAAGGCTCACCAAACTAGAGTTCCTGAGCATGGCCAAAAATCCACTGAATATAGTTCCGCCTTCCATCGGAAATCTCGCGGAGCTCAAATTCCTGAATCTTAGGGAGTGCAATGTCAAGAGCCTCCCTCCCGAAATCTGGTATTGTAGGAAGCTGGAGACACTGAATCTTTCCTCAAACGTCCTGGAGACATTTCCTAAGCAGAACGCTGCTCCGCCTCCAAGTGAGCTTAAGGATTACACACCGACGGCAACGCCTGGGCTGTCAACCTCGCCTAGCTTCGACGATCTTGGCAAGCTTGAAGACTTTCAAGCGCGCCGACCGAGCCAGGCGTCATCGGGAATGATGAGCATCGGTAGTTCTCAAGGCGCACGGAAGAATTCTGTTGTGTCGTTGAGCGCTCATCGAAAGCAATCCGTGATCTCGAGAACCAATACAGAGTATTCGATGTCGACTGCAACTCGCAAAGATTCCAACATATCACAAGCCCGGCTACACAACACATTTGCAGGATCCCTGCGATATCTGTATTTGGCTGATAATCGACTTGAAGACGACATCTTCCGTGAGCTCGTCCTTCTGCCTGAGCTTCGTGTTCTCAATCTGTCCTACAACGAACTGGACGACTTCCCTCAAGGAGTGTTGCGACGTTGGCCTCAACTAAGTGAGCTCTACCTCTCTGGAAATGAGCTAACGTCTCTGCCCTCCGATGACCTCGAAGAGAGTAGTAATCTGAGAATATTGCATTTGAATGCAAACCGTTTCCAAGTACTTCCAGCGGAGCTCTGCAATGTGCACAAACTGTCCACCCTTGATGTCGGGAGCAACTCATTGAAATACAACGTCTCAAACTGGCCGTACGATTGGAACTGGAATCGCAACACAAACCTCAAGTATCTGAATTTCTCCGCCAACAAGCGCCTAGAAATCAAGCCTGCTGCACACCAAAACCAGGCACACTTCCATTCAATGAACCGCAATGACACTACAGACCTTACAAGCTTCAACACCCTGAAATACCTTCGCGTGCTGGGTCTTATGGATGTGACACTGTTGACGAACACGATTCCGGATGACAATGAAGATCGCCGCGTACGAACCTCAGCTTCAGTAGTTGGGGCATTGATGTACGGTATGGCAGACACTTTGGGCAAGAACGAGCATCTGTCAACCCTGGATCTTCTGAAACCAAACTTTCGAGGCCAAGACAGCGAGATACTTATTGGCATGTTTGATGGCCAGACAATGTCGAGCGGCGGATCTAGGGTTGCAAAGTATTTGCACGAGAACTTCTCGGCAGTCTTTTTTGAAGAGCTGCAGAAGGCCGAGAATTTGAAGGATACACCGATAGACGCTCTCAGGCGGACCTTCCTAGCAATCAACAAGGACATGGCAAATTTTGCGAGCAGCAACTTCGACACTAAGGAACACAGGTTGGCTAATGGCCACAGGGGCTCGACTGTCGCAAACATCCTCGGCCCCGATGATCTGAGTTCAGGTGGCGTGGCGGCAGTCTTGTACATCAATGGGCAGGATTTGCATGTCGCCAATGTTGGTGATATTGAGGCCATACTAATCCAATCCAATGGCCAACATCGACAATTGACACGGAAACACGACCCAGCGGAGCCCGGTGAACGCGAGCGGATTAGGGAGGCGGGAGGGTATGTCTCTAGGCAAGGCAAACTCAACGATGTCCTCGAAGTGAGCCGAGCATTTGGCTATTACAGTCACATGCCATCCGTCATCGCTGCGCCTCACACGTTCAAATGCCAGATTACCGAATCCGACGAGCTCATCGTCGTGGCCACGAAAGAATTTTGGGATTATGTTACGGTCGACGTTGCCGTCGATGCGGCGCGAGCCGAAAAGAACGATCTCATGCTGGCAGCACAGAAATTGAGGGATTTAGCAATGGCATTTGGTGCAAGAGACAAAATCATGGTCATGGTGCTCGGAATTTCAGACCTGAGAAAGAGAGGCAACCATCGGTTCCGAGGCACCAGTCTGTCGATGGCGAAGGAGATGGGTCTCGATGAAGGCGCCATATTTCCCAGTTCCCGGAAAGCTCGGCGGAAAGGTGAACAACTTGTGGGCGACTCTCGACTTGCCAGACTCGAAGAGCCGGATCCGCCTGTTGGTGATGTAGCGATCTGCTTCACTGACATCAAAAACTCAACAGCATTGTGGGAGATCCTTCCAGTCCCCATGAGATCGGCGATAATGATGCACAACGAGCTCATGCGGCGACAGCTTCGCATCATCGGTGGTTACGAAGTCAAGACCGAAGGCGATGCATTCATGGTCTCTTTCCCAACAGTGACATCGGCGCTACTTTGGTGTTTCAGCTGCCAGAGTCACCTCCTGGAATTGCCCTGGCCCCAAGAGATCCTGGAGACGGTTCATTGTCAGGAAAAGTTGGACTCGGAACAGAACACCATCTACCGTGGGCTGTCAGTAAGAATGGGTATGCACTGGGGCCGGCCCGTGTGCGAGCAGGATCCAATCACTCGAAGAATGGATTACTTCGGGCCCATGGTCAACAAAGCCGCCAGAGTGTCCGCTGTGGCCGACGGTGGACAGATTACTGTGAGCAGCGACTTTATTGCCGAGGTTCAAAGGACACTGGAGAGCTACGCAGACGATGACCGGCGAGATTCTGTAGGCTCGGAGGACACGGTTAACGACGACCCACTGTCAATACAGATTCGTCGTGAGCTCCGTCAACTTAGCAGCCAAGGTTTTGAGGTCAAAGACCTTGGAGAGAAAAAGCTGAAGGGTCTCGAAAATCCCGAGTACATCTACCTGATGTATCCTCACTCTTTGGCGAGTCGACTGGAAATACCACCTGGGGCTGAGCAGAAAGTCCAGCTTGGAGGCGAGGGGCCTGCCACGGTTGACGACAAAGGCCAACCAGGTACTCTCGGTAAAGATAGCCAACTGAAGGATTTGCAGCTTGATGAGGTCTGGAAACTCTGGGATATTGCCCTGCGCCTGGAGATGCTGTGCAGCTGTCTTGAGGTCCCCGAGCGGGCAGCAGGACTGCACAAACCTGAATTGAGTCTGCTCACCAGAATGAAAGAACGCGGTGGCGTCCAAACAGATGGCTTCATGATGAATTTGCTAGAACATCAAGTGACGCGGGTTGAGGTAAGCAGACGAGGTTCTTCCATTGTCTGTGGGAGAGACGAACTAACATTTCGCAGGCATGTGCAACTACTCTGCAGCTTCGACACATGTATCAGCCTTTCCAGAAGGGAGTCAGTCTCTTTGATCAGGCCAAGCCGATCAGCGAAATTCTGCAGGAGATATCGACGATCCTGGCCGAAGTTAAAGAGGAACGAAATCAGATTCATACTCCCGACACTGGGGAAGAAACAGACTCAGAATAAGGGAAACGGCAACGGTGATGTTGATGACGCATATGCCCCTTGGGAGTCACCGAATTTCACAGGCGAGATTTAATGCGCTCGAGACTCTAATCGCCGGCTGCGCATCATCGTCTGTACGACCAGGGAGCTCATGACTCGGTAATTGATACTTCCACAACACGGAAGGATCTGCTATTAGTATTGGGAGGGCATTGGGATGGAAGTTATGAACAGGATCATTGGCACTTTGCGATTCAGGCTAGATGCCTAACCAGGGGGGTTGGGATGGGACTGCGGTTCGATGAGAGTTTTATACAATGACCAGGCAGGGGCTTTTGGGAAAGGATGAACGCCGTTACGAACAAACCGATATGCGTTGTCGAGCGTCTGGAAGCTTTGGATTAGGTGCCTATGCACATAACTTGTTACTTGTTTACTTGCAAGAAAGGGAGGGGATGTTCAGGATATGCTATCCTTTGCAAACATGGCTTTTGGTCAAGCATTTGTTTTCACTCGCTGCCCGGATGCTGCGATTGAAAGGTGCAACATGAGGTTTTCATATCAGTTTGGAGGAAGTGAACAGAAGGGGACAGGACAGTACAGCACAGCTATAGCTACAGCTATAGCGTTACTCAAAAGACGACTATGAATTTGTTACTGCCAGCCAGTTATTCATATATCTGCTGCCACCTTTTGTGCCAGTACCGATTGAATATTTCGAGGGTGTGTCTTGCTATCGAGCCTCAGCCTTACGCCATGCTTTCAGCCTCATCCTCCAGCCACAGCCTTGATACATGGAGTTATATGCTCTGAATATGGTTACCAAGAGGGCTCGTTCGTTCGCCGGATATTACTCGTATGATCGGCGTCTGCTATGACCGCATCACTAGGGCAAGGATCTTGTATTTGGCTGGCAAATCCGGATCGACCTCGTTTCCCCGAGCAATACTCCGAATGCCATTCATCCAACCATCCGTGTATGTTTTGTATGTATGATGACGTTCCCAGCTCATGGTTACCAGCTACCTCTTGGTTTTATCTGCATACCGTTCTCGAGACCTCGATCTAGGATGTGTAGCTGATTCCGGCCGAGTTTTCAAATTAGAGAAGAAGGCTGACGCTTCCCGTGGTTCATACACGCGGATATACACCCTGTGCCGGCAGCGTACTTCGCGAGGCTCGATCGCGCGTGCCTTCCCCCTACTACGCACTCTTTACATGAACAAGATCATTAGCCCTTATTCCTCATTCTCAAAATCCTTGACAAAAAGCAGAGTAATCATCCAAATGAAACACTACCACTTTGAAAGCAAGCCTATAGCTCATCCCGATGCTGTCGTCTCCGGGCCCCATTACCGCTTCACCGTCCTCACCGACCGTCTGATCCGGTACGAGTGGTCATATGACGGCAAATTCGAAGATCGAGCCTCTACCTTTGCCATCAACCGGGAGTTTCCCGTGCCCAAGTTCCAAGTGGTTGACAGACCAGACGAGCTCGAGATCATCAACGATCATTTCCACCTGAGTTACGACAAGAAGCGGTTCAGCGCCAGTGGGCTGTTGTGCAGCTTCTCGGCCAAAGTTACTCTATGGGGGGCGCAGTGGCGGTACGATGCCCAGCCGAGCCATGGCCGCCGGGAGAATCTGGGTGGGACGGCCAGGACGCTGGATGAGGTTGACGGGCGGTGTGATATGGGCACCGGCGTACTGTCCACGTTTGGGTATGCCGCACTCGATGATAGCAAGTCGATGCTGTTTGATGGCCAGGGGTTTGTGGCTGGTCGACGACCCGGTGATCGGATTGATGGCTATCTCTTCTGCCATGGTCATGATTACAAGGGTGCGATCCGGGACTTTTACGCCGTCAGTGGCAAGCAACCATTGCTGCCCCGGTGGGCTCTGGGAAATTGGTGGTCGAGGTACTACAAGTACCATCAGGACGAGTACATTGGTCTGATGGACCAATTCAAAAGCAAACAAGTTCCCTTGTCGGTCGCTGTCGTCGATATGGATTGGCACATGGTGGATGATCCTCGAGTGCCTCACGCCGGGTGGACGGGTTATACCTGGGACAAGAAACTGTTCCCGGATCCCGCGACGTTTGGACGAGAGATTCACAGTCGCAATCTGAAGATCACCCTCAACGACCATCCACATTCGGGCATCCACTCGCATGAAGATTCGTATGAGGAGATGGCCAAGTTTCTGGATCACGACACTACCAACAAGAATCCCATCTTGTTCGATCCGACCAGTCCCAAATTCATGGAGGCCTATCTTGGGATTCTTCACCGAAGTATTGAGCAGATCGCCTGTGACTTCTGGTGGATTGACTGGCAACAGGGCTCTCACACCAAAGTGCCAGGAATTGATCCCCTGTGGCTACTCAATCATTTCCATTTCCTCGACAACGCGCTTGGTGGGAAGCAGCGTCCGCTCATTTTTTCACGGTATGCTGGACCCGGCAGTCATCGCTACCCCGTGGGGTTCTCGGGTGATACGGTGACGACGTGGGCCTCGCTGGAGTTTCAGCCTGAGTTCACTGCCACGGCTTCGAATATCGGGTACGGCTGGTGGAGTCACGACATTGGAGGGCACTTTTTCGGAAAGCGCGACGACGAGCTGGTGACCCGTTGGGTGCAGTTTGGCGTCTTTAGCCCCATCATGCGTCTGCACTCGTCCAACTCAAGGTGGACGTCCAAGGAACCCTGGCTGTATCGCAGGGAAAGCGAAGATGTCATCGAGGGATTCATGCGCCTTCGCCATCGTATGATCCCTTACCTCTACACGTGCAATGTCCGCGCATCGACCCAGGACGAGCCGCTCCTGCAGCCCATGTACTGGCTATTTCCCGAGCGCGGCGAGGCTTACCAGGTGCCCAACCAGTACTTCTTCGGCTCGGAACTGATTGTAGCCCCGATCGTGAAGCCACGGGACAAGCGGACGAATCTGGCGTGTGTCAAGGCCTGGTTGCCGCCCATGCATCGCCACGTGGATATCTTCACGGGCACAGTCTACGACGGGAACAGGGAGCTGAACATGTACCGCCCGTTGCATGAAATCCCCGTGTTGGCACACGAAGGCAGCATCATCCCCCTGGACGCAAACAAGACGCCCGGCAACGGTGGTCTCAACCCGGAACACTTTGAGGTGCTCGTGGTGATCGGACGCAACGGACAGACTTCCGTCCTTGAAGATCCCGCGGACGACTCGGATCAGGTGAAGAAGGAGAGTCCTCAGACCGGCGAACGCGGCTCGCTCATCCAATACGACCAAACCAAGGGTGAACTCACCGCACACGTCACGGGCCGGACGTGGAGTTTCCGTTTCCTCGCCGTCACTGAGATCCCCGAGGGTCTGAAAGTCACGGTCGACGGTCAAGACCGCACCAAGGACACCGATGTCGTGGTCTCAAAGTTCCCAGACACCCCTTCGATGCTCGTACACGTTCCCCCGGCGCTGCACATGGACAAATACACCATCACTATATCTCTAGGAGGTAGTGATCCACAGTTGAGTGTGTTGGACCACAAGCCGCGGATCGAGAAGCTCCTGCTGGACTATCAGACCGAGTTCGACATCAAGGACCGGATCTGGAGCATTGTCGACGACAGGGAGAGCGCCATCAACGTCAAGATTGGGAAACTGTTGAGTCTGAGCGTTGACGAGACGCTGACTGAGCCGATTGCGGAGTTGATCTTGAGTGATGTTAGAGGGATCCAGTTGTGAGGATCTCGAGGCTTTGGAGCTTGGGACCTCCAAGTTGAGAAGTGCTATGTGGGAGGAGGACTGCGTGGAGACCTTGAAAGGAGGTGGGCAGGCATGCATAGTCAAGGTAGAAGGAATGGCCTGAACGTGCATTTGCCCTATAGCCTTGTAGAGGTGTTTCTTTACAACAAAAAGGTGTTATTGCTGCTACTCTATGATCGATTCGCCAGGCTTTTTCTTTTTTCAAAGCGGCTTCAAGGCGATTAGACCCAAGGCCACTGCAACTATTCCGGCCATGTGTATGCAACTCAAAGCGACAACGTGATAGATGCAGGGAGGACGTGAAGGTCCTTTGTTTCAACTGTCTGTTGCAAAGCTAGTTCTTCTCAAAAAGTCACTGCTTAGTATTCACAATTTGCTCTCGCGCGCAGCCATGGCGGGGAAGACCTTCTCCTCCAACCACTCGCCAATGAGGCGATTACAGTCCTCAGGCCTCTCCCACAGGGCCCAGTGACCGGCATCGACCTCGCGCCAGGTCAAGCGTGGGATGCGGTCGGGCATCTTGGCGGCCATGAAGGGCTGGAGGGCCTGGTCCTTTTTGCTCAGCACGAACAGGACCTCCTGGTGCAGCTTGAGGTCGCGGTCGGCCTGTTGCGGGTCCTTGCGGCCACTGCCGAAGAAGTCGCGCCACTCGTTCATGTAGTTGACCTCGCGCGTGCGGTACCAGTTGAGCGGGCCGTAGACGCCGTGGCGGGCGTACTCGTCGACGTAGTACGCGAGCTCGTCGTCCGCGAGCAGCTTGGTGGTGCCCATGCGCGCCTGTTTCGCCAGGTCGAGCCCCTTGTGGGCGTCAAAGGCCACCTCGCGGGTGTCGGTCGTGCGGCCCCCGTACATGTTGACCAGGAATTGGCGGATCTCGGCCTTGGATTGCACGGCGTCCTCGACCTCGCCCGACACAAAGTGCTCCTGGTAGCCGAAGTTGGGCAGCCGCTTCTGCACCTGGATCCCCAGGGGCTCGTACTTGACGTTGGGCGGGAAGTAGGGCGTGCAGATGCTGAACACCGCCGCGATCAGCTCCGGGTAGTACTGCGCCACCCGGTACACGATCGACCCGCCCCAGTCGTGCCCGCCCAGGATGATCTTGCTGAGCCCCATCTGCCGGCACAGCTCCGCCATGTCGTCCGCCGCCCGCCGGTAGCTGTAGTCTTGCAGCGTCCACTTGGGCGCGTCGGTGCGTCCGTACCCCATCGTGTCCGGCGCCACCACGTCCAGCCCCAACTTGGTCAGGAACGGGATCTGGTACCGCCAGCCCATGCTGATATCCGGGAACCCGTGGATCAGGAAGATTGTGCCTCGTTTTGGCGCCGACCCCGACGCCGGGCTGAACAGGTAGCCGTACGTTTTCCCGTTCAAGAAGGCCGAAAGGAACGAGATTCGAGGGTCGTTCTTGACTTTGATCTTGTCGACCGTGAAGCGTTGGTTGTTGGCCATGGTCGAGGTCGCTTTCTCTTCTGGGTTTGGGTTTGGTGATGCTCTAATTGCTGATGTCGTTTTTCCCTTTCTTCTCTTCTTTTCACTCCGCAAGGAATTGGATCTGTTGCCCCAGATATTGGTATCGCTCCGTGAGTATATATCTGACCCAGCCAATCAGATGCTGGACTCACTCCCTTGCTTGTCTGGACGTTCCCGGATGTTGCCCTCGGTTACACAGCCCAACAGAGGATTCACCCGCCTTTACCTCGTAATCGTCAAATGGCCTGAACACTTGCTGGCTCGTGCCGTATTCTATGGCATGGCAGATATCCTGGAGATAAGTCTGGGAAGAAAGAGAGAGGATGACGAGAAATATAAGTTGATATATACAGGAAACCCACCGTTGCTGTTGTTGTACGGGATAGCTGTTGGTAAGGGACAGAGTTACTGTAGAGCTGCCAGCCACAAGCCGAGGCTCAGATCCAAGGATGTCAAATGGGCCCCGGAAGTATATTTTTGCGGGGGACTCGGAGCTTGGAATCCGCCGGATGATTCGCTATTTCTCCGGATGACTATTATTTGCTTGGCAAGCCTTATGCAAACGAAACTTGCCTCTACACGGTGTCCCAGGCTCACCGGGTCAGATGGAAAGCGGCGAGGGAGGAGGAAGAACATGGCTGGCTCGTGGGACGGATTCATTTATCGAAAAAGGGTGCATTGAAGTGTTACCCGAAGATCCTCATTCTGCGCCCCTGCGCATATTATCTGACCTGGCCGCGTCAGAAAGTACCAGCCAAGTACCAGGCCCTGAGATAAGAGGTTATGGCGTGATGAAGGCCCCAAATGAGCAAGCCCAATCATCTCCCTCCTGGCCACTGCGTCCGTGACGCGACTGACCCGCGAACTGATGCGATACATTCGGTCAAAATATGTTGACATCTCGACATTTGTTCCTGTGCGTTCAGTTTGTCAGCACGGGCCTGCCTGTGCAGTAGCATGTTTTGCCCAAGCCGGTGTGTACAAGCCCAACCTTCTCTTATATGCCGGTGAGCTGTAGTCAGTTGGTCTTTTGGGTCTGCTTCAAGGACGTCTTTTTTGGGTGTTGAATTGATTATTCATGGCCCCCGAGATGCAGGACCTCGAGACATCGCCTCTATTGTCCCCCGATCCCGAGCAAAGCTCCGTGCACGATGCGGAAAGCCTAACGCCCAATAACCCAAAGGACGAGAGAAATATCGACAACGATGTGCTGCCAGAAACGTCGACAGCGGGGAGAAACATTGGCTGGGGAAGCGCCTACATCCTGGTTATCTCTCGAGTCATCGGATCAGGTATTTTCGCAATGCCTGGAACAATCGTCCAGAACGTAGGCAGTCCTGGCTTGGCTCTGGTCCTGTGGGTTGTCGGAGCTCTCGTTGCGTGGGCAGGATTAGCCATCGACATGGAATATGGATGTATGCTTCCTCGTTCGGGCGGAGTAAAAGTGTATCTGGAGTATACCTTTCGCAAACCGCGGTTCCTCACCTCGACTCTGGTGGCTGTCCAGGCCGTTCTCCTCGGATTCACGGCAAGCAATTGCATCGTCTTTGCGAAATACACCCTTTTCGCCGCCGGCGCTACTCCCAACGACCTGAACACCAAATTACTGGCGGTCGGATTGTTGACCTGGATCACAATCGTCCACAGCTGTTTCTACAAGACAGGAATATGGATCCAGAATCTGCTAGGTTGGGTCAAGGTCGGGTTGATTGTGTTCATGATTCTGACGGGAATATTTGTGGTTCTGCTGCAACCTCACACTTCGTCTAGCGACGTGCCCGACCACGCCTCAGCTACAGCATGGGGTGATCTGTGGACTGGCTCCGACTGGGCGTGGAATAACTTGTCGACAGCGTTTTTCAAGATCCTCTACTCCTACGCGGGACTCAGCAATGTCAACAATGTCCTCAACGAGGTGAAGGACCCTGTCCGAACGCTCAGATCAGTCGGTCCGGTTGCGTTGCTGACGGCTTGCATCATGTATGTGCTCGTCAACGTCGCATACCTGTCCGTGGTGCCACTTGAAGAGGTCAAGCGCAGCAGAGAGCTCATTGCAGCTCTGTTCTTCGAGCGAGTCTTTGGGGCTGGCTTTGGCAACAAGTTCCTTCCCCTTGCTATTGCTCTCAGCGCTGTAGGGAATGTCATGGTGGTCACCTTCAGCTTGGTATGTATTTCTCCCATCGAGCAGTCAGCGTCCTAACAGTATGACAGGCTCGAGTCAACCAGGAAGTCGCGCGGCAAGGGTTTCTTCCCTTTTCGGAAATTCTGGCTTCCAACAAACCGTTCAATGCACCCCTTGGCGGGCTTCTCGTCCACTATGTGCCATCTGTGCTGGTCATCGTCCTACCGCCTTCTGCCACAGTATATGCTTTCATTGCCGATGTTGAAGGATATGCGGGTCAATTTTTTGCTCTGGCCGTCGGTGCTGGCTTGATCATTCTCCGCAGCAAAAAGCCCGATCTGCGACGGCCGTTCAAAGCTTGGATTCCGGCGGTATGGTTCAGAATCATACTATCCGTGGCATTAATTGGTGCTCCGCTATTTCCTTCCAGCAAGGGATCTTCGGATGTCAACTTCTTCTACGCCACATACGCGTTGGTCGGCATTTCCATGTAAGCAGCGTCCCCACACAAAGACGACATATGCTGACCATCTCTATAGACTCATTTTCGGAGTCGCTTATTGGTTCGTGTGGACCATTGCTCTACCTCGCTATAGGGGCTACAGGCTGGAGGAAGCAACGGATGTCCTCGGTGATGGGACAACCATCACAAAATTGGTCCGCAAGGAATTATAATCACCGCAGTGTATTGATAAGCATAACGAGTGCCGATTGGAAGGGTGTGAAACAAGTCACTGTGAACGCTTCGCTTCCCTGAACATAAGACCCTGAAGGCCTGAGGACGTCGGGCACGTCATCCAATGGTATCGGCGCCCATTGGCCTCGGGTATAGATAGACACGCGTGCTGGATGACTTACCCCACACTCTATCTGACCATCGCGTGTATACAACCCAGGATGGCGTGCTACCTGACAAATCAGGAAATGCCATGGCATTGTCCATAAGTATGGGGGGTTTCTCACTTCTCCAAGAAGTGTCCAGCAAGCAATAACAACGATCATGGCATCGGCAGCGGTTCAACAGCCCGGCGGTCACTCGACCTCATTTGAGCCCTTGACGGCACAATTGAAGAGCACTTCTGCGCCTCAACCGGAGAAACATCATGTCCAGACGCAGTTGAACTACTACAAGGACCCTGGCGATGGGAGTCCCCCCGCTCCAAGTTATGTTGGCAAGCCCGAGACCTACGAGAGACCGGTGCAAACGCTCGATGTGACGGTACATGATATCCGGGGCGAAGAGAAGAACTACACGCTCGACAAGAGTGGCTTTGAGATCTACCGTCACACGAGTGTCGAAAAGGACTTTGTCGACGATGAGCAGATCAAGGCACAGTACTACCCGGAGACCGAACAGCTGTTGAAGGATGCGTGAGTGACATTTGACACACCCTGGCGCAATCCTCCCTTCCCTCTCGCTGATTGACCTCGTGTATGACAGAACTGGAGCCTCGCGCGTCCTGATCTTCGACCACACGATCCGCCGCGCGCAAAAGGACGAACGGGGCAATGCCATCACCGCCGCTCCGCTCCGCGGGCCCGTGAACCGCGTGCACATCGACCAGAGCTACAGCGCCGCCAAGTCGCGCGTGCCCTTCCACCTGCCCGACGAGGCCGACGCCCTGCTCAAGACCCGCTACCAGATCATCAACGTCTGGCGGCCCATCAAGACCATCTACAAGGACCCCCTCGCCGTCGCCGAGGCGCACTCCGTGCCCGACTCGGACCTCGTCGGCGTTGGCCTGATCTACCCGACCCGCAAGGGCGAGACTTACACGGTGCGACCCAACCCGGAGCACAAGTGGCACTTTTTGTACGGCCAGACGCCCGAAGAGGTGCTTTTGATCAAATGCTTCGACTCCAAGTTGGACGGCCGCGCGAGGAGAGTGCCGCATACCGCGTTTGTGAACCCCGACACGGTCAATGAGTACTCGAGAGAGTCGATTGAGGTGCGAGCTTTGGTTTTCCATGAGGATCAGACTGCAGAGTGAAACACGGCGTAGTTACCTGGTAGTTAGTGATTATGGCGCTAGGTCGGGTTTCAATGTGAAATCATACTCCTTATGCGAGTACAACTTATCATCAGTTCTCCTCTATACCATCTCTTATTTGTATCTCTCAATATTCCAACCCGAGAGCCCCGTTACAGACTTTGCCATCCAGCTGCACTCTTGAAAAGCCGTACCTAGGTATGCATCTGACATCCCGTTTCAATAATCGGGACAATGGAAAGTCAGGACCTAGACCAAAAGCCCCCTGGGGGAAAATGCCTGGGTTTCTGCCTAAATCTCAGACGTCGCCTCTCTCTACCGCTACGTAGGATCTCCCGTGATAGTAATACGACATAATACGACAGCGCCACTCCATTTGTCTGCCAAGACCGCGCCACTGCGCCACGGGCAGTGCATGGCGGTGCAGAGTCACATGACTGCGCTTGACTGCATTGGTGGGTGGCATCGGGCCCCGGGAAATGATGCGGCGCCCCAGCCACACTGGACAGTTCTTTACTCGCTAATTAGGTACCCAAGGCATCACTCTCTGCGCCCCCCTCCCCCACCTACTTACTGTAGTATTGGCCCATTCCTGTGTATCAAAACACTTTCCGTTCCTTTGCTCCAAACGGTGCTGCGTCATCCTTATTACTAGACAACATCTGCCTTTGCTAGGTGGTCGGGGGCGTCTTACGAACTCGTTCTTCTCTTCGGTATATTATCCTGAGCTCTCAAAAGGCAACCTTTTGCTTTTCATTCTCGCGTATTACACGTTAATTCAATTGTTTTTTGCATCACACACTTTTCGCGAAGAAGACCATTCCCAATCCGATTTCGTCGGATCTTTATACATCTCTCTCACGTCAAAGTCGCAAATGTCATACGGCCCTCCGCAGGGTCAACCTCCGTACGGAGGACAGGGTCAGGGCTATGGGTACCCTCCCCCCCAGGGGCCCCCGCAGTATGGCGGATATCCTCCTCCGCAGGGAGGATTTCCCCCTCAACAGGGAGGTTATGGCGCACCTCCTCCTCCTCCTCAACATCAACAACACTTTGGAGGCCCGCAGCAAGGTGGTTGGGGGCCTCCTCCTCCTCAAGGAAGTCCTTTCCCGGGACAATATGGCGGATATGGCTCTCCTCCCCCCGGCGGCTATCCTCCACAACAACAATACCAGCAGCAATATGGCCCCCCTCCCGCGCAACCCTCGCCTGGCTACGTCCTCGGCGCGCAGGCGCAAGGTGATGCATCGCGCGACGCAGAAGCCCTGCGTGGTGCCATGAAAGGGTTCGGCACTGACGAGAGAACCTTGATCAACATCCTGTCGAAACCGGACCCCTTGCAGATGGCTCTGCTGAGAAATACCTACAACCAGCGCTTCCACCGCGATCTGGAGAAAGACATCAAGTCGGAAACATCAAAGCATTTCCAGGACGGGCTGGTCGCGCTTGTGCAGGGCCCGCTTATGCATGATGTACACAGTGTCCACGGAGCGATCAAAGGGCTAGGGACCAAGGAGTCGGTCTTGAATGATGTTTTGTTGGGTCGTTCGAATGCCGACATGCGCGCGATCAAGCAGGCGTATCAGCAGACGTACAGACATACTCTGGAAGCAGACGTCAGGGGTGATCTATCGCTCAAGACGGAGAAGTTGTTCGATATGGTCATGTCGGCCACGCGAAACGAGGAGTCCACGCCCATCATCCCCACGGAGCTCGAGCGTGACTGCTCCGAGCTGCATCGCGCCATGGATGCGCGCGTCGGCACCGATCAGATCACCGTGTGCGCGATTCTCAGCAGGCGGTCTGATGGCCAGATCCGCGCCATTGCACACCATTGGCACCAGATGTACCGCTCGTCGCTTGAAAAGGTGATCGAATCCGAATTCTCGGGGCACATGAAAGATGCGCTGCTCTTGATGGTGCGGAGAGCGTCTGATCGTGCAATGTCCGATGCCACGCAACTGGAAGATGCGATGGCAGGACCTGGCACGAAAGATGTTTTGCTCGTCCAACGGGTGGTTAGGGTGCATTGGGATAGGATGCATTTGGACCAGGTCAAGCGCGCCTATGCGCACCGGTACAAGAGAGATCTGATCCAAAGAGTCAAGGGTGAGATCCACTTTGACAAGCACTATGAGAACCTAATGGTTGCTTGCTTGTCTTGATGGATAGACAGTTGACAATGTCTCTTCTCCCTCTGTTTCGCTTTTGGTTTAAACAGGTTTGGGAGGGCTATCTGACGTTCAATGCGGGTAGCAATGATCGGACTTTTTACGATTACGGTTGGGGCCGGTTTTGTACTGCTATACATTAGTTGCCTCACGGCTCAGAAGCTCAACTTGGCTAATTATATCAATATCTTCCCCATTGCAATAGACGTTCGTCACTCTCGATAGCAACAATCTCGTATTCAAGTCGACACCTTGCTCTTCGCGATACATCTCCTTGCAGTATCGCTGTTCAGAAGCCTCAAATGTTCGGAATTCAACAGGCGTCGCTCGTACGGGAGAAAGGAAAAAGGAGCAGGGTATTTGTTGAGCAATAGGATGTTGGCTTCAATCCGCAAAGGAAGCCGCGCGACCTTGGAATCACACGGGCGCTGGTTTTCTATTGCATTCGGTCGGTTGCGTTGATGAAAGGCTATTGACCACGAGACATGATGAGACACCTGTTAACAGATGGAGAGATGAGAATCATGGATTGATGGTCAGCTGGGAAAGATTTCAGAATACTACTAAGCTGAAGGTTCAGGTTGTCGCCGCAGGAAATAGGCATTGCCAAGGCCGCAGTCGGTGTTCCTCCCTCACAAACCAGCTTCACACAGACAGAGACAGCGTCATTTTCAACCTTTAATGGAGACATGCATATGCGCCATCTTCGCTTGTTGCTCGCCGTCGCCTCAAGAAGCTATCTTGAGCGAATGTACGATTCCCAAATCAGGCTTGATAACGGCCACAAGTCGAGATCTGCCCCGCCGTTGTCAGCTGTGACTGACAGCCCACACAGCCCACAGGGTCCTAGCTCTCTGTCCACGCCTTCAAATTGGCCTCAATCACCCCCACAAACCAGCTCTGCCATGTGTCTGCCTAGCGTAAGGCCGGGGGCGGATGACGCCTATCAAGATGGTTTCTGTCGCTGCAGCCCGGAGGTTCTTTATCCCTTCGATTCCCCTTTCTTACCACGCGAATCGACGTTTAATAGGCTAGGCTATTGCGTTTGTGAGCTACGGGGTGTTTGTCCGTTCTGAGCAAGCTGATCGCAGACGCTCGTGGGCAACCATATTGACCGCCTGTTGCAGCCCCCCCAGGTCCATGGTCTTAACCCTTCTTTCCTCTTTGTATCATTCCGTAGATCCCCCTTCTGGTCCCTAGAATCTTGTCCCTATGTGGCCATGCGCACTCATCTCTTACAAAGCACTGCCTCGGAATATGCATCTCTGAGATGCCCGCGCACAAGGCCGGTCTTCTTTTTGTGAACAAGACGGCCTCGTCAAAGTCCCTTTCCAACAGCAAGGGTGACGTCGAGGATTCGCGCCAGATCCACAAGCATGTTCAGAAATCTCGCGACTATGAAAAGGAAAAAGAAACCAGGAGGAAGTTGAAGAGAGCCAGGCTCTTCTCTTTGGGATGGGCTCCTGTTTCTGTCGCTCCCAGGCAAACGCTCGACTCGGCCCCTCTCCCGGTACTTTCAGACGCATCTCCCAGCAAGGGTACCCGTTCTGTTGCCCTTCGACCCCACGTTAATCAGCGCCGCGAAGCAGACTCGGAATGCTGCGCTACTCCAGAAGGACCCAAGCACGATGTTCAAAAGCTCTCGCTTGTCATGCCCACAGGGGGCTCATTGGATCCGTTTGGCCAGTTCCGAATCCCCATGAACCTCGAGAAGCATCGCATACTCGAGTACTTCGTCTCGAAGTTCTTCCCTGCAGTGACTCGAAGCGATATAGTCGCATTCATGGGCCATCCTCTGGCATCCACATCAAGTCCTGCTGTGCAAGTTGTCCGCCGAGCGTCCAGCGACGAATTGCATGTCCTTGCCCTACTCGCTGCCGCTAGTGCTCGCATGAAGTTCGTTGACCGGTATCATTTCTCCCGAGCGGATCTACCGGAGCGACTCGCAGATGCAACTCTTCGACTCCTGAGGAACTATCTGGGGCAAGCACGACCAATCACCCATGAGTTGGTGCAAAGCATCCTGTATTTGTGGGCTGTCGAGAGCTACCGAAGAAATTGGGAGGCGGTGTGGACGCATGGGAAGATGATAATGTATCTCTGCAACCATCATCTCGGCGGCTTTCAAAACCTGGATCCTTACATGCGCCGCATGCTCTGGATTGCTGATCGTTTCCAGGCTGCTGCCACACAGAGTCCGCCGTTGATCAAAGAGAGGTGGGGGACCGAAGAGCTTACACCACAGCAGTATACCTGTGCCGTAGCTGCCTTGCGCGAACATGGCAAGCAGCCAATGGGCCATGGTTTTACGGAGACCAATGGCGTTTTCAGCGAGCATTTCCAAAATCTTCTAGACGCCGTTCTGGAGCTTTGTTGCGTCATTCATTGCCATTGGGTTGGCCTCACGGAACAAGCACTCATCCCCAAACTAGAATGGGCTGTGGCTCGAAGCTATTTCATTGCAGATGAATTGATCAATTTCAAGGAAGACATTGCTGGGGAAAGCGTCGAAAGCCCTGTCTCTGGGGAGCCGAATTTCCAGGACTGCGTTCGACTGGCTTTGATCGTTTGGATGGCCTTCGTCCCATCATGTGTTCCGTATGCTGCTAGTGCAGGACCCGTCACCCTGCGCGCGGCCGTCGATGCAAAACCCTTGCGGATTCGACTGGGGAGGATCGTTTCGAATCTACACGAACACCCGGCAAGTCTGCAAGAACAAATGATGCTGTTGTGGGTTGCTGGCTTGGGCGCTGTCGCAAGCGAGTTGGTACACAATCAAGAATGGTTTGCGGTGCATTTTCAGAGACTTGCAAAGAAGCTCGGGATCTTCTCTTGGGAAGACTTCATGCCGATACAGGAGAGGTTTCTGCTCCTGGATCATCTGAAAGCGGGCAGTCTGACAAAATTGACGTGGCTCTTACAGCGAGCCGTGCACGCTGATCTTGGAGACTGAACAAGGCTGTGAATTGGCCGGTCATGTACGACCTAGGAAATTGCGCTACTGGCACCTTAGGTTATCGAGGCTACTGTGGACGCAATCCCTAACCTGTGACCCTTGAACCACACCCACCGGTGCGCCGACAGCGGAACGGGCATAGCAGGGATATGGCACATCGACGCGCTCATACAGCCACTGGAACCATTGAAAGAGGTAAACTATACAAGTGTGCTGATGCTGCGGCAAAGACAACGGACTTCTTCCTCTGAGTCCTTGTCTCCGGCTATACTACGCCGACCATGCTGCGAGTCCCGAACTTCTTGAGTATGTCCATCGAGGGCTGGCCTCGACAGCCGGAACATTAATTGCCACCGCCACCCCGATGATTTTGACCGAGAAGAACACACGACAGTTGACGGACCTCGCGAGCTGGGTAGATACAGTGGAGTCTGGCGTCTCAGCCTTGACACCGGAAAATGTCGGAGTCCGCAGAAATCAGCAGAGAATAGGACGAAAGAGATTCGGGAGATTCGGGTATTGTTCGGTGGGCTGGGCAGAAGGCTCAGTGATAGCCGGAGGGTAGTCCAGGGAACTTGGGCACGGCCCGTATGTTGTGTCTGTTGAGAGTACCTTGTACCATGTGCCCGAGAGGTGGGTGTTGAAAGGTTGACTCATGTATACCTACCTAGGTATGTATTGAGATTGTGTGGTGCACCGAGTACTCGGTACAAGCACCAGAATCTCATATGTCGGGAGAAGTTCTGGAAATGGAAAAACAGATTTGCCGAGGCAGTAGGAAACTTCAAGGAGAATCGAAAGAAATCACATGCTTGGCGGGGGAATTGCAAAAGATGACCATGGATGACGGACTGTAATTACCCGTCATTCTCTCCTTCTTTTTGCTTCTTCCCCGCATTCATTGTTGCCGCAGCTTCGTTCAAACTGGCTTGACCGGGTCACATTTGGCCAGTCTCGATCTTCGTAAAACATGCGTCACAAATTACTTCAACCCAGGCACCTGGTGGGGGCTCTTGGGGTTGTTCTCATCCAGCTGACCCTCGTGCCCCCTTCTGACTCCATCCAGTCCCTTGCTTCCACTCGTCCTTGCTGTGCCTGGGGGAGCTTCTCTTGGGGCTAACTAAGTCTCGCGAATAAGCTGCTGCACGGGGCAATGATGAAATCTCTTTCCCATGGGCAACTTGGCCGTGGCTCCATCCCTGCTCGGCCCTGACGTTGCCCACTCAAGGTCCCGCGCTGTCAATCCTGCCTCGGCGGAAGGGGACAAACACTCACACAAATCTTTGCCTGCGAAGGTAACGCGTTTTGTCGTCGTTGCCTCTCGGCCCTCACGAGCTGCAATCTTCGATGATTTTCCGGATTAGAACGGCTTTGGCTCGAGTGCCACGTCCTCGCTGGTCTGGATTGTCATAAGACTAGCTGTATTTCCTTGCTCCCTTCGCTTGGGCTCGTGCCAGACTGACCTCACTCTCTGATCTCCTCTTTCCACTTTCTTGGAGGTTTGAGATCACGATCGTCTCTCCTCTCACTCACTCACTGAAGCGTAGGCGTTGCGCTTGGGAGCTTCGTTTTTTCTTATTCTTTTTCCTTGTCCCCGAACCTGTCTGTGGTGTCATAAAATACCCTTGCTGCGGACTACGCTCTCTCTGCCATCCTCATTGCTCCTCAGGTGATCAATCGAGTCGAGAAGCTCATCAGCCCTCAGCCTCGAATCCGCCGACTTTGAAAACCATACTTGCCTGCTCGAAAGACTCCTTAGACTGGGCTTGATTAGGCTCGCATGAGAAGGTAGCTACACGGCTCATTCGCCCAAGACCTGTCAACATGTCTGCCAAAAGCGTCAAAGGTGAAGGCGGCAAGAAACCGGCCAGCGCCGCCACAAATCTAATCGCCGGCGGTGGCGCGGGCATGATGGAAGCCCTGGTCTGTCACCCGCTTGACACGATAAAAGTGCGAATGCAATTGTCCAGAAGAGGGAGGACCCCGGGGACGAAGAAACGAGGGTTTCTGATGACTGGAAGGGACATCATCAAGCGGGAAACGGTCTTTGGTCTATATAAGGGTTTAGGCGCCGTTCTCACTGGTATTGTTCCCAAGATGGCCATTCGATTCACCTCGTACGAGTGGTATAAGCAGTTACTGGCCGATCAGAGCGGGAAAGTGAGCTCGCAGGCGACATTCCTAGGTATGCTCCCGTGCACGCAGGTGACGGCGACTGGACAAGGACTAACTCATCATACACAGCTGGTTTGGCTGCCGGTGTCACGGAAGCCGTCGCAGTGGTGACTCCAATGGAGGTGGTCAAGATCCGAATGCAGGCCCAATACCACAGTCTCTCCGACCCGCTCGATGTTCCCAAATATCGAAGTGCGCCTCACGCCCTCATGACCGTCATCCGCGAAGAAGGCATCGGTGCCATCTACCGCGGCGTTTCTCTCACTGCTCTACGGCAGGGCACGAACCAAGCAGTCAACTTCACCGTATACACAGAATTGAAAGAGATGCTGCAAAGGTGGCAACCCGAATATGACAACAAGAACCTACCAGGGTATCAAACCACCGTCATTGGGCTGATATCTGGCGCCATGGGTCCCTTCTCCAATGCCCCGATCGATACAATCAAGACCCGATTGCAGAAGACACCGGCGGAACCAGGTCAGACTGCTCTGTCAAGGATCATGAAGATATCCAACGAGATGTTCAAGCAGGAAGGACCCAGGGCGTTCTACAAGGGGATCACGCCCAGAGTGATGCGTGTGGCGCCTGGGCAAGCAGTCACATTTACCGTCTATGAATATTTGAAGGGCGCCCTAGAACGAAGTAATCTCATGTTTGTGGGAGGGAGATATGAGGAATGATCGAGGACGGGGCTTGCTGGGGAGCTGAGAGGATCCGAGATGTCGGAATGCCATGTTTCTGTGATGTGTTGCATCTTCCTGGAGCGAGGCCAAAGGGGGAATAAAAAGCAAGGTGGTGAATCATCTGACTGGCGCCTACAGTACCATTTTCCAGTTGTACATAGTCGATGTGCGAGTGTTTATTTACTGTTCGAAGCAAAATCTTTGGATCGTTTTCTGCTGCACATCTCGCCATCTCAAGTCTCTCCAGTCCACAGCTGGGTATGCAGTCCAGCATCTCCACGATGTCGGCAGGCCGATCTTGGTCTTTCTAAACGAAGGTGTGGTCTAAGAATTTCCCACGCGGCTTTCAACGGGCTTCGATAGAGGGAGGAAGGAGGAGAAGGACAGGGCTTGATGGAATCCTTCGTCTGGCTCGGGTTGGAAACTTGCCTCGAGACGAGCTCTTTCGTGCCTAGATGTCAGTCGGAAAAGAAAACAGCACCACCTGAGCATCAGAAAGCGCTGCCAGTCTATGACGAAGCACTCTTTACTCCGCAAGGCTGGTTCCTGGCACAAGTTTGCTATATGGAATGCAGCAACCCTGAGCTGCGCATGGCGAGTAGGATGGATGGCTGTGGGAAGAGTAGCGAGATTGGCCTCGTCGCCGCATTTGTCGGCGCAGCTTCAAATAATATCTCGGATTTTCATTATTCCTCTCCCGACCTCCTGAACATACTAGGTACGCTCCGTCCGTAAACCTTGACCTTTTGTATTCTATTCTAGCCTCGAAGTGATAATATCTAGGTTTGTTCTCCCTTCTGAGGGCATGGACACCTCGCCATACTCTGCTGGCTTCAAGGAGCCGCGCCACATCAGGTCCTGAGTACTCGTTAATATTCGGCGATATCAATCCCCGGCGTCGATCTCGGATTAACCTGAGAATCAATCTGACGGCTTTGGATTCCGGTTCAGAATATGTCGTCTTTGGGCATACAGCTCAATTGACTGTGAGATGTTGTTCTACGCTGGTTTCTGTATCAACCTGGTGACTCCCATGATTGCCATCGTCTCAGCTCAGGCTTATTTGCCCATCTCATTCTGAACATGGCTCAAAATCTCAAAGACAAACTCCTGGGTGCCGTCCTGCATTGGCCACCAACTCCCCCACGCAACAAAGTCGACACCCACCATCACTTTGTGCCCGACTTCTACGCCAAAGGTAAGATCTGCCGCTTCTAACCTTCAAGCATCATTACTAACGTAGCCCTTAGCGGTTGGAAAGGCTGGGGGTATGCTAACAGGAGCTCACTATCTGTGACTTTACACTGAACTGTCCAGGGGATCCGAGTGGATGGCCCACGCCGACTTGGAGTTCCAAGAGTTCTCTGCAGCTGATGGACAGATTGGGCACCAGGACCGCCATACTGTCCGTCACTGCACCAGGGGCATGCATTGCAGCAAGCGGACCCGAGTCCGCCGATCTGGCACGCAGATTGAATCTCGAAGGAGCGAGAATCCGCGACGGTAACCCAGCACGATTTGGTTTCTTTGCAAGTCTACCAGATGTCCTGGACACGACTGCGGCGCTCAAGGAGTTACGCTACGCACTCGACGACCTTGGAGCGCACGGGGTTACCCTGTACACTCGCTATGGCAGATCCAATACTTATCTGGGAAACCCTGCCATCGAGCCAATTTGGGCCGAACTGAACCGGCGAAAATGTGTCGTCTTCATCCACCCGACACACCCGGTCGACACGAGTCCCGTCAACAAACGCATGCCTCAGCCGATGATCGACTACCCGCACGAAACGAGCCGGACCGCCATGGACATGATCATGATGGGGACGTTGAATAAGTATCGCGACTGCAAGGTGATTCTGTCCCACGCCGGAGGCACCTTACCGTACGTCATCAGTCGGATTGCCACGCCCCTGAGCAAAACTCCAGACCTGGCCGCGAAGGCCGCGATCGGCGTCACGCACGATACGGTGATGGACAACTTTCGGAGCTTTTACTTTGATTTGGCCCTGTCGAGCTCACCCGCCGTGTTGAACATGCTGCTCGAGCTTGTTCCTCACGGTCACATCCTCTACGGGGTAAGGCTGGCCGCATGAACGAAAGAATTACTTTTCTTTCCCCCCCCTGTGAACATCTCACAAACTGACTTTGTCTGGGGCCAGAGCGACTTTCCTTACGCTCCTCTACCCGCGTACCCGGCCTTTCTCGAGCAGCTCGAGACATTCCAGATGGACCGGGAACTGCGCGAGAAGATCAATTTCCGAAATGCTCAGACCTTGTTCCCGGGTCTGGGGAGGTCCTCGATCTGATTTGGCATGTGCCGCGAAGCTTTGCTTATCTGATGTTGCTCGGTCTTCCAATCCTTACGGAATATTGCAGAGTAGTAAAGTACAGAGACGAGATCAAACTGCTCAAGGCCTGTCAAAAGAGGTCACAGGTACCCCCAGAGCACGTTCTGAGAGACGATTCTTCTTGTTCTATAAGCTAGTGTTTCGCATGTCCAACAAACGGAACTAACTAGGACAAGGATCACGAGCTGACGACCACGCTTTCCTTCCTAGCCTCCTCCTGCTGGTTCTTGTTCTCTGCCCTGGCCAAGAACTCTCTAATGACATTCTCGGTCAACTTGGCCACGTTGTTATTATAATCATCCCAGCCCAGCGAGCAATACCAATTGATGCTGCCTACAGAAAACACGGCTCCCCCCGCGTCCGTCTCGTAGTAGACAATGTCCGAGCGGATCTCGTCCGTCTGGGTCCCCAGCGTCTTGGTGATGGGGAACATTGTGATTTCCGGCACGATGCCAAACGCATCCGGGTGGCCCGTGCTGGTGGCGATGACGACGCCGTTGGTGGGACTGCCGCATTTGATATCGAACGAGTCGATCTCGTCGCCGCTGGCGCCGCCGCCGAGGCCGTGCTCGCCGATGAGCAGCTCCTCGGGCGACATGTCCTTGAACATCCATGCGAACTCGGGCGCGAGGCTCTTCTCGGTGCGTTTGAAGGGCACTCCCGGACCGACGCCTTCGGCGCAGAAAGATATCCCAAAGAGGCCGTGCGAGGACCGGCCTCGACTTTTCCACAGCCCTCCCTGGGTCCCGTTCAGGCTCATGATCCTCTCCGGCCCGGGGAGGGTGTATGTGCGGACACCTTGGTCGCCGCGGCGGACTTCGAGACGCCACGGCCGAGCCGTGTCCAGGGCCGAGACCCAGTAGAAGCCGTTGCCGCCGAGGTACATGATGTTGCCGCCCTGGCGGGCAAAGTTCTCGTACGCGTTGTAGGATTCCACCGTCGGGTATTCCGGGTGCGAGCCCGTGATGACGGTGTTGTAGGGCGCCAACGCCGCAGCCCCGTGGAAGTGCAGGTCGTGGTCCGTCACGATATCATAGGGAATCTTGTGCCGCTCCAGGAACCCAATCATCATGGAGTCGGCGCTGAGCTCGCGGGGCCGTTCAAACGCCCACATGACATATCCCGGCCGCAGGTTCAGGATGGGCCGTTTTGCGGACGAGAAGACGGTGCCCGAGTCGTCGTTGTGCACGTCGTAGTTGGACAGGCCCACGTCGCGGCGGCGCGTCAGACGGTTGAAGTCTTCGGTGCGTTTGATGGACGAGTGGTCGAAGCCCGGCCCGGCGTCGATCGAGCTCGAGCGGTTCGGGTCTGAAATCTGCTCGTTGGCGTACGCCAGGTACGTGAACGTCGAGAGCACCAGTGCCACCTTCGCACCTGTCACCGTTGCTGGCGTTTGCGGCATTGGAGTCCGAACAATAAAGGTGATCATGTCCGATGTCTTGCCGTTGGTGGACTTGACTTCCACAGAGTAGATGCCGGACCTCGCGTCCTGCGGGATCTTGATGGTGAAGTCCGTCTCCCACTGCGCGTCGTCGAGGTCGTCTTCGTGGAAATGGATCGCGCCGTAGCCGTATTTCGCCTTGGTCCAGTCCGACTCGCCCCCGTTCCAGTCGTGGCCCGTGACGGCCCTTGTGGGCGCATTGACCAAGACACCGTGGAAGTTGTTGCCCGAGACATCGAGAATGCTGTCCTCGGAGATGTTGCGCGAGAAGTCGTATTTGGCGACGACTATCTTGGCAGCTCCTTTGAGCACAGAAATTGTCGGGCTGTCAATGCGTCCGTTGAAGAAATGCGTCGCCCGGGGAAACGCGGCGGTCGGGCTGTCCGCGTAGGTCGCCGCGAGCAAGAGATCGCCGGAAAACGGCGTCGATGCGGTGGCGACGAAGACGGCGGGAGTCGCCAACGTGGTTTGCACCGACGACGCTGCCGGCGCCTTCTCCACGATATACACCACGGGTTGGAGAGTGATTGAGCATTCGGCGCCCTTGAGCACGACCTGCAACTTGATCCACCGTCGTCGTGCCGGGCTGAATCCCGTCTGGACCGTGTCCACTCCGCTCCCAGTCCCGATCCATGCTTCAACAAGGCCACTCTCGTTGATCAACACGGCCAGTCCGGTCTTTGTCTCGGCGTTCAGGTTCGAAATGATGGCTTGCGAGTGGCCCGCCTGTGGCAGCCAGGCTTGGAAATACAGGGAGACCTCCACCCCATCCAGAGAAGACGGCAGACTCAGCCGTTTCACAATCGCATAGGAACCCGACCGGGCAAGTTGGAACCGTCCTGGCGCCACGCCGGTGGGGATCTGGGAGATTTCCTCGAGTTGCTTGACGGGGGAATGCTCTTCCTGAACGCCCTGGATTACCCGCACGGTGCGGTACGAGTATTCTGGCTCCGTGCAGGATACCTTGATTGCGACGTCGTCGCCGGGACTGGCGATCCATGGCTCGGCATAGCCCGTGATTTCGGATGGATAGTCCTTGGGCGGTGTATCGATTGTACTCATTGTTGACAAGGCCACGACGCGACCAGTCGACCGCCGAGGAGGCTCCTTGTTCTACCGGTCAATTTAGAAAAGCTCTTTCTCCACGATGTCTGCCCCAGGATAGCCCGTTGAAGGAGGACTCTTCTATAATATATATCCCAGATCGCCGTTTGTCAGGCCCTGCAAGTTTGGGATCTCCTTTGCCAATGGGGACGGATGATGAAGACGCAAAGACTATCAACTCTGTCAAGACACGATGAGTCAAAGTTCATTTGTACTTGGTTCCCGCATGTCATTTTACGAGAGCGCTTCGATGGGTACTCACCTTCTCTCCGCGTCCAGCCCGTCTTTCCGGCGGTTTTCCAAGTCACAGACCTGCGCTGTGGTATCGAGGAGGAGCATTTCGATGAACTCCCTGTTTGACGATTATCGGGCGCTGATCAGCGCTATCTGCGGGCCACAGACATACCAATTCCCCATTGGTGTCAAGTCAATCGAAAATACTCGATCTCCTGTTGGGCCAGTGATATGGACATGCCTCGGGCAGCCAGTTGGCCGGGCTGGCGGTGATATCCACATGCGGGGTTTCAGGGATCCTTCGGGCTGATAAATAGAAGAAATGAGGATATCGCGATTGGGAGGGACTTGGAGAATGGCCAGAATAGGTAACCAAGTTCATGGCGGACCGTTGTCGTTGATTGGTTGATTGATTGATGCCCCGGTCTTCGTCCTGGCAGTGGCATTTGGCACCTAACAACCCTTCTTCACACTGACTCGAGGAGACCTGCAGGGTATCAGTTCATCGTCTTGGAGGATCCACTCCTTGTCTCTTGGATATGTCCGAGCCGCAGACGTCTCATTCCGGCGGGTGGTAGTATTGGACTGTGACAGATAAGAACTAATTTTCCTGCCTACCCTTTTTGTTATTTCGTGCGGGTAGGCGAAGCGGCGTCGTCACGCGTCACCAAGGGCACCTAGGTATCTTCCCAATCGGGAAAGAGAGGCTTGGAGTTTTAGCAGTAGCGAGTAACAGGTTATCATTGTCGACATTTGATAACGTTCTGCACGACGAGATGATGCGTGGCAGAAGGTGGATATGATGCTTTCCTCCTGCAAGCCTGAGGAAGTGAATTCTTTGGTTCAAACGGCCGGCTGGACGCATATCTGGGATTCGTTGAACAGGCTGCTCGATCCGCATATTGAAAAAAAGGTCTACGAGCACGAGTTGGTGCGAGCAAAGAGTTCGCCAAGTGCCAGCTAAAAGTAGATCAGCATGTCTAAGACTAATTCCTCGTACTCGGGCGGGCGCAGGGAAACTGCCTCATGAAGCAAAGTTTATACGAGGTACTAGGTCTGTCGATCACACTATTCCGCGATCCCCCAAGGCTTCTCTCAGACATATTCGTTCCTCTGTCCCGGGCTTGCTTGCCTTGGGGCCATTCATTCCATCATCCACATATCGCCCACCAAGCCTGGACCGTGGGCAACTGCAGGTGGTTGATCTAATGTGCCGCGACGATCAGAGTGTCCACATATTCCCAGTACTTCTTTGCGGACATGCGTCTTAACTTCTTGCCCCAGACGGTCATGAACAGGAAACTGAAGTTGCAGAACAGACAGAGGAAAGCCACGGCGATGAAGCAGTTCTGCGTCCCGGTGTTCTCCAACCACGGAGTGATTCCGTAGTTCATACCAAAGCCCATCTGTGACAAGTCAGCGGTTTGCCTCAAACAATTTTTCATGTTCTTTGTCTGTCGCGGGCAAAGGTCAAGGCTGAAAGGAGGAGGGGAAGAACTTACTGTATTGCGAATCACAATGACTAGAACCACAGTCTCGCCGGCAATCTCCTTGAAGCAATCGACGTCGTATGCCAGAGAAGTGCTTCCGCCACTCACGATGCCAAAACTGGTCATACCAAGGCCAATGATCAGACCCATGAATTGGATTTGGTGAGCGGCGCCAACCCCCCAAAGGATCAGTCCGGCTGTTGCAAGCGTCCCGGAAAAGGTCAGAAGCCAGAGTCGGTGCTCTGGCTCGCGTATGCCCCTGTTCCGCCTAGCGACTCTGATGGCGATCTCATCACCGGCCCAGCCTGCCCACCACCAGGCGACGCAGCAACCAATCAGTAGCGACAGGTAGGAAATGCCAACCGCCCTGGCGGAGAAGTTGTACGGAGCGGCATTCAGGATCAAGGCCATGGTGGCGTTTTGCACATTGTACCAGCACAAGCAGGAGCCATAAAGGAAGCCGGCCCAGTTGACATTGGGGAAGTAGAAGAACATCCAAAGCGGTCGGACCATCATGATGAACATCTGTTTCACTGACGGTCGGTCTTTGTCGAGTCTGAAAAGCTGCAGCTTCTGCCAGTAGGTTCGTTTCTTGACGCGAATGGACTCAACAATGGGAGAGCTTGGCTCCTGGAGAGGTGCACTCTTGGAGACAGCATCGGTCTTTTCTCCCAAGGTCTCGATGCCAGTGGTCATCTCTGCGGCTCCTTCGTCAACGCCTTCGATGGTCTGACGGAAGAACATGGTCTCTTCCATGCCGAAATAAATGATGACCGTACAGACGCCGAGGATGATGGTTCCGAACCATATGGCTGCCTCCCAGCCCATGGAGTAGGTGACGAATCCAGCCAGAAAGGGTGCCAGGGCATTCGAGCCGAACACAAGCAGGGTATAGATGCCCATGTAATTGCCACGTTCATGGGCGAAGAACAGGTCCGAGACGGAGATTTCGCCCAGTGACTCCACTGGAGCGACGATGAGCCCCAGGAGACTGCGGTGAGCCCACCATATACTTGTAGAGGTTGTGTAAACCGTCCAGATCATAGGGCCGATTGCCAACAGACTGCTCAGGATATAAACTCCTCGCCGTCCGTATGTGAGTGCCACTGGCTGCCAGAAAAGGCATCCCCACCCTGCAAACAGGAATTGCTGACTTGTTGTCAGAATGGACGACTATAGGAAGAGATTTCTGTGCGGGCAAGCTTACCAGGCCGGTTCCAGTATTGATATCAGCAATTGAGATGCCGGTTGCCTCGCCGATATTGGTCAAGATCGAATACTGCACAGTTGTAGACATGCCGATGCCCAGGATGTAGATGTACGCCATGGTGATGGCCCACAGCTTCCTTTTCTTGGTCCAGTTCAACGGATCCTCTGGGTCTGAACTCGGCCGTGGGTTGAGGACAATGTCCTTCTTGCCGGAGTGTTCAGCAGCCTCGGTGTCGACGAGGTGGATGGTCCCAGGGACCACATTGCGATTCGCGTCTGCCATGGTCGTAGGAAGGCTTTCCTTTGTCCTGGGCTGTGAAATGAAGTAAGGTGATCTGTGAGTAGCCACACTCGAAAAGGAGTCCACTCGGTCGACAAGGTCACAATCCCCAGGGAATGGATTGTCATTTTATTTGTCGCTAGGAAGGTGAAGTACGAGGCTAGGGACATACCTCTATCGAGTCCCAGCTCCGTCCCGCAGGGTCGGGAACCCATCAGTCCCGTTGTTGTGTTCCGCATTTTCCACGACCCTGGTCTATTATCAAATGCTCCATAGCAATCGGGACAACAAGCAAAGTCAATTGGTCCAGAACACTTACAGAGGCATCTTATCCATCCTTCCAAAACGGGGAATTCGATAGCCATAATGGACTCAGTGACCCAATGACGATGCTATCAACTGTCGGGTGGAGGACAGGCCAATGGCTGGCGTGTCGATCATCGCCGCATCAACGTCGCAGCGGGTCGCGAGTTACCTGAACAGGCATGAGAGATAGCGTATGCCAGCACCGGTATCGTGGATTGCGGCTTCAGTATGCAGACGCAACGCTAAAGACCATGTCACCATAGGTCGTCTATAGGCCTCATCGGCAGGACGCCTATCGGGGCCAACATGCATCCGATAAACATGTCAAGGGCGACTGACTAGCCTCCTGCATGGGCAGCTATCGTTCAGAGAGGGTCGGAGTTGGCCTGTGCCCATTATCTAAGCATACATGCCAGGATGTTCAGACCGACGCTCGCCTTCACTGGCCGAACAGCAGTCTCTCTTCCGTTGTGTAGCCCAGAGTTCTCGTGAGGAAGCTTTGCATGTCACGTCAACAACAAGTTGCGGTTCAGCGTCGTTGGCTCCGTCTTGGCTAAAAGCCGGGCTCGACGGAGACCAAGCCGACAAGGCTAGCCTCGCAGATCGTCAAAGGGTCGTATCGGGGAGGCTTGCCCATCCAAAAGGCGCCCCTCTTTTTCAGCCTCGCGGAGCAATGTGGAAAGTCGTCCAGCTGAACAATACCCTCTTAGGTATGCTTCAATATTGGAAGCTCATGGGGCTTTAGACTTTTCGAGGTCATTTGGTACTTCCTTCATCTACCCACTGTGACTTGCAACTTCCCGGGGTGGCTTTTAGGCTGCTGCAGGACCCTTTCAACAGTCTATCCTCCAGCCCGTATTTCATGTTCTTTGTAGCTTGTTGTGAAAGCTGGTGAGCACAATAATATGCAAGGGCGCGCATTTCTCAGTCGAATAGAATCCGCGAGAAAGTCCTTTGCAGGTTCTCAGTTGTCAGAGACTTGAATTAGGTAGTCGTCCCATCGTCTCCAAAATTACCACCACTGTCGACCTTCGGAACATTCCGATTGGGCTTGCTGTTGTCCTGTTTATCACACCACAGAAGTACTTCGGATTCTAGCCTGGTTGCTTGTTGTCCATTTATAAGGATCGGCAGATATCATAGCAAGCTATGACGGTCGAAAGCTGAGTGGGAGGCTGAGGAAAGGTAAAATAGTTCTAAAGCGGCCACGGAGGGCATGATCACACAAGGCCGTTATATTTGGCTCGTCTTATGTTGCCCATGTTTCTAGTGTATACATGTGACGGATGCTCAGTATTTGTTTGTGAACAAGAACCTCGAACCCATTGCAGAACGAAAGCACCAGAGAACTGAGTGGTCACAATATCCTCCGCCCCTTCTAAAACTTTGTTTCGTAGATATCCGTCTCCACATCCTTCTGGTTCGCAGGATAGCCAAACTGCTCGGCCTTCTCCTCGCCCTGTGTTTCTTCCAAAAGCGAGACTCCAAGCTTGGCAGCTTCGTCGCTAGTGAAAGTGCCATAGTAATCGACGTCGTCGTACTCGCCCAGACCCTTGGGAGGGAACACCTTGTTGAGTCCAAGGTAGAGCGTGAAGCTGATGGCCAGCCCCAATGGAAAGGCGAGATAAAACATGTCCGTACAAGCCTTCGGCACGCTCACGCTCGGATTGACATAGGCAATGAATCCAGGTAGTTGAGGAGCCCAGCCACATACCCATGCCACAAATGCGCGCGGGTTGACGCCGTGGAAGTAATAGTAGATGCCCGATGGGGAGGGCCGGTAAAGGTCCGACAACTTTATCCGGCGGGAGCGGACCAGGAAATAGTCGCAGATCTGGATGCCACACATGGGTCCGAGGAAGACAGAGTCTGTCACGGGCATGGTTAGCTAGTCTGTTCAAATGGTGCTCATGCTGAACAGTGAAAGAAAATCTGCGGAGCAAAAAGGGGAGAGACATACAAGCGCCCATAACACTGATGAAAGTCCCGGCCGAGGCAAGCAGCTCCCATGGGCACATGGCAATAGAGAGGATGAGTGCCAGGTAGGATCCTCGCCTGATGTTGAAGTACTTTGGCAACAAACCAGCCATGTCCATTCCAGCAGAAAATGCGTTGTCGATGGTGTTGATCGCGAGCTGGCAGACCACAAGGCCACAGCCACCAAAGAAGGCCGCCGCCCGAGACTTAGAATTATAGTCATCATCAAGCCAGCGGAGGAGTAGATCAGGTGGGTTCCAGTAAGCCTGGCCGTACAGTTTGATGGAAGCTGAGCTCGTGAGACATCCAAACAGCGGCAAGATTGTGCCCAAGGTAAGGATGGAGAACCACTGGCCAAAAATCTGGTCGCCTGGTCGGCGAGCGAAGCGAGAATAGTCGGTTTGGTTTGTGAGTCCCACCGCAATACCCCCAATCACTGTCGTTATACCTTGCACGATGGCCCAGCCCAATTCACTGCCTGATTGTGCTGCCGCAGGCGCCGACAACAGTGGACCGCCGCCCTTAGCAGTAGACAGGACGTATATCATCATTGAGATGAGGGTGGTAACAGAGATCAAGTTCATGATGAACAGTAATCGTCGGGTCTTCTCTGGGGGTATATAGAGCATGGGTATCGTGATAATGTTGTAGACTATCCAGCCAGTCAATGATTTTGTGTCGGTGTTTGCTGATGCAGGCAGGGTGTTCTTCATGTGCTGGAAGGAGGAGAATATGGAGCTGAGAACTGCAGTGACACAGAGACCACCCGTCCAGGATTGTACGCAGAACCAGGTTAGACTCAGAACGATCCGCTGGATGATGATGAGATAAGATCCCCAGACACCCCATATTCCACGCGACATAACTGGGAACCCAATATGCCAGGTCGCACCGATCATTCCATTACATATTGCGACTCCAGCGATTATGAGCTTGCCGATGATTACTGCGATCATGGTCTGCCAGACGGACAAACCGACTGCAATGAGAGATGCTCCAAGCTGCCAGTTACTCAGGGCGATCTGATTGATGGCCCAGAATGAGATGTATGCCCATGTGTCCCAAAGGCGGCGTGAAGGAGGGAGGGGTCGGATGTCATCGTTGATCCAGATTGAAGATTCACCCTGGAGCCGCAGATGAAAGGAATGTGGTCTGAAATTTGGCATCTTCATCGTGGAAGGCTTGGGAGTGAAATGTAACGCAGGTCGCAGAAGCGAGTGGTGTTCGGGGGAAGAAGGATTTGATGTTCGTGAATCCGTTGAGGGAGGTATATAGTGACCTCGTCAGCTGGCTGCTGTACACTTGTGGCACTAGCCCCTCATTTAAAGATGAGCCGTTATCGTTCGTGCGAAAAGGCACGTAACTCGAAGATAGGGAACTTTTTCAAGGATCTCTTGTCAATGCATAGCAAATATAGTTCTGATATCGAGCGTCGTCAAGAAGCAGTCTAGATTCATGTCAGTACCCAAACACCAACCGCGGCCAGACCAAATATCAGACCGTCGAGAGCACGAGGATTGACTTGATAGTAGCCACTAATACCCATATACATAGCCTGTCAAACTCACGCGTAGATTTTGTGGGGCACCGATCGCTGTCACCTATCTGGGAGGTAGTCGACCAATGAGGAGGTGCCAAATGCTGCGGACATTGGCGACATGCCTATCTGAACCTATCAGTGCAGGTTTTTGCCACAAGCAAACTAGTCAGGTCGCGGGAAGATAGGCCAATGATTTCACAGGTCAGTCTCTTTTCTTCGGATAGTTGTGGGCGTCGTGCTTTGGTCGCATGGAAATCGTATTCTGGACTGTTTAAGCTTGCCTCAAGTTCCACCTGCGCGACATCAGGTACCGAAGACAAGGAGATCTTAGTCAGGAGTATGACAGAATCGTAGGTGATATTGACTGCTTTGCCAACATGATTCCCCAAGACCTCACTGCCTAGCCCCAGCATAGACGGGGCCTTTCAAGCAGACGGGTTTCCTTTTATGAGCTGTCTTCGACAATAAATCGTACACGGTACCACTCTCGATCCCGGGAGTAACTGTTATTTTTGCGGATTTAGCTCACATCGAAATGGGTTCAATTCGGGCAAAGCGAGCTTTGAGGATTGGTGTCGATGTTGGAGGCACAAATACAGATGCTGTGCTTCTTGACTTAGATGCAGTTCACCAGCCCAATCGTGGAGTGCTGGCCTGGCATAAGACACCAACAACAAGTCCCAATGTGACTGACGGTATCGAGACGGCCGTAGGTAACGTGCTGAAACAGGCCGGGAACCACGTGTCAGAGATTTCCTGTCTCATTGTTGGAACCACACACTTCTTGAATGCGGTCATTGAGCGAGATGTACATCGACTGTCGAAAGTGGCTGTAATTCGACTGTCCAGGAGTTATACCAGAGACATCCCTCCCTTTTCGGACTTTCCCCCAGTGCTGGCTGACCTTCTTCACGGCTACCATGGTTATGTTGATGGAGGACTCCACATCGACGGCGCCCAGGAAGCTCCAATCAACGAGGAGCAAGTCTTGAAAGAGTGTGAGGCGATTGAGAAGCTCGGGATCAAGGCCGTCGTGATCTCTGGTATTTTCTCCCCGATCGATCAGCATTTTCACCAGGAGAACCGCGTTCGCGACATAATACAAAAGCGACTCAGCAACGTCGACGTTGTTTGCTCTTCCGAGGTCTCGAATATCGGTTTATTGGAAAGAGAAAATGCGTCTATATTGAACGCATCCATTCTGGGGTTTGCGAGACGCACGATTCGTGGCTTTCGTGCTGCCATGAAGCGGTTGAAGCTCGACTGTACTCTATTCATCTCGCAGAACGATGGTACAGTCCTCGATTCTGTCTCGGCCGCAAAACTCCCCATCAAGACATTCTCGTCGGGTCCCACGAATTCCATGCGAGGAGCGGCTTACCTTGGCCTCGGACAACTGGGGCTACAGGGCGAAGAGCGCACTTCGACCATTGTAATTGACGTTGGTGGGACAACGACGGATTGCGGTGTTTTGTTACCATCAGGATTTCCTCGCGCAGCATCAGCCTATGTCAGTGTCGCAGGTGTAACGATGAACTTCCCTATGCCTCATCTGGAATCAATTGGCCTCGGAGGAGGGTCGATAATACGCGAACGGGGAATGGACGTCTCCATCGGGCCGGATTCGGTTGGGTACCAGCTGACCACTAGATCGAGGGTATTTGGTGGTGAAACCTGTACGGCCACTGATGTTGCGGTTGCTGGGGGCCTCGCCGTCGGAGATCCAAAGTTGGTCAGCGATATTCAGCCTGAGATGATACAGCGCGTTCGGGCTAGGACGAAGAAGATGCTTGAACGTGTCATCGACCGGTTGAAGCTCACTCCAGCACCATTGCCGGTTCTTTTAGTGGGCGGAGGCTCTGTTATCTGTCCGCTAGAACTCGAAGGGGTATCTCAAGTTGTGGTGCCAAAGTTCCATTCCGTTGCTAACGCTGTGGGAGCCGCGATCTCCAGGGTTTGTGGTTCGCTGGATGCCATCTACAGCATTGCAGATATGTCCTTATCTGAAGTCATGGAGGACGCAAAGGCCCAAGCTATTGCAAAAGCCATGAAAGGAGGAGCCGACTCAAGTACCGTGACGGTGGTTGAAATCGACACCCTGCCGATTCCGTACGTTTCTGGACAGATTCGCGTTCTGGTCAAAGCTGTCGGAGATCTGTCATTGGATTATGTTGCTGACAGCAAAACCGTCTCCGAGGAGGAAGATGAACCAGATGAAGTTTCTACCGAACAAGTCAAAAATCTCTCATTGTCTTCGAAGGAAGAGATTACCAGCGGTAAATTTGACTTTGACGGATACCGGCCATTGGTGAGACGAAACGCGGAAACAGGTGTCCAAGAGTGGATTGTTTCAGAGACCGACCTTGAGTGGCTCAGTGTAGGATGTTACATCCTGGGTTGTGCTGGTGGTGGTTCACCCAAGGCCGAATTCCTCAAACTCCGCGATCAGATTCGAGCAGGTTGTACGGTTCGTATAATCGATAGCTCCTCGTTACAGGAGGATGCGCTCATATATTGTGAGTTCAACGGTACACATCATTGCCCCCGTTGTTGCTGACAAGATGATAGGGGGTGGGATGATGGGATCGCCTGCTGTGTCGATTGAGCGATTGAACTCTTCGGAGTGCATAACTGCCGTCGCAGACCTCATGGAGTATCTAGGTCACAAAACATTCGATGCAGTTATGGGTCTGGAGATAGGAGGAGCGAACGGTTTAGAGCCCTTGCTTATTGGCTCTTCACACGCATTCAATCGACCTGTAATTGATGCAGACTGGATGGGTTCGTCCCCCGTCATTGCATCTCGCAACTATCCGTGAGTTGCTAACACGAGATCAGGTCGAGCATATCCGACATACTGGCAAACCACAATCGCGGTCTATGAAAGTGGACAGCTGACCCCGTGCTCAATTGCATCGGGTGACGGTAAAACGATCATTATGACGAAGTCGCCTGACGATGAAATAGTTGATCGTGCCTTGCGCGCTTCTTGCTCGGAGATGGGATCCAGAGTGGGTATGGCAGCCAGGCCCACGACGACTGGCCGTGTGAGATCTTATGGAGTCATCAACACTCTTTCGCTTTCCTGGCGTATCGGCAGGACAGTAGCGCGTGCCCAACAGGAGAGCACCATTCATACTATTGCAGAACAAATTATAGACGAAGTTGGCGGTCCCACCACAGCGAAGATCCTTTTCCGAGGGAAGATAGTGGCAGTCGAACGAAGAGTTTTCAAAGGACATTCTTATGGGGAGATAACCATAGCCCAGACGGACGAAGACGAAGAGGAACAGAGTCATGAGAGAGCAGCAGTTGCCGAAGGAGGGGTGGTCAAGATCCCATTCAAGAATGAAAATATATATGCAAAGCATATCGCCGATGATGGAACCGAGACATACCTGGCAACAGTGCCCGACCTGATCTCTGTCCTCGACACACAATCTGGATGCGCGCTCGGCGTCCCTGAATTCCGGTATGGGTTGCTGGTGACGGTACTTGGGATCACCTGCTCGCCACGGTGGTCAGACACGGAAAGGGGTTTGCAGTATGGTGGACCGGAAGCATTCGGATACAGCATAGATTATCGACCCTTGGGTGTGTTTGTGGAACCGAAGAGCGTTGTTCTTGAATACGCAGGTGCAACGGCCTGCTCAGAGTGAGGGACCTCGAAGAGAGACCGAGGTATCTGAGAGGCTGTCTGGTCGCGGCCTGTCAAGGCAGATATCCATGCGCGCATTAGGGATTCGTGGTCAGCATCGGTGCTCGCAATAGAATGAGAGCCCATGGTCAGTTCAAAAGTATCAGTTCTTTGATGTAGTAAGCCTCGAATGAGTAGGGTTCAAGTTGCGGCTGTGTACCTAGGTATATTTGACGGGTTCTCTGAACACTGAATGTCGAAGTTCAAGGACGCACAACTAAGAGTACCTCGCAGGTAGGTGAGCACTACCGAGTAATTAATCTTTTCGATGAGCTTGCCAAGGTTTTTCGGGGCAGTCACGTGGCGCTATCGGCGGGAGTCGTGCATTTCCAAAAGACCCTCGCGATAGCCAACTTGCAGTCCAGGCTCTTTATTGAGTCCTACCATATCACATTTCATAATCCAAACACGAAACTTCTCGTTAAATGTATCGCTCGGACAATAGGGCACTCCGGGCATTTCTTCATGCTCTATGATGACACCTTGCAGAGCAGCTTCCTGGGCGCGAAATGATAAGTTATCGTGTTCACGACAATGTGGCAGGCATCATCCATACCAACTTCTCTGTCATCAGTGACGTTCAATGAGTCACCTGGTGGACAAAGGCCGGAGCCGATCTATTACACACCGCGTAGGAAGCAAGCGTCTGTTATCCTCACTGAACCAATCTTCTCGTTTACACAAAATCGACTTCATTGAGCTTTGAAGTACTGACCCTTCATGACAGATGCTCGCGGTGCCACACCAAAAGAATAAAATGTCTTGGTGGTATGCACGAGATGCTCCAATCTCGATGCATGTGAGGCTGACCTGGGGAGTAGGCGTTCCGTGCAGGAACTGCACGCTTTCTGACTCGCCATGTATCTTTCCGCCGCCTCGCAAATCACGATATTCAGCGAACCAGCAGGGACCTGTCTCGCCTTCAAACAGCCTCAAGGAGGATCATACAACGTCAGCCACTGCGTTCAACGGAGTCTCGGCACACACGACATCCAAAACCGGCAGCTATAGACGTTCCGAGAAAGACTTCAGCTCACGTCGATCAGATCAAGGCCAACGGGTTTCGAGGCTAACCTACCGTGCCAATCCCTCCTGCCGCACGTTCACTGAGCAGTTTGTTGCCTGGGTTGGGGTACAGAAGCTCCAACTTAATCCATTTGATGAAGCATCCTTCAATCCATCATGGGCCTCCCTGGGACACTTAGACTCTGGCTTAATGAACCCAGGTTTAGAAATCTCAATTGACACCGAAGTGTCCCGTTCTTCGGACAGATCGGAGGCCAACAGACCGGTCAAGATTCGCATGCCGCCCTACAACCACAGCATGCATCTAATTCAATGCGTTGAGTTCGCAATTGGCCACGACCAGCACTACTTTCGACGACAGCACATTCGCGCCAGGGTAACGCAGATGTATCAGAACCCGGAATCCTCTCGAAGCAAAGATCGAGGGTGGTTATGCTTTTGGCTTGCTGTGCTTGCAGTTGGGGAGCTACACAATAGCAATGGAAGTACCGGTGCTGATAATGGTCTGGGATTAAGCGGAGCATCTCCCGACAAGGATTCCCCCGGAGCCGATTATTACCACCAATCTGTCGCATTTCTTCAGCAGGTGGCAGAGAATCCTGACGTACTGTACATCGAGACCTTGTGCTTGCTTGCAGTCTACGCGTTCTCGATGGACAAAATCAACACGGCGTACATGTACAACGGCCTTGGTTTGCGTGCGGCGCTTTCACTGGGCTTGCACCGAAGCCCACTGGATTTGCCGTCAGAAGGCTCGGATCTCCGTATATCTGAAAGCGAACACCAGAGGCGGGTGTTCTGGACCGTGTATTATCAGGATCTGTATGTTGACAGCCCGTCAACATCCCAGAGCCAGCTGACCCTTTGCTTAGGCTTACCTCCTCTACCACAGGCCGCCCTTGGGGTATCCTGGACGATGAAATCACGATTGAATATGCCGACTCGAGTCGTATTCCTGGCGACTCGATGATGGAGTTCTTTGACTCTGAAGAGTCTAATGCGCACCTGGAACTCATGCGTCTGCGGGGTCAGGCTTATTCTTCGTTATACGGCTACGCAGGCACCGCAATCAATCCCTACTCTCATATCTCTCTGTTCGATTTTGACTTGGGGAATCCTTTATCACAACAACATCTGGATAAGATGGATGAATTTCACCAAGGCTTGATTGCCTGGCAGCAGGAGCTCCCAGAGAAGTTGAAGCTCGCTAGGAGTTTCGAAGGATCGGGATTAAACCCAAGTCGAGTGACCGCGACCTTGCATCTCATCTATCATCAAGTCAGTTCTATTCATCATGCAGATCTCCTGTCATTCTTACTGACTGGGTGTTAGACCATCCTTGTGCTGCTCAGGCCCGTTTTGGTCAATATCCACAATGACCGCTTGGAAGCGCGAATAAAGGACCATTCCGAGACGACCGACGCCTATCCGGGGCCAAAGTCGATGCTGCGAGCGTTTTATAACATAATCCTGGAATCTGCGCGAGAGACTGCGAGTATATTAGAGTGGTTGCAATACCAAGGTGCACTATGTAAGCACCCTACTTTCTCAAGTCAAGAAAATGCTGATTGGAAATATTATGTGCAGTCATCTATTCGTATTTCGATGCCAGCTACGCCTTTACCGCGGCCATAGAACTCCATCTTGCCAGAAGCATGCGCTCATTCGCATATCCCAACCAAGACGCTCTTCAATTCACCGACGAAGACCTGTCTGCCCTCAACACCATAGTCGGCATCCTTCGTCAGCAGAGCTTAGCAGGCAATGCACCAGCAAAACATTTTGACAGACAGCTGCGGCTGCTGGAGAACAACCTCCAAGCCCTGCAGACAGCGTTGGATAATCGTGTTGTGAATTTGGACGATCTCAACTTTGACCTCGATTACCTAAACCCCGGGCTAACTGCATTGACGGATCATGTTGGCGCGGCTTTGCGGGGTGAATCTTAGTCGAACGCTTCTTAAACACCACACCATTTTCACGATCATGGCATGTCTGAGATCTCCTGACTCAGATCATCGCAAAGTTGAGAGTGGATTGGTGCGCACGAGAACCGGTTCCGGGGTTCCTCTTCACTACTCAGCGATGCACGCTGGAAACCTCCGCCAACCTGGGTCAATGCCTCATACGATTCACGACCCGGTAACCAAGGAGGCCTGGGTGGCTTCAACGGGTTTCTCTCTACGGATCAACTCGCCCGGAATTTGCGCTAGATGGCAACGTTGTATAACTGTTCGGGCGATCGAAGTCCTCTCAAGGACGAGTTCTTCCGTGCGATACTTGATTGAAATCCTAGGTATTTGAGGCAGCGGCAGCCAGATTCGGCTTCCAGAGTTGGCTCAGGGACGTGCTTCTACATCGGAAACTGCTCTATTCGCTTACCAACGCCAACGCTCAGCTTAGACGCTCGGTGGATATTGACCTTGAGGCTTAGACTCGTAGACAGGCGCCTCCAAGCTATTGTGCGACTATACCTTAACCGATGAACCAGTGCTCCATAGAAGCGTGTGTGTAAAATCTAAAAGTTGGGCACCAACGATCCTGTTTGGTATCTCGGAGTGCGTCAAAAGAACTACTCAAAAGCTCTGTAAAATCCAAGCCACCTGTACAATAGCAGAAGAGCGAGCGAGAGACCCTCTCCGAATTCATTTCTGTTCTCAGACTTGAGCACCCTACATTTCACCCAGAGAGGCCGTGAGGAGCAATCTCGAACCGGACCTTGCGTACATATAACCTTGCGCTCGACGTGGTAATCTAGCCTCACTTCCTCAGCAGAGATGTCCAACTCTGGGTTTCTCCCATTTGATGATAGCTCTTCATTCCGATAACCACTCCAAGGGCATGTCAACCGGGCATGGTATATATTCCACCGCCTTCACACACGGAGTTGTTAGCAGATGTGTGATATTGATGTGTCAGAAAGAGGATCTCTCCCTCAGGCTGAGAGGGGAGGTAGGGATGAACTAAACAATAGGCAAGCCGCATTGCTGGACAAATGGTACATAGAGAGAGCCAATCAGAAGAGGCCAGCACACAGATGGGACACAGAGAAGGGCCAATCAGACATCAGGCTGGCATCATCAGGAGCCTTGGAGAGGCCACAAGGCTGGAGACAAGGCTGGGATTACAACACCATGGCTTCTGTACAGAAGGCAGCGATGACTACCTATTAGGTAGTTCGCGGGGACCGACAAGAGCTTCAGATATGGCATAGCATTGCATCCCCATAATTTAATACGGCTGCAACAGAGGCATTGCCATTTGGAATGATTTTCACCTACAAGATAGCTGGACCGGTAAGCTTAGTAGGTGTTGAGCTGGGGAAGAATCAGGGGCTGCGAGGCAAAGGAGGCTGAAGATTCAGGGGCTATTGGCCCATAAGTAGCCCTGGAGCTGACTGTCCTCCCCGCAAACAAGTCCCGACTTCCCCACCCCCTTCTAGGCTTCCAAGGTCAGTGCGAAGGTCTCGGTCGATTTCCGCGCCAACCAAGCGTCCGCAGGTGGCCGGAATTAGTCATACCTACGAGGCATGACCCCCTAGAAAACGAGAAGTAAGCTGAGGTCGACTCTGTTCTCGTCTCCATCTTTCAACCTCTCTCCGCAAGCCCCTTAGCTTTCTTCTGTTCAATACCGTATCTCGCCTTCAATAATGCCTGGGCCACGCGAAGTCGCTGGAGGCAAAGGCGCTGGAACAGCAGCAAACGGGACGGATAGCGAGATACAACAGGCCTCGTCCCAACGATCCCGAAAGAGAAGTCGATATACGCCTCATGCGTGTGAAAAATGCAAAGCCGCAAAAGTGAGATGTGATGGGCGCCTTCCCTGCAAACATTGTGCTTCTCGAGAAGCTACTTGCCATTACAGCGCTCAGGCGCCTCCCAACTTCCATGTCTATGAGCATTGTCCAGAGTAAGAAGGCCCTTTATTGTCTTGGTAAGACCTGACCACAGTAGAGATGAACGAAAATTTGAATCGGAGGTTTCGTCGCTTCTCCAACAACAGAACGAGAAGCTAGATCTTTTGATCAAAAAGACGGCCGCCATTGAAGCTGCTTATGAAGCAGCCGAGAATCGTCTCTCAAAAGCCGACCCCGGATTCTCTGCTCAGAAACATGTTTTGCCCCTCTTTCAAACATCCACCAGCGCTTTCTTTTGCATCAACGTCATCGATGCAGGTGTCAGGAAGCTTGGACTTGACTTCTCACATGGGCAAAACTCGCCTCGAGGGTCTACTGCTACGCAAGCACGCACCTCCTTGTCTATCATTCACGGTGAGGTATTCGATAGCGAGTCAAGTGACATCAGCCGAAGTGAAATAGAGCATGTGGCAGAATCAATTTCAGAGGCGAGCGTAAGGAGTCAAAATGCTTCTACGCCAGCCAAATCGATAGATCCGCTCAAAGATATGGATCGCAACCTCCTTTGGCAGGGAGTGCAGGCCTTTCACAATCTGGAATGGGTCATGTATCCTATCCTAGACATTTCCGACCTCGAGGAAGTCGCAAAACACCTCTTGGACGCCGCAAGCGGTCTTTCAGGCCGTGGAAAGACATACGCCATTGGCAAAGGAGATTTGGCCATCCTGAAAATTGCAGTGGCAATTGGCCTTCTTGCAGAAGGTGATATCCATCAAAGGTTGACCTCTAGACTGTTACAGTCTCTTCACTCAGAGATCGAAACTATGATATGGAGTGCTGCAGTTGACCTAAAAGACCTGGTGCTAATGACCTTGGTGGTATGTCTTAATTTCGTCTACATTGTCTTTGGGCACGAATTGATCGATCCTTGATCCACCAGATCTTATACCACCTACACTGCGCTCGGTGGAGATTGGCATGGAGATTCACCATGAACGTCAGCCGAATCATACTTGAGCTGGGTCTGAACCGAAAAATAGTGCTTGATCGCTCTTTCCCGGACATCAAGAGCCGATCGCAGGCAATCAACACTGTTTGGACGGTGTTTGTGCTCGAGCAGCATCTAAGCTATGCCTTGGGCTTCTCCAATGCAATGCAAAATCTGCACCCGGAGCCGAACTTCCCTCAGCCAGTAAGTGAGATCTCAACCAGGAATCTATGAGTTTGCCAATATATACATATTGGGGATGCAGTCTACTGATAGGATACGTATAGGTCGAAGCGCCCTTTTTGCAGCTCATGATTGAGTACGCAAGCATCGGAAAACAGTCCTGCGACGCCCTCTTGAATGACAAGGTCTTGAATGCGGAACATCTTTCGACCTTTCAGGATGACTATGCATACTTTCTCTACAGAGTAAACTCGTGGGCGACTCGGGCTTGCGAAAACTTTGAAGCCTTCACTCTTAGTGACAGCGCCAGCCTTGGACTCCAAATGGTCTGTACGACTCTACACATACGAGCCAACCACCTCAGGACGCTGATAGCTCGAGCTTTCCTTTGCTCTGGCTTGCGTAATGCCGCGCCCCCAGATATCTGGACTACCTCAGTGGAAATTGCCGCGGACACGGTCAAGGTTCTTACTCAGCTGGATTCTTTCAAGCAGGAATACCTTTTTCACCAAGCGCAATTCAATCACTTTCTCATTTCTGCTTTGGACGTCCTGCTTTTTGCCACTACTCACAAATCAGCTGGAGTGGGATCGCCTTCCGCCAACGGTGAGGAGCTTTCAGTTCCCGCCGATATCGCTCACAAGGCTCGACAGAGTTCAACAATCGCGCTGGCCCGTCTTCAAAGATTGGCTGAGACTTCGGTTCAGTCAAAGTACCTGTGGGAAAGAGTTCGACATGTAGCCTCGCGTCTCAATTTTTCTGACCACCTCTTCGCTGCAGCAGGTCCCGAGGCTGAGGTCCTCCCTGCATTGGAGTCCGGGATTGAGATTTCCGAACACACAAAGACCGTCACTGAGACCGGAATCGGCCTCAACTCAATGCCTCTCGCAGAATTTGGTTTAGGCAACGGCGAGAATGGCTTAAATTTCCCATTCCTATCGGAAGATCCAACCGTGTGGGAATTCCAGCTGCCCTCCTCTTCAGAAGCTGACTTTGGCTTGCCTCAAGACCTTGGAACCTTGGTCAACAATTTGTGGATGCCTTGACACACTACTGGAGATTGTGGTTCCTCGCAGTCAACACGCGCAGAACGGAACAGTCCGTGTGACGTGGAGGTATAGTGCAGAGATTGAGCACATTCAGCTGTCAGACGCTACATATATTTACTCAACCGAAGTACTTAGGTTGTCAGAGACTCTTTGATGCGCCTTTGCGGAGCACGTTTGTGCTCCGTGACGAATCAATTTAGGCCTTTTCACTGTGTCTTACTCTCTGCTTGTGAATCTTATCACAGGGCCCGACCTCCCGGCAGCAAGATGATCAAGCAACTTGTACTCTACAACCTCCGGATTCTTCTTAAACCGATCATCCTTGCCTCCAGCCACATACTCAATGTCATATTTCCAGACCGACCGGACTATAACTAGAGAAAGCTCCATCACCGCCAGTCTTCTGCCGATGCACTGTCTTGAGCCGTACGAGAAAGGGGTCAAGGCATCGTGGCACCGTTTGACGGCATCTTCGCTGGTGTGATCAGGAAGCCATCTCTCGGGAATGAACGTGTGAGGGTCGAAGAAAACATCTCCTAGATGATGGACAGCGTAAACGGGGACTGAGAGCTCGACTCCAGCGGGGAAGTGTTCGCCGACTGCTGTGAGGCCGCCTTTGAGTACTTCCCGAGGTAGGACGCCAGGGAGACTGGGACTGAGCCGTATCGTTTCGTTGATGACGGCATGGAGATAGTGGCAGCTGTCGAGGGTTTTACCAAGCCGGATCTCATCGGTTGAGTTGAATTTAGAGCGGACCTCTTCTACAAGACGCTTCAATGCTGGGGGATTATTTGTTAGATAGAAGAAATTCGCCGCCAGCTGTGTGGCCGTTGTATCAGAGCCTATAACACGCAAGAAATGCGTAACTATTGTGAGTGACATTTTCTCGTCGAATTCCCGTATCAGACACGGGGCTTTTTGGGGGAAGGGGAATGACATACCACCAAGAATAAGTCCTCTCGCTTCGGCAAATACCTCCTTGGAATCAGCGTACGCCTTGGTGCCATCCTTGTTCTCGGCATTGGCAATGTACGAGAAGAAATCCTTGCGGTTCTGATCGGCATTCATGCGCAGCTGCACCTGCTTCTTGGCGTAGACGAGCAACTGCCTGCCGCGACGGACAATGTCTGGGAAGAGGAGCTTGTCGAGGTTCCATCGGAGCATAAAGTGGCTGCATCCGTTCTGCGTTCCCATGATTTTGATTCAGCCCATATGGTCACCAAGAGATCTGGTACTGCTTTTGGTCCCCCCCGGTTCTCTTTTCCCGTCCAAAGAAAGCCATAGATAGGTAGGTGGATTGAAGACACAAAAAACTTACGAGAAGCTGCATATGCACCGCCGCATCAATGACATCCGGGAGGTCACGACTTTCGGCCCCCCTTAGCATCCCAAAGTCCTTGCCAAACACCAGATCACCCATGACATCGAAGGTCAGGTAGTTGCCCCATTTGCCCAAGTCGGCGGTCCAGCATTTGCGCAATGCCGAGCAATGCTCTTCCCCGGACGCGGCGTGGAAGAATTCGTCAATGTGCGGGAGGATGTACCGTTCCATGGAGGACAGGTTCGCTTCGGTGAATGCCGGGGCGAGGATGCGGCGCTTGCGGGCGTGGATGTCGCGGTCGCGGGCGGAGAACATGTTCTGGAACCCATTGTGGGCGATCGAGGCTTCGTAGAAGACGGACTTGCGCACGTTCTGGTTCACGCCGTAGATATCTGGGTTTCAACAGTCAGGCCGATGATATTCTTTGCCCAAACCATCCGTCGCCAGCCTGATTAGCCCCATCTGCTCAAGCATACGCACCTTTGATGGCAGCCGGGTCGTTGATCGTGACAAGATTAGGGGAGACACGGACAAATTTGCCTATCCAGAAAACAAATGCTTCGTTAACAAATCGTCTGTTTCTGATGACTTTCCTGTGCTTCACATTGGGCCCTTTTGTTGTCACAGAAAACTCTGGTGTTACCATAGATTTTCGAAGACACGTACCATATTTCTGATGAGCCCAGTAGATCTGCAGATGCCTGTCGCCGATCGCAGCGTGATACACCGAATACCAATTCGTGATTCTAGCCCAGAATGGGCCGGGATACTTGGCAAGTGGGTGGAAGTAGAGCCTATATATGACCAGGCCGAGTGTCTGCAATTCGCGTCAGTCTCAATGGATTGTTGAAGGCTGGCAGCCTTGGAGCTGGGGCTGATCCGGGTCTGCTGGAAGTGCAGGGCGTACATAAAGAAGCGCACTCCCGAGGGAAATAGCAATCAGCAGAGGTATAACAGCAGGATGGAATGATTTGTCTTTTTCTGTGACAGACTCTCCGGAGAGGTATGTGAAAGCCATTTTGATAGTCGACGTTATCAGAACACTATTCAATGAGCTCGGTCAGTCGAAAGAGCAGACTTTAAATTGACCAGATCGTATCTTCTTCACAGCCGTTTTAGAGCCGTCTTAACTCCTTATACCAGACTTCGCTTCCAGGACAGCTCCTTAGTCTCAGCTTGAGCATTGTTCCGAGACTGATTACTCTCCATGTCATTGCAAAACCCGAGGTTTCGTGCTTGATCGCATATCTCTGTATATTTCCTCGAAGGATCGAAGGATTCAAAAGGTCTTTTCCGTGGCTGGTCACAGCAGGAAGAAGGCAAAGGGCAGGGCATCGAATCTGATAGGGTCCCACAAACCCTTCATCCGCAAAGTTGCGGAGAGTGATTATCATGGGCCCGACTGGGGTGCTGACCACGGTCGGAACGTTCCGACTACTGTTTCTCGGATCTGTTGTGTTACACTTTCCAAGCTTTGACGGTAGTCACAGCGCACGAGACCTTGAAGAGAAAGTGTCTGGACATATCGTCCAAAGGGGTACGAGCACGGTGGACCAGCGATCCGCGGCGAAGGGCATCTCGACTATGGTTTGAAGGCTCCAAGCCACTTTGGGCTTCTCCATCGTCCTGGATCGAGCCTGGATCGAGCCCGAAGACTCTTATGTCGAAGTGACTTCATCTGAACAGACAGCAAAAGCCTCGCGACATGAAATCCCATATCTCGACCTTTATCGTAGTCTCAGAGACGTGTTTGAGGTTAAAAGGGGCGACGGCCGGTGGTTGGAATTCACGAGGCTATCATCCATCAAGTCGGGCAAAGCGCAGCCTTGGACTGACACCCCACGGCGGGGGTCGTATTGCAGCGCCAAATGATTGAAAGGAGCCTGAACGCCAACAAGGTCACTGCGTATTCTTACAAACAAAACTATTATCTCGAAGACTGGAAAGATGTGGCGGTGACGATACGGTATCATTGATGGTTTCTGTTCTCGACGTCTAAACATTATCCTTCCCCATCTTCCAATCGAGCACCCACACCTCGAAGAAGCAGCCTTCTCTCACGCCTGTTGAAACACACAAACCAGTTCCATTGCCTCTCGAGGTCTGCTCTAGAGGCAGCAATCTACCACCATGCAGTCCGGAATCACAGGTAACCTTTGACCGTCTCGTGCGCCTGAAGTATAACACTTGTGATACTGACCGTCACCTTTCTTCTCCCCGCAGCGTCCTCGGACCTTCACGAAGCATTTACCACATTTACTAGCGATACCTCTATCTTCTGCCTCCCGGCCGGCATAACATCTGAGTCCCTCACACCTTTGCCAGCGGTCCGCTTCCCTTCCTCTCATTCCGGCCTCTTCAACAGCATCCACACTCTCTCCGACCTCCTCACGCCGACCGATCCCCTCTACTTGTTCCTGCGCCGTGCCCCCGGTTCCAGTGAGCTGATAGCAATAACATACGTCCCCTCACGGGCCCCTGTGCGGCAAAAAACCCTCTTTGCATCCACACGCAACACGCTTATGCGCGAGCTCGGTTCAGAAAAGTTCTCCGAAACTGTCTTTTTGACCGAGAGGGAAGAAATCCTCGATCCCGCACAATGGGATGAGCGCTCCAAGGGCTCTGCGGCCGCGAGCGGCGGGGTCCCCACTCCTGGCGCAAGGGGAGCCGTGGATGCCGGGTTGCTCAGTGCAGAAGAGAGGGAACTGCAAGCCGTAAAAAGAGCCGAGGAGGAAGAGAGGCATGGGACACGAGGGAGGGATCTGATGGGTGAAGGAGGAAGTGGAGCAGGGCAGGCACAAGGTGGCTTCATGATGAAGATTTCCGATGAAGCCAAGTCTGCCTTGACGGGTTTCAAGGACACTGACACTTCCGGGGGCAATATGGCCGTCTTTGGAATTGACGTCGCCACTGAAGAGATCCGGCTGTTGTCCACGAATGCTGATGTTCACCCAGGTGCGGTGGCGAAAAATATACCAGGCGATCGACCGAGTTATACGTTCTACAACGCACAGGGTGTTCCCGGAAGTATATTCATTTATGTGTGTCCGGGATCGAGTAAGATCAAGGAAAGGATGGTTCATGCGAGTTCCAGGCTGGCAATGACCAAACTTGCTGGGTCCGAAGGTGTCGAAATTGTGAAGAGGCTGGAGGCCGGAGACCCGGAGGAGTTACTGGGTGAGAGGTTAGAACAAGAGGTCAAGACTTTGGTCGCGGCGGCAGGGGTCACTGGTGGAGTTGCTGGTGTAGAAGGCGACGAGAGCTCGGCGCCTGGGTCGGGAACTGCAACACCAAGAGGAGGATTTGCTAGACCAAAGAGGCCAGGGAAAAGGTGATAAACGATGAATTCTGGGCGGCAGCAGAGCAAACGTCTCAAGGGAAACTGTATGCCGCGTTACAGACTTGCAAAATCACTCCACCTTTTGAAGTCATATGTGGCGCTGAGATGACTTCCAAGACAAAAGCAACCAACATCCCTGCTCAAAGGGATATGAATGCAAAAGCGAAGAATCAATTGAATCCACCCGCAAGTTATCTTCGAGTCCCTTCTGCCATTTGCCTGATGATACCAAGGCTGATCCATTGAAACTTTCACTTTGCTTCCATTTCTGCGTCTGACCGGACCTTCGGACCTTTTCTGATGCGCAATTGTGCTCTGCCTGTAGTAAGCCTGTTATTTGCCCATTTGACTTCCCAATCCTGGCGGACGACAACTGTCGTGCTTCTGTTCAGCATCGGAACTGCCGGTGCACAAGACAGTATCAGTTCCGCAGGATATGTCACGCGGATATGTTTCTCATCACCCGGAGGATGGAGAGCAGACGCTAGGTTGCCACGGTATGCGACAGATTTCGTGAGACTTTCCCGTGTCTCATTCGACGTCACCGGGGAACCGACTCGAACAGCGACTGGGGCTGGACAGGACATGAAATCCCACCATCTCTTGCCCGGTTTCGAGGCTATAGCCTGTAGAGCTTGGGATATTCACTCTTTTTGGCCCACAGTGACAGATGTGTGTTTCATTCCCACGCAAACTGGCCTCCATGTGATCCAGCAGCGTCCTAGTATCTCTAATACTGTTGATTTCTGAAATTCTTCTTTTGATAGAACAGATCCGTCCTCGAAGATCCCAGATTGATGATCTTCGGGCACCCGTCTCTATCCTTTTCCAGCCTCGTGCACTCGAAGCAATAAAAGGCGTCGGAAATGCCTTCTCCGCCGCACACAATGCACTTGTTCTGGTAGTTGCCAAAGGAGCACTCGTCGCAAATTCGGACGAGAGTCGTGGGGCGCACGTAGGAATCGCAGACGGGACATTTGCCGTCGCACTTGTCGCAAAGGCGGCCGATCGAGATGCCCGGGGCTTTGCGACACATAACTAGATCGGGGTGGTGGCGGGACATGGTTGCGGTTGTATGTTCAGAGAGTTCCGCGAGCGAGAAGAAGGTCTGTGATGATATGGGTAGTTGGGAATGCGAAGAAGTCGATACTGAGCTTGTTGAAGACGTAGAAAGGCAAGACACCGTAGATAAGTAAGTTGTCGTACTTGGACTGGGACAGAAAACAGAAACACATCGAAAAAGCTCAGCCTTGGGCGAATTTCTAAGCCTCGTCGCCCTTCCCCGCACAAATAAAAGCGGCACGTGCAGCAGGAAAAGATCAGTGGAGCTCCGCCTGCAGGCCCCATTCGATGTTTCTGCATCTGCTTTACCCAGTACACATTGACTGCCTGGTTGCTCGACCAACTATCTGTGGGAGTAAGTGGCAGGAGTCTCCCTAACCAGAATTTAGCCCTTGAATACAAGCCGCTTCGCGCATGATGATCTCCTCAGCTGTCCTCATTCCCGAGGAGCCTCAGCTCGATTCTGCAGAGCAAAATGGCTCCTTAAAACGCCGCCAATCCTCCGTCTCTGAATCCTCAGAATCAAACAAACGTCCCCGCCTCCATGCTCACACATCACCGACTGCTTCGCACAATGGCGCTGCCTCCCCTACAGCGCCAGCGGCAACCTCCCCATCCACAGCGACCGCTGCAGGAGGACACCCATCAGCGATGTCTCCGCCGCTGCGCAGGCGACAAACGTCTTCAACCCTGGAACAGGACAAATCTCGAAACCGAAGACTCTTTGGTGCCTTGCTCGGCACCCTTTCGCAATCTTCCAATGCCCCTAGAAGGTCTTCCGCTGGAACAAAAGTCAACAACCAGACAACGACATTAAACGCACGCCGCGAGGAAATCGAATCTCGTCAACGGGAACGCTTAAAGCGCGAGTCCCACGAAATCGCTGAGTCTGCACGCCTGAAAAGGGAACAACTTGAGCGCGAACGACGAGTGGAGCAGGTGCGCTGGGATGAAGAAGCGATGCGATTGAGACACAGAAACATGAGAGCCGCTGCTGGATTTTTGCAGACCAAGGCAGAGCCACGATTGTATTACAAACCCTGGGAGCTGCGCGACTTTGAGGAAGAGGAGATTAAACGGCAGATTGAGGACGCGGAGGCGAGGATTCAGCGGGAAGCCGAGGAGTTTGAGGAGAAAAAGAAGTTGGGAGAAGAGGAGCTAAAAAGAGAGGAGAGAGAGAAAGACGCCCAACAGCCCTCGGCTCCAATGACAAGCACACCTGGAGCTACTACAACAGATGAAATGGACGATCGCCATAAGACACAGGACGAGGCCGACAAACACGCACGTGGAGACGAATTACCAGAGCAGATAAACGACGAAAGGAATGCGGAGGATCATGTCTCCCCGCTCAATTCTTCCAGCCTGGTAAAAGATAGCGATCCTGCGGCAGACGCAACGAAAACTGAGAGGCTGCGCAGCAGCAGTATCAAAGATCAGGACGACCATGATCACGGCGGCGAAGAGCTCGAGCGCGGGCAGGAAGATGATGTAATTTACTGAGTCGGAATACTCTGGGCCTGTTAAAAATCCTGCTGACTCTCACATTTTGGATCTTGCTCTGAGAAAAAGCAGAGCAAAAGGCGGGCCCTAAAGGGCACTGATCGAGACATTGCGTAGGGCATATGTCTCTCGGCAAGGAGTATTTCAAATGCCTTTCACCGCCCGTGAGAGTCTGCAACATAATTGGCGATATTGCATGACCAGTTGATTCCTCTAGGACATGTAAGCCCGTGCAGTCCAAGCAGACGAGCGCTGACCACTGGGTTGATAGTTTTCAGCCTTACCAGCGTATAGTATCCAAAGGCGGTTAGTGTGGCTTTCCCGCCTGGCTGACGAGGCTGAACTCGTTTATGTCATCATCCCACGTGCGGCTAGTGCGGCGGCCTCTCGGGCCGAGTCAGTCATCAAATCAATCCAGCTGCATTTCTTTTCTTCCTCTTCTAATTCTTTCTCTTGGGCGTCACGACCCTCGCAGGACCACAGCGAGACTGAGGTCCTTTTCCCAGACCATTTTATGGTCTTTTCATTACAGCTTTGTTATCCTGCACCATGTCATAATTCTCACATTTCACTTTCGGACATTCAACCATGTCATTGCCCTACATGTTTCACTAGTCCATCAATTGAACTGCTTGGCGTTGAGTGTGTTTGAGAGGGTTCAATGCTAGTCGATCTGTTCTCGATCTAGTCGTCATATCCGTCAATAATGGAGCCACGTCCAACAACAAGCGACGCAGGCTCTCAAACCTCGCCTATAAATGTATTGACCTTGAATTGCTGGGGGCTCAAATATCTGGCAAAATACCGACACGAACGATTGTCCGAAATAGGAAATCGGCTTGCAACCTATTCTCCTCAACTCGATATCGTTGGCCTGCAAGAATGCTGGACTTTTACCGATTACCTATTCATCCGAGACAGCACTCGTTCTTTCCTTCCATACGGCAAGTTCTATCATTCTGGCATCTTTGGTGCTGGTTTGGCCATCCTTAGTCGATGGCCAATCGTAGAATCTTCAATGTATCGTTATCCTCTGAATGGCCGACCCCAGGCTTTCTTCCGTGGCGACTGGTTTGTTGGGAAGGGTGTCGCATGTGCCAAGATCTCACTGCCCGATGGTGACAATATCGAAGTGTTCAATACACACTTACACGCCCCTTACGAAAAGGAACCGAACGACAGTTATATTTGCCATCGAACGGCGCAAGCATGGGAAATTGCAAAACTCATGCGTGCAGCCTCGGACAGAGGCAGCCTAGTTATTGGCCTGGGCGATTTCAACATGGTCCCATTGAGCTTTGCACATGTCCTCGTCGAAAGCCGTGCTGGAGTACAGGACGTCTGGCGAGTCGTGAGACCTGGAAGCAGCATTGGTGCAAGCGTGGACCCGCCTGAAAAGGAGCGCAGAAAACGTATGGGCGAAGAGGAGACCCCAACCGCCGAGACGAGTTTAGGGGAACACGGGCACACGTGCGACTCTGTATTAAACACGTGGCGATGGAACAAAGCACATCAGAAGCAACTGGCGCAAGGTCATGACAGGAAAATATCGGGCACAGACCTGGATCCCAAAGCAAAGCGGTTGGACTACATCTTTTTCAGCGGTATTGGCAAGGGTTGGAGAGTTGCCGATGTGAAAGTTGCGCTTACCGAAAGACACCCGACCCTCCTCTGTTCGTTGAGCGACCATTTTGCCGTGCAGGCGACACTGGAAAGAAGCCAAATTCTACCGTCCCCTCCAGATAGAGTTGAAGCACATGCAGCGTTGCACGACCCGAGCACCACAGATCCCAATCTTCAAACGGCGGATTTTGAGGACAAAGATTTCGACAAGGCAATATCGGACATACCCACGCGAGGTCAAATCAGCCAGGATTTCTATAGAGACATTCTCACCATGATCAACAAATACACGCTGCGGGAGAGGAAACAACGACGGTATGGCCTTTTGCATTTCGTTGGCTCCGCCGTGGTGTCGATCGGCTGCTTCGTCGCCATCTGGTGGTCACCTCGGAATTATGTGTCCTTCATTTTGATTTTGCTAAGCAGTCTGGGACTCATGGCTGGAACGCTGCATGGTTTGATCGGGGGTCTCTTTGTGGGCTCGGAATTGAGAGCCCTGGCCGAGTTTGAGTGGGAGGTTCGAAATGCGCTGCATCTTGCAGGCGGTCCGGCCTTGGAAGACCGATCACTGAAATTGAAAGACTGGTACGACTGAAGACGACAAGAGTTTGCCATGTGCTAGAAGGTCTCCAAGAATATCAATGGCTGGTCGAGAAGTGACCAGACAAGTGCTGCGACAGGCGCCCAGTGACGATGGCGCTTAAAAGGATCAAGCAACAAGTGGCGGCTGCAGTTCACGACGAATGGGAAGAAACCAACTGTGAATTACCAGACACGCCATTGAGCAAAGTTGACAGCCTGAAAGAGAGAGATGGAAGGAAAATTATGGGTGTTGGCAGGGTTGTGTGTGTTGTCTTGATCAATCCGGGCAACTCGCTTTGTTGGCCGTGTCATTGGATTCGCAAACTCGACACTTCAAAAAGGGCCCGACCTCCCACCTCGTCGATCACGCCAACCTTTCCTCCCTCCCATCACCCACAACGCCCTTGTTTTCTTCCGCGCTTTATCAGAATCGGATCGCCGGCTCGTTATTGATCGGTGGGATAATTTTCAGGAAGCAGGCACTTTTGCATCCCAAGGTACGTAAACATGTCTTCCCTCTTATCCGATGTTGTCGCTCGACCGCCTGGAGCTGGTTGCCTGCGAACCACCCTCCCACCGCTCCTTTTTCATTCCTCCCGTGACTCATAAGTTGTCGCGAACACCTTATCTACCCTCATTCCAAGCATTATAAATATTGCTCGTTTCCCCGAGAAGTTGTGACCGTATCTTCCTCGCCCGCCTCACTGCGCCGCCCTGTCACCCCCGCTTTTGAGCAGCTCAACCACCGTTTGAATCACTTTACCAGCTGACACCTGGCGCCTGATTTAGTTCTCAAGACTGCCCTCTCACCCGTCACACTTTTACATACCACCCACCAGCAACCTCATATCCACTACACAACCCCCAACACGAAAACCAAGCAACCAACAATGGCCCAAACACGCGGCGCGACCGGCCACTCTAAGCCAAGAGTCTTCACCACGGTCTCGACCGAGCCAGTCCGCAAACGCAAGACGACCGGCGCCGCCACCACCACGGACGGCACCACCAAGAAGCGCGGCAAGACCGCATCAAAGAAAGCGGGAGGCGCGACCGGCGCAGGTGGTGTGACCAAGAAGCGCGCCCCTGCGACGCACCACAAGAGAAAGCCCACAGTCACGGATAAGGTCGAGGGTGCGCTCGAGAAAGCCGTCGGCGCTGTCGAGGGCAAGCCTGGCAAGAAGGCCGCCGGCACCAAGAAGATGAAAGGCACAGACGGGAAAGGCGGCAAGGTGTCCAAGACCGCGAAGATCGAGGTATGAATTTGGGTGGGCGGGTTGCTTAGAGAGAGAGAGAGAGAGAGACACACACACACACACACACATATGTTTTCTGTTTTGCAGCATACGATGCACAGAGAGAAACTGGAGAGCTGCTGCTTTGGTCCACACCACACCACACCACACCCTTTGATATGCTGGGAAATAACATACACGACAACGTTGACTGCAGGTTTTTATTTCGCGCCCCTCCCCTTGCCTCACTTGGCTTGACTGGAGTGGAGTTGGAGCGAGAGTATCGAGTTCTTTAAAGGCACCGGGGAATTTTTCGCTGAGGCTCGATCCGTTCCCTTTTTTACCATTACCCCCCTGGATCTCTTGTTACAAGACGACACGACCACCCGCACCTGGCAGTTGAGTGGCTAGAGCTAGCTAAGTACGAGGTACGGGGAGTTTTCCACAACGCAACGCAACACATGGCTTGTTTTTCCTGGGAGGAGGGAATGCTCGGGGTTCGGGTTCTGGGATATTCTGACGCCGTATGGCCCAATGCAGGGGCACATGGGCCATGGGAAATGGGAAATGGTGCTTCTACGTGCCTCGATAGCTGTGTAGCCGTGTAGCTGTGTAGCTCGCTAGGTCATCGTTGTCCAGGATGAATGAAGACGGCATCATTTGCGAGTCACTGCCGACATTGTCATGGTGTATTTGAATGTGGACTTGTACTCTTGTACTTGCTTGTATTTCTATCTGACGGCACGATATCTGTGCATGATGCTCATGTCATGGGTATTTGGATGTAGCAACTCCTACCCGATCCTGCAATTTTCTACCTGATGCAGTTTGTCGATATTGGTCAACTCATTATCGAGACTTTCGTCATCCCGTTCTTCCCGTACCTTTCGTTCGCCAACCATGTGTCCTTTCATCCATGCTGTTTCCACGAGCCAGGTTTCCGTGTTGAAGCCCAAAAACGCCATTCAGGTGAATCTTTTCCTCGCCCAATATGCAACAATGTCTGAGTTGCAATACAGTCTCGTCGTCACTTCATACGTCTTGCTTGGCGTTTGCTCCATCCTGGATCATGAAGTTGCACTTGCTGGGGTGAACTGATAACAAGACCAGCCAGACCGCGCAACATCAAGTCTCTACCAATTAGTCATCTAGACTGTTTCGTCTGTCTCTTCTGTAGCCACCAGTTCTTGGAGGTCCTTGACCGCTCAAGCTGGGAAGTGGGTGGTGATAAGTCTTGGTGTATTGACTTTGGACAGTCTGGTTCTCAATATCCTGGTTTGCGTGGAATGAGCCAGGCACAGTGCGGATCGGACGTTGAGGGCTGGCATTCTTGTTCGGTGAATGGTACCTTGGCGGACGGGGGCCGGGTGAAGGTGCAGCAGCTGGTGGTGGGGTCGAGACGCTGAAGCTTTCTTGTCCGTACGAGAAGTCGCGGCGTGTTTGACGTTTCTCGGGACTATGTTGACGAGAAGACGGGGCCTGTCGGTTGCCGTTGCTGACAATGTCGCTGCCGCCGCGTTCTGTCTCGGTGTAATCGGTGCCGTAAAACTGGGCGTCCGAGTCTTTGTTGAGACCTCCCACACGCGCAGGTCTTTCATGTCGATACGCGCGGACATCGTAGTCATGGCCACCTTCCCAGCGAGCTTCGTTGGCTTCTCGGATCTTTCTCTCTTTGGCCGTCTCTTTTCTCTTCTTTGACTGCTTTTCCTTGATGATGGGTGCTTCAGAAGACAGCTCTGTCCTGGTCTCGGTCATGGCCTCGGACATGGTATCTGGTATGGTGGCCGTGTCCTTATCCGAGTATCCATCTCCCACAACGCTACCACCACCCAGCCTCGTGCTCTTGGTTGCGTTGCTGAGAGTTGTTCCGTTGGGACCCTTCCGTCTCAGGACGGTAGATTTGTACTCTTCCCAGTCACCCTTCTGCCATTTGAAGCCACCGTTCTTTGCCCAAAAGAAAAACCAAATGGCACCGAGTACAAATGAAGCGCCGATGATAGCAAAGAGTGCCTGGATACCTTTCATGTTGATGTCGTTGGGATTGATTGACCCAGCGCCCGGATTCGGATCCTTTGTGTTTTGGGCGTTTCTTGCGGCGAGGACGTTGTAGGTATCCATTGGAGAGAGGATGGAGGAAGGGTCATCGCTTCGGGGGAGGAGAGGATTGTAGATCCGTTCGGGGAAGATGCTGCGTTTGGAAAAGGAAGTTGTCGGCATTTCATTAGGGTCGACTGAGCGTGCATCAAGTTCGAGTGAGGAGAATTTGAGGTCGGGGATATCGACGTGGGAGACGACGGGAGCCATGTTGGCAGAAAGAGAGCAGTAATGCTCTCAGCAAGTACTCTTGGTCAGTGCAGCTGTTTCTGTACCGTGTCCAGACGATGTTCGGTGCGCAAGAGGAGGGTGAGATGCAATTTCCCCAAATGTCTTACACTTGCAGACAGCTTAGGGGCGTGGTGGTTTTGCAGATGGTTAGATGTGAAAAGTCCAGCAAGGTGGAAGAGAGACTCACCTCTGCGAACAGGGTTTCGTTAGTAGAAGACTCTTGTATGGCAGTGAATATGAGGTGGCAGGAAGGAGGGAAGAGGCTGGGCTGGCAAGGCTGGGCGCCGGCCGGGCGAGGCTGCGCCATATATTTTGGCAGGTGACAATGACGCCATTGTTGATTGACTCCAAATTAGGCAAAGCCTCGTTTCCGCAGCAGCCTCATCTATTCCCCAACTTGAAGTACTAGGTACTCGCTACCTAGCTCGCTAGTAATTACTCGATACTAATACTATTATTATCTGCTCAAGAATTCTACCAGCCCAAGTTCGTTATGCTTGTAACCCAACTCCTCTGCCCGTCGCGACACAATCTTGACATTGTGCGACATCAACATCGGCAACTCGCCCTCGCCTGCTTCTTCCAATGTCACACTCCTGGCTTCAGGGGTCGGCACGATCCCTTCGGCGTACAGAGTCTTCGCGAAGGCTTCTGATGTCTCCTTCCAGGAAATCTCAGGCCCGCCGATGATGAAACATCGCTCATAGACAGACCCTTGAGGTGTATCCTCGTGCAATGTCAGGTCCAAGACCTTCAACATGAAGGGCGCTATGGCATTGACATGGAGGCAATTGAAGATGGCACTGCCCTCACCGATATACGGCACGAATCCCAGCTCTTTGGCCTTTTCTCGGTAGATCAGCTGGACCACGCCCAAGGCTGGAATCGGACCCGCGGCTTCTCCATAGATGCCGGAGGGGAAGACAATGTAGGTGCCGATGTTGCTTCGTTTGCCAGCGTTCAAGACTCTGCACGTCACGAACTGTCAGCCGCGCATCATGATTCTCTGGCGCTCGGAGACAATCTTACACAGTATCAGGCCCACCATTGAGCATGGAAGGGTTGATCAGCTTCATATCTTCCGGATTATTGTCCTGTTCACCACCTGTTAGTTCTTCCCATGCAGCATATGGCCCGCCATTTCACTTACATCCCAGACCTTCGCGTTCGCGTGGAACGCCCCATCCGTCCACCTCTTATCCACAAAATTACCAGCTCCACTCATATGGATGAGGGTCTTCTTCTCTTCCGGTTGCTGGTTCAATCCTTCCACGATCGCCTCGCTCAGGGGCACATCCCATGACGACCCCACGTTGATCACAATATCGTGCTCTTTGGCCAGTGCGACAATTTTGTCCCTCTCGTCGAAAGTACCGTGCACGATCCGCTTGACACCAGCAATTTCGTACAGATACGTATCGAGAACGGTGTTTCGCAAGAACACCGTCACTGGGAGACTGGGATATTCATTCTTGAGGGTCAACACGAGATGAGCTTGATTGTAGGTCAGTTGCCGAATTCCTTGCTGAGACAAACACAGAGGGAACTCACAGCCAACAAGGCCCGTCACGCCAAATAGCAAGATCGAAGGCATGGCTTAATGATTCCAGTGGTGATCTGCTCAACCGTCGACGGTCAAAAGTTTTCGAGATCGAGAAGTGTGCAACACTCTGTTGGAAGAGTCCTTCAAACCCATCGACGCAGCAACAGACTCTTAATACTTTTCGACTCTGAGCGAATTTCCTTTCCATGGCCATTCAACCCCTCTTATCCTGTAACCATGTTCGAGCTAGAGAACGCTGCCAAGCGCCGTTGTTGATGCTGAGAGAAGTCTACATACTCAGCACACTCGTCCTCCGCCATGTCCAACATACCGTCAATATTGTAGGTGACCAAGCGAGCCACGAGGTTGCGGGCCAGCGGACTGAGCAGAGCTTCCGATGGACCAACATCTCCAGGTCCAGCGATGGACGGAAGGCGCTTCTGCACGGCTCACTCAGGGATTGTCTTCATAAGCAACACGGGTTGGGCTATGTTGGGTGCGGTGCGAAGTATATATCTATCTCTGTGCAAGGCAAGATATCCGCCGTGCTCTCATTGGTGCCTAGAATAGTTGCCGTTTCGAGCCATTGGGCGCGACACATCGATCAACACGGAGGGCCCGAGGAATAAATACTACAAGGCCAGATGGGAGAGGCGCTTCGGGAAAAGAAAGTGTATCGCTCTCTATTGACCGAGCAGGTGAAATGTTTCATTGTTGATCACAAATACGTTCTGAATATTTTTGCTCGGTTTTTTGTCACATTCTGGAACTTTTTACATCCTCCGCTCTCTCCTCAAAATCCACCCCGACTCCCTGCGAGTGTCTGGTGTCCCATCTGCCCTCCGGACACAAAGTCATAGTTTATATTCAATGGCATCTTAATGTTTCAGTCCACAGTACAAATCAACTTGCCCATGGTGACGTTCGACTCGAGCATCTTGTGCGCCTCCTGGATTTGCTCCATCTTGAAGACCTTGTCGATAATGACCTTGAAGCGGCCGTCGATGAAGCGAGGGAGAGCGTGCTCGACGAGCATGTCGCGCAGACGGCCCTGGTAGTTCTCATCGCGGCTGCGGAGGCTCGATCCTTCGAAGCGGAGGCGCTTACGCAGGAAGCGCGAGACATCCACGGGTTTTTGGACCACGTTGCCGCCCAGGTTGCCCAGGTTGACGATGTGCGCGTCGCGGGCGGCGGCCTCGAGGTTCTGATCGAAATACCCGGCGCCGATGAAGTCGACGATCAGGTCGACGCCCTTGCCATCCGTGTACTTGAGCAGGGCCTGCGCCCAGTCACCCTCCTTGTACGAAAACCCCTCGGTGGCGCCCAGGGACTTGCAAAAGTCGATCTTCTCGCGCGACGAGGCCGTCACGTAGACGGCCGAGGCGTTGTCGGCCTTTGAGAGCTGGATGCCCGCGATGGAGACGCTCGACGCGCCCGCGTGCCACAGCACAGACATGCCCGGCTTGAACTCGCCCACCAGGTACAGCGCCTGGGTCGCCGTGATCCACGTCTCCGGGATGCCGGCGGCCTCCTCCCAGCTGAGTTCCTTGGGCTTGTGCACCAGCATGTGCGTGCTGACGGCGATGTACTCGGCATAGGCGCCGCCGTAGGCCAGGCCAAACACCTCGTCGCCGACGTTGAAGCCCCGCTCGGCCTCGCAGCCGAAGGACTCGATCGTGCCGGAAAATTCGACGCCCAGGATAGGTCCCGCCTGCGGTGGCAACGGGTAGTTCCCTTCCCGCTGGAACAGGTCCATGCGGTTCAGCCCAAAGGCCTTGACTTTCACGAGCGCCTGGCTGCCCTTGGGGACGGGTTTGGGGATATCGGGGTTGATGAAGAGCGCGGAGATGGGACCTTTCCCACCCTTGATGTCGACTGCGCGCATGGTTGCCATGGTTCTTCTCGGTGCCGCTGCTGTGCTTGCAAGTGTTCGTCGGGCACGATCTCGGAAAATTCCGGTAATGGTTCTGTTACTGCTGCTGCTGCTGCTGGCACTGCTTAGCTGTGTTGCTGATGCTGATGCTGAATAGAAAGATCTCCTTGCCCCAACGAGGGATGTCTGCAAGATATTTAAAGACGGAAACCTGCGCTGGACTGGAAGAACAACTGCTCCTTCTGACAACGGGGAATACCCGGCCCCTAGCCGTTGGAGACGCGGGATTTCTAATGCGACCCTTGAACAGAAGACACTTGCCGTCGAGTTCATTCAAAATTGCGATAGAGGGGTAGTAGAGAGGAAGATGACAGCCAGCGTCGGAATCGACGGCGCACGGCTGAAAATATTGGAGGAGCTTCGCGAAAATAGGGGGACAAGGACCACGGGGATATGCTGACCTGTTGTTTTTGCTTCTCTGTCTCCTAATAGGAAGTTTTCTAATGCGGCCAGAAACGTCTTGGACCGCGAAGAGTAATAACAGCGAGATACATGTGACTTTGCGGCAGGAGGCGCCGGATATAGTGGCACCGGTGGGATGGTGGGTGATGGTGGGAGACAATAATATGCTGATGACACGACGCCATTACTAAGTGACGTTCCCCCGATTAGTTGTAATCTTCCACCGGAAAACATTGCTACTGGCACTTCACCAGAGCTTTACCACCAAGATCCATTCATCGTTCCACACTTGTAGTGCAGCTATCATACATAACTTGTACTGGGCATGCCCCCATGACAAAGCATCTTTCACCCTAGCTCCGGGTGGCTTTCTTTCCCTCAATCCACACCCAAGCCCTTAGCCGAAGGCAGGTAAAAGGCTTATCATTCAGGTATACGGAGTCGGGTTTCCGTCGCTGCAGCCGATACATCAATGCCACCATACAAGCAAGGTGTAGCCTCTAATCGATGTTGTACTGCTTGATCAATTCAATCAACTTCTGCGACTCTGTCACATAGTTCAACGGTGCTGCCGACGTGACTTGATACCGAACACTGGATTTCAAGTTAGTCTCGAGGTTAAAAGCATGGGGGTTTGCCTTACCGTTGTTGTTCCTGGAAAGTATCGAGCTTCGCCTTGCACTTCCAATTCCATGTCTTGCAATTTGCCTCGGAGAATATCTCGGCGAGTCGCTTCTCGTCCACCTCCCTGATCTCCATCAACTCATCGGCAGTCATGCCAATGACCATTCTTCCAGTTTCGTCGAAACAGCTGACCCAGAGTTGACCAGTGTGGTCGCTAATATTGACCGACATGATATATCGGTATTCAGGTCTGGGGTGGCTCTTGTCACACCGTTCGCAGCGCCACTGACCAGGATCGATCTCAAAGACTTTCTTGTTGCATCCCTCCGACAAACATGCGGGGTAACAGAAATTATCCTGCTTGATGTATTGTATTGAGGCCTTGACGGAAAAGAAGTCGGCGTTGTCGGTCATCCCCAGTTGCTCATCTTTGACTTGCGAGATGGTCTTGAATGGATCACCTCGAGAACCGCTTCCAGGTGCAACAGTGCCTTGAATATTGGCATGCGTCGCGAAATTGCCACTCCGACCTTGGTCTTCATACCATCCTTTCAATCGGTGTGCTTCGGGCATGTCAGGATTGGCGGCCACTGAGCCAGAACTTAGTAGACTCAAGCTACGTCCGCCAAAATCCGAGACTTTGACACCTTTGAAGGCGACAACCGATTCAGGTGGGATGTCGAACGAGGACGCAACCTTCCCCCAAACCGTCATTCGTACGGAGTATCCAGTGTTGTCAACTAGAGTGAGCTCTCTCTTGTCATATGGTTTGCTTGTGGTTTTCGATGTGATTTGTGAAGTCTCACCAATGTCTTTGAGCACGCCAATGATGTCGATGGTTGTGTCTTTCTCCACGGACTGCAAGTCTGCGATTGAGGTGAAGTTGTATCGAACCTGAGGAACACCGTCTTGCTCCTCTGCTTTCTCGACAGTGGTGTCTTTCTCAAAGTGCAATTCGTAGTCGTTTGCCAGATTTGAGAACTGTTTCTTCGCCAAAGTGACTCTGCAGGGACTAGAAATGTAGTAGACACTGCCTTCTTGGAATAGATCGTATAGTTGATCACATTGGTCATTGAAACCAGTAGCCCGGATTTCGCCACTCTCATCCAAGAGGTTCACACTGAACAATTTGCCCTCGCCATTGCGGTTATGCCATGTCTTGATGTCCGATTTGCTTGTGCAACGTGCCTTGATCGTCCATTTGTTGGAGTATGGGGAAATCGCTTCAATAGGGTAGATGTTCGCATGGGCTGACGATGAGGGTTTCACATTACCCATCGGACGGCTCTGTTTCGGCTGCTCTTGCTTGTTTCCATAGAATCCATTGCTCGTGATCGATGTTGGGTAGGCTTTTTCCTCCTCTTCGGCCTTCAACTCCAATGGTTTCGGGTCGCCAAGTTTCTCGTGCTCGCCGTACTCTTCGAGGACTTTGATGTCGGTTACGATCAAGATACTGCGACAAATGGTCAGGGTCATTGCAAGTTCGAGCAAGAGCCTGTCTTACCGTTTGGCCTTGACCTTGTTTGCGGAATATCCCATCAGTTGCACGAGGACTCCTCTGCGGAGGATCTTCTCCTCCACAAGCTGATTCTGGTGCACCGCCAGCATTGTCTGGATGTAGTTCTTCGTGTCACTGAAAATGACTCGGTGGCGCTCCTGGCCACCTTGTTGAGTAGCAATGGGCTTGATCTGGACACATTCTGTTTGCTGTTAGCCTCTGTCGAGCCTCTTGCGACATGTTGGCTCCTCAACATGAGATGGCAACTTACGCATCACCGGGTGCTCAACCCTGCCAGGACGATCCTCAAAAATGTCTGCAAGCGAGCCTGCATCGACGCGCGCGAGCGCAGCAGCGGGCGAATTCATGGCTAGGACCGACAGGCGAGTTCAACGAAACAAATAATTCAGATGGCAGATCGAAGCAATTGTTGGTGAATTAGAACAGTGATGGTGGTGGGAGAAGCCTGATGATGCCTGCGGGCTCCCACTTCTTCGACGCGTTCTAACGCGTTAAGTGGTTCCTCCCCGCCACCGCCGCATCAGCCTGGCAAGAAGTGGCGCAAACAAACTGGCCGCTTAAAAAGCACCACCGTCTGACACCGTATTTTTGTCTGAGTTCAGGCTTCCAACTTCGCCATTTTCTGCAACTCTCAATTCCATCGTGTGTTAACTGTACCTATACTGTAGATAGATGATACTTAGCGAGAATCTACGCTGTGATAAGCCATAAGAACACTTGGACTTCTACTCCAGTAAAACGTACTTGGTCATCTCCAGGCAGGCACCGCAGACCATATTATCCGTTGACGTCTGTAGAGGTACTTTCCTGTCAGACCTACCGTTATTCAGGTTGCCTTCAAGGGAGAGACCCGTCGTATCACCTCGCTGCATCATTCTACTTTCAAGGTAATCTGTCAATGATCATAGCTTACCAGATGGTTGAGTCGTCACCCAAGCAGCTATAGACTTCTGATTCGAAGTAGACGACAGTCAAAACTCAGAGAAAGCAAAGCTTACCTCTCACTTGATTGCTTCATCATGGCCGACTCCGAACTTGCAACCAAGGCTCCTGAATCTGATGCCATGGAAGTGCAAGTCGAACCCTCCGCCATCTCATCCACTGATTCAAAGGCTCAAGCTGGTCCCAGCATGGGAGAACACTGCGTGACAGACCGCCCTGCACCGGGCAATCGTCAGCCGTCCGGCGAAATGTCCAAGATGGGTGACGTGGATGTCTACATCTCGAAACCGGCGGACTATCCAAACACCCCAGCCAACCTACTCTTACTTCTTACCTCTGGCACGGGTGTGCACTCAGTGAACAATCAGGTTCAAGCAGACATGTTCGCCGCCGAAGGCTTTGTGGTGATCATGCCGGACCAATTCAATGGTGATCCGGCACCGAGCTCCAACAAGACCACCATGCCCACCTCTCCCGTTTCTCCCGGTGAGCCACCTCAAAGTCCGAGCATTCTCGAACGAATAAAGCTTGGTGCCGCGGAGACGGCCAAATCATTCCTCGTGGACATGTGGCTGGCTCGCCAGACCCCGGAGAAAGTACTTCCCATCCTGCTCAAGGTGATTGAGACATGCAAGGACGAATATGCGGATGCAGTTGCCCATGGACAAGGAATCTATAGCGTGGGATACTGCTTCGGTGGGAAGTATGTGATTATGCTAGCCGGCGAGCATACTGATCCCCCTATGCAAGGGTCAGGAGCGAAGGATGAAGAGCAGGGGATGATCAAGAAGGGGCCGCTTATTAAGGCGGGCGCTGTAGCACACGCGACATTGGTGACGCGTGAGGACTTCAAGGCCGTTAAGGCGCCCCTGACGATGGTTTGTGTCGGTAAGTTAGACCGATGTGTTTGCGGTGTTCAGATTCATGGCTGACAATCCTGACCAGAGAACGACCCTCTACTCCCCGACGAAGTGCTGGAAGTTGGTCGAAAATACCTTGCAGCCAGCAGCATAGAGCATGAGATTAAGACATACCCTGAGGTACCGCATGGTGAGTTCCAACTTGGACAACTCCCGCAGTGGTAAAGGGGCAAGTCACTAAACCTGGCACAGGATTTGCGGTCTATGGAGATTACGATTCGCCTGTAATCGAAAGGGCCCAGGAAGCGGCTTTTCAACAAATGCTGAACTGGCTTAAATCGCACTAGTGCTTCTGTCCAAGGATGTTTGACGGCAATAGATAGCTCGTACGAGCCATAACGATACCCAGGAAACAATAATGAAATCAGGAAGATAACGTGGTCGGGTCTATCACATCGCATTGGACCGCAGGAGAGTGTTCGAGTTGGTTGCATTTGACCTCGCTCAAATACTTCATAGGGCACACTTGGCCCAGGACGCCTGAATCGGTGCAGAATTGGTCTTTACCAAGCAGAAACTGGAGGATCCCGCTGTGCCATCACCTTCCAGGAGCTCTTCTCACTATCTTGTTCTTGTTGATGGTGCCTACACCTGCTAGAAGCCCGTGTCCTTGCTCCTGTCCGTTGCTCTGTACCCGTCGCCGGTTCTTGTCGTTAATTCGTTTATTTCTGCATCATCAGTTGCACGAATTCGTTGTCTGTATTTTTGCGCCGATCAGTTCTGATGTAGCACACGAGAAACGCGAGAAACGAGAACATGTTTGGCTTACAGTCAATGCGACCATCACCGTCTTGGTCAGCCTCGCGGATCATCTCATCCACCTCATCATCCGTGAGCTTTTCACCAATGGAAGTCATGACATGACGCAGTTCGGCGGCGGAAATGAAGCCATTGTTGTCGCGATCGAACACCTTGAATGCTTCTCGGATTTCCTCCTCCGAATCTGTGTCCTTCATCTTTCGAGCCATCATCGTGAGGAATTCTAACAGACTCGTGAGCCAAGTCACTAAACGCCACCGAGTTGAGCTGCTCCTTCATACCTGGGAAGTCAATGGTGCCATTGTTGTCTGCGTCCACCTCGTTGATCATGTCCTGAAGTTCGGATTCTGAAGGATTTTGGCCGAGGGATCTCATCACGGTGCCCAGCTCTTTGGTGGTGATTTGCCCTGGTAATGTATGTTAGATTCTGAGCCTGGCAACGACGTCGGCGGGGTTGGACGGGGGTCAATATACCATCGCCATCTTTGTCCTGCGGGGCTTTGCGTCAGTATTCAAGGCAACATTGTAGCAGATTGATGAACGTACAAATAGAGAGAAAGCTTCCTTAAATTCGGAGACCTGTTCTTCGGTCAAGGAGTCCGCCTAAATCCAAGAGATGTCAGTCTGTGCACCCATCGAGAAATGTTTCACCAATGCAGCCGCAGTCGGAGTTTCCATATGATGGCATACCATGGTGGAAGTCGATCACGAAACGGTGGGCGTTGCAGTCGGGGTCAAGTTGTTGAGGTGCGCAATGGTGGAAAGGGGGTATAAATATCTGTGCTTCCTGGAGGAAGGATATATTGTCTGAAGCGACGGCGTAAGGTGGACAGACAGGGTTACCAGTAAAGTTGCAGGTGTCTGTGGAAAGGGCAAGCCTCAACCTCCACTGTATTTGGCGGCTGGAATTTGGCCCCAGCTGAAAAGACGAAGGATTGCGGGAGGATTCCATGGGTGCCATGTCCTCCGGATTATTGATTCTCCGTGCCCCTGCCTTCGTCACAACGAGGCAGATCCACAGAATGATCAAGACGCCGTTGCTGTTCGTTGCTCGCTTGCTCGCATCGGCTGCCTGTGTCGCGCAACCGGTCTTCAATGCCGCTTCGACAATGCTTGCTGCTGCTATGCCACTGACGTCCTGACAACCATCTGAACTATACATCTTGGCCCATACTCAGCTGTACTGCTCGACCAGCATGCCCGTCAGAGCAACCACAGATCAAGCGGAAGACCACAGTCACATGTGATCCTCTTCAATTCCATCAGATCTCAATATGTGGAGAGACCGGACGAATCTGTATAGCCCAAGAGTTCCTGGTGAAAACCAAGACTTTCTGACTGTCTTCTAGTTACATCTCCTATCGCCAGTCATACTCCCACCATCCCGCGAAGAAACCGCGACTCCCAACCACCACGAACGGCTATGCCGACCAAGCATCAGAGGAGACCAGGGGTCTCATGTCCGTTGGAGCATACGAGAACGATGGCGATGCGGTGATAGAGATGGACCTGCTCCCTCCCCGCTGGATAGATGTCCAAGACGAGGTCGGCGACATTCTCAAGGACATCACGCTCAAAGCTGCAAAGTTGGAAAAGCTGCATTCGAAACATGTCCTTCCAGGGTTTGATGACGAATCGGTCAAGCTCCAGGAGGAGCGTGAAATAGAGCAGTTGACGACGGAGATTACGAGAGGTTTTCAAGAATGCCAAAAAGCCATCAAGCGCATCGAGAACATGGTCAAAGAGGCCAGGGAGACAGGCAACCTCCAAAAGGGAGACGAGATCATGGCGAAGAATATCCAAGTCGCTCTGGCATCTAGAGTCCAGGAGGTCAGCGCCACGTTTAGGAAGAAACAAAGCAATTACCTTAACAAGCTTCGTCAACTGGGTGGCTTCGAGTCACCAATCGGCCGGTCTTCGACCCCGATACCAGTTCAGAACCCATACTCCGACCCGGCTTTACTCGAGTCTGACGCCGACAAACGACTAGGACAATCGGCATTGCAGCAGACCGCGCAGAAACGACTGCATAGGAACGACACCGCCATTGCACAACGAGAACAAGAAATCAACGATATCGCCAAAGGCATCATCGAGTTGGCCGACATATTCCGCGACTTACAGGCAATGGTTATCGACCAGGGCACCATGCTCGATCGCATTGACTATAATGTGGAACGGATGGCTACCGATGTAAAAGGAGCAGAGAAGGAGCTCATCGTCGCGACCAATTACCAAAAACGCAACACCAAACGGAAAATTCTCCTCTTATTGTTGCTGCTTGTCATTGGCATGTTTGTCCTCCTGCTCATCAAACCGAAGAGGCGGGCACAACCAGTGGCACCTCCTGCATCCCCAGCGAACCCAAACAATCCTCCTTAGCGGGATGGTGTACACCACGATAGTAAGATCCCTTCTGGAGGCGGAAGAGGCCATACCACCATTCTACCCTTAAGGTCTGATCCGGGCGACACTCTTACGTTGAAGGACGAGATTTGACAGTGTTGCCTCCGGTGTAGGGCCGTTAGATGGCAACCGCTCTCCCACTTGAGATCATCTGGGGAATCCACACCGAACGCGGTCTATTCCGACAGAAAGTCCACAAGAGTTGGACAGGATTGCAGAAGAGTGAGTCAGATAGGACTCCAGCCCAAGAGATTTGTGGTGCGCATTGAGGATTAGGTCATCAAGCTATATTACCAGGGTCACCAAACGGTCTACCAGACGTCTCGCGTCTTATACAAGCTCACAAGCTGGTCGAAATCATAGGCAAGCTTGAGGTAGCTGTGTCGAAAAATGATGTAAGTGTCCCAGCCCATGAACTTCTCTAGTACCATGTCATGCATTGCTAATACAGAACCAGAGAGTCCAAGGTCGTCTTTGTTGTACACAAGGAAAACCGCTGGAATATTTTCACCTCTCTTACGAAGAGGATGTGTATGATACAAGTACACTGCTACCTAGTAGTCATGTCTAGCACTAGCTCTTTGTCAGAGCTTCAGATATATTGTACATGGCTTGCTAAGTATGTAAAACATCTAGATGGAATTACCGGAGAGGCAGGCCCAGGCTATTGATGACCGCGATGGATGTGGTTGAGTACCTAGTAATGGTGTTCACGATACCATCTTCGCCTACCGACCGCCTGTCCAGAGGAGTGAATATGCGAAAGTCCAGCTCAGTAAGGCCACGAAGAGTTGCAATAGTGTCTTTGTGATATGTACAGAGTATTATGTGTACTAAGAACAGTCAAAAGACCTTCTGCTCGTAGCTGGACATGGAATACTTTAGTTGTACCAACCGAACAGCAATTAACACCGGCAACCAAGGATGAATATCGTGTACCTCGTGCTTGAAGCCCTAGTCCTCGAAATAACCAAGCTATGGAACATAATTACCTACTACCTAGCACCCTAGGTACCTAGCGAGCTAGGTATGTAGTCGAGAAAATATAGTCATTAGCGCCGAAGTCCGGGCAATGGTGCCAACGGCCCGATCAGTGTCCGCTCCGATCTCTCACAGGCCAAGAAGCCCTCTAACTTACAAAAATTATATAATTTATAGACTCGCAAATTCTTTCAAGAAGTGCCGGGAGACACGCAACGCCACAAGCGCTTCGTTCTTCGCGGCCCTCATAGCTCAGCGGTAGAGCGCGACACTAGTACGCTCCCCCTATAACTACTGGAATGTCGAGGCCATGAGTTCGACTCTCATTGAGGGCATTTTTTTTCCATCTTTTTGCTCTCTGTTCAATTGAAGCCTGAAGTCTGAACCACCTGTCGAGGGTTCAGCTATAGTTTTACTTCTCTTGATTTCTTGGTATGTCTTTTTTGCTTTCTGGCGAGACTCGTTGGACAATTGGTTGTGATATATTTAGAACCTGCCAAGACGCCAAGGATACCTCCCCCAGAGCACATTGTACCTAGGTAGAGATTCCTTTGTCTGAGAGTACCCAGGGAAGGGGATGAGAGAGGTTCTGAACTCTCCCGATGCGGGCAGGAGTGTTTGTACACCCTCAAAATCCCGAACTCTCATCAGGACGGAACAGATGGTCACCCCCAGATCTCAGCTTCACATAAATCGGGGACTCAGGATCGTAGGTCATGCTATGATGTGGAAGGTTCAACGACAAAGAGCGCTATATGACCTTTGCTGGAGCAGAGCCACCATTGTTAATGTGGAGACTTCTGCAAAGGGGTTCCGTACAGCCCGGAGAGAGGCCTCTCTATCTCAAGTCCTCTCCTTCAGATGCCAGGCTCGACAATGTAAACATCTTATCTCGGGGATCGTGGATCTGTGGACTCCAAGTGATGGGTCCAGGCCGAAGAAGATTGACACTGCCAACACAGATGGCACTTGATATTGAAAGAATACACAGGGACAATTTGCCTCTGACATAACTCCACGCTATACGATCACAATGTTGTCCTCCAATAAAGGTCCAAATCACCGTACGTTTTCGATAAGTCATCGACCGCGCGAGTTCTCACGGGCGGAGATAGGTTGCCTGTTTGCTCCTCTGCTGAGGGACAACCATGGCCCTCGGCGCTGTGAGCATCGACTTTATTTCTCCGCGCAGGCATGGTCCCATTTGAAAACGGCCCAGAGAAACCTGCCCACATCTCAAGAGAGGGATGGCTTGAGCTCGCCCACCTCCCGGAGGCTTGAAAAGGATCCCGGCCCATAGACTGCTTTCCTAGGTTGGCGATGGCAGAATCCGAGGCAGCGACAGGATGTTGTGTTTGCACATCAAGCGCTGTACTTCTCATGCCATGTTCCACCGTTGAAACCGTGTTACTGCCGCGCAACGGCAGATCTTGGAGAGCCGCAACAGCTCGTCGGGCCGCGACATCAGTCTGTGACAGATCTTCCAGAATGGAACAGGCTGTACGGAAATATTCAACAGTCTCCTCGCCCAGGTCAAAGTCCTTCTTAGTCTGTGCCGGAGAAAGCAAGTGCCACAGAAAATCAGTTAGCGATGTGGACAAGTGAACGCCAACAGATCGTGGCGTAGCCTCTGAAATATCCATGACAGTTGCAATGTCAGCAACGCTCGTCCTTGCAAGCTGCTGGCAAATGAGCATCGAGTCATGGTCCTGTGACGGGTGTAGCGAATCATGTCTGAGAAGTAATCGGAGAGAATTGATTGTCTATCGAAGACGTTAGAACCTATCCATGCTGCGAGATCATAGCGAGAAGGCTTCAGCTTACATTCGAAATGATCAGTCGTTGCCAGATAGGATGCGAGGGTTCCAGTCCGTCGTCACCTCTCACGCCCAATTTGCGCCATGCAAGGTGAGATGGTAGGCCAGAGCTCAACCGAAGAAGTTGTGAATCGATATTTGCAGCCATCACTCTATCGAGCGTTGTATTCTGCCGTATAGAGATTTGCTGATCCCATATTTCCCTCCCGATCCTTGCGAGATGCACAAGGACCTGAAGATAGTCGAGACCGGCGTTCACCGTGGCGCTGAACCCGGTGTTTTGGAGGTTTGAGGCATCGCGATTAGTCGTTTGGACATCATCGACAGCAGTTACTCGATCGCGAATCCAATATGGCGTGCCGCCAATTCGACTAATCTGTTGGTCCATTACATAGATTGACCACCATAGCCGCTTGTAATGCCGCGCATGTGCATCCTTAGTGTAAAGCAATGCGTCTTGCACGTTGAGCTGGGAGGCGATTGCCAACTGCGAGGCTAAACCTATGGCTTCTGATGCCTCGTGAAACTTTCCAAGTGTCAGCAAGTAGAAGGAACTTAGCGTGAAGCACCTTAAAACATCTATGTCCGGTTGATACTGTTTCGCGAAATGCTGTAGCAATGTCTGCATTTGGACATACCATGCCCAGCCAGAGATTTTACTTTGGGTACTCCAAATTGAATCAGAACCCAAGTTCTCAGCCGTAGCTAAGATGGCACAGAGCAATGCTGCTAACGGACATTTTTCCATGGTCACATGCACCACATAGTCTCCTGTCTCCGAAAGACCTAGGTCACGCAGAAGACTCGATATGCGCTCCGTCATGTGGTCTCGCTCCATCATTGGCAGCACCAGATCGATGTCCGCAAAGAACAGATCAAGAAGCGAATGTATCTGTGAATTTGAAACAAGTTTTAGAGAGATGGTGGTTTTTGGGTTGGGTGTCGTTGCCAGCGGGTTGAAACGTCGTGAGCTTTCCAGAATCAAACTCAGAGAAGAAAGCCTTGATGCAAATCCCACCTTCTTGTAAGTGCTTGCGTCATCATCTTTTGACCGGTAGTCTGCGTAGAAGCCATCTTGTTGATCAACCTCTTGACCTTCTGTCGAAGGAGAATAAGTGTGATCATCGCTGTAATATTGTCAGCTGCGCCTTGGAATCTTGCGTTGCAGTGATGAGGTATGGCCTCACTTTGTGGGAGTGAGCAATTGAGGATAAGTTGGAGATTCGAGCGTAGTATCACCACCCAACACGCTTTCAGAGGGCTCGGAAGGATTGACATGTATTGTTGTATCATGGATGATGCTCTGCTCCATCGACGCTGACGAGGAAAACTCAGAGTGGTCAGGGCGAGAGCTTGGGAGTAGGCTGGAGAGTATTTAGCTCTCCTGAAAAGGATTCTTGATGGCAGGGTCATTCGCACCGAGCACGACGTTGTAAGGGCGCCGTCTTAGTGTGACCCGAGTAGGTGCAATGATCACCCCTGACTCGACATTGAACACAGATGTCTTCTCCTGAACACTGCGAGCATATGTATAAGCACCTAGCGGCCGAAACTGTTATGAGTACTACCTTGACTTTGCGCTGCTTGCAATGGACGCTTGAAAGAATCAACATAACAGCTCAAAAAATCGCGTTGGACATAGGTCGGCGTAACACACCAGGCGCGAGCAGTATATCTTCCTCTCTTTCGTACAGGCTCCATGACGATCCAACAATTCCAAGGTGACAAACTAGAGATATACCCAAAGGAAGAAATTGGCGTCAAGTCGAAGACTCTACAACGCTATCGTTGTATCGTCCGTACAACCAGTTATCTGGATCTAACTCTAAATACCGTAGCAGTCACCTCGGTACTCGGGACCCTTCCAGGATAGTTCCTTACTCAAAGAATCCTCGTCAAACTCTGCCTGCCCGGCCTGCCTGGAGAAATGTGTGCGGGCCCGGATGCCTTCTGCCGAGCACTGGATTCCCCAGGTCTCCTTGCAGAATTGCCGGCATCCAAGGGCAGTCTTCACCGTTTCCTCACGACATCCGTATCTCAACCAAAGCCTTACCCGGCTGTTTCGCATCTATTAGAACGACCTAGCAGAAAACAAGCACGGCAGACACAGCATGCAAATCTACTCCTCTGGCCTGGTCACTCGACGCGCCTCAATTGCTTGTATCGCATGTCGCCGACGAAGGACGAGGGTGAGCCCCTAACCCCTGCTACGCAAGATGATGGGGGATATGATGAGATGACTAGTTGACCACGCAGTGTGACGGAGACTCTCGGTACAACAAACCATGCACACATTGCATCGAGGCCAAGGCCCAGTGCGAATTTCCCCGTCATGATGGCAGAAAAAGGTAGCTGTTGTCTGTCACTTATCGGAACAAGGAGATCTAATCCTGAAAATTGCGATACAGGGGCCGAAAAGATCTGGTTAGACTCCACAAGGAACTTATTGATACACTCGAACGAGTTAAAAGGTGCGGCCTCGACTTGTCACAGCCAAGTGCAGCTGCTGGTTTGGATGGTAGCCCGCAGCTCCCGCACCTTCCAGACTTGCTCTCTTCGCCACTTGTACGGCGTCTCTCTTCGATGAATTCCAACACAGAGATGCCTCGCGACGTCTCTGGATCATTCATTCCGATCACCGAAGTTCTATTGAACACTCAGGCTATGAGGAAAGATTTTGCGCTCACAAAGTCAGGCTCACGCCGGCAGAAACAAGACATTGGCAATTACGGGCCTGTTCTCAGCTCTGCAGAGGTAGGATGGCTCAGTACTGGTCTTCAGGGCCAAGTTGGGTACTTCGGCTATACCTCCAACTTGCAAGTGGTATTGACTCTTCCCCTCGTATCTCCTCACTCTCCTGCGGCGCTACACCATAATGAGGCCAACAATCACAAAGAAATGGCAGATCTGGAGGAGTTCCAAGCTCACTTGGTCGAACTCTACTTCACCTACCAAAATCCTGCTCTACCCATCATACAGAAAGAGGCATTTATGGAAGATTTAGTGCGGCGAGAACGAAGTCCATACTTCTCCAAGTTTTTGCTGCATTGCATACTTGCGAGATCTGCACGATTGAGTGATCGTCCGTATGCTGTTTCGCTTATCCCTCTCTATTCCAAACGCATAAAATCAGAACTCTTGAACGAGATTGATAATCCAGATATTACCACCATCCAAGCATTATGTCTTTATGGGCATTTCCTGGGAAGCATAGGGGATGACAGAGGCTGCTGGCTCTATCCTGGTGCGTATCTATCCCGCGAAACCTCAGGAATGCTTTTGGTTGATATGAGTGCGTTCTAGGTATGGCATTTCGGTTGGCATATGATCTGGGCCTCCATCGAGACTGTTTGCACTTAGTAAAGACGGGAAAATTAACAGCTCGAGACCGGCAGTTGAGGATCTCAACTTTTTGGGGCTGTTATGTGCTGGATAAGTGAGTGACTTCATAGTGATGCCTTGGGAGCACGGCCATATGCTTATCCGGACTGCAGGATATATTGTGTTTGTCAAGGCCGACCTAGCACAATCAAGATCCAAGATGTCAGCATTCCACGTCCCTCAAAAGATACAGTCGGTTCTCAGCACCAATTGCTGAGTGCTTGGGTGGATCTCTCCATAATACTTGATGACATGAACGCGATCCTGAATGGGCAGCCCGGGGATTTGGATAAGGACGCCAATCTGAAAAATTTGTCCGATATTGCAGATAACCTGCTTCTCTGGTTGAGATCACTACCCTCAGATCTTTGCTGGAACAAAAATTCCTTTCCTTCCCCAGAGGTTTGTGCACTTCACACCCAAGTACTGATCGCCATCGTCCTCATACACCGCCCTTTTGCAAATTCTGCTCCATCGACTACAGAAACTCCAACAACTCATAAGAAACAGCTGCCTGGATATTCTGCAGACGACTCGCGCAATATCTGTACGCAGAACAGTATTCGCATTGCAAAGATGATCGATGCATTCGGACGACAGTATGGAATACAGAAAATCTTTTCGGTGGCCGTATACATTGCCCTCACAGCGGCCATGACACTGGTCTCCAATGTCACACAGTCTACCGCACTGCAAAAGCCCCATCCCGAATCGAAGAAAGCTCTCGATGTCTGTCTGGATGCGTTGAGCGATTTAAGTCCTTCCTTTCCCACCGCAGGCCGTCACCACGCTATTCTGAAATCCATTCTGAAATCTTGTGGCTATCAGCACGAACTCGATCGTGATAAAGCTACTACGAATTCAATGGGTACTCGATCTACTCCTCACGTTGTGGACGTCGCGCCACAAATACAATGCCCCACAACGCAACGGCGTGACAAAGGGGAACACAACTCAGCCGAGCACGAGAATTCTGTCCCGGTAATGACACAGCCAGTGGTCACGGTGGCCAACGTTGGTCGTACAGGAATAAAAGGCATGAGCGATTATCAGCAGCCCGACCCATATGACAATTTAGACATGAGGCAAAATCTACCAGAGATTTTTACGGAAGACCTCCCCCAGCTGTCCTACCAAAGGTTGTCCAATGAATTTGAAACGCTGGACCGTGCTCCGACATCAGATTATATGGAATCGATGCAGAATAACGGCTCGATATATCAAGGGCAAACCGGTCATGAACAGCAGATCCATGACAAGATAAATGATTTGATGATGGAGGGCGGTACTGGGATAGACCCCAACATTTGGAATCTGCCTCCATTCAGCAGTGATTCATGGATGACCGAGATGGAGGCCAGTTCACCGTCTCAGATGTTTGTGAGTGATGCTTTTAACGTGACGATGGCCGGCATGGAAGCTATGGATCAACTAGGCCAACCGACTCATCGAGGCTATCTGTAATAGCCTTTGCTACAGCGCAGAGCTATTTTGTTGTATACTTGATGTATGTATAGCAATAAATAGACACTCTATTCTGTGAAAGGATCATTCGAGTCATGAATGCCATGATGAGGAGGAGATTTGATTCATCCTTGCCCGCATTTGAAGTGGAAAGGAACCCGTCCTTCATGAGCTCGGAACTCTCCAGCAATGAGCTTGTCAGCCTAAACTAGGCATGAGGATCGTGTAGGTACTTTTTAATGGAGCAGAGATGAGCCCATGTAACTGTCCATGGTTTTAGTGAGCCCAGATGCACATCAGTCGCACCAGTTTTCATGAGCTCCGTATCCCGCGAAAACAAAACTCCCGGCGATCTGAACCCTACCATCGTCGTCAAGGAGAGATCCAGTTCTTGAATCTTCTTTAGACACCAAATCTCCTCACACCGATACCCGAACTTATCTTCCGTTTAATCCGTAATTTCCCATAATAAACTTTGCCCTGCATAGCCTACCGTCGGATATTGGACTTCCTCGGAACTATTCAACTGCAACCGAGAATTGTTAGATTTCAGAGCCCGACGTGAAAGAATAATTAAAGGTCAGACACTTGGTAACTCAAGAAAAGGGGAGAGCCATGGCACAACTACAGGGTAAAGTGATTGCCATCTCAGGGGCAGGGTCAGGGATTGGGCTTGCGACGGCCCGTGAATGCGCCGATCGAGGAGCGATCTTGGCCTTGTCAGATATCAATCCGGAGCTTCTGAACAAAGTCGTCGAAGAGCTTGAGGCCAAAAAAGACGTCAAGGTGAAAGGCACAGTTGTGGATGTCTCGGATTCTCAGAGTGTCGATGCCTGGATCGTAGACACTGTCGAGCACTTTGGGCGTCTTGACGGGGCGGCAAATGTCGCCGGGGTCGAGACTCGGCCGGGCCAGCAGCGGTTCTCGAGAATCACTGACATCTCCGACGACCACTGGGACTTTGTCAACCGAATCAACCTCACGGGAACATTCTACTGTCTGCGCGCCGAGTTAAGAGTAATCCAGGCTGGCGGTTCGATCGTCAACGTCTCCAGTATGGCAGGGCTGATTGGCGTGTACGGGCTTGGCTCGTATGTAGCCAGCAAACACGGTGTCATCGGATTGTCGAGGACTGCGGCCAAAGAATTCGGGGAGAAGGGTATCCGGGTCAATGTGCTCGCTCCGTCAGTGGTGGTCTCCGTCCCGCAATACTGCTGACTTGATATGATTGACTTTGGTATGTACAGGGGTTCCATCGACACTCCCATGCTGAGCCGGCTACGCAGCGACCAATCCGGGATTGAGCGACCTCCTTCAGTTCGACCACCGCCGCCGCCGTTACAACGCTTGGGAACTGCGACAGATATGGCCAAAACCATCTGCTTTATACTCAGTGACGACTCGAGCTTTACCACCGGAGCAGTCTTTTCTGCAGATGGTGGTGTTGTCTGTTGAGGAGGTTTGGCGAGATTCCTGCGAAGCTTCACAGATACATTTCACGGATATGAATTCATATCGATCATCCATGCAGTCCACACTCTGTAGAGCCAGACTCTATCAATCAACAGATTTTTTGTTCAATCCTCTCTTCCTGAAAGGTCAGAAAATCTAGGATGGCGGTCCATAACGATCCGGGTTATTTCCGATGACTGATATTAGCTCTCTAGAACTGGTTGCTGGCGTGGAACTTGCTTGCGCTGATCAAATGGGGGAAGCGGGCTAGATATCTGTTTTTGCATTGATGCCTGACTGTGAGATACACTTCTGTTGAGTAAGTCCTCCAGTCTTAGAATCTGTCAACAGGTTGCTTTCCTTGATATTTCCCTAGCCGCTGCTTACGAGGTCACATCCAAGGCCCTAACCATGGAAGATTCCCGAAACCAATCTGTCACTATTTGGTACTCTCTCCAACTTGTCCCTGATTTGCCTGTTCGATCTGTACCACTTGCTCCCGAAGGCCCTTGTCATTTCCCGGGAGATCCTGTTCGATAGCGTCAAGAGGAATCTCTGCGGTATCCAGGTCTCTCTGATAGACCATGACCATATCTTCGTCGCCAAAGATGGCCGCGATCTCTTCCAGGGGCTTGTGCAGTGTGTCCGGGTAAGTCCACCATATGTAGACTCCGCCAGCAGCAGGCACGAAGATGAAGACGAGGAAATACTTCCAGCCAATGTTATCGAAAGCCAGTGGGGCACATTGGAGAAAGACAATGTCGGTCGCGCAGAGCGAAGCGACGGCGATGCCGAGGCCCTTGGATCGGAGGTGCGTCGGCCAGATTTCTGCCACATAGTAAAAGGCCGCACCGTCCAAAGCGCCCGCGTAAATTGCCTGGAAGAGGTAAATCATGACCACGCATGCGATGAGGCCACCCTTGTTGTCTGTGCCCAGGTAAGTGCTCTGGAGCCCTGTCAAGACCGCCAGCGTCGCAGCGCACGACAAGAGTGCAATGCCAATGAGCCTTGGGCGTGAGACTCGATCCACAAAGGTCAAGGCGAGAAGGCCGAAGACGGCGCCAGTCAGTTGGAAACCACCCTGGAGGTTCAATATCTGGACATTGTTGAATCCGAGGGTCCTGTAGATGATAGAGCCGTAATCTAATATACGTTTAGGACGGCGAAATTCTCTCTCTCTCAAGGGGTTCCACTCTTGACTCACTGAGGATGACCAATATTCCTGAGCTCTGATTGCAGACTTCCAACAGAATTGTCATGAGGGCGCGTCTTCGCAAGGATGGTCTCTTGAGAATATCGAGGTATGAGGATGGCAGTCGAGAGTCAAACTCGATCTGCTTTCGCATCTGATAGAATTCCCGTTTGGCAAATTCCTTCTCTGGGTCGTCCTTGGTAGAGTGCAAATCTTGGACGACCTGCCAAGCTTCCTCGGTACGGTCCTTGCTCAACAGATAGCGAGGAGACTCGGGCATCCAGTAGATCCCGCAAAGTACAATGGCAGGGCACACCATTTGAATGCCCATGGCACCACGCCACTGGTTGGCACCAGAGACGAAATAGAACGCCAGCCCCATGTATGCTGCGAGAAGATAGCCGCATAGCATGAGGAAGGCATGAAGATCGACCAGGACGCCGCGCACTTGGGGTGGTGCCAGCTCAGCGATCCAGACTGGGACCTGAGACAAGGTTTGATAAGCTCTTGTTGTGCACCATCAGGGTCAGCTTTGTTCTCGTCAGAGCGGCGGAAGCAAAGGGGGAAATGGATTGAACAAATAACTCACCCCCATCCGTTGAAAAATCGAAACACAATGAACATAGGCGCATTGACTGATGCGGTGAGCAAGGCGGATGTTATCAAAATCATGGCTACTCCGACGGTGACACAGAGCTTTCGGCCGTACTTGCTGCTAAACCAACCGGCAATCAGTCCGCCGACAACACCTCCGGCAAACCAGATTCCGTTCATGGCACCAGTCAGCGAGGCGGCGTTGCTGGCGGTGTCCAAGTGCATGGACTTGGTGAAGGAAGGCTGCGAGAGCGTCGTGGCAATAATGGAAGATGAGTAGCCATACGATGTCGATCCCAAGGAGATGAACAGAATGATTCGGATGCAATAGGAGGTGACTTTCTGCTTCTTGATAAAGTCCTTGGGCACCTCTGCGCCATGGTCATGTCCGTGTTCGTGCATGGTTTATGATCGTGTAAATGAAACAGAGAGTTCGGTTCGATTCTTAGCGTAATAAATGACAAAATCTGATGACTCTACCTTGCGCTCCCGGTCTTTAACAGGGGATGTCCTGTTTTCTGGAACTTTGTCCTTGACTTTATACTTTGGCGAGCTATACAATTTCTCCAGTATCCCCGCTTGATCCAGAATTTCCGGGGAATGAGGGTGGATCGGAAAGAAGGCAAAGGGCTGGGGCAGAACTTGGGGAACCCCTGTTGGACAGGGATCTTTGCTGCCAGACGACGATATTCCTCTGAGCCTGTAGAGCCTGGGCAAAATTTGGGGCGGATGTGTGAAGATTCCAAGCCCGAAAGAGCGGGTTTTCTCACCAGCCAGTGTGGCAGTCAACAGCCAGCTTCGGAACCCACCTGTGACAGGTTTAGGAAATACGCTCACATGCAAGGTACTGAGCTTCTTGGTCTAGTTCCAGTTTGTGCAAGATTCCGATACACAGTGAGTGTGGAGCATCACCGCCAAATAGCTAGCTAGTGTCCTAATTGGCTGAGATTCCGAGGACGGGGTAGGTGACAACGAGAGGTTTTTCTATGAATTGGAAGTCCAGAGTGAGGCTGGCTATGAATAACAAGAGACTCAAATGCCTCCGAGGCATTCGGAACAGCGCGACGGCTGAGATACAATCGCACGCTTCCGCAAGGTTGCTATCTATACGTAATATTCTTCTTGAGGTTACTTGGCGAGGAATTGTGATCTTTGTCTGCTGTTACGAGCTGAGTTAATTATACCTCGTGCATCGGCGATGTCAGAGCAGGTGGGAATCGCACGGGGACTCATACCTACATAGATCTATGTGTAGTGCTTCCATAACAATCTATTCCCCCAGGCATTGGAGGAGTTCTCTTTTTCATTCCTGCGTGTGCAATCGTGTCATTCAACACGAAGTTCATCAGACGACTGAGTATTAGAGGTGTTCTGTCCAATCTACTTGCGTGCCTATAGGCTGATTACCATTATTTGATCACAGATGGGAAGATCTTATTCAGTCAAGTGTTCGTACACATGGCACAGCTAGGGTGCTTACGGGAAACCGGATCATGCACAAGAGCGGCGTCTAGATCTCCAATTGTTCTCTTACGTACAAACTACCCTCGTATGTCAAACTGTGGAAACATAATTTACGTCCTGCTCCCATGATTGCGGTCACGTATGGTTATCACATGGGTGGAAGCTCATTGAGGTACCAACTGTCACAAGGTCAGTAACGTAAGCTAACACAAAGCTGCTGATGAAACTCACGAATCGTCAAAGTCGTCATTATACTCATACTCGTGCTCCAAGAAACCATTGTTCAACCAAGCAAAAGCAAGCTCTGACTCAGGGCAACGGGACACCCAATCAAAATCTTCGTAGCGACGAGTTTTCAGTAACTCGAACAAGTGCGCTCGTGAGCCAGGGTATAAGGCATCCAAGGGTGCGTCACGTCTGCCATTCTTGAGAGCGCTGCTGCAATTGTCCTTCCAAACAGTCTTTTCGAGCCATGCATGCATGTGTTCTCGATATGCCTCGGCCTTGCCGGCTTTCAGCTGAAAAGAGCTGTAGTTCTCGGTTTGAAGCTTTCTCAATATATCGCTGATATACAAGGTCACCCGCTCAATTGCGGTGATCAGGCTGCCCGCTCCCACGGGACTTCCGGGCCCGAGATAGGTGAAGTAGTTGGGAATATCCGGGGCCACACAGGACATATAGCACGCCGGGTTTTTTGCCCATGATGAGCGGAGGTCGATATTGTCGCTGCCGATGATCGACCATCTTGGGACAAAAGAGATGTCGAACCCTGTGGCACAGATGATGACGTCGAAGTCACGCTTCGTACCGTTGGCCGACTCGATACCCGTTTCTGTAAACTGACGCAATTCACCCCAAACCACCTCGCAGTTGGGAGAGCAAAGAGCCTCGAGATACCCGGTTCCAGGTGTCGGCCTTCGACAGCCCAGCGCAAAGTCGGGAATTAATAACTCTGCCAGCTCCGGCTTGGAAGCAAGTCTTTGTCGCATGTCTTGCACGGTAGTTTCTCTTGCATATCGTTGCTGAGGCGTGCCGCGGATATAGGTCCCAAAGCGAATGTTAAGTTCCTTCTCCACTGCTTTGCGAAAACGGAGGTATTCTTGAGGATCTTTCCTCCAAAGATCTTTCTGCTCCTGACTGAACAAGAGGTCTTTGCCACCGTCTGGAATATACTTGGACCCGAAATTCGCCGTAATATAAGTCGGGTTACGGACAAAGACCGACACATGAGAGGCAACCTTTTGTACGGCTGTCGTGACTTGAATGCCCGAGGATCCATTACCGATGACAGCCACCCGCTTGTTGCGCAAATCAATGCTGGGATCATAATTCGCACTGTGGACTATGGTGCCTTTGAAAGATTCCCGGCCAGGTAGAGCAGGCCATCTCCAGTGATTGAAGAAGCCACTCGCGTTGATGAAAATGTCACACTCGTCCACGATTTCCTCGCCCACCTCGCCATCGCTGATGCCAAAAGAAGACACGGCATTTCTTCGACCATCAGTCTGTCGACTTATGATCTGCCATTTCTGTCGCTCAGCGAGCCATCGAGCTCCAACAACTTTCCGACAAAGCGTGATGTATTTCCTCAGGTCAAATTTGTCCGTGGTGTCTTCCAGATACTTGAGTATTTCAGGTGCCGTGACATAGTACGATGACCAGTCTGGATTCGGGGCCCAGGAGAACTATTAGGTGAGGTTGGCACACAAACAACATGCAAGGTACTTCGGGTGTTCTAGGCATACCAGATAATTGTGACTGGGGATATCGCATGCGCATCCTGGATAACGATTCTCGAACCATGTTCCTCCCAGTCCAGCATTCTTTTCCAGGATTTGCAGCTCGATGTTCTGCAGCCGTCCCACCTTCACGTCGTGTGCGAACGAAAGAGCGCTGACTCCCGCTCCAACCATAATGACCTTAAGTTGTCGTGGTGTCTTGAATGGAAGTTTCGACAACTCGTAAGCAATAACAGATTTCTCTCGGTATGCTTCTGTGGGCGTGGGCTCGACCAGCTTGGCAGGAGGCGCAGGTCCAACAGCAGGTATTTCGTTCTGGCTCTTTATCGGCGCCTGGGCGTGTTCAACCCGAGTTGAGCGGTTTGGTGCAGCAGGTTCCTGGTCTGTCATGGGAGAAACGACAATAGCGGCCACTTTTGTGTTCAATCGGTCCTCAGATCCTTGGATCGGCGCTCCCTGGACCAGTATCGCCATGATCACGTATTTTCTTAGGATTTTGTGATGGACTTCCACACAATCAAACTGCAGAAAAGGCACTAAAGAGCTGAAGACAGTGGTTGTTTTACCTGCTTGTATTAATACTTACCTTGGGCGCCTCGTCACGGAAGATGTGTGGTAGTGGATACCGAGACCTTTCAGCAAGCAATGCAGAACTGTTTCCCTTCGGAATGCTGCCCCTACACTGTCCACAGCCTGATGCGAAGATCTGAGCAGCCATAAGAAGTTGAACCTGGGATGGTCTAATTGGTGCAAACAATGTTCCCTTGATGCTGCGCGCTCGGTCCAAATTCTCTCTTTGTGGCGTGTCGCAGGCACTGCGTAGGTTCAGTCGGAGATAGTAACAGAATCTTTTGCCGAAATCCTCAATTTTGCCGACCCACCATCTAATCGACAAATGCGATTCGTGAAGATTTCCGAGGAAGTCCTCTTCCGGTTGCCGATCTAGTTAATAAGAGTTTCAGAATCTAGGTTAGCTTTAACGCAATCTGCCGGTGGGCTGCGCACCTCCACACCGAAGCACTGGACCAATCCAGTTCAGAAGCAAAATTCGCGAGAAAAGGAATCAGGCAGAAGATTCTGAACCACAACTCTCTTCTTCCGCTAAATGGACTGGACATGTCTCGATATGATGTCCTGGCACTGTGCAACGTCCACACCGTCGTCGGCGCGGCCTATCGTCATCGCATAGGCCCCGTGACCGAAAGATTTCCTGTTGAAGTTGCCTTTCGAGCTGAGCCTGGCCAATTAGCTAAGATCCCCTCGTCCTTCGTAAGAGTTTCTGGCTCCCAAATCTGTCGTTTAGCACGTCCTTTTGGTTTTGACATGGCCTCAATCGCCTTGAGCAGAGTTGCGACTTCGTCCTATAATTAAAGCTGCGCGGCTACGCGACATGTCCCCCTTAGGAATTGATCCACGGCGTTGGTAATAGGGTTTAGGCTTGAATTCTGAGGCATGGTGATTTTTGTTCTTAATGATTTTTGTTCTTAATGATTTTCGTCTGAGATGTTGTTTCGGCCTAGCTAATTGGAGTTTTCGCCGCCCATGGTCCTTCTCAGGCGGAGACGAGGGTGAGAGTTCTGGGCTTCACGTTCAAGGTTCGAAAGAACGGCCGTAGAGAGAGTGAAACGGGATTAACCGAGAACCTCTGAATATTGCACTAATACTACGTGCAGTCATTGAGAGGCTTCGTATTTTATGGTGGAGTAAGCCTCTTTTGGCTTTCCGGCACCCCAGCCCAGATAGCCGGATTCTTGTGAGAATTATTGGTAAAGCCAGCAGCTGGCGTGAATGGATGATTCTCTCGCTAAGTTCTATGGAGTCCCCGAAGGCAACTATCTACCCATGCCCATAGATGCCCCAGCTGTGACACTGACACGTGCTTGTGGTGATTCCACAACCATTATGGAATCAGACGCCGATTAGTGGGGCATAATTCCACATGGGATGACGGAATCAGACGCCGATTTTCGTGGAGCATGACTCCACGTAACAACCTCAGATCAACAGTTGTCTACTGCAACTGACAACAAACAACAGCTGATGGACCTTAAGCGTTATAAGGAATAAGGAGCAGTAGATGAGTTCACCTTTAGGAACGAATAAGTACGACTTCTTGACACTCGCTTCTTACACAGAACGGAATATCGCAAGTGCATTAGGTTTAATGCAAGTTTTCCCCGCCTTGAGCTTGGATCGAGCCGTCAAATGTCCGATGTGTGGATCACATTTGGTCTTCGTCAGCAGCATGTGTCTGTTGCAGTATGGAAAAGCTAGCTGCTGATGAGTCCAGTTAGTTTTGAAGTCATTTTAGTTCGGGGATTCAACTTGGTAATGCTGCTCAGATAAGTATCAAGCAGTGTAGCTCGAGCACCCCTGAGCAAGCAGGATCACTTGTTTCTTTTCCCCGCGTCGGGTCTCTTCCTTCTCCACGTAGCGAAATCCAAAAGCTAACTTGATACCATGCCTACTTTGATCCTTGGTCCGGTGAATCAGTCTTCTAAAAGAGAACGCGAACTGCAGGACGCGGCAGCGCGCTCGCATGCTGCAAAGGCCTCATATGCCCGCGTGAGACGACATTACACGGCCATAATAAGACGCTATGAAGCTCCTCATGCTGCTACTAGAGATGTGGGAGTTTTGGGGCCCAATGTCTCCACGGGTTTCGACCTAACCCCAGCAACATCAATATATCCCGGTTTCGGCTCCTTCCGAAGCGAGCTTCTCAGTCTTCTTCCACCCGATGCACAAGCGGGTGATTTCCAGGCCCTCGACTTCTTTGTTGAGGTTACATTCCCTGGCATTGATGTTGCGAATGAGATGTTCGATAATTCAGGCGCCTTTCATTTCATACTACCAAGCCTCGTAAGTTGTCAACACTACCTATTTCTTTGGAGCCCGCACCATGATTGGGCTGTTGTCGCACTCTCGAGCTTCCCTTCTACCAATATCAGCTCTGATCTCTTTAGCAGACGTCCCCAGTCTCTTATCATGCGGTCATGAGTCAGCTTCACCTCACCAACACGATGCACCGCCAACCTCAGGTGAACCCTAGCATGCTTATGCTTAAACACCGAGGCAAGGCGATGGAAAAAGTCCGCACTTTTCTTAATCAAGCGAACTTCTCCTTGAGCGAAGCTCTGATATTCGCCATCGTGTGCCTGAGCACAATCGAAGCCGCTTTAGGCAACGTCGAGTCATACAAGCTGCATTTATCCGCCCTTAAGGTCTTGGGGCAAGAAAAAGGGCATTTAGAGCTCCCTTCGGGGCTGAGAGTGTCAGATATGGTGGCTCTGTACAGCGATACAACGTTTGCCCTGAGGACTGGCCAATCCGCTTTCAAGCGCCGACAATACGAAGAAATATATGCATCCACGCCTCTGCCTGTAGGAATTCAGCTTCCTCTTGGCTTTGATCTCCTCATCCGACAGAAACTGATAACACAAGACACGATCTCCATCCTCGTCAATGCTTGCAGGCTTGGTGTTGGCACCCCCTGCGTGGCTCTCACGTATTCGCAAAAGCTGTTCTTCGCAGGGCGTCGACAAACGTTAAAAAAGTATCTTTGCTACCTTGACAGCGTACCAATTCTCCTCGCTCCAGATAACACACACAATCTCTTTGAGAAGATGTTGGTCTTAGCACTGTCACTCTTCGCCTGGTGCGGCTTCAGCACCTTGCGATATCCTCAATTCTCAATGTACAACGCCATGATGGGGCAGCTCTCGGAAAGACTCATCCGGTTTCAGCCAGCCGCGGGAATTGAGCGGAAGTGTGTAGCATGGATATGGCTGATGGTAATCGATGCATGGCGGATAGGCGGTTATGACGGTACTTTATTGCCACAGGGCCACGATGTCTTGTGGCAGTTTCGTCAGCGTTTTTGGGAATATCGGTCTTGGGCTAATGTAATAGGTTTGACAAGGCTTTTCTTTTGGACTGGTGACATGGAGACATTTTGGTCTCGGAGGTGGGATTCCTTTTGATCCGAGAGTCTATGAAACAGCACTATCGAGGTCGTAATCTCGACACGAGGACATTCCATTTCCATCTCTGGACCTGAGCGTGGCCCTGAGCCTCGCTGCTTCCACCTGAGATACCCCTGCACGTGACTGAGCATGGTAGTAGTCGGCCTGAGCAACGGATTGATCGCGGCCCCAATCTGGGCCAGGGAACTCCATTCCCGGCACCGGCCTATACGAGGTATTAGATACCAATTTATCCCCTTTCCGCCAGCCTCAGGTACCTCGTACAGTACCCATGATTTGGCACCCGATTCAAGTTGACGTAATGGTCACAAAAGTTCCCTTTCTCTATAATCGGTTAGTCCGGGTCAAGCTTCTCCCTTTCTCCGGTGATCCAGGGTCGCCTCACCTTCGGCTCAGCTTCAATCAGCCAGTTCAGCCACTGCGCTCCTGAGCATCTCAGTCCCGCACCACTTCTGGCGTAACAGCGCGGTGTTAGCTAGAAGAATCTACACCGACCCCCTTCCAGGGACGGTCTGGTCTTGGATCGGCTTGTTACGACCCTCTGCAGCCGAACACGTGTAGAATCAAACACGAAGCGAAACAGCCCCTCGTTTGCGGGCACGTAGGCTTTGATGTCCTGAATCTGCCTAGAGCGGCCCAAGGCAGACTCCAATAGCGTGTTGGACGCCAAACTGCCAAGACTGGCGAGGCTTCGCCAGGGCTGCTCTGCATTGAGCATCAGCGAGGTCTGTGAGGGAATATAACCTGCACCCAGTCAACAAGATCCGCAATACACACTTGTGTGCTCCGACTTCGCGCTTCATTGCTTTCACACCCTGAAAGACGTTCTGTCAAGCCTAATGAGCAAGCGACAATCGGCCTCGACAGAATATTCCGGAGAAGCTGTCAAAAAGAAACGGACGCAGCATGGCAAAAATTACAAGGATTCTAATCCAGCGCTGATGCCCTTTTCATACGGTTTGGCATTAGGCCCGGATCAAATCAGATTGATGAAGCTAAGAGACGGAACTGTCAATACCAAAATCGAATTTGAACTCCATATTTTGGAACGTGGAGGAGCCGAATATCATGCTTTATCCTATGCTTGGGGCAGTCCTGTCCGCGATCAAGAAGCCTTTTGTAATGGACAGAGCTTGATGATAACTTCGAACTTACAACTTGCCTTATCCAGACTTCGAAAATTTCAAAAGGATACTTACTTGTGGGTGGACGGGGTATGCATCAATCAGGCAGACCCTGATGACAAATCGATCCAAGTGCGGCGCATGTCTTCCATCTATCGTGATGCAGCTGCTGTCATTGTCTGGCTGGGTGAGGAGAATGATACCACTGGCCTGGGAATACAGCTGCTCTCCAACCTCTGCCAAGCATTTCCCTCCTCCAACGGCGACGATATTCGATCTTTGTACCTCGATCATTCATCGTTGCCAACGGCAGAGGAGCTCGACAAGGCCGGCCAACTGGACAAGTTCGGCATACCATCAGATACTACGTCAGCTCCCTGGCAAGCAGCTGCCAAGATTCTTGACGCAGCTTGGTTTGGGAGGAGATGGGTCCTGCAGGAGGTGACTCGCTCCAGGAAATGTCTCTTCAGGATTGGGAGCTATGAGACGACGCCTGAGATCATCCTTGGCGGCGCATACCGCATCCTTTCGCTTCCCGAATTCAACCACGCTCTCGATCACAAGCAGAGAAGGAACTGCATTCGCGTCGAGAGTATTGTGCAACTATTGCGTATGCAACAGTCCTCCTGGCTCCATGAGTCGATGGCCGACATCTTACTCGAAACCGCGAACTTTGAGTCCACGGATCCACGAGACAGAATCTTCGCGATTGTGGGGTGTCTCAACGGCGTTCCGGATCATCTTATTGACTACAAGAAAGATTTGACAGAGGTTCTCACCAGCGTCGCTATGTGCGAAAGCGATAAAGAGGAGTTTTTGCTATCTCTACTGAGAGGTTTGTGTTATGTCGACAAGCTGTCCGGCGATGTGCCTTCTTGGATCCCAACATGGGAATTTTCGAGTTCGGGATGGCTATCGCTGTGGAACGACATAGAAGAGGATGCTATAGACGTCACCCAGATGGAGGCTTCTATCTCAGTCGATAGAAAACGTCTACAGACTCGAGCGATCATCTTCGATCGAACCGCCACAATCGCCGATCCGACCTTTGAGAGGGACGGCCTTCCGATGGCCAGAGATGATCCTGATACACAGGAGCGACAATTCTCACGGGACTACGTTGAGAAATGTGGCTGGCTGGTACAGTGCGAAAGAATAGCCACCGGTGTCGCCAGACCTGCAGACACTATCGACGGGAGGCTCGAAAGGTTCCTCCGATGCTATATGTTTGGCGTCGATTTCGAAGAAGATTTTGACTTTGTCAATGCTTATCAGACACATCTCCGAATGGGTGCACTCAAGTCTGCCGTACAGGCTGGGAATCTTGATCCCGCCTTGGTTGCTGCGCATTATAGGCAGCACTGTCGACTGCTGAATGTACAACCACAGCTCCCAGGATTGGATGCCAATGACGAGACGATCGCGGTCGAATATTACAGAGCAATGAGTAAAGTCGCTTATTCATGGTTCGAGGCTGAACAACTCAGCCCACGGGTAAGGTACGGCCGTCGTTTCTTCGCAAGCCAGAACGGCAGAATTGGCTGGGTGCCTCAGGCGGTTCAGGCAGGGGACTCGCTCTGTGTTATCTTTGGCTTTGCAATGCCTTTCGCAATTCGAAAAGTCAAAGAAGCTGATAAAAGCGGTCTGGGTCAATACATTTTGCTTGGCGCTTGCTATGTTCACGACCATATGGATGGCGAGATTTTCCTAGACGATAAGCTTGAGAGGACGACTATTGAGATCATATGATCTCCTGATGGTCTAGCTGATAACTGAAGTCATTGACAGCGTGATACCTATCAGAAAATTTGGCATGTTCATCCAAGACTGTGAATAGGTAGCAGTGCTCTTTATAACTGTACCTGAGACCACAGGGTTTGAAACTAGGCCCTAGAAACAATTAGGTACTGTAACTGATCTTGAGAAACTAGAATAGGGATCTCGTGGGTTACCGAACTTTGGGGGACGGGTTCAATTCCGCATTCCCCAGCGCCTGTGTGGTCCTTTTTAAGCCCTGTCATAGTATTAAGATGACGTCCGATCCTGCACGTCCCATCGCACCTTCGCACCTTCGCGACAACAACTCGAAAGACAGCATTTCCGGTATATGTCTTCCCACTCTGAGTCTTTCAGGCAAGAGATCAACTCGAGTGCTTGATGTCGTCAGCAGCTCGAAATGTTGGGAATACGCCGAAGCGAGGGTCTCGGCAGGGGAAGTCCTGCTCTTGTTTAGACTGTCTTAAGCTGACTGTCTCAGGTTGGGTCTGCGACTTTTGTAAGAAGAGATACTATAGATCGTGAGATATACGGCATACTCTGCTACAATTGTCTCATGCTCATCTACGTGGACACAGAGACATTCTCAGACGGCACTACCAGTCATGTCCCGAAAGAGGCCATCGACAGATCCCAGATCGCCTGCCCCCAGGCAGGAGGAAGCAGGCATGCGATGCCTGCGCGAGGACCAAGGTCTCCTGTGACCTCGACTGTCCATGTGAGAACTGCCTGTTCTCGGGATCTGACTGCACCTATCTGAGAACCGAACGAATCCCATGCCGCACATCGACATCGACATCGACATTACCCATGTGCGACGACAGCAACCACAGGCCGACTCGAACTAAACCAGCCTCGTCCAGTCACAAAATCTGTATCCCATTCCTGCTGAACTGGGCCAGTCCGACCAGTGGCCTGACCGACACCTTCAAGCCAACGAGTGATGACCTTGTCGTCCACGCGAGCCCTCGCAGCCACGACGATATAGCATTTCGCCCCGAAGCTGGAACTGAGTTTAACGGTTGTTCACCACCTTGACTTCCTTTGGTCATGCTACTAACTTAGTCACGCAGACTACTTGCCCCTACCGTTGACACTTGACGATTCTCTGATCGACTTTGGGCTAGATGCAGGAGTTTCTGCACCACTCTCTCCGTCGTTTATCCTGGGCATGCCCGATCAGATGTCTTTGAGTGCCATTTTCCCTGTCATAGATCGCAGGCAGGATCAGGACCCGATTGTGTCATTGACCGAACAAGTGGACAGTCCATATCCTTTCAATGACAGCGGTATGGACAGGAATCTCTCTGCAGAATTCGCAGACCACTTGACTGCCCTTACCTTGTCGCTTCCACAGAATCACCCAGAGCATGCACCGAGCCTCAATTTGGCCCTTGGAATGTCGACACTCTCATCGATAAACATCTCGAGGTTTCTACAGCTCTATTTCCATCACTGGAATCGCCATAGCCCGATTGTCCATCCCGGAACCTTCGATGTCTTGAATGCTTCCTTACCTCTTCTTTTTGTCATGACGCTGACTGGCGCCCTGTTCTCCCTATCTCCCGACGCTGTTACTGTCGCCCGGTCCATGCTCGAGCTCGCCGAGGAATTTGCATTCCGGGACTCGGATTTCCAGAAGGTCGCGTCTGGCACTTTCCCAGAAGGAGTTGATCAACGTCGTCGGGCGCTCCAGGCCTTTCAGGCGGCGTTCTGTGCTGCGCAGTTACAGCTTCGGGAAGGTAACATGTGGAAACGAAAATGTGTGCGAACTTTCCGATTTGACCAGATCATTTGCGTAGGTTCAACTCATCTATACCCCTGCGAAAGATAGCGCTAATCGTCTCATAGGCCGTCCGGACAATGGGACTTCACAATGGAGATCTCCTTACACTCGATGTTTCAAGTAAAGACACGGGTCTTTCTGACTGGAACCGGTTCGCCGAAGACGAATCTCGCTTGCGGTAGGCAGCCGTTTTGTTCTGAGTGGTATCCAGTGACGTCCCTTGTCAGCTAATGGACCGCTAGGTTGCTTTGTGGAATCTTCAACCTTGACGTGGCTTTTACCATTTTCTATGGTGAGCAGCCGCGTTTGTTTTATCACGAGCTGCATATCGGTATGCCATGCTCGTACGATGTATTCATGGCCAAGACGAGCAGTGCCTACAATGAAGCAGTTACTTACGAAATGAGAACAACTCGTCATTCGTTGCGGAGTACTGTTATGGCTTTTGCTGGAAACCGCACAGACCTGCTTCCAGAAAATGAGTCATTCAACCTAATATACTTATTTTCTGTCCTTTTTGGTGAATATTCCCATATTCTGAACCATTCGAGGCTCATGACTCATGTCTTTTCAGGATTGATGCAGATCATCCAGAATTGTCTACAGTGCGGCATCTCGGAAGGGCCACGTTGCCGACTCGAAGAGGGTCTCCAGCTCTGGAAGGCCAAGTGGGATGCAACTATACTTCAGATGAGTCCGAGTCAACTCGAAACAAGCGGGTTTTGCAAGGACGCAGGTCCAGAATTCTGGCAGTTGGCCTGCTACCTTCTAGCGACCGAAGCGGGAACGGCAAGTTCTGGGTCAAAAGACTCTGCTTGCTCAACTTCACAAGGGATCAACATTTTCAAAGAACTTCTGCGAAGCGCCAAATCACTATAATAACCGCAGGCGTCTACGGGAGCGCAACTGGATGTATTATTGTAGGTAAAAGACAACCTATCCTCGTATTCCGTCGCAATGTGAACGGCGTCCCTGTTCAGGATCTCTTCATTCGTACGTCCAACGCCCCGATCCCTTCAATCTCGGCATGAATCTCATCTCCCGGTTTGAGCCAACAGTTTCCATGAGCGCCAGCCGAGCCCGAGGGAGAGCCCGTGAAGACCAGATCACCTGGCTCCAGCGTGACGAATTCGCTTATAACCGCCAACATCTCTTCGCAAGAGTACAACATCTCATTTGTCGAAGAGTTCATCATCTGCTTCCCATTGACATTGAGAGTGAGCTTTAGATTCGTGACGTCGGGCAAGAACTGGGCGGGCAGTATGTGCGGCCCACATGGTCCCATAGTGTCTTGAGCCTTTCCGCGGACAAGATCGACACGAATCGCAGTGTCGGTCAAAGTCAGGTCTCGACAGGACAAATCGAGCCCGATAGAGTATCCGGCAATCGCCTGAGCAGCCTCCTGCAATGTGGCATTCCGAAGCCGGTTACCAACCACCACAGCGAGCTCAAGTTCCCAATCGAATTCCTTAGTCGTTTTAGGAATCTCAACCGTCTCGCCTGGACCAACAAGACAGGTGGTCGGAGGGCAAAAGAAGAAGGGCATGGTCTTCCATTTGTTGGTATCCAGTCCCATCTCTTTGAGGTGGCCGACATAATTTGCGCCGACGCATATGAACTTATTGGGCCACATAATGGGAGTAAGAAGATCAGCTTTGTCCATGGCTATTGCAGAAGCCCTGGTATTGTTCCCCGAGGCAATTCCATCGGCCAAGTTCTGCAGCCTGGTGAAGGCGCTGGACCAGTCCTCTAACAACGACTTGACACTGTCGCGCTGGAATTCGTCTGATGCTTTCGATAACTGGTAATAGCTGTCGCCCACTCCGATGGCCGCCTGGGGGCCATCCGACGTCTGGAGGGTCGCAAGAGTGAATCTGGTCATGGTGCCGCCTTTTCGCTTGTTAATTTTTTTTTTTCAACTCAACTCTGACCACCGAGTCTTCTTTATAGGGCGGCTTAAGTGGCTTTCAGGGCGCTCTCCCAAGGGCTCCCGTTCTGGGTCGCCATTTCCGTCACCGGAGGATCAGTAGGATGCCTCACTCGCTAGCATCAGCCGTATCCACAGAGCGGACGGGTAAAAGACCACCGGTAACAATTCGCTGACCCAGCACAGCTCTTTTGCATACCGACCGTCTCCATTCCGTCGATGGGGCGACTCTTCGTATCCCAATAGCCTGGATGCGGTTGTTCTCGGCATCAGTGTGGTTGACCCGCCACTCCCTCCGCGTTTCCCCAGAATGAGCATTTTCGCACCGGCCGGACAATGCACACATAGCCAATCACAGCGGTTTCTGAGCAAGGTTGAATTTATACTACCTTCGTTCCGCTACCCCAGTCCTCCTTCTCGGGCCTCCTCCATGAGGAGTTTGTGGAATGGGCGGAATGTCGACCGTGTCTGGCTCAACGAGTTAATGGAGTATTTATTTGCATGATGGACTGGAGAAGATTTGCCTAAAAACTCTGTCCATACCAAACGACTTCTCTGAAGTTTCGCCATAGAGTACAACTCCGTCATAGGATGTCAATGACTCCCGCGACAATGATTCTCAACAATACATCTGGAAAGCACGATTCCGAAGAAGACCATGTGGAGGTCGCTTGCAACACAGGGGCGCCTGACGAAGAGAGCTTTGGCTTCCATTTTGACGCCAAGTTTGATAGGACTGCAGTCTTCCAACTGGATCTTTTACTGCAGCCCATCTTGTTCGGCACCTTCATCCTTTTGCTCCTCGACCGAGCCAATGTCGGAAATGCCAGAGTCGCTGGTCTCCAAAAGGACCTTCGTCTAACCGATCACCAGTATCAGATCTGTGAGTACCTCTAAGACTATCTCTCCGGCGTGGATACTGACCAATAGATTAGCGTTGATGGTCACATTTATACCATACATCCTGATCGAGCTCCCGAGCAACTACGTCTTGAAAAAGATTGGACCTCGCTGGCTGCTACCAGGCCTCTGCGTGTGCTGGGGTATCGTGACCACTCTCGAGAGCTTGATCCAGAACTATGCCGGATTCGTTGCTTGCCGGTTTTTCATCGGCCTGTGTGAAGGTGGTGTTTTCCCGGGCTATGTTGTCGTTTTGGCTGAGTTCTACCGGCGACACGAGATCCAGAAGAGGATCGCAATCCTCTACTGCGCAGCATCGCTAGCTGGAGCCTTCGGAGGCCTATTGGCCGCAGCGATCGAGCAGATGGACGGCCTTGCCAATCTTGCCGGATGGCGTTGGATCTTCATCATAGAAGGCATCTTTACCGTCTGCTGGGGACTCGTCACACTTTGGATCATGCCAAGTGGACCGAGGGATGTGCTCACCTTCACGGCAGAGCAGAAGGAGTACTACGTCAGAAGGATGGCTGCGGATAAACAAACCACGGAAGACGATAAGGTCACACCACGCGATGTCCTCACATGTGTGAAAGAACCTCACTTTATTATTATTGCCATCATGTCATTCTGCGTGGGTACAGTGGCTCAAGGCGTCTCGTACTTCACGCCATCGGTGGTACAAACCTTTGGATTTAGCAGGACGGCGACCCAGCTTCTGACGGTCCCACCTTTTATGTTTGCTGTCATCACTACCCTGCTCGCTGGTTGGGCGGCAGATCGCTATCAACGGCGTGGCTTGCTTGCCATCGTTACCGCTGCGCTTGGAGCGCTTGGATGTATCCTGAATTTCTCCGGCACTTCTCTGGGAATCAGGTATCCTTCCCTGTTCTTCTTGATTGGAGGGATCTATGCGTGCGCTCCGACCGTCCTTGCCTGGCTTCCCAACAACATGGCAGCCTACGGTAAACGATCCACGGCCGTCGCAATCGGATTCATGGTGAGCAACTCTGGTGGGATCTTGGGTGTGTGGATCTACCCGACCAAGGACGCTCCAAGATACCTCCCTGCCAGCAGTGCCAATATCGCCCTGCTCGCCGCGGTGATCCTTTTCTCTACGGTACAAGTGCTGCTCCTCCGGTATCTTAACAAAAGAAAAATCGAGAACCGAGAGGAATTGCTTTGCGGTCTTGAACACCTGCCATTGGACCAACAGATCAAGGAATTGGGGGACCGGCATCCTGATTTCAAATACACATTGTGACAGCACGTTGAAGGTGGGCAAGCACAGAGGCAACTGAAAAGTCTGGTACTATGTACGCTACCTTTTGTGTACTTTATCTAGGTAGCTTGTGAAACGACTTTTGTTTTTGCCGATAGACCATTCTTCTCCTCTGGAGGGATATCATTGCCCTGAAAGTGTCAGAGTCTGCACTTTCTGCGATCTACTGGAAATCTCGTAGATCAAAGAGAATGACAGTATGCCAATCCTACAAAGTTGGGACTCCTCACGGGACAGAACATATTGGAAGATGAATCTCTATAACATCTTTGCATATCCTTTGGTACGTCGCTGGGCCTGACGTGTGTATTCGAAGAGCGTCTCTAACCATCTATCTACAACGCGTACTATGCTATTTTATGTCTCAGGAGGATAAATTAAAAAGTACACATTAAGTGGTGACGTTTTAGCTATATGTTTTTCCCTCGCTCGCCCAAGCTATGTGCATCTAAAGAGATATCCCTTTACCTAGGCCTTGGGATCAGCAACGAGGCCATGCAACCACTTCTCATCGTAGTCCGGATGATCAGTCCATTCATGCTCCTCGTCGTCCACATACAGCCTGACATGCCTGCCGTCCGGGTCCTCGCAGGCCATGAGCCATCCTTTGATCCCCGTCAGGATCTTACTTCTCGGCACGGAATTGGCGTCCAACCATTTCGCCCACTCTTCGAGATCGGCGCGCGTGCCTACGCCCCATGTCACCGGGTCCCAGCCTTGCTGGACCTTGGCCTGGTGAGGCTCATACCGCGCCTCGACGATCAACTTGGTGGGTGCGTGCTCGAACATGACGGCAAACAACTTGTGTTCCGGCGTGTAGTGGTGATACTGGGGCAGCGGCGTGAACGGGAATATCTTGGTGTAGAACTCGTGGCACTTCCACAGGTCGTTGGTCGCCAGTTTAAGATGGTTGATGCCATTGAACGAACGCTTGCCATTGGGCCGTTTGGGAAGCGACTCTTGTTGATTGCTACCGTTGTTGCCGTTATTATCGCTTGTGGCCGCCATGATGTAAGTTCTATTTCGGTTTCCAAGGATCGCTGACTCGGGAGCCCGTTATTCTTTCTTTTGATCTCTTTTGTCGTTCTGCTCTCCGTCGCCTCCGTCTCTTATAGCCCCCAAAATCAAAAACACGACGTAACGCTGTGGGTCGTCCTGCTTAGCGCCCCCTCCCATTCCCAGGGGACGAGAAGACTCCTGTGATGTGGATGTACCCCGGCGCCACCAGGCGAGGCTATGTACCCCGCTTCTGCATGTGGGCGTACTCCGGCTAGTGTCTTGGACTCCACAGCCCGCAATATGCTGTGGAAACAACTGCTCTAGCCGGTCTTTGCAGATGAATAGCAGCCGGAGCGTCCGCCACGCGGAAGAAGGCCGTCTCCTCGATGCGATGCTACCCATCGACCTTGTCAAGCACTCACCCATCGCCATGGACCGTCGGACTAAACAGCCTACATCAAGCGCGGCCGAAGAGCGTGTCTCGTCAGGAGATCGTCTTACACATGACCGACGACGTATAAACATCCAACATGCAATTGACTATCATCATTATCGGAGCTGGACTTGGGGGACTATCAGCTGCGATCTGCCTGGCGAGAAAAGGCCACAAAGTCACAATACTAGAGCGAAATGCAGGTCTGTCTGAATATGGTGCGGGCATTCAGCTCAGTCCCAACGCGACGAGGCTACTGGATTCCTGGGGACTGAGTGCCGAGTTCCGCAAGTACTGTAGCTTGCCAACATGGTCGGTGGCCAGGAGATTCAGCGACGGGGCGGAAATCGGTCTCAACCCCCAGAATCCGGATGCTTCCCAGATATACGGGTACCCGTAAGTGTTCATCGAGCTGGTAAAATACGGCATGAGAACCAACGCGTCAAGATATTGGCAGATCTACCGACCGGATTGTCAGCGACTTCTGGCCGACAGGGCTCGAAGTGCTGGTGCCACGATTGAGTACAGCAGCGAGGTTTTGAAGGTTGACGCAGAGCAAGGCACGGTCTACCTTGCAAACGGCAGGGTAATGGCTGCAGACGTTGTTGTTGGTGCAGACGGTGCGGACTTGTTTTCTGACCTTTTCTCATTACTGATGGTGCAAAGGCATCCGATCGAAGACACGAGCATTCATCGCTGGCAACGAAAATGCAGGGCCCGTCCCATTGGGAGAGTATAACTATCGAGCCATGATCCCGGCCGAGGCGATGATGAGAGACGAAGAGACAGCCAAGCAAATGGCCAGTACCAACACCCAGGCATGGTTCGGACCAGGTCGATTCATCGTCGGGTATCCCATCTCGAACAATAAGCTCTTCAATCTCGCCATGGTGGCGCCGAGAACGGACGACACGCCCGTGACATCGTGGAACCAGCCCTGCGACGCTGCAGAGGTCCAAGCCAAATTCGGCGATTTCAGCCCCCTCGTGCGGAAGTTGACCAGCCTTGTGGAGAAATGCGCAAAGTGGACGATCGCCGAAATCCCGGAGCTGAGCACCTGGTCCAGCCGGTCTGGCAGGACAGTGCTCCTCGGCGACGCGGCGCACGCCATGTCTCCCCACGCCGCGCAAGGAGGGGCCATGGCCATGGAAGATGCAGCAGTGCTCGGCGAAGTGCTTTCCCAACTGGAGACTTTGATTGATCTTCCTCGCTTGGCCGGCCTGTACGAACGTCTTCGGAAGCCTCGTGTTGCTCGTGTTGCGGCAATAGCTAAGAGAAACGGCGAGTCCTGGATGTTGCCAGATGGAGCCGAGCAGATGGATCGCGACAGTCGATTCAGGAAGGTCACGGATGAATACTTGCATGACTTACGGGAGATTGGCCGTGAAAAGATGGCGCAAAGAGTTAAAGTCCCAGCGGACATGGACGCGAAGTGGCCGCATCCTGCCGTTCTGATGTGGTTGTATGGCTATGATGCAAGTAAGGCCGTCAAATCTGTTGTCGAAGGTAGCAGATAGCATTCTGGCATAAAATATCCCATATCTTGTGAGCGGTGTCCAACTAGTGCAGTGCACGACTGCCACAGCAACTCGAATTCCCGTCGTGAAACAGCGTTATCGCGTGCGTGTTGGCCTGGAAACGTCAAATGTCTTCACATTGTCTTCATTCCGGCTTGTCTAATCTACTGGCCACAGCGTAGGTACACAACTTCAGGAGACTGTGCAAAAGTATAGCTTCGGTGGGAAAATTAAAGAGTTCTGTGTCTTCATCGCCTGATATGATCATGTCACTTCAACCGTACGAGGTAGAAAGCATGAGCTTCGAAAGCGCTCGCGGGATTCATCATGCTGGTTTACATACAAATCGCTGGGTCGTCCACTGCAAAGCGCTGGAAGAATCTGGCCGGCCCACTCAACGCATCCAGGACGTTCATTGTCACCGTTTGCACGTTCCCGGCATACACGCCCATGGATGAGTTGACATTTAGCTGTAGACTCTGGAGAAGTCGTGCTCCGTTGGAGCCGAGCGCCGCAATTGGCTTACCATGGGCATAAGCATCGAGAATGAAGTGGCTCGCTGCCATCGAGTTAGGTGTCGTAGAAATGCTTCCATTGGCAGACGACCCAATGAATACGGCATCGTACCTACCAATTCATGATTAGCCTGGGTATTCCCATCGAAAGGACATTTTGACTCACATAACTTCGCTCGTGAGAGTATAGGAACTTGTGGCGTTCACACTTGATGCGAGCATCCCTACGTGAGGGGCAACAATATCAAATCCAACTTGTTGTGAGAAAAGCATTGGCTGCATGGCTTGTAGATCAGACATGGTCAATATGTTATCGTCGGCTATGATGGCAACCGTGAGACCAGCATTGGATTTGTTTGGCTCCACACCAGGGTTGAGAGGATAAAGAGATGGATAGCTGTTGTTGCTTCCGGGCTGGGTTATCGGGCCCCCAGTTCCCACTGCGGGCATCTCGGCCCCAATTCCATACGCAACCCTTCGGGCAAGACAGTTGTCGATTGGGTTGAGAATGGTGTTGATGTAGGTCATGGTAACGTTGGGATCAGTCACATGGCCCAACTCGAAGCGATAAGCATCGACCACATGCTGCTGGCCATATGCGTCCAAGGTGCCCCAAAATGCTCGGGCCTGAGCCGCCCAGTCGTAATTCAGGTTTCGATATCGACCAATTTTGCCCATGCTAGAGATTCCAGCATACATAAGGGCCTGTGCGGGATCGGCAGGTTGTACGCCACCAATACCGTCTGGGCTCGAAGTAGATTCTCCTTTGAACAGTGAGGGCTGCATGTAGCCATCTCTATAGTTATTGTAGATCGGGGCAATGGGTCTGTTGATTGGGAGAGTGTAGCCGTTCGGGCTGTTGTGCCGATGGGTCGACGTGTCATCGTATGACATGAGACGCCATTGCAGGAGGGCATCCGGAACCCATGAGACACCGTCAACCACATTGGATGGAGCGAAACTGATCGATTCCGGCTCTGCAAAGAAATTAGTTGGGTTGCGATTCAGTGTAAGCTTTCCCAGTTTCATTGGCGGCATGACCTCGAAGGGTATAATTTGAGTTGGCTCGGTCAGGTCGTAGCCCTGCCACATGTACGTCCCATCGTCTGGAAATAGTTGCACAGCAAACTCCCACTCAGGAAAGATCCCGTTGGCAATATTGTTGTAGAGGTCCATACGCTGAAAGTTGGCGTTCTTTCCAGCCAGGGTGGTGACTTCATCATACACCAAGCTTCGATGGCCAAGAACAGGTACCCAGTACCATTTGAACAATGTAGAGTTGCCTTGCCCATTGATGAAGCGATATGTATGTATGCCGTTGCCACTGATATGTCGTATGTCTCTTGGAATTCCCAAGTCTGAGAGCACGTACATCAGCTGAGCTGCACCTTCTGGATGTTGAGCGAAGAAGTCATAAGCAGTCGTATGCGCAGAGCCGCCTGTTGGGAAGCCTTTGTCCGATTCAAATTTCACAGCGTGAATCAAATCGGGAAACTCGGAACCATCATTGATGAAGAATGATGGGACGTGATTGCCGACCAGATCCTGATTGCCGCATGGACTGTATATCTTTGTCGCGAAACCATGTGTATCCCTCTGCACCTCACTTCCACCCGTGCTTGAAACAACGACAGAAAATCTTGAGAAGACCTCACTAGTTGCATTATTTTGCAACCAGCAGGCCATTGTCAAGTTGCTCCAGTCTGCATAAGACTGGAACATTCCATAGGCACCATGACCCAACGCGTGTACAACTCCTAAAGAGAAGTCAGTCATATTGTCGCCAAATATACACGAGAACGACATCAAATGTGAAGGGACAAGTAGAATCTGGGCTTCCTGATGGATTTATAGTCGTAGGCTTGTTTGGCAAGATGTTTCTTGACTTACGTTCAGGAGCTCGCTCCCTATCAAAGTGCAGCAACTTCTTTCGCACCACAGTATCCTCTAGCAAGACATATCCTCTCGGGCCTGCTCTTAGAGAGTTGTTGGAATTCGCCTGGACACCATTGTCGGTTGTTTCCGTCTGTCCTTCTGTATCTATTGTAGCAGCTTGGAGTTGGCCGAGCTATCAAAATGTTAGTGTGGCATCGAGAGGCAGCATATAGGAGATCGATGACCTTGCTATCAGTAGCATCTTGAGCTTCAACAGTAGCACAAACCAGGAACGTGGCCCAGAGGAGATTCCGACACAACATCTTGTGAAATTCCTGCACTTGAGATATCAGCAAGCAACATCTTTAGGGGGAGTCGGTATGCCATCTCTTATAGAAGAATCCGCTCCGAAGCTCGTACGCTCTGTATCTTGTACAACGCCTCAGTACAATGGTTGATTCCGTCATCAGTCCCATGGTGCTGGAGACATGTTAACACTCATGGCTTTGTCAGGATGTGGAATTTTGGTCATTGTGGCTGTGGGATTATTCATATTGCACAATAGTGGACCTGTTTTCATTGATCTGTGACTTTCAAAACATGAGATTCGTCTACTCAGAAGTGCCGGTCACCGCTAGCTTTCTGTAACTGTACCGTCGAGTCTTCTGAGGGCCAGGATCTTAAGCTTGCTGGGTCAATTCCTGGTATCAAAGCAACGATGTTTCGTCATGAATGCCCGGTTCAAAGCATCCGAATGTAGCTCCTTTGGTATGTTATACTGGTTCCCATTGACTGACAGATACATCGTAAGGATTGAACCCATAAGACCATGGCGAAGGCCATCAACCATTTGCATCTGTGGATTGAGGGTGCTTTGTGGAAATTAGGGCGGGAGCCTGCCATGGACAGTGACGCCGGAGGTAAGGTGAATTGAAATTGTGCAAAGGAGGCTGAATTCATAGCGCTGGCGTGTAAAATCTGCCCGTGGCAACTATCCACGAATAAGACCTTTCCTCTAAATGGGGCGGCATTCCACCAGGTAGCATGATTGCTGAGGCCTCATCTCCGCGAGCTTCGGCCACATTTACCTGCCGAGTTGGAGTACATCTAACTCAGAGCTTTGCTGACGCGTAGATATCCAAATCCAAGCCAGATCGTCGCAGCATCCGGGTTCAAGTTTGATCTCTGCAACGCTAAGAGTCTACACCGCTCAACAGCTTCATCAATTTCAAGGTACACCCGGTATGTATCCGACAATGTGTTTAAGAAATCTCTCTCAGTCCGTAGCGAGTATACACGAAACACTACAGGCTATGATGCCGAATGGCACGACAGCTTTCCTAGCTAGACCATATTAGGTGTGGAGATAGCCGCGGCCAGTATCAGCTCAAAATTATTTGGCATCAACATGGGCAGCGAATGAGCTTACGATCTTCCAAAATTAGCAAGTAAGGCTTTCCTCTTGAGTGTGGCAACGGGATGATATGGCTCGCCTCTTCCGCTTGTCATGCGTATGACTGTAGAGATATTCAAGGCTGTGACTCGGGCCGGCGATGCATACGCACCGCCATTCAACGCCATAGATTGAACTCAAGTCAAAATCATGTAGAAATCTTCACACGTTGTTAGCTATACCACAAAGATGCTATAGCTTCAATAATCCTACTTGATTCTGCAAAAACGTGATTGTGCAATCCACGCATCAGCCCAAAGATTCTGGTCGAGCTGTCGAACCCCAACAACCTCAAGATCTGGAGCCAGCCCAGAAAGATCTCGCGCCAAATACCCTGGCTCAGCTCAAAGCGTTCTGGACCAGAAGATGCGCCAGATAGGATGAGTGGATGCCATGGATGCGCTTGACAAAGGCTTCCGTTGTGGGTATACAAGCCTGTCGCCCCCTTTGTCATCGAAGACCTCTTACGAAAACAGGGGAAACTAACAGAAAGCTGTTCAATGGGGTTCATTCTAATCAAATGCGGTAGGTGCCGTAAAATGGGTGACCTCCAACTAATTTCCTTAGCGGACCCATGTTCTCGCCACGTGGCCAGATAATGAGGAGTCACTTTTCAACCTCAGATGGCACTTGCTGGTTTCTCTCAGGAGCAAAACGAAAAGCTCACTTCCAAAGTTGTCAAAGCCGGAAATATTGTGGTGCTCATACCTTGCATCTACCCTGGAGGTGGGTTCCTAGCGGCTAGGCACCTCCGTACCTCTAGTTGGTTGCGAGGCTGGCGCTCCCTGGATAGACGTATTCAAGCATTTCAGAGATCTTATTTTGGCATGGTTCATGCCCCCACAAATATCCTGAGGTAGCTGCAGGGACCAAGCTCTTGGAGGACTCGTGGAGAGTAAGTAATGTTACAGATGCAGGGGTCCCTTGCTGTGCGGAGAGAGGTTGCGAATGGTCAGTTCTGCGCTAAATGTTTGCTTTCCCGAAATTAGCTCGAGATTTGGAATCAGGGCAACACCTGCAGGACTGACGTCTCAAAAATGCCCATTATCTTCTCATCATGAAATTTCAATAGGTCAAGGTCGACATGAATAGCATTTCACTAGACTGGGGATGCCATAATCGTTCCGTGAAGTCCAGCAAGGTGACATAATTGATCGGTGAACCTTGTGCTTCCCCAGGGACAGATGACGGTCAGAGAACGTTTCCCGCCTCTGGAGTGCGGATTAATCCTCAGAAGCGTTCTCATATGTCGCTTTTTCATGCCCTCACATGCTGCTTCTTTCATCCGAGGTAGACCGCTTACAAAGAAGCTGCATGTGAGCGCATGAAGAAGCGCTAAGAGAATGAGGGCCGCTGTATAAGATCAACGCCCTACGTGGCTCATCGAGCCTTCGGCCACGACTTCTTCTGAAAGGCTGTCTGTTATACTCCTCTTACACGCTGTTACCCTCCTAGAAAATGACTTCAGACGTCCAGTACAAGACTATTCAGATCGACTCTGTCAAGATTTTCTATCGAGAGGCAGGATCGGCCTCACTTCCAGGCCTCTTGCTTCTTCACGGCCATGCCTCTGCTTCGCACACGTTTCGAAACATCTTGGTCCAGCTCTCTGACACGTTTCATGTTGTGGCGCCGGATTATCCAGGCTTCGGCAACTCGGATCGGCCTGATCCAAAGAATTACCCTTACACCTTTACAAATCTCGCCAATACTATCGATAAGTTCACCGAGCAGGTTGGTTTGACCAAATACAGTCTCTACCTGTTCGACTTCGGAGCACCTATCGGACTCATAATGGCCTCGAAGCATCCGGAGCGCATCAATGGATTGTTCACGCAATCCGGCAATGCGTACGTCGAGGGGCTGGCTCCTGCTTTCGACGGCATCAAGGCACTGTGGGCCAATCCTGAAGATCCAGCTAAAGCTGATGCTCTCAAACCTATCTTTTCGCCCGAGGGCATCGACTGGGCGTACAAGCATGGTGTAGAACCGGCTTCTCGGATCGGTCCGGATGCGCCGGCTTTGGATGCCTACTATACGTCTCGTGAAGGTGCCGTCGATATTCAGCTTGCCCTCTTGCGGGACTACGAGAACAATGTCAAATCATACCCCGAGTGGCAGGCATATCTGCGAGAACACAAGCCAAAGGTGGTTGGATTGTGGGGCAAGAACGATCCATTCTTTGCCTCTCCCGGCGCAGAAGCGTTCAAACGCGATGTGCCAGATGCAGACATCACCGTCATCGATGCCGGTCATTTCCTCAATGAGAGTCATCCGGAAGAGGTTGTCAAGGCACTGAAGAAGCTGCGTTGATCAAAAATCAGAGGGCACGCTCATGCGTTCGAGGAGGTAGCAGCATTTCGAACATTGCTGGAACAAGAATCCCTTACTTCAAGTTGTCTATCGAATGAGAAATTTGATCAGCTGTATCCATTTTCCTTTTTTTTTGAAAATTGCTTTCCTACGTAACAGTCTGTTGGCTTACTTGTGTATCAAGACCTACGTAACACAATAGGCACTGATAAGTAAGATTCGCAGAAAACATCCTCGGTAATGCCCCCAGACACATGACTGTCATTTACAGAGTTGTTACTGCACCTGCCTGGCTCTCCTTGCCGCTACGGACCGAGACTGGGGCAGCAGATCAAGCTCAGTCCCGGTAGTAGTGGAACACGATCCTCAAAGGGCGCGACAGACAATCTACCATGCCGGACAGCGACAACAGTACCCTTGTATCCGTACAACCTCCGCTCCGAAATACATTGGGCGTTTCCCGCAAGCCTGACGCCTTGAGCCTTCGCTGATAATTCCTCATCTTTTGTCGAATCGGCAGGAAAAGGCTGGCATCAACGTAGCATAGCAGACGCAGGGGATGTCCTTCACACATCGATGGAAGAGGCAGAACAAACGCTGGCATTACAGTGCTCACGGGGCTCTGTAGGGACATAGATATACTATTATCTACCTAGGTATCACATCTCACAATTTCCAACCATTCTTCTTAGCAATCGCCGTCTCCTGCCTGAAGGCGAGATCCTGAAGAATCTCCTCGCTGCCGCCACCGACGACCATCATCCTCAAGTCGCGACTGATTTGCTCGACTCTGGCACCAAGACCGCCTCTTTGATAGCCAGCGCCACCGAACACTTGTTGGGCTTCGCGGTTCGCCAATTCCAAAATTCGGCCGCCCTGGACTTTGGCAAGAGCGAGTTGACCTCCGATATCTGGGCTCTGCCAGCCTAGAGGTTGACTCTGCACGTTGTAGGCAATCTGTTCCAGCCATGCCCAATGGGACTCGATGTGGCGCGCCAGTGTAACAATCTTGTGTCGGATGATTTGATGCGAGATCAAGGGTTTGCCGAACGTCTGGCGCGTGTGTGCGTAGTCGAACGCTTCGGAGAGGCACGTGCGGGCATGGCGATTGCAGCCGATGGCCATTATGAACCGTTCGTGGTTGAAGTTGTGCATGATGATCTTGAAACCGTTGCCTTCAGTGCCGATGAGGTTCTCGGCGGGGACCTTGACTTCGTCGAGCGTCACAAAACTCGCACCACCGGCTTTCATGCCACTGTTGGGGATGCGTCGGATGGTCAGGCCGGCCGACGACATGGGAATGACGAGGACGCTGACGCCCCCCATCCCAGAGCCCGGTGGCCCCGTGCGTACTGCAGTCGTCATGTGAGTCGCCCAGGGAGCGCCGGTGATCCATTTCTTGAAGCCGTTGACAACATAGAACCTGCCATCTTCAGTCTTGACGGCAGTGGTCTGGATGTTGCCGACGTCGGAACCACCAGACGGTTCGGTGATGCCCAGGCAAAAGCTCGTCTCGTAGCTGAACAAACCCGGCAACCATTTACGTTTCTGCTCTTCGGTGCCATGGGCGAGGATTGGGGGGAACCCAATGACTGATCCGCCACCCAAAGAACTGAAGACGCCGCCTTCTACGCGGCTGGTCTCGTCGCGAATGATCATGTCGTGAAAGACGTCGAAATCCCCAAGCCGAATACCAGCAGGGTCCGGCACATTGGATGGTCGGTACTCGTATGGGATCTCATGGAACGGAATCTATATTTTGGAAGAATTGATTATTGAGGAACAATCCCAGCATCGTGTATGTGTGTGTGTGTCTCTGTGTTTATGTGCAAACATTAAAGCGACTGCTGAACTTACCCCAGACGCCACCCATCTCAGTTGTTCCTCCCTAGGCGCTTCGCCTTTCTCCTCCCACTCTAACGCGTTTGGCGACACATGGGTTTCGACATAGTTCCGCACAAACTGTCGAAGTCGTCGGTGGCTTTCATTGTAATAAGGAGATGCTCTCGCCGTCCACCACGCGGGCTCACTCCATGGAGCGACGGCTCCTGCTTTGGTTCCTGTTTCTTGTGGTTGCGACATTGTGCTTGGGGTACGTTCAAAAACGCGGAGGTGGATTTCGCCTTATTAGGGCCAAAAAGTGCCTAGGTACCTCGGCTCAACCCTAGCCCTCCACATTCTGTACCCGAGACCTGGAGACTTTATCACAGTAGCTCACAGCCGGTCAGCATACCCGATGCTACCTAGGTACGGTATATACGAGGTAGTAAAAGCGGCAGCAGCGAACGCCTTGATAAGTACAATGCTCGGGGGAAATGCCCGTCGTTTACGGTGCAAACAGTCAGCTGGTGATTGCTGCTGCACATTTGCGAGGGCAGGGGACCTCGCCGGGTTAAGATGTGGAGCCAGTGACGAATAGAAAGCATTAATATTCCCTCAGGACCAATGTGACTGGTCAACTGTCAACTCAAAAATCAAATAAACCAGACCCCTGAGGGTAAATTACTACTTCATCCATCCAGAGGCATTACCACGGGTATTAGGGCAAGAGAAATCCCAAGTCATCAGCAACCTGACCGCTTCCTTACTGTCAGGTGTTCGTCACAAGTCTCCAAAGAGTGTGAGGAGTTGCAGGTTCTTCAATCCCAACTCCCAAATCCGTCATGTACAGCGATATTCGCGCCATACTACCTGGACCTACTTGGTGCTTCTCAGCTCACACTTGACCAGCCGCCGTTGCTGGATTGTCATGCTCCTCTGCGCCGTTCGTCGTCACCTGCGGAGACTGATGGCGTTTCTCCAAGAGCGGTGAAACGTACAATCCACGCTCCCTCCTGTGAATCAACACTTGCAGAATGGTAGCGAAGACGCAGAAAGAGCTAAATTTCATGACCATTAGCATTCCACCCCTTGAAATCAAACGGAAGTATAGCACACGTACACAGCAATGATACACCAAGATTCCATTGCGTACTTCAGTGTACATTTGCGCAGGCCTGATGGCGAGTGAATCGCACAATCCTGCCAGTTGTAGTCTTCGGCCGCGAAGATGAACGCCGTAACCCAGAGATGCGAGTAGATGTAGTCCAGCGGAATCAGTTGTACGGTGATACGCCTATCGAAAGCCAAGGGCATGGTGGGCAGGAAGAATCCAATACTGGTGCAGGCAATGACTTCTTGGTACGTCGTATGCTCATTCCTCGAGTAGTCGTGGATGAAGTATGAGACAATGGCCATGACGATGCAGGCGCTGGACCACTTGATGAAATTCACGCCGAACAAGAGAATGCGTAGCCGGGTGTAAGAGAAGCGCGACACGCCTGCAGTGTCTGCATGGGAGAACCTAAGGCTGGGTCGAAACTTCATGTTGCTGGAAGCTTTGATGTGGCTCTTCGTTGCTCGGACACCCGTAATCGTTCTTTCGTAGTGATGAAATAGATCTTGACATGAGGACGACAATTTCAATATCCATGACCTATATACATGTAGCCTTTGGGCACCAGACGAGCCATATTTCATGCCTTTCGCATTGCATACCACATCCTCCAAGCGGATGCGAAGGAGACGGCGGCACGGAGACGCGGTATAAGTCTCCGTGCCTTTGTGTCCAAGGCTCAGAGGTCATGAGACTATTGGGACCCGAACTGAGCTCTTTTGAGGTCCGAAAGCAAGGTATTCCACATCGTCGATCTGTAACAGGAAAGCGCATGTGGTCTTGACCTCTTGCGACCAGGTCTGGGTAAAACGGATGAGGCGGAAAAGCTCTCACAAAGTCGAGAGGAGAAATGCCTCGTAGCCATTGCATCAGGGAAACGATGGCTGGTAGCCCATTTGAAGGACAGGAAACATGGTCATGTGCGTGGTTGTCGAGAAATGTCGAGTTGCGATTGATGTCGAAGATCCCGAATGCGATGATAACAAGGTCACACTCGGTTATTCGGTGTCCATGATGTCAAGGATAACCTGTTTCGACACGCGGCCAACCCTCTAAGGAGCAGGCGGCGAAGATTGAACAAAAAGAGGGCACGCATATGAAGCTCCAGTCTGACTAGCTGGATATCTCTCATTCGCGATCGTCCACCTTCTTCGTCACGGGCTCTGTTAACAGACGGACAAAGCACTGGTAACACCACTCAACCGATCTTGTCAAAGAACGTACAATCATTTGATGGAGTGGCCAATGACATGCAAAGTGGTGATAAGTACGGCAAAGTTCCTGTAGCTCATGGTTACTGTCACTTGTGCTGTTCGATAACACAGAATGATGATGCTGCTCAGCTTGTCGGAGGGGGACGTTCGGAATGACGGAGCAGGATGCAGTGTCGATTGAGGGTTTTCATGGTACTTGACTCAATTACCCCAGAATGAAATGCACTAGCTTCATACAGTTCAAGGGACATCGTGGCAGCTCCCATTCAGGACGTGACTAGGCGGTGTATGCAGGCGGTGGGGTTGCTGGAACATCGCCGTCAAAGCCTTCTATCACAAGGGGGATAGCTTGTCTCGGGCTTCCCGCATCAAAACCGGAAGTCCGTCCATACTCACGCCACTGAATACCAGCCAGATCACACCCGTACTCATCGTCCATCTCCAGCCCTTCGCTGAGCCGCCTCTCCAGCTCTCCTCCAGATCTTGGTCCCACTCGGATTGGGACCCTCCGCAAAGTAAACTTATATTTCTTCCCCCGATACTCCAAAGAGAAAGATACTTCAAGAGTATGGCACCGGGCAATGTTGTAGGTTGAGAAGTCTGAGGCCAGTATTTCAACAGGAACAGAGAGGTCTACTATATCGCAGAGGTTGACAAATGTGGTCGGAGTATCAATCGCTGTTTCTGAGACTGATTTGCTTATTCGGGATATGGGTACTCTGCATGATCCTTTGCGAGCCAAGATGCACTTGGTAGATAGTCCGGTGTGACACCCAGCTCGGACATGTGTCTGCTGGAAAAGTGAGAGCTTAAAAGAATGAATAACAAGATCTGGACTTGCATCCACTGTTAAAGACGCCAACTCCTCGGTCGCTGTTGAACTGTTCATCGTGCAGGAAGTTGGGATGGACAGTGTTTGATGTTCTTTAAGCTCGAGTTTCTTGGGCAGTAAGACCGAAAAGCATAGATTCATTTCGGGCTCGGTAGGCGGTTGCTTTTTGTGAAGCATTGGAAGAAGGCGCCGGACAGGCCAATGTGAAGATTCCCCAAGCGGGCAACGGACTGTGTGGCGATGGCTGACATATGGGTAGTTCAGTCCGGGTGCGCTGTGGCCAGGCATCTCCAGGTTTTGAACAGATACGGTCCGTGATGATTTCACTTCCCTGCCCTTGCTTTCCGAATTGTTGGTGGGAGGAGGCCGGTGCACGAGTTTCGCTTCGAGGATATATTGTATGGTGCAAACAAACTTGCCGTTCTGTTGCATGCTTGGTGGTAGAGGGTGAGGCTGGAGAGCCAAGTCGCCTTTCCATGGATGCTTTGGATTGAACAACTCTTTCGACCATGATGGCACAGACCTTGGAGCTGCAAATAGTGGAATTCGTAAAGCAAAGGGCCAAGCATAGTTTCCCTTGTGTTGGATGCACTCCCCACTGTACAAATCCAGATGTCGACTGAAGAGATAACTTTTGGAAGCATATTCCGTTCTGGGGGACACCAAGTCACCGTAATATTGATTCAGAAAGACACTGGTTTGGCCTTTAAAAGTGAGGCTCAAGGACTCGATTACTTGGTCTTCATAGTTCATGAACTTGACCACACCAAGGACCATGCTCCCAGGCGTCAATGGCTTGCTCTCGTCGTGAGAAAAGCTGATTGTAAGTGTCATGATGAGGACTGCGCAATTACCAACTGATTTTCTCGTTGTGCTCGGTATTGGTTCACTGCCGACAGAATTGTCAAAGACATCAAGTCAGAAGTCGCCAGCGATTGAGGGGGCTCTGGGTATAGAAGCCCAAGTCGCACATGATATCACTTGGTCGAAATCGAAGTGTCGTGTGATGTCCGATTTAACAAAATAGACAATATTTCCCGTGGACGCAAGGCATACCCGGTGCGTCGCGGCTGAGCAGGCACGCAGAGAGACATGTTACACACTTACTGTGCTAGTTTCCAGGAAGCCGCAATCGAGAAGAGCGCCAACATATTCATGGTTGAGCGCGCAAGCGGAATCAGCTTCCGACACTGTCTTCATGGAACTGAACTTTTGTAGCTCCTCTATTGCGTGCGCCGCTCGGCTCGGGCGGCAGCCAGGGTGGGAAGTCAATGGGAAATTCCAGTTCCTCTTCTGTGCCATTCAGACACGGGTTGTTTTCCCCGGCAAAATCGTAATGCTTCCTACTTAGAGCTATTCCTTTTGCGAAAGTCCGACCTCTGAAAAGGCATAGTCACCTGGCGCTTTTGGAAGTAATTCTAGTGAGCCCGTCCTTCGCGATGCCGAAATCTAGTATTGGTTTTTGATATCGAGGTATTGGTGATCAAAGGTTCGCTCTCCCTTTATTTATTTATCGTCAACCACAACTTTGCTTAAGTGGGAGAAGTCGTGATACAAGTTGACGGCTATTATTCAAAGACGGCAAAGTTCAAATCGACTTACAGTGGTTTGTATTATCAGGGTGCCAGCTGTGGCGATGAAGGAATATCCACATTTTGCGAATGGATGGCCGATTGCGTAACATGATATGGTGAAGAACACATAATGGTAAATTTTGGGTCTGGAGCTGAGCAGCCAGCCCACCAACCAGCCACTGTGATGCTGTGATGAAACTGGGGACCTGGGCCAGAAGAGACCTTCTCCCGAGAACCTTATACGGAACGGGCGGAACGCACGGTAAAGATGGATTGTTTCTGGCACGCAGCTGACTTCGTGATGTCTACCAGGTGACTCTGCAAGGCTCGTTATAGCACTTTGGTGCACATAATATACCTAACGGACTTGCCAAATATTTTGGACGACCCGTTGCATCCATCGTTCCGGCGAGGTATCCGACAATATGACTACACCTCTGTCCTTGAAACGGCGGCGTGTTGCACGTGCTTGCGACAGTTGCCGGAACCTGAAATCCAAGGTAAGCATAAGCCGGGATCCGAAACACTGCTTGCGATTTGCTCGTACCTGACGACTTCGTGTTCAGTGTGATGGAAACCATCCTACCTGTGGGCGGTGCGCTGGCTATGGATACGCGTGCCGCTGGAACAAAGGCAGTTCCCGAAAGAGCTTCTCTCGCAGCAATCATGCTAACCTCAGTTGGTTCTCCATCGATAACGAGAGCCAGAAATTAAGAGATGCAATTGCAGTCTACAACGACTTGATTCGAGACCTCCGCAAGAACCTTTCGAATAATGATTGCAAAATTGTCGACTTGCGCCTCGCATCTATCCAGCTTCCCGACCATGTGGCGAGGCCGATGGTGGAACACTTATCGCCAGAACAGACGGTGGTCGAGGATAGCCGCTCGACTCCTGTCCAGCGTTACTTGGGCGAGGCGAGCGATATTCGGTTTTTCCATGCCATGGAATCTGCCTTTTGCCAGCGTTCTCCGTCTGACTGCCAAGAAGGTGTTCCTGAGATGCGTGTAGACAGTTACGAACAAGAAGGAACGCGTCAGGTCTCGGAGCAGAACCAAGGTTGCCTGCCACACAGGACGGATGCGGATAATTTTGTCGAGATCTACTTTTCGACGATACACATTGCTTACCCCTTCATCTCGGAACCGGATTTCAGGAAAACCTATGAATCTTTCTGGCAAGCGGATTCGTTGGAGGAGTTCCGCGGCCCATGGCTATCTCTGCTATGTGAGTACCTCCTCGGCGGTAACGTTTGCTGCTCGCTCGATCCCGGAAGATCGGTCGACTCTGCATGTCTCTTGGAGCCCCGACACAAGTTGATCAACTACTGCTGACTGCCCTTTTAAGTGTCCATATTTGCGATTGGTTCCTGCTATGAGAGAATCGCCCAGTCCGAGGACGACGAAGCTTCCAATCCAGCAGCTTCTCATCAACATCAACGTTATTTCGATGATGCGATTGCTCTTACACAAAAATATACCTCGAGGCATACCGTGGACCATGTTTGCGCTCTGCTCGCGCAGTGTTTCTATCTCCTGGCCACTTGCCAAACCGACCGATGTTGGACGACGCTGGGGCTGGCAGTCCGCATCGCTCAGAGTATCGGTCTTCACGTCGAAGAGCATCATCGCGCAGGCCGAGAAATGGGTCGGGCCCCTCAAGAAATGTGTCGTCGAGTCTGGTATTCCATATTTGTGCTTGATCGCCTTTTGGCATTGCAATTGGGACGTCCGCCAGCCACCAACGACGAAGGCTTCATGGTTAGACTTCCGTCTCAACAGTCTGAGGCCGATCTGGCGGACCCAAACGGTCAGCATGACATCCACCAAAACGGCTGGATGGGAGACTACTTTGTCGCAATGATAAAGTTCTCTGAAATGATTGGAAGAGTTTTCAATAGTCTTTACGGACCAAGGAAAGCCGAGGATGCCGCTGTGACCCTCTCGAGCATCGAGCTCCTGGATATTGAATTGTTGCAATGGCGATCCAACCTGCCAAGACACCTGAGATTCGATCTCTCACACACCTTCGAAAGCTCGGTAATCTATAAAAGACAGGTACGTTCTCGACCACGATTATTTCAAATGCTTAATTTTATTGACACAAAGAGCTAGCGCAATATGCTTGCTGTCAAATTCTACAACCTCCAAGCATTGATCCACCGACCTCTACTGTCACCTGCGAAGTTGCTGGAGTCATGCCCCGATCCCATGGCATTCTATCAAGCAGAACGCAGTCGTTTCTCCATGTCGAAACGGAAGTGTGTCGTGGCTGCGCAACATACTGCGAAGCTACTCCATAATCTCGAGGACAAGAAAGGCCTTGTTTATGGCTTCCCTTGGTGGCAGATGATCTCATGTCTCATCTGCGCGAGTTCAATCCTTCTGGTCGCAAGCATATGCGTGGACCTGGACTTGGACGAAGAAGTCTTCAAGGACATTGACTGGACAGCTGTGAACGAAGATGCCGAGGTTTGCCTCAGGGTATTCCAGGCTCTTAGCTCTAACTCAAACGCAGCAAGGTTGGCCAGCGACATGATGCAAAGGCTCAAGAAAACCAGAACGATCTCCCAAGGTAAGTTCTCCAACCCTCACAGCCAAAAGGGTTATGCGGCGCTACAGGAATCCTGACTGGGGCACTCGCTTGGCGTGTCTTAGGGAAACCAATCGACCGTCTCGCAATCGGATCTATGCTTGCAGTTGAGAACGAACCCAACAGCATGACAAACACCCTGCCATCCAGCGACCCCTTCCAGGCTCCTACGATGCCCTCACAGTTGGACGCCTTTGAACCAAGTCAAGAGTCGTTCAATCTCATGTTTCAGACCATGCCTTACGAGGTCTCGGAGCCAGTCATGTGTAAGTCTTTTCCTCACAAGTTCCCAAATCACAAGAATACTTCATTCGGAATGAAAGTCGATCTCTGCACCGTTTGGCGTCATTGACGTCGGAAATCCCAACCAACTGTCCATCAATAAGCCGCTCTAAAAAGAACTGACGCTTTTATGTGTTGGCAGGGTCTGCGCAATTCGTGAATGCAGCATACAATCCCTTCCTGAACAGCCCGGATACCTGAACGAAAGCTGAGTAAGGTTCTCGAGGAGTCAAAATCAAGGAATCAGAGCGTTTTCATTGGTATTTTACTACGGATATCTTCTCTCCTGGGTTCATACCAATGGCCGCCGCGTCTCTCCGAATCTAAAAGAAGAAACTCCTTGGTGAATTTTTGCCGGCCGTCCGCAAAGGTTCGAAATGGGCTTCCGTACTCTCCCAAACGCGGTTTGGCCCCCTCCAGTGGCCACTGTGCTGCTTAGGCTTTATTACACTTGTCCTGGATGGTGTTGAGGGCCCTTACAGTCTGCCTGTAGTGGGAGGGGGTGCACTGGTTTGCGTGTGGGTGTTTGCAGAAGCCATTGTTCCAGTGCCACTGTGCACTTGGCAGGTATCTCAACTATCCTAAGCAACGACAGGTGAAAAATTAAAAAGGTACTACGTGGTAGTATACGCGAGGTCTATGTGAAAATAAACATGACGCTAGGGACAACTGTAAAGCAATCAGGAGACAGCGCCGGCCATAACCAGCGGCCGGACGCCGACAACCTGTTTCGTCTTGCCTCCTCCGCCTGGCGCACCAGAGGCAGAGGCAGAAGTAGACCCAGAGCCGGCGGGGGCAGTGGTGTTGCCGTCGAGCCTCATGTCCCTCAATTTGGCACCCACATCCTCCTGCCCACCGCCGCTCGTGCTCGTCGTCCCCATCCCAATACCCTCGTCCTCTCTCACCTGTCTCAACCCTTCTGGAACGGGTAATTCCACGCACCTGGCGCCCAGCCGTCCCTTGATATCCTCAAACAACACCTCCATAGGCGCAATATACGCCGTCTTGCTCTTCTCGCCCCAGGCCAAGACATGACCGCAAAGTCCACCCGAGACAGGATCGTATACCCACGCGCCACTATCCCCCGGGATGCCGAAGCCTCCTTCTACACACCAACTCACAGAGAAGGATTGCCGGCCGTGCATTTTCACTAGAGACATGGCCTGCGAGATGCGTCCCCGTTTGAAGCCGGATGAACGACCTCGACAGTGCACCCGTAGACCTGGGAGGGAAGAAACAGGGGTGATTGTTGTGAGGACGGGAATAGGATCACGCCTTTGAGGGGACGTTCGAGATCCCTGTCGTGACGACGATGTGGGTGGAATGTTGGTGGCCTTCTGCTGCGACGTGATTGCATTCTCAATCTTCAAGCGGTCTTCGTGTACTCGAATTAGCGCCCAATCGACCTCATGCTTCATTTCCCCTCTTACTACACGCCGGATGCCGCTACTCGCAAAGACATATCCAAACGCATGGCTCGCAAGGTGGTCATCGTCACGATCTTCCTCGCTAGGAAAGAAGTCATCATCAACATCGTCGATGGCGGGTTGAGTCACACATAGATCGTCATCTGAGTATGGTGCGATGCCTCTTTTGTCGCCAATGGAGGCCGCGTCGTCTGCGTCTGCTTCATCTTCGGACGAGGAATCATCGGATCCGTCGTCATCATCAAGGCCAGGAGGGCTGTCTTCGAGGAACCAGAACTCGTTGCCGTCCGCGTCCATGATGGCATAGTCTGGACGGATGGTGCTGGCGTCGCTTTGGTCATCGTCGTCATCACTGTTGTTCTCAAAATCCTCGTCAGAAATGGCCAGATCGGAAAACCGCGAGAGGTCTTCCTCTGATTGCATGAAACGTACATCGGCTGAAGTGTCAAACTGTCCAGGCATTTTACGAGGCGCTGCAGCTCTGCGAGCTTGCTGTTGCTGATCGCTGCGTCGGACGACATCATCGTCATCGTCATCTTCGTCTTCATCGTCGCTTGGAAGGTCGAGCATGTGATGCACCGTCATTCCGTAAGGTTCGCCGTCGACGAGGATAGTGCCTCCGAAGGAAACAGGAGGGAGATGTTCGGCATCCTTGAAGGCTCCAATGCTGGCCCCACTTGTCGGCCGTTCCTGATATTTCTGTTCCAGAGGCCTTCGAGCCATGGCTTTGGGGCCTCTGTGCTTCGAGCAACTGCTACCATACCCCGATCGCCTCGGCTTTCTCCTTCTGCCGGTACCACTACGTCTAACTTCACCATTGAGCAGGACGACGCCCCATCCCTTCTTGGGTTTGAACTTCTTCCTCAGCACATCACGGACCTTGTTGATCTGTGGGCATTGAATGCAGATGGTTGTCTTGGCATTATCAGGGGCACTTCCGAACATCATGAGACTGAGGCTGCAAGATGATTCGGGAGAATCCTTGAGAGCATTCTGCAGCATCTTGCCTAGCTTGGGCATTACCATGGTATTCCACTGGTCTAGGTCTTCTTGGGGGATATCAACATCGCTCCACTTTCGGAGAGGCTTCTCTGCTGGCGATATGGAATGCTGAATCGCATCGGCCTTTCGTTTTGAATTCGCTCTCTTGGGGAATTCGGGCTTGATGTCGTCAACTGGTATCTTTGGCATTTTCTCCTCTTCGGCTGCTTTTGCTTCGGCTTTGCACATCTGCTCAATAATGATGAGCTCGAACGTCTCGATGTCAGAGGCTGGAGGTGGCCCTTCTTCGTCAAGGGCGCAACATTGCAGCAGGTCCTTGGCCACCTGAAGCAGGAACGCTCCAGCGTCCTCATAGTTGTTCTTGAACTGCAACTCCGAGGGCGCTTGCAAGCACTTCTGAACAACCCGCATGTACTTGCTTCCGCACTTTGAAGCCAGCTTGTGCGCGTAAATTCGCTGGACTCTTTCCATAAAAAGCCGGCGGTCATACTTTGGCTTCCACAATTTCTGCAACGGAATCCACAGACCAATCTCTAACAAAAGCAAGCCGAGGCTGTATATGTCATAAGCTGGAACTACTTCAGGTGCGTGAATGTCGTGGTCGGGGTGGCGATAGATGGTTGCGGTGAATGGTTCCTCTGCTTGTAAGCGAGACAGAAAGTCCTGGCACGACTGCAGCAGATAGGGATATCTCAATTCTTTAGGTAAATGGGATCGATGCATATGCTCTCTGCTACCGATGAGGAGGATATTGCTGCTGTTGATATACTGATGAGTTTCTCCTTGGGCGAAGTAGCCCATGATGGACAAAGCGAGGTTGTATGCCAGTCGGAAGCGATCTTCAAGCGCTGGCGACGAGCCCTCCTGGACGTTGTTTGTGGCCAGAAGGGACGAAAGAGTCCTGTGTTGCTGGAGAGTTTTGTGGTCGTGTCCCTCGGGCAAGGCATAGACCATTGCGCAACGTGGTCCATTAGGGTCGACAGTGAACCCGAGAAGTCTCAGGTGGCCGCACCACGACAAGGATCGATCTTTGCACAGCTTCTCGCCGAGCTCATGGAGCTCGAAGACGTCCTCGGCACTCCCGACGACATATGGTGGACAGTCGGCCGTGAGAAAATCAACGAGGACCGGGAAGGCGCCCTGACGAAAGTAGGCGATCGACCTTTCTGTCGAAGTCACCGAGCCTTCAGCGGGATCATATGGAGGTGGGTCAGCTGCTTGTGGGGAATACGTGCTGAACTCGAGACCGTTGAAGTCGATGTGTAGAGGGTGGTCGTAAAGGGGGCCATAGTCGGTACCATCGGCAGCAAGCGACGACCCATGAGCGTGCTTCATGCGTTTGGCGTCACCACTCTTCTCATCGGCCCGCCTTGATTCCTCGAGGCTGTAGAGGACGTCGATGCAGGTAGTCAGCTGCTCCAGCAGAGCGCGGCCGGTCATGACCTCGTGACTGGTCCAGTCCCTGCGAGGGGCCACAGGACTCGCACCCGGGCCTCGTGCCGACTTCTTCATCTCGTACCTTTCGGGATGCTCCAGTCGGCCACTCTCTTCCAGCAGCCTTTTGATCTCGGACATGACGCTGGCCACCACCTCGCCCAGCCCAGCCTGGTCGATTTTCTTGTCGATGTCGACATCGCCCTGGGCGGAATAAGGCGCGCCGACGTCGGTCCAGTGCATCCCCCATGCCAGCAACCTGTCCTGCTGGATCTGGAAATCACGTCTCAAGTCCCTCAACTCGGGCAGGTCCGTGACATTCGCGGCCGCCGGAGTGACTTTGGCGCTCTCATAGGACTGCTTGGTGTCCGAGTAGAGCTTGGACAGGCGCTGAAGATACGTGCCACGCCGCTGAAACATGGTGGCAATCGGCGGGCGAAGAGATGCTGGAAGTTATCGTGTCGTTTGTCGGCTCATGTCCTGAACTATTGCGTACGACGAGGCTGAAGGTGATGCATCGTTTCAAAGAGGATTCTGTGAGGGCAGAGTCGAGAGTCGGTAGTAGCTGAATTGATTATGCATGGGGCCCGAGAAGTCTGAGCGGGGTGAATCCGAGTATATCGGCCATGGTGGAAATCCTGTTGCCTGTTATTCGACGCATCAGCCCAATTTTCGCCACCCTCTCGGGATCCTGCAGCACCGCCTAGTGAGCCTAGATTGGCCCGGTTACTACAGGCTCCAGAGGTTAGGCGACAGGCTTTAGCCACATTTCGCCAGCTGGGAATTGGGTACAGGAACTCTGCTGCCTTAGCATGATGATCTTTGTCTGCCCCTTGCATTTGCTGGCGCCTGTAATAAAGGAGCCCAGTCCTAAGCCAGAGAGTCTGGTCTCATCTGATTGCACTGCGACAGTCTCTTTGCAGACTCTACGTACAAAGGACGAGAAATGCGGTGGCATGCGTAGGCGATGCATGCACCGAGCTGAAGCCGAAACAGATCCCCCCTTGCGTCAGCAGAACATTCGAGTAATTGCACGTCGCGGGAGCAAGAGAAACGCAAAAGCGCAAAGAAACATTGCAGAATCACTTCGTATCAATTCAATTGTTTGATTGTGTTACAATTGACTACTTGTCTTCTGTAAGAGGTCCACTCAAAAGGATACAAAATCCATCTCGAGCATTGCTGCGTCTTTGTCGAGCAGGACACAAAAAGTTCTTCAACCCCTTGCGATAAAAACCCAACGTCAATAGTTGTTTTGTAATACAGCCAGACCCATGCGCCATGTTTCATCATCCATAACCACCGTAGCCCATATCCGTATCTCCCGTCTTCGCCAGACTCTAGGTATTGACCACTAAGAAGTCTAACCACCGAAACCGTAGAGGGTTCTGCCTTGTCGCTTGAGGGCATAAACAACATCTGAAGGCCGGGTTAGTCTTTGGGCAAAGTACAAGGTTCGGTGTCACTCTGGACTTACCAAGCGAAGTGACAGTCTTTCTCTTTGCGTGCTCGGTGTAGGTGACAGCATCACGAATGACAGATTCGAGGAAGGACTTGAGGACACCACGGGTCTCTTCGTAGATCATGGCCGAGATACGCTTGACACCACCACGACGAGCGAGACGTCGGATGGCAGGCTTGGTGATACCTTGGATGTTGTCGCGAAGAATCTTGCGATGACGCTTAGCACCACCCTTGCCGAGGCCCTTTCCGCCTTTGCCGCCTGTAGAAGAGGTTGTTAGTTATACTGTTACATGAAGATGTTGTTCCAATCATCTAAGCTGTAGGAGGTGGCGCGCAACATGCCCGGACCGCAGCTTGAGGCGACGGTAAGGTGAGGCGACAACGACAACCACGATAATCGCAACGACAGATGCACAAGGGAGTTAACTTACGTCCAGTCATGTTTGCAAAAGTGTTTGGAAGATGAAAAGGTGTGAAATGGGTAAGTTATTGATGGTTGGTTGATGAGAGTTGATGAATGCGGAACAACCAAAGGTAGTGGCGCAAGATTGTCAGAAGTGGGCGGGAAAAGGGGAAGGGAGAAAGAAAGGAAGAAATCGGTAGGAGGGAACGAGGATTATAAGCGAAAGGGCAGATGGGTGGGCAGTGACAGCAAGATCAGGTCAGGATGGGGGGCTTGGCGCTGATCCAATTGCTGGGGTTGATTTAGAGACTGCGAAAAGCATGCTGTGAAAATCAGGCAAAAGACGTGCTCGAAATCACTCACTCATAACAAGGCACGGATGCGCGCTGCTGATTGGCTGTGAGATGTCTTTTGTTCTGGATGGCCGCTAGTAGCTTAGTAGCGTTAGCGTAGTTTGTTTTAGGATTAGTGGCTTCCTCACGTGTCAGCCCAGATCTCAGCCCCGAGAAGCCAGTACTTTGTTGACCCAATTCATCGCTTGATAATTAGACCTATATACCACAGCATAGGTACAGCGAGTCATTGACAAGGGCTACACAGGTGTCGTACAGAGCTCTCGGCGCAGTAATGAACCGATACACCGCGGGACCAGAAACACGCGGCAAACAAGCCAGGCTGCGAAACATCCGTCGATTGTCATTTGTACACGCACGAGTCGAGACCTGCCCATGCCACCCGAACTCCTACCTTTGACTCTACCTAAAACCCCTTGAATCCATCGTACCGCTGCTTCTCCTTGTACTTCTTGTAGCCAACATACCCGCCACCCGCCACCCCCGCAAAGAGCAGCACCTTGAAGAAGAACCATCCCCAACCGCCACCCTTGGGCTTAGTACTCCTTCCTCTCCCACTCACCCGCGCCTGCGCCGCCTTGTCTCTCCCAGAGTTCGCTGCCACTGGATTGTATAGATTCCGTGTTTCCACGCTGATAATGTCAAAGTCGTCCGAAAGTTCGCCCGTGTGCGCACTAAATCCCAAATATGCCGTATTGGGCATCTTCAATGGTTGGTCTGCTGTGGGGGTGATAGAGAAACAGTCGACCCATGCATCGGTGGCTTTATACTGTAGTTGGAGCGTGAGTGACTTGTCTTGGAAATAAGTCAACTTCGCTTTGGTGGGGATGGAAGCACCGCGCAAGCCTCGAGCCTGTGTAGCATCCGTGGTCAGTCTCATATCTGGTATCATCGAAGATATGTTCATCTCTTACCGAGCAACCACCAATCTCGTTCGCCTTCCCGTCATTCGCCGCATCGTATGAAGTCTTTCCGTCTCCCATCATGCCCATCACGTATGGAAACACAACACCAGGTCTGTTGTTCTTGTACGTGTCGAAGAAAATCCCCAGCCCTTCAAACCGATCCGCATGCCCAAACACCGGGCCGGGCTGTGCCCTCTCCTTGGTAATCCACATGGCAAACCCGTCGCCGTGAAGGTGGCCCTTGCCATGGATCGAGAACTCAAACTCTACTTCCCAGTTGGTCGCCGTCAGCGGTATGCGAGAGAAGATCCACCCTGATTGTGAGGGCATGTCGGAGGCCAGTCGTATGTACTGGTCGGTGCGGATGATCGCGTCGCCGCCAAAGTCGAACCACCGACTTGACATGTCCGAGTCCAGGTATGGAGGTGCGAGACTGTGTGTTCTCAGCTGACGAGGAACATGGGGAGGTTAGCCAATAGTCCAGAAGCAGCAGTAGAAGAAGTAGATTGAGACTGAACTCACAGGCACGCTCTTCATGTCTGGGTCCGCCTCTACAGCCGCTCGCGTGCCCACTGCACATGCCGCCAGCAGCCATAATGAGGCCCAGATATTGGATGGCGCCCACATCTTCAACTGGACACAATGTCTATTGCTCGGAGATTTTCGCGATAGCGGTGAGAAAAGGAATATGTCACAGAGACTTCATGGCAAGAACACGGCTTGTGTCCAAAAAGTTGTCGCAGGCCCCCTTAAAGGCGCAGGGAAAAAGTGAAATGTCACGTCGAAACTACTGTAAAGGTGTTCAGTTTCGCGCGACTATTCGACGCAGGTGAACTGGGGCTTGTGGAGAACGCGAAATGGTTTGCTAATAGCCCCTACCAATAGTGATTTCCGCCAATTGTTATAGGCGCTCGTCATGGCTTGATGGGCTACCGCCGCCGCCGGCCGGCAGACCTGCCTGGTAAAGCCCAGCTACCTAGGTAGGTACGAAGTACAAACAGACATTGCTCAGAAGGTCCTTTGGCTCAACCAAAAAGACGTCCAAGTAGCTTCTCAACACCTGCTCAGCTCTATTCAAATCAAAGCCCAGAAAAAGTCTTTCTACACAATCAAAAGATCCGGCATCACCATGGCATTCGGCGGCTTCTTCGGCGGCGGCTCGTCCAAAGACAACTCCTCTTCGTCCACCACATCATCATCATCATCATCTTCATCCTCCGACTCGTCCTCCACATCGATTACAAACCCTCTATCCTCCTCCTTCTCACCTTCCAGCGGTTCCACCACAACGACGACATCGGGCGTGACACTGCAGCGCATCCAATCCGCCATCAGCGAACAATCCAACGTCGCCAACGCGAAGCAACTGATCTCCAACGTCCACACGAATTGCTTTGAAAAATGCGTCCCCAACCCGGGCAGCAGTCTGAGCTCGACAGAACAAAAGTGCCTGACTGCCTGTATGGAGAAGTACATTGATGCATGGAACGTGACGAGTCGGACGTACACGGCGAGGTTGCAGAGGGAGAGTGCATCGTTTGCGGGCGGGATTGCTGCTGGCTCTGGGGCAGCAGGAGGCGGGAAGGAGCTGTTTTGAGCCCTGTCGAACTCTATGAGGTTGCCGAGGCTGAAAAGAGCACGTTCTTCGAAGCTCCCAGATCACTGGAGACCAAAGGTGAATTGGAAGGCTGAGGAACTCTTCAGACAACACCCGAGCACCCGTCTGCCTTGCCATGCGCTGGAGTCGATTTGTACATGCTGTACTAGGCACACGGCGCACATCGAGCACAGTGGGCAATCTTGAGTCGCTTCAGAGCCCAGGCTGAGAACCTCCTCGGAGGTCAAACTTCCATCAAAATTCGGCGCTTTGGAATCACCAGGCTTCACGCACCCCTCAAATGTACCTATACAACACCACGCATCTCGTCAGTCTCCCCTCAGCCCGACACGACGCATTTGGATGTCTTGCTTTGAGGTCTGGCTTATCCGAAGTTCGACCCATCAAACCCGGTCCCGTGTAGACTTTTTCACTTGATAATAGTATAGGTAGGTAGCTGTACATTAGTCCCTGGTTTGAGGCTGGTAAGATCCCAAAAAGGAACACAAACTACCAAAAGAAGGATGATTGCGGCTGCACTCTGTAAATAGGATAGGAGATGTTGTACCGAGTACTTACGTATCCTCCGTTGCGGACTGCTTTGACTTCGGACACGGCTTTTCGAGCATCATCTTCTCAAGCAGGCATATGGACCACAAGCGCCGAAAGATCACATGCGATGATTTGGAGAAGAGTAGTAAAAATAACTGCATTGAAAGTCAGAGGCTCATCCAAGGCTTCAACTGCTTTGCTTCTGTGCATCAGAGGGATAACATCTCGAATGGCAAGTATGCAAAGTCCAAATCTCATGGCCCCTCGTGGCGATATTGTCCTGGTACAATGCACTGAGCGCCTCGCGCGAATCCCATTTCGCTTTTCGCACTCATGAATAGATATTCCAGCTTCCTGCATCGTCGCCGCCATCATTATACACAGCAACAACAACGACCACAACCACGACCACAACCACCACGGCCCACTGAACACTGCAACCGCAAATCCAAAGAACCCACCTCCACCACCAAATTTTCATGGTGGCCACTCCATTAGGGCCACACCCGCTGTCATCAAAATTCGTTAGTACGAGGACTGCACCGGCTGCAGTACAAATCGAATCCGCGGCCACATTTTTGTTGTTGCTCATGTCGCATCGAACCAGACCAGCTGGTCGTCATCTCGCAGGCTGAGATGGTCCGATGTCTCGTCCCGCTCTCCACTACTTCGTACTCGGCAGCATTGTTTCATGATGCTCCTTCCGTTCTTCGCTGTGGCGATGTAATAATTAGAAGTCCACGAAGAAATGGCCGAACCTGAATATCGTGTCAGCTTTGAGGCATTCAAAGAAGCGGGTAAAGGGGGGTTCCATACGGATCCTCTCCTTTCTTGCCATATTCTTCCGTCTCCTCGGGGTATTTGTCGAACTGACTGGCATCACCAGCTCCGCCCTTCACTGGTGGAACGTACGGGGCGTCGATATCTTTCTTCAATAGTCTCTCCCAGGTGACCTCAGCGAACCACGCATGATTCTTGATGTCTGCAGGACCGCCATGCAAATTCCCGAGTCGCTTCGTCAGGTCACTTGTGATCAGCTGAACCAGGAGGTCTTGAGCATCGGCATGAATGTAGGGGGGATATTTGACTCTTCCTTTGAGGATGTTCTCGTAAATCTTGACAGGGGAACCTCCATCCCAGAATGGCGTAAATCCGCACAACATTTCGAAGATCAAGATGCCTAGAGACCACCTGGAAAAGGCTCAGCGTGAGAACTCCACAACAAGGCGACCGACAAGCTTACCAGTCCACCGACTTATTGTATCCTTTTGAAGCCACGACTTCGGGGGCTAGATAGTCCGGGGTACCGCACAAGGTCCACGTAATGTCGGGCACTTCTTTGGCAAACCCAAAGTCGGTGATCTTGACATGGCCGTGTCTGTCCAAGAGTAGATTTTCGGGCTTCAGGTCGCGGTAGATGATATTCTGTCCGTGCAGATATTCGAGTGCCAACGTGACTTCGGCGGCGTAGAACTTGGCTACGGGGTTGGGGAAGCGCTATCGCAGAAGGTCAATGTCAGGGTGACGGTGGAAAAGCCAAGGACAAGGAATTACCTGAGATTTTCGCAGCAGACTGAAAAGCTCTCCACCTTCGATAAAGTCCATGACCATGTACAGGTTCTTCGAGTCCTGGAACGTCCCCCAGAGGGTGATGAGGAACGGGTGCTTGACTCGTTGCAGCATCCGTCTCTCGTCGTTGGTATGCTCGATCTGTTTCATCTTGACCACTTGGGCCTTCTTCAAGACCTTGATGGCATAGAAGCGCTGGTTGTGTTTTGACTGCACCAAGTGCACCCGCCCAAACGAGCCCGTACCCAGGGTTCGCTGAATTGCAAAGTCCGTGAGGGTGTATTTGCCCTTTGTTTGTCTCTGCACCGGCTTGGAATCCACCACGCCCCCAGCAGGGCTGACAACGGGGGCAGCGTTCATGTCGACACCGCCGTTGCTTTCGACTGTCTTGGCATGAGGTTCAGGAGTGGAGGTGGTTGTCACAGCCGTGGTGGCCTGGGAGGCTGCATCGGAGGCGCCTGTAGTCTTGGAAGGGACAGATGATGAGGTGTCGGTCTTTTGTGAGGACTTGTATTGAATGGGCTGATAACTGCCGCCGCCTGATGGAGCGGGTTTGTCGTCAGAAGACTCCTTGGTCTTCTTTTTCTTGAGCAGACCTCCAAAGGTCGGCATTTGGGAGACGCAGGGAAGCGCACGTTCCCAAGGGCTGGAATGCTAACAATAGGATGATTCAGAGGAGCTCGGAGGCCTGTTGGACTGCCCACCGAGTCGCAACGTGGAACGTGGAATTAGGTGAGGGAGGGCAATGGGACTGCGAAGTGGGGAGGGGTAGCAACAGCCGCAGCTCGCAGCTCGCAGCTCGCAGCAAGGTAGAAAAGATGCCAGGATCAATTCAAGGCGGTTTGCTCGATTATTCGGTCGGGTAATGGGCTGGCCGCTGGGAAGCTGCAGTGCAGGCCGATAAGCTCCAATCGTGGGCAGAGGGGAAGGTGACGACCGCGACAACAAGGTCAGTCAGGATTAAGACTGTAGCTTTGGTTCCTTCTCCTTTTTCTCCCCTCTTTTCAAGGAACAATGAAGCACAATCGAGGCTGGAGAGACAGGCTGTGTATCACACAGAGACAAGAAATCAAAAGGCAGGGCGGAGCTGCAAGTTGGCAAGCTGAGAGACGGGATCTTTGAACTCTCTGTGTCCCTCTCCAGAGCTGGGGGAGGGCCCTGGGTCGTCACTAGTAGTAGTGGGTGGTTAGGTAAAGAGAGCGACAGAGGCCGACCTGTAAGCTTTGCGACTGGTGGGATGATATTATTGGCGATGAGGGCACCAGTAGTGATGAGCAGCAGTTTTGGTGAGGGGCCAGTGCCGGGCGCCGACAGGAGGAGAAGGGAGCGAGGGGGAGGTGCAGGGTTTAGGGTACAGGGTTACAGTACCTAGCCAGTGAGCACCAAGCACAATGATAGATACCTACCTAGGTAGGCACTCCGTAGGGTGTAGTCTGTTGGGAGACGTGGGAAACTGAATGAATGAGTGAAGGCCTGACAATCGTCGACCCAGTGAGGTAGCAGTCGGCAGGTAGAGGCAACGAGGTACATACTACCTAGGCAGGTATATCACTTCCCCTCATTGCTGTTCACACACCTACTACGTGCACAAACACCTAAGTACCTGGCACCAACTGGTAAGGTACCTGGGAGGGAGTAGGTTTGCTCAGTGCCATGTCTGCCCGCTCACCTCATCTCCTCCAGCCACATATGTCACTGTCCACTAGTGGCTTCCATGGCGCTGGGACAACCCCTCCTTACGTAGCGGTGTTTGGTATATACCCTCTTAGAGGCACCAGAGGCACCAAGTGCACCAGGTGCAGTAACAGGTTAGCAGCCCACTAGGCACTAGGCCGACACAGCCGAGGATTGCCGGGGTCGGCGCCACCGCCTCCTGCGGCAGCTATCTCTGCGTGGCATAAACCATTCTGTATCCCAGCTGGTGACAGGGCACTGTCTAATAGGTACAAGGTACCTATGTACCTACCTAGTAGGTATGTATGTACTCCGCGGCTGGGCAACTCACATCTTGCTGAGAGCGTCGAGATAAACAGCGGAGTAAATCACGTCCTTCGTGCCTGGAGACGCAAGAGAGGCATGAAGTACGTCTCCCTCATGCTCTCGCCAACCTCATCTCCCGTGTCACCTCGTCCACAATCTCCTGTGCTTCCCCTGCTGTCCGCGCCTCGAAATCATACCGTTTCGACTCGTTGATTCGCCGCACCACGATCCGGACAAGCTTGGGGTGCTTCGAGCTGACCTTGCACTTCAAGATATCGTTGAATGCAATCGAACTGAATTTGGCATTGGAGCTGGTATCTGCCGGCATGACATGAATGATGTCGCCATCAAACACGAGCACCCTCTGGCTTCCTTGAGCAAAGCCGCCCAACTGTTTCCTCGTGACATAATACTTCTTGAAGTTGCTGGCACTTGACAAGAGGTCCTGTTTCTGCGCCAGAGGGAGATTAGCCTGGCCTCTCTTGCCCTTCTTGAGACCTTGAATGTCCAGTAAAAGTGGCGCGTTGGGCGAAGAACTGCCCGGCGAGCCTGTCAAACTGGCACCAGCCCCGAACCTTCGACGCACGAGGTCCAGCTCGGACCGCCCACCTAGAGCTTCCACCGTGCGATCCAAGGGGGCAACAGTATTGGTCCCGGCCACTTTTAGCACAAACCCAGCCTTCTCAAGATTCCATCTCTTGCACACATGGTCTAGAATCTCAGCAATGTAGCCGTCTGTCGAGATCTCCATGGTCATTGTCTGCGCGGTCATCTCGAGGTTCAGATACCGTATCCTGATGGTCTTTGTGGCGCCCATGCGTGGAGTGGCCTGCGGTGCGGCTGGCGCAGGGAGATCTGCAGGCGTCAAGGATGTGTTGCTGAGCGCAGAGGTGAACGGCTGGCCAGCCAAGAGAATGTTGGTTCGCGATGGTGGCGCTTTTGAGGGAAGAGGAGGGGGTGCCTGAGGCTGCGATGCAGCCCCATCTAACGTAGCGACAGGGCCACCCTCGGCCGCTGGTTCTGGTATAAACTGAGGCGTTTCCTTTTTGTTCGCTTCATACTGAGTAGCGGAAGCTTCGACAAGCGCAAATTCATCAAACGGACGATCTCTTGTCCGACCCCTGCCGCCCCTATTGTTGTTGTACGTGAAATCTGCCACTGGCCTCGTGCGAACGAGCGGTGGGAAATCATCATCCACCTCTCCATCTTCCACCATTCGTAGTGTCCACTTATTGACATCGAGCTGTTCAGACCGGAGAGGAGGCTCCCGCTTTTCTTCCCCATATCTCCACAGAGCGTGACCGATCGCTTCTGCGACGCTGACCATGCTACCGTCTTTAGAGGTACGAGCAAGGGGCATCTCAAAGGGTTCATCGGCGTCGTTGGCGAAAGGTGTGTATATCTTGATCCACAGTGGGTTCGGGGTTCCTTTACCTGAGAGACCGGCAAATGCTTGTATGGGGTTGCTCGGAGCCTTTTTCTGGGCACCGAGGGCCGCTGTAAGTAGGCTCTTGGGCTGTATCATACTAATAGGTCGAGGGGGCGGTAGTTCGTGCAGGATCGGCAACGTCCGCTGCCTCTTTGGAGATTCTGGTTGAGATGAGCGAGAGCCCGAGCCGGTCAGACTGCCAAGCGTGGGTGGTGTCGATGTAAGATTTGTGTCTTCCATGGTGTTGAGGAGGGACGCAGAATCCATGGTATCACCCAGCTCAGAAGACATTGCAGATCCAACTGATTCAGCATCAGAGTCATCTTGCACATCTCCTGGTTGACCGGGTTCTGCGTTGGTCGTCATTTGACCTTCATTGGGATTGGGAGCAGATTTAGACCCTTGGCCTGCATGGACCTGACGACGCTGAAAATATGCTGGGTCGACTTCATTTTCCGAGGACATATCGCTGCTCGTGGTGGTATCTCGCCTGGCGCGGGCTTTCACGGCTTCAACAGCACCGAGAGATCCAGTGCGGCGTCGATTGTCAGTGGGACCTTTTATTGGGGATGTCGTTTCCCCGTCTACATCCGAGCCGCGGATTGGAGAAGAGTCGGCTCGGTGACGAGACGGCATCTTTGCAAAGCGAATTTGTTGCGCCGCACGTTGCCCACCGTCAGCCTCCTCATCTGACTCGTCGGTGAGATCGCTACTGTCGTCATCCTCGACATGCTCCTTTTTCCTTCTTCGCCTGAGATTCAGACCGGGACCAATGGTGTCGTTGCTGGTCCTCCCAGTGACGAGGCCACCTTCATCCTCTTCATCAGCCTGGGAATTTACTTGCTGCAGGTCGGCGCCTTCCTTGAGATACTCGCTGTTGATCGATGTCGGAATGGGTGGAGAGTATGTCCGGTGAACAGGATCCGCTGACCAGCCTGCTGCGCGAAATCCAGGACTGTTTAGAATCGATGAGTTCACATTGATGAGTCGCTCCGCAGTGCCATCTTTCGCACTCCCTAGGTAAGATGTGCGCAGAAACCAGATGGCAAAACTGGCGTTGAGGGTCAGCGAATCTCAGATCAATGGTAACTTCACATGGAGCCTCAGATTGTTCGTAGAGATACGCCGGGAGGAAACTTACTCTTCATTTTGTAGAAGGGCCATGGTGCGTGCCTTGAGTAAAGTAGACTGGGCCTCAGTGCAATGTCGGGCAATTCCCAGGTGAGTCCATCAGATGATCAAGTAAAGGTTCTTGACAATGCTATTTTCATTATCGAAGCAGCATTCGGAAGAAGGCTACGGACCGCATCACGGGCCTGTGCAAATGCAGTATGCGGTAAGTGAAACAAAGACCTGTGGTGTTTGGTATCGCAAACTGGCGTCGAGGGGTGTCAGGTCTGGCTTCAGGAACACGTCCTCGCCGTCGAATATGGGGGGGCAGTGCCGCTGCTTTGAACGGTTTTGGCGCCAAGCTAATGACCAATCAGCGCCACTGCACAAAAGTAATACGTCAGCCTTGCAGCTAAAGGTGCAGGTGGGCACAGCCTCGTCACTTGAAGTGTGGGCGGCTCTCTGTGCCTCTCTGCCTTTCCACTTCATCGTCCTTTATTCTAGTCAATCTTGGTGTCCCTAACTTTTCATACCGTCTTCGTCCCCCTCGCAGCCATAATGGAGTGCCCTCATGCCTATCTAGACACTCTACACCCTCCCAGACCCAACCAGAGCGTCTACCGCGAAGACTGCACCCAGTGTTTCGATTCCATAGACGATGAAGCTGGTCTCGATGTCTGCCTGCATTGCTTCAACGGTGGCTGCGCAGGGGACCGCAATCACTCCCTACTGCACTACTCCTCTACCGAACATCCACTGGTTCTGAACATTAAACGAACCCGGAAACAAGTCCAACGAGATGAACCCCCACCAAAGCTCACCAAACTCGCCATTGCTGCGGAGACAGAGGAGGACAAGTATGATACAGTCACAACAGCAAAATGCTATGCATGTCAAATACAGGAGCTGGATAAGAATTCGGGGAATCTGCCTGCAGTCGTGGACGGAGTCATGAAGGCCATGACCTTTGCTAAATCAGAAGAAGTCAAGGCATGGGAGCAAGAGTTTACACCGTGCGAACACACTCTCTGTCTGGAGCAGCAGCCTAGCCGACAGATTGAATCACAGAACCTGGGCTCATGTTCCATGTGCGACCTGAAGGAGAACCTGTGGCTCTGCCTGGAATGTGGGAACCTGGGATGTGGTCGTGCACAGTTTGGTGGTATTGGTGGCAACTCTCACGGTCTGGACCACGCAACACAGACTGGCCATGCTGTTGCGGTCAAGCTTGGCTCCATCACTCCAGAGGGCAGTGCCGACGTCTATTGCTACCAGTGCAATGAGGAGCGAGTCGACACTGACCTTGCCAAGCATCTCGCTCACTGGGGCATCAACATTGCTGAACGGGAAAAGACCGAAAAGAGCCTCATGGAGATGCAGGTGGAGCAAAACTTGAAATGGGACTTCTCCATGACAACAGAAGATGGAAAAGAGCTGTCTCCGCTTTTTGGGCCGGGTCTTACAGGTCTCAAGAATATCGGCAACAGTTGCTACCTTGCAAGCACTGTACAATGCCTGTTCGCGTTGCCAGACTTTCAACAGCGGTATTACCGTCCGGAGGAGCCTCCTCCAGCCAGTGAACTTCCCGCTGAGGACTTAGAGACACAGTTACGGAAGCTTGCTGACGGGATACTCTCCGGTCGCTACTCTCGTCCTGAAAGCAACGTTCATGCCACTCCCGACAACCCTGAAGTGCCACACCAGAAGGGTCTCTCCCCTGCCATGTTCAAGCATCTGATCGGACGAGGACATGAGGAGTTCTCAACCATGAGACAACAGGACGCTTTTGAATTGCTACTTCATCTCTTTAAGCTCATCAATATCTCCAATGGCACTCGCCCTTCGGAAGATCCTGTTCAGTCTTTTCGCTTCGCACTGGAACAACGCTTGCAGTGCCTAAACTGCAAGCGCGTGCGATACAGAACCGACGAGCAAGACAACATTTCGATTCCTGTACCCGTCAGGAGGAAACAGGTGGTCAACGGCGCCAGTGGGGCAGCAGATACAACGAAGGGTGCTGAATTCGAGCCAGTCTCACTCAAGGAATGCCTAGATATCTTCACGGCCTCCACTTCCGTGGAGTTGACCTGTCCTGCTTGTGGCTCTAAGGCAGGATTTTCAAAGTCGTCCAAGTTTAAGACGTTCCCACGCAATCTTGCCATCAATCCTCTGCGCTTCGAAATCATCAACTGGGTGCCCACTAAACTCGACATCCCTGTCCAGGTATCAGATGAACTGTTTGACCTTAGCACCTACAAATCTCATGGATTACAACCGGGCGAAGAGGAACTGCCCGAAGATGCAGATGTGGGAGATTCTAAATCGTCTTCAGCCGCATTTGTCCCGAACGAGGCAGCCCTTGAGCAGCTTGCGTCAATGGGTTTCCCTCTGGTACGATGCGAAAAGGCTCTACACGCCACGGGCAATGCAGATGCAGAGGCAGCCATGAATTGGCTTTTTTCGCATATGGACGACGCTGACATCGACGAACCTCTAAATCTTGGTGGTGGCGGCGGTGGAACTGGCTCAGGTGACGATGCTGACAAGATCGCTCAGCTTGGAGATATGGGGATTAGTGTACCACAGGCACGGAAAGCACTACGAGAATGCAACGGCGATGTCAACCGAGCTCTGGACTGGGTCTTCAGCCATCCAGATGACCAAGGCGATTTTGGCGAAGATGTTCCCACTGGACCGAGTCAGCCAAAGGCACTCCCCGGCAGTGATCAACTACCCGCCAAGTTTGAGCTTCAGAGTATTGTCTGCCATAAAGGCGCCAGCATTCATGCCGGTCACTATGTCGCATTCATTCGGAAGGCGATTCCTGGAGACGGCAAGGAACGACAGTGGGTTCTTTTCAATGACGAGAAGGTGGTCAAGGCCGTGGACGTGGACGAAATGAAGAAGTTCGCATACATTTACTTTTTCCGCCTGGGATGAGGGACGTCGGCCGCGACCGAGAAAGCCGACAAAGGTCTAGGAGGATGATATGAATCATGTATCAGGACTGTATGAAAAGCAGAGCGGCAGGATATCTGCAAGCGAAGCAAAAAGCAATGGCCACCATCCGATATCATAGAATAGATGGACAGCAACTTGTCAATGGCATCGAGGCCCATCAATCGTGCGACACAGGACATCTATTGTCCAGGTATATATGCTGACATGGAATACTACACCTCCAGACCACCTCATATTCTCCTGGGCCCAGAGGATAGCCAAATCGTCATGTCCGAGTATCAACGCCCTTCATTGTTGGTCTTGGGAGGCCCAAACGCGGTACTGACCTGATCCAATCTGGTGGCAATGTTCCAAAAGAAAGTCTTCTCCAATTCGATCTCCCGATCCAGCTCCTTCTTCTCGAGAGTAAACCGACTTGCCTCTAATTCATGCAGCTGCCAGTCATGGAGACACCAAAGCACAGCGTCCTTGTACTGGAGCCTGACCTCTGCACCCAGCCCCATGTCGCATATCTCGTATATTGTCGTGCTCTACTCTTGCAGAACCTCCGGTATCCCTGAAAGCACTTTCTATTCATTGTTATTGTGACCGTCTGAGAACCCATCGAGCGCACCGATAGGCTCTCAGAACGCGATCTCCGCCAAAACAACCCCTAAACCATACACGTCGTAGGATTGTTTGACTCGCGTATCAGAGCGCTGGGGGGATGCATAGAAGGGCGGTATTCACGTTTCATGTACCGGTGAGCTCTGAAGGTTTTTATGGCTTCACTTGTTATTAAGCTGAAGTGCTCTATGCGCTCGCTTTCTCCTACAACGCGTTGGACATCATGTCTCGAGGGGACTGCCACCCATAAAACGGCCCCGAGAAATTCTAAGTACCTAATCAAGGACATACTGAGACGCACTTTCAGAGGATAGTAGGTTCAGGAAACCCATAGACGACAAGTCCCGTCCCCTCCGGCGCTGACGAGCCACGGAAGCTGGGGGTGCCAGTCCAGGTCCAAGACGCCCAATCCGCCAGTGATCTTGTGACCGCGCAACACCTTCAGGGGCACAATCTGGGCATTGCTCATCATGTCGCTGGTGACCTGGCCGTGGAAGACCTGGATGGTGCCGTCGTCGCTGGCGTCGGCGAAGAGCGGGTATCTGTTCGTGGATGGGTGGAAGCGCACCGTGCGGATGGCCTTGTCGTGGAACCGCAGCGTCTTGTACGGCCTCGGGGACAGGTCCAGGTCCATCCACAGGAGGCGGCGGTCGTAGGATCCGACGATCAGATTGTCGGAACCGGAGGTTGAGGACGAGGTCGGGTGCACGTCGAAACTGCTGATCCACCGTGCTCCCGGTTGGATGATTTTTAAGAGCGTCTGTTTGGACAGGTCGTAGGCGCGGATGACGCGTTGGTTGGCGACGAATAGGACGGGTTTGCTGGGGTGGAAGTGTGCGACCTGGGGAGTGCCACCGCCTTTGAGACGTTTGCGGAAGGGGAGTTGGGTTTGGTGTTTCGAGATTGTGTGGATGCCAATAGCCTGCGAGGCGGGGACGCTGGTACCCGGGCAGATTGTTACAAAGTGGTTGCCCCCGGAGTGGAATGAGAGTGTCTTCGCGGTATGGCCTAGGTGGATCACCAGGGCGACGCCCTGATCACGTTGTGAAGAGCTCGGCCGGCTCCATTTGACGCCGTTGCTGGACTTCGATGCTGTGCTGCCGCTCTCGGATGATGCGGCATATCCCCATCCTGCGTCCAGCACCGCTTGGGCTGCGTCGGCTTCGGTGCTGAAGTCGGTGCCCAGTCGGGGCACGCAGAGGTAGATGTTTTCTCCGGCACAGGCGGCGAGGATGGCAGGTGTGTCTTTTCCAGGTCGCCACCGAACGACATTGACTGCGGTGGCGGCGTCGTCCGTGGTCGAGGTCAGTTTTACGGACCAGATTTCGCGCGGAGGCATCAACATCCACACCCTGACCGTGCCGTCATCTCCACCGGTGGCGAGGTACAGTCCCGATGGATCAATAGCCAGAGACCGCACGCGACCGGTATGGCCATAGAACCGGCCCGCCTCGTGCGTGGGGAACGGTCTGAGTTCGTCGGGATTCGGTAACTTGGGGAGCAGTGACTCCGGGTCGATATTGAGCTTTGTCCGGCGCACTCGAGGCGCGAGATACAGATCCAGACAGCGCTCGAACTTCTCTTTAATGAAACGTTCGTAGCCCGGCACTTTGCGCAATGACGTGTGGTCCGTGGGCAAGTAGTCCTTGTCTCGGTCTTCTTCGTCGGCCTTTTCCCACGCTTCTTTCTCCTTCTTGTCCGGCAGGTATTCCGGTGGTGGGTGGTAGCTTTCATCGAAACCCGGAGGAGGGAGTTTCGGGGCGGGCATGTGCATGGCATGGTCTGGTCTGGGTTGTTCATCGGCCCAGATGTCATAATTCTGTATCCCCTCATCCTCATCCTCTGTTTGTTCTTGAGGCGGCTTGTAGGGCAGAATGCGCCCTTCTCGAATCGCCCGCACGAGTTTCATCACCCGCTTCGCCTCGTGCTTGGATGGCACGAACCGCCTCTTGGGTTCCGGAGCAGAACTCAGCGGCATGATCTCTTTTTTGGATGTGAACCACTCCACCGTCGGCTCGTACGGGTCGTATCCCCCGTCCTCTGCGGCGATCTCGTTCATCTGCACTTTCTTCAACAACTCCAGCTCATCTCGACTGAGTTCTAGCGGTTTTCCAGTCGCAGGGTCCGTAAGCCCCGTCCATCCTTTGGGAATCTCGATGCTGTCCAATAGTGCATCCAGAGCTTCTCCTCTGGCCGGTCTCATGATTTTCTTGCCGTTGATATTGTACCCGATATGTGGGTAGGAGTCGTAGAATGATAAGGGGATGTTCCCGATCGTGTTGGCTTCGTTGTCTGGCACGGAGTAGTCGGAATCGTCGCCCGGGTCGATCTCCGGGTAGATGTAGCGGTCGTTGCCATTGGCATCTTTGACGATTGAGTAGTTGGGTTCGTCGTCGTCATCTTCATAAGGTGTCTCCTGCTCTTTCTCCTCCGAGGTAGAAACACCAATGTCCACCTCTTTACCATCATTTTCTGCTTGTCCTGGTTTAGCCTTGGGTTTGAGTAGCTCCTCCTCTTCCTCATCATCATCCTCTTCTGGATCTGACTGCTCTTCGGCCCCTACAGATACTGCATCACTCTCGTCTTCGGCTCCACTACTCACATCGTCCTCGGATTCGTCGTCCGCGGCTAGAGTTCCATCCAAATGTGCAAAGTCGAATTCGTCCCCCGAGACGACGGCGGCATCATCCTCGTCAACGTCTCTGGTCACGGCTTTCCGCTTCTTGGACTCGGCCATGGTTGTTGCTGCGTACCAAGTACACGGGACACAATGCCGTGGCTGCCAGGTGTATGCATGTACTGCTGTAGAAGCCACCCAAAAATTCAATGTCTGCGGCCGGAGTTTCAATTTGTGGAGACACACAACTTTTTTTCTGCCGCTCCGGAGCAAAAGGCGGTGTGCGGAGAAATTCCTTGCTAAAATTCCCTTTGCGCTCGGAGTTTCAATTCAATTCATATTTGTTGAATGCCCGCCTCGCCCGCTCCATTATTTGTCCCGTAGCCCCTCCTCATCCTTCTGTCGTTTTTGTTCTCTGCTCTTTGCGTCAAGTTGCAAGGCCTATAGAACCGAGAAATTGACATTTGCATCTGTTTTATCTATCGCTGCAGCTGTCCAGATGGGCTCGGTCAAAACACCCTTGGAGAGCGTCCAAGCATGCTGGGCACGCGTCTCTCACAATTCCCCCGTCTACAAATTCTTCTTTTCGGACATTGAACTCGTCTCTGCCACCGACGGCTCCATGGTCGCTCGACTTCCTGTGTCGGCAAATCTGCTCAATTCCAAGGGTGGACTGCATGGCTCCGTGTCCGCAACCATCGTCGATTGGGCTGGAGGGATGGCCATTGCCAGTACGGGCCTGGAAAAGACTGGATTGAGTACCGATATCCACGTTTCCTACGTCTCGACCGCGAAGCTGGGCGACGTTTTGACCATCGAGGGCCATGTCAGCAAGGTGGGGAGAAACATGGGCTTCACTACGGTTACCATCTACAAGGGCGAAGGCGCAAGTAAGAGCGTGGTGGCCCATGGCACTCATACAAAATACATTCTTCGAGACCGGGAGCAGACCACGAGCAGCTCCTGAGCCTCCGAGACCGGCGTCTTCTTTGCATCAGGCAGCAACACTCCTCCATTCTGCTATGATTCACTCGGACGTCGCAGAACAAAACATCCATCACACCTACTGCTTTAGATCTCTAGCGACCGATGAATCAGACAGGTCATTATGAGAATTATGGCGTGAGACAGACCAAAGTTCAGCTCACATATCGAAGTCAGGGAATCAATCGGCCCTCACTGAGCCATTCTGTCCACAAGCCTCCGAGCTCCTGTGCCAATGCAGCGGGTGTTCGCCCATCGCTGTCTACCAGAGTCCTAATATCTGGCTCACCCTTCCTGTCTTCTTTGCGCAATCCCAGACCTTGCATTGCTTGGAGAACGAGTGATGGAAATTTCGTCCAGTCAAGTTGGGATCCGAGAGCCAGCAATAACCATGCCACCTCTTGCTGGTTGTATCGAATGGCGACGTGTAACCCCGAGCCTTCGATACCCTCGAATGTGCCCCGGTATCGCAATATATCAGCAGTCTCCCCGTCTTCTTCTTCTTCTTCTTCCTCTTCCTCGTCTTCCTCGGAGTCCTTGATCATGTGGATGATAGCATCGATGTCACCCTCGCGGCAGAATTCCAGATAGGCGTGGCCTTTCCGCTCTTCGGGATATGCGCGCAGGTAGGCTTCTTCGGTGGCTGCTGGGAGGATATCATAGCGCTCTTGGACGCCGCCTTCATTCCGGAGAGTAACCAGCACCTGTTGCGATCCACTGGGAGAAAGAGAGGATATGTCTTTGGCGCAGTTGGGGCATTGTGTAATTGTGTAGGAGTCTAGAAAACACTCCCTAATATGCCGGATGAGTTACTAGACCCCTGAGACTATGATACACACATACCAATGGTAATGGCAGCCACAGGACAATTCCACATCATCGGGGACACTCGTTGCTTGGGCTGCCGCCTTGCTCTCCTCAACATCACTATCTGGCTCAACCTCGATGAGCAGAGGCTCATGACAGCTTGAGCAAAGTTGGTCAGTCATGGTGCGAGTGATGTTTCCAAAGAAATGAAAAGGTTAGGTTGATCCTGCTTTTTGGTAGAGAAACGAGACCCAAAGATCTATGAACTTTTTTCGAGGCATGCAACCCTTGCAATCCTCGAATCAAAAATTCTCATATGCGGCACGCAACTTTTTTAACGGGGCAACACTGCGAGTCGACAGGTGGGTGACAGGGGTCTGTTGCCCGCAAGCCACGCGCCTCACATGCGGAGGCTTGAACGGTGCAGCCGTGCAGGGGGCGCCACGCCTCCTTCTTTTCACCCTGCCACGCCGCTGCACGCCGCTGCACGCCTGGGGGGTCCAGGTCCTCAACACGCGTTCCGAGAGGCCGGCTTATGCAGGCTTCAACGGTGTCCTTTCATTCAAACATAAGTCAGACAATACGCTGCCAACACGCTGCACGACAATCTTATCTGCTCTGGTCGACTCGGGGAACACACAACTATGAGAGAAACTGGCCATGGAAGAAACATCTCATCCTCTCGAAGCGCCTCAAGGCGACCATGTCAAAGTCGAACCGTCCATGGCCCCCGACCATAAATCACCCTCGAATCCTACTACACTCGCCCCGCAACCACTTCCGTCGAAAGCGCTGACCACGTCGGCTGTGATTGATGCGACCCTCAAGTTCTTTGCGAATGCGAGCAATGAGACCCTCGGGGCCTGCGCCGTCGGCCTCTGTGCCTCCACCTACCTCGTTCTGGGGAGAGTCGGTTTAGTTCTCATTGGCGCAGTTGGTGGCATCGTCCTTCATGCGACGTGGGAAAATCAGTATGGCGGAAAACTGGAAGGCGAAAACCAAGAGATCAACAGGAGAAGGAAAGAGCTGGGCATTGAAGTCGCACAGAGAGTGCTGGATTGGCGAGAAGGGAGACGGAAGACCAAGGATGAAGAGGACGATAGTCCCATCGACTCCAAGCTCGAGTTGAAGAGACTGGATTACTCCGACTTCGAACCTGAGACGAGAGCCGCACTCAACAACCTGACCGATGCTGTCATAAGAGACTACGTCAAACTGTGGTATAGTCCACTGCTTCCCAGAGACCAGTCCTTTCCAGCTACGTGCAGACAGACCTTCACGAGCTTCGTCCTCTCCTTCTCCAACCATCTCTCCCGCAAACGGACTGCCGATCCCGTCCTCGATTTCTTCGCCAATTCGACCTCCATCATCATTGTCTTCCTCAATGAACTCTCCACCGCCCTCAAGGCGTCATCTAATCAGGATGCCGAGACCGCCGTGAAGACCTATCTACATTTTCAGCCCGACAGTAATTTGGCCAATGTACTCAGCAGGGAACAGCAAGACCGTAAGCTCAATCTCGTCGCGGATGATATCTTGCAGAACTTCCTCGAGCCCAAGTCCTACAATTGTCCTCCGGTCAAGACGTTCTTGAGGGAGGTGTTGGCCGGACTGGTGCTAGAAACCACCATTGACATGTGCTCGAAACCAGAGTTTATCAATGGTTGGATTGTGTACCTGCTGCAGGATGGCGAACCCGAACTCATGAATGCTATCGATGCTGGGGTTGAAGATATGAATGAGGCCATGTCGCAAGCTAAGGAGAACGTCGATGCCGGCAAGGACCGCGACCGCCGCATGAGTAAGGCCGAAGAGGCCATGCAGGAAGCCATGCGGGAAGCTCAGAGACTGAACGAGATGATTGCTGAGGATGAGGCCAGGCGGAAACGCGGACTGGTCTCCAGCGAGCCCGAGGAAACCAGTTCCGTCGCCACCAATGATGTCGGAATGGCTACACCGTCCTCCTCGGACAGTGATCGGAATCGGCATGGAGAACAATCTTTGGACACATCCTTGGTCTTCGACAATGACGGCAATGCCTACCACTCGTCAACTCCAAGCCCCAGCAAAGAACAAGACTCCTTTACCAATTTTGACCAGTTGGCCGAGACAGTCCCAAACGTGCTACCACCTGTGTCGACTGCTCCGGCGCCTGTCGAAACCATGATGGCAATCCCCTTGACATTGCACAACGCCTCGATCACCATGCTTGACCTTGGCGACCTTAACGAACGAGCCGCGTTCCGACAGAAGCCGAATAATGAGTATTTGCTGCAAATAGAGCCTGCATCGCATCGCTACCCCGGCTGGATGGTCTCACGCAAGTACACGGAGTTCGAGCCCCTTCATCAGACCCTGACCACACTCGCTCGCATCTCAGGCGTGCCGGAATTCGGGCAAAAGTATCCGAACTTGCCTACCTGGAGAGGCCAGACGAGCGCGACACTCTCCCAAAGCCTGGAGGCCTATCTGAGGTTCGTTGTCAAATATGAGCCGTTGGCCGAAACGGAAGCCATGAAGAAATTCCTCGACAAAGAGACCGGCCTTCAAAAGGCGCCTGCGCAGAGCAAGAATGTTCTAGTACAGGGAGGCGCTGCACTGGAAAACGTTGGCAAGAACTTCATCAATGTCTTAGGACAGGGCGGAAAGAACATTGCTGGCGGCGGCAAGGCCGTGCTAGGAGGTGTACAGGGAGTCTTTGGAGCCGTGGCGACCGGTGTTGGAGGAGGCCCGAAGAGGCTTATTGCAGCAAGACCTACGCCGTCAAGAACCCACACGGGACAATCGTCCAACTCGGTTTCGCGGATGAGCCAGGAACTGCCGCGACAAAGCACCGACAGTTTTGAGAAGCCGCCCCCCTTACCCGCGCGACCCAGTGCTCGAGTCGCTGTTTCGGAAGATAGTGCTCAATCACCGATCAGCTTGAACGAATCGGGCCTTGAATCAGAAGAAGCCATATCAATGCCACCGCCACCAAGTGTCATCTCAGACGACTACCAACCAATAACACTCCCTAGACCAGAGACGCCGCCACGATCCCGCCAAGATACCATCACGGCCAATCCATCAACGCCTGCTCCATCATTGAAATGGGAAGACTCGGGCTCGGCGCCCTCCACGACCAATGCGCCGGCAAAGACACCCTCGAGACGAGCCAAAAAGGATTTCCCAGTCTCGGAAGAAGAGACCCGGATCCTGATAGAACTGATCTTCGCCATCCTTACTGAGCTCTACTCTCTCTCGGGGGCGTGGTCAATCCGACTGTCGCTCCTCGGTGCAGCGAAGACGTTCCTCCTGCGACCAAACAATCCGCAACTCGAATCCATCCGTGTATTACTGCAAGAAAGTGTTCTCGACACGAATTTCTCCGATAAGGGATTGGCGATGCATATCAATACTCTGCGGTACAATACTCTACCCACCGAGGAAGAGAGGTCCACGTGGCCGAAAGAGTTGACCGCGGGAGAGAAGGAGAAGCTGCGTCTAAAAGCGCGGAAATTGCTCATTGAAAGGGGTATGCCGCAGGCCTTGACCAGCGTGATGGGCACAGCCGCCAGTGGAGAAGCGCTGGGAAAAGTGTTTGACTGTTTACAGATGGAGAATGTGGCCAGGGGGTTGATCTTCGCGCTTTTGCTACAGGCTATCAGGGCTACCACGCAGTAGAAACCGTCAAAGCAGAGGTCCCGGGCGGAATGCAGGAAACGACAAGAGATGTGATACCAAAATGTACAATATGGGAATGGGGTGGGTGTTTGGATGAGGAGGGTAGGCATATCTGTATCTAGTTTTGGTGCCTGGCAAAAGTGGCAAGCCAACAGTTATGATATAGCGCTGGAGGAACGATGAATGAGACGATTGATTGAATAGTTTTGCCTTCCGGATGGTCTGTCACCAGGTCTCGGTTGTTGACTTCAGCTTCAATAAGCTGCTGAGGAAGTGATTTCATTTGGCCGTCTGTACCATTTTTCTCCTCGTCGTCTCCACGCAGCCAATTGGATTCGGTGACTCACTCCGAATTTGGCCTGTAAAGTTCAAACTCACTCATGATTTTTTCTTTTTACACTTGTGATCTCAACCTCAATTTCTCATCCTTTAGACTACGATAGTCTCCCCCCAAAGCAAGTGAGGAAGAGGTGCTCAAGCAGAAAATCGACAGACGAAATGGATCTGCCTTGAGCCACTCCTGCACCACCACAAATTACGCTCATACAATTCCGCTACCGGACCATTGGGTAGACCTCCACCCAAAACCCTCTGTGATCACCTCATCTATTTCCGTCAAAAGGGAAAAGGGGTACCATTTTTCTGGCGCATTGGTATATGTTCAAGAAACAATGCCCAAAGTCCACCTTCTCGACTACGTCGCGGGCAACATCCGCTCGCTGGTCAACGGGATCGAGAAATGTGGGTGGGAAGTGGAATGGATCCGCAGTCCCGAAGATGTGCAGAAGGCAGATGTAAGTACCTACTTAAACCTTGTCTATTCGTGTGACGGTACGATGAAGGGCTGTTGTTGTTGTTTTTGGCTGTGCGAATGAAGATCTGGTCTGGTTTGGTTCTTCAAGTCTGCGAGTCCTGCCTTGTGGGACAGGTTGTCTTGAAGGAAGAGATAAGCGGCATCAAGGGACTGGGGACCAGTCTAGGCTGAGGCACTAGAGAGACAACCACAGGAGCTGGTGTTTGGTGCACTTGTGATTTACTCTTTTGTACTTCATGGGCGTTTTCTAGCCACGGCTGATTTCCCTCTCTCTTCAAACAGAAAATCATTCTTCCTGGAGTCGGCCACTTCGGTCACTGCCTAACCTCTCTCTCAACGGCAGGCTACCTCCCGGCCATCCAATCCCACATATCCAGCGGAAAGCCCTTTTTCGGAATCTGCGTGGGCCTACAAGCACTGTTCACGGGCTCAGAAGAGGCACCCAGTGTGTCGGGACTGAATATCATTCCTACATCACTCAAGCGCTTCTCGTACCAAAACGCGGACGGATCGAAAAAGTCTGTGCCTTGTATAGGTTGGAACGACGCTTCTACGCTTCATCATGATCTAGACCAGAATGACAGGGCCGCGCTAGAGAAAGGAGGGAGGAGTTTCTATGGACTCAACCAAGGAAGCAAGTATTACTACGTGCACAGCTACTCTGCCCCTTACGTGCCTGGCGAGCTGGAAGCCAACGGCTGGGTCGTCGCCACGGCCACTTACGGTGACGAAACCTACGTGGGCGCCATTGGGAAAGGGAACGTGTTCGCAACGCAATTCCACCCCGAGAAATCCGGCGCCGCGGGGCTGAGAGTCATCAAGGCGTTCCTTGAGGGCAACATCTGGTCTGATCCAGTGATCCCATCCATTCCCGGGACTAGCTCTAGCTCAACAGCCAACGGCGCTGTGGTCGGGAGGACGACAGATGGCGGAACAAACGGTCTAACCCGACGCATCATCGCCTGTCTGGACGTGCGGACCAACGACCAAGGCGACCTGGTGGTGACCAAGGGCGACCAGTACGACGTGCGCGAGAAGGCCGCCGCGTCGGGCCCAGGACAGGTGCGCAACCTGGGCAAACCGGTCGACATGGCGCGGCGGTACTACGAACAGGGCGCCGACGAGATCACGTTCCTGAATATCACGAGTTTCCGCGACTGTCCCATCACGGATTTGCCCATGCTGGAGATTTTGAGGAGGACGAGCGAGACGGTCTTCGTGCCACTCACCATCGGGGGCGGGATCCGCGACATGACCGACCCGGCCACAGGCAAGAATGTCTCAGCGCTCGACGTCGCCAAGCTGTACTTCGCTTCTGGGGCCGACAAGGTATCCATCGGCTCCGACGCCGTGCTCGCCGCAGAAGCATACCACTCCTCCGGCGGCGTCCTCACGGGAAAGACCTCAATCGAAACCATCTCGGCCGCCTACGGCGCCCAAGCCGTCGTCGTGAGCGTCGACCCGAAACGCATCTTCGTCCCCGGCGCCTCCCCCTCCTCCACCACCCACAAAACCATCCGCACCGCCTTCCCCGACCCCCAGGGGAATGAGTACGTGTGGTACGCATGCACGATCAAAGGCGGCCGTGAGACCCGCGACTTGGACGTCGTCCAGCTCTGCACGGCCGTGCAGGCCTTGGGCGCTGGCGAGATCCTGTTGAATGCGATTGATCGTGATGGGAGTAATCGCGGGTATGATCTCGAATTGATCGATTTGGTTAAAGGCGCGGTGGATGTGCCAGTGATTGCGTCGTCGGGGGCGGGGAATCCGGCGCATTTTGAGGAGGTGTTTAGAGAGACCGGGGTTGATGCTGCGCTGGGGGCGGGCATGGTGAGTTCTCCCCGTTATATCCCCCTTTTTCAGGTCTTGATTCACCCCCCTTTCCCTTCTTTTCCCTTCGTGTCTTGTTCCTATAACCCCCTACCCTAGATCATGAACCGCCCACCCCTTCCCTCCCCTCTCCTCAGACTACCTAGTACCTACCAACCCACTCTATAGTCATCGCTTACTAACTCCCCTCCTCCCCTTGTTTGGCGGGTTTAGTTCCATCGAGGCGAATACACCGTTGCGCAAGTCAAGCAGCATCTCGGCCAGCGGGGGCTGCTGGTCCGGCCGTTTGAGGAGTTTTGACCCGTCCGGCCATGGGACGGCGAAGGAAAGGACTGAGGCTAGACAAGAGGCTGGTGCAAGGGAGATGGTGTCTATTGGAATGTCAATGTCCTGTCTTTCTCGATGAATTATTCCCACGCCACGCCACGCCACGCCGCGCCGCGCGATGCGGTGCGATGCTATGCTACGCTATTCTATGCAATGCAATTCCATCTGCTAAAGCCCTCAGCCAGACAGACATGATAATCCGTAGACAATGACCGTGATGTTGACTCCAATCGCGCCGAACAAGGTGATCCGCTCCGCGTACGTCGTTGCGCCTGCTCGAAGTGCAGTAATTGGGCACCACGATGGCCAGCTGTATTGATCGGGGTCTCTTCATATCTGACACTCGAACCCCTCCTTCCTCGTGGTCGCATGGAATAGATCATTTGATACTCCTGCAGCTTTCGTCCCCAGACGCTCAAGTACTAGTCTCAACTCGTAATCTTGCCATATGGTCGTGTCGTGTCCTTGGTCGTTTCCCAATTTCATCACATGAATCATGAAGCAGGGCGTTCTTTCCGGCACCATGTCGAGTTAAGTAGCCCAGCCCAGAGCCTGTAGCGCCCTGCTTGGTGTCTTGTGTAATTATGGTGGCTGGGCCAGGTCAAAACCACTCATACTGAGCATTCTGCGAAGAGACGAATTTGAGGAAATGGAATGATGAAATACGGTCTCCACCGCTCGTGAGGCACAAGTCACTGGTCCTCCCTTCAAGTCGAAGTGAACTGTATTTGGCTTCTTGGAACATCTCAATCGCCCTTCCGATGTCGTATGATGTAGAGCAAAGACTCAAGCTTCAAAATAACCGGGAACCTTCATGTTTCGGCTTTAAGAGTCCTTTTTGCTCTGTGCAAATAGTGATCCCGAATCTTGACCCATAGCTGTAATGACATTGAGCATTTTTTCGCGAGTATCTTGTGTTAGCTTGTCGACGTCCGCTGCGGTGAGGCCTTTTGTAGGAATAGGGTCCAGAACTGCAGAATGTGTTAGTTTGACTGCGTATCTGCCAGTTTTCGTCACGCAGCAAGCCTACCTTTGACCCTGATTGTTCCGGCATTAAACCTCCTGGCTTTGGGATTCAACACACTGCTATAGTTCTCTGCCACGATCGGCACAATAGGCACATCGCCCTGCACAGCCAGATGAAAGGCACCCTTCTTGAAAGGTAGCAGCATCGGTTCGGTGGAATAACTCCTTGTCCCTTCCGGAAAGATGACCACGCTCTGTCTCTTCTCCCGCATGGTCCTGGCAGCACCTTCAAAAGCCTTCAAAGCTGCGCTTCTGTCCACCCGATCAATAAACACGGTGCCAGAGAGGGTCATGAACCACCCCAAAAAGGGGACGTTGCGGAGTGATTTCTTGGCCGTGACTGAGCAGTATTTGGGCCATATCCAACCCAGCAGCAGAACATCTAACTCTGTTTGGTGGTTGAGGATGAAGACGGCAGGACGGGTGTTGTTCAGGATCTCGTAGCCATTGTCCAACACCTCGAATTTGACGCCCACCGTGTAGGTGCAGAGATTCTTGAACGCCTTTGCCGTCGTCCATTGGGCGTATGCAAAATGTAACCCGAAAACTCGGAGGATCGCAGAGGATATTGTGCCATAGGCTGCGCAGGCTATCAGGCTGATGTAGGCGGCCATGGAGCGGGCGATGAAGCCGAGGATCTTGGGAGGCTTAGGGAGATAGGTATAAAGAGCGAAGCAGGACAACATGGTGACGAAGTAGAAGCCTAGGAAATAGAGGATGTAGCGGAAGAGGAAGAACATTTTGGTGGAAGAGTAGGGATCGATCAGGCGGATCGGCGAGAAAGCAGACCTAGCTATGTATATGGCGAGTGAGGAGCAATCAAAGCTGATGTGACAATTGAGATAATGATAAAACGATTGAAGACGGTCTCGAGGTCAGCGACATGAGGGTTGCAAGCTCAGAACCTTGAGTGTCATCTGCAGTAAAATGGTCACAAGGTATGAATTTCTTCTAAAAGTTGGAGAATTGGACGTTGGGCGCATAAGATGTAGGCGAGTAGAGTACCTTGTATGGTATGGGCTTCCAACACCTAGGTAGGTACCTAGGTATCAACCCCACACCCACAACTTTGTCGTCCCTCAGCAATTTTTTCGGTGGCTTCTCAACGGCGGCCAGCTGCGTCATACGATTCCGTTTTGGTGGGCTGCACGTGATTACGACGCGGTGGAGCGGCAAGGCTGCGAGGCTGCGATAGGGCACGTGAGTTGGCGTTCCCCAGAGTGGGTCACCTGATGACATCCGACGCGTTGCTGGCGCGTTGAGCGAGGCTAGCATAGTTCTCCCCAAGTCAGATCAACTCTCTTATTCCTTATGTCATAGCAGGACAACCTTCTCGAGGGATACAGTCTCCGTTCCTCTGTGACTGCCATGCCTGCGTAAGTCGCCTCTGGTATCTTGACTGAACAATTGCTAAATGACAGCAGTGTAGGTGACCAACACAAGCCGAATGGCAGCACCACAGCCAACCCGTTCGAAGAGCAAACCCCTCGAATAACGGAATATACAGCCCAAGAGATCGCAACCTTGCAAAGTCGGCTAGACAAGCAATTAGGACCGGAATATCTCTCGTCACGCTCAGGACCAGGTGGCACAAAATTACACTACCTGGCAGCCGACAAGGCCATCAGTCTTGCCAATGAGGTCTTTGGTTTCAATGGCTGGAGCAGCTCCATTCAGAACATCCAGATTGATTTCGTCGACGAGAACCCTCAAACTGGAAAGATCTCCCTGGGTCTCTCCGTGATTGTCCGAGTGACGCTGAAAGACGGCTCACACCACGAAGACATTGGCTACGGACAAATTGAGAATTGCAAGGGCAAAGCGGCTGCTTTTGAAAAGGCCAAAAAGGAGGGTACTACAGATGCGTTGAAGAGGACTTTGAGAAATTTTGGGAATGTCTTGGGGAACTGCGTCTACGATAAGAATTATTTGTCCAAGGTCACAAAAATGAAGGTTGGAAGCACAAAATGGGACGAGGGTATGCTGCACCGACACGCAGACTTTGCGCCCAAAAAGGCGCCAGAAGAGAAAAAGCCGAACGTTTCTGCACTCGCGCAAGAAGAGACGCCAGAATTCGAGGACAGTTTCGAGCTGGCAGACTTTGAAGAGCTTGATTTTGAAGGGGTCGAAACAGGGCATCCAGATGAGGTCGCATTACCTGCAGAAGCGACAGATTCCACAAACAAGTCAAGTTATTCGGCTTCAGAACGGATGCACGCACAAAGCAGACCAGATCAGACAACTACACCTTCCAAACCACCAGCCAATGCACATCCTGATCTTCGAGTGGCTCTCCTAAAAGCCCCTCAGACTCTGCCGACAACGACAGTGATACCTCAACCTTTGCCTGGGCAACGGCAACAAGGCGCACCGGTCCCTATTGCAAAACCCTCTATAGGAGACTCTCGACTTCCTGTTGACAATCTCTCTCGAGCAGCTTCACCCATATCTACCCATCATTTACCTCCTCAGCAAGCCGGTCAAGGCATTGGCTTCTACTCAGCCAAGGCTGCCGAAGCTCTGGATGAAAACAACAACGTGATTTCCGCCGCAGCGGCAGCAGCTCCCCGGTTCAACCCGCATGCCGAAAGTCCGTCGATCCGCAAAACCTCTGGGGTCAACCACAACAGATCTATACCCTTGAAGCGAGACCTGACTCCCGACACCACCAATTTACGGACGAATGTCATCAATCCACAATCAGACCCGATGAGACGGTTGGGGGCTCCTGGCCACCCCAGCGGGCAGATTTCGTCGGGCACTCGAGGGCCTAACACCTCTGCATACCGACCTCCCACCAGACGGGGGCCTCCGGAATCAGGCACCACTAGTCACACAATGAGCTCAGTAGACGTGGGGGGCGGAGTAGACCGCGTTTTACAGGCAGCAAAAAGGACACCGTTGGGAGATGTGAGCAATATGCAGCAGCAGCATCACGTAACTTCAATCACCGCGGACGGTGCCGATGCTAAAAGACAGCGGCTGGGTGATGTCGGCCAGAGCGGCACTGAAGAAGCGGTCGCCGGTATCCCAAGGATCAGCGGGTGAAGTGTGGTGGTGTGCCTTGGTACGGCAATGAGACCATCAAAAGAGAGGATTAAGTCTACCAAGTGAAGCACTTGGACCAGACTGCTCCCATGTGAGCGGTCGGATGTGTGCGCTTAGGGGAAAGCGTTTGCGTAAAAAAGCCCCGTCTCTGGTTTTTGAGGCGATCGTTCGAATTTTCCCTCTAGCGGTCCCTGTTTTGTTCCTCAATTGAAAGCGTGAAATGACTAAAGTTTATTGATTTTGTGCCACAGCTAGTAATGGGTGTATTGTGCACAACTCATGCTTTTGCACTAGCATTTGCGTCAGCCTTGCCGATATCGATGCCGAATCTTTTGTGCTTCTGCCCTGCTGGACTACTCGTCCCGTCTCGGTCGGTTGAATCAGAATCATCCCACCACCCAAGACTGAACACGTAGCCCTCGAACACCCTCTTCAACTCTCCATCGCTCATAAACTCCGCGCCGACGGGGATGATCTTCCTGTCGATGATCTCGCTGCCTGCAAGCAAGCTCATGGTTCCCGCAATGCTCCATGGACAATGTGGAAGGACGCGGCGCATGTTACGCCGGCCGTACACGAATGCGCCGCAAACGAGCATGATTCCGAGGAAGATCTGCAGGATCAGCTTCGATGTGGCGTTCTGCTTGAGGCGCATCCGGCTGATCCCCGTGATGGACCCTTGGTACTGGGGTGCCGAAGCTGCTTCGGTCTCATTCAGGCTGCGCCGCATGGTGGCATTGATGAGTTGCGCCATATATCGACGATACATGCGTTGAGTGGCGTCGATGAAGCGCTGTGTGTTATTGGGGCCTGTCAGCTCGTCGGCGGGGATTCCATCGGGACCGTAGTTGACCTGTGAGTAAAAAAAATCGACCAAGAGAGTCGGGGCTTCACGGTTGTTGAATTCTGCGAATGTATTGGGCCCCGTAAACCAGTACGTGCTATTGAACGCCTGTAGCCAACGGGCCGAGCTCTCATCTACCTTTGGCTCCGACGTGATCTGATAAGAGCCTCCCGATATCGAGAAAGTAGTCTCCGCGTGCACCTCTTCCAATCCTTGGATGCACGTCATGGCCGTAACATTTTCCGTCGAGGTGACGTTCTCAACAAAATAGCCAGACATGAACGCCAACGATGGACATCCGGGAGGATTACTTGCCGCTCCCAAGGTATACCCTGCGGTGGTATCTGTGTCGATGATACCCGTTGCACCCTGGTTATTGAGAACCACTTGCTCATGGATAGCGAGACCGCCCTGGCCTTCACAAGTATGTTGTACAATGGATGTGAAGGGAATATTCGTCGCTGTTTGATTTTCTCCATCTAGGAAGTGCGGACACGATGGGGGCAGATCCGCATAGAACGTAATGTTATTTGATCGACAGCTGGTAGATGCCTCAGGACTCAGATTCGTATACATCGTCATGATCATGTTCTTTCTCGGGACCAATGTGCAGTTAAGCGATGCCCTCATAGCCACAACATTGGCTTGAAGTGTGACTGCATGCGTAGAATCGCTCATTTGTTTCAGGGTTTCCGCTCCCAAACTAGAGGTCTGGATGTTGGGGAAAGCTAATCCATCATACGTGAGTGCCGGGTATGACACGTTATTCTGTTCAATCAGCGTGAAAATAGCACCAGCTGATCCGTCTGTTGAAGTACCGAACGATGGCACAAATTTGTCGGACGTGATTGCGGTAACGGCGAGGACAGCTGGGACAGCTTCGATCGTGTAAAGGCCCGAGGCGACGATTGTCAGCAAACTGCCAATGAGGGCGGCCACCGATGCTGCGGCGGCTTCCATATGACGCCCACGGATTGCTTTCCAGGTGGACCAGATTGGGAGGTTTCCTGACGATGTCCTGAGCAATGTCTGCTTTGCTGGTGCACTGCCTCGAGCCAGCACCTGATACGGCGCAAGTGTCGATGTGGCGAAATCAATGGCATCGTACATGATTGCGATGCATATCAAAATGATTGATGCGAGGATGCTCGGTAGTGAATGATAGATAGGAGAGCTAGAGATGGTGACCAGCCCATCGTGGGCATTTGACTCGTGTTGCAAGACTTCCAAAACTACGATGACAGCAAGCGGAAGCCCAAGAGCAGCAGACATGAACCAGAATTTGGTAGAGCTGCTTTCCCACCAAGAATGATTGATTGAGTCATCCGTCAGTCTTCTTTCATTTCCTTCTTGCACGGAGGTCTTGATGGAGAATTCGAGGCTTGCGCGCTCACTGTTGATGTGAGACGCCGCAACTAGACCCTGTAGATGAGTTTCGGATTGTACACCTGAGTAGCTCGAGGCTGTCTCTAATGACTTCTGGAGCGTAGGGCTCGCAGCAAGTATAGTTGCTTGAGCGCCAATAGAGTTGGGTTGGCGCGAGACGACGTCTTTTGGGCGCCATTGGAGAACAGCAGCAGCAGCGAGTGTCAGCAACATACATCCTGCGCTCATAGCCCACACGCTCAACTCTCGGACTTGAAGTCTCGGTTCCTGGTATAAAACACTGGCCGTAGTCGTGGCGTTGTCATTCTTGCGTAGATATGAGTGGGCGAGTTGGACTCCTACACCCTTCCACGCTTTCTCGGCAGTGTTTTTCAATGTGGTCACATTTAACAATTCAACAGCGGAGCCGCCGGCGAGAACGGCAAATAACCTGGCAAATAGATGTATATCCGGAGCTTCCGGCGTAGGCGGAAGGCTGTTTACGGTGATTTCATTCTGGAGAGCCATACTCAGATTGTAGTACGAGTATCCAGGAAGAACATTTGCAATGCGCTGGAGGGGCCCAGAGGCATTGACTCCACCACTTGAGGTGGGATCAGCGGTATTGATCGTGACGTTGACTTTGTCGACCGTGTATCCGGAACCACAGACAATACCAACCGACTCGGACAAGGTCACATTCCATGCAGCACTGGTGTTTTTTGGGTGTCCTGTGACCTCTTCAAAATTGATGTCTATCAAGGTGAGAGCGTAGAGGTTGGCACAAGGATCGAGATCGTCGACTGGGGGAGAAAGAGCGCTCCAGACTTCCTCAGAGATGATAGATCGCCCAACAGGACATTCGGGCGCTTGACACAACTCATAGTAAGTGGTCAAAGGAGGACATTCTGCAGGAGACAGAGTAAGCCTCAGATCTAGTTTGTCTCCGAATGGATATCCGCCATCGTTGCTCCAGGTGAAGTTGTTGCCAATAATTTCGGGCTTTACCACTTCGCAGTTGAAGAACGGGAACACACCGTCTACCATCGCTGTCACAGTCGCGTTTGCGGGCAGAGATTGCAAGTGAAGAGTGTCGTAAGCGACACTTGCTGACGTGCCGTATTGATAGTTTAGCCCTCGTTGTTGGATACCGTAAAATTGCATCAGTTCGGTGTCGATAACAGCAGGCCCAATCGTATAGTTTGTTCCCACAAATTTGGAGCTCACGATAACATCGGAGAGTATTTTGGAAGTATAGGTCGGTGTAAGCACAAGGAGGCCGGTGCTGAAGACGATGACTATTCTCAGCAACAACAAACCCATTCCACCCGCCAGAACGGCCCAGTCATGGTTGGCAACAGCTTTAACCAGAGCCATAGGCAAAGGCGGAGAGACATAATCCAGGAGCAAAGATCCCTTTGCTGAAGTTGGGCCGCGCCGAAGATGTGACCAGGGCGCCAAAGTCCGGCAGTGGAAGTCGACTTGTCTCCAGGGCACGCCTATCAATACGAGCAGTGCAGTCGGGCCATAGGTCCATGCGTAGTGATTGCTAGTGATAGCGGTCCTGATTCCATCCTTGATCTGCGCAAAACGCCATAGAATAACCAGCCCGGCAACAAGGGCTAAGAAGAGCAACATAAACCCGAAAAGAATTGTTTTGCGCAACCACGTTGGGTTCCACATTCGAGGAAGAATCTGCGCTTCCTTGTTCCCGGGAAGCTCATTCTGCAAGATGAATGGGCTTTTGTTAGACGATGATACAGTTTCCTCCCATCGATCGGGAAGAGGAGAAACCTCGGAACTATGACTGCTTCCAACCCGTTGTTGGTCGGCGACGTGCCCCTGACTGTGTGTCGGCTTTGGCACATCGAGACGTTCCCGAGGCTCGTAAGTTGCGTCTGTATGGCTGTAACCGGGAAAATCAGGCAGGCTCCAGGAAAGTCTGTCATCGAAGGAGATCATAGGTAGGGCGTCATCTTGTGACGCGCCATCATAGAATCCACCGCTGTATCTTGAGTTTCGAGGGAGCGCCTTCCGCTTCACTGGGGATGTTTGATGAAACCGTCTATTCGCCATCGCAACGCAGGCCGCACTGGGAATCGCTACCAACGTAGACAAGAAACGGAGAGCGGACCCGAGAAACCCATCCGCAGGCTTTCTGCTGCATGAGGCTGGCTTTACTCAGTCGTATTCGCAATCAGCAGCTACAGCCGCGTAAGGAGTGCTAATGTGATTCCTGCAAGAAAATTTTGCTGTTAAATCGTTTGAGGTGTTCAGCCATTGTAAGGGCAATAGAACAGGCTGCGATTTTGTGCCCCGGTGTTCTTATCAAAGGTAATACCCCTCGTGCAAGTAGTCAACCTTTACTCGACTTGCTTGTCGAGCTCGTTTTGGACCCCATGGAAATTGGCAGGAAAAGCTGGGTCTAGCCTCACCAGACGCAAACATTTGATTGATGGATACATCCTTAGCGCCCCTTCGCCCCAGGAAAGATGCCTTGAGCTCAGCCATCCAGGGTCGTTCGGCTACAGAACATAGCCACGCAGCTAGGCCGCTGATTAAGGGTCGTGGATGGTATGATGGTAACCCCTGTTTTGTAACTTGCACGAGAGTAAGTGGGGTGGTCTTAAAAGGTATGGAGTGCCGAGTGCTCGGCATGTTGCGCTCAGACATCCATGCTGTTGGGGACGACGGACAAAGGGTTCGTGAGGCGTACCGGAGAGGTCACCGCGGCGAGGCCAAGTTCATGGTCAATTAACGAAGGTGCATGCATACCTATGGGTGCCTACCCCCTACTATACTCGAAGAGAGCGGGTGGTGGTGTTTCAGGGTGCGGGACGGCTCGATGCTGGACAAGCCAGCGAAACTACTAGGATTGCAGCCACGTGATACCGGAGGACGGGATATGAGTTATTCCATAAGTGGCTTGGCACGGAACAATAAAGCTGCTTTCCGGACTCAGAATCCTCGAGACGGCATATTGTTACATACTAGGTAGTTTGATGATATGTATCGATTTCTTATCAAGCCATTACACCCCCACATTTTCTCCTCTAGCCTGTCTTTTATTGACATCTACATACCCGTCACCGCAAATGTATGTGGAGCAACGTCCATAGCTGCTGACGAATGGCCGTTGATTCCCCGTTGGCCGGAAGCTCAACCAACGCATAGCTTTTATCCCAGATCCTTCCATTAGAGAGAGTATCCATCCTTATCTACCAAGCTAGTTGCCAAGTGATCGTCAGGCCGTTGGACCAGAGGACCTTTTTATGTCTGTGGAAGGATTGTAGCCGAATCCGTGGTCAGCATAATGCCTACTCGTAGGTCTAACGGCATACTAGTGCTTGTTGGTAAGCTACGACCTCCAGCAAGGAATGTGCCGTGTTCTGAGGAAAGCCTCATGAAGCTACGCAAATGTGGTGATATTCATGGACTCACAACTGTCTAATGACAATCTCCTTCCCCAACCATCCCATCTAACCGATCCCTCCACATCGGTAGCCCACGGGCCCGCAAGGTGATCTGCACAAATCGGCTCCACAGGTAATCGACTGATGCCTTTTTAGTTATCTTTCCTGGATATGGTAGGTGTATAGAGTCATGCTCCTTGCGTGCAACCTGCTAATCTAAACCAATCACGGGTATGCATTTCACGTCGGACTTGAACGACGTCTTTCGATGCACCGATATCCAGTACTTCCACTAGGGTTGGGATAGATTCAAAGTCGGAGGTAGGATCTGCGGACCAGCGAGCTGGGATCTGTATACAAAGACTTGTCCTTGCAGGGTAGGTTCAAAGGGCTCTATCCGTCTACCTCCACCCCACTCCATCGAGCAGTGTTGGCCCTCACAATGGCCGGTCAACTACTGCTATCAGCCTTGTTTTTGCCATGTGTACTGGCTGTTTCGTTGCCAGTGAAGCTACAGTTGAAGCGAGCTGTTGACTCAAGTCTTGCCAATATCCATGTATCTTATGAAAAACCCGTCGCTACGGAGGTAGTCTTCACATATGGGCCTTGTAAGGCGAAGACTCCAGGAGAATCCCACCATCTAGTCGGCCGCTCCCGCTCCTGTGATCACGACAGGCTACTGTGGAAAATCCCAGAATACGCCCCTACAGGCCAATGCCTTTCAGCGTGGGACGCGCGACAGAACCTGCTGGGGCGTAGCCGTCCGGTGTCCATTGCTGCGAATGCAAAGACCACGCGCAGACGTCTCAGAAAGCGACAGGCCGACTTTTCCATTCAGATGGACAACTCGAGCGGCATTGATGCTGAAGGACCGTGGTTCGACGGAGTGGTGGCACTCAAGAACAAAGAAATCAGCGCGGTCAATGCTCAAGAGGCAAAGGCAAAAGAGATCGCCATCGTCGGTGCCGGCATGGCCGGTCTGATGACTTGGCTCGGGCTCAACCAATCCGGCATGACAAACTTGTCTCTCATTGAAGCAGCTCAACGACTTGGTGGGAGAGTCCATACTGCCTACTTCGGCGACCCGAGCGAGAGACAGTATCAAGAAATGGGGCCGATGCGTTTCCCGCTCTCCTTCACGTCATCCGAGACAAATCAGACGGTACAGATTCAAGATCATCGCATCGTCTTTGATCTGGCTGCCGAGGTCAACAGACTGAACAACAACAATACCAATTTCACCGTCAATTTTATCAAATGGTACCAAAACTCCCCAAATGGACTGTACTACGTCAACGGCGCTCGGAAACCCAATGGCCAAGTTCCGACCCTGTCAGAAGTCCAAGCGAATGCATCATTACTGGGGACGACCTCTGCCCAACTAGACGACCCCAAGCTGGGCACACTTGACGAGGACATCGACGCTCTCTACAACAACGGTAGCTTCCTCGACCAGATGGCTCGGAACATATACATGGCGCACAAGATGTTCCTGGATCAGGGACTTGGTGGATTGGGTGGCGACGACTTTTCCGAGTTCGCCTATGTCCACAATGTGCTTGGATACGCGTTGAATGAGACGTTCGTGGAGCTCGGAGATTCTGGGAGTGAGAGTTTTTGGGACAATCTGTATGAGTCGATGGTGAGCCGGTACCGCCCTATTCCTCCACTGATAAATTCTGCGTGGCTACACTCCCTAACACCTCATGAAACCTGATCTCGACCGTCGACGCTGACTTCACCTTTTTTCTTTAGTACTTCTCTGCGACAGATTGGAGGACAATTGATGGCGGCCTGACTCGCCTCCCCAGTGCCTTCCACCGTATGCGCAGCTCCCGTGCACTCTTATTTGAATAGACTAACGTGTGGGAAACTCCTAGCACTTGTGGACGATGTAACCTACATGAACCGCAAGATCCAGCGCGTCCAGTACAACGAGACGACCAAGAAAGTGACGCTGCAGTGGAAAGCCAAGCCACTCGACAGCACGTTCCAGAACGCAAGCTACGACCTGGCGGTGGTCACGGTTCCCATGCCCCTGGTCCGCACCTGGCGTCTCCCGGCATTCTCAGACCTTCTCAAGACCGCCATCGACAGCTACCCATACTCCCAGGTCTGCAAGGTGGCGCTACAGTTCCAGACCCGCTTCTGGGAACATTTCGACAAACCCATCTACGGCTCTTGCAGCACGACCACGGATATCCCCGGGATAGGGAGCATCTGCTACCCGAGCTACGACATCAACTCGACCGGGAAGGGGGTGATGCTCGCGAGCTACACGTCCTCGGACGACGGTTTACGTTGGGCGTCGATCCCCGAGGACGTCCACGTCCAGTACGTCGTGGACGCCATGGCCGAGATCCACGGTCCCGTGGTGTACGAGCAATACACGGGTGCATATAACCGCCGCTGCTGGATTCTGGACCAGTACGAGACGATCAGTTGGGCGAGCCCGGACATTGGGATGAGAAAGTCCTTCATCCCTGCATTCTTCAACACCGAGCAGGGCATCATCATGAGTGGTGAGGGGACGAGTTATACCAGTTCGTGGATCGCCAGTGCGCTGGAGAGTGGCGTCAGAACGAGTGTCCAGCTGCTGCTTGAGTTGGGACTGGTCGATGAAGCGAAAGCTGTGAGCATCCTTTCTTTTTCTTTTCCCTTTGGGAGACTCCTGTCGCTCGCTCACATACTATCGTCCCTACCATCATCCCGCCGTCTACAACGCCAGGCTAACAGAGCACCGCAGGTGACCGAGAAATGGATGGCGAGATGGATCGATGTATAGATCCTCTATTAGGACACTGGGCCAACGTCTTCCGGCCAGTTGTATTGATCTTTCCACGAACATCCAGCTGCTCCAAACCTTGCCTTGCTTATACAAGGAGCGCATTCATAATGATATCTGGGCCGAAGTTTTGAGCGGTCGATGGCCCTCTCCCGCAATCTTGAGCGGACGAAAAAAGCGGACCGGTATTTCGCCGCGCGCCAGCCTCGAGGCTGAAAACCACCACATAAATAACCCCCCTTCGTATCGCAAACGTCGCAAGCTTGCCCCCAAAATGAATTGATTTACCGCGCCTTTGTCTTTTGTCGCTGAGTCACTACGAGTTACTATGATATTTAGCCGGCGGCCCATCAACCCCGACGACGCTGTCCAATGAAATGGACACCCCTGGTTTCTGATCCGGGTTCGTAGTTTTTACGAGTTAGGTATTCTCCATCCATCCATCCATCCATCCATCTATCATGATGCACAGTAGCTCTTCGCCCCATCCGCGCCTCGCTTTTGCAGTATTCCGTAGCATGTCGACCTTCGCAGGCATTGCCCAGGATGGGGATGGAGCGAAGGATTTCTCCCATTCCCCGTTCCCCTGGTCGTGTGTTGTGGTTGTGTCAATCCTCGCCGTCAGATGGTTTTCGAGAGCACGTATGTGAAAGAGGCTTCTGGGTTGGGAAGGAGGACGCGGTGCAACAATGCAGCCGTCGGCCGAGCCTCTACGACGTATTGATCTGGTATATATACGTTGTATGTACCTAAATCCATAGTCACCAACGAGCGGCGCGTGCTGCTTCAGCTTTTGTTTGTGGGAAGAGGTCTCCTTCTATTATTGCACTTGAATGTATCTTCCCTGAAGTTCCCCTGTCCTGTCAACGTTTAGCTCTCCGGCCATCTGATCGTCCCCTAAGCAACCAAGCGCAACGAGTCTCCCTTCTGGTGTGCGACCTGGCAATCCAGCAGAGACCACAAGAGAGAAAGTACATGGGGCTAAAACACGTCCTCATCACGGGCTGTTCGGAGGGCGGGATCGGGGCTGCCACAGCCCTCGCGTTCCAGAAGCAGGGGACCTACCACGTCTTCGCGACCGCGCGGTCTCTGGCCAAGATGAGCCATCTCTCCAAATTGCCCAATGTCACATGCTTGGAGCTCGACGTGCTGTCTCCAGCATCCATCTCTGCCACAGCGCAGAAAGTCACCGAGAAGACGGGCGGCAAGTTGGACGTGTTGCTCAACAACGCGGGCCAATTGGTCATGGCGCCGGCTCTGGACACGGACTTGGACACGGCGAGGCAGGTGTTCGAGGTCAATTTCTGGGGCGTGGTGGGCGTGACCAACGCGTTTGCTCGGATGGTCGTGGCGGCCAAGGGCGTGGTGGCGACCACGGGGAGCATTGCGGGCGATATCAATGCGCCTTTTCAGAGCAAGTACCCGAGTTCTTCCCCGTAGAGCCGGGTCTTTCAGGGCCCGTAAAAGTGGAGGAAGGTTTCACTGAAGCTCCTCTTTCCGCTGACCTGCTGCAGGTTTCTACGCTGCCTCCAAAGCCGCCATCATGACATATTCCGAGACCCTGCGCCTGGAACTGGCCCCCTTTGGTGTAAGGGTGCTTACCATGGCCACGGGTGTCGTGGCCTCGAATCTCGCCAACGGGCTCTCAGAATCAGTCTCCCTCCCCACGCACTCGCTGTACCAGCCAGTTGAGGGGGCATTGAAGAAGCGCTTGAAAGGTGGTGGGCACGCGTCGACGAGCCCGGACGCATACGCCGAGAAGTTTGTCAAGTTGGTGGAAGGAGGGAAGAGCGGGAAGATCTACTTGGGCAGTTCGGCGGGTGTGGTGAAATGGGCGAGGATGGTCTTGCCAGCTAGCGTCGTGGTGAGTATCTTGTGACGGTCTCCGTCTTATTCTTATTCTTTTCTTATTCTTTCTCATTTTATGCATACCCTTCTCTTTCGTTCCCATCTCTGATTCAGCCCGAATGGGCCTTCTCTGCTGGTTCTCTGGCTAACAGCAGCGACTTTGGTGTTGTCGATCACAGGACTATCTCGTCAGTCAAGGAAGTGGCCTAGAGAAACTCAGGGTGTAAGACTCAAGAGATGAGCGACGAATTCCAGGGAATGGTATAGACTAGCCACAGCGTCGGCGCTCAGAGAAGGTTGGAAAGACGATACGAGATTTTGTAGGTGGAGACTCGTTTAGGTTGACAACACATGTTCTCATAGAGCTGATCAAGATACGGGCTTCCTCTTGTGAGTTCTGTGGCGGAGAGAAGTTTCACCATTGAAGTCTGCACCATCTTCGTCTCCTTCTCGATCTCGTGTTGGTTTTGCAGGAAGAAGGATTTTCAGCGTGAACATAGGCTTGAATCGTTACCAAGTCAGTTGGGTGCGAGGCCGGAAACTGCGTTTGAAGTCGAGCACCCCGACTTTAGTGTGAGCAGGTTTATCAGATTTGTTTTCTTTTTTTTTTCTCAGTCGGTGGCTGGAGGGATCTGTGCAAGTGTCGCTCGCCTCCCTCCCTCTTCCAAAGGGATAGTGGAGAACAGACAATTTCCAGAGAGAGAAGAAGCAATCCGGATGTTCAATTCCCGTGGAAGACTCGAGACGATCGACCGTGTCTGAAAGGAAGGCGAATGCATCAGACAGTCAAATAGGCGTCCAGATGAGGCAGCAAGCTTCTCTGAAAATCTTCACGACCCTGCTTAACGCCAATGTTGCCCTTGTCGGTGTCATCGGAGGGTAGCACGATGGTCTCCGCGAGGATATTGGAAGCAATTTGAGCATATACGGGTCGCGGTTCTCCGAGCCTGTCCTGAGCCCAGGCATGAACGAGGGGATGCAATGAAAAGATCGGTGCCACTCCGTCCCAGCGTATAAGGGAAAGAGAAGCTAACTCTGCGATAGCATGTTCTGCACAAAATCCCTGCGATCAACTAGAACTGTCTTTGGGAACATCCCTGAAACCCCCCTGCACTGAGTATGACGATGGGTGTTAGGTCAGGTACCTACCGAATAGACATCGACATGTCTCCCAAGACTCAAGCGCCTGTCTCTCCCCGGCATGTTAGCCTCCACCGAACCGCACAGTCCGCTGCCACTCCGCATAGTTGGCACATGATGATTTCTCTACCTCAGGTCAATGTCATCTCTACTCTCCCAGACCTACAGAACTCCGTGGCCACTTAGCACCTGCAATTTGAAGGGAAGCACAATGTTGGAAGAGGCCAGGTGGGGGAGTTTTCCCTGGTCAAGGGCCAGCTTGCTCCTGCTATGCGTGTGCCTATTCATCCTTCGTCCACTCCTCTACAAGCTCGTTGCTTACAGGGTAAGTGTCTGAACCTTGAGCTCAGACAAGCATGAAGTATGCTAAGCGGCTACAGATAGATTCGGCATTTGGACAACGCATGCATTGTATGCCACCTCCTGAGCTCCCAAACAAATGGCCGCTGGGCATCGATCGAGTGCGCGAACTTTGGACCTCGAATGCTGAGGGCCGTCTTTTGTCCTTCTTGTGCTCAATCGCTAAGGATTACGAGCCTCGCAATATGCTCTCTCAATACCTGATCTTCGGCCCTCGAGCTTTTCACATTCTCGAACCCCGAAACCTGGAGGCAGTTTTGTCTTCAAATTTCGTCGGTGGGTGGCCATCAACGCAGGCATAAGGTGCCCTTGAACCCGTATCTGATGCCCTGCAAAATAGATTACGGCTTTGGAGTTCGTGGTGAGATTTTTGCTCCTCTTCTAGATCGAGGCATCTTTACCCAGGAGGGGCTTGCCTGGAAGCACTCTCGTGAGCTTTTGCGCAAACAATTTGTCCGAGCGCAATATCAGAATCTCAGCCACTTCCAAGAGCATGTAGACAATCTTTTGAACCATATGCCAAAAGAGGGAGTGGTGAATTTGCAACCCTTGTTCTTCAGCCTCACATTGGACACAACCACGGCTTTGTTGATGGGCAGGTCGGTCTACAGCCTGAGAGCAAATATTGACCAGGACGCCGAAAACCGAGATTTCTCTGAGAGCTTCAATTTAGCTCAAGAAGGGCTTGCAAAACGATTCCGTATAGCTCCATGGCACGCTCTGTACAATCCACCAGCCTTCCGGCGGGCCTGTAAAACTGTCCACGCTTATGTGGAGCGATATATCGAGCAAAGAGATCTCTCGAACAAGAAAAGCTGCTCGGACGAAACCGTGTACGGTTTCATCGACCAGATAGCCACAGAGTCAAACAACAGAACCGAGCTCAGGGACCAGCTACTGAACATCCTCCTCGCTGGTCGCGATACGACGGCCTGTTGTTTGTCGTGGACATTGTAAGATTCTGTCCTCAACCCCATAAATTCAATCAAGGCGTCCAATTAACGGTTCTCATGCAATCAGTCGTCTTCTCGTCCGCCATCCTCAAGTGATGGAACGCCTCCGAGCAGAAGTCGCCGCTGTCACGGGGGACTGTGGACACCCGTCAAGAGAGCAGATCCGAAAGATGCCTTTCCTCTCGTGCGTCATCAAGGAGAGTGAGTTTCCTGGTCTTAGTCTGTATCATCCGTCTCTTGCAGCTGGTCTAATGGATTTTTAGGTCTCCGCTTGTATCCACCGGTGCCTCTGAACAACCGGCAAGCAATTAAAACAACCGTCTTACCAACGGGTGGCGGACCGGATGGGAAGCACCCGATCTTGGTCAGAAAAGGCGAAGTCGTGGTGTTTTCGCAATACGTGAATTCTCGCGTAAAGAGCATATATGGGCCAGACGCAGATGAATTCCGCCCTGAAAGATGGGACGGTGATGAACTCACAAAGATTGGCTGGGCGTATTTTCCCTTCAATGGAGGGCCGAGACAGTGTCTGGGCGAAGATTTTGCACTGATGGAGGTCTCGTATACGACAGTGAGGCTGCTGCAGGCGTGCTCAAGCCTTGATTTGCCGGACGGCGAAATCAATGAACGTGTGGGCCAGGAGAAACAAAGGCTGACACTTGTCTTGTCAAGCGCCGATGGCTGTAGGGTCAAGTATGTTCGACGATAGCAAATCTTCCATCAGCACAAAACTACCATGGTTGAGGCAAACAGCCAGGCAGCACCGGAAGAGATTAAGACCAGACGCGCACGAGAACTGTGGTTGTTGAAGGCAAAGCAGCACGGGGAGGCAATGGAGCTGACGAGGGTTTTGAGCGGGCCATCGGTGGGAGCTGGTGCTATTCTGCCCTTTCCTATCGAACAAAATGCCACTGAGGCGCGACGTTTTGGTTAACCAGAGCAATCTTTGGGTATGGATTATACGCCTGTCCACATAATACCTGCATAGGACGAATAAATAGAGAAATAATAGCGCGTATGGAGTGGTGTGGCAAGAATCCCAGGCGTGAGTCGCGCCTCGGTGGTGACTTTATTGCCCCGAGAAACAGACACGCGATGACATTGTGCGGGGAGAATCTTTCCCGTGAATTTTCCTGGCACAGAATCCACCTCGCCATCTTCACTGCCTACCAAACTCAAAACATACCCCGGATTCCCGTCACTGCTTTCTTTTAAACTGCGACTGAAATTGTGACAATAAGACAACACGGTGCCGGACCCGTGATCGCCCCTACAACATGTCACTCCCTCCAGAGCGCATCAGCGTCAAACGCAGAAGACAGGAAGAACCCGTTGAGACATTATGTACTTTCCATGGCCATCCACACCATTAGACTGGGCTAACCAGATCCTTCTAGATCTTGAGCACGGTAATGGCCCGGACAAGAAGAGGAGAGTCACCGACTTCTACTTCCAACGCCTCCAGAACAATATGATCGTCCCTCTTTCTCAGCGAGCCACCAGTCCGCAGGCCGTGTGGTCAGAGCCTCCTGCGCCTGGTGTTCCTCCAATTCGTCTGACTTCACCGACTGTTGTAAAGAGAGAACCGGGCGTTTCACAGACATCCCTCACTGCAAAGGCTGACACGGCCCACGAAGACAAGAGCAAGGCGCCTGACAATGCCAGCGAGGAGTCCGGCAGCAGATCAGCTCCAACCACACCCACTACAAGACAAGCTCTCCAGCAAGCCCGCCGTTTCCACCTCACTCGTCACCTCTCATCAGTCCTTAGTCCCAGCGCTTCTGGTGGCATCCGGAAACCCAAGAACTTTATTCGACCTCCTCTCGCGACCTTTATTGAAAGGCATGGCCCCGTTTTCAGCCATGAGCAGAATCCGCTGTACCGTGATAAACCAATTGATAAGGTGCTGGACATCCAACAAGACAATGGGGGAGGGACTACAGAATCCGGTGGAGTCACAGAGCCAACCCTCGAAGCCTTGAAAGCGTCCAGACGAAGCCTGACGAGCACGTTTGTTCAGACAGGTTCTAAGACAATTAGGAATGGGACTTCCATCAGAGATCACCCGAGCACTTGGGATTTCGAATCCGATCAGCTTGCAGACGAGTTGGCTGCGCTTGCGATGGAGCTCGACCCGGATGTGCAGGAATCCACCGAAGCGGTGCTGCCAACGGTGTCTCCTTCAAAACCCCAGGATGTTGTGATGGATTCCCACGATCGAGAGGATGACTACGTCTACGAGACCTATGTTCGCGTGGAGTATGATGCTCAATTGCATGGTCCAGGTGATGCCGCAGGTCTGCACTCCAACTATGGAATACTCGTGATCGACGAAGCAGATGTGGACTTGTGGCAGAAATACATCGATAGTGATGATGACACTGATTGGGATGAAGAAGACTCGAATGGTGAGTAACCAAACCATGCGTATACTGAACGTTCTGACACTCGACAGCTGAGGACAATCCCGCGAATGACTATCCGGAAGAGGAAGTCAGCTCAGATGACGAGTACGGGTATAACCCGTACAAATATCGGACCTATGGGTCTGACCAAGAGGACTTTGATAACGACCACACCTTTCGATAAGAACCAGAAACTCATTTCTGGAGATCCCATCAACACAACCTCGAAAGCCAAAACACCGCCGATAAACACACGAGATCCTGCCGATATGTCCATGACCAACAAAGCATAACCATATCTGGATCCCACATGACTTCTCATGTATGAGTAATGAATGCCCACTTCCTTTCGGAGTGTGTCTCGCAGGTCGGCTTCTTCGATCGATCCTCTGGTCGCATCCAGGGAAATCGTTGGCTGGTTCTTTCCACCACTCCGAACTTGTCGATTTTATTTCCTCGCCCTCTGTGCCCTGATCTTCCTTGTTGTCTTACTTTTTCGATGTTTTTTTCACCAAGAACACGATAGAATTTGCATTGAAGCCCGGATTTTTTTCTGGCTTCGCCGAATTGGTGGTGGAATTCTCGTTCGATGTCGTCCCAGTCTTGGCCCAAATCGATTCGGTGATACCAGATGAAGTATACTTGCTCGACCCCGTATTTCTTGCAGGAGGGGCGAGGACGCCTACGCTTCCGTCCCGCCATGATCGAGTCAATAGAGATGACGGAGGGTGTTTCGCTCCCACGGTCTTTCGCGAAATCCCTGTTTTCCAAGTCGTCTTCTGTCAACTGGACATTGTTGAATTGGATTGTCAGGTCTTCGGTCTTTTGGTCCCGATCTTGATCATCGTCGTTCAAGACTGACGCAATGCTCATTTTGTCAGGCCTGCCGCGGTGTTGCTGTGCCTTCTCATGGTTCTTAGGAGAAGACATTGTGACTCTGCTTTCAGTCCAGTACGGCTCGAACAAGTTGATACCACTTGAACAAGTGAAATCGATTCGGCAGGGAAAAAAGATACGTGATGCTCCTGTCCTGGAAGAAGGAGCCCTCGCAATGCATCAGATTCCATGGCGGCAAACGCAGGGGCCTTTAATATGCCCTCAAGTCGACCCGACAGAGTGGTTCACGCCAGCGTGATGCATACAACATATATTTCTCAGGCATTGCCAAAAGTCTACAGCAATCCAGGTCGGGTGGCCATGCGCCCGACTAAGCCCAAAGGATGCATACTCCGACGTGCGTGAGCGCGAGGGCCAACAGCCCGTCCAGCAGATCAGGGATCGGGAGCAGACCAGTAATGAACGTAACAGTACGGTATTTCCAAACAGCGCCTCTCACTCCCAAGGCTCCAATTTCTGTGGCATTTCAAGGTGGGCGGGTCGAAACGGTCCACAATTTACGAACAATACGATGGAGATGCCTTCAAAATCAGACAGATTTTCTCCGTCGTGTCGAGCTTTACTGCTTCTTCTTCCTCCGGCATGTCCTTGCCCTGGTCTCGACGTCCTCAAAGGTCGGCATGATTTGAGGCCAGGAAGCGGACCCTGGACGCTAGGCCAATGGAAGCCTCTTAACTAGCGCGGAAGGATGTTCTCCACCACTGCTCTGCGAGGAGCACTTTGGTTTGCAGCCCCTAGCTGTCACACAAACACAGAGAGGGCTTAGAGAGTTCTATGTCTCTCCCTAGCAGCCCTCGAGAAGGGGAAGGGAGGAAGACTTTTCTGCATCTGCAATTGGATGCCAAACTTTCTACGAGGTAGTTGCTGGACGACATGTCTCACACGTCTTTGGGGCCAAGGGAACTTCTCGCGGAAATGAGGATGCTGGGATCCGCATCCGACAATCGCGCAGCTCGTTGCTTGGTTGGGCACTTGATGCGGCAGACTCCTGGACATGTGCTCGACGCCACATTATTGTTGCCCGCATTGATTCCAGGTCAGCTGGCCATGCAACCTCAGCAAGCTGTTCCCCAGATTGGCCTCTACAGCACCACATTTGCAGATTGATGACGATCTTCACCTGCTCTTGAATGCCTCTGAAGGCTCGCTTAGCCACCATTAACGGCTGCTGTCCACAAGGCCACGAATGTCACCGCGTGAACAAACGATGATTGTCAGGTCCCTATTGATACGATACACCATTGTTGAAACGGAGTTGCCTCTACATTGGCTCTCCCTTATTCGAGGCCGACCGGCACATCGTTCCGTGTGAGCAGCCTTCACTTGCAAGGTGGGCTGGATTGTGGAGGCTTGCCAGGGTTGCTCTTCAGATGCGGCCCCTCACTTTGTGTGCCTCAACCCAGCACTGCAGAGGCGGTCGATCCGAATTTTGAGAGCTGGTCCGAGCGCGCGTCGGATGGCAAAAAGAGGGTCCCGGCCACTACCTACTCGATGCGCTTCAGCTAGTGAAACAGCTTTCCTTGGGGCGGAAGTTTAGTTACGCCTCAGTAGGCCAGCCAACCACCCAGACTTGCATTTGAAAGATGATCTGCTGCTGGCTCATCATCACCATCATTTCGACATTGGTGGGCAGCGAGATCAGAATAGTGCCGAATCCGAGTTCTACCGCTCGGCGATCTGGTTCTTTCATAAGTCGCCTCTGTTGCTGCAGCAGTCTGCAAAAAACTTGATCATACGGGGCTCTGGGTTTGCTGGATGCGACACGCTCTGTCCAATTTCGACAAGCCTTTGTCTGCAACTCTGCATCTTTTGGCTTTCCAAGGCTTCCAAGGTGTGGTGACAGGATTGACACCCGCAGTCAAAGGGGTAGTTTGGCTGTCATTCACCTTTTGAGTTCAGAGGGCTGCGTGGATCGGACGCATTCTGGTCTAAATTCAACGCCGAGGCGCCCACGAGTATGTGAGCCACGGGTCACAATGGCACCTGGACCATCGCCAAACACGACATGATTTGGCGAAGGCCCAGTCACTTCATGCCATGTTGACATGTTGGAAGGCCACGGTCCCTGTCCTGCCCTTTCTCCCTGGTTCAGAAGATCCCCTTGGCCCCATGGCGAGGGGCTTGCTTCTCCTTGTGCGAGCTGCATCGCTGGTTGCAGGGATGAACAGACTTCGCCATCGACTCGCCACCCCATGATTTAATGTGGCCTTTGAAGTCTTGCCTCCTTACGCAATCGCAAGCAACGTGACTGAGCGTCGTAGGAGGGACAGTGGCTTTCTGACGGCTCAACATGGCATGTATTGGGCCTTCACCAAATCATGTCGAGTCAAGTGACGGACCAGAGCCATTGTGACTTAGGGGTCCCACGGGCGCCTTGCCAAAAAGCTGTGCTCGGAGGCCGGCAGTCCGATCCTTAGGCTGTGCGAACCAGGATTCACCAGAAGTCTTTGACAAGTCCAGTCGTGCTCGGTACCGGGTACAGATGAATGACACGGTCCACTTGTTCCACCACTTCTACGAGCGCTTAGGCCCACGCTCTTCCTTGTGGTAGCCAATGATTCGGACTGCAGGGGACGTTCTGACACCACAGACAGTCGAAGAACGGGACAATCGGTTCACGCTGATTGGAGCTGTCGTATAGCTGCCTGCCTTTTCAGGCAAACGTTCCTTCTTGGGGATTTGGTCGCTTCGAGCTCCAGTTGAGAAGTGAGTTTCTCACGGAATCCAGACTGCGGCAACCCTGCACCTGCATGGCCATCCGGCATGTGCACGACGCAGTAGATTGCCATGGGGGAGGATTTGCAATGGCATTCTTTGACAGCTCAAATCTGGAAATTGGCAGAAGCTCTCCCACAACTATGCACCACACCCCCTCATTTGATTAACAAGGCCAGGTGTCAAAGGCCAAGATCTGTCGAGACAGAGTGAAACCGCCATTGCGGGGGCTGAACGGCTGTGGTGGTGTGAGGCGACACGACCATGATGCTTGGAGAAGTTCTGAGCGGGTTGCTCCAGCTCGACTCCCTCTGAATATGCACGTCTCTGGGTCCGCGAGCGGTATTGCTCTGCAATCCTCAGAGACGTCGCCGGCATTTCAATCCGGTGGGCCGTGATCACAAACAACACTATCACCTGCCTAGCCAGGAAGGAATTGGGCGAGGCGTTGCGGCAGAATGTCGAGACGGGAGTCAACTGCCATCCCATTGCATATCTGGCTTGCAAAGTCGATCGAGGCTCATGAGGGAGTTCCAGACTGGCATTGAGGACGTCTATCGGTTTCTGGCTCCCCAGTATTTGCTCATTTCGATGACTCTGCATGCGCAGCTGAGATGCGTGTGGCCGCAACCGCGAAGCCCACACAGGACTTAACACAGTTCTATCGGAATCCTTCTCGCTTTCGCGACATGGTGAGCTGTTTCCCTGATGGAAGGCATGTGCGTCGCTATTGTATTGCATTCACTGCACTGGCATCGCACGAGCATGTGATGCGATGCACACAAACAAAAACACAATAGGCGACTTGTTTGAAGTTACACAAGTTTGTTGTTTGCAGTGAATTGAACAATATCAATCTCGCCTCCAACGGCCTTAGCGCCCGTCGGCGCTAGCTTAGCCAGAGACGCTTAATCAGCCCAGCCATCGACGAGGCTTTGTACAATCGGCCCTCTCCTTGCAAACAAGGCATTACACGCACACGCATATTTGCATCACATCACGTTGGATGAACAGGCCTCTGAAGCGACGCGCTTTCTGGGGGGGAGTCATTGCCCAACACTCCCGAAATGGAGGCCCATCGCAAAGCAAGGCCAGCGGAGGATGGCAGGGAAGGAAGGAGGGAGGGAGGGAAAGATAAAGAGCCAGCGGATGCTTGATCATCTATCTATCTATCTATCCATCCGTACATCCATCCCCTATGAACCTTGTGTGAACCCTTTGTTGGACAAGGCTCGTCGCCAGCAGCTTCAAAAGGCCGTGTGCTGTGTACTCGGTACGGTAGACGGACAGAACGCCCTCCAGGTCCCGCAATAATGCTTGTTCGAAGCAGGAACGGGACCAGGAATAGGAATGAAAGCAAGCATTCACTCACCCACTCACTCCTTGGTTGCCTATGCATGCATGCATACTCGACGGGTCTTGCGCCACTCCCCTGCTCCTCCTGCTGCTCCTCCTGCTCCTCCCAGCCTGCAAATCTATTCGTCAGGGGCAGGACCAGTATTATAATATATGACGAATGAAGGAGGAAAAAAATCAACAGAAATCGGAAGGTCCATCAATTTTTTCATTTCAATTGTGATGTTCTTTTTCTTCTCTGTGTCGAAATTTCCACTCATCCGCCAGACCCAACCCGATGCACCAATGCACAATAAAACCTTGTCTTCAAGAGCTCGTAATATGTGTAACCTAAGGGCGGTCGTCGCCCCAAGCCTAAGAACCCATGCTATTCTCGAAGAGAGGCGCGCCTCACTCAGCCATGGACTACAACCCGAAAGAGATATATCCATGATAGGTAGGCTCTATGGCCTGCCTGGGATACCCTTTCTCGACGTCCATGAGCTCTCTACCTCTGCTCTGATCAGGTCCCATTCTCGCCGTTGCTCTTTCCAGAATGCGTGTCCTCCAGCTTTGTTTGGAATTCTTGAAATCTCCGCATGACACAGCATGCATGAGCAAAACAAGTGGCCGTAAGAATGTCTGAACTCTCCCGAGTATAGAAACGTGAGGGCGAATGCCAGTGTGATGCAATAGGAAACGCCAGATAGACACCATGAATGGCTATGATGCGACATCATTTCCTACTAGATTTCAAGAAAACACCCCCCTTTGCGATCGCCGGGTATCATTTGAATTGCCTCCTTCTCGATATGTCTTGCACAAGAACGTTATATGTGCTCTCCAAAGTTGTCCAGTCTTTCGAAAACGAGTTGGACCATATGAAATTCGTGGGTTTGGGCAATGATCAAAGGGATGAAACATGGCAACAATGCGTCAGGCAGATTTCGTCAGGTGACCATCACTCTTTATGTGTGCGCAAATGAAATTCTCTATCTCTGATGGAAGTTAGTATCAAGAACCAGGCCGGGAGAAAGATAGTACGTACCCGACGGCCTCGCCCTCCGGAATGAACCGTCTGCATTGGTGGAGAGAAGAAAAATTGTTGTTGAGGGTAATTGTACATGTTAGAAGGCATATTCTGCTGGAAGCTCTGCGGAGGGAAACCGGTAGAGCCCATGACGGGACTCATTTGTGCTGAGAAAGAGAGGGGCGAAGATGATGGGTTCTGCAACGGACGGAAAGGATCGACCGTCGAAGGGGGCGTTGCGTAAGCAGCATAACCATTGGGCATATACCCGTTGTTGGACCGCTGCGGCGCTGCAGCCGGAAAGTTCTGGTATTGAGATTGAGGAGTCATCTGTTGATAAGGAAGCTGCGAATATTGCGACTGAGACTGGAATCCATTCACGGTGTAAGGTGCGAAACCAAAGGAGTCGGCTGAACCTGTTCGAATTGGACTGAGACCGCTCTCGAAGGAACTGCCATTGGGGACGAAGTTGCCGCTGTACTGCCGCTGGGGAAAACTTTGCTGTTGCAATCCATTCACTGGGACATGTTGCGGTTGAGCCATCGGTCTGACCCGATCGTTCAGGTTCGGGTGCCCATGGGAAGGAAATTGTTGCATGACAGGTTGGCTGGGCCTTGACGACAGTCCAACTTCGTCCATGATTCTCTTGTAGCCCTGATTCGGTTGAGCCTTTATCTTGGTCAGGACTTTGGACACATTTTGGACCACTTCGGGCCTCATGTGGTCGTCAAGGAATGGAGTGGTCAGTATCTTGAAGATTAGGGTCACCCCAGAGGTTTGATCGCACAGAATCTGTTCAAGCACATTGTCATTCGGACTGAAAAATAGGGCATTCAGGACCATATCACGAGCCTCCGGCTCATTTCGTTGGTTGATGATCTTGAGCACAGTAAGATATGCAACTTTGTGGGTGCAGAGTTGAACGAGGTGAGGGATCAATCTTGGGGCCAAAACTGACCGCCGACGAGGGAAGGTGCAGGTGTCAAGGAGCCAGGTCAACAACAGTGCCCCGTTCGCATTCTGGGCAAGTTGGACGCTATGCAAAGCAATCGCCGCAGCCATCATGCGCTGCTGGTTCTTTGTAGCATGATGAGCCTCTAAGCAAGCGCGCATGGCCCGGGCCCCGAATCGTCCTTGGGCAATTTCCCACAGTTGGCTAAGCATGGTCTCGAAGATATAATCATTGTACGGTGGTCCAAAACGGAGGCAGCATTGAAGAACATAGTTACCGTATTGGTCGAGGAAAAGGGGGATGGTGTAGGGGCGAAGCGAGTCGACAATCATCCGTGTTTGGCTGTCGGTCTTGCACACTTCGATGATCTTCTGGGCGGCCCAGGTGCCATTCTTGTGCACTCCGATTTCAGCAAGATGAGGCGCAATGCATGCCAGCATTTGTTCCTTTGTTTGCTCGGAGCAATATTCAAAGAGTTTCTGGACCACGGTGTTCCCAAGGTAGTCCGAAGACAATTCTGCAATTTCAGGCAACATGTCGATGGCGATCTGCTCAATCTCCTGCAGTCCGCAGGCTCCGTTGTCAATTCGTTTGCGAATGTCCCGAAGCCTGGGAGCATCATACATTCTCGTAGAACTCGGTTCTGGAATGGGAGGAATCTCTTTCTCCAGACGACTGAAACGAATAGCACTCTCAATATTTGTAGAGATGGTGGGTAACTCCGACTGCTGCCCGCCAAAATCGAGCACGATTTGCAATATCTCCGGATGCAGCTCCGCGAGGCGGTCGGGAGCTGGTAAACTCAGTGTTTGCTGCATGTTCGTCGAGCTAGTAGGGCTGCCAGTGGCATCCTTGGCTTGCAAAGCTCCTGCTTCGCCATTTCCATTTGCCCCTGGTGGAGGCGTGGCGTTCTGCACAGGAGTCAACGAGACAGACGCATTTGGAGCCTTTGCAAACCCGATCCTAACGGGTCCGGCGCCAGGGAAGATTTCTTTGCCGTTGAGCAGCTGCCGAGCACGGACGGCGTGTTCAACAGATTCGAAATTGACAAAGCCGCAATTCTTATGCGTGAGGACCCTTGTTGATTCAATCGGGCCATATCGGTTGAAGATGGCGTCCAGGGAGGACATTGTTGTGGAATTCGGGATCGAGCCTATCCACAGGGATCGGGAGACCTGGACTTCTGATTCGTCCATGCCTTCATACGACAAGGTCGCGTTTTCGGCAATGGCTAAATTTTGTAGAGTGTCTGAAAGGCTGGACTGGTCCATTGCATTTGTCCCTTGCATATCGAACGCCATACCAAGGTTGTCCGCCGGCTGTTGTGATAAAATACGAAGTGACGTGCGTTGAGGTGTCTCGACAAGTCCGGCAGTTCGAGCTCGCGGGCGTGCAGCACTGGCATTCACCGCGAACGCCTGAACTGCTTGATTATGCAGCCGAACCTTCTCTTGGACCAACTCATACTCGGCTTCCAGGGCCGCTTGCGCTGAGGGAGTCAACGAACCGCTGGCAAACGGCGGAAAGTTATTGCTTCCGTCTTGGGCTTCAGTCGCATACTTGGATTGTGTGTTGACAGAGAAAGACCTGAACCGACTGGAATTACGCAGTCCAAAACCAGCTAATACGTCGGACAAGCTGGGGTCCTGCAGACGGGAGGAATCATCCATGCCTTGGCGAAGACCATCAGGTTTCGAATGCTGGGGAGGTTCGGCAAGCCCGAGGTAGTCAAGAGTGCGGACTCCGGAGTCGGACATACCATCCTTGGAGTAGCCAGACGGCTGGGGAGAGGTGGGATCCTCAGCAGAACTAATACTTGTCAGAGTGGCAGCCCGAGTCCTCGTCCCCCAGCTGGAACTAAATGCGTTCTGACCGAACGGACCAGAAGGCCCGAGGAGGCTTGACCGTTGAGGCATGCTTCCGGCACGAAGCCTGGATAGAAGAGTTGAAGTTCCCGCGTTGGTCTGGTTAGAGGCCGTCGAGTAGAATGCGGTTTCGGCAGCGGACGTGGAACCGGGTCGAAACGGACTCGTGGTAGGGGTTGGCCGAGAAGTCTTGGATGTTAGGACATTCACTCCATTGATTGTACCAACTGGGGATATTCTGGAGGGTAAGGTGCCAGCTCGTCCTCGTCTTGCGGGACTGTTTATCCCAGTCTCGGTCAGAGGCACCAAATCTGGGAAACCATCCTGGTTGGGGGATTCCGGAATCTCAAACAGTGGGGTTGAGGTGCCACTGGTTGGAGGACCCCAGATATTAGGGGTTAAAGAAGTCTGAGACTGCAATTCTCGTGTACGTTTTGGAAACAGCCGGGAAGCTTGTTCGTGAAGAGGAGAGCCAGCTCCTACTCTTGCATTGGAGAGCCCTGCCAATCCCGACGAAGATTTTGCACCACCAAAAGGAGATTTGCTGGTGGGCACCGAAGAAGGCTCGCTGATGGGAGTCAATCCAGATAAATTTATATTGAGCTGCCCATCGGGCCGCGTGGTGGTGGGAGGGACCATCACTGAGGCTCTCACAAGTATGTCGTAGACCGCGGAGACGAGATGGACGTCTGCGCGACGATTTCGAATTATGTAGATGGACCTCTTTTGCCGGAGAGTCGCTTCGTACAAGAGGAAGGATTGGTATGGTGATATCGTATGCTCGTTTTACGTGTTTCTTGGTGAGATTCAGAATATGTAGGATGTCTTCGGCAGCCTGCGGACAGGTGCGTATAGCTCCCAGACTTCTTTCGACCGAGGAATTTGTTTAAAAATGGCAGTGACCGACTGACGAGAAATGAATTTCGTATTCGAACGGAGAGTCAAGTCGAGGCGAGGCCGTGATTTCGAGGAACAGGAGGGCTCGGATTCGCAGGATATTACTTTAGAGGGATTTTTAGATCGTGGGCGGGAAAGGAGGGACTGTCGGCGGCCGTATTAACACAAGTGATGGAATAGAGAGAATCGAACGTAGCAGCTCTCCAGGGCTGAAGGGGGCATTAGAGGAAAGCCGAAGGTGAAAAGTAGAGCAGAAGCAAGATGAAGCAGCAAGCAAGATGGTGGTGGATGAATTAGGGGGCAGAGAAGATGCTAATGGGTAAGGTGAGGTTTGGAGCAGATCGGGAACCGGGTTACAAGGTTGTCGGGTTGCGCAGACGCAAATGCAGTTACAGACCGACAGACGCAGCAGCACACGTCAACGGCTGGGCATCGTAGCGACTCGTAGGTGGTGATGGGTCCTAGGCCCTGGGCCACGGGCCATTGAAGGGAAAAGTACGGGGAAGGAAGAGCAGTACCTAACCAGCATCGCCCGCTAACGAGCGGTCGTCGGTCGAGCCAGAATCAATCACCCGATATGTCTTCACCCAGTTCTGGCTGATGGCACAGCACCCTCTGGTGCCCTTCTAGGCCTAGTCGCCTGTCGGAGAACCACCAGAGCCCTCTGAAGAATTTTCGGGGCCCTGTGAAACCCCCAATAAGAGCCTGCGGCCAGCCTAGTGCCCGCGCTGCCTTGCTGTACCTGCCAAGCAACGGGCCCCCCATATCCACCACCATCTCACAACTGGACTGGACTCATCGCACATCATTTTCTCCCACAGCTCTGCTACCAGAATGCAACACGCAACGGGTGAGAATGGCCCCCCGAAGAGGGATCATGCCAGCTGCTCGGTGGCTCTTTCAGGTTCATAGAGCCTATGGCCGGCCTCTGTCGCGCAATTCAAAACCGCCGAGCCCACCTATCAGGTACCCATGAAACACCCTCTGTCTGTCCACCATGCTCTTCAATTTTACATCCATCATCCTGGACCCCTTCAGGCTCCTTGGGGACAAAAAGTGTGACTGACGAATGCCCCTTGGCCTCGAGCTCGAAGCCGGCTTCCCTGTACAAGCTCCATTCAATATTACAGCTGGGGGGACGCTTATGCTCAAGCCACTTGACCGCCCGATTCGTACCTGTTCGACCCTGTTGGCGTTGACAGACAACATGAAACACTGGTGCCCGGCGCCCACAACCAACCATCCAGCTCCAGCTAAGGTCATCCACCTTTTGAGTTGCAGCCTGGGAAGCATGTTCCTTGCCGGGCCTGAGCGCCTGTGTGCCCTGAAAAAGACCCTTTGCTTCCATCTTTTGCGGGGATTATACTGGTCCAAACCCAAAAATACCCCTGAGGGCTGCATTATGCGGATTCCTTTTCTTCCTGGATTTGGGCAACCGTCGAATGATAGGCCGGCGACATGTGCACTGTCTTATGCCACTATTAATACTTGACCCTACGAGTATATCACACTCACTGCGCCTATTGTCGGGCTTTCATTGCTTCGGGCCCCGGGTCGAATCGCTGTCCATGGTCACGTGCCTCGATCACAACGTTGGGCTACCAGCTCGCCAGGTATCTTTTCGGCACATTTGGCTGCATTCCTCCAGGACCATTGGATTGGCCAAGATGAGGGTGCAACAACGGAGAACTCGTGGCTGCCTTCTATTGTGACTAGAAAGTACCAACATGGGTGAGTTCGAGCGCTAAGCTCCGAGCACTGACTGACGACTTTTTGGATGATCGAAAAGGACCACACACCTACGTCTCGACCATCATCAGTACATGGCAATGTAGAATATGAGGATTTAAACACGGGCAGTAGTGAACTTTCAAGCGGTAGACTCGTTCATTCCAAAACCTTGGTCTCATCAAGATGTACCTGAATTTTCTTGTTTTGGACGCAATTCCTGGCGCCAGGTGAGCATTGGAGCCATAGAGACATAGCAGTCAAATAGGCCATAGCTGGAACGCCTGGATTCCTATTACCGTCCTCTATGCTTTGGGGAAGGCCACGATTGAGAATTGATTCTATGTACCATCTCGAGATCATAACTCACCTCCAATAGCTTATATTAGTGCAAGTGAATTGAGGGTATTGGACTTGACGGGAAGTCCCCCAGTGGTGATCCTCAACGTTCCTCAAGAAAGCAGCCAGTGTTATTTCAAATTTTTGCCTGTTCAGGTACCATTTGGCAAATTTTCTAGACCAAGGCCCATCTTTTGGACTGGCAGATCTCCTCATCGCGTTAGGGAGCGTGAGCTTGAGAGGGTCGCTTCATAGGTGTAGGATGGCAATATTCCGCTCTCCGTGCTCGCAGATGGTGATCTGCAGCGCCTTGCCCTCATGGGAGCGGACCTGAAGCGATTTTGATAGCAGGGACTCGGCGAATATTATCATTTAGCATAATGGAGGTGTGCCACCCGCGGCAATTAGAATTTCGTTTCAAAATCAAGGAAGGGTTGACGTGATGATAAACCAAGAAACGAGTACCGAGGCCTAAGTCAGACGCAGAGACTCTGACTGGTTTATCCGTTGGTAGGAGGTAGAAATGGTGGCTGTTACGAGTAGTCCTGAATCACCAATATCATCTCCTTCGATCGCCAACCGCTTCAGATGAGGGTTCGGTGGGTGTGGGGCATGGATTCAGTGACGGGACAGCAGCGGGGCAGAGAACATTGAACTTGAAGACAAGTCACTTGCTCCGTAAATAATGCTATAGCAGGAATGCCTTTGGTGTAGAGATTGGCGAAGAGGCGATCTGTGCCATGTACCGGTATGTTGTTTGTGGGAGATGAAGACGACGTACCGAGTAGAAGCCCTGTCGACACGGAACATCAACCAACTTGAAGGCCAAATTCAGCCAAAGTTGCCGCCAAGCTCGGCTTGCGAAGTTGAATGCGCCATCAACTCGCAACGGCCTTTTCTCGTGACTTCCACTCAACTCGACATCCAAACGTCACTTGTAATAACCACGAATAACTCATTCAGAACTCGCTGTGCTATTTGCAGCTTGCTTGGGCTCCTCCCCATTCTCGCTCGGTCTTATACTGTCTTTCACTTACCATCGGAATATATGTGTAAAGAGTGCTCCTCGACCCTCCACTCTTCACAATCCTTGCCATCGCCATCGCCTTCGCACTCGCACTCGCATTCGCACCCGCCCTCTCCCTCTTCTCTTAATTCCCCCACGAGTCCAATCGGCGATGACCTCCTTCAGCCAGTATGAACGGCATCACCGAGCCCTTACCCGGCCTCCTTGATGATCCTCTATTTCAACTCCCCGATTTGCCTGCTCTGACCGATATTCAAATCGCGCCCCTCCGGAATCCTGCTCCGAGTCGTCACGCAAATGTCCCTCTACCTCTCGAGCCTGTGGCTGACAATAGTCTGGGTAACGGACGAACACCCAAAAAGACTACACACCCTGTAGATAGTCCTGAGAGGAGAAGGGCGCCAAAAATCACACCCAACGATGTTCTTCTTGCACGAGAGGCCAAAAGGCCACACTTGGCTATCAGCGAGCTGCTGGAAGCCGACCATGTTCCGGAATCTGCCCCAACGCATTTACCATCGTTCATCAGTTTGTCTGTGGTGGAAAAATCGCCTATTCAAGTGCCTTCGTTTCTCGAACATCCTCACTCTTTTAGGCGCTTGAGATTGGATACGGACAACGAACATGTCGGTCTTGACTGGACCAGGCATCTTCCTCCCCCAGCTCAGAAAGAAGACCGACCCAACAGACCGGCTCCGCTCCTCCCTGCTATGGTTACAGGTTTACACGAACCTCCTCCCTCGGCGGCTCTGCTACCATCAATTGACCTTGACTCGCTACGTGCCGCGGTCACAGGATTACATGAACCTCATTCTTATTCAGCCCTGCTACCATCGATTGAGCTTGATCCGACACATGCCGCGATTACAGGACTGCATGACTCTCAACCTACAGCTCTGTTGCCGTCAATTTACTCAGAGTCGATACATACCACAGGCACCGGGCTGCGTGACCCCCCTCCCCCTTTGACGACCCAGCTTCCATCAATTGACTTGGATTCGTTGCAGGCCATTGCTCGGCCAACAACAACATCGAGAATCCATGTCCGAGACATGCTCACTGAGTCCGTCCGGCCAGGTCCTGAACCCCATCTGCCAGCTTCCGAGCGCCATCAGCCCGAGCCCGGGCCCGCTAGCCTAGACCCTGAACCCTACCACCAAGAATCAGAGCTCTATCATCTAAATTCTGAGCCTTCTCCCCCTGGTCCTGAGCCCGATCAGCAAGAGATAGAGCCCGAGCCCGAGTTCCTCCCTTCTGGCACCCTTGTTGATAGACCGACTACTCTCACTCGAGCGTACCAAAGGGAAGACGCCATCGCTCCGGATGAGATTCGTCAGCGCATCCCCAAAGTAATCCATCCTGTTTGGAAGGAGACAAATCAAAAGATCTTCAAGCGTCGAGTTAGGCGGAGATGGACTGATGCCGAAACAGCAGACCTCATGGCCGGGGTGAACAAGTACGGCATTGGGCGGTGGAAACAGATTCTGGATGATCCATCTTTCAACTTTAGGGACAGGAATTCTGTCGACCTAAAAGATCGGTATCGCGTTTGCCTCAACGAAAGGCCCTCGAGATCAGAGCGGACTGTGAGGGCCGTTAGAGCCGACAGTCCTATTGACGAGGCATCTCCTTCAATTGCAATATTGGGAATAAGGCACTGTCGCGACGTTGCTGCCCAAATGCAGGGTAAACGTCGCAAACGCCGAGCTTGGACAGATCGTGAGGATGAGAATCTCATGGAAGGCGTAGCCCGACATGGATTTCAGTGGACCGCCATTCATGATGATCCAGACCTTAATCTATCGCACAGACGAGCAACGGACCTGCGAGATCGCATCCGAAACAAATTTCCAGATGGGTACAAGCACGCCGAGTCCGCGCCGTTGAGGTCCGAGGTCAGGAAGGCAGAAAGAGAAGCCCAAGCTGCTGGAGCAACGCAATGGGATGTTGTCGTTCCCGGGAAAGAATTTAATGGAGTCACCTCAAGAGCACAGTCGGGGTCCAATAAAATGACAGCACGAACTCAATCCCTCCCGGTTCAGCCAGCCACCACCGCTGCCTCCGCTATCAGGCTGATGCATGATGACGCCGAAAGAGACCGTGAAAATATGCAGGAGGAACACGACCGAGAGAGAGAAAGGGAAGGTGAAAAGGAGCACCATCAACCCCTTATCACATTACCCAGTTTTTCACTTGGCTTCTTTGATGACATGGATTGGGAGGATAACAGGCTGCCTCCGTTGCACGACGGGGACGAGGACGATGACAGCGATTAGCATGGGGAACTGGCATATGCATTGAAGAGTTAAGAACGCAGGATCTTTCCTGGGCGTTTGAAATTGATGCTTGGGCAAATATCTTTAAGAGGAAGCATACCGAGCCACATGGCGGCAATGGATGGGATTGAGCATGGGAAGCACAGAAGGCAGCACATTGCGGCTCACAAGCAGCGAAAGGGCTGCGGTAATTTGTATATATTCCTTTTCTTTTCCAATTGGTTATTTGATCGACACGCAACTGTGGATGAAACAGGTCAGGACAACGGGAGACGGGAAAGGGAAGACGACGAGGGAAGGAAATAACCTTTTTGCTACTGCGATTGTGATACCCCTTGGGATTTTGGTACTTGACATGGGCTAGGACCGGTATGGGACATTTGGAACTGGAGCGCCACGCCTTGTGCCTGAAAATAAATATTATTATGCCTTGCTAATTATTCTCCACACGGGCGAAAGAAAGAAAGAGGACATCATCTGATACCTAGGTACTTTTCGGGAGGCTCGTTGGCAAGTCGACAGACAGTCCAGCTCGCTATATTGCAATCGTCGGTGACACTCCAGTGTAACTCAGCAATAGATTCCTCTCTCCTTCCTCCATCAATGACCCGGACTGCACGGATGCATGAATGAAGGCGTACCAGGAGCTGGATTGAGTCTACTCTACGTACCGACTCCCGTCCCTCTTCCGTTGCCATGTCTGCAGGTGGGTTTGGAGTTCCTTTGCCTCTTACCGGTATGGCCAGTGTAGGCAAGGGGGATGGGGGGAGAACCATGCTCGTCCAAGGAAGTTGAAACAAAGCAAAGATACTGGAGAGAAAATAGAACCATTCAGCGGCCAATCTTTCGGTCAATTCTTTCTATGTGAGCTCCGGGTTTCTGACTCAAGTATCTCGTAATACTGACTGCTTTTTCGCCATTTCCGGCGGGTACCTACTACGCGCGCATCACATTTCAAGACCCCGTTCGAACCTTGCCCAGAGCACTTTCACCAGAAGCGGTCCATGAAGTTTCAGACTTGTGGCGTGGCAGATTCCTGGTTGTCCTGAGGCGAGCTCAAAAACTGTTCGATCGATTCGCTGTATTCCAACTGAAGCCAACCGAAAAAGACTATGCGCCATCACTAGAACTCCGAGCGCACCTCCCTGCTCCCTCCATGCGCATGCTCAAAGCAAAGAAGCAAATATACAGAGTTCGAATAATGCTTGCAGAGAAATTTGCCCGCAGAAAGCCTCGCTTCCAATTTGCTATTTTGCTCGTCATCTCGTTGGTCATTCTGATCTTGTCATTTTTCTTTTTGGCAATGGTTTTGTGGTGGTTCGTCGGATGGCTCTTTTTTCACCAGGCATTGCGGTCCCAATTCGGATCTGTTTGTGTTCCTGTCAGTCCAAGCTCGTTTCCTTCCTGGCAGCGGTCCCACTGCGCCTCACCTTGTATGAATGCTCCGAGAACCTTGCTCCCAGTCTGCAGAAGAGGATGTCCCACCACTATTTGTAGGAACCTCTGAAGTCCTTCTCTCCTGTGCTCAATGACGTCGTCGGAGAATCTGTTTGTGAATACCTTCCCGGGCAAGGGGGGGATCGTAACTCTTGCGCTTTCTCGCTCCAGAATGTCTCGAAAGTACTCAAAGTCAGAATATCTGCGGCGGACGACGGAGTGACGAAGTTTGAACGCAGGGATGTTTGTGCGGGTGTGGATTTCATAAGAAGTGTACATGTTCCGAGGAGAGGAACCGTGGGTTTGTGGATTTTTCACCTATATGGGACAGAGGGGTTAGTCTGGGCTGGTCACTGGGATGTGCCTGGTCGTGACATAGCGAGCATAGAAGGTCTGCGGCGAACGGGAAATACCCAGGACGTACCTCAATCTCGAGGAAGTTTTCTGGAGGACCATAGATCTCCTCGAAAGTCTGTTGACGAGACTCTGGTAAGGCTTGCATGGCTGCGGGGTCTGAGATGGAGGATACAGGCAGCTGAACAGGGCGATGGGTCGCGTGCACTTGAGACACAAGGCGGTGGAAATGCGGAGATTGTGCACTCTGGACTGTCAGAAGACAGGTGATGGATGACAATCAGTGGGTGGAGTTGAGGATGAGTAGGTGATGCTAGCAGTCATATTTAGGATGGTCACCCAATGTTTCTGGGTGTCCGTCGAGAAGATTCCTGCAAAGCCGCACCTGACTTTTGACGCTTTCCCAATCCGAGTGAGTCTGTCTGGCTCGCTGGCTTGTCCACCCCGCATCCTCTGCGCCAAGCCCGTTGAGTGGATCTCGAGATTCCCGCTGCAGGGGATCCGGTGATAACTTTTTTTTTCACCCAAGGTTCGGTTTACCAGCAAAGCGTTGGCATACACCCTGATGACTTGTGATGGGTGCTGACACAATGTCCAAAAAACGAAAGAGAGAAGTCGACGTCGAGCTCGTCAAAGTCTACGAAGACCTGGCCGATGAACAAGAGAACGTTCGTCTCGCTGCGGCCCATACCTTGCTCTCCAAAATCTACAAGCCAGGCATCACCAGCCATGAGCAGACCAAAACCATCTTGACACGGCTCTTCCGCGGACTCTGCAGTAGTCGCAAATCAGCCCGCCTGGGCTTTTCTGTCGCCCTGACCGAACTTCTTTCTCAGCTTGCAGCTGCCCCGGACGTGTCTCCCGAAAGCCATGTTTCTGTCTCGGCTGTCATTGACCTACTTGAAGCCCAGACCCTGCCGGAGAAGGGAACCTCTGGCCAGGACGAGCGCGACCATTATTTTGGCAGGGTGTTTGGTGCTGACGCCATCCTGAAGTCGGGCATTGTCTTCGGCAAGAAAACGGATCAAAGTCACTTCAAGCGTCTGCTAGATATCGTTTGTGCCTTAGCAATCAAGAAGCCGTGGCTTCGTCAAGAATGTGGTTGGGTGCTTTACAATTGCATTGTATCCGACCAGGACGACTTGCCCGAGTCGTTGTCGTTACACATAATTGACAAGCTGGTAGCGAACAAGCTCATTCGTACACCCGAAGGTGTGGCCATCTGGTTGGTGGCGTCTAGGCGCTTTCCCAGTGTCAAATTGCCCAAATCCACTTGGAAGAGTGGTCATCCACTGGTGAAGAAAGATGTGAATATCCTTGCCGATATCCTCAAAGATGCAAAAGTCCAACAGGAGGAAGGGGACTCCGATCTGAAGTCCCAAGGTTCTGCCAGGTGGTCTGCTAATCTACATTTTGCATGGGAGGTTGTGCTGGCCGAAACCTTCAGAAATACCTCTCGGGAATCTGGAGTTAGGAAGGACGTGAAAAATAGTATTCGAGGCGATGACAAGATTACCTTCGACCTCTTCTGGAAAGTCGTTGTGGATGAGAGTCTCTTCGCACCTGCAAGCAGCGCCGAGCGCAAGTCCTGGGGGTTCAGTCTCTGGAAAAAGATTTTCGAAACAGCCCCCCCAGAGCTATTGATCTACACATTCACACCACAAGCGACTCGTTGTCTAGCCAACTCTCTTAAGAGCTCAGAGAGATTTCTCCAGAGATCTGCCCAAAGACTGTCCCAAGTCATTCAGGCCCGCTTGGCCGACACTGAGCCCCGGGATCAGCGGGCCAACCTCGCCGCAACCTATGTTCAAGCTCTGTTACAGAGTGTCTCGGTTGGCGACTTTGATCAGATCACCAAATCAAAAACTCTGCAAAGCCTGTTCGAAGCAAAACAAACGGGTGTGGTAGAGGGCATTAGTTTTGCTCTGACCGACCTTCTGAAGCGATCTTCTGAAGAGAAGGAGAAGAAGACGACTCTTTTGCAACAGAAAACGATCTTAAATCTCCAGTGGAAGATGATTTCCGCAAGGCTCCGCCGCTGGGAGCAGATTCAAATGCAACAAGAGGGCGATATCGACGAAACCGAGAAGGAACTTGTGTCCAGCGTACTCCAGTCATGGCTCAGAGAAGTCTGTATCTCACCAACTTCCAACCGTCTTCATAATCTAAACGGTGAATTTCTACCAGAGGCTCGCGACTTTGCGAAAGAACGTCTCAGCTTAGCCTTTGAGCAAGCCCTCAAACTCGGCTCTCTAGGTTGTTGGCTACTGAAGCATGTGCTCCTCCATATCCGCGAATTAGAGGCGCTCAACGTCCAGATGAGCACTGCCTTCGAGGACGATATTAAGGCCATCGTGGAAACAGCCTGGCAGAACCTGGCAAATATTCAGACCAATACCCAGATGTCCTCAACAGTCGACCGAGCGCCAGCCAAAGCTTCGAAAACGGCTGTACACGTAAAAGTTTTGTCTTTTCCAGAGGGATTGAGTCTGCTTTATTCGTTACTGCTCTTCCAGATCTACAGTGGGGAGACAGAAGCTGTGCAAATCTTGCAGGAAGTGCTTGAAAACTGGAGTCGACGGACAGATAACCAGAAAAGCAACGCGTCAACTGACAACGGACAGGTGTCTGCCGACGCTATCATGGAGATTCTCCTCAGCTTTGTCTCAAGGCCGTCGAAGTTCATGAGGCGGATAACTATTGACATCTTCGACGCCTTCGCCCCCAACATCACTGCTACTGGTCTCGAAGCCATGTGCCGCATCCTCGAAACGAAAGAAAACCTTCAGGGACAGCAAGAGATGTTCGAAGCGGGAGATGTTGAGAATGAGGATGAAGAGCAGCTTGCTTCTGAATCAGAGATGGAAGGCTTAGACTCGGATGTCGAACTCACTTCTATTTCGGAGTCTAGCCAATCAGCGGAAACCACAGATTCGGAAACAGACGACGAATCTACAGACTCTCAAGCATCGGCAGGGGAGGAGGAGGAGGAGGATGCAGAGCTGGCCGCGTTTGATGCAGCCCTTGCATCAGCACTTGGCACAAGGCGACTCAACCAAGATGATCTCGATGCTGCGTCAGATGCTTCTGAATCGTCCTCTGATGCTGATATGGGGGATGATGAAATGATGCAATTAGATTCAAAGCTTGCAGAAGTCTTCCGCGCGCGAAGTGAGCAACAATCAAAGAACAAAAGGAAAGAAGCGAAGGAGGCAAAGGAGAACATTGTCAATTTCAAGAACCGTGTGCTCGATCTTACCGAGTCATATTTTAAGCACCAACAACACAACCCTCTGACCATGGACTTGATTCTGCCCCTCCTCAAGCTCGCAAGAACGACGCAAACCAAGCAGCTGGCCGACCGTGCTTGCAATATCCTACAGCAATTCTGCTCGCGATGCAAAGGGCCCAACGCCCCCGACTTACCAAGCGACTGCTACAGTGGACATGTGATTGATGTTCTTAAGTCAATTCACGAGGAAGCAGGCATGGAGTCATCGCACGCACACTCTAATGCGGCAAGTCTATCGAGCATTTTAGTTGCAAAGGCCCTCGTCAGAGCCAATGCAACGAATATCAAATCGATTGTCGAGATATACGCGTCGACAAGATTGAGGCAACTAACAGACAAGAAATGTAGGGTATTGCCGGGCTTCTTCACAGACTGGAACAATTGGTGTCAAAGTACCAGAGAGAAGCTAGTGGGATGAAGGGGTGCAGCCATCGGTAAGGAAGATAGCAGCATCAAACGAATTAGATCGAACGTATGAGAAGAACTTCGTCCAAAGTTGCCGTTCCTGCACGTCGACCGACAAGTGTGATCTCCACTGTTAGAGCACCCCTGCAATACACTGCCGATCCAGAACAGGCTCGCAGGATCTTGCGTATCTGCAAGGCTGAAGCACAGCCTGGTCCTCAACGTGTCGGATGCTGCGGCTGGAACTTTTCTGCCGTAGCTGAGACCAAGTTGACCGCGATTGGAGGCCAAAAAAGCCACGAACAATCTGAACCAGTTCTGTACCGAGTACGAAGGTATGAATAAACAAACCTTCGGCGTGGCTCTTTTAGACTGGACGTCGCTGATGCGGTCCATCAACCATTCGTCGGAAACCGAAGGGGATGAGTAAGGCTCCCGAGGCTCCCCAGACACCCACAAGGCACCTGCAATGGCCTTGGCTGCGCTAATCTCAATAATGCAAAAGGTTCAATCGAGAGCCTTGGGCTTTGCTTACGGAACACTCCCTGGCACTCGGCCTACGTTTTCCATCCCCCTTGGCATGGACAATCAAAGACCAGACGTCCAGCTTCAGAATCCAAGCGTCGAGGTAAGATTAACGGGTGCCGCAAGCTCTGCGGAGAATCACATCAAACTTTGCTGCGGCCAAGATGCTGCGCTTTCCCAATTGTGTGTGGATTTCAGCCTCGTCCGAGATGTGTCCCAATCCGGTATCTCATCGGGGCTTAGGCCATGGCTTACTGATGCACATGCATCCCCTCGCTTTGACAGGGCGCTGGGCGGCGGCCATTAGTGCTCAATTCCATTTGGTCTTCTTCAGCAGCCTGTGTCCTGATGTTCGCCTGATACTTGCTTGAGCCTTTTCCGCTGTGAGGTTCAGCTCCAACGCGTCTCCTGTGTCCCGACCTTTGTTTACTTGCTGCGTGTCTCTATACTGGAGGCAAGGACCTGCGATAGGAATTGAAGCAGCTGCAAGTCCCTGGATTGTATATTTCCCAATGCTGCGGTGATCCCGCTTCTTTTTCGGCCTTTGCTTGTGGAGGATTCTAGCTTTTGCATTGCCGTGCTTCAAACTCCGTCAAGATCCTGAAATCGGCACGATGGCCACCTCAAAGAAACCCTCACTGCTGAAGAGGCTCACCGACAAGCTAGGGTTGAAGATCAATCTCCCAATTGTATTGTTGATGTTCAAGTAAGTCTTGCGGGGGACAATGCCGCATCCCGTTCACACGACTGTGCCACAGCACGGCAACGTGCCTACAGACTCGACCACATCTTTGGGTCTCATGCTAACGGTTCTGTACTAGAGGAGCTGTCGCACCAGCAATTGGCCTCTCCATGTACGTTGCCTTGGAAAGTAAATACGTCCACAGAAACTCACCCCGGCCAGATATCAAGATGCTAGCGTCGCAGACCACTACTCAACAATCGGCTACCTCATCCCTATCATGTCACTCTTCGTCGTTCCCATCCTGCCCCGAGCCAGATTTCTGCAGAATTTCTTCGTCACTGGTGTACGATGTCGGACTTCCCCCTTGAGGTTTGCTGTGCTCACTGGTAACTAGTTCTTGACTTGCTTCGCCGCGGCAATATCCCTTCTCTACATGTGGACTGCGATCAAAGCTCGGAAAAACACGACCCATCTGTCGGCGGAGCAGCGGAGCAATGGACCTGTCCCCGGAGCTGAAGTTGTGCCCTACAACGCAGCGGCAAGCGCATGCCTCGCTGTGTGGTTTTTCTTTTGGCTCTGGGCTTACAACACGTACGTGCTGCTTTCATCGGACGTCTTCTAGCCCCACGCGGCTATGCTGATAGCCTAGCCCAGGTTTCGCGCTTTTCGACCGCAATATTTCCTGCCTCTGATCGTTTTTGGTATATTTATCAACATCACAGCTGTATACGGTACCATCTTCCCGGAAATGGAACAGGCCAAAAATTTAGGTAGGTATTGGTTGTCTTCTCGGAAGGACGTGCATTGATTCTGTGGGATTGCAGTAAAACGACTCCTCGATACCTTTTGGGTCGGCTTCGGGCTCGCATTCGCCGTCCACTTTGTGGTGTTACCTCTCACGTCACGAGATCTCGTAACACTGATCCTGACCGAGTACCTCCACATCCTCAAAGGCGTCATTGATGCTAAAGCAGCACTACTGATCTCTTTGCCGTCTCGTGACTGGACTAATGGAAGCAGACCGACCAGCTTGGAAAGCGACAGTGAAGGAGGCGAGCCCGTTGAACGGTTGACCTCCTGGCCCGAAGCTGACAAATGGCGAGCACTCACTGCGGCTGCCACCGAATGCCAGATCAAGATGCAGTCGGAGATGCGCTATGTCAAACGTGAGGTTGTCTTTGGGAAATTAGCTGGCAAGGACTACTCGAGCATCACAAAACTGCTGAGGAACATTTTGATCCCAATCGTTGGCCTGGAGACGGTGATTCAGGTCAATGATCGGGTCGAAAAGCAAGGAGGATGGACGTCGATCAAGGCCTTCAAGGACGGTAACAACTCCGAGATTTCAGATCGAGAATTGAATGGCGAGGAGAAAGAGCGGTGGAGTTCGTTATTTGGCCAAATTGACGGAGCCTACAAACTGCTGTGGCGGGCAATGATCGAAGGGCTCGACTATGCATGGTTGACCCTGCAAATCACCAAAAAGCCAGTGTTCACAACCAAAGCCGACCTTGAGGCGAGAGCAGCCGAGTCTCCAGAGGGAAAAGGGTTTGCGAAGTACCTGGAAAAGACCATCGACAATTTCTTGGCTGTACGAGAGGGACCTCTAAAAGAATGGTGTCGCGCAAACGAAACCGCTGAGACTACTGCACGGTCTTCGCACAAGCGACATACATCTCAACTATACCTTCTGCTTGACGTACGTATTCACCCATGTTTATGAACAGCCACGCTGATCTTTTCAAGCTCGAATACTGCGTTGTAACAACGGCAATCGGGATCCTCGACCTGGTGCGGTTCGCCGACTCCAAAGTCGAAGACGGCACTATGAGAAAGAAACGGTTTCTATACCCGAGCGCAAAGCAGTGGAAGAAGTGGGCATGGGCAATCATCACCCGCGAAGACAGCAATCTGGATTACACGGCATACAGCTACCGCAGCGGCACGCCGACAGTGTATCTGGGCGATGCTCTGGGTGTCAACCGAGACCCTGAGCACCTCCCGCCCGTGACGTGGTGGGAGAAACTGACCGACTACTTCCGCCTGATTCCCCGGCTTTTCGGCTCCAAGGAATCCTGGTTCGGCTTCAAGGTCGCCACGGGGACCATGATCATCGCGGTCACGGCCTTCCTGAGAAACTCGCAGCAATTCTACATCAAGCAGCGCATCATCTGGGGCGCCATCATGGTCGCCATCAGCATGACCCAAACCGCGGGATCGGGAATGTACGGACAATTTGTGAGGATCTTTGGCACCTTCTTGGCCATGGTCTTGTCGTATATCGATTGGTACATCGTGGACGGCGACACGGCGGGCGTCATTGTCTTTATGAGCCTGACCATCTTCCTGTACCACTATCTCATGGTCACGAAACCCAACGACCCTGTGATTCCCATGATCGGGATGATCACGGTGGTGTTGATCGTGGCGTACGAGCTGCAAGTCAAGCAAGTCGGTCTCGCTGTTTCCGAATCCAACGGCCAGATTTTCCACCCCGTGTACGAGCTGGCGCCTTATCGGCTTGCATGCGTGCTCGGTGGCGTGGGCGTCGCTTGCTTGATGACCTACTTCCCCAGCGTGACCACGGCGCGAAGCGAGATGCGGAGAGACTTGGGGAACACGCTGTATCTGCTCGGTCAGTACTACAGCTCCTCGCACAAGTCGGTGTCGTTGCGCCTGAAGGGGATGGAGGGGGACGTCAAGGACAAGAAGAGCCCCCTCCGGAGGCTGGAGAAGGCGCGCACAAAACTCTTTGCCAAGAATTTGATTCTCATCCAGGCGATGAAGAATCATCTCAAGTTCATCCGATGGGAGCCTACGTTTGGAGGCCGATTCCCCAAGGAGACTTACGAGAGGATGCTCGCCCATACCGAGAAGTAAGTCACCAACCCTCAGGCGCTTGAATGACTTTCACTTACTAATACTTCCAAAGCATCCTCCGCTTCACAGCCATGATCGCCTGGACCACCAAGACCTTCAAAGAAATCCCCGACGAAGTCGCGGTCGGGCACCTGGACGGGCGCAACAGCGTCGTCTCCACCGACAACCAGGACGGCAAATGGCTCACGGACTTCACCCAGCTCATCTCCTCCCTCGAACTCACCTCCCATTCCGTCACATCCCTCCTCGCCATCCTCTCCGGCTCCATCGGCTCCGGCAAACCCCTGCCGCCGTACCTGAAACCTCCCGAGAGATTCCACATTGACGAAATGCTCTCGAGCCTCGACAGCAGCATCCTGGATACGAAACACATTTGCGAACCGGGGTATTCGGCTTTTGCGGTCATGCAGGTCTGCACGACGATGCTCAATGAGGATCTGGCGGATCTGTTGGCAGAGACGAAGAGGTTGGTGGGTGAGGCGGAGTTCAATCTCGATGTGGTGCAGGAGGATTATGAGAGGAATGTGGGTGTCGTGCCGAGGGAGATTCGTGAGAAGAGGGATTAAATCGATTCAACATGGCATGGCTGAAAGGGAAGAGAAGCGACGAGTCTGTGGCAGGCCCCCAGGAAGTGGGGTAGCTGAGAACGATACGTGCGTCTTTCGAGGAAAGCATGCTCTTCTTGGTCTCGCGAGATACCAAGGGGATGGAAAATTCGTCTTTCGGGCCCTCGTGTCTCGACCAACGTGGTCACTTTCACCACAGAATGTCTGCAACCAACACCCCCTCCCAAAACCGTCCTAAGACCCGGGTTGTTTATTTTGTATGGAGCTTTGCACAGCAAGGAAGTAAGTAAGGGCAGCTGTCTCATCACGTCAGATCATATCGGATCTATTATATCATGTGTAATTTTCTGGGTAAAAAGCGAAACTAATTCATATAGCACATTGGTTGAGTATCGATAGATTCTTTGACCTGGGTCGAGCGAGTACAATTAGTCACACTCTGTAGAGATGATACTCAACGGGCATCGTGCATGTATACCTAGGATGTGTATAGAGGTACACAGACACCGTCATTACCTTTACCTACCACCCCACCACCGCCTCCCAGCATCGTACACGATATCTTACCGTCCGTCACCAATGGCGCGCCTTTAAACTTCACCGGCTTCATAGACTTGTAAGACCATGGGCTTCTATCTACCTAGTAATTACCTAGTTGAGTTGCCGAATCGGGCCGCCGAGGTCCCGCCCTCCGGTGAACTTTGTGCAAGGCTACTTTCTCGCTGGGTCGCGACGACAACGACGACGACGACGTCAGTGCACTGTCTGTCTGTTATCTTCCCTTCTGTTCCATCTATCTGTTCAGTGTCCACCCGCTTCCCGTCCAGCGAAGACCACAATCATCAGAATGATCCTTCCGCACTCGCCATGAAGCCAGACAGCAGAGATGGCACGCCAATGAGGTGGACACCTTTAAACCCCCGAGTCCATCTGCTTTGGTCCTGTCCAGGGGTCTCCTAATTCAATGATAACATGACGCTCTGTTTGTGCATGTCCCTGGGTGGATTTCTCCGTGATTGAGGATCCTTTGCAGATATTGCACGCGTTGATCGTGGACATGTCGTGTTCTGACTGTATGTCGTGGGATTCGGCGAATGTCTTTGTTTCAGACGGCCAGATGGGCGTTCGATACCATGGTACCGGAGCCCCGGTTCCTCAAATTGATTCTACATTGGCTCACATAGTACCAAGCTCATCAAAAGCCTTCCGCGGCAGTGGCCATGGCGCTGTATGGAAAAGCACCTTGCTGGTAAGTGGTGCACCGGGTTAATACCGGTTATCCAACCTTATCAGGTCTTCTTGGGTCTGGTTCCCTCTGTTCGGTTGCTCTTCTACCCCCTCAACAGCTTGTCGTGGGTTAGTGAGCTTGTCGTGCCTGGCTCGTTGGTTTCTGACCGATGACCGTATACCTTGCCAAGTGTCAATGCAGACCTCCAACGGTGCAATTACAGTGTGGATACTTACACGTCGTACAGCGCGTGGATCTCTCTGTTCTTCATGTCCTGTCGGACCTCGACCAGCAGCGATTCCAGCTCCTGTTGGGTCCATCCCAGCACGTTGAGGAACAATCTCAGGCTCACGGCCTGGAGGCCTTCAAAGATCTGCGTCCAGTTGACCAAGCCCATTCGCTTCAGTCTCTTGTCCTTCGGCCAGGGACCGATGGGGACGGGAACCTTGACCACCTGGACATTGATGAAGCCTGCCTCTTTAGCCCACTGCTCAAGACGCCTGCCAACGTGCAATGTTCTACCGATTTTGGCGGCCGCCTCGCTGCAAAGCAGGAGCCAGCGTCTCAGGGCGTGCTCTTCCGTCAACGACCCGTCCTGAGAATAGTAGTCAATGTCGAAATCCTGAAACTCGACCCAGCCGCCCGGATTGAGATTATCATAGCATTGCCGCATCAACCTGGGCCAGTCCGATATCGACCCGACCATGTACCGGCAGTGGATGTAGTCGGCCTGCTTACTGTACGTCCACGGATCCTGGACATCGTCAATCTCGAACTGGACATTGGGCGGGACGATCTTGGGCATGGTGGGACTGATGTCCACGCCAACCACCACAGCTGAGGGATACACATCGGCGAACTCGATGGCCCAGGTTCCCGTGCCGGCGCCGAGGTCTAGGACACGGCCGAGGTCAGGCTCCAGCGGAGCGAGATGCAGTCGGTCCTTGTTGATGATTGCAAAGAGAGCGTGGGCTATATCCAGACGATCGAGTTCGGCCTGCCGGGATGACCGTTAAGCAGGTCCAAAGAGGCTTCGGACAGTGTTACGCACCTCGTCGTTTGGTCGATGGTATGACCCGTCCTTGTATGCGTGGTATCGTCTTCCATACTGTTCCTTGTTTTGCAAAACGCTGGAACGGACGGATGCCGTCGTCTCGCCGTCGTCACTGTGGAGAGGACATGTTAGGACCCGGCCATCGAGTTGCGGCGTGGATTTGGCACTGACAGCTCAGATACTCCTTCATCCTCATCTAACGCGATCTGCGCAGGCTCATTGCCAGCCATCTTGACCCTGTTTTCAGAACGTCCTGGCTCGGGGGTATTCTTGAGGATTGCCAAAGTCATCCGATGTACTTTTGAGATGGGCAGCAAGCCACACAAATCATCACCTCTGCTCCACCCGGTTGTCGATGCCTTTGACTTAGTTTCAGCTTGAGATTTAGTTACAAGGGGTAGAGCGATCCTCATCACAGAAGCCGCGGCTCTCATAGGCGAGCAAGCATCGACGCAATACGACTGCGGAGTCGGCGGGAAGCATTAGTGGCGCGTGGGACTGCATCCTGGCCATCACCCGCGGGAATCTCTATCCACATCTCACGCGTCACAGTGAATAGGAGCCATCCACGTTTGGAATCCTGACCTCGAGTCCCACATACTTGACGCCTTGCCATGCACGAGAGCGAACTCGGCATCACGACGCCTGCCTCTTGTGCATGGGCAGCAAGCGAGATGATAAGCTTCGAGCCACATTGGCCAGTCCTCCTCAAAAGTACAGAATAACTCTTGTCGACAGCATCAGACTGACATGTCAGTGGCGAGCTTGAGACAAGACGACTACTTGTCAGGTCTCTAAAACCATCCACCTCGGAAGAAATCCAACCATTTCCCTAACAATCAGAAACACGCAAACCATGGCCTCCGCAACGCCGCTGAAGGTAATGGTGATAGGCGCAGGTATGTACGACATCTCTCTTGCACTTCACACCCACTCGGACAGGCTCGCTAAGGGTTTCCCTGAGGATCTACCGGGTTGCTCCTGGCACAGGGCCTGAAACAGGTATTGGACCACCTTCTTCTCCCATTCATCCTCACCCAAAGCCAACAATTGGGTCCTAGGGCGGCATCCCATGCACCGTCTATGAGCGGGAGGACCACACCACCTATCAGAACCGCGCTCGAGAGTGGGGGATGACCTTGCACTGGGGAGCTGAGTATCTGTCCAAATTCCTTCCGCCGGACATGGTGGCCCGGATCGACGAGAACATCTGCTGTGACCCGTTCTTCAAGGGCAAAATCACGTCGCTGCCCATCTACAATGGCGCGACGGGCGAGAAGCTCTTTGAGATGCAGGGCATCGACCCCAGGCGAGTGTCCCGAAAGAAGCTGAGGAAGTTCCTGAGCCAGGGGATCGATGTCCAGGTAAGAAAAAAATTCCCCGTGGGAGATTTTTCTGGGCCTGGCAAAACTGATTAAGGCAAATCCAATCCAGTATGGTAAGAGGTTGGCGTCTGTGACAGTTGACTCGGGTAAGGAGGAGTGCGTGACAGCCGTCTTCGAAGACGGAACCAGCGCATCTGGTTCTCTCCTAGTGGGTTGCGACGGAGCGCATTCGACGGTGCGCAAGTTCCTCGTCGGCGAAGAGCTGGCCAAGGAGGAATACATGGACATTCAAATGTTCAACATCAGCTGCACCTTCCCCAAGGAAACGGCCGAGTACTTGCGGTCCATCCACCCGATCTTCAAGCACAGCTATCACCCGGACAACTTCACGTGGTGGAACTCGATCCAGGACGTCACCGACCCGGACAAGCCCGAGACGTGGCTCTTCCAGAACCTGCTGTCCTGGCCCGGCAGCCCCAGACCAGAAGATCTCCCGGACCAGGCGTCGCGGCTGAAGTTCTGGCGCGACCGGGTGTCCCAGTACGCCGAACCGTGGGCCACGATCGGCAAGCAACTGCCCGAGGACCTGGTCTTCCCCACGGACCGGACCGTCGTGTGGAAGCCCGACATGGACTGGTCGCAGTCGCCGCTGTGGCCGAGCGTGACGCTCGCGGGGGACGCGGCGCACGCGATCCCGCCGTTCCGCGGCCAGGGACTGAACAACGCGCTCGAGGACGCGGCGAAACTGGTCGACGAGCTCGGCGGGTTGTGCGCTGGCGAGAAGAAGGCGTCGTTGACCGAGGCCGTGGCCGCCTACGAGGCCGAGATGAAGGAGCGCGCTCTGCTGGAGATGAAGGTCTCCATCCTCCAGGCTGAGACCGTGCACAATTGGGACAGGCTGATGGAGGCGCCCTTCATCAAGCACGGCATGAACAAGTACAAGGGGGAACAGGGGATGAAGTAGAGCCTGGGTTGGCCCGTCGGTAGAATTTGCTCTCTAGGCAGGTGTTCTAGCTAGGTTCTACATAATGTCAATTGTTGCCACCCCCGTGCATTGATTGAATCGGGGCTAATGCCCATCATGTGCTTGTTCTGCTCCTTGATACGTTACCGCCTCACTTCCATTGTTATCTAGCAGTGTAAAGTGATCGTTCTACCGCCCTATCCAAATGCAGACCCATCATCCATCATCGTGGGATATATACTCGTACGGAAATGGCCCTCCTTCTTTCCGGCCCTGCTGCTCCCGCCGCCGCCACCTTCCCCCATTCCCCCTTGGTCAGTTCTTCTGTCTTTGCTTTCGTCCCCTTTTGATCCCTTAAATCTCTTGATCTACAACCAGTGTTCAGTGAGTTGCTTCGGTGGAATCTCCGCGCCCCTACGTCCCCATGGACATATATGTAGCTGTACCCCGGGGATTTCCGTCACCTTTCACAGGAGAAGGGGTTCGGTCTTTTTCCATCCTTCCTTCACGCAGGCGTGCTCAGAGTTTGAGCGTCGCCTACTCCATTCCCATTCGTCGTAGCACCACCTGCGGCACCGTTTTGCGTCGCGTTTTGGGCACGCTGCTGCTGCTGGCGTTCGAGACGGCTCTGGCTTGCAGGGTCGAAATAGGCTATTGTAGTATATTAGTGTATCCCCGGAGTGGATTACGGAGGGTGCGTATCGAGGGGATTCGGGGATTGGGGGGTGGTAAGGAATAGTGAAAAATATGATCCTCTCTAGCTGACAGGGCTGGCTTTCTTTTGTGTGGACGGATGTGGTGCATAGGTTTGTAGGGGATGGAAAGACGGGGAAATGCGACGGGGAAAGAGAAAGGAGAGTCACGAGCTTACGCTTCTCGCCAAAGACAGTCGTCCGGATCCCCTTCCTGGGACTGTCGTACGTTCCGGGGATGACGCGGTGGGCGGTACATCTATCATTTCATCCCGAGACGCGCGAGTCAGTGATTAGAATCAGGTGTGAGTATATATAGCAGGAGGATGGTACCGCTGGCGGCAATCCCTTTACGGAGGTAGGCTACATACCTGTTATCCCACATGGCCACGCTGCCAACGGCCCATTTCCAGCGCACAGAGTGGTCGTCGGCGGAATGCAGATGGTATTCGAAGAACTCGAGCAGTTTGTCTGTGTAAATTGTAAGCGACATCCAAAGAAAGGGCGAGAAAGAGAGAGCGAGAGAGGGCCGGAAGAAGGAAAGATAAGATACCTGACTCCTTCTTGTTGAGTTCGGCGAAACCGGTCACGAAGCCGACGTTCACGTTGAGCGCTTTCAGGCCCGTGACAGGGTGTGTGCGGACGGCTGGGTGGTGGGTGTCGATGGGCGGGCGGTTTGGACCGACGCCCCAGAGGTCGAGGATCGTGTCGTCTGTTTTGGATAATGTGAGTTGTTGATTCATTTCAACCTATCCAGCCCTAAAAGGCGACGACAACTCGACTTTGGGCAAGGGGGAAACTGACATTGCAGCCTCGAAGTGTGGACGGCGTGCAGCCCGTCGACGAACCTCTGCATGGCTTTGCTCAGGGCGTCGTATGTGCCGTACTGCGAGATCTGTGGTCACCGTGGTAAATGAGAATGGTCACCGTTTTCTCATGGGATATGAAGAATAAGGCCGTTCGACATACCCATGCAGTGTCGCCTCCGACTTTCGGGTGCTCTTCCATCCGCAACAGCGAGTACGATGGAGCTATTACCAACGAATATCAGTCGGACAGGTCCATATGTGCGAATCAGAAAGCTTCGTGGGGGACAAGAAGGAATGGGTGACTCACGGTTGATCTCAAAGGATGTGTCGGCGTGCCAGTCTCCTGAGGGCTGCAAGCCGTCAGTTCCAACCCGACGCATAGGGGACAAGGAAGCAAGATGGCTTTACGCACCCAAGGAGTGTACTTCAACATCTCACGGTGGTCCTCCTGGCTGCCTTTAATCACCAAATGCTAAAATCTCTTTAGCCGATGATATTCGTGGCATGACCACCATGAAGCGGTGCTACCTTTTGATCCTGGTTGAATGCAGTGTCAGCAACGATATTGAGTGTGTCTACAAGTCAGCCACCGGACGTACCTTTTGAGCTGGATGTCGGTCAAGTGTCCCTACGAAAACAGACCTCTCAGTATCATAAACAAACACCCACAAGACCCGCACCGGCCGTCCGTTTGAGGGTATTTATACCGTAATGTTCAAAGAGCTTGTACTGTCCCTCGGTCGTGAGGTCCTGGTCTCGGAAAAACACCACGCCCCTCTCGGTGACCAGCAAGGCGAGTTCGTCGAGCTGCTTCTCGTCCAGCTGCGAGAGTTGCACGTTCTCCAGCAGCGTGCCGATGGATTCGGTCAAGTCCACGCGCCTCGCGACGGAGAAGAGTGCCTTCTTTTCCGGGTCGGCGAACAACGCACGGTCTTTTTGGGGGCTAAACTCCTCGCGAAGAGGCTCTGGTGGTACCCAGTCCTTGATCTTTGCATTGAATCCCGGGTGCAAGGTGATTGGGAAGCCCGAGTCCGGGGAAACGTGTTTGCGGGCTTCGAGGTGTGCCATTGCAGCGGGAGCGGACGCCTGAAAGTATCCGTGTAGAGAACAAGAAAGGGGAGAAACGGTCTTTGAGAAGGAACTCTTGTGAGACAAAGCAGAAAGATAGCACTACCCACCGTCCAAATATACAAGAAGGCGGAATCTCGGTTAGTGATCAGATCCTCACCCAGGCGCACGGCAAGCACCCTTTTTGCAGTTGTAATCGTCCTGAACCCCCTCATTGCGTGACACGACTTGAGCCGATAGTCATCGGGGGCTCAGTCTATGGCACTGATCTCCACGTGAGTGTACACTTCTTCCTGCAGAGGGAGAGGGGATCCCATTGGAGGAAGGCTGATATGGCGCAACCTGGAGAAGCGATCGCGTCAGGCCGAGACGGTGATATGCGATACAACATGTCTTCAGCGGACTGGCCTGGTACCTTCTGTCCAACACGGAGAGAACATCTTGCATCTATCCCCGTTCAGGCATACACATCACAGGAACTCCGGGATGGAATATAGAAGCTGACAAGCAAGAACCTAGTCTGTACCCTCTAGTGACGCGCCGTGCGCAGGAGCCAGTCTGTCAGCCTTCGTCTCAGCTCTGGTCGTATTTGGCGAATCTTCATATGCTGGCGAGAAGAGATCAGGGCTGAGCGCGGATGTGGACATTGCATCTGAAGCTCCAGGCATAGGTTGTCGATATATGAAGAATGGTGGCTGATGAGCTTCACCATGGGATTGCCCCTCGGATATCAAGTCCGACATCATCTCGCTTATCGACGGCGCTATGCCTTGTTTCTCGCGGTTACACATCGATGATGTTGTCGTCGTTACAGTCAACTCTCTCTATCAGGAAATCTGTATATTATCGTCATTGTCCTGTCCAGACCCAGTTGTGCACGCCGTCTTGAAACCCTATCGCTCTTCTTCCTGGAGTTCGTGGTTGTTGGCATTGCCACTGGTCTTGATACGCTCCCCGTGACGTTCGCCGTTGTTATCGACAAGTGAAGTCAAGTGTGAGAGGGAGGTAGCGGCTCAAATGACTCGCTGACCTTGACATCAAGGGAATGCCAGAGTAAGAAAGCTCGTTGTCCGCCATCGGCAGATGGTGTCAAGTAAGCCTCCTGCAACTGCATCATCACTGTCGGCGCAGTTGACGTCAATCAAACCAATACCCGATCTAATATAGACGACACAGTAGGACAACCAACCTGAGTTGAAAATCAGAGGAGCAGCCGCCATGCCATCGCCTATCGCTCGCACAGCGGCCAAGGTGCTCTCTAGCGGCGCTTTCGGGAGAAGAACATTCTCCACGACCAGACCGCTCAACGTGGACTTTACTCATGCTGTACGAGCTTTAGCCAACCATAGTTCCTTAGCAGACACTGATCACGAGTACAGGTCATCGGAGCAGGCGCCGTTGGGCTCGCAATTGCGCGGCAACTAGCGTCGCGGACAGGCACGTCGACGATCCTGATCGAGCGGCACGGCGCCGTGGGGACGGAGACGAGCAGCCGCAACTCGGAGGTGATCCACGCGGGCTTATACTACGGGCCGGACTCGCTCAAGACAAAACTCTGCGTCCGGGGCAGACAGATGCTCTACGAGCTGTGCGAGGCGCGAGGGATCCCGCACCGACGCACCAAGAAGTGGATCATCGCGCAGGACGCGGTGCAGATGGCCGAGCTCGAGGCCCTGCACGACTTCACCCGCTCCATCGACGGGGTGCCCACGCATTTCCTGTCGCGCAGGGACATCGAGACCCGCGAACCGGACGTGCGCGCCGAGGCCGGCGTGCTCGAGTCGCCCACCACGGGCATCATCGACTCGCACGCCTTCATGGCGTACCTGGAGGGATCGTTTGACGAGCGCGGCGGAGAGGAAGTGCTGCACACGATCGTGGAGAAGATCGAGCCTTTATTACCTTCCTCTTCCTCCTCATCCAGAAATGGCGAACAAACCCCCGTGGGATACGCCATCACGACACGCTCCCGCGACGGCACCGGCGGCGAAGACACCATCACGGCCGAAACGGTCATCAACTCAGCCGGTCTCGCCGCCATCGACGTGTCCAACCTGCTCCTGCCACCGGAGCGACACCGCAAGCCTTACTACGCCAAGGGCTCCTATTTCTCCTACTCCGCACCACACCCGAAACCCACGACACTCCTGTACCCAGCGCCCATTCCCGGCCTGGGCGGACTAGGCACGCACCTGACGCTGGACATTTCCGGCCGGATCCGCTTCGGCCCGGACGTGGAATGGGTCGACTCGCCGCACGACCTCTCGCCCAACCCGGCCCGGCTGTCCGCGGCCATCGACGTGATCAGAACCTATCTGCCCTCCATCGACGCCTCGGCCATCGACCTCGACTACTGCGGCATCCGGCCCAAGCTGGGCCCCGGGACCAGCAGCACCTACGGCAAGGACGGCAAGGGCTTTGTGGATTTCTACATCACCGAGGAACAAGGCTTTCCCGGCTTCGTCAACCTCTTGGGCATCGAGTCGCCCGGCTTGACCAGCGCCTTGGCCATTGCCGAGTACGTCGAGGGCATCCTGTACGGTGAGAAAGCGAGCGTGTGATCACCGATTCACTTGGGGGGATGTGTTAATGTGCCGAAAGCACACAGAAAAACGGTGGTAAGGTGGATGGGCCCCGAAAGATGGATCCGTCCCAGGGATATTATGTATATCTATACAAGTATAGATATCCGTGCAAAGTAGACACTCGAAAGACACATGGCAACCGAATGCATACACGCATGCTCGAGTGGCCGACTGGCAGTACTGCTCTGTAACCTCAGTTGAGGATGTTGTTCTCTGGTCTCCTTGGTCCCTTGGTGTCGATGCACATAGCATACCATACCTATACGAGGTATACATGTGGGATACTTGTGTCTGTTGTATTACATGTCAGATTTCATCAAAGCGAAAGGGTCAAAGATCTTGATAGACTCCGTCCGTCCATCAGTATTTGCAGGGTTCGTCTTCGACTGCTATTGAGAACGCAGGCTATCCAAGCTCGCTCGCGTCCCCGGATACCTATGTACAGCCACTCATACTTTCTCTTACATCTAAGACCACCCACCTCTTTAGGCGCATCAACAACCCCTATTCCAAACTGCCGTCCCTCGACAGTTGCAGCCAAGGAGCAGTTCAACACCCCGAAAGAACGCTGCAATGAGGCTCTAGTTCTGCTGCTTGCCGTGGACACTTTACCGGCTGTATATGTACAGTATTGCCGACGCACCTGCCTGAGCAGCAAAGTCTATCGCTGAAACGCAAAACAATCACAACCCAGTACTTTATGCCCGCTCGGTGAAGAGCAGCTTGCAATGATCCTGCCGTCAACGTCAGCAATTTGAACATTTCAATAACGGCGTTGGACTTACTTGAGGGAAAATGGTCGCAAAAACCTCAATGTCCTCACTGATGGGCGTGGGTTCGTGCACCCAATCCAACAAGATGCTGGCTTTTCCAATCATGGCCATCAGGTTCAGCTGAGCGTACGTTTGCCCCAGGCAGTAATGAGGCCCGGTGCCAAAGACCAGCCAGTTCTTGACCTGCTTGTCGGCATCCCCGGTAATCCATCGCTCGGGCTCGAAGCTGTCTGGGTTGGGATATGCTTCGGGGTCGTGGGTGGCTGGCCAGATTGAGGGAATGATCATGGAGCCTTTCTTTAGAGTGTAGTCTTCGGTGACGGGGAAATCCTTCTTAGCAACATAAGGCACCAGAATGACTGGAGGACGATATCGCAACGTCTCTTTGACCACGGCTCTTGTCCAAACCATCGATTCCAGCATATCCATGTCGAACGGCTTGTTGCGGTCGCCGCCTCGGAGCTGGAGATTCTCCTCTCTGACCTTGTCCAGGATCTCTGGTCGATCAGCCATAATCTGGAACAGCCAAGTGCAAGCGCTCGAGGTGGCGTCTTGCGATGCGAAAAGGAAGGTGAAGACGGTCATGGAAATCTCGAAATCGGTGAATTCCCGAAGTAATTGAGGTGGCTTCTCCGAGTCGTCCACTTTCTCGCCCCGTTCGATGCGCTCTCGGTACCTGGTGGAATCCTGTATCTGCTTGACCCATGCATCTAGAATACATGTGATGTGGCCGCCGGCCGCCATGCGCACTTTGGCTTTGGCCGCACACTTTGCGAATTCGTCCAGCACCATGTCCGCCGCTTTCTTCCCATACCAGGTTTTGGTGAAGGGAATAATGATGGGGAAGTTGACGAGCTCCAAGGCAGCGGTGATCAAGTAGTAGTCGTGGGCGATCTTCTTGACCACTTTATCGCTCATATAGTGTCCAACAAAGGTTCTGCACGACACGGCGCACATGAGTTCTCGGAAGACGGGCATCCAGGGCTTAGCTTTCATGTTGTTTTCCTTGGACATTTCAAGGAAGTTCTTGAAATACTTGCTGTAGACCTCCTCTTGACCGGGCAAATACATCTCCAACGCTTGACGCGTGAACAGCCCATTCAATCCCTTGCGATACTCGACGTGGGCTTTTCCGTCCAAGAAGACCCAGTTGGTGGGACGAAGGAGTTTCGGGGCGACATCAACGACGGTGGGTTTGACGAAGCCCGGCGAGTTGAAAACTTTGCGCGACATATCTCGGGTGCCCGTAATGACCACGAATCTGGCAAGATAGTGGTTAGCACCTGGGCCCAGTCCCGTGAAGGGTGAATCCTGCATACTTGTGGAAAACCGACACGCAGCTCAACTCTGCGCTCTCCCATTTCTCCTTGTACCTCTTAAAGTCGGGCCGCATGGATTCGAGAAAGGGGCCCATGAAGGGCATTTTCCAGGCCGGGCCGACAATGCCATGCTTCCGCCATTGATAGCTACCTGTACAAATGGTCAATCCTCGCGCAAAACTGATTTCGTCGTAGCCAAGCGACTCACATTGATCGTAGGTAACCAATAGTAGGAGAATGGTCAAAAGCACAGTCCAAACATTAAGCTGCGCCAACACTCTTCCCACGACGCCCGAGGCATTGGCGGCCTGAAGCTTGAGGTCTGCATTGGCGAGAGGAGAGGTAAAGCTTGTGGCATTCGCGAGGGCGTCCATGGCGTATTGGTTGGGTGCTTGAGGGGGAGCCGCGGCAAATGGGTGCGTCGAAGGCCGATCGAATGGGGGCACTGTGCCTTGCAGCAGGGCAGCAGCGTATGACGAGGGCGACGATGTCAACTACTCGTCTCAATCCTCCTCTTGAAAGGGCTGTAGACGTCGTGTCAAAGTCGGACCACGACGATAACCGCAGTCAAAGATGGGGGTTTTGTCTGCAGGCGTTTTTCAATCGGAAATTCTGGGCCTTGGGGACTTGGGGACTTGGGACTTGGGCTTCTCACCGCCCGAATTTGCTCTAGTCGGCCAATGGCTCTTTCCGTTATTCTTATTGGGCGCGGACCCGTTGCACGATTCAATCTGCCCTCAATCTGCTCATCGGTTCACGGCCTCCCGGATGGCAACACTGCCCAGCACCCACCTAGTACTGTAGTACCTCGTACCTACTCGGTACTCTCGCTATGTACCCAGGTACCTAGCTTCCCGCCTATCAGCCAATCATTCTCGGGTCAAGCGGCTCCCGTGGAATGATACGCAGTACCGTATTTTATCGCCATGATCCGTAAACCAAGCTTGAGAGATATTACTCTATTCAACCACTAATACATACCTAGGTAGCCACAGCATGATCGTGGAGCGTCAGGACCAATAACAAAAGACTTGATCAAAAGAGAGAGCAGACACAAACACTCTAGCACGGTTCAGCTGTAATATCAAGTCCAAGACTCCGCCAGTGGCCATGCCCTCACTCATACTAACATGTCCAGCCCAAAATGCAAGTCCCATCATGCTTTTCTTCAGACCTCCAAACGCCCTTCTTGCACTTTGTCATATACTGTCATCTCATGCTCCGTCGTCTAAGGAATATCGAATGTTGGTTTGAGCTTCTTCAGCAGCGCCCATTCATCCTTCGTCACCTCATCTCGATAGAACTCCTTCAGTGTGTCGATTGACTTGCGAGAAATCAGAGAGTATAGAGTATCCTTGTCTTCCAGCTGTCGTCCATACATGGGCTGATTGGGTCCTTCAATCTTCACTGCCACGGACGGCTGCCCCTTTTTGCAGATGGGAATGGTCTTGTGTTCGCGCTCAATCGATGACCTGTGTCAATGTCAGTCCTCTGTTCCTGTATCTCGCCGCGGGAAACCTTTGTTCACTTACACTCTGCCCAAGGTAATGATTTCCTTGACGCCTGTGACCGGGTTTGTCTTTACTACCGCAATTGGCGTCAATGGCCGCAAGCTGCCCTCAACAACGTCCACGCCCACCACGATCGGATCCTTCTTGTTGAAGACCTGGATAGGGCTAAGCACACACGGGAAGACAGCATGCATCTTGCTCTCTTCCTTTTTCTTTTCTCGCAATTCCTCCATGTGCTTTGTGAAGGCGTCGAATAAGTGATAGATGATATCGGCGGTAAAGATCTTGATGCCGTTTTCGTCCGCGTACTGCTGTGCCTCCTTGTCGACTTTGACGTCGAAGCAAAGCATCACCGCATATTCCTTCGCCTTCTCCAGCATGGTGCCCGCCATCATGACGTCTCGCTTGTACACCGGCCCAATGGCGATGTTGGCAACAGGGATCTTGCTCTGCTTGAGGAATTCTAACAACGCCTCCAAAGACCCCAGAGTAGAAGCTTGGACGCTGACACCCCGGTTGTCTTTGGATATCTTGCTGAGGAGGCTTGCCAGATCCGCCATCACGTCGTCCATCAAGTCCTCCTCGTCGTCCTCAGGTCCGACAACGAGCAACCGCGAACCCGCAATGGCCTTTTCCAGATCATTTGCCGCGATCTTGACACCCAGAGCCGCTTTGCATTCTTTGTTGTGCACATATTGAGACTTGAGGCGCAGCTCCTTGAGCGGAGCAGGGGTGAGGAGCGCCCTGATATTGGTGGCAATCGGCCCGTCGGTGCCACACAGCACAATCCGATCCCCTTCGTGAAGCACTCCGTTCGACAATACCACGTCAATCGTGGTACCGAGACCCTCAATCACTTTGACTTCAAGGACCGTACATTCCACCTCGGACAAATACATCAGGCTGGACGTCATCCGTTCCTGGGTCAACGACACCAGGAGCTTGAGCAGATCCGGAATGCCTTCGCCTGTATGCGCCGAAGTGGGCACTAGTGACACATACCGCCGCATGTCCTTGTTTTCGTAGAAGACCTCGGAGTTGAATCCCTCCTTTGCAAAGGCGAGCTTGGTCTCGGCAAGTCGACTCTCAAACTCGGCAACCACCCCCTTGGACTGGAAAGCGAGACTGTCCTGGAAGCCATTGTTGTCGATTTTCTTCCAGCCATACAGACGGTCAATCTTGTTGAGAGCCACAATAAACGGTGTCTTGCGGTCACGAAGCAATTTCATAGACTCCAGCGTCTGGGGCTCCAAGCCGTGCATAATATCGACCACCAAGATGGCGATGTTGCAGAGCGACGACCCGCGGGAACGAAGGTTGGAGAAAGATTCGTGACCAGGAGTATCAATGACCAACAGTCCAGGCACTTTGAACTCAAATTTGCCATCTTTGTTGACAACAGCTGTCTTCTGTTTCAGAGCGTCCACGGGGAAGTAGGTCGCACCGATCTGCTGAGTGATACCACCTGCTTCGCCTTCCTGCACGTTGGTCTGTCGAATTTTATCCAAAAGCTTCGTTTTACCAGTATCGACGTGACCCAGAATACAACAGATAGGTGAGCGAAGGTTGTCTTTAGACCGAGCAGCAAGGGCTTCTTCGTGAGCTTTTGCTCTCCTGGCAGCTGCTTCTGCTTTCTTCTTTGCCAGCGCTCGCTGGGTTGCAGTGCCTTCCTCTTCGGAGGATGACTCCTCTTCTGATTCCGTATCGGATTCGATGGGCCTCTCCTTTGGCGGGGGCCCTGAATCTCGCATCGCCAGGCTCGATGTAGTAGTCGATTTGGTCACCGACCCATTGGCGCCAGTCGTGGCGGGGGTCTTTGAAGCGCTTCCGTTCGCAGCTGCCTTGGCCTCGCCGTCGGCTTTTTCTTCGTCACTTGACTCGGCATCCCAACTGTCCTTAATCTCTTCATCAGCAGCCTTCTCCCAATCGTCGAGATCCGAAGACTCTTCCTGCTTCGCAGCCTCTGCTTCTGCTGCAGCGGCCGCTGCCGCCGCTTCTTCGGCTTCCTTGGCCAGACGTTGGCGTTCTGCTTCGGCTGCTTCGGCCTCTTGTCTCGCTCGTTCAGCAGCAGCCTCGAGGTCAATTTCTTCCTTCTTTGGACCTTTCCGCTTCTTGTCGACTGCAGGTTTCTTCTTTTCTTCGACACCTTCGGTCAAACCTGCAACCTTGACACCAGAATCAAGCAGTTGCTTGAGGCGAAGATCTTGTTGCTGCTTCCTCTTCTTGTCGGCCTCCGAGAGGAGCTTGCCTTCTTTCTTCAATTGCTCTTTCTTCTCCTTCTCCTTTTCCTTCTTTCGTTGTCTTGCCTCGGCTTTCTTTTTCTCTTCTTCGGCTTCCTGGCGTAGACGCTCTTCTTCAGCGGCCTTTTCCGCGGCTGCTATTCTGGCCTCCTCTTCTCTTTGTCTAGCAAGAGCCTCTTGCTGCTTTTGGATAGCAGCGAGGTGTGCGGGAATCTTCTTTTTCTTCCCGGACTTGTCGTCTTTCTCTGGTGCGGCGACGGGTGCTTCGACTTTTTCGGGCACAGCGGGCTTAGCTTCCTCGACCTTGGGACCTGGTGCTGGGGCGACAGTCTTTTTCTTTGCAGCCTATTTACTGTTAGCCTTGCAGCAACCTGGGTAGATACGCCTTCGTTACCTGTTCTTTCTTTCTCTGTTTCTCGCGTTCCTTCTTCTCTCGCTCTTTCTCCTTCTTAGACTTCACTCCACCACCCTCGCCAGCGTCTTCGCCATCATCCACGGGAGCAGGCGACTCGGTCCTTTCTTGTTGCTTCTTGCCTCCCTTGGTCTTCTTGTGCGCATTGCCTGCAAAGACGTCGTCATCCTCCTCAAAGGTTGCTTCAGTGGGTGCTTTGGCAGCCAGGTCATTCTCAGGCTCGGGCGGGGCAACACCATCTGCATCTTCGCCTTCAACGAAATCATTGACGGGTTTGCCTTTCTTTGCACGCCTGTCTTTGTTCTTGCGCAAAGCTGCCATCAAACCACCACCACCGGCACCACCGTTCATTTCTTCTTCCGCTTCATTCTCTGCCTCTGCCTGCTTTGCATCTTCGGTAGCCTGGGCTATGGGATCGACGGTTTCACCCAGCTCGTTCTCCCAATCGTCAACCTGCTTCTTGCCGCCCTTCTTCTTAGGCGCCATTGCAATGGTGGTTGTGTTGGGGGATGGTTCTCAAGGATATGAAGCGTTCACGATTTAGAGGCGGCGACATAAAGTCGTGTGCAGGTTTTGTCGAGGTTTGCGGGGAGGCTCTGGAGCAAACGGTGGCGTGGAAGCGGGTGGTGGCTGTTGGCCAGAGGGCTCGGATCTTTTAGGTTCTTTGCCACACTATTCAAGCACGTACGGTAAGTGGGAACCGGACTTAAGTGGTTGTGAACACTGGTCGCAATGGTAACAATGGTGAGAAATGGGTGGTGGGGTAGTGAGAGGAAAATATAGTGACGTTCAGTAGTAGAGAAACAGTGCGGGCGGAGTTACGGCATCGCCGCCTGGCTTGGCACTCTCCGGGACGAGGCAGCCTTGTCATAACCGTTGCTTGTGAGGAGTTACAGAGATGACCCAGGACTACAACTGAAGCTAAAGGCTGTTCACGCTGAGATTTGCGTAAGATTGTCTGGGCATTGAGGTGGATTGAAACTGTCGTCACTCATTGTCCAATAAGCAAAACATACGAGGTACTCGGTACATCCCTACAGCTTGGATACAAGACACCTGACAACGTGGTAACGCAAGAGTCCGTTATCCCTTCCTTTCTCATAGAATTCATCCCTCAAGTTCGCGGTGGGTATGTCATCAACTTCCTGATCCAAGCAACCACAGCCTCCACAGGCTCCTCCGTCTCCCCCAAGGTCTCCTCTACCAAAGCATTGAAACTGTCCAGCCTGTCCGACCCTTTCAGAACATTTCGAAGGTTGTATGGGCCTTGCTCGATCATCGCGAGCAGTCGATCTCCCTGGACGTGCATGTCCTTGGGCCTGAAAGTCGAAGGTTTCCAAAGGTATGGCTCGCCTTGCGCGTTTCTCTTCATGATCGGCACCGCCTTGATCGGTTTCTTGACCATGTGGCTCATTTCTTCGACGAAGTGAAGTAATTTCCACTCGTGTTGCTTCAGGAGCGAAAAATGGAGAACCGTGCCGTCGAGGGTGTAGCCGTAGAAGCGAGTTCGATCAGTCTTTCGATGGCCCTGGGACGTATCGAGTCGGAAGCGGTGGATATGACCCGGAACCGTCGCATGAAATGCAGGGGCTGCTTCTTTGCTTTCCTTGTTCAACCCCGAGAACCCAATGATGTCCGTACCTCCTACATCGGCAGAGGCAAAGACGGCAGTGGACCCATCCAAGACGACAATATCTTTGGCATATCTCATTTTGGTGTCGCAGTTATGGTGGCGCAATGTGTTATTCTCCTCCACGAGCACAAATATCGAGTGTTGCTGTGTGGCTACACAGATGAGGGAGCCTTGGCAAGATATAGCATTTGCATATGACGGGAGACCGCACTTCGCCAACGTCTTCCATCTGCGCGTTGACCAATCCAGATGATGTAAGACGATTTCTTTTCCGGCAGCAATCAAGAGAGATGACATCTTGTATGCACATATGGCCGTAATAGGATCCTTGCTGCTAAAGGCAAGCTTTGGAGTGGCATCAGGTTTGCCTTTACCCAAGCTTTTCGCATTGACACAGACAACTCGGCCGGATCCTCGCGTACCCGGTGTAGGGCTCGATTGCTCCAACGCGATCACCAGCCATTCATAGTGATTCCGTCCGTCTGTCGGGGCCCAGTCAATGAGATCGTGGATAACGTCGCTGTCATCTCCAGTCACGATGGTTGAAAAGATAGCGCTCGCGGAATCCTTCGGTTTAGGATATTGCAAGTTAGGAGTGATGAGCTGTAGCCCAGCCCTCTGTATCTTATTTGACGGTTGCTGGATAATGGCCTTCTCACCCTCAGGCAGAGGAACGCCGGTGTGCTTTCTGAGTCGAATATCGGTAGGATCGCCTTCTTGGGAGAACGCAACAACAAACTTCTGGAGAAATTGTGAGTAAATTATTCGCCTGGGGATCCCCTTCAGATTCAGGTGCCTTGATATTCCGTGTTCCTGGGCGATCACGGAACAGAAGAGCAAGTCCTCCGCGACAGCACAAATTAGGAAACCTCCAGGCTGTTCGTCTCCTGACATAAGCTTTGGGATCCGATGGACTGCATTGATCAATGGCTGAACTGAGGGCTGATCATATATTAGCATAGCACAAAGCATGGACAGAGCTAGACGTACTTTAGTTCGATCTGTCACCCACAGAGGAGACATTGTGTAATCAACAACGGCAGAATTGGGATGGAGTGTGATCCGATGAAGCGTGTATTCGCAAAGCACCAGGGCAGATGGGTTCTGGAGACTCCCAGGTTGACTCTTCTCTTCGACAATCTGTACAGGGGTTGCTCCAACGCGGTAGACGTCATCACATCTCAAGGCTATTAAGTCGTTAGGACTGAGGACATATGTCGAATACATGAATCTCATACCTGTTTTCGAGACATCTTCACAGTTCACCCTGAGTTCCAAGCACAGGACAGTGCCCAAACGAAGCCCACACAAAAGCAGGATGGGGTCGGCCGTCTTGTGACTTAGCGCGACTAGGGAAGACACTGCAGCATTGTCGACCATCACACCGAGATCTCGGACTCGAAATTCGAAAGCGAGCTCCAAGGTGTCAGTGTATCCCAAGATCTCTCCAGTTGATGTACCAATTAGAACCAGCTGCTTGCTCTGTACTTGGACGCAGCAAATCACATTGGGAATGTGTCTCAGTGTCACCGGCGGACTGAGTGTAAAACGAATCTCTCTGTCCTCTGAAGTCCCGATGTCAATCACACACAGCTCATGGCCAGAACTGACGCGGTTGGTGATGGCAATGGCTTGGTCACCTGCGAAAAAGCCCGCATGTACGATGCGTGACCTGAGGTGGCTCAATTCTCGAACTTCGCCGTCAGTATCCATGAGTATGGCATGGACACCATGGGTAGTCACTTGTACAACGGTGTCTCGATTTAGCACCGTAGCAGCAAGCGAGGGATGGTCGAAGTCAAAGCCGGGGTGGCTCTCTGAATCAGAGAGTGAGATCTCCTGAGTTTCTAATTCGAACACGACCATTGACGAGTTTGTTGTATGAGAGGCCAGCAGCAGCAGTTCCTTTGTAGCCGGTATCTCCAAGCTGAACAGCCGCTCAACCAAAGCAGCCTCTGGAAATGACATCTCCCACCCAATTTGAGCTTCCAGACCGTAACGAATTTCTGACACTTGACCATGTCCATCACAAGCGCCCGAACAGGCATAGAGCCTACCTGGCGTGCCTTGCCACACAGAAAGGTCTTGAGAGTCAACCACTATCGGGGGTCCAAGGGCGATATCATTCAGTGGAGCGAGTGATTCGATGCGCTGAACGCGTTCCGGCGAGCCTCGGGCCGATACATGGAAGACTCCTCCGTCAGTCAATGTACCACCCACGATGATGATATCACCGCCTTTTCTCGGGGGTCCAGAAAGCATGCAGAATGCCGTGTCGACGCTGAAACCGAGATGACCAATGGTGTTGTTGGTGCTGAACTTGGTGCTGGACGCTTTGTCGATTAAAAAGTTCTTCAGGAGTCCATCTTCTCGCAGGAGGACAATATCATCACAACGCTCGAGGTACTTGTTGTGGCGTCTAGGTCTGACCCATTGTACCCACTGCAAATTTGTGTTTATGTTGTCCATGCATCGGCAGTAAACTCGCTTCATTTGAGAAGATTGCACGTTCTCGTAGTAACTGATGCCCGCTGCCATGACGACAATGTATGAAAAAGGCCGTGTCGACGGAATTAGCATCAAGGGCAACTGATTTTCTGTCAACTTGCGCCCACTACATGTCATTGGCTGGATTGTCTGGAGTGGTTGGCGAGTGTCCCATCTATAGAGGTATTGATACGTTCCCTGCTCCGCTTCTTCGGAGTAAACCAGCAGAAGCAGGATGACCTTATTGGGATCGCCCTCGGGGCTGTGTAGAAAGGTCATCATCAAAATCTTGCCTGCCACTTGGATAAAACGTTGCTGTGGTGGTTAGTCCTGGCACACATCGATCAGGCTAGTCACACATACCGCTTCTGAGGGACGGAAGGAGGCGGGTTCGAGGGGATCCCAGGTGTCAATGGCCGACCTGATCTTATCCACATAATGTAGTTTGAAGACTCCAAAGTAGCCCGAGGGCGAAGCAACTGCAAGGGCACGGGATCTGAGCCATCAGTCAGCAGCCAATGCATGGAAATAGAGGTTTGTAGTCATGCATACTTGGGATCAACAGCGATATCTCGACACTCTCTTGAGGGCAGGTCCACCCCTCCCAAGAACGGCCTTCTTGCAAAGATGAGTTTGACGTCTCCAACGGCGTCCTTTTTTGCATAGACGTAGATCAGATCATTGTCTTTTGTGATGAGGACGAGGATCTGTGGCGGCTCGGAATCATTGACAAGTTGACCGCGAATGCTAAACTGCTCTTGATCCCGCTCTTGTTTCAATATGGCATCGACAATTGGAACAGACTTCAACTCTGCTGAGATGATTTTGGCATCGGTGATTGTTGTGCCAAAGTCGAGCTTTGCGGTCACAACAGCCAGCTGTCCACTGTCTGTGAATTCGTGAAGCTGGACGAAGGTCCGTCCAACAAAGACAACGTCGTTGTTGGCAGGCGAACGAATGCGGGCAGGGAGAATCCATCTGATGTTGGAGCTTGAGCTGAGGGTCCTCGAAAGAATGCCGACCCGGTCTTCAACGGCCACTAGGTGGTGATCAAGCAGGTCGGTCAAGACCCTCTCCCGAGGAGGAGTTCCAAAGCCCATCGTTGACCACGTACGATGACGGATGGGAATAGGAAGACAGAAGGAAGCAGGCTGCAGAGGGAATAGAATAGGAGGATGATTGTGATGATATGAAAAGACAGGTCTTCGATTGGGTCAATTGAAAGAAAAGGCTGAAGAAGCCAGGCGAGGGGGAACGAGAGCGGCAGAGCTGGGGTTGATATACCCCGTAATGTATGTGTCTCTGTGTGTAAATCGCCCCCGCGCCCGCGCCCTGGCTTGACTTGGATCTGGTATGGTGCTTGTCTCTTTCCCTCTCCCTCTCTCACACAAGGCTAGTATTGTCCAGAAAGAGACATGTTCCGCGACCAGAGAAATGAAGCGGTCAGAATACGGGGTTGATGGTCCAATCTGGCCTCACGCCCGACTGGATCGCCATCTGTTCATCCAACATGGGGGTCGGCACAAGATGCATCCAAACAGTTCGGCTGGATGCGAAATCAACCTGTCATTCGAGAGCTTGAGGACGATGGTCGGCGAGCACAAGCAAATGCAGGGATTGGAAATGCACGAAATGACAGCAGGTTCTGCAGATGAGGAGCCAAAGTGGTCGCTGATTTTCGCTTGTGCCCTCCTTTGCCTCCCCACCTCCACACTCACTCACTTCTTCGTACTCGGTACACCTTCACCTTCACCCTGCGCAAGTGCCTGGGATTCCCCTTCACCTCTTCGTCTACGCATTCATCAACCACCGCCCATCATTTGCCTGAGCACGGCTGAAGACACCTAGTGACCCCGACACCAATTACTTCCTATCCATGACGCGATGAGAACTAGCAGAGGCTGGCTGGGTCTGGGTGTGGACAAAGTTGACATCTGACGGGGGTCAAACCGGCCGCTTTGTGCGACCTGTCACATTATCAACCACCACCCGCGTCAAATTCCATCCCCATGCACGTCTTGACGGCCTGGAGGTGACACGGCCATTGTCTTCTTTTGTCTTGTTTGAATCCTGACCCAAAGAGCGGCGTGCACTTGCCCGTCCGTCGCTTAAACCCACGGTTCGCAACACACGCAGATGGCGATCGTCCGATCAAGCTAAACAAGGCACAATGCATCACGGCACCGACACCGTGGGTGCAGCTGTCAATCAGAAGCAACTGACAGCTTCCATGGCTTCTGCTGAAAAGCCCCCTCTCACCGACCCGGAAGGCCCAGCAAAGCCCGAGTCCATCCAGGAAGCCTGTCGACAAAGGGATTTCGCCGCTCTCGTCAAGCTTGCAACTTCGACTGGCGGTCTTTTGACCGACGAATTACGCCGGCAAGCTTGTATGTGCCCCCTGGTCCACCAATGGTACAATACACTCCGTGGCACTCTGAACTGACGCATGAACTTGGAAGGGCCAATTCTATTGGGTTGCACACCTGAAGGCACAACACAGGTCCAGCTAGAGCACTCAAATCAGCTCCAGTGGAGATCGCTGCCCCGGCACCCGGACGAGGACCAAGTACAACTCGATGTCGATCGTGCCTTTGTATACTACCCTAAAGGTTTGCGCCACCTCCCTACGACAACTCAGTGACACTGGGCTGAATGCAGCTAGATGAATCCGAACAATCCCTCGAGCAAAAGAAGGCAGAGCTCTTCGAGTTGATTGTCTCGACTTTGAGGAGCTATCCGATCCTCTCTTATTTCCAGAGCTACCACGATGTCGTACAAGTACTCCTTCTTGTGCTGGGAAAACATCAGGCCATGCCTGCCGTTCCACGAATCTCTTTGCTCCGTCTTCGCGACTACATGCTGCCAACAATCACCCCTGCCACGAGACATTTCGAGCTTGTATCGGCTATCGTGATGGCCGCTGACCCCGAACTGGCTAATCACATTGCCCAGGCCGAGAATATTTTTGCCTTGTCGGCGACCCATTCCCTGTTTGCACACGATATCTATGACTATGGCGACATTGCCAGGCTGTACGATTTCTTGCTTGCGCACGAGCCAATCATGAGCATCTATTTGTTTGCGGCGGTTACAATCTCGAGGCGATCAGAGTTGCTCGAGATGCCCGCCGACCAGTCCGACATCCTCACCTTTGTAATATCCAAGCTACCCCAGACTTTCGACATTGATGCACGGATCGAGGACGCCGTGACTTTGTTTCGCCATCATCCGCCTCACAGACTACCTGGCTTCATCTGGTGGCGCCTGTCCCGTTACAGTGTCCTCAAAACATCACGCTGCATCAACCATCCGCAGAGCCTAGAAGAGGCCAAGCTCCTTTGCCAGAAGCAGATCCAGCAGCTCCACAGCCATGAGCTGATGCGAAAGAGAGCACTGTTACTTTATAAATACAGGAAATCTGCCGCATCGATGACCGCCGTAATCTTGGTGGGAGTCTTCTCGATCTGGTTGCGAAAAACGGGCCACGACAGGATCTTGTGGTCCATAATGTCAACCGCATCTACGTTCTTTCCAACTCTTCGATAGACTGTCCTACCGGATCGACAAGCGGGAAGAAGGCATGGATTTGATCTTACACTGACTAGTTCGGATGCGCGCCCGAAATCTAGGAGCCTTCATAAACAAGGGGACAAATCTGCTTTGTGGCACTTTTCTATCGTTGACGACGTCAAATGTTTGGAACCAAAAGACGACCATGCTTCGCGCAAGCTGCAGCCAACTCCACCCTTCACCCTTGCTGCATCACCATCGCACAACCCCACCTGAGCGATTCTTGCCGCGGTTCAACCCTTCTATTTCCAATTCTTGCAATGTGGACTGCCTGCAGATGCGAACTGGCGCCGAGGTCAGCAAAGGCGTCGTCGTTGGTGTGATAAGGGCATACCTTTTGCAAAACTTCGCTCCCTGTTCGTCATGCAATAACAACCGAAAGCCATCCGAACCGATATTGGCGATGCTCCTGGTCGTTGCTGGGTGGCTGCCGGTAATCGTACTGCACACCTGCACCCGACCCGAAGTCAAATGACCGAAGAATGATGAGCTTTGAGTATGATATGCAGTTGGATAGATCTGACTTTCTACAACGAGTGAGATTGCTCTGCAAAGCTCTTCGATAGAGTGCACATATGCTCAGAGGATTACGCATTGCTATTTGTCCTTGGAGGAGGTATGTTCACAGAAGCAGCACAGAAGCAGCATCCTCCAGGAATAAAAATATAGAAGATAAATCAGAAGCATCTTTATATGTGGCTTATGGGATTTAAGGTCCGTAATATCGGGGCAGACAGGGGTGCCTTGCCTGAGGGGGTGTGCTTTGAGTATTTTGTAATGACAGAGTTTTCGCAGCCAAATCTGGCGGCATAATCCGGTCATTACAAGTACCCTTTTATTGAACGTCCACGTCTCCAATATCACTAGAATTCGGACTGGCAACGTGTTTGACACTTCGACCTCGTTCAGCACCAGGCCACGTTCTCAAGCACTTAATCTCCCGCCGCTCAAGATGGCCAACAGAGGCTACGATGTCGTTGTCGACGTCGACACAGAAGTATGGCTCTCCACCTTTCGTCCCTCCACGCACCCACGGAATAGATTGAAGCCTGCAGGAAGACTAACATGTTGGACAAACAGGGCGACCTAGGCCACACCGACCTCCAAGACGACGATCTAGAATTCCACCCCTCGAGTACGTCTGATTTGCGAAAGATTACTCCTCCGGACTATGTACTAAAAATGCGCTCTTGTAGACTTCGAATCGGGTTCAGGCTCGAACCGCAAGATCCAGCCGGACACGACTCCCTTCCTCTCGAGCTCGACCAACCCAGCAAGCCTACCTAATGACCCCTCATCCACTTCGCAGAAACACATGTTATGGAGTCTGTCCTTCTACGCGCAATTCTTCGACGTCGACACCTCGACGGTCCTGCACCGGTGCCGCTCCGCCATCTTGCCTTTTCTCCCCAACACGCCCCCCTTTCTCGACATCATGGACGGGAACCCGGACCTCTACGGGCCCTTTTGGATCGCGACCACCGTCGTGGTGATTCTGTTCCTCACGGGCACAATATCCCACAAGCTGGCGACCGAGGGGAAGAAACATTTCGAGTATGACTTCAAATTGCTCAGCGGCGCCGCGGGGCTGGTGTATGGATACACTCTCTTCATCCCCCTGGGTCTGTGGGGAGCGCTGCGCTGGTTCGGCGCACAGTCTCTCGAGCTGGTGGAATGCTGGGCGCTGTATGGGTACAGCAACCTGTTCTGGATCGCCGTGGCTTTGGTCTCGTGGTCCCCGCTCAATGGACTCAACTACGCCCTTGTGGGGTTGGGGTATGCGGTCAGTGTCTTCTTCTTGGTGAAGAACCTGTACCCCGTGATCAGCGCGACCGAGAAGAAGATCAGCCAGGTTTTGCTGTTGGCGGTGGTCTTGCTCCATGCGGGACTGGCGATTGCCATCAAGATTTTGTTCTTCAGCCACAAGAGTCCGGCAAAGGATGAATGAGACTTAAGATGTTTGTTCTAGCGGGGCTTTTTTCCTCTCCCCCCATGCATGGCATTGGGAGGCGGCTATCGATCGATGACTGGAGGGCGTGCTAAGCGGACTACCTGGGACAACATGGGGTCATAATGGGACATGTATCAACAATGCGAGGATACAGGAAATGGGGGAAAGAGTTCCTCCTCTGCTTGCGGGGTGGCTCAATCAATAATGATATGATAAAACTGTCCCATCCAAGGATATGGATTCGATGCGAGGATTGCGCTGGACTCTCCACACTACTATCTGATAAGCCGTATTGGATGGGGCACGGGTGCTAAACTCTTAGAGCGTGCGACGTTCAGAACGTGCATTGAAAATAGTTGCATTTGACAATCTAGCCTGTCCAGCTCGTGGCAGCCTTTTTCCGGCGCTCACGAAACCGCTTCTGCATTTTCCTCACCACGCATCATCACCTCCTCCGAAAGGCACAGCGGCACAGACAGACTTCTTGCGATGTTTGTTTCCCCGCGGATGCTTGTACCCTTTCACCACAACCCTTGCGCAATAGCCTCCAGTCCAGTCGGTGTACGCGCGAAACCGGAACCGCCGCCGCCGCCACCCAACAAAAATACACGGAGCGTGCGCAGAACCACTACTTGATCTTCTTCTTCGGTCGGAGCTGGTTCGAGTGCCCGCACTTCTTCTTGCGGCAGTTGGTGGCTCGGGGCGGGAGACGGGCGTAGCACTTTCGGCAGATCATCTTCTCGCAGTTGTATTTGGAGGCGAGGGCCTTGAGGGAGGGTTCGATGATGCCGCCTCGGAGACGGAGGACGAGGTGAAGCGTGGATTCCTACAAAAACACACAGAAATCCGCGGGTTAGTGGGAGCTGCAAAGCCGGGGAGGAAAGGTCTTTTGTGTCGGATTCATTCCTGGGGCCGCAGGTTTGTGGTGGTATGGGTGTGAGCTTATACCTTCTGGATGTTGTAGTCGCTCAAAGTACGGCCGTCTTCAAGCTGCTTGCCGGCGAAGATCAGGCGCTGCTGATCGGGCGGGATGCCTTCCTTGTCTTGGATCTTGGACTTGACATTGTCGATCGTGTCGGACGACTCGACCTCGAGGGTGATGGTCTTGCCCGTGAGGGTCTTGACGAAGCTGTTGTATCCTAAAGTCAGCGACTTCATGCTCTTCCACTTTCCCACAGCCTGTTTCTCGAAAAATCCCGCGTGCCTTTGAGGGACTACGAATATTTCGAATCGACGGGCATGCATTCAGCAAAACTTACATCTGCACTGAAACACGAAAAGTCAGTAAAATTGAGCGATTAGTCTCTTCCAAATGCACAGGGGTCGCAAACTTACTCTTGTCAAGATCTTCTGGTCACTGGCAATATTGATTGATATGTGTAGACAGCGGTGATGTCGAAAAGCGAGGGGTGGCAAGACGCACTTTGATTGTGGACGGCAGATTTGGCGCCAAGACTTGACAGAGTCGGAGCGAGAAAGGAAGGTGGAGCGGATTGAGGTCTTCAGCCTCGTCGTCGGCAGCCTTGCCACAAACGGATCGATTTGGCTGTCAGTGCGAAGCCTGAAGAAGCAGTCGAGGTGGTTCTGTGATTTGGAAGGAAGTTAGGTATGATCATTGAGATCTAGATGCAGTTGAAAAGATGTACGACAGTGTTAAGCATAAATACGCTTCGTCGGATATCTAAAGTCTCGGGATCAGAGAAGGTAAAACACGTGGAATCACATACATAGGTGCATCTAGGTACTGAAGGATGGATTATGATTCTATGTAATCTGATCCCTATACTTGCTCCCGGTATCCGTCGTACGGTCCCTCCTTCCATCTTCTCGATTAATCCACTGGTTCTTCTTCTAACATGAGGGTGAAGCTGAAAGGCTCAAACGTTACGCCCTCTCCGATGAAATGCTTACTCATCGCCTCTACCCAGTGCAACCTGAGACTGTGCAACATGGCACTTGTCCCTTCCATGACACATAAGACAGCGATGGTCAACACAAACCAGAAGTAAAAGGTGACAACGATCATAATGACCTGTGCCGCTCCAGACATCCCAAAAGCGTTCCCTAGTGTCATATTCCACAGCACGACCGAGAGTTGTTGATGAGCAAGCGAGAGGGCCCACAGTCGAAGGTACGAAGCTGTGTGGGAGACGCAGTTCAGGCAGAATTCGATCGTATCTGATCACCGGCACGTCAGATTTTGTCACCAACACGGCTGTTGGAACCAGGGAAAGGGGACTACTTACGAATAGTCTGATGGATCATGACTTCTGAGAACTCGAATTCCTCTTCCTCCTCGTCTCCGATATTCTCCGTTATCATTGCACCTTCATCATCATCCTCGCTCGGCCTGCCATTCATCCGCCCTCCGTTAGCGTTGGGATTCTCGTCGTCGTCATCTAGATCCGTAGCATGCGTGACGCGACTAGTGTCGCCTATGCCGCGGTATCCCTGAGCAGCAGTCTTCTGGTGTTGCCAGCGTAGGTACAGAGGCTTCAAGAGAAGAAGAATAGGCACGTTGATGACAGCGATGAGCAGCAGGAACACTTGAACGCCCGCTTGACCCGAGTATAGCTGTTCGCTTTCTTCCACATTCCCTGGCGAGAGAAACATCTGAATCAACATGTTAAGCAAGGATGGTGGGTTACGACCTTCAGCTGGCCAGTCGATTGACCATTTGTAGATGATGCAGAATGAAAGGTATCCGAAAATGGCCTGGAAGAAGATCATGCCCGGCACAAAGTTGCCCCAGATGTCGATCGGAGATTTGAAGTGTCTGGCATTGACGTACGAGAAGCACAGAGCGTAGGTCATGTGAGCCCAACCCATGAGAATTGACAGCTTCATTTTCAAACTGTTGCTGAAGAGCAAGTCATTCTCAGAGCCGTGCCATGCCCAATCCAGACCAAATGGGTACCGATAGCTACCCTTGAGGTGAGCGGTAACTTCCGGACGACCCTCTTCAGGGAATTCCCAAGCGGAGGGGAATGGAGTAAATGCTTTTGAGAAAACATCGTTGTAGATGAGGCCGGTGTACATGGAGAAGATACCCATCATCAGCATGATGTAGCGACCATAGAATGCCATCGCAAAGAGTTCATCCTGCTTGGACCGTGATAACGGCTTTTCCCAATAGATCATCGCTGCTGCGGCCATAGCCATCAAGCACCCGTGTCCGAAGTCGCCGAACATGACGGCGAACAGGAACGGGAAGGTGACAATGGTGTAAAGGCCAGGGTTGACTTCCTGATATTTGGCAGTTCCATAGGCATTGATGATGGTCTGGAAGCCTTCAGTGAACTTGTTGGTCTTGTTGTAAGTAGGCGGAGTCCTGTTGGTCTTGATCTGATTCACAATTGTGGGCACCGACAATCCAGCCCGGTCGTTGACGTCTTGCAGGGTGCGTCGAATCTGCGGCAGGGTATTGGTGGGGCACCAAGCTTCCGCAATCAAGGTCTTTCTGGCCTGATCATAAGAGCACATGTTCAAGGCATTGTAGACGGCCTTCTCTTTCTTGATGACAATCATCCAGGCAGCGAGAGATCGAGCAATGGCACTCAGTTCCGCATCGAGGGTATTCTTGGTGTTTCGGAGGACACTTGCAAGGTCGCTGAGGCGGGTGTTAACTTCGTGAATCTGGTCCCTCCGGATGTCACTGTTCTCATCGACGTTGTAGAGGTCTGCACCCAGAGATTCGGAAATCTTTCTGATCTTCGCAATGATCTCCTTGCCGTGGGCGAAGATCACAAAGACGTTCTTCTGAATCTCCTCGTTGTTCTCAGGGTTGATGATAGCCTCTGGAATTTCAGATTGATTCATGTAAAGGTTGCCACGGAGAGTCCTCCACAAGATGCGTTCAAATGCAGGTAGTCGCTCACGGGGGATGACTCCAGAGACAAACCCAATATTCATAACAGCGAAGCTTTGTTGTTGCTGGGTGGCATCACCATTAGCTCTGCCTTCCTCGGCCTCTGTGTTTCGCAGCAAAGGTGCGTCATCTTCATCAAGACTCGCGCGGATGTCTTCCGTTTGCCCGTGAGCTCTGTCGAAGAACCCTCCGGCCTCCTTAAGAACCCATCGCCACTCGGTCAACTCGACCTCCCTCTTTTTCAGTGTTTCATAGCTTTCATTCAAGCTGCTGATGCGTTGTTCCAGGCTCTCCGCGCGTTCCACAAGAGCGTCAATCTCGTTAGCTTGCGGGACCGCAAGCATAGTCTCGTCGAAGTCCCAGTGGCTCCTCATCTCGATCTGAGATTTGTCCATCTGAGCCTTGAAATAACGGAACTGGCGTTCGACATTATCCAGTCGACGGATCTCCTTGGTAAAGGTGCGTTGGAAGGCAGTGGTCTCGGCGTTGAGATCCCGGAATTGGACGACACCGATCTCACCCAGGGCAGAGACGACTTCGCGGCCGATTTCGTTGGAGATGTAGAGCTGGGTCAAGGACATGCTCGCCGAGCGGAAGAGGGTGTCTTTATGGGCCATGCTGGGCGGGCTTTGAGGGAGAGGACTAGGCCGCCCAGGCCGCGATGTAGGAGGAAATGAGAAAGGAACACACCAGAGAGCTTCGGTGGCCCACTGTATCAAGTTGAGAGCTTTGAATGATAAAAGTCGAAGCCTGGTCTCTGCAGAAGGTGTTACTACCTCGATGATTGCATCGCAGCTCAGTCCCTGCCTTGGCACGCTAACCGCTTAAAGGTTCTTCCTGGCAGTTACGGTTGAGTGTTGGGCACCCAGCGCAGACAAGGCTGAACCCATCGCCGTGTCTGCCTTCCAAAGTACCGTATGAATTCTAAGTGAAATGACCAAGATGACGATGCAAGGCGGATAGCAGTCATGAATTGCGTTTCATACTAGGCATCAAGGATTGTTCTATAATACCTGATGCAAAACAGCAAGCTGTTCTTCGCCCTTCATCGTCCAATGACCCCCAACCAATACAACATCCATTCTATCGTCGCCACTTCCTTGGTCATGACCAAAAAGACGCATCCTTTCAGTCGTCTCTGGCCTGTCCAACCAGTTCCTGTCACAAGCAGGAGGATCATCCCAATCAATCATGAGTTTTTATCCTTAGAGAGTTCAATCGTTACCCCTGAGGCGTAATCACACATTGGATGAAGGTACCGAGAGTCAACCAGAAGAAGAACGCCCAGCAAAAACAGACGACAGTGCCACTGTAGTCGGTTGATGTGTCCTTCAGACAAGACGCCAACGCTATGCTCGAAACACACAAAGATTTGTTGTGTTTTCATTCTACAGGTCAGGGGAAGACTAAGCAAAATAGCTCTTCCATAACACCCCGGAGAGGTCCTCAATTTGTTCCGGTTTGAATGCCTGTCAATAGTCAGTTTCGGTCTATGGGGTCATCTCATTGCAACACGTACCTTGACATCTATATGCCAAGTGTCCTGCCTCGTCTTCTTGAAGTCACTAATGATACTCTTGACGCTATTGCCAACAGTAGCTGGATCGTTCGCCGCTTTGCTGCTCAACGTGACCAGGACATCGGGCATCCAAGCCGGCGGAGGACTTGAATAAGGGAATGCCTGAATTAGTGCGCCTAGACCGAGCACCGCTGCATGTCGAACGATGACCAGCCGCTGTGCTTCAGGAGTAGGTGTGTTGGTTCCTGAAGTCCGGGCCGATGACAGACCCGCTAGTTTGCCCTTCGGTTTCTTGGGCAAGGGGTTATCAACGAGCATTTGCGTGAATCGATCCCGCAGTTGAATGATCATCCTCTCTCGCAGCTCGAGCGGCGAGCATCGGATCATTCCAGACAGGGTTGTGGCAGCGCCCGCTCGCACCTCATGCTGTGTATCCTCGAGCATATCGGCCACGCAGTTGAATAGCTTCTGCTTACTTTCCTCGGACAGCAAGAACAGACGTCTGAAAAAGATGATCTGCATATTGATCATGACACGTAGACGCTGATGCCATGACGGAGATGTCCTTCCTATGCGGATCAATGATTCGATCAACGCTTGATCTTCTCCTATTCGATGAGGAATGTTCGGCAGGTGTCGAAAGACGTGGTAAGCCAAAGACTGCAACTCTGGATCCTCCTTGACATCCATCATGTGTAAGAATTGTTCTGTGAACAAGTCGGGGAAGTATTTCAGCAACTGGGTGCACTCATACGACGAGAGCATGGAGTCAAGCCATAACAGGATCGTTTTGCTCCCAGATGTATAAGCCGAAGGGGTCTGTTGACCGGGAGTGCGTTCATGCCGCCACTTGTCCAAGCGCTGGAAAACCTCGCTCATCGTCTCATCAAATTCTTTGGTTGGCAGATAGGGATGAGTTCCAATGGGACCTGCCTTTCTCTGGGCTTCGAGGAGTTCCTTGACATCCTTGTACGATTCATGGTATCGAGTACGGGTGATGGCAGCAAGTGTTTGGGCCATAGCTTCTCGAACGCCCTTGTATGGATGATCAATGTGGCCTAGGAAGTTCTCCATGATGGGCTTTTCAAGCTGGAAGTGCCATCCTGCGTCCAGGATTACTTGATGGAGCAGATGAATCTTTGAGCTTTCTTTAAAGGCAGCATTGGATCCCATGTCGAGACGGAAGCTTGTCAGCCACTCCACCAACGGCCATGCTCTCCGAGGGTCCCGCGCCTGAAGGATCATGTGGAGGAAAGTGGTCCAGTAGCCGGAATTCTCTGGGGTCAGGCCGTCTGAGAAGACTCGTTGAATAATAGGGAACGCGAACTCCCATACCATGGTTCGTCGCTCAATAGAGTTATCCATGACTGACGTGACCAAACCACCAAGAATCTCTGCCGTTGCACGATGCTGGTGCTTGTCACTGCCGTCCTCGAAAACAGCCAGCGTTTCTTCTTTGATGTCTTCGAATGTTGCCACGGCTAGACCGTCTCTGATAATCAGTTCGAAGGCATAAGTCAACATAGCCGCACTGGCCATGCGGAACTTATCTGCCGATTGGTCTCGAGGCTCTTGCTTGAGATACTTGAAAAAAGTAACAAACCATTCTCGATCCAGGTGCTTGCCAATCACAGTTCGTTTCTTCCACTCGAGTTCATCATAAATGATATCGTTCTGCACGTTGGCTTTGTAGCCAGGCATGTCTTTCGACCACACAAGCCAACCAGGATAATCATGGTCAATGTAGACATCAGCCTCGGGCTGAGAGAAAGCCTTCAAAAAGTTTTCGGTCCAAGACTCTTCCCCGGCTCGGGTCTCGACCTTGACTTTCGCGGGAAACTCTTGAATCGCCTGGATATAATTGGCATATTCGTGATTGCACACAGCTCGCACGTCGGTCATGGTGAATAGAGCCACCAACCCTTGGGAATACAGTCCCCGCAAGCCCGGATGAGGATCTACCGTGCCCACAGTTATCAAATCAATCATGCTGTCTGAAGCAATTGTGTCGAAACGCATCCCTAGTGACATGACAAGCGTCGCTACACGAGTGGCTTTCTTCCAATGTGAGACACGAGTCAGCTCGATGAGCTCTTCCGCAAGTTCTGCCTTCTTGCGCTCAATGTTTGCACGCTTACTCAAGATGAATGCTTTCTTCTTTGAGATCTTGTCATCAACATCTTCCTCGGGAGCAAATGGATCAACGACTGTACGGTCGATGATTGCCATCCGATCGCCTGGTCGGCCGTAGTCCATGATTTGGAATAAGCCACCACTGCAAAGCTTTTGGATGGATGGTTTGTCGGCAGTGCTAGCCTCGATGAATGTTCTTATGACAGCTGGTGTGTATTTCCAATGTCTGCCCACCGTCTTTGCAAGACTGCCAAACAGCAAGGCAAACAGTCCGCCCTTGATTCGGGGGAAATCGTTCATATGAACCGCTTTCTGGAAAGCTGCTAAGAGGGGCGGGATGACGAAAAGTCGAGCTCCGAAAATAACCTTTAGAGCCGATTCGCCTGCACTTTGTGCGTTGCGACGGACTTCGGTGTATAGAGAGACAGCAGACTCGCTGAGATCTAGTAGAAGTTGTTCGTCGAGCTCTGACCGTGGTCTGGGTGCAGCATTATGCCGGAGTCTCTGAGTGTGGTATACATTGGCTCGTCGGACGAGAATTGAGCGAGGGTAGTCTTTGCGTACTCCGCTCACTTTGTACGGCTGCTCGTCAGCGTGTAGAAGTCGAGTAACTCGATCAAGGACGTGAGCCGAGCGCTCGATACCAACATCAACGAACCATGATCTATAGGCCGTGTATAGCGGAGCAAAAGATGAGACATCGTCTTCTCCTTCTCGAGTGAGGAAGACGTGGACATCATGCAGAATACGACCAATCTTCTGTCTGAGTTGGTGAAGAAGCTTGTAGTTCGCTTCGTCCGGCTTTAGCAGCTCGCCTGCAGGATACTGGAAAGAGGGCTTGATTGATGTCTCGTCCGTACCATCAAGGGAAGCATCAGTCTCAACAATATCATTACTTTGTTCTGGGGCATGACCATTCGCCTGAGACATCGAAGTATCGTTGTTAGCATCGACACCTGCCGCAGTCGTGGTCAGGCCTTCATTGACTCCTTTGGAATCGAAGAGAACTGATACTCCAGCGAGCAGCAGACGGAGTAGAACGAGATTCCTCGAAACTTCATCCGACCATTCCTTACCGCTGCCGTCGCGTTTGATGCTGGATGAGCCGTCGATCAGACGTTGCAAATGTTGTACTGCGCTTTCAGCTTGGTTCTGGAACAATTCTACAGCAAAATCAATCTCTTCTTTGCATGGAACATGCCATTTTGGTTTGATGGTTGATGGTGGTTCTGCCACTCCCCAGAGATCTGCAGTTATTCCATTCTTAACCTTCTCCGGTTCATACAAAGCATAGTCGGCGGTGTAAGTGACGGTGAGGTTTAGCAGCAAATGGTGCACATAGTTGGAAACGTGCACAGTCGGCATGCCTTTGCATTTTTGCTGCATGTACACGGCGATGTCGAAGAGTTCCTGCTTGTATTTCAGGACTGCGGAGCCAACATGAACCACGCACATACTCAGCATGCTGATATTCCAGACCAAGCCTCTATCCCGAGGCAGGACATCGGAAGCAGCATTCCTAGTCGAGCCGGCACCATTCTCATCGATTTCCGTACGAATGGCGCTGATCAAGACAGGAACGAATTTTGCCAGAGCCTTCTCAGGGTCGACCTTGCACAAGCAATTGCAGATAAAGGCCATCGCATCTCTCGATTGATGAATGACGTGGTTGGCAACAAAGTCAACAATTTTGTTCAATGCCATGTCGTACAATTCCGTTGAGAGAGATGCTAGCAAGGGCATAAAAGCTGCCGGCAGCGTGTTGACAATGTTCTCTTCCGGAGAGCCACTTCGGACTCGCGCAGCATCCGGCAAATTTTCAAGAAGAGTGAAGACTCGGCCTAAGAACGACGTAACGAACTCTCCAAACCCGGCGGTGGACGAGGCAAGTATCAACTCTTCGTCTTTTTCGTTGAGGGCGGCATAATTCAATTCGACATGGGCACCTTCCTGCTCCATGCGCTCCATCTCCCCTGTGATCCACTCCATAGCCAGCATGTTACCTTGGACATCCTCTCTACCCTTGGAAAGATCCTCGAAGGGTATATTGTAGCAGACATTGGCGAAGAATGACAACGTACATAGAGTCTTGTCCAGATCGTTGGCGTCGATGCCAGGCAGAGCAAGACCAAGCAGAGCCGTGATGTGGCAACGGTAACCCTTGGTTCTGATCATCGTCCTCGCTAATATTTGCAATGACCGTATAGACGAGATTGTTCGGTGCACCTCGACAAGCCCTTGCATTGAGGGATAAATACGTTGGAGAGCACCAGGAAGGATCAAGTCGGGCTCCAAAAATGCCAGAGCTTGAAGCGTTGACAACGAATAGCTCATCGCCGTTCCGCTCTTGGCATAAATGCCCATGAAGATGACTTCTCGCAGGCAAAGGACAAATCGTTTTCGCAGTGCTTCATTGAGCTTCCGCTCCCGTGGGACGTCCATTTCGCCGTTGCGTTCCCGGTTCCACCGCATGACAAAGAAGTCGGCCAGATAGAATACAAGCTGGGCTAAGGTTCGAGTCCAGGAGCCAGAGTTCGAGGGGTGAAAGAATGTCTCGATTGCCTGGATCAGAGTCTCGAGGAGAGAAAGAACCGAAGTCTTCTTTTCCAGACAGGCTGGTGATAATGACATAACAAACCAGCGAGCAATGTGGTGGGAAACAGGGTGCTTGCGCGAATCACGATCCAGTAGAAATCCCATGCCCGCTGTTATGTCCACCAGAGCACTGTAGGGCGAGGTGGATTGCCCTACAGGAATCTCCAGTAACCTCAGGACTGCCGTTGTAATCAGCGTCGACTGCTCGGCAGTGAAGATCCCAAACTCGGAGAACTCGACTTGTTTACTAGGCAGCGAATCCCGGGCCAGGCGCGAGAGAAGATCGACAAGAGCGACATCGACTGTTCGGGAACGGTTTACCAAGGACCAGAGGTGGAAGAAGGTGGGAAGAAAGTGCTGGGGGTTCAAATCCGAACGATTTGGCGGTGGAGGTCCTGTTGGCAGCAACATATTGAGCAGTCCTATCACCACAAACGCGCCCTCGGTTGAAGACATTGTGAAATGAGGCAGGATTTCTTCTAGCATAGCCGGGATGTCCTCCGGATCAAAATATAGTTGGGCGAATGAACTGATCTTAATGAGTGTCTTGATATTCCTCTTGAGGTTTGTTGTCTGCATCAGGCCCGACTCGCTTGGTAGCACGAATACTTTGATCTCTCGGAAGAGCGGTCGCCAGTCGAGGGTTAGATCGATCAAGGGTCGCAAGTAGTGTTTTCGTCTGCAGAGATGTCAGTCAGGCTGAGACTTGTAGGGCGTGGAGTGGGATACGACAGACTTGGTCAGTAACATGAACATGCTAGCGAAGCGCTCGCCCACGCCGGGATCAATCCCAGGGGCGAGAGCGAGTTCATAATAAAGTCTGACGAGCTCCACACGCTGTTTCTTGGTGGGATCGAACTTCAGAGAGAGCCAGCTGCGCAGTTCCCTGGTCCAATGCACCGCACCCGGAGTGAAGTCGCTAGCCTGGATGGCAATATAAAGATGTTTGAATATCTCTGCCAGGTCTTCCTGTCTCTTAGCCTCATCTTCCACGGGGTATGGTAAGGTGGAAAAGTAAGGATATGTTCGCGGTCTGTTGCGCTTGGTCTGACTCTCAGCGTCGTTCGCATGTCCGTCCTGCATGGTGATGGTTCCGGCCGGAGAAGTGGCTCTTGAGATCTCCGAGCCATGTTTGGCATGGCTGCCACCGTTGACCAACTCTTCCATATGATGCTTGGGGGTTTCCATGACCATCTATTTTTCCTGCTGCTGAGCCGTGGAGGTCATCCGAGTCGAGGGAGTGAGGACCTGACAATTATCATGTATCATACCGATGTGGACCGGAGGAGGCACCAGGACTTGAGCGACGCACTCTCTCTGCGAGATAATGGTCGCACAAAGGTAGGCAGGCGACGTGGTCGTATACAGCGAAAGGCGCTTAGCAAGCTGCTGTGCAGCCTTGCGACGTCGTACGTAATGTTTATGCCTGCAAACAACTGCTCGATGAGGCAGAGAAGGATGGAGACGGCGCAGGGGACAGGTTGGACCGTAAGATCAACGTCACTTCGCCCGCAGGCCTCAAGAATGAATTCAAGAATAAGATAATCTGTTGTTAATTATGAGGAGAATGCTCAATTGCACGCGACACTGGGGACGGACATGTTTCTGTGCCTAAAACTCCGCAAGGCACGAGGCATCAACACGGCAAGCAGCTGAAGCGAAGAAAGGCTTGGCATTCTTCCATGTGTCAAAGTCCCCGTCGCCCCTTCACTACCTTTGCCTTCCTATTCTCTCAATCCTTTTCCCAGCTATAGCCCCCTTTTTTCCTTTCTTAATGGTGCAGCGCGTATTGTCTTCGCCTCGTGAAGCAGCCGGCTTGTCTCGAGGACGAAATGTCACCGTACTTGGCAATGAGGCTAAGTTGACCACAAAATCTAAAATGCACGCTGCACCACAGCTGTGGCCGATCTCTCTTCATCCCGCAGATCAGGTGGCATTGTTCGTTCGAGGCATCCTTTCAAAATACATTCGCGAAGCCCGCTGCCAGTGTCAATGATCGTGGAATTCCGCACTTATCTTGACCCGAGCCTGATTGTGCAAGCCGCCCTTGCATGTGTTTTATGGCCTACCGAAATCTCGCACCTCCCAAGGCTTATGTCCCTGGAAATGCAAGTTCTGGAATGCTGAAAGATACTCTTCTAGGCCAGACGCGTCGGATGCATTAAGGTCAGACCAATATGAACGGGGTAGCGGATTGACGACCGTGAATTTATACTTTTGTCTGCAGTTGCTGGGTTATAAGGCATGGTGGCCAAAAGTGCCCAGGACTCGGCATCTTGTTCTTTTGTATTGCACCATCTGCACCAGTCCTCGACGATGTAACACGACTACAGCGATCATTCCTAGCTCGGTGCAATGCCGACCAAGCTGATCTTGAGGTCCAGCTTCCCCTTGGAGTTTGGCTTTCCCGTGTATGCCCTACCAAGAATTCAAGGAGTCGAGTCGAAGAGTGGTATGCGCTATTGCAGGTTCGTATGCGTGATAAACAGGAGACCGACGAACACAGGTCCCAGATTGGCCTGAAGACCGCCGTCCGGGCCGCGAAGCATGCAAGAAACGTGGACAAGAGCTATCGACAGCTGTTGATTTGGCTAAAAACAACTTGAAGGCTGGCGTCCATGAAAACCAATGGGCGCCAAAGGAGGAGTTGGCCGGCATTAAGCCAGCGATGAAATGTAGCCCCTTCGCGCCAGACTTCGTCCCTTGCCGTCCTCGCCGTCCGCGGACAATTACTGACTTTCTGCAAAAGCGTCCGATAGTCCCCAAGCGGGCGCCAATTTCCGACATCTGCGGATTATATTCGCGGCGCCACATTTCAATGCCTGAGGCACGACGGCGCATATGCAGCTCGGCTTTTAGTCGTTATCTCCGCCCTGCACGCATGGTCAATATACCACTTAAGTCCTGGATTCTTCTTGGATTTGGTTGTTCATGCCTGAGCTGCGGTTGATATTTTGCTCGCTATCTTGTCTCGCTTGCTTGCTTACTTGCCATCTCTGTGGTGCAAACCATGTCAAAAGCCGTTTTCTCGCCCAGCGATCCAGCCTCGCCTCTGTCGATATCACCTCATGAAACCGCTGTCTTGCTCATGGACTATCAAAGCATGACCCTTGCGACGGTTGGGGATGTGGCGGCCACCGGTGTCATAAACATTGCGTCACAGATGCGCGACTGGGCACTCCATAAAGAGATGACCGTCTTCCACTGCCTCGTCGATGCCTCGCCCGGTTCAAAGCCTCCAAATTATTCGAGGATCTCGGCTATATGGAAGATGTACGAAGCCCAATTTGTTGAAATGCCTTGGCTGGCCCATGAACCGGAGACACTGGCGGCCAGAAAACATGTCGATCGGGAGCTCACCGTGCTGAGAACACCGGGCTCCATCTCGGCCCTTGAGTCGCATGGACTGATGAATATGTTGAAAGAAAAGGGAATCAAATCGCTCATCATCGGTGGGATCAGCACTTCTGGCTGTGTCCTGAGTACTGCTCGCGCCGCGACAGATCATGGGTACATCGTGACTGTGATGGAGGACGCATGTTTTGATCCAGTTCCGGGCTTGCATGGCATGCTGGTCACACATGTCTTGCCAGTCAGCGCTCACGTGGCGACATCGTGGGAAATTCAGAACGCATGGAAGATTCTATAGTATTTGATCTTTGTCCGTTACTTGCAGGAGTCAGGATGTGGCTAGTGCGCGACGGACGGCGCGTTCATATCAGTCAAGAGGTCACTAACCTCGCCTGGTGTGAGTCAAACCATTATCAAGTACAAGGATGATCCGATATGCACCCGTCACGTATGTGAAGCTGTGCACCCAACGTAAGAACTGGAACAATTCTTAAGTGAACCTCCCCACGACTACAAGCTGGGGTAAGAAGAGATCCACCCTTGCCCAGATGGCACGAGACTTCAAAGACGCCAAGTATGAAGGTGTGCAAGTGAGGCCACCAGGGCTACTGCTCAACAACAACAACTCGAGCGAATCCGTCGACAAGGATCGATTATCAGTATCCTCCCCGGTGACGAGCTCGCGAATGGTTTTTGAGTTGCGGAGGGTAGATAGAGCAGGCTGATGGACGTAGATGATAGGCGGCAATAACGAGGAAGAATAGCAAGTGGTTGAGGATTCTCCCATTGACTACCTGCCTGATGTGAAGGAGAAGGGCATCTGCAACGCGCTGTTAGGGTAGTCCTAACAGGGCCTCGAGTACATGATAAAATGTGTCCCTTCGCGTCGAAGTAACGGTCCTGAGCTATTGCATTGTGGTGAACAATCCTACGAAAAGTCCCGCCTAAACACCCTCCTTGAAGTGTTTTCATCCTTGACACCGAGCTACATATTTTCACCAATCCCCAGCGTCTGCACCTGCGTCACCGAAAATCTCTTCGTACTGCTGCCCATTACCCTCAAACCTTTCTTTCGGGGCATCTGGCATATCCTCGTCGTCCATGTCACGAAGGGTCCGAGTTACTGGCATGTCCGAGGTAAGGTATCTGCAATCAGGCATGGCCCTTCCAGCTCGTTGGCTGATGTGGAATGGCTTCATGATTGTCGCCAGGGTCTTCAAATGAGAACCACTATCAGGACGAAGCTTGGCGACTGCGCGTCTACTCATCAGGATCAGCAGACCATCTCTCGCGCGAGTGAGTGCAACGCAGAGACGGCCGATGTCCTTGAAGAATCCAGCATTTTCATCAACAAGTAGGTCGAGGATGACCACGTTGAATTGATCACCTTGGTAGTGATCGATGGTGCCGATGAAAAGGCGATCCAAGTGGATATTCCTAGTGCCGGCGGTATCGAGTTGCATACTGGCTTTGGCATCAAGGAGTATCTTTCGGTGCGCACTGTAGCCTGTCAAGATCGCGAGTTTGAAGTCTTTTGGCTTGTTCCGAAGAATTTCGACAGCCCAGTTGATCTCGCTGAGAGCGTAGTAGTAATTGAGCTTCGAAGTACGCTTCATGACAGTGTCTGCAATCTTCCCGGTGAAATCCACCCAGCCAACGTAACTACGTTGTTGAAGACCGAATTTGTCCTTGAGCCATCTTCCAAATTCTCGAGCATAAGGACGGTTGGCTGTGCCAGCCTCCTTGTAGTCGTTCTTAACCATCCCTGAGTAGACTAACTGGTTGGCCAGGCTGGCGATCTGCGGAACCATACGACGCTGCTCGAAGAGTTCCGCAGTTTCAAATCCGACGAGCTGTAGACGGGTTGGCAGAGGAAGGAAGACATCGTCAACGAAAGGCATGGTTTTTTTGATGCCGGGCTTGATTGGACCCTTCTGTTTTGTGTCACCGACCATGACAAGGCTTTTTGCAACGGGGAGGCGAGCAGCAGCCAGAGGCAAAAGGACGGGTAAACCCTCAGTTGGAGCTTCGTCAATGACGACCAACACGCATTCTTGGCCAAAGGACGAGATGACCTTCATGGAGCCGGCTGCGTACAGCGTGCAGGACAGAATCTTAGCTTTACTCAAGACCTCGAGCATGATCTTACCCTCCTCTTCGCGAAACTGTTTGGCTTGCTCTCTGCCCATTTCCTTAGTCGTATAATACTGGATGAAGGAAGTGCGAAATTTTTCAAATCGAGTTGCGGCACCGTCGGCAGTTGAAGGGCACTCCTCAAATCCCCCGTAGCGCCATACCCATGCACCAAGGGAGAGATTATCATGTTCAAGGCGGAGATCGTGGCAGCCTTTCACAGTCGACTTTCTGAGCTTGTCGACATGTTGGCGCACGATGATGTCCATATTACTGGCGTCGTGCAAGTCAAGTTCTTCCCATTCTGGACGAGCGTTTGGGTTGCGTGTCATCTGGTCCCGAATGTGAGATAAGAGGACTTGCTTGTCAGTGTTGTCTGCATGCAATCGAACATGGATTTGGCCGTCTTTCGCACGTCCTTGGTAAATGAGCCGCTGGTACGTTTTCCAGGCAAGGCTCGCAAGACAATTGACAGGGCCATTTGCGCCGGCTGTAAGCAGGATTGGAACGTTCGAGCTTGACATCAGATACGGAACAAGGATCTGGCTAATGAGATGTGTCTTCCCTGAACCAGACACCCCGGTAACATTGAGAACTCCTCCACGTGCTTTCAGACCGAGGTTGATTGCTGCCTGTTGCTCGGGTGACAGGACCATCGCTTCTCTGTTCTGTTCAAACTCGTCGCCAAGGGGCTCAAAGATGCTCCTCGGCTCGAGAGTGTCGAGGTTGTTACACGAGATCAGAGTTTTCAAGAGCTTGTTCCAGGCTGTCCAGGGCCTGTGTTTCGGCTCGAACAAGAGAAGATCGATAGCGTTGATGATACGCTTGTATTCAATTTCCGGGGTCTGAACCTTCAAAGTAACCTTATGGCGAAAGCCGTGCTTGATGAGGGCGGGGAATTCAGATTCGGATGCACCAGCGACGTCGACACTGTGAATAACACGAGGACCCCATTCACCTTTAGTCTCATCCCATCTTCGATTAACCCAAAGAGTGAGCTTGTCTGCGGGACCATTGGGGACAGGATCGATAACTCGGGCAGTCCAGATGTTCTTGTTGTCAACGATCATCTCAGGCTCCTCATCTTCGGAAGTCTTCTTCTCATCAATGAAGCTCATGAACATCCGAGTATCAGGAGTGAGAACTAATCCCTCCTCCGCTGGATAGTCGATGAAAGCCAAGAATGATTCATCAGTGCCATCCTTAAGGGTCTTGATGGAGGCAAAGACAACATCGTGGATTTCGGTCGTGAATTTGGGCAGGCTATTCATTAACGTAGCCCTAGCTTGTTTAACAGTGACAGCAGTTTTGATCATGGCCTCTTGCGTACTCATATGAGGAAGACGGTGCATAAAACGGTAGTTATCGTTGGTGACAGTATCAGAAAGAGGGGTGGTACGTATGTACGACTCTCTGCAAACCACGCGATGGTTAACTTCGTTCCACCAATACTGTAACAAGCGGGATCCGTTGCTTTTCTCATGATCAAGAAGCTCGCCGACGAAGGCCATACGACGAACCGATTCCTTCTGGCCCTTCACAATGGCACGAATACTTCCAGTCTGGAGCGCTTTGGCAAACTGATCACCCCATTTAGGGCAGCCGAGGCTGACCCTATGTTGGGCAGCTGCGCGATAGTCGAAATGGAACTCAACGAAAGCAGCGGCTCCCTGAGCTTTGATGATAGTCTGAATTTCGCTGACCATGTCTGCCGAAAAGGTCTTCGCCACTTTCGGATGTCCGTGTGACCATTCTTCCCAGTTGGTAATGGTATCGCACTTCCATCCTTTCATTGCTTCAAAGCCGATGAAGAGTTTCACGTAAGTTGCTTTGGCCTTGGCTTGCTTGATGAGTTCGAGCGCATTTTTCTTTGCTTTCGCTCTCTTCCCGTCAGTGTCTTTCTCCAAGTCTGGCCCTGTGCTGGGGTCTTGCGAGGCGTTGGACTTAGTGGGTTCGGCGATGATATCTCTAGCCTTCTGACGGATGGCTTCCGCCACGGTCTCATCTGTTACCATAGGTACAAAAGAAGCTGAATGAAGCTCTATGTTGACCCCCAGATAGCCGCGGATAGGTGTGATGCTGAGGGGGCTTCCTTCCTTAGTAGAAAAGAAGGCTGCAGAGTAGGTAGTATTCAACGAGCCTCGATGGATTATTTGGTCAAAGTCTTGGATTTGCGCGTTGGGATCTTTAGTGCCTTCGAACTTGTTGAATTTGTCGGCCAGGAGGCGAGAAGATTGGGAGATATTAGCAAGGAGCTCAGCGTCGTCAAACTCCTTAGGCGGCTGCTTTTCCTTCTTGTCGTCTGTGCCAGCCTGCCCGGCCTTAGCCTTCGATTCCCGCTTCTTCTCCTTCTCTTCATCATCATCGGACTCCGGGTCTTCAATATCTTCATAGTCTTGCTTACGCAGCTTGCGATATTCTTTAAAGGCCTGATGAAGAAGATCGTAATCGATACCAGCAAACGGGAGTTCGACCAACCCTGGGTAGGAGTCAGAACCGCTAGACACGCTGACGTGGCTACTGAGTGACTCAAGTTCTGTAGGAGTCATGCGATACGCGTGCCAACGTAGGTCCATGAGAGTTTGTTCGAGTGGCTTGGGTGGTACATTGAGAACCGGGATACCGAGGAAGGCTTTGTCGACGTACAAATCAGACGTGTACGACTCATCGGTGCCCGAGCGCCAACCGTATTTGTCTTGAGCGAATGTAGCAAGGACGAACATGTTCTCTAGCTCCTGTTCGATGGTTGTATTGGGTTCTTGCGCAAGGAACACGGAGCGAGAACCTGGAATTTCCGGATTGTAGGGAATAAGCACCTCGACCACTTCATAGGGAGTGACGGTTGCGACGGTGCCGTCTTCCAAGCGCGGTAACGAGACTGGCGGCATTTTTTCCTCGTCGTGTGCAACGGGGGTCAAAGTGAAGAACATTCCTGGAGGGGTTTGGAAGTTCTTGAAAAGGTTCTCGCACCCTTCTCGGTCCGCGTCCTCGGATTTTACCTCTGGCTGGGTATTCCAGGTGCAGCCATCAGTCTGCTCTCCAAGGTCACCATTGTCTTCACCTCCCTGGTCAGAATTTTCGGCGTCACTGTATCCGACAGATTCAGGACGTTCTTCTTGACCATTTTGTGGCCAGCTGTCGAGGTGTTGAAGTTGATGATGTTCTTCTTGACCATGTTGTTCGTAACCATTATTGTGACCAGTGGCAACCTCAAAGTCGTACTCAGATGCGTCTTCGTCTCGGATTTGAGAAGTGGCTGCATGGTCCTCGCCTGGGGCAGGCTGTCCCAAAGCGTCAGGAGCAGGTCCGGGAGACGGGACATGTTCAGTTGGCAAGGCCGGAGAATTGACAACAGTATGATGGGTTGCGGTCTGAAGGGATTGGGAGAAGGTAGTATCTTGATCTTCCATGGCTGACATGAAGTTGAAGGGACTGGTTCTCGGCTGGAAGGCTGTACCGGTGTCAATACCAAAGCGACGCCGGTCGAAACTTTCCATTCCAGAGGCCTGCTGGGACGTGTCGGCGATGTCTTCGTCTGTGTCACTCATGGTGTTGGGTCTTCGACGTGAAAGAGAGAGGAGATGTTCTTGGGTGGTAGTGGAGAGATTTTAAACAAACTTAGAGGAGTTGCGGTGCTGTTGGCGTAACAGGTTGACGATCCAAGTTTTGAGGATGAGATAGTTTACGAGTGGAAGATTCGTGAGGTAAGAGATTTTCTTTCGAGCTTTTTGTGGGAAGCAGTGAATTGCTGCCGCACCCTCTCATACTTGGCGACTTATTGATCCTCCGATGATTGACTGCTGCTCACTGTTATTGTTATTGTTGGCGGGTTGGTTCTGTAGTATGTGTTTACGCCTTGCGTTAACATCAGCTCTTCAGCAGATGACATCTCGGCGGGAAGGGTCTATCCTTCTCGGTGACGAGCTCGCGAATGGTTTTGAGTCGCGGAGGGTAGGCTCATTGTCGGTTTGGTTTTGTAGGAAGTATGCGTTTACGCCTTGCGCTAACATCATCTCTTCAGCAGTTGACGTCTCGGCGGGAAGGGGCCGGGGGTTATCCTTCTCGGTGACGAGCTCGCGAGTGATTTTGAGGTGCGCAGGGGAGCTCTTTATGGGGTTGATTTCGCAGACCGACCATTGTGAATGTCGACCAGGTCAGACACTTGTGAGCGTAGTTCTTCCTCCTCGATCTATGGACCATTCCGGGAGGGTTAGCCTTTCCAAGGTATCCTGTGGCAGGTACCGCACCAGGATGACCTAGGTGTCTGACGCTACTCTTTGCAATCAATCTGTTCAATGATGAATCGTCCATTCACGTCCATCTCGATCTGCGGCGGCGGGGACTAATGACGGTGATAGTCGCCATATGGGGCAGGCTGAAGGTGAGCGTAAGAGACCACTGGGTGAATGTTGATGTATTCAAACAACTCGAGCTCAAAGGCGACCCTGACGATACTTCTCTTGACGCGGAACGGGCCGATCTTGCGCCGTCCAAGACGAGGCGTTGGACAAACGGTAACCAGGCTGCACCTTTGACCGACATCAGATAGAACTTGTCGGCAGGGCATAGAGGAGGATGCTTATTGTTGAAGGGCTTCACCATTCGCATTGACAAGCTTCATAGCATCGCGAGCTTCCAAAAGGATTGTGACGGCTTTTCGAGTGGGGCTTTCGGAGGGGCGAAGTGTGCAAAGGTGTAGATGATTAAGTTCAGCGCAATTATTTGGGATGGATGATAATATGACTGTACCCCGTAATAATTACTCGGTACCAGGTGACAATTCAGCCCGTCGAGATGACAATCGAGACTATCCTCTTTGAGGGATAGCCTAGTGCCGCCTAGATGAAATGATGAGTATTCAGAGAGTTTCTTTCGTGTCCCTGACGGAAAGTAGTGGTAGTAATGCCATATTCTGGCTACTTTTAAAAGTGAGCTTAAGTGCAGGATGCCATATTACCTAGGTAGGTATGGTCAAATGTCTCCTAACCTAATGTGGACACAGTCATCCCCATATGCGGCGTAATGCTTTTCCGTACTCATCAGGCTTGATGTACCATCACGTCTCAACTAGGCAAGACGTCGAACAAGCACTCCGCAGATACCATCAGAGCATACATGATGCATTTTGCTGTTCTGGCCACAGGTTGTCTGCATGGAGTGAAAAGCTAATGCTCGGTTCACATTGCCGGGTGCTTATCACTGAGGATTGCGGTGCTCCGCACTGTAATGCAACGTTACGGCCACTCACGAGATTGCTCACGAAGCCTTTATTCTTGTAAAGCTATTTTGACAGGGCTTCTCCTTTCGAAGATGTCTTTTAGGAGAAGGATGCTCGCAGTTCCAGAGTCAATTTCAAACGAAATCGTATATATTATCTGCATCAGGGCAGCCATAACTGCTGGGTATGAGGTATTAAGACATGAATCTGGCGTAAAAAATGAGAGTCGTAACGAGTGCGTTAAATGGCAAAGCATGGGCTGCTCTTCCTCCCTCCATAGTGCAATGCTGCGGGGTATCCATCTTCTTCGTCACGTATTCCCTCCTTGATCATCCTTGCAATCCCGTCTGCTCGACTCATTAGTTCACATCGTGACCAACACAAACCAATCTTTTCCTTTTTCTTTGTGACTTATACTGCTTCTCTCGTCTTTTTTGTCTTTGAAATTGACGTTGGAGCCAGCGAGTGGCATGTGGCAACTTTACGCATGGTGCTCGGCCTCCTTCTCGGCCTCTTTCTCGGCATTCGACTCGTCGCTGCTGCGCTGCCCGGCAGGACCAATGTCATCAGGATCGATGGTATCACCAGTTCCAGCCTCGGCGCGGATTCTGGCCATCTCATCTGGCGGAGGGGCAACCCATTCGCTGCTCTTCCATGGCTTCACACCAAGAATATACATGGTATCGATCTCTTCCAGCGTGCGACCCTGGCCTTCAACGACGAAGAAGTAGACCAAGGGAATGGCAACCAGATTGCAGCCAGCGAAAACGTAGCCGTAGAGGAAGTCGATATCTCCGGTAATGAATGGTGTGAAGAAGGCGAGGAGGAAGTTCCACAGCCAATTTGATGCGGTAGACATCGCCATGCTCTTGGCCCGATATCTCGAGGGATACATTTCACCACACTGCAAGCATGTTAGCACCTGTCTCTGCTAGCTAAATGTGCTGGGGAAGTGGTGTGGTGGGGAAAGGTGCGGCGAGGCATCCCCTTCTCCGGATGCATACACCCATCCCCCCAGGCCACTTTTTGAGCTGCAAACAACACGGAAAAACCCTTACAATCGTCCATATGATAGGCCCCCATGTTGTTGCAAAACCAGCGATAAAGAAGGAAGCCATTACAATCATCGCGGTGCCGCTGGATTCGGTCTTCTGGGGGTCGTGTTTGTCCAGGGAGAAATGGCCGACGTTGGCGAAAATCAGGAACATCAGGAACATCCAGGCCGATCCAAACATGAGCGACTTCCGACGGCCGTAATGTTCGACGATGTACAGGCCATAGAATGTGGTTCCAAAGTTGATGCCGTTCAAAATCACTGGTTTTCTGTCAGTAGTTGTATACTTCCGAATTGGGAAAGCGTGGGCTCCGGCATGTGCCTGGGGAGCTAGTGCAGAATCTGGGAAGGCTTACTTTGAGTCTGCAAGTGATTGTCAGCCTCTACTTCATAAGGGTTGAGTGCATAACAACAGCTGGGGTGGTCTGAGGGGAAAAGGGGTAGGGGAAAGGGGTAGGGCCGGAAGGGGTCCGCCGCAGCGGAACGGCTTGTCACTTACCACAAAACTGTTGTTGATACCCGTTGCTTGGCTGGCAGTCTCTGTTAGATGATAGTTGAGGAAAAAGGTGGGAGGACGCAGCAACTCACAATATCACCGTGCCATAGTAGAAGAAGTAGTTGGCACCTGTCAACTGTTGGAACATCTGCAATGTCATGCCGAGGACGATACGATACGTCATCTTGGGAGCACGGAACATGCGGAACCACTCAGTAAGGACGCCAGACTGCTTCGCTTCTGCCCGAAGTTTGGCCTCGATCTCTTCCAACTCGACGTGGACGCTGTAGTGGTTTGGTGGAGCACCGTAAACCTTTTCCATGATTCTTTTGGCTTCCTCTTTGTGTCCTTTGCGGTAAAGATATCGCGGAGTATCCTTGAAAAGAAGGATGCCTCCGCCGAGAATGAAGGCCCAGACGAAGGCAATTCCCATGGGGATACGCCATGATCCAGAGTTTCCCCTTTGGTGCTCGTAGGTACCAAAGTTGATGCAGGCGGCCAAGAAGATACCGAACGTGATCTACATGGTTCGTTAGCAGCGCCATTGACACTGGAAGAATTGAGATCATGGCATACAAAGAGCTGGTAGGTACTGATCAGAGATCCACGGATGTGCCGGGGAGCGGTCTCAGCTGTCACGAGTCAGCGAATGCACAAAAAGCCATCTCGACAATTCACTCACCCATATACATTGGCACGAGAAGCGACAATGCGCCGACACCAAGACCGGCAACCCATCGGCCCATCATGATCTGGTACCAATGATGTTCCGAGGAGATCATGACAATGTTGCCAATGCAGAAGATAATGCACCAGAGGGTCACGCTCAGTCTTCTGCCGATAAAGTCGGCAATGGGAGCAGCAACCAGCGCTCCGATCAAAGTACCGATCGACAGCTATACCACTTAGCCAGCTGCCATAGTCCGTCAAGGGAATAGTCGACTTACCATTGCCACAATAAGCCCGGACCGCACATTGCTGAAATAGTACGTTCCATCACTGTGTCGCAGACCGAATCGCCGCAGGAAGTCTGGCATGGCAAGGAAGCCAGAAATCTGGCCGGTATCATAACCGAAGATGAAGCCGCCCATAGAGATGAGGATACCCATCCAGAACGATGCCCATGTTACTCGTCGCAGAGGCGAGTAGTCCAGGCCTGCCAGCGACTTCCTCGCCTCGGTAGCCCCGGCGGCAGTGGGATTGTATTTGTCGTACCGCACCCAGTTGGTGAGGCCGAGCGACTCGCGAGTCAACTCGGGCCTCCGAAACTTGAGATAGCCCATGTTCCGCTTTTGCTTGTTTGATCAATTCTTTGTACTGAAGTTGGGTGGGAGATCTGCCACAATGAATAGACGAAGCAGGCTTTCTTATAATCACGGCGAAGGTTCGCCCCAATAAAATTCATGCAGGTCCACGTGGATGATGGTGGTCTTCCAAGGTTACTTCGAAGAAAAGCGGAGGAGTGCGGGTGACCTGAGCATTGAGTATGGAGATGTGTGGTGGCATATCCAATGGTGTAGCATGATGAGCGATTTCTGGAAGGGTTCTGTAAGCACGAGCCCACCTTCTTTTTCATCGCTAGGCATGTTGATGAGGCTCCAAGGCGACTGTATGGAGAGCACACCTCTTCTACAACATTCTTTGACCCGCATAGTCCACCATGAGCCAGGTACCATGCTTGTTTGCATGGGAGGCCGGGCGCCGGGACGCCCAAGGCATTCAGCAACCAGCAGGTGTCGAGTCCTGTACATACACGTAGGTCCTCATAGCGCCAACCAATTTTTATGCTGGGCTCCTACGAGGCTCTTCGGAAATCCGTCCTCCGATGCTGTCAAACCATAGCGACAGGGCCAAGAGTCTCCCGGAAGTCTCGGAGGCAGTTATGCGGCTATTGCCCTTTGCGAGCAACTAGGAAATGATCACTTGACCGATGACGAGATTCTACAATGAATCGGAAGGCAATTCGAACAATGCCTTCTCTTCATGTAACAGAATCTCGTGTTTTGCCCCGTGGGGGAGCGGCCTCGGCATACACGAACGGCCATGTAAGCTGAGCAAGCAGCAAGGGGGATCGACTGCGGTGGGCGCGAGGAATCAGCACTCAGAATCCTCGAGAAGCTCCCCAATTCGGTAGTTGTTGGCATGATGACAGGATTTGGGCTTTTGCTACACCAGCAACTACCAGGTCTGAAGTTTGATATGTTGAAGTGTAGGTTGAATACCAGATCGACAGGAGAAGGAGGCTGCCATGAAGCCTCGTATGAAATTGCTAGATTCTCGGCGCGGTGGCGTCTCGGATCTAGAAAGTCTGAGGCAAATGATGTCGGCGGCGTAAACAAGCATCCCTCGCCCCCTTCGGCAGGTTCATCCACCGAACTTAGCTGGAGTCAGGTGATATCAAAAACCCTTTTCCGGCGAATCGAGGTGTTTCGAAGGCCCGAGATCGAGTCAGCCACGGGCGTCCCACTAGCACGGTCTTCTCCTTTTCGAGGCATTAGGCCATCGTGCCACCACCGCCCCCAAGATGTGAACCCAAACCAGGTTCTCCTTGTACGATTTACACAACTTTTCCGGCTTAATTCCAGCATTCTAGCCTATTTGACGATGGCCTGTGCAGCTCCACGCCGGACCATGCTTTTCCAGGCGCTTTTCAGACCATTTGTCGTGCATTAATAATGCGTCATTAACCCTGCCTGATCACCATATGGACACCAATGCCCAGTTTCGTTAGTCCGTCCCGAGCCATTGCAAAACTCTCGAACCACGCGTGCAGACTTCTTCGTGGAACATCATGGCCTGATTTCCATTTTCCCAGGGTAAGGCCGTCACCTTTTGGCAAATACCGATCTCTCTACATTTCGAAGATCTTTCCCACCTCCCGTCAGCTCACTGTTACCACGAGCAATGTAACGTCGACTGAGGTGGAGAAATGCATTCGTGCCTGGCCGCTTGCTGTGCTACCGACACTTCGTTCGTATTTCACATCTGGCCGGGATACGGAGACTTTGTACCCTTTGGCCCATCGCAATCCCTATATAAATGTACGAGGCATCCGACGATCTTTAACCAAATCCAGTTCTGTGCTGACGGGTTGTCTTGCATTCTTGCAATCCTTCCACCCCTCTTCCCTTTTGAGCAACCACCTCGACAACTCTTACGGGTGTGGTAGGTCGAAGCATGCATGAACTTTGAATGTGAAGGGCTGCAGAGGAGGTATGGGGTTTGGTCTGTAGGCTCTCATGCCATAGAAGCTCTGTGAGAGAATACCAATGCGTTGGGCCAGCAGCGTCTCGACTCGCAACCGTCTCATGGCGCATTCTGTTTGTTGATTTTATCTGAGACCACCCATGGTTTTTTCTATTCGAGTTGCACTTTGGACAGAAGGAATCTGCCAAACACATTCACGGCAGTCCCCACGTCGTTTTGGCAGTATTACAGGTCGATTTAAGTGGTGGTGTACCTGTGTGATTGTTCAGCTTGATATCTCTCAATGAGGGCTTGAAGGCCCTCAGTTACAAAGCAATGCCTCTCGTTGTTAGATCGAAGATAGCCTCCACTATCATAACGTCTTTCATCTCGCTCTAGCAATCGCGGTGCCCGACTCCGTAGCCAACTTCGCCCGTCTGAATCCCGCAAAGCTACCACTGAACGACGCGTTGAAGCCGCCTGCTGTCCGAGATTGGCGTGTCGGAGACACGAAAGAGGGGTGATAGATTTCCAGGAAGGAAAAGAGAGAGAGAAGAAAAGTTGAGGGGGGGTGTTGAGGGAGGTTTAGGCCAAGCCGATGAGTGCATGGTAGCCAGAGGCTTGGATCGCGATCCGGCGACGGTGCCCTCGCCTATTGACGAAGGTCTTTCCAAAGAGCTCGCCGCCTCCTAGGTAGTCAGCCTCGGACCTTGGCAAGCTACGAGGTATTTCCCTCGCGTCGCGTCAGTGCGAACTTGTGTTTCTTTTTGATGATACTCTCCTCTCCGCGATGGCAATGCCTCTTTGGTTGTCGTCGACGAGTCCCACGAGGCCTCGTGAATGTAACTCGAATGAAGCCTGATATGGCAGTGGTCCTACATTACATGTCGCGATGAGCGGCATTATCAACTGTCCACTGGGGCTTTTTGTCAACCTTTTCCTTGGCTCCTCCTCCATCTCGCTTCTCACGAGGCAGCAAGGTTCTCAAGGAGGTAGGTGGCCAAAGAAGACTGAAGATGACTGCATCACCGTAGTGAACGAAGAGATTGCCCCAGTGTGAGCAAAACCTGAGCGATCATCGCACCTTCACACGTCTGCCACGATGATGCCTCTGAATTGACCACTTTCTGCATGAAGTCGCACTAGATCTTTCACGAAGGAACACATGAAACAGCTATATCTGCACATTATGAGTTTCAAGTTCAGAGTATGTCAGCACCAGTCTACGCCGATTTTGGAGATCGCTCGAGCTTCTCCACGAGAAAAGCAATCCGGCATATCACCGCTCCAGGCTTTTCTGATTGAAAGTAAGCACTTGTGGTCCTATACAAAGAGCCACAATGGGCTTCAGCGTCTCGCACTTCGTCGATGTCCTGGCCGCGTTCTGCCCCTTTCGGGTAGCACGAGGCTCCCCGGCAGATGCCAGATCAATAATCCTGATGGGAACCATCGCCACGAGTCGCAAGTGTGATACTTGTCGGCGAGCGAGCTAGTGGACGGAAAGTGAGCACTGAAAGGATTACAGGAATGGTGGCTGCTCTCCCATAAACAGACTCAAGCACTTGTCAGCGCTATTGACAGCTGGCTGATACAGGTACATGGTACTTGGATCCATCGTACCTTTGGCGGACGGCTCCATCACAACTTCACAGGCGTCTCTTCAGCCTTGGTGGAAGGAATTCTCTTCTCGCCACCAGAAGCGCTTAGTCTGGGATTGTGATGTGGCGCGGCGCCCAGCGGTTATCAGACACGCTTGGAAGCGAGGAAGGTCCCTGTCGTTCAGTACTTGCTGGATCGTGTTGATCTCGGACTTCGTCTTGGTTGTGTTGCACAATGGGAGCAGACCTTGCGTGGGATGTCCTTGAGAGGACCAGAATCAAGTTTTCTTCCACCGAAAGTGTGACTGACACATCTCCTGCACGATGCCAAAACCATCAAACCTGCCGAATATAGGTCGGGAAATCGCCGCCATACCAGTACCACGTCCCCTCAAAAAGCTGCATTCACATCGGCAAGGAAGCCCTGCGCTTCAAGCTTCGACTCACAGACACGTCGCAGACCATCCCTCCATCGTGGGCCGTGACAAGCTTCCAAATCACACCACAGGTCTCACAACGGTGTCGACGAGGGGGATAGTTCAGGGGATTGCAAACTGTGTTTTTGCCTTGGGGCCCGTGGGGCATATACGCAAAGCCTTTGTCGGAGCATTTCTGCATCACCGTTTGGTGTACAGTGTGGGAGGGCAGGGATGTCGAACCGTGTCAGCCCAGGATCGACGCGTACAGTACATCAGTAGCGTGTTGAGAAGCCTCCCATCCGCGTTCCATACACAAACACTCACCAAGGAACTTCTCAACGGGTGCCTTGCATTCCAGCCCTTGAAAGGGGGAGGTGTGTGGATTCCCACGTACCTGCATGAAAGGAGCTTCGCTACGAGAGACTTCGACCGACTAAATATCCAAGGTGACTACTTCGAACCTTTCTGTGCCGACGCAAGAGTGGCCAGGGATGCAGAGATAGAGAGGTCGTTAGGTAACATTCGACAGCCCTATCAGAAACCAGGAGCTTATCCAGCCACGCTCACTCATCACCGACTGCCACGGCCATATCACGATATCCTTCGCACGCTTGAGAAAAAGCAAACGCAAGAGAAAGCTTGCTTGCCTTTTGCTTTTTTCGCTGGAGAAAAAGCAAATCCTCCCCAAGATCCCCCAAAATCCTTCTCACCCTCGCTCTCGTTCTCTAGCTCTGATTTTAGAGTACAGGCGCAGATAAGAGATAAAACCACCTGCATTCACACGTTGGAAGTCCTAGTACCTCCGAGCAGGCACTATTAGGCACTCACATGCGGTCCTTTGCCCTACCGGCTCCGGGGCCGCCCTTTTCCAATTCCCCGACGAACTCATTGGGGGCGATGACACTGGAAAAAACTCACTAAAGCTACTGCGTCAGAGTACATAGATACGGTCGGCCCATTGTGCCCATCACATCCGTCAAATTGCCAACCCAAGGGGCTAGCCAGAGCGCGCCCCCCGGGGGCCTCCTTCAAGCGCACAGGCCGTTAATTTAGCACCCGGTGGGACCTCGTCCCGTGTCATTTAGGTTGGGCTTCGCGCCACCCGCATGGCTGGGACGGGAGAGGGCAAAGGGGGCCAGAACAGCCCTATTGTGCACCGCGCCGTTACTCCCTTGTACCTGGACGCTTGGGAGCCGGAGGACTACTCGGCATTTACGAGTACGCCTGGGCTTTTTCAAGGATCTGTGCTGCGTACACGTAGGGGGGAAGGGTTTCGATCGAGGAAAAGCAATGGGCATTTTTCAGAACCGCATCCTGCGCGCGACCCCTGGCAGGGTACTACTGCTCCTAGTAATAATGCGCAGTACTCGATAATACATCCTTGTCCTTTGGGCAGGGCAGGGCATAGGTACAGCGCTGCTGGCAGCTGCAATGCACATGGGATTGGTCCCTGTCGTTGTCCCTGGACGTGTTCCTGCATCTGAAATAGGTACCTGAAGGAGTAGCTGCCGAAGCGTGAGAGGAGTTGCAATATCCCTGGAGATGGGATGATCTCCCTCGTCCATCCCCGCAAAGTCCTCCGGGACGGTTCAGCAGTTCCTCACGTTTTCCTGATTCTTGAAAGAGACAACTGGATGTTGAATAGGACAATGCCCGTATTGAAGAGGTAACTCCCAGCGTCCTTATTTTGCTGTGTACGCGGGTGCCCTTTTAGCTCGATTCATAGACAATCCAACAGCCTTCTCATTTGACACTGGACACGTCTCGCTCGTTTGAGGCGAATCCGAATGACTTGTAGCTGAATTTTGTGTCTACATCATATCCCAACATCCAGATGTACAAATCCCCTGGTATCTTGGTGCTTCCCAACCAGCTGCATTCCCCGTTATATTCATATGGCTCGAAACCCCTGTGTCCTGCCGCCAGCCCGAGAGGACGAATGTATATACACGCTTACCCAGTCCCAACGCTCATTCCCAAACAAATCCGCTGAGCCTAGCAAAAAGAAATGTGTGAACCGGATCAAACGTCCTGATAACTTACGCTCCACTCCTTGGTCGTCTTGATAATCATGGCCTTGCTCCCGTCACTGCCATGGCTCCTGCCCCCGTCCGAGGTGATGCTCTCACTCCGATGCCTGGACTCGGAACTGTATTCCTTGTCACCCCTTCCTGCAGAGACCTTGTTGACCACGACGCGGTTGGTGCTCGTCAGGGCCTGCCCGATTCCGTGGCCCGACGAATCATTCATCGTCGGTGTTCCGATGGTGGCTCCCTGGCGCGGGAGATCCAGACTCTCGCCTCGCAACTCGCTCTTCAGAGCCTGGCTCCGAATCGCCGAAATACCGCTCTTGCTGTTGTGCGTCGCCATCTTGCCCATCAAGTAGCTGTCGTTGCCGTAGCCGAAGCGGCCGTCGCCTTCCTGGATCACGCCGGACAGGTAGCCCGCTTGGATGGATTCCATGAATGGCCGCAGATGCGGCACGCACGCCGCGAAGACGCTGAAGAAGACTTCCAGTATGGTGGCGATCGTGGGCAGCCAGCTCTCAAAGGTGATGTCGGCGCTGCGGTCGAAGAAGCGGTGCATTTCACTCATGCGCCAGATGGTGCAGGCGATGGCGAGGATGCGGAACGAAAAGGCGAAGCACACGGCTATTTTCTTCTTGATGGGCAGCTGGAGATTGTACACGAGCCATACCGGCATGGCCATAAGTGCTACGTCGATCAGGATGTCGATGACTGCCACGGCGTCCCAGAAGCCCACCTGGCTGAAACATTTGTTCGTTGTGATCAGATAAGGGTGCGGAAGCGAGCATTGAAATGCGCTGGCGATGATCGACGTGACCGTCCATGCTATCGTCAAGAGGCCCGTGGCCCACATTGGGATACGGTAAGATTTGTTCGGTGAGAGAGCAAGGAGTAAGGATAACGTCGAGATCTTGCCGAAGGAAAGACTGGTGGTGTAAAGGATGTTCCAGGCATATCCCGCCTTTTGGAATTTCTCATACTGGTCGGCACTCAGGGTCGAAATCTCAGACCCCAATCCTCCGCTGACCTGCTGATTGATTGCGATGGTAAATCCAATAGAAAACACCTTTTTGCGAAACAGTTAGTCTGGTGCAGGTCGCATTCACAACTTGTCTCCGTTGCTTACCATTGCGGTAATGAGAATAGCGTCCTTCCATGCCAGTCTTCTCAACACAACCAATTTACTGATCAAAACAGTGACAACTGAGAGACACATTGTCGTCACCGTGGTCCATGCCACCAAGTTCACCACGGGGCCTCTGTGGGTGGCGGAAATCAGTGGGACTCGGGCGAACAGACTGTGAAATCCTGCCATGGTGGGCTGTCGTGCGAGCACTTTGACGACGTACTCTGAAAGTCTTCGAGTTCATAGATAGGTTCTTCAACGACGCCCAGGTTTTCGACAAGGACTGACAGCGACAAGGTGATTAGAACAGCGACCGATCAGACCAGGAAGAGGAGGTGAATATGAAAATGAGGAGCACTGATTCTCCTGGACTCGGGGTAGCATAGAAACATGCCTAGACGCGATGCGACAGGGCTTGTGATAACGAACGAAAAGTCCTTCCGTCTACCTATGCAATGGCAAGGTTCTTCCAGACAAGGGGGTACGATTGCGCTTTCGTGGATGGGCGCTGGTGGCCCTGTCAGGCACGTCTCGATGGCAGGCATCTCATTTGGCCTAGAGATTGTGCCAGTGCAGACAAGGCCGTTAGCAACGAAGCATATGCACAGCTCAGCTCAAGCGCGGACTTTCCAGCGGCCAGTAGAGGCGGCGACTAAAACCTTGAGAGGATGCATACCTGGTTCATCTTGCAGATAGGCGTTATCTGGTGGCTCGCTTAGCCAAAGCTGTAACATACCTAGGGGTCGGATTAAGGTAAGGCGAGTCTACTCGTAGGTAGGCCACACTTACGGTAGGGGCCCGAGTAGTGTGGAGGTGAGAAAGGACAAGGTATCCCCTGGTCTGTCACGAACAAGCTCGAGAGCTTGGGGCACTCTCGCCTACTACGCCTAGTGAGTCTGACCTTTGCCTTGCCTTTTGTCCAGGGCTTTTAGCGTCCTTCGCTGGGGGACCGGACGACCCTCTCTCCCCGAATGCTTCCGTGTTGCCCCCCTTCCTGACGCCCCCCACGGTCTCCATCAAATGCTACTGCCCCTCTCTCCAATGGACTTTCGGCAAAGTTGGGGAGTGATAACGGCTCTCTGTGCTGGCTTGCAGACTTGCAGTAGAGTCCTGAGTAGGGCTCACTGTGGAACTTCAGGCTGGCCCGACCCTCCACATTGGGGGCCTGCGATATGACCAGCTAGCGCACCCGCAGCACTTCAAAAGGACTCTGTAGTCAACCCATTCTGTCCGTGGGCAATAGCTTCCAAAGGCACTGGTGACACGATCTTTAATCACGGAGATCTTCTCCGCATCCGCATCAGCTGTTTCACGTCCTTGACATAAAACTCCGGTAATGTCGAGAGGCATTGGAAGGACCTTGACAACGACAATACCGTCGCGGAGGTGATGGGACCTGCACATGGGATATTCATTCGTGATAGTGACCGGAGAAACTCTGAATGAGGTGCCAGTGGAAACAACTCCCTTCCTGTTTCAGAGGGGAGAGAAGCCACCGGGTGCCACCCAAGAATCTAAGAGACTAAGACGCATGGTCGCTAACGTGCAGCGCCGATCCCTGCCACCCCAAAGCCCAGTTTTTGCTCGGAGTATTCAACCTTTGCCATCAGGGGCCGTTGGCCTTATCACGACCAAGCTCAAGAAAGAAAAAAGCACCGTGAACTAGCAGCTCGGCGAGACGTCGTTGGCTGGCAGCATGCCTGGAGGCGAGATTGCTCCAGCAGATCCGGACATGACGGTCCCAATGTCGAAATGCCACGGGCCAAGATATGGCTGCGATCGACATCTGTGTGGTAGAGGGAAATAGGTAGTCGTGATATTGTCCGTAGGGAGCACATAGGGTCAGTGATTGGGTTACTGTCTTCGCGTGATGCCAGGTGTCAAGCATTCCGGCAGTCCGTCTGCGCAGCTATCAGGAACAGAGGGTCGATCACCTTGCCACAGGAGATGTCGATACCTACATGCTGGCATGGGCCTTACGAACCTTTGTCGGACTCCACACTTGTCACTGTGTCAGCCAGGCTCAGTTCACACATGCAAACCTTGATATGGGTGTTGGTCTGGGGGGCCTCTCCACTAGTTCCAGTGAGAAATCTCCATGGCGTCTCAAGTCACCAAGTAATCTACCCTCTAAGCACAGACCGCAGGAGCTCCCACAAGCGCATACGAGGAAGTCGCAAAGACCAAGAGAGCTCGGGTGGGGTGCAAGGTAGTGGAGTGCCGCAACTGTCACAATGCATGCATTTCCACATGTATTTCCCTGTGGCCACCAACCTCGTCAAGAATGGTTTTACTATTGGTGACCATGCAGTGGCCTTCCAAGGATATCGCACAACACGCCGTAACCAAACAAGAAGACTCCGTGTCGATCGCGGAGGCAGAGTCGGCATCTCATTTCGCCTGTAGCGATTCACAGGGGCGGCGTGTTGACTTCATATGGGAAAACTGCATCGCAGCTGTGAAAGGCCCATCAGGAACCCGAGTTCTTACCAGGGTCAAAGAGCGCTAACAAGGTTCGCTACTACTCGTGCTCACTGCTCAGCCCTGACTGCCAGATGATAAGATCCCCCAGCGTTTTGCTTGTCAAAGTTCTCCCACACCTATGTGAGAGCAGGGAAGTGCTCATGCGCTACTGTCAAGGCTACTGCAAGCCCAGCACCCCCTACTTACTTGTCGACGTCGAGACTTGTCCTGTTCAATCGCACCACCTTGACCCCATCTTGTAATCCTGGTCCATCCGTGTCACCACAAAACCCACAAACGTGCCTGGAACACGAGTGCCGCCAGGTCCCTTGTTGATCGGTGCTCGGGGAACTGTAGCTTTTCGCATAGAGGAGAGAACTGCCCTAAATTGATCAACCCCCTAGCGTTTGGTCGTGGACTGCGATCCGATGGAACAAGTCTCTTTATGGTTTTGTACCTCGCCTAGAGACCACGAAGTAGACCTGTAACCAAGCGACAGTCCTACGGGTATATCGCCCGCCAAAATCCCTTTCGTCCTCTGATCACAAGCGGGTCTTGCCTCGTGGGAGTTCTCACGATTTCTTTCTCACCCTCATTGAGAGTTCAAGTGCTTTGTCATTCACTGTCTTTTCGCATTCGATTCTTTCCTGTTATCAGACTGCTCGAAGGATAGCATCTGTGCAGAGACACATATCAAACACTTGAAACAAGGTCACGGTGCTGGTCAATATGGCGGACGCATTCGCTATGAAGAGCGGAGGCAAGTTCACCTCGGAAATCCATCACTCTAGATCCTCCTCAGAGCAAAATGGCGAAAAGTCAGTCAACAGAGATGAGCAGGAAATGGCCAGGTTAGGAAAGCGTCAGGAGCTGAGGGTATGCCAATTGCGCTGCAAACTTGCACAATAGATTGGTGCGACTGACGTTGGCAACAGCGGAACTTTGGCTTCATGAGCATGCTCGGTTTTTCCTGCACCCTGATGATCACCTGGGAGGGTCTGTTGACGGTCTTCGTGTATGGATTGACAGACGGGGGACCCGCCGGCCTGGTATACGGGTATCTCTTCTGTTGGGTGGGATACTTCACGGTCGTTGCTTCCCTTGCTGAGATGGTCTCAATGTGAGTACACTTCAAGAAGCCGGCCACGGTCTTCGTGATAATAACTTTAGAGCAGGGCACCGACTGCCGGAGGGCAATATCACTGGACGTTTCTTTTCGCCCCAAAGTCTTGTCGCAACTTCCTTTCCTTCATTACAGGCTGGCAGTCCGTTCTCTCGTGGCAAGCTTGTCTCGCGTCGGCGGCCTACCTCGGCGGCACAATCATCCAGGGCCTCCTCGTTCTGAATTATCCCAGCTATGATTTCCACAGATGGCACGGGACACTCCTCCTGTATGCAGTCATCTTCGTGGCCATGCTCTTCAATACGTACCTCGCGAAACAGCTCCCGAAGGTCGAGGGGGCGGTTCTCATCGTCCACATCGTCGGCTTCTTTGGGGTGTTGATCACACTGGTGTACTTGGCACCACATGGCACCGCGCACGACGTCTTTGTGCAATACCTGGCCAATGGAGGGTATGACAAGGGAACCTCGTTCTTCGTGGGACTCATCACCACCGTTTTCGCCTTTATCGGGGCCGACGGTGCCATTCACATGAGCGAGGAAATCATAAACGCCTCAACGGTGGTGCCTCAATCGTTGGTGGCCTCCATCGGTCTCAACGGTCTGATGGGTTTCGCCATGCTGATCGCAATCCTGTTCTGCATCGGCGACATCGACAATGCGCTTTCAACGCCGACAGGCTTTCCCTTCATCGAAATCTTCAAGCAGGCCGTCAATTCAAATGGTGGAGCGACTGCCATGAGTGCTATCGTCCTCTCGTTGATGATCTTTGCCACCATTGCAGTTCTGGCTGCGGCGTCCAGAATGATGTGGGCTTTTGCTCGTGACAACGGGCTTCCCGGATCTCGATTCATCTCTCAGATCGAGCCCCGGACCAAACTCCCCTTGTACTCGGTCGGACTCTCTGTTCTGATTACCCTGTTGCTGGGATTGATCAACATTGGATCATCAGCAGCTTTCAATGCCGTCGCTTCGTTAGTCGTGTCTGGCTATCTCGGCAGCTACACCATACCGATCAGTAAGTGTCCCGTAAAAGCAGCCCCAAAATTGGCGGAGATTCAGCGCGCTATCCCATTGAACTTATCCGTCTGATGCTGACGACGAATTAGTCCTCATCCTGCACAAGAAGATATATAACCCTTCGTCCATACACTATGGGCCTTGGACGTTGGGACGCAGATTCGGCATCTTTTGCAACGTTTTTGGCCTTTTGTGGATTGCCATTGTCATGACCTTCAGCTTCTTTCCGTCTGTACGGACCGATTTGACACTCCAAACCATGAATTGGTCTTGCTTGTTGTGGGGCGGGACCATGATCATTGGCGTAGCCAGCTATTTCGGCTACCTCCGGGGCAGATACAACGGCCCCATTGTCGAGACGGACATTATCGAACAGGTGGCCCACGGGGTGTGACCATACGGAGTGCAATAAGGAGTTGTTACGGTTTATTTCATTCTGCAGGATTGGTGGAATCCAGTGGTACACTGCTTTTGAAATGTACGGGAACAGGCTGACATTATAGATCCCAAGAAAGTTGGTGTACACATTGGGATACCTTCGGGATGACATGTACTGGGACAAGATCGTGCACGAAGGAGGCGAGGAGGATCAACGGACTTGTAGATATGAAAAAAGTTGTATCTTTCTGGGCTGAGTCCGCGAACCGAAGGGAATTTTGGCTTCTATTTTGGGAAGTTCGCTAAACCTGCCCAACCCGGACTGCAGGAGGAAGCCTTGTCCAGGCAACACGCACCGCCAAACATATCAACAATGCCCTTCACGTCCAGAGTTCATCTATAAAATGCATGCCCCGTCGTTGCATGATTGATTAGGTACCGAGGTACAGCACTCGCTCGAGTTCCAGACTCGGCGATTAAATCTCAACTCTGCCCACCAGAACCCACCCATAATCTGGCACAAGCGACCCCAGAAACGCCACCTCCTTTTTCGCTTTGCGCCACGCCGTTCATCCTTTCCCTATTGTGCGGTGCACTGAGATCGCTGCAGAGTCACCAGGAAAATCCTCAGACTCGACAGCTTCACTTCACCAATAGTGATACCATGCGGCGCTGCTGGAACTCCTCTTTGATATACCAATAACAGGCGCGTTGCCCCAGTGTCCGCACAGTGGATGAACATGTCTCAGAAGGCGGTGCACGAGCTAAAAGGGGGATTGGCCTCATCCGCGTAAATTTTGTGGGCAATTGTGGAGTAGGATCCTCCGCCAAGCGAAACAGACGTTGCACAGGAGTGATTGATGGATTCCATGTCCAAGGCATTATCGAGTATTGATGGGCTGATGGGCTGATGAACTGGCCCCCATCCCTGAAAAAAACAAAAATAAGTGTTGATGTTGGGCGGCTCCCCGTGTTTGGCGTTGTGGATGTGTTTTTGGCTGTGAAGCGCCTCTTGGACCCTTTTGTTTCCTTCTCCCTTCTTGTCACTCCATACCTTCTTCACCCCGGATTTCACCTTTCAGCGGATCTTGTGCAAAGTGTACGCGTCACTGCTGATGTGTCCCGTCTTACATCCTCTTCGCTTCATGTACTCGGTAGACAGCCACCTTGCCGGAAGATCATGAGCTCGTCGCGGGCTGGCTCCTCGCGATCCAGTTCAGATGACTCTCATGTTGGACTCCTGAACGAGAAGCACGACTTGGACTACAATTTACAGAACACGGCCACAAGCCCCTGGACGAGCATCGCTCCCTCTCGTCAAATACCCAAGATCACCTTGTGCTTGTCGGTCAAATACCTTGCAAAACTCTTTGGTCAATTGTTCAACCTCCTTGCCCCGAGTTTTCTCCAGCGTCGCCTTCATAATGACCAGGCCAAACCAGACAAAGTCGCTCCAACGGCGTTTCTCGATGGCATGCGCGGGCTTGCTGCTTTTGTGGTCTTTATCTGTCACCTCACCTATGGCACCTTTGATATTGCCCACGCATGGGGCGCCATCCCGGACCCGGAACATCAGCCAGTATCTTTATTTGGGCAATATTTCCGCCTACCCATCGTGCGCCTTCTCTACTCTGGCCCTCCCATGGTGGCCATCTTCTTCGTTATTTCGGGCTACGCACTCAGCTCCAAGCCTCTGAAGCAGATGCGGTCGCGGCAGCATGACCAGTTGATGACGACCATGACTTCGTCCATCTTTCGACGGGGGTTGCGCTTGTTCCTACCGTGCTTCGCTTCGACGTTCCTGGTTATCTGTCTGGCCCAGCTGAACCTATATAAAGTCACCGAAGGCTTTTCCAACCAGATGCGCATGATCCGTGAGAGCCACTGCTACACTCAACCGAACCCCTGGCTGCAGTTCACGGATTGGCTGGTACAGATGCTCATCTTTGTGGATGTCTTCAACTGGAACATATTCGCTGGCTCCATCGAGCTCGATCGACACCTCTGGACCATTCCCGTCGAGTTTCGATGCAGCATGGCCTTGTTCCTGACACAAATGATGGTCGCGAGGATGTCGGCGCGGCTGAGGCTGTCGACCCTTGCGGCACTGATTATCTGGGGCATCTCATGGGATCGATGGGAACTGTGTCCGTTCTGGGCCGGAATGGTGATTGCCGAGTTAGATATCATTTGGACGACCCCTACGGCGTCGGAGTTACCGTCGGTCGCAAACAGCCAGCCTCACAAGCCGAAGTTATTGTCCAAGGTCCTGCATTGGTCCACATTCTGCGCTTCACTTTTCCTGCTGTCGTATCCGGACATCGACGCCCACGCCACACCAGGATACTTCACGCTGACCAACCTCATCCCTGCAAACTTCACAGAAAAGCACCGTTTTTGGCCCAATATCGGCGCAGTCATGATTGTCTGGTCGTCATCGCGCCTGGGCTTCTGGCGGAATAAGGTCTTTTGTTGGAGCCCGATTCAGTATCTAGGGAAAATCAGTTTCCCTCTGTATGTCATGCACGGTCCTGTCATCCACACGCTGGGCTACATGGTATGGAAATCTTGCGCCCCAAAACTTATTTACAACAAATTCAAATTATTGAAACTAATCCTTTTTCCAGATCCTCCCACAAACCCCCGAGGTCGAAACACCCGAGATCATGAGACGGTTCCAGCTCGAGTTCTTCAAGTCATCGATCGTCATTGTCCTGGTCGTTATTTGGGCGGCTGATGTCTTCCTCCGAGCCGTCGATATCCCCTGCGTCAACATGGCCAGAAAACTGGAGAAAGCTTTCTTTGGCGGATGATCTGTCTGTCTTGTCTAGTGCACTCATTCGGTCTGCCATTGGTCCACAAGTCAGTCAGTCATTGAGTGATGCATAACCTTGTGCCATTAGGCAAAAGTCCGTCAATCAGCGCGCTGCGTCCTTGCCATGATCAGAACGCCTTTTTGCGGCACGTCCGAGATTCGAAAACTCGGAATATCGTCCATGCACAGGTCCGATTGTTGGATACAGAGAACGGACACGCGGACATACTTGATAGGGGAGAATACAGCAATGCAAAGAGGGCATCACGGCTGAAATTACTCTTGAAATCCTCACACGACTCGTCAGGCTATTTATCGAGAGTAAAAGCCAACATTGCAACGCCTTGACCAATTACCTACCGATCGATCGCGTGCTAAGGCGGCAATCATTCTGCCGGCATCGACTTCTTCGACCGACAGGCCTCACAGATATGGTTTCGATGAATAGAGTACATGGGTGGACTTGGGACAACCGGAGATGCCTAGGAGAGGAGGCGAAGAACAGTGAAGACAAACCGGGAGACAACAAACGGTATGTGACGTGTTGGATGGGGGATTGGGCCGAACACCGAATTCCAAATACCTAAAACAACAACAACAGGTCATCATCTAATCCTGCAGGTGGTGCTGCGCAACAGGCACCTGGGAGCGAATGGACGAGACTAAAATGAAGGTCCAAGTCGGGTAACTTTTGGATACAACGACGAACAATCTTCAACGCATAGCTAATGGCAGCCAAAGTGGATTGGATTGACTTCGCTTGTACGTGCCCAAGTGTGCGAAATAGCCAGCCAACACTGCAGGTGGCATATTGTTCATGTCCCCCGGTCGCTGATAGACGGCCACAGCAACATTGATCGTCACTGTTAACAATTAAAAAGAACCATTTTTGCAGGGTGGTTGGCTGCTCCCGTACCCAGAATTCAAACCTCGAAGCACGGACCTAGGTAGATAATGCAGCCCGCGCCGCAATGCTGTAAAAACCAAGCAACACTTGTGCCCATCACATACCTTTTGATACCCTACCCTACTCTTCCTTTACTTTACTGTCCTGTCACCCTTTCTTCGACTAACCCCTATTTATTTGCCTTTCGGCCTCTCCAGCGTCGAAGCAGCAGTGGCCTCCGGCTGACTTCTGGTCTTCTCCGCGTTGACAGCATCAAAGATTTTCCCTGGGTTCATCAACCAGTGCGGGTCCAGGCTGCGTTTGAGAGTCTGCATCACGCCAATGGTCTCGAGGCCCAGTTCGTCGATGAGACTCTGTTTTTTGCCTAGTCCGATGCCGTGTTCGCCGGTGCATGTTCCCTCCTGTGACAGTTGTGTTAGCGTTGTTTCCAACACAAATGGATTGCGGTGTGGGTCTCATGAGAAGACGAGAAGAAAACTCAGACGTAATGTACCATTTCAAGAGCTCGATCAACCATACTGTGCACGACGTGTTCGACGCGCTCCCTCTCCTTGGGATCCCTGCGGTTGTACAGGATGGACGTGTGGAAGTTGCCGTCCCCGATATGCCCGAGAACACTTGCGAAGAGGCCTAGGTTATCGATTTCTTCCTTTGTGATTTCTATGACATTTGGTCAGTTTAGCAGCCCAAAAAGCACGGATGTATTATGCTTACCGACGATATCGGGCAGCCGTGAGATCGGGACCGCGACGTCAGTACTCCAGACTTCGTCGCCCTCCCTGCGCAAGGAGAGCATGCTCCACAACGAGTCTTTTCTCGCCTTCCACAAATCATGCGCCTCTTGGTCGTCGTTTGCGTAGATGAAATTTCCCCCTTTATTTTTCTTCGCAATCTGTGTGGTGAGCTTGATGTTGTCCTGTACGCCGGCTGTCGTGCCTGAGAACTTGAAGAAAATGGTGGGCACTTCTTTCCACGTCCGATTCGTGCCTCCGGCGCGATTAATCACCGACATTTGCACGTCGTCCATTATCTCCATCGCAGCAACAGGCACGCCAGCGCGTATCACCTGCGAGGCCGCCGCGGCTGCATGGCGAATCGTGGGGAATGTTGCGACGGCGACTTTGGTTTCCTGAGGGATGACTGCCAGTTTCAGCGTCGCCTCGGTCACGATCCCAAGGGTGCCCTCCGCGCCGACAAAGAGACCCGTCAAGTTGTAGCCTGCTGCTGTCTTGCGTGGCCTTCTCCTGGTCTTGATGACTCGACCGTCTGGCAGAACCACGGTGAGATTCAGAACCCAGTCTTTCATAGTGCCGTAACGAAACGCGTTAGTGCCACTGCAAGATGTTCCAATCATGCCACCAATTTTTGCCGAAGGGCCAGGGTCCACAGGGAAAAAGAGACCGGTGTGCTGCAGCTTGTCATTCAAGTCCATCCATTGAATAGCGGGTTGGACCACGACGTCCATATCATCTGCATGGATCGCCAGGATTTGATCCATGAAAGCAAAGTCGATACTAAACCCGCCAAAGGGTGCAGCAAAGTTGGCTTCCAGAGAAGAGCCCCCAGAATACGGAATCATTGGGACCTTGTATTTCGAAGCAATTTTGGCAATCTGCGAAACTTCCTCCGTCGTTTTAGGGTAGGCCACAGCAACTGGGAGTTGATCAATGTTGATCGAAGACCATTCGGAATAGCCATGTGACTGGAGATCCTCATCATCCGTGCTGATCGCATCCTCGCCCAGGGCTGCACGAAGCTCTATGATGGCCTTCTCCATCTCCTTCTTGCTGGCGTACTGGGGAGGTTTTGGTTGGCGGGGCAGCAGCTCATGAGCATGATTCCCTGCGTCGGTAACGCCCACCACATATCCAATAGAGGCAAGTGCTCCTCCGAGCAGTAGAACCCTGCTGGTGGTCCATAGTGGAAGCTTGGGTTTTGCCAGAGACTCTGCTGTCGAAGGTCTCGTTGAATAGCATGCTCTTGTGACTCCTTTTCGGAGAGGTCGTTGTGCACGAGCCCTAGAAACCAAGCGAGGCGTGGCGAAAAGTCTGTTCATGGAAGCACTTTCAATCCATATTTTGAGCAGCTCCGAGCACAGTCTGGATCTGTCCATCACCCTATCGAGAATGTTGTGACCTAGGCACGAATGGCGGTCATCTGGGCTATTTCTTGCAGTTGTAACAGTAGAAGTTGGCTGTCTCTGAGAAAAACGTGAGAGTGAGCCCCCAAGCTTTGGGCTGGGGTGACGGAATCAAAGCCGCCTGAGCGCGAGGGGGCGTTCGCTTGGTTGTCGATCGCGCAACCGACCAACTAGCGGGGTGGACAGCCGCCCTTTGCCATTCGAGCTGCATTGTGCAAGGCCAGGATCCTCCTCTTAGAGCCATCCATACCATATTTGCCCACATCTCATTCACTTTCCATCAGGAGCTCTCCGACCAGCCCGTTGTTCGACGCGCTGGACGTCCTAGGTTATGGTGTGAATGAGTCTGCCGAAAATGGGCCCCTGGCTTGGCCTGTTGACTGTTGGCGACATTGGACAGTGTCGTCGGTGGTTCGAAGGTGAGGGCGCATCCAAGATCCCAAGATCCAAGATCTGCTGATACCGAACTGTCGGATGTCTCCCTGTTTTCGCGCCGCCAGTTAATTCTTTTCCATAGCATACAGCCTCGCCCGAGAACCGTGGCATGCTGTATTGCTAACGTAATCTTCTTTGTGAGTGACAGAATCAGAGAGGTTGAGGGAACGTCTTCGCGTTTGTTCGTTTGCTTGGTTGCCAGTGATTCCGGAGAGACGTGTCTCCTTCACGCCGGTAAATGTGGCTTTCCATTTGAAGTCGATTGCACAAACAAAACAACGCATGGCTAATCTGTTTGCTGTTCTATTAGCATCTTCAGATTCACCTTAGCAACAAAGGACAATTCACTTCGCGGGTGCGATTGTGTGCTATTGAAGTTGGGCGGTGGGTTTTGTTGTCATCACGACCTGGCTGCGGTTTTCACTGGCACCGCTATTTCAATTCTACGTTTCACTTCCACTTCCTCTTCCACCAACACCAACACTATCACCATCACCATCACCATCATCAGAACTCACTTCACCCTCATCGCAATTTACTTTGCAGCTTTTGCATTCATCCATCCGTTCTCAGATTCACCTTCAGCAACTACAAAAGCAGCTCAACCCCCTTTCTTCCCCCCAGCCCTCCAGCTAGGTGGCCACCATCAACGATAAAGTGACTTGGCTAGCCTCGGCTGTCGCCTCGCTTACCGCCTCGCCCCGATCGATCTAATTGTGTGGATCACAATCAAAAAACCCTTTGAAGTCCAGACAATCGTCCTTGTTCAATCCTCAGCAGCTATCTCCCCCCTGACCGCTTGCCTTACCTTCAAAAGGCTCCGCTCATTCTGACTACCTCTCCCACTCGGAATATGGCTACTCGCCCTCGCTTTCATTTCCGAACGCCATGATGGACCTGCGTCGGTCAGTGGCGCTGAACAGGCCTCAAACGCGTGAAGTGATGCGCCAATCTAGGGCCGAACCAGAATGGAGAAACTGGCCGTGTGTCAAAGCAACGCTTCCTAACTTGCCTCTCGGCACGACAACCTACGATATACACAAGAATCTACAACGTTTTGGAAAGTTGGAATATATCCGCATCGAGGAGACCCGACAAGGTAACTTTGCCAGATATGCCAATGTCATGTTCAAGTAAGTGAAATCATGATTATTGGCTATCTTCGCTAATCGTAACCACAGACCCCCGCCTCCGGGGAGAGCTCCATGGGACCCAGTCTACAGATATGGCATCGACTTTCCTCTTGGAGACAAAGATGGGAAAAAAGCGCACAAAGTCAGGGTTTTATTGTCCAACAGCCAACCCACGGCTCAATTCATTGAAAGTCGTGCATGCTCCGGCCTCAGGTATCCATCCGAAATGATTTTGTTGGGGAACTCGATCGACTTTGGCTATTTAGAGAATCCGACCTTGATGGTTGTCAAAGCGAGCAAGTCCGATGCCCGTGGTTCCAGTATCAGACTGGTTCTTAATCTCAGACGACTTGAATTGGAAGTTCACTTCCCGGTGACGATCAAATCCAAGGGCAAGACAGCCGAAAGAGCTTACCGATTCTTCGTCGCTCTCGACGATCAGTTCTCTCTTTCCGTCATCCAGTCCTCCGTGGTGATCCATGCCAAGCATCCGCCTTGCTATTCCAGACAATTGAAGGAAGCTATGCAACTAAGCCACGATCCGAAGTCATTCAAGTGGTCAGCGGACGATACATTGTCTCGGCAAACCGACATTGTTGACGAAAAGGAAACCTACCACAAGATCGACAGCAGTCCTGTGTCAGTGCAAAAACTCTACAACAGCATTGACCTTGCACATTGGACAACCTTCCGGGTCACCCTCAAGCCAAGCACTGATCGCCCCGACAGTTCTCTCAGTCTGTTTCTGAAGGCTCTTGCAGATTTCAATATTCGTATTGCCCAAGGTCCATCCTTCAAAGTCGTGAGGGGCTCGAGTGATGGGGCGCCTTTTTGGCGTATGTTGGGCGACACTTCTTCACTCCAGTCCCTGTCGGACCAGCTCTCCTGTCCTTACCTTGATTTCGATTTGAGATATCAGCTTGAAGTTTGTATCTCCAAAGGCTGGCTCAATGAATATAGTTTGGACAAAAACTTTCTGCAGCACCTTACCGGAATGCGCCCCGAGCGTGCGAAGCAGATGCTGGTCCATGTGGATTCATACCAGCGAAGAGTTTACGATCCCATGTCTATCTTTACCGACCTGCGTTACTCAAAGCCTGTACGTGCTCGTGCACTGCCATCGAATTGCGCCGAAATATATCATGCTACTGTTACTGCAACTCGAATCCTCTTTCACACTCCATCCGTCGAGATCACCAACCGTATTGTGCGCAAATACAGGCGCTTCAGCGATCGATTTCTTCGAGTGCGCTTCGAAGATGAGCCACATAGGGGCCAAACAAGGCTCTACCCCGCAACAAATGGCAAGATGAAGCTCATTTTCGAGAGAGTTCGTCGTACGCTCAAGAATGGTATTGTTCTTGGTGATCGACATTACGAGTTCCTGGCGTGGGGTAACTCACAGCTTCGAGAACACGGAGCATACTTCTTCGCATCCTCGCAAAATCCTGTCATCACCGCCGACAGCATTCGCAGGGACATGGGCACCTTTGATCATGAAAAGGTTGTCGCAAAGCGAGCCGCACGAATGGGTCAATGCTTTTCTACAACAAAACCAGTTCCGGTGCTCAGCAGAAACAGCTGGAAAAGAGACCCGATTCCTGACATAATTAACGGTCCGTACACTTTCACTGATGGAGTGGGTAAGATCTCTCTGCTCGCTGCTCAACTTGTCAAATCAAACCTCAACCTTGGGGGGGAGCACCTGCCTTCCGCGTTCCAATTTCGCTTGGGCGGCTGCAAAGGAGTCCTCGCTGTGGATCCCAAGCTCAATGGCGTTGACATCAAGATCCGGCCGAGTCAATACAAATTCAGCTGTGACTCAGACGAGTTGGAAATCATCCGCGTCGCAGAATTCTGGCAGCCATTCCTCAACCGTCAACTCATTTTGGTGCTCTCGGCGCTCGGCGTTCCCGACAAGGTATTCTTGCACAAACAATCAGACTGCATCAAAGCATTAGATGCCGCTCTCGTGAATGACGCAGCTGCTTTACGGGCATTGCGTGCGACTGTGGATCCCAATTCAACCACGCTCAGCATTGCTGCCTTAATAGAGGCTGGATTTTCCCACATCCATGAACCTTTTGTGACGTCTCTTCTCCGGCTTTGGAGGGCCTGGACGTTGAAATACCTCAAAGAGAAAGCAAAGATACCGATCACTCAAGGTGCGTTCGTGCTCGGCGTCGTTGACGAAACGAAAACACTTAAGGGTCACATCAGCAAGACAGGGCCTGGGCTCGACGCAAGCCGACAAGAGATGGAGAAATCCCTACCAGAGGTCTTCATCCAATACACAGACCCAGAACAAAAGGGAGTTCGCCGTATTGTCGAAGGAATTTGTGTCATTGCGAGGAATCCGTCTTTGCACCGAGGCGACGTACGAGTTGTCAAAGCCGTTAATGTGCCTGAGTTACACCACCACTGCGATGTCGTGGTTATGCCAGCGACAGGCGATCGTGACTTACCCAGTATGTGCTCGGGAGGGGATCTCGATGGAGATGACTATATCGTAACCTGGGACCCAGACTTGATACCTTCCGAATGGAATGCTGAACCATTTCATTATAACGCCCCGAAGCCAATCCAAAAAGAGGAAATATCTGTCGGCGATATTATCAATTTCTTCTACGATTACATGCAAAATGATTTCCTTGGAAGGATCGCTAATGCTCATCTCGCAGCCGCTGACTACCTCCATGACGGCCTCAACAGCGAACAATGCCTGAAGCTGGTCGAATTACATTCAATGGCTGTCGATTACCCCAAGACCGGCGTCCCCGCTGAGATGAGTCGAGATCTTGAGCGAAACAATTGGCCTCACTTTATGGAAAAGAAACGAGCAGGCCAGTATCATTCTAAGAAAATTCTCGGTCAACTGTACGACGCGGTTGAGAGAACAAAATTTAAGCCGCACTGGTCAGGGACATTTGATCGACGAATCCTTATACATGCCCCAGCAGATGAGATCATCGAAACTGTCAGCAATCTGAAAAAGAGTTATGATGAGAGCATGCGGCGCATCATGGCTCAGCACCAAATTAGCTCTGAATTCGAGGTTTGGTCTACATTTGTACTCCACCACAGCAAAGTCTCTAGAGATTTCAAGTTTCACGAAGAGATTGGGCAGCACGCCAAAACTTTAAAGGAGCAATACTACGAAGCATTCTGCCAAGAGGCTGGTGGATGTGACATTGAGAAGCTCAAGCCATTCGCAATAGCAGCTTATCATGTCACTCATGACGAACTTCGAGAGGCACTCGCACAGCAACAAAATGATCGGGAGGAGGCGTCAGAGGTTGTTGAGTCCAACGGATCTGGTTCCGCTGTCATAAATATGCCCTTCATATCATTTCCCTGGGTCCTTCAGGATGTCCTGGTAAAGATTGCGAGAAACACAATCCTACACGACGAGGTCGAAAAAGTGCAGATAGCTGAACAACAATCGGTGGCTGGTGACGAGGTCGTACAGGTGAAGGGTCAGGACCTCATTGAGGAATTTGGTCGCAAATGGACTTATCATGGAGACCACTTGCCTGATCCATACGTGCCAGTTGCTGGAAGCGCGGATATTGCTCAATCAGAAATAAATGTCGCGGCACAGACCAAACTTTCAACGGCAACAGGGATGCAACCACCACCGCCCAAACACGACACATCAGGAGAGCTTCCACCGATCATAGCACAAGCTATTGACCTATGCGGAAACAAAGAAGATCAAGCTGCATCGGATATCAGCTCGATGGTTTCTTCCAACGTCCCCTCTGTGGTTCTAAGCAATATGAGTGCCTCTACCAGCTCAGATGATATCGAACCACCACCTTCATCTGTGGACGTGTCATCTGAGAATCCAGTGTCCTTTTCTCAGATCTCAGGCTCCCAAGGACTGCGGACCCCACTGAGGTCGACCTTGAACAATGCACCTCCGCTCACGGTCCACGAAAAGCTGCCGCTCAAAGACCCAGTATTGATGACAGAGGAAGAGTTTTATGACTTTGAGGCCGACAGTGGTGAGGATGACTACACTTTCTGAACCTGATCTCCACAGCATCACGATGAGGTCGAAGGATGGAAGTGATCGTCTTCGGCGGCCGGCATTCACTTTTCCGTCCCCTCTTTTTGGTACTCTTTCCACTTACGCTGCCCGGACAACAGAACAAAGGCCGCGACAGGCCAAGGATGGACTTGGAGGTATGAGGGGGGTTTTTCGTGTCAATTGGGCTCAAAAATCAGCATGATACCCAGGAGCATAGCGTGGCGTTTTGGACTATCTTATCGGAAAAAGGAGACATGACTTGCACGTGTGGACATGTACGCAACTCCTTGATATGCGAGGCAAGGGATCGAAGGCGATCAGGGCATAACCAGTCGTCGCCACTGGGGAAAGAGACTATGCGGCCTCAAATACTGGAAGAGCTCTAGCGAGGGAGGGAGACCCGTAACGAGGCTCTTCCAAACTGTACCTGAGTTAAAAGCTCGTAGATAGGCATGCATGACATGCGTAGCTAGATCCCCAAACCTTGTCTCCATCGATCTCGGCTTGTCAAAGCCTAGGGGAAGGGGAGAACGTGGAATCTGGACGATGATGGAGATCGACACTATCAGGCACGTCTCAAATCTGTCTTGTTCACATTGATTGATTGATTCAAGGAATTTATCGTCGCCCTCCTCAATGGATATGCGCCCACTCCCCACGACTTTGACGTTTTGGATATCAGGTTTCTTTTTCAACGCAGGAAGTAGAGGGGGAAGAAAAAAGACTCCTAGCCTGTGCTCTGTTGACTTTTTCCTTTGAGAAGGGTTCAACCGCACACTCGGCCTCTGAGCGAATAGCAGAGCCTGGTTTCGCCTTGTCACTCTCTTTCGATCCGCAACCTCCACGTCCCGGTTTACCGGGTCTTTCCCCTTTTGCCAGCTTTCCACCTCAGTTCGCTTCGCCAGCTCCTTCCTTCCGGTCCTCGCCGCATCATGCGTTCGTCCCATCTAGCCTTCCAAAGTCAAAAAAAGACACACACAAAAACCAGGTCTCTGGGGCCGCTGGGGCGCTTAGATGTGCGTATCGTAAGGTTGAGGCGCAAGACTCTCGACACCTGTGAACTCGACGACGTGGGACTTTCGGGGACCTTGGGGCAGACGCTTCAATTGAACGGACTCGCCCTTCTCCTTGGCTTCACGGCGGCGTTTGGCGTTGGACTTGACTCTGTTCAAGACTACACCCCATATATTAGCAAAGACTGCCTCGATCGGTTTCCCGCAGTGACTTCCTTCCTCATAAGGGAGCCGAGAATAGCTTATGGCGATAAATGTGTGGACTTACACTCCTCTCTTGATCTGGAATGGGCAATGTGCTCAACGCGAACGTTGACTCGCTTCTCGATGTATCGGTTTCCGACTCGCTTGTAGATGATGACTCCGACAGCGGATTTGGTCACGTTGTACACGACGCCAGTCTTGCCGTGGTACACCTTGTAGGGCATCTAGAATTTGTCCAAATAGCGATCAGTTTTCGAACAAAACAACTGAATCCGGTTTAAAGGCATCGCATTGCGGGGGAGGAACATACACCCTTTTGAACGGCGCCGTTGGCCTTGATGTCGACAATATCACCGACTCGGTATGTCTTCATGTACGTCGAGAGAGGGATCATGCCCTGCAAAAAATCACCTCGTCAGTTCCTCTTCTATTTCTTCCATCCACATTATCTTCTGGCTGGTGGTCGTACCTTCTGGCGGAAGTTGCGGCTGAACGCATAGCGCGTGCCAGACCGGAGACCTCGAGAGTGACCCATTGTGACGGATGAGTTCGAGGTAACTTGTCGGATCTAGTTGTCGAGGACGGAATTGTAGAGACTGTTTCAATGTTGGTTGTGGTTCAAAAGGCGCAGCTTGCCCCAAAATCGATGCCAAGCCGCGGAGCCGTGAAATTCGCAATTGTGCGGTCGCGCCAAGACCCGAAATCCACACCAATTTTGCGGCCAGAGACCACAAGCCCACCCTCAATCCTATCTCACTACGAAAAATACGTCTGCGACTTCTCCCCTGCGACGACCATCCAATTGCGCTGTCTACATCGCAATCATGGCGCCGCGATCATACTCAAAGACCTACAAGGTCCCTCGTCGACGTAAGTAGTTGCCGTCCCTTTCGTGCCCGACAGAGACGACCCAGGCTGACTTTCGCGCAAACAGCATTCGAGTCTGCTCGTCTGTACGTACAATGAAATATCCTGGCCACTGAGCACCAGCTTGTCTGTGCTTCATGTCTGAGATATGCCTGACAGTCCACTAGGGATTCGGAATTGAAGATTGTCGGCGAATATGGCCTGCGCAACAAGCGTGAGGTCTGGCGTGTCATGCTCACTCTGTCCAAGATCCGTCGTGCTGCCCGGTATGCAAATCACAAATCCTCCTTCCTGAATCTTTTCGCTGTCGCGGAGGATGCTAGAGAGAGGCCTTCTTACTGACATCTCCTGTGTCTCGCCTCTAGTCAACTCTTGACCCTCGACGAAAAGGACCCCAAACGTCTCTTCGAAGGCAACGCCCTGATTCGCCGTCTCGTCCGTGTCGGCGTGCTGGACGAATCCCGCATGAAGCTCGATTACGTCTTGGCCCTCAAGGTCGAAGACTTCTTGGAGCGTCGCCTACAAACTTGCGTCTACAAGCTCGGTCTCGCCAAATCTATCCACCACGCGCGTGTGCTCATCAAGCAACGACACATCCGAGTCGGCAAGCAGATCGTCAATGTCCCCTCCTTCATCGTGCGATTGGATAGCCAGAAGCACATCGACTTCGCCTTGACGAGTCCCTTTGGTGGTGGTAGGCCCGGTCGTGTCAGGAGAAAGAAGGCCAAGGCTGCGGAAAAGAAGGATGAGGACGGTGAGGAAGGTGGTGAGGACGAGGAATAGATCATACGATGATATGACGGATGGTGACTGGTCGGTCTGTCTCGGTCTGATTATCCAGATTCTGACAGGAGTGTCGGCGTGCAAGATCAAAGGACACTTTTGTTCAAAGCAAATAGAGCCCATCTCGACGAGACCAAGGGGGAAACCAAATGAAATGTCAAGTCGAGGACCTTGGCTGGGCCAGCGGTTGATTTGCGTCAGCTAGCAATACCAATTGTTCCTCATGCAAAGAAATTCATCCGTTTCATTTCCGTTTCTTATCCTGGGGTATCATTGTGGGCGATTCTAATTACGCCAGCAGCCTTTCGAAACATCCGTACTCCATTTCTCAATGTGTTTGAGTTTTCTTGTCAGGAACCATGAGTTCCCTCCACCCCTAGCAATCCCTTCATGACAGCCTCATTCGCCCTGTACCATCTCCCCAACTCCTCCACCTCGTCCCTGCCTCCTTGCTCACGCCTTCTCCTTCCCTCGATCGCCAGCTTCGTGCTCTCATTTCGTCTTTTCTCCAAGTCAGCCAGCTCGCGATCCATTCTCTCCACCTCGCGCAGCTTCGCGGGCATCTGTTTTTGGAGTTCTGCTATCTGCCGATCGATTTGGGCATTACGCTCTCGTTGTTCCATGAGGGCTTGTTCCGTGGCCATGAGCGAGAGGTGCATCCTTGGATCGCCGCTGCTTCCAGGGTGAGCGCTGTCGTCGTCGCCTTGTCGCGCAGCAATCTCGGCTTGTAAGCTCTCCACCTCTGCCCTCAAGGTCTCAATCTCAGCAGGAACACGTTCTAAGACGTCCAACCCCTCTGTGACGCTGTCATAAGCACGCGCAACATCCCTCGCTCGCCCCTCCATCTCTTTGACCAACGCATCGACCTCGTCCTTTTTCGTCTTCAGCTCTCCTTTCATGACCGCCAACCTCTCCTCCAGAGCCAAGTTGTCTTCATGGCTGACGACGAGGGGGGGATCGCCCACAATGCTGCGTAGGTATTTCTCCTTGGTAACTTGTTCGAGGTAGCTGAAGCGGAGTTTGGAGAAGAGATCCTTGTAGTGGGCTAGATCGGCGATGAGGGTGGCGGGCGTAAGCTGCAGATTTGATTCGGTCTCTGACGTAGACAGAGCATCTGAAGGCCGCGATTGCGAGTCTGAGTGCTTTTGCGGTTGTGTTTGCGACGTGGCAATGGGCTCGGCGAGCGCGATGATTGAGAGTGGGTGCGCAGATTGTTGAGCGCGAATGGCCGCGAGAGCATTTTGGTATTCCATGGATACTGTTATTGCTCAAAGAGAGTACAAAAAATCCCAGGGGCGAAATCGTAGGATGGAGTTGACGTGCTGAAGCCTACCTAGGTAGTTATTACTACTACTGTGTACTCTTTTTAGCATTACCTACCTAGGTAGGTAGAGTGGTACCTAGGTAGGTGCGCTGATGAATCCGGAAATGTAAACACACGATGCCAAGAAGAGTAAAGGCTGCTTGGGGGCTCAACCCCCATCGGGCCTAGGATGATGCCGCTTTGCCACCCCGGGCTCCAAGAAAAGAGGACCAAACACGTTTTCTACCTCCTGTGACAAATTCATACCCATGCTTGAGCCACGACTTGACTCAATCTGGATCAATTGGTTTTCAGGACATGGCGGTGGTCTGTGCATACCTAGGTACAGATCAAATAGTCATTGGGCCACTCTGACCAAATTTCGTAAGCAAACTAACTGTGGATGGGCTGCGGAGGGACTGACTCCTTGCTCCAAATGGCAATTCTACTCCCGAAAAGGGTTTGTACACAAAGAGACGGGCAAGAGCATTCGTATTCGTTCAGGCATTTGGATTTCAGCGCCAGGTAAGGCCCGCTTACTAAGTCAAGGCTTGGCAGTGCTTGAGGATGCTTGAGGAATCAGGATGCTTGACTGTCTTTAGTGTGCTTGGTTTTTAACTATGCCTTTCCTCACATTCAGACTCGATCATGAACCAGTCGTAGCTGAAAGTTCAAGTGTTGGCGGGAGTGAATTATGTATATCCTGCCTGCATAGCGTGGTGCATATCATCTATACAGCCAGTTCTGCGCTGATCCTCACCGTCGGCCCATGACTGCACAAAAATGCAGGCCGGCACCTTCATCGTCTTCAGTCTGATAACAGACACCGAACACCGAAGAGCACCTACCAAAGCCGTTAGTTCACACACTCGCGACGCCGAGCTCGAGTCTGCTTTCATCCGGTCTCACGTTGCGCATGTCAAGCACGCGAGGCGTCGACTTGGAACACCAGGCTCTTTCAATCTCTGGCCCCGCTCGCGGCAATTCGTTCGACCAAAGCGCGATGACCGGGAATCACGTCCAGAGAGGCAAACGTCGCCGCCTCTACTCGCAACACCAAGCACACCCTATGAACGGAGCGAGAGCGAACTATTACAGTGGTACTTTGACCACATCTGCTTAGTAAGGGGGACTGGTGACAGCCCGGCACAAACATTCTGGGAGGTGATCGTACCGCAAATGGCATGGCATGAACAATGTATCAAGCATGCCTTTCTTGCGCAAGCTTCGGCAATGAAAGTGTACACCGATAAGCGGTGGGGACGTTCTTACTTCTATCGGTCTCTAAAATATCAGAACTCAGCAGTACAACAATTGGCCAGAAACTCGATTGATATACCTACGTTACTCGCCGCGGCAACGATTCTAAGTGTTGGGTGCATGTATATGAATGAATGGGAACAAGTCTATCAGCATTCGCTTGCGGTGTTGAAGCTCTCGAACGCCCTTGATTCGAAAGTCACGGACGAGCTAAAGCCTGCCCTAAACTATGCACGGCAACTGTGCGAGGATGTTCTTGACGCATACTGCGCGATAACTGGAACAGTACTACCACGCTCCGTCCGGAGGCTTGGGCACGAAGTGGTGGGCAAAGGCGCCGCAACAGCCGTTTCAAACCCTTACCCTGAATCAGTCACTACGGCCCAGGGGGGATCTTACTGCCCGAGTGAATTTGGCGCTCAGGGATCTACTACCGCTAAAGAGCGGCAACAGATGTTCTTCGATTCTCTAATGGGACTTGCGGTCACTCAACACGACTTACACCACATAATAAAGGCATTACAGTGTCCCATTATGTCTCCAGGTTATCAGCACCTTCTACATACAAATCTCATGATGGCGACCTTGAATTTCGCGCTGTCGACCTTGACGAAGGTCGCCTGGCTATACAATAGATGGACATCTGAAACATACCAAAGACAATACCTGACTAATAACCAACGACGAGAGCTCCTTCATCTCAGGGGTTGCCTTCAGAGCTATGCCAACTCCCAAACTCAAGACAATAAGTTTGAGACGTATCTTGCCTGGTTAGTGTCACCAGTACCTCTCTTTAGAGAGATCAACGCCTTTGCATCTCTTTTAGATGCTGATAGACAAAGCTTTTTGGACGATGCGAGCGACCACCCGGGCAGGCTGGAGAACAACCATTGGACCCAGCCCACGCCCTCTGACGAATTCCCAGTCCTACGCATTCGACATTTCTCCTACACTTTCGTGCCTATAGTAGCAGGAGAAGATCCACGCTTGCGACAGGATATATGGGAATGGCTTTCGGTCACTTAGTGGGTTAGTCGTTGGCTTCAACACGACTACTTTAACATGGAGGCCGAAACGACACGACGCATACTTCTCTGCAGGAGAAAAGGATATGCATTGAGGTTAGTTGAGACCGCAGTACGAGCGACAGCTTCTTCCAAATCTCTGCAAACCAGGTGGAAGACAAGCTTTATGCGGCAGAGGGCTATCTACCCGCCAGCACTAGCCTGAGTATTCGGTCTGCGTTGGACATGCCTCCAGCGCCATCGTAGCTTTTGGCGTTGCTGCCGATCAAGCCAAGATGACCTCGCCTCGACACGTGCATTGCGGCTGGCACCTCCTATGTCAACCTGAACGCAATACAACGCGTGCTCAGCTTCATTAGTTGGGAACGCACTCAACCTTAGCATCTCAGACTACCAGACCCTTCTCCAACGGGACCAATCCGCCAACAACGGTGCGCGTGCCTCTGACTCGTCAAAAACCCTGAGAGGCATCGAAAACTCCATCACTGTATGCTTGATGACATTCAGGTCGGATATGCGAGTGCCCAGTTGAAGCTCGCCAATGAATCGATCGAGCTGCCCACAGCTGTGTCTCTCTCGGCCATCAGCTTCGGCAAATCGGTCTACGTCTACCTCAACTTCGCCATCGATATGCTGCTGTTGTTGCTTGTGTCAGAGGAGACTGTCCGCCATAGAGGGTGGAAGAGCCTCTCAACTTTTGATTGCACCAAGCGTATGCACTCCTCTCCTAGGGAAGATGACCTAGTGGAAGCAGTAGAACAAGGCACGGATGACAAGGATCTCAGAAGATTTCGTCTGGCTGTCGCTGGGACTTTGGTACCGTACCATGCCTTTTGCTTCTACAGCCATCCAGTAGATGCCTGTATCGGGCCCAATTAGACTTGTCGATGGGTGTCCGTCAACCGGTCCAATGATATCGCTGTCCATGTGATTCTCTATACGACCATATACGGCTAGCGCCGACCAGTATTGATTATTACCTGATGCGGAAGACATCAAGCAGACTTGACGTAGTTGTAGCCTTGCTGCGTAGTCTGCTCAATCGAGACCCTGCAGAACCAGATGTTTGCCAGTCTGTTCCAGGAGAGGCTCGGCAGAACACAGGACCACGAGTGTTGAGACACATGAGTCGATCAAACACCACGCTGCAATCGCTCTTTCACGTCCGCTGCCATTCTTGCCTATCGAAGCGTCTGCGTTTACTGCACGTAGTAGAGCATGCCCATCTGTGAGACGGAGAGAAAGAACGAGGAAGGGACCGACCAAATCTCCACGCGAGTCTTGGATATGTGAACTTCTCCCCGCTTGGCCCCCCCAAAAAATGCGTGGTACTTGGTAAATGTTTGGAAGGAGGCGAGACATGGTGATGCAAAATTCAATGAGTTGTCTCGAAGCTAAACGCTTCTATGATTATTTGGGAGGCCACGCTTTTTGCCTGTTGATATCCACCATAGGGGAGGCGCGTACAAGTGCTGCTTTGAAAACTCAGCGCCGAATCTCGACCTCTCCAAGATCCATTTCTGAAGCTCTGAGCATCCTGGCCATTTAGCCTGAGCCCTAGCCTGGCCAAGTAATCCTTCCTGAGCTGATCTCGGCTTCGCGCACTCCGAGTTCTGTCCGGACGCTCAGAGTGAGCTGAAAACCGCCATGGGCGTTTTGTGTGGACTCCCAGAGAAGGATACCACATGGTCTCTACGGGTAAAGTCTAATTAGTGGGTATAGAATTGGAGCCGCCGGTGTTTGGGGGGAAACTGTTGGAGGTTGTGAAATTGGCCGTCTTCCCCTTTCAAAAAGAACCGGCAACGAGGACTTGCAGTCATTTCTTCAGCACAGAGCAAACTGGCGCTGAAAGAGGACCGAGAGATATCACGAAAAGACATCAACCATAACCCTGGCCGTTGAGGCTGTCGCGGCCCGTAACGAGGTTCGTATTGCTGGCATGGAAGATTCGCTTAAGCCCTGGATTCCTCGCCGCTGGTGGCGCCACGAGTATGATGGACAAAATGCGTGGGCTGTTCAGCTCAGCCACAGCAGTTCCAGAACATGCGTCCAAATTCGTTCAGGATTTCAAGCCACTTGGGTCCAGCTTTAACTGCTCTTAGGGTCAAAGCCTGATCAATCGATTTCTGTGTCGGGGACATTTTACTTTGCGTGGCGCTTTTAGCCCTCTGATTGATACCAGAAATGGGTCGTCCTATGGACCTGCATCGGGCATTTTTGGATTTTTCGCATACTAGACGATACCAGTCGTCGACGTACATTTTGTGTTTGCCTTGGAGGTGGATAGACAACGGGAGGCGCTCGAACAGCGTAACATTGGTATCTTGGACTAGGTAGGTTCAAAAGGTTTGACATCCGCAGTTGTTCCCCAGAATACTGTCGTCTTCTTGTCTTGGGGATTGTACTTTTGACGGATTTCCTCTGTCGTCCATTCTTTTTTTGCGATTGCAAAGATGCTTGCACACGCTCGTTACCTTTTAATTCCTGCCCTTCTTTTCAGTCCGGCATCAGCTGCTCAATCATGGAATAGCTGGGAGGATTCTGACACAACCGTGACCAAGGTTGTCACGTCCACTCATTACGTTTGCCCTTGCGATACTTCTAATACCGGCTGGTTCGAATGGTCGACTTCGCCTTCTGCACCAGCTGCACCTACCTGCGCCCACGAAGACGGCACTGTTTCCGGGGAATGTGTCTGGGGATCAGGGCCAACGTCCAGCGCTCATGGTGATCACGGCGGTCACGGTGTATCTGGTACTTGGACAGGCCCGGATGGCGCAGCCTCGTCTACGCATTGGGGGCATTCGACGAGCATTTTGAAAACAATCAAAACCCATCCCGCGCTTACGTCGGTGAGTCGTACGCATAGTTCGATGTTGGCATATTGCCTGACAGATGTCTAGCCTCACATACATACCTCGAAACCCCACCATAGCACAGAAACAACGAGTCCCTCTTCAGCTGCACCTGTCACCACGTGGACGACGTCGACGGCTACGACAGAGTCTCCTACATCGACTACGTCAACGCCGTCAACTTCATCAACTTCATCAACGCCGTCAAGCATATCGACTACATCAGCAACGTCAGCCTCGCCAGCGACATCGATTCCGCCAAGGATATCAACTTCGTCAAGCATATCGACGATACTAACGACATCAACTTCATCTCCTACATCAAGTATATCGACAACAACGACACTGTCTACCACATCGGCTCCATCGACGACATCAACTATATCCACGAGATCGATTCCGTCAACAATATCAACATCTACAACATCAAGCCCATCAACAACGTCAAGTATATCGACAGAATCGACAACATCTATTCTATCAACAACATCGAGTTCGACAACAACTTCAACGTCGACAACGACAACGGATCCACCAAACACATCAACATCGACTTCGACAACAACGACGGACCCGCCAAACACATCAACCTCGACCACGACAACGGATCCACCAAACACACCCACCACCTCTACCACGTCGACTACATCAGAGACGACCACAACAACATCACCTATTCTCACCACCTCCGCCACCACGATTGTAACGACCACAACCACTTCCACATCAGCAGCACCAGCAGCCACATCCTCCATCTGCAGCGCCGCCCAAGCCCAATCCTGCGCCGCCGCAAGCGGCGACCAATGCATATGCAACGTCCGACCCGACGGCGTGACACCCGTCTGCACCTCCGGCGGCGCCTACTGCCTGTTCGCCGGCGTGACCTGCTCAACCGACGCCGATTGCGAGTACGGGTACACCACATGCGTGAAAAACGACGGCCTCTTTGGTGCTGCGTGTACTTCGCCCAACTATTGCGGAGCGGCAGGGACGTGCGCCCAGCCCGCGGCGGGAGGCGCCAAGAGAAATCTGGAAGACGTCTTTCGGGCGGCGGCCGGAGGAGGAGTGGTGGACGAGTTGCCTTCCGCCGCTGGGAGACGGAGCGAGTTTGGTCTCATAGGTGGGAAGTGGGCTGTGGTTGCTTACACCTGAATAAGTACGCGCCCGGATAGAGGCAGGAGGGGCTTAGAGACGGCGAGATCGAGGTCTGGAAGTTGGCTCCCAGCATCCTGGGTTCTGTTTAGGAGCGTTGTTTTCCGCTTGGGCCGGGGGGCATTGCATTATACACCATTGTTTGCGCGGTGGGGAAGAGGTTCGAGGTCACCGGCAAGCCAAGCATAAGCCAGGACCCGGAGGGCGGGTGACATTGAGGTGTAATATTTTGCATCCCAAGATCGACTACGGATACAACCTGATCATGAGGATCTAAGGCTCCATATATGCGTACATAGACGCATTAAAGCATAGAGCATACAGTATACAGCATACATACAGCAAAGGCACAAACTACGACATGAAATATCGACGCCGCAGAAGATATATCAACTACATATTTTATGTAGACGGAACGGCTCCGTTTCGGCACCGCAATGTGGTAATTTTGGTTTGAATGAGAAGATCGTTGGGTCTTCTTCTTTCGCTTTCTCCTTTATCATACAATGGATACTTGGAGGTGGGTATCTTTTTCTTTTGACGACCAGGACAATGATTCTTCCCTCTGCCGCCCCTTCGATACAAACGCCTGTTTCGACTCGCAGTGCCCAAAGCTCCCATGTTGGACAAACGCGAATATCCCAGAAACGCCCCTCGTTCTATGCCAATGCGTGACGTGAGAAAAGGCCATCCGTTAGCAGAGATACAATTGTACAGTCACGCCGGAGCGTGGTGATGACAAAGAAGCCTCGGCATGCAGTTCGAGGTCTAGCACCCGCTCAGACGTTTGAAGTAGTCCCAAAGATCCGTAAGAAAATCTCATAGGTCGACATCATCACCGCGGCGGCAGGCACAGCTCGAAGCAAATGCGGCGTCATGCCTCCGTACAACCCAGCCATCCCTTCTTCTTTGGCCACAAGGCGGAAGCACTGTATCAGGCCGGTGTATTTCATCGTGACTCTGCCCGTCTCGGTCGTGATGGTTGGCGCTTGCCGTAGCCTCGTTCTGACAACTTCATGCGGATATGTAATGACTGCTGCGAAGAGCTTCGCGCCGGCGGCGGCGCAGAACTTGCCCCCAAATTCCTCCGCATCATCAAGCATTGTTCGCTGATACCCAGGGTGCGAGAGGCGCTTGGCTTCCCTTCTGGCCAGGGACAGTTTCAACCGCTCGTACAATACCCATTGAAGAGTGGACTCGGTGACTCCTAGATACGAGGCCGACAAACCCCGGTACAGACCTCGGATGCCCTCGTGCCGAACAGTCTGTCTGACACAGTCCCAGCTATTCTTGTACTGCCGTCCTTTTGAAGGGTCGTGGCTGGCAGTGTTCTTGTCCAGTTGCAGACGTGTCTTGACGACCCAGATAGGATTCGTGGCGGTGCCCGTTGCTATGCCCGCCGTAGCTGCAGCAAGAAGATGGACGCTCCAGACATTTTCCCGGCCCTCTGGGTTGAGATAGTTGTTCAGGATTCTCTTGCCATTTCCGTAGACGTAGAAATTGATACTCCTTGCAGGCACAACGCCAACCAGATTTGCGCCGAGACCTCGAAATAATGCCCGGAACCCCTCATGTTGGTATATCGATCGTAGTATCTGCATGGTCTCTGCGATGTGGAAGAATGCTGCTCTGGGGACGGAGGTCAGGGTGAGTTTATGAGGAACATGGTGTTGAGCGTGAAGGGTTCTGAGTTGGGCTTGGTAGAAATCGGACTGGAGTCGGGTCTTCAGGACGTCGAGAGGAGAAGTGAGAGTGGCCGCGGCCATGCCACCGATACTAGAGCATCATGAGTCTGAATCCAATCTTTTGAGTAATCGGGCATTGGGCGCATACCCTCCCGCGACAAAATGGGCCCAGGGTTTCGCCTTGGGCCCGTCCTTTGTCACCGCAGTCGCATGGTCATTCTGTCCCCCTGGTCCTACTCGTCCAGTCTCCCGAGACTCTAGAAGCAGAGGACTTTCTCCTCTCGTGCTGGTACCCTGGAAAGGCTCGGGAGTCGCCGCAGGAAAGGTCATGAACGTTTTGCGGAGTGAGCTTGGAGCGAGATGTGAAGGAAGCCTGGACGAGTGTTGCAGACAAGGCCACGGAAAGGTTGAAATGTACAGTCAAAGACAGAAACGAAGGATAATGCTGGTAGTGGTACAGCGCAAGGCGGCAACGATGTGGATTGAATTTCGTTGCAAATCGTTCGATGCGCCAAAAAGGAAATGGAAATTTTGGAGCGGAGCCGGAAAAATCAAGCGTCCGGCTCCACCGCTGTCACGTGGAAGGCTTCAAATGACTGATTTCTCTGTCAGACAATGTCTGGTCTCTGTTACCACAGGCTTATTTACATCTCATCTTAGTCGTGGGCTATCGTGCACCTACTGGGTGCCTACATATGGCATGACGTCGTCCTCGGTTCATCCGCAAACAAGGTGGAATGTAACGGATGGAGAAAGTTGGAGTCTGTGTGTTAAGTCCCGAGGTATGTTTCGAGGTAGCATGGGCCCCTTAGCGGCTATATACGAGGCACATCCGTGCCGTTCTGCGCTTCCACCGGATCCTTGTCCGATCTCACGCTTCCCTCCCCTTCCCACCGGAACTTGTCTGGTCGTCATTACCAAGGCTGCTCAAGCTCGGTGCGTCCTCGTTCCCGTCATGAAACTGTACAGGCTCGTGTCTCTGACGATTAACTTGCAACGAGAAGACATCGAATCTCTGATATCCCCCAACAACATCGTGGTACTGCTTGCCTTCTATGCACTCGTTCAGGTCCAGGTCTGCAAAGAGAATCGCTTCCATATTAGTGACGATGTTTTGTCCGTCCACCAGCTGATCCTTGGTGAGGTCCAATGCAAATCCCCCCTGAACGATTTTGCCTGTTGGGTCAAGAAATTGAGTTGCTCCTCGGGGGTAGCTTGCTAGCTTCTGGTGCATATCCTCTGGTAGCTCGGTCATTGCAGCAATGTCAGCCATGGCAGCATCATCAAGATGTCCCGCGCTCATGATTCCGAAACATTTGGCTTCAAAGCAGTGAGCCGCTGCTCGCGTATGATTTGCTGCAATGTTGTCATAATTGCGACTCCTTGTGCTTCCGGGATTGTCTTCATGGCCCGCATTCTCGACAATGACTCGGGTCGGCCAGATGGCAGGCCAAGTGGAAATATGGACTTGCTCCCCCTGTGCCATGAGAGTATATCTAGCCAGTGGGTTGGTGTTCTCACCACAAATCAATGCCCCGATCTTGCCATACCGGGTTTGGGCCACGCGTAGGCCATAGCCATCTCCAGGAGCCCAAGTCAGCTTCTCGAAGAATGTAGGCATCAACTTGCGGTGATGAACCAGGATTTCGCCGTCCTCGCCAATGATTATATTGGTGTTGAAAAGAGTGCCGGAGCTGTATCGCACCTTCTCAGATATACCCAGGCTGACAACAACGCGGTTGTCGCGGGCTGCTTGACGAATAGCAGAGATCTCTTGGCCATCAACACAGACCGACTCCTGCACCATCCGTCGGAAGAAATGATGGGTGTGAGTCGGCGGGAGAAGTGAGCACCATAGTGGAAAAGCAGGGATTGAAGCTTCCGGGAACACGACTAGATTCGCCGATTGTCTGGCAGCTAATTCGATGCAACGGATAGTCTTCTGAGTTGTACGGGCAGCGGAGAGAATGTGGGGTGAGATGTGGCATGCTGCTGCCCTCAGGCTGGGTAAAGCCATGGTAGAGAGGCTGGTGGCATTGTGTAGCCCGGACCAAAGCCTGAAACAGTAGTAATCAGTCCAGACACTTAACCATCTGGAGCTCCCCCGGAGTGGTCTGATGAATCCGGGGCAGTAGCTAAAGGGGCAGACTCGGGATAATAATACATGCAGGCATTGCAGGGCAGTTGCTTTCCGAATTTGGCCTCCGCTGCCTCGGTTCTCGGATTACGCGAACGGTACCCGTCCAGCCTCTGGCCTCTCAACTTTTGATATTTGTTGTTGATCACTAAATCCATCCATCCTTCATCAGCTCCTTCACATTGATTTAATCCTGACCTCGACTCCTCGCTGCTTCGATCGAGGAACTCCCTGACCACTTCCCCAGCTTCTCTCTCAACCCCTAAAATTACACCAGAATGTCTGTTCCGTATCTCATCAATAGCGCCACCGGGCACATTCCTGCCTCGGAGAGGATTCCAGTTATCGCCAGACCTTTCGTGAGCGAGCGAGCAAAGAAGACATTGGATCTGGTAAGTCAGGATTCCAAGAGCTCTTGCAAAGCTTTCTCCCGCATTCTTTCCACCTTCGCTGTCCTATCTTGGCGGCTTGAGCTACCTAGGTAGCTCAAAGCAAATGGATCTTTCCATGACGCTTAGAAGAGAATACCACCCAAAAACAAGCACAAAGGACCAATACCAATGACCCCGTACCCTCTAGGTCGAACGATTCGTCGAAGAAGAATGCATCCCCGCCGATGCCGTCTTCTCCCAGCAGCTCAACCAAAAGGGTAGCGACACAGTGTCCCGCTTCGACGCTCACCCGCAGGTCATTGAAGACCTCAAGGCCAAAGCCCGAAAACTGGGTCTCTGGAACATGTTCCTGCCCAAGAACCACTTCAAGGAAGGTGCCGGATTCTCCAACCTCGAGTATGGCTTGATGGCCGAGTATCTGGGGAAATCGGGCGTCGCCAGCGAGGCCACCAATTGTGCGGCCCCGGACACGGGCAACATGGAGGTGTTCGCCAAGTACGGAACCGAGGAGCAGAAGCAGAAATGGCTCGGCCCTCTGCTGAATGGCGAGATTCGGTCGGCGTTCCTGATGACGGAACCGCAAGTGGCCAGTAGTGACGCGACGAATATTGAGCTGAACATGAGGAGAGATGGCGACTACTACGTGCTTAATGGCCAGGTTTGTTCTTCCCAGCCATCATGTACCGTTTTCTTCCCTTGATCTCAATTTTGCTAACAATGGCCTCCACAGAAATGGTGGTCCAGCGGTGCTGGCGATCGCCGATGCAAGATCTATATCGTTATGGGCAAATCCGACCCCAACAACCCGAATCCCTACAAACAGCAGTCGGTCATTCTCGTGCCCGCCGATACGCCTGGCCTCACCATTGAGCGCATGTTGTCAGTGATTGGCTTCGACGACGCGCCGCACGGCCATGGCCACATCTCCTTTAACAACGTGCGTGTGCACAAGAGCAACATGATCTTGGGCGAAGGACGCGGCTTCGAGGTCGTCCAGGGTCGTCTCGGACCTGGCAGAATCCACCACGCCATGAGATCTGTTGGTGCTGTAAGTGGAATGCCCCTTTCATGTCTCCACTCACTCCTCGCGGCATGCTTGGTTCGAAATTTTTGGATGATCCCTTTTTGCTAAATCAACTTCTGCACAGGCCGAGAGAGCGCTCGAATACTTCCTGGCGCGCATGAACGACCCAGCCAAGAAGCCCTTTGGCAAACTGCTGGCCGAGCACGGCATCATGCTGGAGCGGGTGGCGCGGTCGCGGATCGAGATCGACGCGGCGCGCCTGGCCGTGCTCAATGCCGCCATCAAGATCGACCAGTCCAACGCCAAGGACGCCCTCAAGGAGATCGCCGAGGTCAAAGTTCAGGTCCCCAACATGCTGCTCGACGTCCTCGACCGCGCCATCCAGGCCTACGGCGGCGCCGGCGTGTCCCAGGACACTCCCTTGGCCAACATGTGGGCTAGCGGCCGCACGATGCGCATCGTCGACGGGCCCGACGAGGTGCACATGCTGCAGCTGGGCCGCAATGAGAATAAGCGTGGCCCGGCGCTGCTGAAGCGCATCGCCGCCCAGAAGGAGAAGACCAAGGAGCTGCTCCGCCAATATGGCCTGGAGCCCAAGGATCCATTGGCCTTGAGGCGGGTCAGTGGCGGGCAATCGAAGTTGTAGCCATTTTTTGCAGAAGCCGCTGCGAACTCACGATGGTCATAGCTTGTGAGAGACTGGGAGACCTTTTCTGGGCTGCATTCCACTCACTGGCAGCTGTGCTTTTCCACCGGTAGTTAATTGAGAGGATTACTGGGAGGGGAAAGATTCGAAATCTTACTTGTGTCTGCAATCGTCTGAACTTGCTCTTTCGGAATCCCTCTTCTTCTCTATCCTTTTGTGGCTTTGAGTGAGTGACCGAGTAAACGCTTGTGCAGAGAGCCCTCGCCCACCACCATTTCCTCCCTCCGCGTGGCCTCGAGTACGAGTATGGTTTCGCCTGAGTTTCTGTTGTCCCGAGACCCAATTGAACTTGTCCAGGGGGAATCCTACGTAACGATAAAACAAGGAGGGAGACCCGAGGAACCCAGCTGGTGGCACTACCTGGTGCTGCTATAGCTGGAGCAAGCACGTTCCTAGAACTCTTTTCCTTTTGGTGTCTGGACCCTGTACCCCAACGGCAAGGCGCAGATCCTCCACACAGTCCACACTCTCGGAAGGGCAGCAGGCTTACAAGGTTTTTTCGTGGTGGCCATATGGAAAACGATAACAATATTAGTGGGTGGACTGCCAATTTGGAATAAATCAGGCCTTCCAAGAAAAGCATGGGCTGAGTTTTCTGCCATTTTGTGGGTTCGAAGGGAAATGCCAGTCTTGAATGGTTGAACCTAACATCTGAGCGATGCCGCGCCAAAAACCCCTCCGGTCTTTCGTTTGTGACTGGTCGAGAAGTCGAGAACTTTAAGAAATAACTCGTTCACCTGGGATCCAAGCTTCTGGGGTTGTTCTTTTCCTGGTCATCACACCTCTGCCTAGGGAGGGTCATACCGCTGAACGCATAGGCCAGCTACTTACCTGCCTAGGTACAGTAACATGTGCCATCCGAATGTTTAGGCACACACATGCATACGTGCATGGACGCTGTATCACAGAATGTCTGCAATGTAAGCTGCATACATCAACCTGGCTCAGAGAGAAGGCCACAAGAAGCATATTTGGCATATTCAGGAGATCGCTGATAGTCCCCTGGGACCAGGTTTGGGCTGGCAGCCCCAAGAATAAGAGATCGTACCTCGGAGAACCCAGAGGTCGGGACTAGCTCGCCGCTCCTCCGTCCGAGATCGCAGCCATTGGGATATGAGATTAGGATTTTAGAGTGGTTTTCTCTTCTAGTTTCCGAGCCTTGGGAGTCAGTCCGACCAGAGGGGTAACAATATGCGCGGGTGAGAGGATACCTCTGGAGTTGGGTGGGCTCTTAGCTATCCTTCCGCTCGTTATCGAAGGCTCGATTTCAAGGCAAGGAGAAATATGTGGAGTAGGTAGACTTGCTTAAATCGCAAAAACCAACGCTTTCACATCCCTGTTTCCCTTTCCGGGCATTCGCACCGGTGGGGAAAGGGGAGGGGAGGAGAAGATCTCATGCTGAAGACAAGCAAAAAAAGGATCACCTTTCAGACCTTCTTCGCGGAACTTGATTGATCAGCGTGGTTTGTCACTATCCGCAACCCTGGAGTGTACCGAAATAGAAGAAGAGCTGCGTGCCTGCTTCGTCGATCTCAGTGGACGAGGAGAGGGGCAGCATCAGCTTCCGCATCAAGGGCAGATGGAGATTTGAGAAAATGCCATGCCATATGGAGTACCTCGCACTTGACAAGATGCCATGGCGGTGGTGGCGCAGTGTCTAGTGTCGGTGGGACATGGCTTTGCAGTAATTAGCGCGAGGTTGCAACATACGGTAGGTACTCGGTACACAGTAGACTTTCTCCCCTTCTTCTGCAATGGCCTCGTTGGGTGCCTCTAGCCTTCTCCTCCTCCTCCTCCTCCACCTCGTCCTCCTCGTCCTCCTGCTTGCCATTGCCCATGTGGACACTGAGCAATTTGATAACTGGCTCTTCTCTAGACTCTCCACAACAGCCTGCAGTCAGTTGCTATCTCCATCCCAGAATCACCCTTTCTGCCAGGTCTACGCCATGCAATGCATGTTGAGGCATCCGGATGTACAGAAACTTAGTTTACTCCCAGTACCAAGTTCCGTCCCTCTCCCACAGCTATGTCACCTGCCTGATCTATCCAAGTTCGTATCCTAGTTCCCAGCACTGGGGTACGAGAGATCCCTTTTCCGCGGCACAGCTGGAGTGCATCCCCCCCGGTTGGTTGTCTCCATAGCTAGCACGACCTGGTACCTGGGATATGGTTATCCATACGTGTATATATTGCTTGAAGATCTCGCTGTCCCAATCCCTTGCCAGCATCTGAACTGACCCTCTTCCCTCCCCATTTTGGTGTTGCCACTTTGCCCGCCGAGTTCGAGACCTCTGAAAAGACCCTTTGAGTCTAATCCCTACTCACTACTTATCATAATACGAGGTACATTTCATTCCTGATCCAGCTTAGGGAAAGAAGGCTGCCTGAAGCTGGCGCTGGTCTCTGACGCGTCCTCCCCCCAAAGCCACCTCTCCAGCATAGCGCCCAACTCAACCGGCCAATCGTGTTTTTCCTTTTAGTCATCAACGTTGCTGGTCCTGGCTCTCTTCCCACAGTCTCTAAATTCAGCCTAAGCCTCTCGGACAGCTTCATCCGTCCAAAAGTGCGTTTCCCCTCGATGATACGCTTCTGATGTTGTCTGCGCCCAGACACCAACCCCTCAGCTCTGGAGAGTTGACGTTTGCTGGGCATGGCGTCTGAAGCCAGTACAGAGCCCGGTGGTACCAAATCCAAGCAGGAACGGATTCGCGACAATCAACGACGCAGCCGCGCTCGACGTCAAGAGTACCTGGCTGGGCTGGAAAGACGGGTGAAGGAATGTCAGGTGTCGTGTCGTGACGCTGACCTGCAGCGTGCAGCATATGCCGACCTTCAAGTCGAGAACGCCCGTCTGCGAGACCTATTGCATTATGTTGGTATCAGCCCTGATGTCGTCGAGAACTTCGGTCGCCACGGCGTGCAAGCACTACCCAACAATGCTGCAGCGCTTGCAGCTCGCCAGATCAAGCCCAGATATTACCAGCCCAACGCCCTACGCACCGGCGATATGCATGATGTTGACATGACCAAACAGGGATCGAATTGTGGTCCCACTGTCCCTGCTGCTCCAGCATCGCTTTGTACCCCGACATCAGCCATGCCGCCGGAATCTCTACAAGTCTGCGACAGCCAGCAATGTCCAACTTTCGTGGCCACTTCCGGGCCCCCTGCGACGGGCCTACCTGAGCTCGCCTCAATATCCCCACTCAGTTTGTACGAATGGATGCATCGCCCTGACAGTCAGGACACCCCTGCGTACTCCCCCGAGACTTTCTGTTGCGATGCCTTCGGGATTCCGCCAAACGGACGACTTCTATCAGAGAGTACAGACACCGTGCAATGTTTGGTCGCCAAAGGGATGATCGAGCAGTACGATCCGACCCCTGTCGAGATGGAAGAGATCGCGGCGCGACTTGCCACGGCTTTCTGCCCTCCTAGATCTGGGGAATTGGGCTGTCGAGTCAACACCCAGCTTTTGCTTCAAGTATTGCAAGAGATGGACGCTAGGCCAAAATGCGACTGAGATCAGGTGTGCACATTCTTGAAGCCATGCGTCGCCAACCTATGCTGCCCAGTTTTGGCGCCTGCCAAACCACTTGACGGCATAGACTAACCCAAGGAGAACTGGCACCTCGATAAGAGGCCCTACAGTTGCTGCCAAAGCTTGATCACTGTCAACACCATAAGTGGCGATGGCGACGGCTATGGCCAACTCAAAATTATTGCTTGCCGCCGTAAAGCTCTGGGTGCACGCCAGTCTGTATCCGAAACCGAGTCTCCTCGTGATCAAGAGCGTCGATAGGAATATGACCGCAAAGTACACGATGAGTGGAGCGGCAACTCTCACGACAGACACGATCTGATGGACGACGCGACGACCTTGGGACCCGAAGAGGACGATGATTGTGAAAAGGAGGCCGATCAATGACAGGGGCCCAATCCATTTCAGGAATCGCTTCTCGTACCAGTCTTTGCCCACCAGGTTTCGAAGGCTAAATCTGGTAATAATGGCAGCGGCAAGAGGTATTCCGAGGAAGACGCCGACGCTCTTCGCGACCGGAGCATAGTCGACGTTGACACCACTGTAAGAGTGGCTGATATCGTTGATGAAAAGGAGGGCCAGAGGGGCGAATAGAACCATCTGGAGGAGAGAGTTGATAGCGACCAGGATAGCACAATACTCATTGTCACCACCAGCCAACCCAGTCCATATCAGAACCATCGCAATGCATCTGGCGATCCCGACCAGTATGAGCCCATCGCGGAGGCCAGGCTCGTCGGGCAGGAAGGCCCAGGCTAGGCCCAGCTAAAAACTTCTATCAGCATCGGGTTACACCGCAATATATTGCGAGACTGACCATCAGCAGGGGTGCTATTATCCAGTTCACGAAAATGCTGAAAATGATCTGCACCCATAGAGTTCTTTGACGGAAGGAGTGATGCAAAGTCTCAAATCTGACCTTGCACAATATGGGATACATCATGACCAACAATCCGATTGCTGACCATACGGTTAGATCCCGGTGGTCAAGCAGACTGTCCCCATTGGTGCCAACGTACCTATTGGAATCGAAACGCCAACAAACTTGCCTCTCTGGAGTGCCGGGCCTGTGCTAGGGACGAAGTTGCCCAACAAAATACCCGTGAGCATTGCCAGAAAGATCCATAGTGCGAGAAACTGGTCGAGGATGCCGAGACTTTTGAAAGCCGATGCGTGTACATCGGACGGTGGTTCATTACTGGGTTGCTGCTCGAGATCTCGAGGCGGCAGGGAAGGGGACTGTTCCGGGGCCAATATGGCCTCTTTGTTCTGAACGTCCATCGCGGGCTTGGAAACAATATGTCTCAAGATTTCAGCTGGCCAAGGAGAAAACTACAAATTGAGAGGGAGGAAAGGCGTGCCGGCACTTAGACCACCACGCATAGATATAACGATCTATATAGGCCCATGTCGACATGGCTGGGTGGAGGCAAAATCCGAGGACATTGCATATCTGGTATTGCTGAGGTTTTTCAGCCAATGGGGATGCGGCCGTGACAAACTCGGGCTTCTTGATTTTTGCTCACCCTACCTAGGTACCGAGTACACCGTTCGCAAGCGAAGGATCCAAGATGCTGCTATTGGTGAATGTACATGTACCCACGGGCACCCGCCAAAGCGGCTGGTGCTGCCACCAGGTCCCCGCTGATGCCCTCCTTGCCTCGTTTTCTGCCCCCAGCTTCCGTGGGTGTGCGAAATGACCGACAAGCAGACAAGATTCGAAGGACGACAGGAACAGGCCTAGTGCAAGATGGAGGGGGACTCGGCGGCGACGATGAAGGATGGAGGCACCGACAGAGGTCAGAGAGGTCACAAGCGCACTAAGCATCCATTGCTGACCGTTCGTGCTCATCCTGTCCAGTGACTTGTGCCCAGATGCTGTCATTGCGTGATTGGAGAAGCACCGAAGCAAAGCTGGTGGTTGGTGTGTCGCATGTTGCAAGCCAAACCCACGCGCAGTTGATCGGCTGACCATCGCAGCTTCTTCTTCCAAGTTCCCCTTCTCCATTCCCCGGATTTGGCTCTCCTCCTTGTGTCTTTGACTGTGTTTGTGCGCGCTCGCTCTCTCTCTTACTCCTCTCATGTCTTTTGTCCTTGAGTCCAGCTCTTGAAAAAGTTCTTTCTTTGCTCCTGCTCTCTGTCATCCCATCATGCGGCTGGTTTCCGCATTGGCGGTCCTGGCCGCTGCGCTCCCCCTCTACGTGGAATGCTCACGACTCACTCCTCCTGTACTCCCTCTGATCGTGCGAAACCCGTATCTCAGCACCTGGCTAGCTAACGCAAGAGACGTACCTTGGGAGAAATGGCCCATGTTTTGGACCGGCCAGGAGATTGGTTTCTCCATCCTCGCCAGTGTCCCAGAGACGAGGACCGCATACCCCTTGCTCGGAAGACCTCAGGACTCGCTGCGGAAGGAGGGTGACAAGTAAATATTCTTGCCTTTCGACTTGTGTGCACAACTGACCTCCCTGTAGCTATACTGTATCCTCGCCAATCTACCATGGAGCTGTGTATGATGCCTCCACTACAAATCTGTCCTACTCCCTACCGCTGCCTTCACTATATCCGGAGTCCAGCTACATTGACCTCACGATCTCCTTTCTGTCTCCTATAACTCCCACTTCGACTGTCAGACAGTCTATCCCTGCGAGCTATGTCACTGTCTACGTCTCGGGTAATGTGCCTGTGGATATCTACATGGACCTCAATGGCCAATGGGTCAGTGGTAACCGGGGAAGCAAGATCGTGTGGGGGCTTGATCATACAGCATTAGAGGGAATATCCCGCGGTTTCAAGACATGGAAGGTCCAAAGGGCAGTACAGCAGCTGTTCACCGAGTTTCAAGATAGAGCTGAATGGGGTACTCTCTACTTCTCTGCGCCTTCCGACGTGCGACATGAGGCCGGTGTGTCGGCTCGGTTGAGGCAGAAATTTGCTCGGAGTGGGACTTTGGGAGACAGGATCGACCACGACTTTCGGTCGATTATGGACGAGGAGCCTGTCTTCGCATTCTCCAAGTCTTTTGAACTGAACAGCACCCGATCCACGGAACAGAGTATCACCTTTACGATCGCTCACATCCAGGACCCTGTTGTTCAGTTTGCTGCCGCGCGAGGGCTTACTTACATGCGTCCTCTGTGGGAATCATATTTCCCGACTGTCCAAGAGGTGCTCACCTTCCACTACCTCGATTTCAAACATGCCAGCCAATTGGCCGCAAACTATTCTGCGCAATTGGCTATTGACGCCTACAAGTCTGGTGCGGAGGATTACGTCGACATCGTTGCTCTCTCTGCTCGGCAAGTCCTGGGCGCCACAAGCTTTTCAGGCACACCGGATGATCCGATTCTCTTTTTGAAGGAAATCTCTTCAAACGGAAACTTTCAGACTATTGACGTTATATTCCCCGCATTTCCGTTCTTTCTGTACACGAATGCGCGATGGCTTGGATATCTCCTGGAGCCGCTCATTGAGCACATGCTGAGCGGACAATATCCAAACAAATATGCAATGCATGACCTTGGATTTCATTTTCCAAATGCCACTGGGCACCCATTGGGACAAGACGAGTACATGCCGGTCGAGGAGTGTGGAAATATCCTCATCATGGGATTGGCACTGGCTAACGCCCTGAAGAATGACGCGGGCTGGACTGCGTCATCCACATGGCAACCGATGGGTGGAGTTCCTACGCCAATCCCTTCGTCAGATAGCCTTGCTCCTTTGTCGGTGGGCAGGGAAGACGGCATCCTATACATTGACGATGCGTGGGTTGGCCAGCCGGAAAGCCTGAAGAGAGCCGAGAAGTGGGTTCGCAGGAGCTATCGGTTATGGAAGCAATGGACAAGCTACCTGGTTGAGTTTTCTCTGCTACCTCACAATCAGCTCTCTACCGACGACTTTGCTGGCTGGCTGGCTTTACAGACAAACTTGGCTCTCAAAGGCATCATTGGCATCAAGGCCATGGCTGGCCTCGCCGAACTCACGGGCAACTATGAAGATGCGAAGGTTTTCAACAATATCTCGAAAGTATACATTGACAAGTGGGAAGAATTTGGTATTTCTCGCGACAAGACACATGCTAAGGTCGCGTACAATTGGTATGGTTCCTGGACTACGACGTACAATCTGTATGCGGACAGTTTACTATGTTTCCACTTGGGATCAGCCAACTCATCGGAAATGACCTCCATTGCTGGACGTTATGAGTACCAAAAACCCCTCAAGGATTCCATCGCAGGAGACAAGGATGGATTCGTGCCGAAACACATATACCAGATGCAAAGCGATTGGTACTATGCCGTCCGGCAGAAATATGGTCTGCCTCTCGACTCGCGACATCTATACACCAAGACCGACTGGGAATTCTTTGCCATGGCCGTTGCGGCCCCCAAAGTCCGAGCCAATATCTTGCAATCTGTCGCCAAGTGGGTGAATGAGACGGTTACTGACCGACCATTTACCGACCTGCACTCGACGGAAGGAAGGGGAGAGTTCCCGGGACCAAACTTTTTTGCGAGACCTGTGGTTGGAGGACATTTTGCATTTTTGACACTGGGACAAGCGTGCAAGGGCAGGGCTATGGAGGGTCTGAAGTACCTGAATGACGATGTGACGAAAAAGATGGACGTGCAGGGCATATTGGATGCGGAACGAGCTGAGGCTGGATGGCAACTCGAGCTGTAGACTGGTAGCATCTGATAGGTTTTGGGAAGGAGATTGAATCCTCTATATGATATATCTGTTTATACACAGAACGACCAGGGTACGATATTTGTTCCTGAGATGGGAGACGGTAACAGCCGCTAGATCAGTTGCCGCTCACCTCCAGCATATCTTTGACGCTCCCAAACTTCTCTCGCGGCTTGCCCCTCTGCATGCCAATCTTCTTCTCCACCTGGTCGATTCTCTGCCAGCTGTCCCAGTGGACCGGTCTAAGGGATAACCCAGACGAGACGGCGTCGGCCTGGACGCCCTTCCAGCCGTCTCGATTCTCTTCCGGTCTTGTCCGATTCTGGGCCGCCTTTCTCTTCCAGTCCGCCACAATGGCTTCGGCGGTCTGGAACGCGTCGGTCATGGTGCTGGCGATCACGCCGGTCGGGCCGCGCTTGACCCAGCCGGAGCAGTAAATACTCACTCCTCCGCCTTCCTCTTCTCCTTGTTCTTGTCCTGATCCCGATGATGTCTCGCCGTCGGCCTTCTTCTGGAGGTCCAAAGGCACGACTACTGCTCTTCCCAACCCGTCGTGCCGAATCGTTCCCTTGCGCTCGTCAAAGTCGACGCCCAACTCTGCCATGCCCGGGATCGCTTCGGCCTTGTATCCTATCGAGCGGAACAGCGTCGATGTGGGCATCAGCTGTGTTTCGTCCGTCGTGCTGACTTTGGACTCTGGATCTGCGGGATCTTCGAGTCGAGTCTTTGAGAAGACCACCCCTTCCAGTGACTCCGGGTCTGAGTCGGACCATTTGAGCGAGTGTGGTGCGAGCAAGAAATCCAGCGACCATGACTTTGTGGCGCTTTCCTTTACCGGACTTCCCTTTTGCAAAAGTTCCATTAGTCGTCTTTTCGGGCGGGGCAGTTTGGACAGGTCCGGCGGGAACAGATGATCTGGTATAGGGCGAAAATTGACGTCTTCGAGGTGTAGAAGCTCCCGCACTTCTTTGATTGTGAATGCCGCCTGCATCGGACCCCGTCGACCCACGACGTGGACATGCTTGATCGTGCTGGCGGAAAGCGCGTCTAATGCGTATTCTGTGATGTCTGTCTTTCTCAGCACGTCGATTCTACTCAGCAGTGTTCTGGCAACGTCCAACGCCACGTTTCCTTGCCCAACCACCACCGCTGTGTCCCCCGCCGTCAAGTCAGGGTTCAAAGTTCGGTACTCGGGCAGGCCATTGTACCAGCCCACAAAGGCGCGAGCCGAGTAGATGTGAGGCTTATCTTCCCCTTCCAGGCCAATTCTGCGGTCTTTCGATGCCCCGTAGGCGAAGACTATCGCGTCGTAGTGTCTGGCGAGAAGTCGGAGGGGGAGGTCGTGGCCCAGATTGATGTTTCCGATGAAGGTGAAGTCAGGGGACGCGGCGATGGCTTGGAAGGTGTCTTGGACGTTCTGGTAAGGCGTGTCAGTGTGATTGATCCTGGCGGACGAGGAGGGAAATCTATGACCTTTACCTCTGGATGATCTGGAGCGACCCCGAACCTGACGAGCCCAAAAGGTACCGGAAGCTGTTCGTACATGTCTATCCTCGTCCCTCGGATTTCCCGTAGCAACTTTTGCGCGGTGTAGAAGCCTGCTGGACCGGAGCCGATGATGGCCACGGTAGGAGCTGGTCTAATTGCATCGTCGTGCCCTGCAGCTGCATCACTGCTGAAGGTTCTTCGAGTGGGAAAAATGAGGGAGCAGTGGGAGCCTCGACAAGAAGCAATTCTTGCGCGAAACTGGAGGCGCAAGCATTGATTGATCAGCATGGCCAGTGTAAAAAGAAGCTCGCCATCATCCCCCTTGTTTCGGCCAGAGGACACTCTTCAAAAGAAGAGATGGGAGTTGCAGGCACAATTGAGCAGTGACGAGCATGACGGGCAGGGGAGTCTCGGAACGGAGGAAAAGTTGCTTATCGATAAAGCTTCAACCGAAATTAAACCGACCGCATCAGGCTGGCACGTGGCCGGTGAGGCTGCCTCTCAGCCTTGTCGCATTTCCCAACCCCAACTGCGTTGCCACCATCAACGCCAACAAGAACTATAAGTACGAGGTATTGAGTCGCCTGTCCTCAAAACTGGCCCTTCTTCCCCTTCCCATCTTCCACTTTCTCCTTGTTATCATTTCTCTCGTCTTCCTGCTCATTATCCCCTCTGCGATCTTCTCCCCTTCTCCTGCACTAGTATTCGATATGCCGAAACCGCGCTCGTCTCAGCGCCCTCTGTCCACATCTTCCTCAATCCCCTTAACCTTCACCGACTCCCTCCCCCTCCCTACGATAATAGTCTTCGACCTAGATTACACGCTGTGGCCCTTCTGGGTGGACACGCACGTGTCTGCACCTGTTAAACCACAGACCTCGACACCGGGCGGTTTCAATACTCACATGCTTGATCGGTGGGGTGAATCTTTCGGGTTCTACTCCGAAGTTCCTCAGATACTGGCTGCCGCACGGGATAAAGGCATAGTCATGAGTCTGGCGAGTAGGACCCACGCACCAGACCTGGCAAGGGATATGTTAAAAGGCCTCCATGTCCCGGCATCGCCGCAGAGTGAATCTGGGGAGACACCAGGAACAAAGCCGTTGAGAGCGATTGATTTTTTCACCCATCCACAAATATACCCGGGGTCTAAAACAACACACTTTCGCCATCTCCAAACCCAACTCTCAAAATCACCACCGTCCTCTGCTGCCGGTGGACCTGGTCATGGCCAAGGAGGACGAAAGATACCGTTTGACGAAATGCTCTTTTTCGACGATGAAGGTAGGAACCGTAATGTGGAGACAGAATTGGGAGTTACCTTTTACTTGGTTCCAGATGGAGTTGATAAAGAACAGGTCGATCGAGGAGTTTGGGAATGGAGGAAAAGAAGAGGAATCACACCGAATGACTTGAGGAACGAGCGGGTGGCTGAGTTGGAGGGCTGAAACCCCTGGAATTGGATTTTTGCAGGACTTGGAATTTGAGCTTTCAGGAGAGCGCCGGGAGACCAGATTATATGCATTCCTCCACGAGGTGAACATTGCGTGGCAGACTTCAAAGTGAGTTTTCCTGTGCACAGCGACGGCGCATTCTATCGGGTGGATGGTTTGTTTTCTGGAGCCTGAGACCATCAAAGCGCTCATGAGATGGATGTACGGATCAAAGATATAGAGGTAGACTTCTGGCCTGTAGAAATGGCCCTCTGGAACGACAAGGGCCGTTCGTATGTTCATTGTTATAGCAACAACACTTGTGACACGCAGCATAGTTATCTCAGGGCACTGCTGCTGTCCTGTAACCCAAAGGTATCGATATCGACCACAGCTGGATCGCTGTATCGTCGTCGTCGTTGCCACCGGCCAAACCCCGTCGCTGTGGGAATGTCAAAAATCCCCACTCAGCCACTGATCCTTCCTCGTGTCAGGTTTTCGACTCATCGCCTCATTGACCCAGGCTTCACGTTTTGATGCTAGTCCTGGTCAGCAGCCTTCAAACTCAACCGGCACGTCCCGTAGCAGACTTCATATCACCTATATACCCGCTGGGGACGTCCATCTATCGAGGACGCTTAGACACTGGACCGGCTATTCGTGCACAGTCCTGGTGATAGGCAGTCTCGCTATCCCTGTCCGACTGCGACGTTGCTAACTGGGCTACGTCTGATGTGCAGGCTTTTCACTGGCAGCGTCCTCCTAAAAGCTTCCTGGGTAGGTAGGCAGATGTGGCCCATGTGAACCAAGAGTTACACAGGACTTGCACAAGCAGATTCGACATTTAATACGAGACCGCTGCCGCCGTCTCCAACTGGACAGCACCATTGCTAAGCCAGCCGATACCTAGTCGCCATGAAGCACCGCAGCTCGAAAGGGGCGCAGCTCAGGGACTCGGCTCGATTCTGGCCTTGTCCTTCACGAGCCCACAACACTAGGCCGCCTGGCAACACCTCCACAGATTCTGGGCTACGAATCATTGTGAGGTCTGTACGCGGCTGAAACAGCTCTTGGGATAAAATGTGTGAATGAACGCCTTCCACGAATGGACGCGAGCGAGCACTTTCCCAAGCTGAACAGCTACTGGCGCCACGGAACCTTGGCTGGCTCGAACTCTATGCCACTAGGCCAAGTGTCGCCCATGCTCGGCATGTCTAACGGGCGTGGTCCACGCGGTTACAGCCTACTCCGCATCGACGAGAGCATGTCAAGGCCACCAATCTCTGAGACCATCAGGGGGCCAGACTGCTCTCCTGGAATTTCGTGATGTTCAGCTGGTCCATATATCAGCCGTCCTTGTCGCAAAGAAGGGACTGAGGGGTTCTACAAATGCCTTTGGAATTAGCAACCGTGAGTCTCGTTTCCACGTCGCTTGGGCTGTATCGCAGGGTTTTATTCATGGATCGTCCTGAAGTCGGCGCACTGTCACAGCAGTCCCCTTGTTGATACAGTCTCACAATCTGTTGGCAGGGTCTTGAATATATTGGCTTGTGGGCTTCAAATTCGGATGCAGCATCCTCTTTACTGTCGTCGCCATGAGCAATTACGACCAAAAAAAGGACGAAACATTCGAAAAGGAGGCCTGGAACGCTGCACGAGCGGTGTTCTCTGGAAACCATGATCCGGTCAACTTCCAGCCTTTTCTCAAAGACTATACGACACCCGAATCAGCTAGGAGTTCGGTTGTACAGGCGCAGAAAGAAGCCAATTCCGAGTATAATGGCAAGCTTGGTGCTATCCTTGATAAGGTCGACCAGTTTATGAAAGTGGGAGATCTTGCCATCAAGTCGGCTCCTGAAAGTATTGGCCTTGCCTGGACTGGTATCAGACTCTGCCTTCACTCTGTACAAGATGACTTTGCCACCTTTAGCCTCTTCTCGGGGGCATGCTCAGATATCTTGGGCATACTCATTTCTTGCAGGGTGTATGGCGGCTTGTATGCAAGTCAGGACCACCCTCCAGAGTTTACCGATCTTCATGAGAAGGTTTTGAGCTACATCAAAGAAACCTACGTCAACATCATCGAGTTCTCATATCAGATGTGGAAATATGCCCGATCCAATGCGGGTGTTCGTGTCATCAAAGGCTTGTTCCGCAGCGCCCAGGGAAAGTTCCAGCCAAAGATCAAAGCCATCAAAGACAACGAAGCCCAGATGAACAAATATGCCTCCCAAGCAAACCAGCAAGTCTCGCAGTATTACCAGAAGAAAGGCCTGGACAATGACCAAAAGATGATGAAGGGCCTGTCGGATCAAATGGAAATGCTGCAAGCGTGGCATGAGGAGGCCGCCAAACAGAACCAGTTATTGGAGGAATTGATGAAGAGGGACGAGCTTCAGAGGAAGGACCAACGTCTGACTGCGGCAGAGATCACGCACGAGAATTGGGAAAGGCAAAAGAAGGAACTACCATCCCTCGACGACAATCAGCAAGCGCTGGAGTCTAAAATGACGGATCGCAAGCCCGGAACTTGTGGCTGGATTTTGGAAAACTCCAAATTTCAAGACTTTGTGAAGGCCGAAGGCGGTAACGTTACATGGCTGGTCGGCACAGGCGGAACTGGAAAGTCCTTTCTCATGTCTGCGGTCATCGAAGACCTCAAAAACAAAGCCCATAGACACGACTCTCTCGTGCACTACTTTTTCATATCCAAGGCTTCTCAAGCCACGACGCAGGCCGATGAGATCGAGCGTCACCTTCTTGCGCAGCTCTATCAAGATGCAGCGCAATCATTAGACACCTTGGACAAGTGCAACAAGATTATGTCAGAATATATCGAACACCACAACAAAAAGAACAATACGAAAACTACAAGCAAGAAATCAGGAGACGGTTCGGCCGGGTTTGAACAGACCTATACCGCTCTCGCCAAAGTCATCAACAAGCGAACCTATCTTATGATAGACGCTTTGGATGAGTGCGCCGACAGAGAGACGCAGGAATTCATCCAGACGATCAAGAAATTAGCTAGCACACAGGGTTTGAAGTTAAATGTCTTTTGTAGCAGCAGAGATGAACCTGACATCAGCGCCATTTTGGAAAATTGTCCGAGAATCAACGTGGAGGAGAACAACTCAAAAGATATCGCCGAACATGTCCAAGCTGAGATGGCGAGATTGCCAGGATTTACTCCAGCGGAGCGAGAGGAAGCTTGTCGAGAAATTACCCAAAAGGCCGGATGCTACTTTCGATACGTCGAGCTGGCCATGGATTTCATGCGTCGGCCGTGGCGGAGGCCTCTGTCATCACATCTCGAGTCCTTGCCTTCAGGTGTTGAAAACATCTATGCTCAGCGGCTAAATCAGACCAACCCTGCATACTACGATTTGCTCACCCACTGCCTTACCTGGACCATTCTTGCTGGAGAGGAATTGGGTGTTCAAGAACTTATTGATGGATACAAGGGCAATTTTACGGACGAGGAATCCACGCCTGTGGTAGGCGAAGACCAAGAGAATGTGAATCTGGAACTGTACGAGGACCAAATCAGACAAGCTGGAAGTGGTTTCCTTCGGGTAAATCCTGACCATACGGTGAGTCTAGTCCACAACACCGTGAGAGACTTTTTCTTGCAGTCAGGCAGCGTTGCCAATGGTAGTGCTAAATCAGCGTCTGAACCCGAATGTCAGTGTGCCAGATGCCAAAGGGAGTTGAAAAGCAGCAAGAAATTTGTCGTTTCAGAAAGAGAAGGTCACATGCAAATAATTACCACAATCCTCCATCATCTGCTATCTCCGTTGTTTCAGCGCAAGTACTATGCTAAGCCTCCGGATAAATCGGATGACAAGGAAAATGATGAAAAAGAAGTGAACGGTGGGGACACAACTGATGTCGTCAAAAGTGAGAATGTTGCAGCACCAGCAGAGGCCACACCGGCCGAAGCAACGCCAGTGGCACCACCAGGGGCACCACCAGCAGAAGCCCAGGACGAGGATATTCAGAATAATGGTGTCCAGGCACAAGATCAAAGCCCTGATGATCCAGCGGATAAGCTCGGTAGTGCGCAGCAAATATCCGAACACCAAAACGAGGAAGCAGGAACGAACTCACCGCCAGAGATCAATGGCGAACCGTCGGAGCATGTTGCCTCCGATGACCTAGATTCAAAGTCTGACATGCCCAATGGTGGCTCAAACCAAGCGCAAGAAAACAATAACCCACCGAATGGAGAAGAAACCCGGGACACCAATAAAGATGGTGCGGCGGATGAAGAAACAGATGACCACTCTGTGGTAGACAGCGACGAGAACGTGGATTTGACAGACCAGGATCGAGCGAGGCTTTGGGATCTACAGTCAGCTTCGGATCTCTTCCAGGCACGGTACGAAATTACAAGACTGACGTGGCATTTGACACAACTAGAAGATGTTTATCCCGCCAACGAAAGGTCTGGCGAGCAGTGGAACAAATTACGCGAGCTCCTCGAAAGATTTCTTGATCCAGAATCCGAGGCGTGGAGAGGTTGGATAAGGACAATGTGTGCCGCAGGCCGCGCTATTGACACGATGGAAATGTACATTGACATCGAAGAACTACCTCCTCTGGTGTTCGCTGCGTGTTGTGGCTTGACGAGCCTGGCGCATATACTCTTGGCCCGACCTAATGCCTCCGATTTTGTCAACCTAAAGATGCCGGAGGGGATGAGTGTGTTGTCTTTTGTGGTAACTTATCAAATGACCACCGAAAAGAACCAGGATTCTTTCTTACTGGCTATGTTGGAAGCTGGAGCGGATCCGAATGCCAACAACCATTGGGATGACCAATACATCGGAAGTTCATTTCACTTTCTCCTCTTGTGTCAAACAGTTAGCAGGGCGCAGCTCGAGATGTTCCTCGCACACGGTGCTGATATCAATAACCTTGACGATAGCGGCGGCAATGCCCTGCACTTCTTCGCTGCAGGAGCTGCCGACCTTGAGATCGGCATTGCGCTGGTTGAGGCTGGAGCGGATATGCACATCCGAAATAGCAGAGGGGAGTCCATCATGCATATGTTGGCTCGTCGGGACAACTGCCGCGTTGACATGATGCAATATTTCATCGACAAAGGTGCTGAGGTTGACGCAGAGGATGATGCGTCGGAAAGACCACTGCTCGAGGCCTCTCTGGCCGGAAATTGCGAGGCAGTCAGATTGCTGCTCGATCACGGAGCGGACATCGAGGATGTGAATGAGAACGACCAAACAGCACTCTTTGTCGCCGCATTGGCTGGCAATACGGAAGTTGTGAAGGTCCTTCTTGAGCGAGGGGCAGATCCGCTGAAACGAAATTCCATGGGAGCCACTCCATTCGGAATGGCTTGCAGGCATGGCGACGCCGAGTCCGCTCTCCTTCTAGGGAGAGCCATGGTCGAGAAAGGGGAAATCGAGCATCTCAACTGGCAGAACTCATCGGGGAAAACACCAATTATGAGAGCGGCATCTCGGGGAATCTCGAAAGTGATTGACTTTCTCCTTGATCATGTGGACACAGAGGCTGCTCTCAAAACCATGTCCAAGAAGGGGTGGACGGCTTTGCATTATGCGGCACTGAGAGCCCGTCCCGAAGCGACGATAACGCTGCTGAACCGCGGGGCAGACAGTCGATGCAAGGACCCGCAGGGCAAGACACCACTTCAACTGTGTTATGCGAAGATCTGGACAAAGCCAGATGAGGACCGGGAGAAAACGATATCAGCCCTGATTGACCACGATCGGCAAGCGGCAATTGCGGAGATCGAGCTGCTTCATACGCTGGCCATCAACGATTCTCCCGACCTCGTGGCAAAACTACTGGAATTTGGCGCCAATCCCTATGCCACGGACGAACATGGCTGGAACGTCCTCCAGCTAGCAGAGCAGTACGACAGACCGGATGTTGTCGAAGTTATCAAGGCTTCCAAGCTCAAAGCCGGTAGCCGACCTTCCAGGTTGGTAGGGAGCTTCTCAGACGTGCTAATTTGTTCTCCTTCTGGCTTGGAGATTGAGCTGCGTGAACGCGGTAAGCCCGTGGCTGAACCGCTGGAAGGGTTTCTGTGTTACGCAACCGATCAGTCGTTGATTACCGAACACCCCATTCCGGCATCGGCCGAGCGGTATTACTTCGAGATGGCCATCGCGGACCAAGAGAACAAGCCTGAGGATCCCATGTTTGTGATTGGGATCACTCAAAAGCCCACGGGATCCACCAAGCTGTGGTTCCCGGGCTGGTCGAAACCTGGCACATCGAGCTGGGGCTATCACAGTGACGACGGGAAGATATGGTGTGTCGCAGATCCTCCCAAGATCAAAGACCTGGGGTCGGCGAGGAAGTACGGATACGGTGACACGGCAGGGTGCGGGATCGACGTGAAGAAACGGACCGTGTTTTGGACTTTGAATGGGAAGAGGTTGATGGAGGCTGGGTTTCAGAACGTTCGTGGCCAGATCTATCCCGTCATTGCCGTCAGCCACATCGGCAAGGTTAAGGTCAACCTGGGCCTCAACTTGAAGGACGAGCCTTTCCTTTGGCTACCGGGTATCACGTGCGATTTTGAGAGCGACGTTCCTCCCCCGAGTTTGAGAAGGCTGAAATCTGAGCACTGACAGGTTATAGAGGGGGAGGGAGGTAGAAGACATTGATCGGCGTTAGATGCCACACGGAGTCATTGAAATTTCATGCCGTTCAAGTATTCCAAGACCCTTTGCGTCGGTGCTCTCTGAAAGTTCCCAGGCACCTCCACTCTTTCCGTAGGTAAGAACAGCGGCCCACGATCCGGTCCGAAAGAAAGGAAATGAAATGCCTCATCATATATTTGATTCTTTCAAATTTGCCCATCACACCAAGAAACCTGGCTTACCACATCTGGTATGAAGTTCACAAGTACTTCCGACACGTCTCAACCACGTACTTCGCAAACACCTCCGGGTGCGACACGTAAGGAAAATGAAAGCCCGGAAGCGTGGTGATGGGGATCTTCTCCCTTGCAGCGATCACGACGTTCTCGAAGAAGACCTGCATGGGCCCTGCGCCGCCGACGGTCCAATCGATGGGGACTTTGTGCAGGTTTTCTGTGGTCGTGAGGGTCGGTGCGGACCCGGGGATGGTGCGCGGATAACCGTACGCCCAGCGGACATAGTTGTTGGCGCGGAGCCTGTCGTGGACTTCGGGGCCCAGGGCGTCCCACGCGGCTTCGCCGCCGGACATGGTCCGGATCGTAGCGGCCAGCGCCGCGGGGAGTGTGGCGGGGTCGGCTTCGTGGATGTTATCGATGCTGGGCGGGTTGGTGGTGGGGAGCTCATGCGGCATCGCGTTGCGCACGCGGTGGGGGAAGTTCGCGCACAGGGCCAGCACGGTCGAGGCGCCGGAGCTACACCCCCAGACGGACGCGGTCGTGATGTCCAGCTTGTCCATGAGCGTGTCGATATAAGTCGCCAGCTTCTCGCCCGTGACCTCCTGGTACGTCTCTGGTGGTGCGGCGGACGACCGTGACATGCCCGGCATGTCGAATGTGGTCACCTTGAACCGGCTGCTGGCGATCAGGGACATGGGCTTGTCGAACATCTGGCAGTCGCCCAGGCCGTCGGGGATCAGGACAAGGTCGGGCCCAGTGCCTTCCTGCTCGTAATACCAGTTGATACCGTCCTTGGTGAGGACGGTGGACCTCACTCGCTCAGCGGACATGGTGGCACGTTCGGGGGATTAGGTTGCGGGGTGAGAAATGATTACGTTCCAAGGATGAGGCTCGCGCTTGAGTTGCATATATACATACATACCTCGTACGAGGTAGATATTCAGTATAAAGCTAGTCCCACGAGCCAGGACTCTAAAGCCCCGCCGTCCCGCCTTTTCGCAGACTTGGAAATGTGACTGATGGGGTTGCCAAGGCAATATAATAACAGCCACGCCAATTCTCGGCCGAGGGTCCTCCTCGTAGAATTGATTTTTGTTTGAAGGGCGGGAGTGGTACCATTTGCGGGACGGGAGCGGTGCCATTTTGAGAATAAGAGTGATGGCATTTGTGGGTAGAGAATCAGATATACAGGCAGCTTCAGGGGGTCATCTGGCTCCGAGTCGCCGGCCTCACAAGACCCTTGGGCACCTAGGTAAGAGCTAGTGAGGCTGAGATATGGGGTATACGATAATACGGACCACTTAACCTTGGAAACTAAGCCTGAAATGGAGAATGTCCAATCCAACGACCAGGAAGCAGGTCGAGGAATACCCCGTACTTTTTGTTTTCAGGAATTGAAGTCCACATTGGTCCTCTTTTTCAAATGGGGTCCAATGACACTTCTGCACAACATCAGCATGCTGACCAGGAAGTGTGAAAGGTCGTGCCATAACCAGGATACCCCGGATATTGCACATACAGTGGGCCGCTGGCGGTTGATATACAACAGAGACAGACTGCCCATGTGTCGTGTGTCCAACTATACCGAGCCAGACCGACGGTTGACGATGTCAACTTGAACCACAGCCTTATCTTCTCGCAGACTTTTTGCACGGATCGTCATTTATAAGGTGGTACTATATATCCCAGAATTTAGAGTACCAACAATATATGGCCCCATAATTGATCGTCGCCCTTCAAACGCCCCCACGAATCCTAGCTGACTGTTTCACTTGTTATGGGAAAGGCACAACTAGGATGATGCATTGATACAAACGCAAGGAGCCGAGTGTTATGGATACCTGCTTGCCAGGTATGGAAAGTGATAGGCTACCCATTTTGCTATGAAGGAATGTAACGGCGTGGAGCAGGTATACCAAAGAGGTCAATGTATGATCGAATGAACGGGATCAAACCCCATAATATGAGTATTATTTAATGGCCATAATAATACACTCATTTCCTCACTTCGTCTGATCTCCCTACCTCCCTCTTTCTCACGCTTTACTTGCTCAGTAGATCCCCCGAACAACCACTTCGTGGCCTTGAATTCCCCAGTCCATATCGACCATGAAGCTCCAAGTCCTTCCAAATCTTCTCTTCACGGCCACTGCGCTGCTGGCCTCCAGCGCCTCCGCCCAAATCAGCTTCAACTTCTGCGTCGGCCCGCCGGCCTCAGACTACTGCGGCGCCGGCGGTGCCTGCGAGCTGCCCGACGGATCCTTGCTCTGCTGTTCAGGCAACATCCCCTGCGGGTCCAACAATGTCTGCATGTACGATCAGGGAGAGGGCCTTGCCCTGTGCGACTGCCAAGGGGATTGCACCCCAGGAGGAGACGGGTCGCAATGTGCTTGTGTAAGTTTCAAAAGACAAATCCCCAAGTCCCTAAAAAGGTCCAGGCAAGATGCGCTGAGATGGCTGAAATCACATCGTCGTTTGTAATAGGGAAACTAGACACTTGATCACACCGTGGACTGCGACTGCGGCTGTGTTTTGGGCACATGATCGATGAATTTCTTCTGAACCGTCATAACGCGTCGAGTTGCTGTCCCTCCGAGACCTAGCCATCTCACTTCACGGACACGCCAAGTGCTTGGGCCCGATGGACTCTGAGACTAAGCCGCTGCCTATCGGTGAAGACTCTGTTGCGACCACAGGGATTACGAGTATGAGGAATGGGAAGGGGAAGCGAGGAACCAACCACGACTTTAAGTATTTTCAGCGGCTCCGGGTTTTGTGACCCATGGGCGACTAAGATGGTCTATGTATTGGTATGTTATGTCTAGATCTACCTTGTCCTGGTATACCAGCAAGGTTCCGAGCCTCACACTGCCCTATTTTGTGAACCAAGCCATCTCGGATTCCCAACCCTCATCGGTAGATCCTTCTGCCGCCATATATTCGTTTGCAAGTCGTAGACCCAGTTTCCATGCAGAGCTGCTCGTGCTCCCTTCAGCTTTCGAAACGGCTGTAAAGGCAGCCCCCCTGCGGCAGAAGTTCTGGGTTTCCCAGACAGTTCTTGTTGCGTGCGGTACTTGCCATTGTAGACTTGATGACACCCCCTTTGTATCGTCGGGGTCTTGCCCATGTAAAGTCAGGCACTCCAAGTCCAAAAAGACTACACTTTTCTCGTCTGATGCTGTGGATGCTTTCGATTCACCGTTCTTCTCGGGGCCTCGCACGTGTAGCACAAATTGGTTACCCCATGTATGATGGCCGACGGGCAATACATATAAGGTCTGCCTCTCATTCCAGAGTGCTTCGAGATATCGTTTGTCCTTTTCAGAGACCTGAAAGCCGCATAAGACCCGGTCCCGCTTGGGGCCTTGGTCACGAGAGACGCGATACGACCCATACGCCGGGTGATGGTACGTGCCTACCAGTTCGTCACACAGGCTCTCCGTCAGTTGGCCCCCTCGGGAAATATCAGCGTCGGGTGCTGCTTCAGATGGCTTTACCTCAGCTGCCTTGCCGGCCAGGGCGGTCAATTCGTCGAGCGCGTCGAATATGCTGAGAGACTTGGAAAACTCAGCTTTCGACGATCCCGAGAGCCCCAGCTTCCGCGCCATGAACTCGATGGATACGGCTTCACCAACCTTGTGGCTTGAGATTGTCGTATTACCGAGCGTCACACACCCAAAGTCGTCGTTCGGAAGCAAGTATAGCTGAGTTCCAAAGCCCGTCAGCCCGCCTGCATGCGCAACAATAGGATGTTTGAGACCCATCGTGCTTGACATATTAGACCATCCGAGCGAATACGACCGAGGTGTCAGATGACTGTTCTTGTTCATTGGCGCGAGGAGCGTCTGCAGCATACGTGGGGTTGTCAATTCCGCAAACAGGGTGGGTGTTATGACGGTGGGCGCCTCTTCTGAGAATGAGACATTCTGCGTCTCGCTTGTTTCTTCGTGATGGTTGGCAGCCCGCAAGAGGGCTTTAATCCATTTGGCATAATCAATAACGTTCGAGACAACGGACCCAGCAGGTGCGATCCCAGCAAAATCCAAGTATCGCTCCGGTATAAAATCTCCTTTTCCATCGTCCACGGAAGATGAGGGAACCCAGAAGTACCCTCGGGCGATAGACTCCCTTTTGTCATCCGGGATTTCATCGACCGTCCAGTAAGTCGATAGCATCTTCAGAGGTTGCCAGAGGAGCTTGCGAAGGGCAGCCCCCCATGAGAGCCCTGTCGTGGTCTCCAAGACATCGCCCAGGACGCTGTACATCAGATTGTTGTACTGCCATGTCGTCCGGAAGGACTTGTTAGGTCCGCCCAAGAACCTGAGGGCTTTTGTGATACCTTTGGGCTCCGTGCCCATCCAGCGCCCATACAGATTATCCGCTCCCGAGAATCCCGTGCGGTGCGAGAGGGCGTCCTCGATCGTGATCTCCGAAGTAGCACGCTCATCCTCCAGGACAAAGTCGTCTGGTAGAATCTGGCTAATGGGTGTTGCCCACCGATGCTTCCGTAGCGTCCGCACTGGCTCGTTTTGCTCTTGATGCTGCTCAGGCTCATCGCTCATCACACGGCCCAAAGCCGCAGCGACCATGGCCTTCGTCGTGCTCCCGGTGAAGTACAATGTTTCATCGGTCGCAGGCACGTCCGGAAGACGCGCGAATCCATATGCCTGTTATAGGGATGAGCATAAGGTCCGTGTAGGCCCATTGGATCTCCGAGCCTCGTGAAGAGGCTGTTCTTCTTTTTCCGCTCAAACGAGACTTACCTTGGTGAACACCTGCCCCCCATCGACAATACCGATGCTCATTCCTGGAACATGATGCTTTTCAAGGAGAGCTTGCATGAAGGCATCGAACTCGGCATCAAGGTACTTGTTCTCCGAACTCATATTTGGCGGTCCTAGACTTGCTGTCTAGTTCGTTCGGTGGTTTTCTCTACAAAAACCTACAATGTCGGACTTCGTCAAATTTAAATGCTGACCGATTGCAGAGAAAGACGAAACTCCAGTCCTTTAATGCTGAAGCCTAGAGTGCACTTCCATTCGAAGGTTTCAGGCGTCCAGAAACAGGCACCGGTATTTACGGCGAGCCTTGTCACAACTACCGCTATTCCTCCTTTGGAATAAGCGCCCACATCCGTTGCGCGTCAGGAGGAGGTTTGGGTTATTACCATAGCCGAATACGAAAGCCGATGGTACGTCCTTGACCGGACCCGATGGACCCAGGTGGTTCTTACCCAGATGTGAAGGTCATGGCCCAACATAGTTAATGTGAAGCTTGAACATTGCCCACGGCGTGCTGTCCACTCGATGGGGTTGATAGTATGCGCCTGGCTGTGTATGGCATAACAAGTCTTGCAGACTGCATATTTACCTAGTGCTCACAGAGTTAACAAAGAACCAGAACTTGTTCGATGAACATCTCAAGGGTATTGCTGAATCTCCACCAAAAATCATCACAATTTCATGTCGGTATAACATCAAATCTAACCGGAGTGCTCGGTGTTCGTTCACACACCGGCTACTAACTACAAGTGACTACCATCCCTTTCAGAATACCCCTACGAATTTGTGATTATACGTTAGTGCCTACGGCTTCCACTTGTTGGACTGCGCCTTCGAACTCGAGCTCATGGGCTTTCGTCCTGACACTGAGCTCGAAATTCTCTGGGCCAACAATGCAGATATGACCTTGGAAGAAATCAGCATTGCACAACTCGTCACTTCCACTCGTCACTTCGCCGAACCTCTTCTCGCCACAACTTGCCGCAAAGCAGGAGAGGAGGAACAAGCATGGGTTAGACTGGGCGATAGGTGATGGCGCAGACACAGCAGAGTAGTTGGATACGCTCAACAACTTGCTCGAGAGTCACCGCAGATATTCCAAATCTGCGGCTCAACAGGCAACGAAAAGAGAGTTTGTGCTGCCCATGATTGTTGGAAACCACATGATAATGGTTCGGATCACTTGATGAACACACAATGTATAGCGTGGCAGGGGGGTGCAATACAAATGGTGTGGGTGTTATGAGAGCGAACCTTGGTCTGATGATACCCTCTTGGAGCGAGTAGGGGACTGTCTTCTTCTAACTGGATGAATTCTCACGTTGTACATATCCTTCCTGTCAAGCAATATTGTTGAGCATGCTCTCATTCCCGTAAATAATAGTAATCAACAGTAGTGAGTACGTGTAGTAGGAGTAGAAGAAGATGGAAGAGAAATCTCTTCAGTAAGATACTCAGGGGTCGAATGGTATATGACAAATGCAAGGTTCTGGGCGGTCTGAGCCGGTGCATTAGCTTCAGAAGGCTGAAGAGGTAAGAAATCCTCGCCTGCTGCCCCCTGCCAATCCACAGGTTACCTACCTGCCTGGGTAGGTTGAAAGCATGGGAATCAGAAAGTTTAGACCACCAGCACTTGGCTAGCCTCATTACTGTGATACATGTCAGGCCGTGTAGGTAGCTGCAAAAAAGTCCTTTGTCATCACCATGCCTCGTAACTCCCTATCACTGAGGTTGATCTACACCAACATAATGGTATACTCTCGTTCTCACAGTCACTACTATAGCCTACAGTCCAATTCATCTCTCCTCTTTGATGGAGGGAAAAGGACCGAGAATTGGGAGCCGTTTTTTCACGGCATTCAACTTTTGTCCCGCTATGTACCACCTTTAAGAAAATTCCCCAAAGAGGTACTAAGTAGTAATCATGTTGAGAGAATGAACAATGGATCACAAACTTCCAAACATGACTAACGAAGTGACGGCGACAACATTGAACATGTCTAAGGCTACTAAACAATATTATGTGATGCAAATTTCCTTCGAGTGGAGTTTCGCAAGGCTTTGGTGATGTTTGTTTGTTTGTCTTCGAGAAAGGGAGGAACTGCCGGTGTACAGGTATTATATTGCCCCTATTTAGTACTATAGAGAATTCATCATGTCTTGCTTTCTCCTTGTTGCCATCACACAAGCGCCTTCCGGTCTTTGGGGCAAGTCAACATCCATCTGGTTTCCATTGAGTTGGGTTAGACGAAGAGAGACTAGCACTAATTTCGCCCGTGCTGCCAGCCAGGGTCATCGTGGCCCTATTCCTTCTCACAGGCCTGGCATCGACATATCCCACATTAACATCCTCGCCAGCTGGACCAAGCACTTTCCAACCACATGTCGTCCACGAATTTCCACTCGGAACCTGGGTTGAGAACTTTGTTATACGCCACTCCACCCCCAAACGGTGATCACGACCATCCTCTCATCTCCAGATCTATCTGCCCACGACCGGCCAAACCAATACTCCCGTCCACCTTGCGCATCTACCCGCATATGAAGGCCTTCTAGGAATCGCCGAAATGGCATATGACCTTTTCTATCTTGTTGCCGGAAACTTCTCGACAAAGACGTTTTCAAGCACCCCAGGTACCTATGCTGTACGGGAATTGGACCTTCGTGGTCTTCCAGCGGTGCCAAAGGCGCCTTTGAAGATTGGTGGTCCCGCACTTCGGAAAGTGGTTGACATCCCTCACTCTGGTTTCCTTAATGGCTTGGCCGTCCTCAACCCGGTCGAGGGCGTGCTTCTCATTTCTGACAGTCTGTACGGAGTCGTCTGGTCGGTGAATGTGAACACCGGGGCCACAGCCATTGCCATCAACGACACTTCAATGGACCCACTGCCTAACGAAGCTGCGCCCTTAGGCATCAATGGTCTTCACGTGGTGGAAGACGAGCTCTTCTACACCAACAGCAACCAGCAGACCTTCAACAAGGTCCGTGTCGACACCAAGACTGGTCGTGCAACCGGACCCGTCGAGACCATCGTCAACAGCACGGCGATTGCTCCCGACGACTTCACCATCGACTTTGAAGGAAACGTGTGGATTGCGGATAACTTGTTCAATGAGCTGTCCCTCGTGAAAGGCGGTGCGACGCTGGAGAGCACGGGAGAATCGAAGCCAGCTTTAGTGTCTGGGAGTCTTAATTCCACCACGATAGCGGGCCACACCAGCGCAGCTTTTGGCGTCAGTAGTGACGATGTGTGAAGAGGCAGTCTGTACATCACCACGACCGGAGGGATCCCTCAATACGCAGGCCGCAATTGGACTACGGGAGGCACGGTGAGCCGGATCGATGTTGCTCTTCTTGAGTAGAGGAGGAGAGGAAGAAAAGGAAGAAGGACTTCTGGCCTTCTCACTTCATCCACACGCTGATTCAGAAACCGCTTCAGCTCAACTCCGGCGCCACGCCTTGCCTTTGATCAAGGTCTCTCTTGTACCATAGCAGCCCGACGTCGTCTCTGGAGTAGACTGTACACACCAATCCTAGGAGGTTTCAGGACGATCGTGCTCCCTTTTTCCTTCCTTTCCTCCTTCCCTAGTCCGGGCTTGTCAAAAGTCAAGATAGTGCAATCCAGATCCTTCCGGAGCTTCTCCGTCGTCCATGTGCCGTTTTTCCTGAGTGTGCGGTACGGCAGTTGAATCGTTCGATTGGACGCCTGTACAACCTTGATCGGTTAGTCCACCGCTGTTTGTATCCATCCTCTTTCAGCCAGACCCGGGCTTTTGACTAGCCTGTCTCGACCTGTCGCTTGAAGCCTCGTCTCACGTTTCTGCAGCGACGCCAACCACGTCGAAAACCGGCTAATTCCCAGGTCCAGAGCGGACGGCGAAGCTCTACAAAGCTCCAGCAAACCCATGACAGCGTTACTAGGCTACAAATGTCGCAAACCCATGTCTCAGGGTAGTTCTTGAGGAAAGGCGCGATGCGGATCGTGATACATTTCATGCCGTGCGGGGGATGGAGCTAATTCGCTCCATGGCGAGGACGGCGTGTTGACGTGCTGGCGCGGGAGATGCGAGTGACGGGCGTTGACCGAGAGCTCGGCGCCAGGCGATACCACATTGCCCGATGACAAAGGCGTGGACGGGCTGCTCGGATAGACTTCCATCTCGTGCTGCGCTGGTTCCTTGATCCCAGCATAGGACGGTGGATTTGAGGAACTGGAGAGTGGTGGGCCATGAGCTGTGCCGGGTTTACTGTCCAGCTCCTGCTTGGAGTATCGGTGACCCGGCGTGTAGGGCAAGGCACTGATGGTTTCGCGCTTCTTCTGTTGCCGTCGTCGATAGAAGCAGCAGTAGCCGACGAACAGCCCCAAAGCCACCACAACAAGGGTCCCTCCGACGCCAATGGCCGCCGCGATGCCTGGTGATAGGCCTTTCGAAGAACTCCCTGCAGACGCGATTGGGGTTGGGGTTGGCGTGGCGCTCTGGAACTGGAAATGCACCGACTGTGCGATATAGTTATTGCCGAGAGAGATGATCAGGTCGTTGTCATAGAACATCCAAGTCCAAGAGTCCCTAGAGTTTGAAGGTCTAATAAGCCTGTGCGGTTCTTTTTCCGCAAATGGTGAGGGAACTTTACCCTTGTGGTGGCGGTTGACTCAAAGTGATGGCAGTAGATCCATCGTCTATAGTGGCAACAATACACCGCTGTTCGCTCTTCAAAGTTTGCCCACTATACGTTGCTAGGTAGATTGCAAGCTCCGTGGGATCAAGGCTAGCAGTTGGGTTCAGCCGATTGCCACGGACAGACGGTGTCTCTTCGGAGGCTTACTCGTCATTTGACTGCCATTGCACGTCAAGCGGACCTTTCGTAGGATAGATGGTCCCGATCTTGGGATAGGTGACCTCCAAAGCCGTGACGCTTGCGAGCAGATGTACCAGAAGCAGAAAGTGGAGCCTCGCCTCCGAAATAGGTCGGTACATATTTTAACACTAGCTAGGAATTGTGGTGGGCCTCGAGGCTGGAAGCGAGACTGGAGTCACTGTCGCACAGATATCACTTACCAGACTCGCATCGCATGGAAAGATATTGGATTTGGGGTGAGAAGAGTCGCGAGAAGACAGGCAGAGGAAATATGAATCCCAGACCGAACCCAAAAGCGAGCTCTGTCTGCTAGATTGGTTTCAGAAAGCGCCACTCCGTCTCTGGAAATTGCTGCCATACAGGCACAGAATGCTGGCTCGTCGGTGCCTAAACTTCCAGGCTACTGGTGCTTACTTGTTCACTCGGAGATCTCAGAAAGCCATGTGTAATGCCAGCCTTTAACGGTACGGTATGGATCGTTGTCTGGACCGTTGGATGATGGCTGTGGCGGAGCTCTCAACTTCGGACAGCCGACTGGCCCTCCAAGTGAGTGCGAGTTCGCTGCGCCAAGCGACAACATCACATTCAGAGTTATGAACTGTCACTGTGAACTAGTTGGAGCGTAAAGACGTCACAGTTTGAAAGGCCTGCAGAGGCGTCTGATGAAGCAACAATTGGCAGAAGCATTTACAAGTTGCTTACTCGTATCTGCGTACGAGTCCGGAGCAGAATAGGGGTATCTTTGCCCCTGATACCAAGCCAACTCTAGTAGCCTGCGGTAGTAGCCCTTTCAAGTCTTTACACCGACGCGACTTCCCTTGCTTAAGGGTGCAGATATTCGGTCGTGCTACACTTGATCGATTATCCTTCTTGAGCCTTTCAGCAAACCTGGGAGCAGGGGCAAAACTTCTCAGTCAACGAGAAGAAAATGGGTTCCAACTCAACACCGACAATGGAAGTTCCCCAAAGTACAGGAGATCCCGCGAGTGGGGGTTTTGCTTTAAACCTCCCTGGCTGCCACGCTTTGATCTTGGTCTCGGACCATGTGAAATTTAATGCCCGCCTTCCTGAGTTACGGGAATTAGACCGAGCATCGCCAATTCCCAATTTTGGCCCCGATTTCAGGTTCATTATACCCCTTTCTGGTCTCCGGTTCTGCAACGAAGACAAGGACCAGCGCCATTCATCACGAACAACCTTTGCGGTGTAATGCTCCGGCTCCACAAAAATATGAAAATTGTGAGCGCTGTGCTGTTCGAACTTCGAAGGAATAAATCTCCGCCCCGCGGGGAGAGCCTCGGTAATCTTCGCAGGTACAAGCCTTCGACTTTTTCGGGGTGAACCGCTTATGCGGGAGCACGGTAAAAGGCGGTCGGCGTGTGGATGAGAAGGCCGAAGATAGAGCGACGTGGGGTGGAAAGTGTTTTTTGAGACCAGCTCATTGCCTCTTATTGCCTTTGAATGCCTTTGAAGCTGTCACGAACATAATATCCTTCTGGTTGTGTTCCCGACGTGATGTGACAACATCCTTAACCCCAACTATGTCGGAAACTCCGTTATATACACCACCTCCCGGCAATCGGACTGCCTTGGACGACTTTAAGTCCAATGTGAATAGGAGCCATGGACTACAACTGCGTAGGTTGCCCATCGCGGAGGATTCGTTGGCCTTGTCTGCGACACCCATGCGTGCGTGCTAACGCCAAAATTCTAAGAAACCTACGAGGACTTGCATGCATTCTCCATTAATCGACTGAATGACTTCTGGATGGCAATATGGCGGTTCTTGGACATAAAAGCTTCTGTCCATCCTCAAAAAGTGGGTTATGCATTGCGTCGTGGTTCATCCTTTAGCATGCTCATTGTGATCTAGGCTGTGAACGAGAATATCCCCATCGACCAGTTTCCCCTGTTCTTCGAGGAAGCCAGACTCAACTTTGCAGAGAATATGCTGTGTGGCGACGACGATCAGGTTGCTGTTATCGATGTTAATGAGCACAACTTGCGGAATCCTCGGCGTTATACGTGGCGAGAGCTCAGAGCCCTGGTGCACACCTATGCGAACGGGCTCCGCCGTTCTGGCGTTGTTAGTGGGGATGTTGTTGCTTGTAAGCATGATATGGGAAATTGCGCCTGCAGTTTTACATGAAGTGCCGAAGCAACTGATGTCTCATTAGTGATTGGAAGCAACTGCGCGAGGTCGTTGGCTTTGCTTCTTGCTACGGCAGCTGTGGGCGGCATATTTGCGTCCTTCGCAACTGATATTGGGGACAAGGTAAAGCTCGTATCTGACGCAGGCTGTTTAGCTTCGGCTGATGTTGTTGAAGGCACTCAACGACCGACTCAGCCAGATCGGGCCCCGTGTGGTATTCGCCGAATCAAGCTATTCATATAATGGAAAACGCATCGACATCACGGCAAAGGTTGATGGCTGGACAAACAAAGCCTATAGGCCGTTGAAACTGGTCGTGATAGGAGACACGGCGGGCTTCAAGACAAAGTGGTAAGTCAGGCTGAACCTCTCACCCGAAAAAGACTAATTTTTTGGTCTCGATACAGCGAGAACTTTGAGACTTTCATCAACGGCAGCCCTCTTCAAACACCGTTGAAGTTTGAGCAAGTCCCATTCAATACGCCACTGGTCATCATGTTTTCTTCGGGAACGACAGGAGTCCCTAAGGGCATCGTACATTCTCATGGGGTATACCTAGGATCTCTATGAGGATGACACCAGCTCATGTGGATTGCAGGGTTTGCTTTTAAATGGCTTCAAGGAGCACCGCCTCCACAATGGATTCGGACAGCAGGATATCCACTTTCATTTCAGCGGTGTGAGTTCTCTTTCATCCCGATGTCTATTCCTCCTTCAATTAGAATCTCACGCACAGGCAGATTGGATGGACATTATGGAATATATCGATCGGCGCACTCTTCTGCAGATCTGCACTAGTCTTGTACGACGGATCACCTTTTTATCCGTCTCCGGAAGAGTTCCTCCGATGTGTTCTGGCCACAGGGTCCGTAGGGGTTGCCACTGTTTGATTGCGACCGTGTCTAACGACTGGCAGAGTCACCGGCTTTGGCGCTGGCCCGCGTTATTTTGCCGAGCTACAGAAGAGAAACGTGAAACCCAGTCGGTCTTTGGCCTTCCCCTTCTGGACCGTGCTCTGACAATGGATCAGGAAAATACGCCCAAAAAGTTCACACAGTCCTCTCTACTGGCGCAGTGCTAACACCAAGTCTATCATCGTGGCTAGGAGAAGCCTTCGGTCCAGTGTGCCAGATCCAATTTTCCGGCGGCACCGAGCTGTGCGGCTCCTTCATTCATGGAACGCGCTCTCTCCCTTCGTATCCTGGGGAGATAGCTGTGAAGGCATTGGGCATGGATGTTGCTGCATATTCCCCCGACGGCGTCGAAGTGCCCGATGGAGAGAGCGGCGAGCTAGTCTGCAGGAAGCCATTCCCAAACATGCCAGTCATGTTCTGGAACGATCCTGGGAAGAAGCGCTACCACAGCACGTACTTCGACATGTTTCCTCGTAAGTTTCCTGTTACCCTTTTTATGTTTTGAGCCACTTATCCCTACTGACAAACCTCAAGATGTCTGGACACATGGAGATTTCATCAAGGTTAACCCAGTGACAAAGGGGACCTATGTGCTGGGAAGGAGGTCAGTTAGATCCCATAACTCTATGGACGCGCGTCGTAACATACTTTACAGTGATGGCACGCTGAATCCGTCTGGCGTCCGCTTCGGCAGTTCAGAAATCTACAATATCCTGTCTTCGGATCGCTTCACATCTTCGATAGCTGACTCGTTGGTCGTCGGCCAACAACGCCGTGCCGCGCCGTACTCAGATACGACCGAGCGTGTCCTGCTCTTCATCAAATGCCGCGAAGGCGAGTCTTCCAATCGTCTCCTTCCCAAAAGGGACCTGGAAGCCCGGATCCGGGAGCAGATCGCCAAGGATCTCAGCAGAAGACACGTCCCGGCTCATATCTTCGAGGTCAACGAGATTCCCTACAATGCCAATGGGAAAAAGATGGAGATTCAGGTCAAGGCGGTGGTGAATGGTGGCGCGCAGGCGAGGACGAAGCAGAGAGTCAGTCCGCAAGAGCTGTCGATGCTTGAACAGTTCGAACCGTTCTTTCACCTCGAGAAGCTGCTTAAGAAGCTCGACGGAACTGCCTCGAAACTGTAAATGGCCGGCGGATCCCAAGTATACTCTACGGACATGGCGGCACAGCATGGACAGCGATAGGATCCTTTTCGGATCACTTTTGCGAGTCATTGGCTAGAGGTCCTACGAATAGAAGGCAATATTGTCACATTTCTGTTCTCGTCCTTCAGCCTTGTGCTCAACGGAAGAAGGTCATGTCTGACAAAGGTCTCTTCTCGTATCAAAGCAAATGGCAGCCACGTACTTCCACGGTAGTCTTCGACTGTGGCTCGGCCAGCGGCCCAGCAGGCCTCGCTAAAACCAGCAGAAAAATTCGTATCCAAGCGCCCCAGCTCTCGCATAGCTCGCCCTTATCCTGGTTTCGAGCCTTTCGGTCGGACGGCCGTTTTCTTCTTCGGGCCGGGTTTACCCCGTCAACCTCGCTGCCGTATCGGCTGAAAGCAGACAAGCATTGAACTCAAATAAACCCGAGCATGAAATCACGAGCTTGGCTAAAATTTGTATGCGTGTGCGCGGGGTCGGGGACGACGTTCAAGTAATGGGCAACAGCTGGACGTACACGGTTTCTGTCCGAACAAAGCGAACTCACCAGACTCGCTCCCCCGGTGCACCCCAAAAGAAAACACATCGAACGGCAAGAAACGTGTGCTCAAAATGGCGCCTTCCGCAGTCCATGAACCGGCAACATCAACCCCAGAGCGGACTTTGATCCGCCATAGTCCTCGAGCACTAGCGCACGTGGTCCTGCGAACGAGTTCTCAGAACTACGAAACGATGATTCAATTCTACCAAGACCTCCTGGGAGCCAAGGTCGTTCATAAGGATCCAGTGCTGACATTCCTGCGTTACGACGAGGAGCACCACCGCATTGCGCTGATCCAAAGCCCAGAGACGCAGCCCAAGAACAGGAGCAGCGCAGGGCTCGACCACATCGCCTTCTCCTACTCCACTCTGACCCAGTTGGCGCAGCAGTACGTCTACCTCAAGTCCATGGAAAAGCCCATCAAGCCCTTGTGGACAGTCAACCATGGCCCGACCACCAGCTTGTACTATCGAGATCCCGACGGCAACAAGATCGAGCTGCAGGTGGACAATTTCGACATTCCCGAGGAGGCCGACGCGTTCATGAGCGGACCACTATATGACGTGAACCCGATGGGAACGGACTTCGACGCCGACGAGTGGGCTAAGGATATTTTGAACAAGGCACTCCCTGATGGGAGCGAGGGTCTGTCCTCGCAGGAGATCAAGGAGAAGAAAATGCGCAAGGAGATTGGCGAGAGGCATGAGCTGCCAGAGGGTTTCTTTTGACCCTTTGATTTCTTGCTTGATGGTCGTAGTTCTAGGCACAACCAATGTCAAGTAACGCTTGAGATGCTTCTTTTTGGTCTTTACAAGATTTTTACAGCCTCGTCATCACGTGCAACCCCTTGTATGCAACCATGCATTCACGTTACCAACCTCTTCGCTTCCAAGGTTTCATCTTCGCACTAGCATCGCTCGCCCCTAACCGCTCGTCTCACCACAGCAACCCCCAGCAATAGGAATTGCAATATGAGGGAGTTCGCATGTTCCCGCGGCACATTGTCATTCTTACTCATCCATCATTTATGGGCTAGATTTTGAGCCCGTCCCGTCCGTCCTAGACTTCCTTGTCTCAGCAGCATTGCCCCGAAAACCCTAGCAGGTCTCCTGGAGATCTTTCGAACCCAATCCACTCTGGATTTCGGGTTGGAAGCTCATCATGCACAGAGCTGGAAAGAAAGTCTCCTCGGCCAGAGCTGTACCCAAGGGGTTACGTTCCGGGTGCAAGCTGTGCAATAGGCTAAGTCCACGAGGTCACACGTCCAGCTCGTACAATGCAGACAGTTCCACCACACTTAAAGCCAGCCTTACGCTTTGCATAGATGCTCTTCAGCTATCTGTCAGCAAATGCCCACATTGCAAGCTGCTGCAACAATCACTACAGGCCTTTGTTGGGGGAGAATGGCCCAAAATCCGTGTTCCGGTGTGTGTTGATCTTTCGGAGGGCTCGCCTATCAAGATGTCAGTGCAAGAGTCCAAGACCAAGACGATCGTGGTTGAGCTGTATACTCCGTCAGGTGTGTCTTTGCAATTCTCTTTCCTTTCGCATGTATTCTTCAATCGGCGTCCAAATGAGTGTTTTAGCCTTCCGACAACGACAAGAAACATCAATGTCCTGATACTGTGACAGACCAGCAGCCGCCGTGGCCAGCACTAGGTACTGCCCGCAGCATCGCAATCTTCTCGGGATCTGATGAGTCGTTTGAGTTCGCTCGCAATTGTATCCAAGACTGCATGTCGAACGCGACACATGGCGCATGCCGGAAATCTTCCCAGATCACACTCCCGACGCGACTCATAGATGTCCAAGGCAACGACCAGGACATAAGGCTTGTCGAGCTGAGCGGAAAGAAGGTCGAGTATATTACACTAAGCTACTGCTGGGGTCCCGGCTCAGCAGTGACAACGACAAGCACGAACTTGAGCCAAATGCGAGAAAGGATCGATTGGGATACCTTGCCGGTCCTGTTTCAGGACGCCATCACGATCACGCGCCGGCTGAACATCAGCTATCTGTGGATCGACGGCCTATGCATCATCCAAGATGACAAAAAGGACTGGGAAACTGAATCCTCCAAGATGAGCGACATCTATGAGGCCTCGTACGTAACAATCGCCGCAGACACTTGTAAGAACAATACTCATCGCTGTCTGGTACACCGCCCGAAACGCCTGCGCCTTGAATACCGGAACACGCGGGGCAAGGCGTTTACAATCAAAGCGCGAAAAGTTTCCAACCACCACGAAGCACCGGAGGAGGATTTGGCCTTCCAAGCGCAAGGGCCCTTGAGTGCTCGAGCTTGGGCATTGCAGGAGAACGTGCTATCCCCACGTATTCTGCACTATACAGAGACCGAGCTCACGTTTGAGTGCCGTACTGCATACCGTTGCGAGTGCAATCCCATTCCAAAGAGAGAAGCTACAACTCCAGGCCTATTACCCAAACTGCTCTTGTCGACGAAACAGCGTACCAAGGTATTCAGAAACTGGCACCGCATCGTCGCACAGTACACCCTCCGGAAGCTGACCGTGGCATCTGACAAGCTTCCGGCGATTTCAGGTATTGCAAAGAAGGTCTCAACTGCCACCGACTCCGCTTATCTTGCGGGGCTGTGGAACGACAATCTGATCGAGGACTTACTGTGGGCTTCTGGACCGCATCTCGAATCGCCGCACCTCGCCCGGAGATTGAATGAGTACCGTGCGCCGAGCTTTTCATGGGCCTCGGTAGACACTCAGATCCAGCCTTTTGAGGAGAGGGAGGGCGAGAACGTCGAGTTGAGTCCCCACATCTCGATTGCGCAAACCTCGTGCACTGTTTCTGGCCTCAACCCGCTAGGTGCGGTTACGGACGGGTTCATTGATCTTTGCGGACCTGTGGCAGAAGCGACATTGGTGGCTCCGACACGCTACGAATTCGAGTACCACTTAGTGATGACCAGTGGCACGACTGCTGTGGGCATCTCCCCAGACTCTCTGTTGGTGCAGGACCCGGTCGAGGACACCACAGTGTCACAACAAGGGACTGTACGGCGTGGGAAAGAGGGAGAGAGCTACAATCCTTTCAAAGCACGGGTATGGTGCCTTGTCGTCGCGGGCCATTCCCACGGCTGCATCTCAGGCCTCGTCTTGACAAAGTCGTTGCGAGTCCCTGGGGCTTATGAACGAATAGGCTATTTTAGCTGTGGAAACGACTGGCTGACCGGGGCAAACAAGCAGGAGATTCGAATTGTGTGAGGGAGCAGAACAAAAAAGACTTGCCCCAGAAAGCATGACTTGGATCGTCGATCGGGATATGAACAACCCGGCTTCCGGCCCTGGTAGGAAAAGGAATTGTCTTCCAGGGAGTCTCAGGTGAGGGAACAGAGGAGCCTCTCTGACAGTGAGGATACCGGGATGAGCATACCTAGGACAACAACATCGTCCTCATCCCCAGCTTCTTCCTTCCCCAGACTCTGTGATGGAGCCGCCAGTAGGTTTCTCCGGCTCTTGGCAGTCGTCATGACCCAATCAATGCCAAGAACGTTGTTATCGCAAGAAAGCAGATAATTTTTTTAGCCGAAGTTTTCCCTTTTTTCTCCCGAAAGGGTGAGTCGATATGGTATTTTTGTCCAGGCCCACCTTTTGACCCTCTCCTTCCATGTAGTAAAGACTTCAGAAGAATTCCTCCATGATGACCGACCAGGGCACAAAGGCGGCCCCTGTCCGGCTTTGGGGCGGCAGATTCACTGGCGAAATCGACCCTCTGATGAACCAGTACAACGAGAGTCTGTCTGTAGATCGTGTCTTTTATGCCCAGGATATCAGAGGCTCGATAGCCTACGCCAGGGCCAATGTCAAGACGGGCATCCTCACGCAAGAAGAGTTTGGAAAAATCGAACAAGGGCTCAAGGCAGTCCTCAAGGAGTGGGAGCAGGGCACTTTCGAGCCGAAGGACGGCGATGAAGGTGAGCAAGTTCTGGTCTTGATGCTATTTTGTGACTTCAAGTCTCGTTGGGCTTTTTTCACCGTGCCACCTATGTGGCTGGCATATCGATGTGTCAACCCCCATAGAACGGAATAGCGATTCTCTCTATCGCTACCAGAACACGCCTTGGATAGTAAAACAGCTAACATCCCCAAAAAGACATTCATACCGCCAACGAGCGCCGGCTGGGCGAAATCATCGGAACAAACATTGCCGGCAAGCTACACACAGGCCGCAGCCGCAACGACCAAGTCGCGACCGACATGCGCATGTGGCTGCGTGACGAGCTGAACCTGATCGAGCAGTACCTGGTGGATCTCCTCAAGGTGATTGCCCACCGCGCCAAGCAGGACATCGACTACATCATGCCGAGTTACACGCATCTCCAGCGCGCCCAGCCGATCCGATGGAGCCACTGGCTTCTCAGCCACGCGACGGCGTTCCAATCGGACCTGGAGCGACTCCGGTTCACCAAGAAGAACATCAACAAATTGCCGCTCGGCTGCGGCGCGGTGTCCGGCAACGCGTTTGGGATCGACCGGACGCAGCTGGCGCAGGAGTTGGGGTTTGAGGGCCTGATCATGAACAGCATGTCGGCGGTGGGCGACCGGGACTTTGTGGTCGAGGTGCTCCAGTGCGCCGCCACGGTGGGCAGCCACCTGTCGCGCTGGTCCGAAGACCTGATCCTGTACAGCTCGCTCGAGTTCGGGTACGTCAAGCTGGCCGACGCGTACACGACGGGCAGCTCGTTGATGCCGCAGAAGAAGAACAGCGACTCGCTGGAGCTGCTGCGCGGCAAGTCCGGGAGGATCTTCGGCGCCATGACCGGCCTGATGATGAGCATCAAGGGCCTCCCCTCGACCTACAACAAGGACCTGCAGGAGAGCCTGCAGCCCATGCTGGACACGGTCAAGACCCTCAAGGACAGTCTCCAGATTGCGGCGCGCTCGCTGGCCACGGCGACCGTGTATCCGGACAAGATGCGCGCGGCCCTGAGCCCGGACATGTTGGCCACGGATCTTGCCGAGTATTTGGTTCGAAAAGGTATTTTTGTCACCCTGCAGCTGCTTTTTTCTCATGTTTTTTTCATTCGCTCCCCTTCCTTTCCATCCTTCCCCTCCAGGCTAACCTCCTCCCCCCATGCTAAAAAGGCGTCCCCTTCCGCGAAACGCACCACCTGGCCGGCAAAATGGTCGCTCTGGCCGAGGACTCGAACAAGGGCCTGGACCAACTCAGCGTGGCGCAGTTCCAGGGTGTCGACAAGCGCTTCGGCGACGACGTGCTGAGTGTCTTCGACTACGAGCGCTCCGTCGAGCTCAAGGACGCCACGGGCGGGACGAGTCGGCGCGCCGTGCGGGAGCAGTTGGAAAAGCTGCAGGAGACGTTGCGCGGGGAGTGATAGTCGTCTCCTTGATCCAGCCAAGTCGCTTTTGGGGGTAAGGAGAAGGGGTCCTGGGATACCCATAGATATCTAAATGGATATACACCCCAGGACGGATGTTGTTTGACCTGAGCAGAGAAGTTCATGAAAATCCCCATGTCCTTCTCAGCGCATATACATATGACATCCCCCCCGACGTACTCCGTAGGGAGTGACAAGCGCAACGCAACGCAACGCAAGTCTTCAAGGGGGTGTGCAAAAACTCCACCGAAAACAACAAATTTCCTCATTTTCATCTCATTTTATCATTCACGAGCTGTCACACATCCCGTCCTCCATCATAGATAGGTACCTAGGTAGGTAGGTAGTCGCCCGCCCGCTTTACCGAGTACTCGTACACAAAACCAACCTATTACATGCCTCTCCCACCGAGGGAGAAAAGTTTGTCATTGCGTTCCTGCTTGCCTTTCTCTCTCGCCCCTCCAGGCATTGCAGTGGCTTTCAACGCCCCACGCCCCCAGGGTGGTTTTAAACCTCACATCTCTCCTTGCTTCCTACCTACCTAGGTAGGTAATGTGCTTTGTTTTCCAAAATGTCACTTATGGCTAGGGGTACACCCATCTCAAAGTTCCCACCGAACCTGGCTCTTCCATTAGAAAGACGTGGACTTATTTGTTACTGCGTCTCATCTGATGTATGCCATTCCCTACCTAGGTAAAGAGTCTGTGCCCAAAACCTTTCTTTCCCTGCTGTGCCTTCGTGACCAAATGTGTGTGCATGGGGGTATCACAAAAGATGCGGTTAATTGTACACTGTATCTTTCCGTCCGCTCTCGTTGCTGGCTGGTACAGATAATTACCCGTCCAAGCGCATTATGACAGACAGCTCTTCTGGACCGGTCGAATGCATGTAGAACTCTGCTGCCACACGAACCCAACCGGGTTTCGTTAAACCTGGAATCCACCCTCGTAGGCAAACATCAACCTCGAGATCTCCGCTTCGAGCTCGCAGGGATCGCAATCTCAACCAAATGATCCTCGTCGTCGTCATCATGGTCCGCTTGCCCCGTGAACTCCGAGCCCTGCTCGTCGGCGTCATCATTCATTCCATACGCGTTGGGCAACTTTTCTTTCTCCAACGGACTCAAAACTTCTTCGTCGGAGCTATTGCTCTCGACTTCTTCTGTGGGAGCCACCATTTCTCCCATCTCTTCGTCTTCAAAAACTTCCAGGGGGCGGCGCTCGAGACTTGTTCTTGCCTCCAGGGGTGGATTTCCCGAATCGATATCAGAGCCCGAACCATCAGACGACGAATCGTCCAGTGACCCGTCGAAATCATCATGCGACGTTTGTCCCTGCATATCTCGACTGGGCGCTGAAGAAAACAGACTGGTCAGACCTCTGCTAACTGAAAAGCTGTGGTGATCACTCGTGCTTGTATTAAGCGAGTTGATGTTGCTCCGCTTCCCAAATGTAGTAATATCTTGCTCTTCCTCGTCTAACGAAAACGGGTCGCCTGCGTCGTTATCGCCGCCGTTCCCAAGGGCAGCAAATGGGTCGTCTGCTTCGGAACCAAACTCGGACGCAGCCACTTCTTGCTCGGCCTCTTGTTTGTGTCTCGCTAATCGATCAGCCAACCGTCGGCGAGCACGTGATGGTTCGATGTTGAGTGGTGCCGGCGGAGGTGGAAGTAAAGGTATTGGCTGGTCGGACTGTTTGGAGAGCAGAGCATCATTAGCCTAAAAAGCAAACAATCGTTGGATTGTATTGGTCCCACTCACGTTCTCCGACGAAAGACCGCTATCAGCAGTAGAAAGCTGAGTCACCGTGCTCACATGCTCTTCATCCTCTGCATCATCCATATCTTCGTCATCGTCGTCCGAGGAGCTCCCAAACCCACTGGAAACTGACCCACTTGAATTGTAGCCAGCACTAGTGGCGCTGCCATTGTTGGACAAGTCGATGCTGTCTAGACCATGTTGGCCACCACCCAATCCAACGCCAGCCAATCCGCTCGATACACCAAAGCCTTGACCTGCATTGACGGCATTTAGAACAGCTTGTCTGGGGCCGAGACCGTTGTCCGGTCGAAAGCCTCCCAGGATGGCGTTGTCGCGTTCTCTGGTCTCAGCGAGTGTCTTAGTCACGTATTCCTCCCAAGCTTGAGAGTAGATGTAGTCCTGAACAACAGGCGACAACAATTCTCTGGGGTGTCGTTCGCCAAACTTGACGACCTCTTCTGCTACTAGTGTCAGGTGTCCCATGTATCCTAGGCGCATATTTCTGGCACGTTGTTCCTCGTCACTTCGTCTTTGACCTTCAATTATCGCGTCAGTAATCCGACCAGTCTCAAAGAGATCAAATGCAAGGAATCGGTTGTGGCCCCGGTCCATAGGCCCGTTGAAAACTTGCTGCACAACATCATACACGACGTTGTGGAGGAAGTTGTTCCAAGGGAAGCGGAAAAAGAAACTCTGTCCAACGTTAGCATCTTCCATCGAACCCGGCAGTAGATAGATGGCTCCTCACCAAAATTGTTGGAACAACCCTGTTCTCCACAAACATGATCTTCAAGTAATCTCCCACGACTGGCGCCTCGTCCGCAGCTGGTTGCTCGGGCTGGACGATTTGCATTGTGTCATCTTGTGCCGATTGGAACGATTCGCCCTCTGGCTGACCTGCGTGGCCTCCATCATCAAGTCGAATTTTCACGGTTGAAGGGCTTGTAGGCGGCTCTGGGCTGTTTGCCGTGGGTGTCTTGTTGGGATCCGACGATTTTGAGAATAGAGGTGCTGGTTTGTCCTCTGGATGAGGTGAAATGTCTCCAGGCTGAGACTCCCGAGCTGAAGTCTGAATATTTGGTTCATGTTCGTCGGGGGCGGTCATGTCCGTGTCTTCTAGACTGAGACGGCGCACGGTCTCATCCAGAGCACCGGTCGGCGTGGTCGGATGATCGTGGGATTCTGGCTTTTCAGCCGGATCGGGTTTTGAGCCTAGAGGGAGCTCTGTCGCCTCCGAAACAGCCACCTTCTCAAATCCATCCTCGTCGTTCAGATTGGCGATGCGTAGCTCTTCTGTCGAGGTGGACCCCGAGGGAGTGAATGCATTTTCAAACCTCGACGAACTCGCCGAAATGTCGACTGTCGAATCTTCCGATTGCCTGGTGGACAGAAAAGCCCCTTGCGCTCTTAACCTCTCTCTTTCGGCGTCTCTTGCCTTGATGAATTCTTCACTGCCCCTCTCGTTCAGAAGGCCCATATTGCTGCAATGCAGTAATTCTGCCATCAACTCACAGGTCTTGAATCGGTCAAAACCGAGAGGCTCAATTTGAGTCCCCCATGCTGATTTGAGTTGACCTCTCTCCACTACCGTTGTCTCCTCACCTTTAGTGACGGTATGTTTGGAACTGAGGATGAGGTTCATGAAATCCGGAACATGTTGGGCAAACAACCTCAGGAGGGTGCCGAGATAGATGGGGTCGTGGTTTGTTGGTGGAGCGTCGGCGCTGTGACCTTGATCTGGATCATAGTCGGAGTTGTTCTTCCGGATGACTTCAATCACAATTCCCACGCCCACTGTAAGCGGATTCCCACCTTTGAGCATATATGAAATAAGCTGTCGTATACACTTTTCCGACACCAATTGGCGTGTCAGGCTGTTGGGGCCAATACAGGATTGCTCATTTTGAGCTGCATTCGCGGATATTGTTATGATGGCTTTCAAAAAATCCCCGGCAGAGGTCTGGGTCGAGGAGTTGCATTCGGGAGACAGGTTGGAAAGGAGCATAGGAATCAGATCTTGCCCATGAAGCCAGTCAACGATGCCCATTCCGCCATCTGATTTTTCCAAGCTGATGATTTTCAACAGCAGGTCCATCACCATGGGACAATCGACGTGCTGTAGAATAGCAGGAACGATGCCGGGAAGAGATTTGAAGAAATCCAACATCTCCTCGGTCTTCTTTTCAAGCAGAGTCTCGTTGACCTTTGTGAAATAGCCCGCCTGCAGGGGGTCCAGTGGAGCAGGCCTCCGCAGAAAATCCCAAAATTCCGTGAGATAAGCAGTGTTGGCCACGAGTGACTCTGTAATCGACCAGGTCTCGCAAGACAAGATCTCACAAGCGACAAAGGCATATTTCAAGCGCTTCTTCTCCGCCTTCTCTTGTTCTTCGTCCAGGGGCTGCGGGTCATCCTCATTAACCGTCGCAAGGCCTTTGGCATTCACATCCTCCTCATTTTCATCAGCCTCAGACCTGGGACCAGGTGCAATAACGTAGTTTAGGAGAGCATGTAGATTTGAATCGTCGCGCAGGTATTCTATCAATTTGGTATGGTGCGACTTGAGCTCCTGAATAAGGTCGGACTCTTCCAGTAAGTCTTCAAGCCGGACATTGGGCTTTTCGAGGAGGGTGTCGATAGAGGAGATATTGGAGTAGCCTCCAAATCGCCAAAACATGGTTGCAGCTGCGATTCGGACGCGATCGGGGTCAAGGAGGAGGTCTTAGTAATGATACAGAATCGTAGGAGTATGGTCGTCAAGTAACAGGCCGTGGGAAGTCGTAACTCGTAAGTTGAATATTGAGTAAGACATAGACAGGCGGTCCAGCGCTATCATCGGCATCAAAAAGTTAGCTCTTTGGAAGGACAGGTGGGAAATGAGCAACCGGGAACCGCTGGAGGTGTGCGATGTTGCCGGTAACTCGGAGTTTGCAATCACGCATGTTTACCTGGTGTTACAAAGGAGTGACTGGAAGAGAAGTCCGGACAACCGTGAAAGACGCGGGGCCAGGGACTGTTCGCTTGGATGAGATTATTCCAGGGATGGAGGGTCTCTGAGAGCGCGAGAGGCAGTGTGTACAGTGGTTTGTAAGTTGTGGATGATTTGGATGTCTGGTTGGAGATTCGGCGGATAATTGAAAAGAGAGATGCCCGCGCGAACTTGGCAGAAGTGCTTTTCTGCCACTGATCACCAATTTCCAGATTACATAGAATGCAGCCACCGAGTGTCTTGGATTTGGATGCGCGGTAGTATTATGACTGGAGCCTTGAATAGGGTTGTGGTACAAGCACTGATAATGGTAATGGTTACAAGAGTTGTGGTACGTGCAACACAGAGCGCAGGCAAAGTACCTAGTACTAAGTACGGTACCTAGGAAGGTAGCCGTGGTAGCCAAGTGATGGGAAAGGGACCAACCGAGTGACTTGGGCACGAGGTTCACCCAGAGTCCAAGCTGGAGTCCTGAAGTCCCGTAAGTCGCAAGGCCTGCGCAACATGCCGGCGCCTCCACAAACAAGCGCCCCTCTGATGCCCCTTTTCTTCCTCGCGCTGCCGCCCAACCATCATGGGTGTCCGCCTCGCCGCCTATCCTGATGATTTATTGCCCGCCACGAAAATGCCCCATGCCACATGGCTCCCTGGAAAGTCCGGCCCCCAGATGCCTTAGCTTTTCCCACTTGCAGCCCGAACCTCCAACTGGCAACCGGTCGAAGCACTAACAACTTGGAAGTGATATGATGACAGTGCCCTGACGCATGAAAGGCGTGACACCAGATGCAGATGAGGTGGCACAAAGTGGTAGAGGAAAAGGGGGCCGTAGGCACGTGCAGCCTTTCCGGGATCATCTGGCAAAGCTTTGGGTAGCATTGAGGATGAGAATACTCGGTCCTAATCATCCCTAATAATCAATTTGCGCATCTGCAGATCTGTCAAGTCAGAACCTGCATCTCGTGCGGGACGATCCTTACCCCTGGTCTCTCCTCTCTCCTTACCTTGGGACTCTGCCACGTTGCTCGAGCCCTGCATCGCCGCCGCAGTTTCCCGTGGTGCCATGGTCGATTGAATTGACGTTGTTCAACATCAAGATCAGGAATTGCTAATCCGAATCTAGGTAAACATCGTTGACAAACCTCAAATACCTAGAAATGCACACCGTGAAAATGCATGTGGTAAAGCCACATCGCGTGGATGAGTGCCCAAGTGACTTTACTTGGATCTCGTAGAATGGACGCCGCCGGATAAAAGTCGGAGCGAGATGACGCACTCTTTCGCTTCACCGTTGTCGCATCGTTGCTCCATCTACACACGAGTGCCTGGTGCACCGACACTACAACTCCCCCGCAACTGCTCTGATGCCTCTGGGGTTCCTCTAATTCTAATTCAGAGATCTCAGCCAAGATGAATCGTCTCTTCGGATCCAAAAATACGGCTCCGAAGCCCACCTTGAACAGCGCAATACAAAATGTAGGTTCTCACTTGCCCCTCTCTCCGGGCAGCTGGGAATGGATGGTTCTGACCTTTTGCCGCAGGTAGACACGAGAATCGATTCCATCGATGTCAAGCTTGCCAAAATCAATGCCGAACTCTCCACATATCAGCAGAAGCTCTCCAAAATGCGCGACGGCCCCGGGAAACAGGCAATAAAACAAAAGGCCCTCAAGGTCCTGCAGCGGCGCAAAATGTACGAATCGCAACGGGACCAGCTCCAGCAGCAGTCGTGGAACATGGAACAGGCCGGGGTCATGCAGGACAATCTCAAGAACGTCATGACCACCGTGGACGCGATGAAGACCACGAACAAGGCGCTGAAACAACAGTACGGCAAGATCAACATTGACAAGATAGAACAGATGCAGGATGAAATGGCGGATTTGATGGAGATTGGCAACGAGATCAACGAGAGCATAAGCCGCGCTTACGATGTACCGGATGAAGTCGATGAGGCCGAGTTGGATGCCGAGCTCGAGGCGCTGGGCGAGGATATGATGTTTGAGCAGGAGATGGGTATCGGCGAGAGTACACCCGGTTTCTTGCAGGATGAAGTTGCTCCACCACAGTTCGTCGATGAGCCTCCGGAGCAAGCCAAGGTCAAGGAAGCCGCAGGCGGTGTTGGCTAGGGAATGTCTTTGGGGGGGTGTGAGCTTATCGTTTTTCTCGTTACAACTGGCTGCAAGCTCCTGCAAACACTGTCATGTCGCGTTCAGGCGTGCTTTTCTCCCGTCATTAGAGGTCCCACTATATCAAGTATTCTTCTTCAGATCCTGCGTCCAAGCTCTCACGGCTTTGGGACCCTCGTGCGCTGCCTTGAATAATTGTCGCTCGCTCTCCTCCAGCCCTCTCAGAAACTCTGCCCCCTCGCCCAATGCACCGCGCGGGTTGTGCGCCTGATCGGCGATTTCTGCAGCTCGTTCTTTGAATGTCTAGACCCAGACCAAGCGTGTCGCATCAATATATGCCTTCGAACGAGAGATTCATGGATCGAGGGGCACGTAACACAATTGCAATACAAGGCGGGGGGAAAGACACCGATCATGCTTACTTCTAACAGAGTATCCAACACGGCGCGATCGTCGAACAATTCCATAATCCGAGCCCCGAGGGCGTAAAAGTGCGGTGCCTGCACGCGCAAATCGACTGTCTTGGGGTCTGCCTTGAGCGCGTTGATGACGCGCTGTTGAAGCGGTGCCGGGAAATCCAAAGTGACGAGCCTTGGAGACCCGGGCGTGTTTCTAGGTAGTTTTGAAGAGACAAAGTCAGACGGGATTTTTGCCTTCTCACCGCGTTTGGGGGTTACCTGTTATACAACGCGTAGATGAATAGGTACTTACCCAGTTGACACCGCCAACATGACACCTAGCCACATGGGAAGATCGATTTTGGTGCCCGCTTTGATCTATCCCTGTCGCGTCAGTGACAAGGAATCTCTGCCCCAGGACCTTTTCGCCCCAGAATACCGAGGGTTCAAGAAACTGACCGTCCCGCCGGCATTGCCATCCAAGTATCCCAGGCCAGGCACGTCCAATTCGAAGGTGCAGGGCAGTTTCTGCGAGTCCGTCAAGATGGCGTCGACGTCATAGTAAGACATGTTGCGCGTCCGTCCGGATAGTCAGACCCCGAGTGGCTCATGTGTCAAGCCTCAAGGTAGACGAGGCTTTTCGACTGCGTGAGGAGTGACTATGCAGCACGAAGCAAGACGTGTCAATGGGTGGGTATTGTGGGAAGTGTACAACTAAGTCGGGATCCGCCGAGTGACGGGCCCGCGCTTGCTCAATACTCCACCTTTTAACCCGCTGAGTGGACTGTACGCTGTCGACATAGCTCCGCTCTTCTGGAAACAAGGACGTCAATGTGATAGCGTCCTTAAGGTTTTGCGGCTCTTGTGTCCACTACGAGGAAAATGGAGCTTTTACCAACGAGATCTCTCCGGAGGAGAAAAGCGCTGTTGAGTGGGCACGTCTCGACTTACACAGGCAGGGAAAAGAATCTTGGAGAGGAAAGCAAGACAGTCAGCATACATACGGTTAGGGTTTAGGGCTATATATAGTCTCGAGAGTAGTGGCTTCGATAGGCTGTTGGTACCAGACCGATATCGTGGGGGTCACTGCCGTACCGATACTCGTTATCGCTCTCCCGCCGAGCCATATTTGGATCGTTTTGTGCCAGAAGCTCATGGCCCTCAAAGTAGGCGCCATTGCCAGCCTTTGAGACCCCCGAAAATGTTGGTGAGCCGAAGTTTGCGAGGCGACGAGTGGCTCCGAACTGAGAACCCATTGTGTGATCCGTGCGCAAAGCATAGCTAGGGTCGGCATGTCGACCCCTGCGACCAACAAACATCCACCTGGTTGCACGGCCTATGGCCTTGAAAATATCCCACCAGTTCAGCACGTCGACGAAGGCTTTGAGGCCCAAAAGCCCGCCTTGGTACGAACCAGACGCACTCGCCTCAGAGCCATCGAGCCTGCTCCATCTTTCGTTCATGGTATAGGGCTTATACGGGTACGCCCAGAGATGGAGGAGAGAGATTATGGCCATCTCGGCGCACAGCAGGGTCGCCGGCAGGGTGACGTTGAGATCTGGGGTCTGAAAGTAATACGTGGCTTTGAAGGCGCCAACCCTCACGAGTATGGATAGAAGCAACTGATTCCAGGTTAGCAGATGCGACAGGAACTTGGTAGGGGGGAACCATACGGTCTGATAAGTCGACAGATAGAGCACAATGTTGATACAGAAAAATTGGAATTTGGACTTCCATTCGCTGACATCATTAACGTTCTGGTCATGGTATTGAACAAGGCACTGTAAAGAGGTTAGAGCCTTTATCTGTTCTACCAAAAGTTGCAGACATAGCGCCCATGGAAAAGAGAGAATGTCTCCAAGTAGTCATCGCGCCTGAGCACCACTGGGATGGGGAAGGAAGTGCGACTCACGTAGGATGAAACGATAGCGGAGGCGCTATTGAAGACGAGAATCTGCGATAAATCAGCCAGACTGTAATCACCAGTCACCATGGAAGGAAATACATATATATGAGCAAAGGCAGGTTGGATTGGAGCCTCGCTGCAGTAGCGGTCGAATATTTGAGCAATAACTCCAGCGATCGACGTGGTCATCAGGACAAAACAGTATTGAAAAACGCCGAAGAAGATGATCTGTCAAGGGTGAGAGGCATTCCAGTAATCTCTGCGACTCTCTTACATTGAACCAGGTCAGTCCGCTCCGCGGGTTGCGTAAAAGTCCTTTCTCAGCGCCGCCCGTACACTTCTGTAGCCAAGAGATAGGCCACTTCCATTTCTTGGGTGTCACTGTTCTGAAGTACACCTTTTGTTGGTGGAGGTCTGGGGCAATATACGAGCTGACCAAGTTGAAGAAGGACGCCAGTCCAAACGCCGCGTAGGCGTTCCCAATGAGGAGGAAGTAGATACTCTTCTTGTAGTAAATAGCCGCAAGCAAATTGCTGACACCATAAACTGGGACCATGAGGAGTATTCTCGTTACACTGGCGGCTTGATCAGCTATGGGGTCGAGATACAGACGGAAGACTCACTGTTTCTGCTGCGAGGGCTGTAGGTAATGCACGGCGTGCATAAAAATCTGTGACAGAGATACCAATACTGCAAGTATGGTCGACCCCGCAGCAATCCAAACAAGGATCTCATGTACTGTCCAACCGTTACCAAGTGCATTTTCGCTCACTGACTCTGATTAGCGGAGATGAACACGACAGAGGTGCAACCGGCCTTACCTCTCATTCGGGATATTGTATCATTGCATCGCGGCAACACCATTGTTCCAAAGGTTGTCTGAGAAGGCTGGGGTAGCAACGCAGAGATGACTGGGAAGCTTAGGCACAAATGTGCCTGATGAGGCTGATTATATTATCTGGGGCCATGGCTCAAGCGACTCTCGGCTAAGTCCACAGTGTTGGTGGCAACTTGCAGCAACCCCACATAGGGACTGATAGAATTTCGAGAACAAGATGTCCAATTGGTTACCAAGATTTATCGGCCGGTTAGATCAAGCCAGGGACTAGTCGAGAGTCGAGAGTCGAAATGGAGGTGCGACTTGTACTGGATGGCTTGAGGCTATGGTTTTAGGAAGGGGCAATACGAGGTACTCGTAGGTCCAGAATCAAGCAACGTGGAAGGTCGAAGCTTAATCCCAGACAGGCACTAACGTATATAGGCTAGCATCACTATAGTGGAGATGGAAAAGCGGCGTGTATGAGCTTAGTCGCATCCTGTGTTTTCAAGGCTGATCTGGGCCAGCGTGTCTTTAAAACAGCATGTATCAGCTCATCCACGTGATGTAATGACAAGAGCCAATCAAGCGCGTTTCTCGCTCCTACGAGTCACGGTGCTCTCGACGCGTTCCGCTGAAAGCAAGTTCAGACAGTCCGTCTTGTTCGGGTTTTTCCTCTCCTCAAGTTCAAGACTAGATATGACCAGCTCCCAGCCAAACACTGCAACTTCTGCATCGCAATCAGCATCCGCGTTATCGTCCCGCCCTCCAGTGACCCTTGGCCAGACCACCCATCTCGACCCAGGCGCCTACGTCCGGGGCACGCATGCCATCACAGTCGGTGAATATGACCTAGTACATCCCAGGGCTCAACTGGTCGCTGTCCATGGACCTTTATCGATCGGCGATAGATGTATCATCTCTGAGAAATGCATTATTGGTGGCCCCGTTCGAAGCACAAGTGGTATGTCCTCTGATCCGGCTTCGAAAACGCCCAGTGCTCCAGGGAGCGGAAGTAATCAGCCTAGTCCGTTGATTAATCAGGGTGGTGCTGATGATGCCGATGATGAGGAGCGTGACCCCATGAAAACTGTGATCCATGATTTTGTCTATGTCCATCCAAGTTCGCACGTCCAGGCTGGCGCAACGATCAGGGAAGGTGTCTTGATTGAATCCAACGTGACTGTCCTTGCGAACGTCACTGTCGGTGCACATGCGAAGATCTGTGCGGGCGTGACCGTGGATCGAAATGTGGAGGATTGGACTGTTGTGTATGGAAATGGCAACATGAAACGACCGAGGAAGAGAAGGTCTGCTGAAGAAGATCAGACTGAGCTGGTGGAGATGCTGAGGCTCAAGGCCATGGACAAAGAACGCGAAGGGACAGTGACTCTTTTGAGGGCGGCGGCTCGGACGGCGAATTTGGCCAAGAAGAAATGAGCGACTTGAGCATAGGGGTTCCGAGCCACGGTCGACAAGCCCGACATCTCTCTCATCCGTGACATGTTGGCTGTGCTGCAGACCGACGATTGGCTAATTATGATGGTATTGAGCTCTTGACCACCAACCCGCAATGACTATCAGCGAAGACGAAAGACAGCAAAAGAAGGGCAGGACATCTTATGTTGTCAGGTTTTGAAGACAGTGTCTGGTTCCGAGAAAGACCATGTTCTCCTACGAAGGCACGGGAAAAGTCTCCAGCTTGTCGTGGGGATCCGGCGCTGGCCTCGACATCGTAATTATGGCTATTTTCTGTACTATCTTCTAAAGCAGTACAAGAAACCGACGGTGTGGAGCCGCCATCAGCTCAAGCCTTGACGTTGGGAGTGAGCTTCAGTGTCTTCCACTTCGAGAAGCAATGTTTCGCCCTCACGAGGACGACAAAGTGGTGCAGCCTTTAAGGCTCGACAAGCGATTATGTCATGGTCGCCTGCATAAGATGGACTTTGTGGATGCTTCACTCCCAGCCACCTCGATTCTCCAACTCTGGGCGCAGAATACCAATCCGGGCGTCAAATCGAAGCGCAGCAATTTGCTTGCCAAGGGGGGCACATTCTATGTTTGGGGGGACCATTGGGAGTACCGAGTACGCTTGCTCTGGATTCATCTGGGTCAATTCCTTTCTCAGTCTTGTCGAGAGACGCCGGCAATACGCCGAAGAGCATCATCCCACCATACATACATGAGAAGCGACACCTTTCTCCTTTCAGGTCTCTCTAGCCCAATATGAGGCGCGACAGCATCAAACAGCCCCCAACAACGGCCATGTAGCGCTTTCCTTGCATGGAAGTTTGGGGGCCGCTTTTCGAGCCTCATGAGCCCCGCGTTTGTCCTCCAGCTTGGATTTCTTCCTAAGCATGCATTATCACATCAGTCATTGCTGGTTCAGGCCGCCAGAGCGGAGGTCCGCCTATACAGCCATTCAATACCCCTGTGGCCAGCCCTCAATCTGAATCTTCACCAATGATTTGATGTGTTGCAAGCAACCTTGGCGTACTCCGCCTATAGACCCATCACCCTTTTTGCTCAGCGCCTCCGACAAAAATAAGTGCAAAAGAGAGCGGAACGGCACGACGGTATGTTGCTTGCCCCAAAACATATATGCGGGCCTCAGCCAGACGTCTGTTCGATGGAAGGTAGAGAATCGCTACCAACAGTCAAACCTTAGTGCTCAGAATGGCGTCGCGTTTCTGGCTCTATCTCTTGGTGTTGGTCTGCTTGACTTCTACATCCGCGGCTGCCGTACATTTCAAGAGTTGGTATGGACAGTTCCGGCAGGTTTTTGAGCATATCATGGAGAATGACTGCCAGAAGGAGTATCAAACTTACTTACAGAAGGTCGCCCCTAAAGACTATTTGAGCGAATACGTCACGCCTGTTATCGACTGTATCTTGGAGAATTTAAATGAAACGCGCAAGTCCAACATGGCGGCTGCCGCAGTCTTGCTGGGTCTATTACCGACAACTCTGGGCCTCGTTGGCTCTACCACGGTAGAAGTCGGCCTGGTGGCTCTACGGCGGCCCTTCCTCGCCTTCCTGCTCGCAGCTGGAGCACCAGCCGTTTCGCCAATCCGCACATTTGATTACATTGATACCACAGAGCTTTTGGAAAGAAAACCCAAGACCATCAGAATAAAGCAGATGGGCCGACCAATGGCTTCGGCGTCTCTCTTTTCCAATATGTCATGGCAGCATTAGCGGTCGTCAACTTGGCTTTTGTAAGCTACGAGGTCTGCGTTCGTACAATTTGTTCCTTCGCCCCCGAGACGGCATATCTCCCAGCCCTGTGGGCGTTTCTGACGGTTGCCGTGCACTTCTTCGGCACTTGGTCAGTCTATTGTCGAACCAGGATCACCACCAAGGCTGATGGGAAGACACCAGCGGGACTCTGGCAGGTACTGTGCGCAGAATTCACGCCTTCGGCTTCACGACAAGGGGCCAACCTGGAGATCAAGGAAGAGACCTATCTCTACATTTTCCTCTCCTGGTTCACAGCCACGGGCACCGTCCTGCACATTGTCTACGGGACGCTGGTCTTTTCAAGCCTCATATTCATATCCACCAGCGATGCCACGACTGTGGTCGCGCGGTATCTGTCGTCAACGCTCGTCTGCCGGGCGATAGTGATGTTCGAGCTGAGTGGACTGAGAGAGGTGCTGAGTGAGCGGAGAAAAGGCTCTCACAGTGGACCGGAGCTCATCCCGATGGAACCAACTCCCGGCACCATGTCATTTGGTGACCGACTTGGCGCTCCTTGGAAATGGGGGCCTTTGAGCCGTACAGACGAGTGGCAGTTGCTACGCGGGTCAGACAGGCTTGCGGAAGCGTGAGTGTTGAGATACTCACTATGGGCTCATGAAGATGGCGTGGTGAAGGAAGACAGTGCATCTATCTGATGACAGTATGAAGTTCAAGGCGTGAACTGCGAAGCGCGGGCGTTGAAGCTGAAGTGTGAGCATGGGGAAAGTAGTATGGAATTGCCTTAGAAGAGCCAACTGGACTTAGTCGCCGTTGAATGTCCAGGACGTTCCTCCACCGCGCGTTCATACGCTCTTATTAAGCCTGTCCAATCTGCCCGTGTGTGTGATCAAAATCTGGGGCAACTTTTCCTTCATACAATCGTAAACTCACAGCGCCGATTTTCAGGGCGTAAATCACCGGCCTCAAGCGGCCACGACGGCACACACGACGAAACCAGGAACTCGTCGCCAAAGGAATCGGCGGTGAAGGTGCCGTAGCGTCGGAACTGGAACTGTCCCTCGCGGCCCGACGGTGCCGGCGACTGCGACGGCGACGGGACGAGCAGCAGGCCTCTGTACCGGGGGACGCGGTTGCGCTCGCCGCGCAGGATGGGCAGGCAGTAGAGGACGCCGGGGAGCTGGGTTGCAGGACTGAGCCCGTCGTCCAGCCGACAGATGGCCGAGGGGATAATGGTGCTCCGGTCGCCATCGCCTTTGAGTTTGAGAGCGAGGCCCGGGGTCGGCGAGCCGGGCTGGTGGACGCGGGACAGCGAGGCGCGCGCCAGCACGCCCGTGAGCCGCAGGTGACCAGCTCGGACTTGGCCCATGTGGTCGCTCTGATCGACTGGCACGACCGTCGCGCCGTTCACGTCGACCAGCACGCTCGCCGAGGCCCACGGCTCGGTCTCGCACGGCACCGTCGCCGCGCGGGACGCCCACGACCAGCTCGGCGCGACGTATGGGTTGTCGTGATCACCTTCGCCTCCAACCTCGCTCACGCGGATGCTGGCGTCGGGCTTGTGAGGAGAAGAACGAGGATAAGAACGAGGGGAAGGAGGAGAGGGAGGAGAAGAAGGAACCTCCCTGACATCCCAGAGCAGTTCGAAGGGCAGGTCCTGCTTCCACAGGCCGGCGAGGTACATGTCGTGCGGGATCAGGCGGCGCTGCAGTTTGCGCGCGATCCCGGACAGCGCGACCAGCCGGTCGGTGCGCCGGCTGAGTTTGCCCGCCGAGTAGGTCTCCATGACCTGGTCCCAGATGCCGTACGGGCCGCGAAGGTTGCCACTGCCACTTCTGTTGGGCCACAAGCGCCCTCGCGACGGCGACGGCGACGGCGACGGCGACCTCACGCTCGCAGGCAGACCCGAGAACGGCAGCAGTTGCTTGAACTGTTCCCCCATGCCGTCTGCGAATCCCGCGGGGAAGGCCTCGGACGCCTCGAGCCCCGAGCACTCCCAGTACAGCTGGTCAGCGCCGAAATGTAGCACGCGGGGCGAGAGCAAGCGCTCCTGCAACACCCACGACCGGCCATTCAAGGGGCCTTGGGAGACGTTCTTGGCCCAGTCCTCGTGGTCCACGCAGTAGTAGATGGACCTTTTCTCACCACCATCTCCGCCTTTGGGCACCACGGGAATGGCGCAGGGGCTGACCACGCGAGCATCGCGGTGGGAAAAGAATCCACGGCTCCCGTCCGCGGCCGCCGTGGCGGCGAGCGTGCAGAATGCATTCTGGTAGATGTCGCCCATGTTGGCCGATTCGTGCCTCCAATCCTCGGCCGAGTCCTGGATGATGCAGAGCGAGTCGATCCACAGATAGCGCACCGCGAACTCGTCCCAGAACCTCTTGGTCACGGTCACGGCGTCCTGGAACGTTTTGCACAGCGTGCCGACTTCCACCCCTCCGAACAAACGGGCCGCGGATTGGGCGGTGAGAATGACCCGTGGGCCTTGACTCCCCCAGCAGTGGCTGAGCGCGAGGTACTCGATCGCATGCGCGTCCCCGATGCTCTCGACCGTCCGAAGCCGGACTGTGTTTCCCTCGTCAACTTCAATGAGCCTCTTGGGGAGCTGTCGCTGGCGGTTTTGTAGTGAGCTGGGCGAGCATTGACGGTGATTGGAGAGGCATGTCCACATCCATGTTTTGAACGTGTTCCAGCTCTCCTCCGACTGCGTGGTGGTGGACGTGATCCGTGCTTGCTGCACGAGCGGCTCCGCCTCTAAAATTGCCGATTAGATTCACTTCCGGTGTTTGTGAAGAGAGAACAAGAGACAGAAGCAAAGTTTCCAGATTCAACAAATAAACAGCAGCCCATAATGACCAGCCAGAAATTGGCCGTAAGCAGTCAAAACAACCTGCTTGAATCATGAAGGCTCTCGAAGAGGGGCTCAGGTGTCCTCCGTTGACGACCGATTGACGGGGAAATATTCTCTACGTACCTTCCCTCCATAGTAGCCTGAAATGCCGCTTGATGGGCTTCGCGTGCTCATGGGGGTTCGTCAGGCCTAGTTGGTACTTGTACTCGACCAGAAGCTTCCTGGAACACCGGTGCGGGGAGAAGATGGCTTTATTAATGGTGAAGAAGCAAGGCAGCCAGTGCGCCGGACGGTCATCTCGCAGGATCTCGGTCCAGAAAGCGTGGACCCGGGGCGGGGCAGCAGCCCAGAGCAGCATACACAGGTGGCAGCCATCCGACGCCGACTTCTTCAACCGTGGGAGGCTGTGATGGTTGGCCTTGTAGAAGGGCGACTCAGGGGCTGGTGAGGCTGAGCGGGAACCGGAATCTCGTCTCGGCTGACAGGGCGGCGCGAGATGGTGGGTGCTCCCCGGAAGACGATGATCAGCATTGTGGTTGTCGTCCTGCTCCCGGAAAGCGTTGGAACAAGCACTACATAGCATCGTTTGATCTCTTTTGGAGGACCCAGCCTTCCTCCGTCATATAGGATTTGGGGGTCGTGGTCAAACGGCAAAGGTTTGTAGCGAGCTGAAAACATATCGTTGGCTCTTGATGCCCCTAGACCCAAACCACTCTAGACGCTTTCTTGGTCAAGGAATGCAGGTCCAGACTTGGGGTCTAGACCTGAGGGTTTCGCAGTTGAATTGTGATCATATGGAACTGCAAGTCAGCACAGCTTACAGGCAATGGTACGCTGTTGTTGTGTGCTCAATGGTATGTGACACTATGAAAATGAGTGGTTCAGCTATAGTATCTGCTTTCCAGAGAAAACATCTGTTCGAGATATGACAAGAAAACAGGACAAAGGCAAACGAAGCAATCCCCATCACCCGCCATTCTGCAAGGAAAAGACTTCATCCTCTTTTCATAGATGAGCCCGCGTCTGCGTTCCGAGCCTGCTCTTTATGTAGGTGTTTTGGCCTATTCGCTGGGTTTCCGTCAGGTGGTTGCTTGGGTATTCTGGCCTTTGGCAGCACCCCCCTAAACGCATTGTTCGCTGCTCCTTCCATACGTCCGCTGAGCTCTTCCAATCTGAGTCGTTTATTCACAATCAGACGTTCATATTCTTCCCGATCTTGCCGTCGTCTCTTTAGGTCCTTCTCCCGCCCAAGATTTAGTGTCGTTTCAAGATTCTTCAAGTCTTCTTCCTCTCTTTGCTGGAGAATCACACGGTCTTCTCGCTCTCTTTTACATCGCCTCGCTTGGTCTTCTCGTTCCCTCGTCTGTCGCCTTAGCTGATCTTCTTGTTCTCTTTCCAGGCGACTCGCAAGATCCTCGTTCTCTCTTGCTTTAGCCCTTGATCGGTCCTCTCTGGATCTTCGCTCGAGTCTTTTCGCTTCGTTGTTTCTTATCCTCATGTTTTCTTCTTCGTCCTCTCTCTCTCTCTGATTCCTTTTCTCCTGTTGGCACTGTGCATAGGCTTTGAAGAGCTGTTCGCATATCTTCGTGGCCGCCTCCTGCCCTGGCGTCTTTGAACCGCGGCGTATAACATTAATTCCCATGCCAACCAGCTTATCCCTGCACTCATCAGGCATATCCAGCTCCACAGATTCTAAGTGACCTTCCAATTGTCCCAGGCCTGACTGCAGACCCCGTTTTCCTGCCGAGATAACAGCCGCGGGCTGATGGACTGTGGAGTCGATGGTTGAGTTTGAACTTCCTCGCAAGCTGTGGCAAACGTCGTGTCAGCTGTCGCCATAGACGTAGACGAAACCATGGTCAGGAGCACCACGGACTGACTTTTGTCCTTCTTGTCGTGAAGCTTGCGAGCCACTCCCAGAGTCGGACTGTCTGACTGCCGTGGCTTTTGTGCCCGGGGAGATATGATGAATTACCTAATTCTATTAGCGTCCCAAAGCACTTGTCCCTATAGAGAGTCTCTCCTAACAGGTTGTTTAGAACGGCCAGCTTGGTGGTCGATGAGCGGACCCGGAGCCTCATCAAGGCTTCTTGGACGCTGCTTAGGGGGCACTTCACTACAGGACGGTGTTGACATGCTGGTCCTGTCCGACTTGAGGGTCGAGGATAGTCTTAGTAGCCAGACCTTCAGGCAAAGGTCGGTATGAATTTCTGTTGAGGAAAATGAGTAGGTGCTACCTAGACACAAGTAAGGAAGAGGTCGAAGACTTGAGAAAAGAAGCACAGGATCTCGTCAGAAGGTGGGATCCAGCTTCGTATTTATAAGTCTAAATGGGCAGATGGTGTATCGCTGAGAAAGGAATACCAGAGAGAGAATCTGTAGACGGTCGCGAGGTTAGGGTCAGTACCTAGGTATCCGTGAAGCTGCGGGGGTGTGATTTGAACCTTCTCTTAGCTGCAGAGATCAATTGTTTGCATCGATCGAGGACGAGTACCCAGCATCCATGCAAGAAGCGCGACATGGACTGTGGCAGTCAATGCAATAGGTGGACAATGAAGCAGGTAGACGACGCCAATGTTCCCTCGGGTGGATAAGGCAACGGACATAGAGCGAATCTGAGGGCTGGTTTCGGTGACAGACAGTGTGCTGAAGGGTACATCCGATGCTGAGTGGCTGGGTCTTCATTTTCGGAGATGCATGCCCTTTCTCAAATACGAGGGAGCAAAGAGGGTTGGCCACTTGCTTCATTCCAAGATGGCGGTTGCTCATTTGTCTAAGTTATCGGATATCGTCACTCTACAACCAGCGGGGTCAAGAGGCATCGATCGACCGACGAACAAGATGGGCAACAAAGATAGTGGGATTCGTAGATGGAGGAAACGGGGGATGTTGCAACCTGCTTCGTCTGGTGTGTTAGGGTGTGCAGGGTCGACAGAACATTGGACAGTTTCAGTCGAAGTCTGCTCTCTCTGCTGGGTTCACCGAGTCCTTTCGCATCTGATTGAGTTACATAGACTCTAGAACTTGGGCTCTGTCCCGCTTCCCCGGAAAGCAAAGCGTCAAAGCGACATACCTACCGTAAACCGAAGGACCCTTCACATTTCCAGCCTGGGCGGCAGTCTTGGGCTCCTCAATGGGGGACCATGTCCAATCACCTGTGCAGGTTGACATGTTTAGTGTGCTGGCAAGAAGCGGAGAAAGAGCAAACATCCCTTAGCTGCACATGAGAAATGGGATTTTACCCACATCCTCCAACAACTGAGCAGACGAGGTCCGTGCGCCTGCATGATGTCTCAAGTCAAGCCGCTAAATAGGACTTACCGCCTAGCAGAGATCGCAGGTTATTTCTCGATCTGAGAGTCCGGTGGTGAAAATGAGCAGGATACGCCAGCCACTTTTGGCCTGTTGGTCTCTGCGGGTGGTCAATCAGCTGAAGGAGTCGCCATTGTCTTCCTTGAGAATTGGGTTCCTTCCAGCGAGTACAAGATGAATACAAAGGGACTAATCAATCTGTGTCATGCCCCACATTCCCACGGAAAGAACAATAATGTACATAGCAATCGTGCAAGTTTCCCTTATGTTGGAAGAAGCAATACGGCTGAAAGGCTCCTCGGTGGGCCTTGGATGCGAGAGGCTAGCGAAATGCATGAATACCGACCCAGGGGGTTGCCAGCCGTCATGGCTGGAATGCTAGGATAGGTTGAACCAAATCTCTCAACACGCTCGGTCCTCCAGCTCACGCTTGCGAGCGTGGACTCAACCCGCACTTGTGCTCCACTCCCGGGGTCTTTGGCGATAAGCTATAGCCGCTTTCAAAAGCTCCACGGCTCTGGCCTGTTTCTAGTCGTCTCATGTCCCTGTCCAGGCTGTCATTTGCTATGGCGCGGCCATGGTCATCGAGATACCTTTGGACAGTTTCTGCCTCCATGTTGACTTTAGTTTGCCCTTGGTTCGAGCTTCTTCGATAATCTCAGCAGCCGTCCTCCCATCGGCGATCGTTTGGCCTTGATATGGTGAAATTGGTTGTGATGACGCTGTTGCGATGGGATGTTCGAAGGATTGGGGAGAGGTGCTTGTTGTTTGCTGCTGTCCGCTTTCATGCAGGTCGCTTGCATCGAAATATTCTGCTAGACTGTCCCCCTCCCGGGTCATCGTCCCCTTATTGGCTAGAGTCTGGTCGGGATGGTCGTAGTCGGCTTGATAGTCTGGCACAGCTCCTTCAGCACGTACCTCCGAGTAGACAGGCAGCGCCTCTCTGCCTCGAGTCCATTTGTCCGCCTTCGTAACTGGATCGCCAAGTCGCCATTTTTGTACATCTTCTGGTTTGAGAAGACAGTCTTCGGCTGGGGCATGCGTCCCTCTATAGTTGCCATCCTTGTCCTTTGCATAATGCTTCCGCCAGGTGTCGTAAGGGATTTGACGCATCACAAAAGGCGGCAGGTCATCTTGTGAGTCACGTCTTTTCCGTTGCGTGGTGAGACCAACTTTGCGAAACAAGCTTTTTCGCCTGCTGGGCTCCTCGTCATGCACCGAGTTATTGTGCTCCCAGTTGAGGGCTTCATCGTAGCTGATTGCTTCTGATGCACCAATGCCGGTGGGTGGAGCCATTCCTGCTGGGAGATGTGGTGGCAGCACGGCACATGACACCATCTTGACACTTGGTGGCGCCGAGTCGGACTGGGATCCGGCTCTCAGGCGTCCAACAGATTCGCGGCGAGACATTGCACGGGAGAGCTCCTCTTAGCTGAACACGAGATATCGCTTTAATCGATGTGTGAACCCACCGACACACCAACGTGGTGATGGCGTTTTTATATCGAGAAAGAGTTCATTCCTAACGAGGCAGTGCTAATTCAAGTCCAATAATAGAAGAAAAGAGGGCTTCGTTGAAACTCATAATGGCTGACACAACTGTTTGCAGATTGACGAGATCACAGGACAATAGGTTACAGCTGGGGGTGGCGGAGTCGAGTCTCGATGGGCGGGAGCCTCTGACCCCGCAAGCCCTCGCTTAACGCTGTGCGAATGAGCGGCCAGATCGACGGGGGCTCGTCCGATTGCACCCTGTCGTGCCTATGCGTGCTCTGAAGTGGCCCCAGACCTGGCTGGTCAGAGCTGCAGCTCAGCCCGTCTCGCAGATTCCTTGGATTGCGGCGGTGAAGGTTGCAGACATACATGCTGACCGTGTTATCATTTGAGGATGCAGAGGCGCAAGAGTCGAGTCGAGATCAGCCCAGCGAGTGTTTTCGACATAATGGTGCATATGTAGCGAGCAACCATGATTGGAGAGCTTTTTGAGCACCATGGGCCATTCGTTCGGCTGAGCAATGCTCGCAACTGCGTAGGACCAGCATGTCAGTGGAGAGGAAGCAGACAGCCTCGCCACGTTGATGACCGCGAGGTCCGCAAGGCTGTGGTTCTCCAAAATAGTCAACTTAGCCGATGCCAAGCCCAGGCTACGCCCATCTTGCCATGTTCGCTTACTGGCCGCTACTGCAGCCTTAATTCACCAAACGCGCTGCCTTCTAGGGTTACCAACCCTAAGAACTACTCAGAGTCTTCAAATCCCTCACCCTTCCCATGTCATGATATCGACATCATGACCTCCCGTCCGCGGCTCCGGTCGAGCAGCAGAAAGAACACGCCTCTTTCCCCTCCCAAGCCCACGTCGATCAGCGTCGTCATCGACGCGCCACCAAATCACAACAGACGGCGGACGCGTTCAGTCAGCCAACAAGTGGCAGCAGCGCAACAGCTGTCGCAAGAGCTTGAGCAGGGCTTACCCACTGTTGCCGAAGAACGACCGCCATCTGAGCGAGTCGAGAGTGTCGACAGCAGCATTTCTGTCTCAATTGAGGAGGGTTCCACAGGGTCATCGATTGAGAGCCTGTTAGATTCCCTGGATCGAAATGCCATCATCGACAATCTGGTCAAATTGCGCAATGACTCAGACGGGATATTTTCAATGTTTGAGGGTGATGAGAAGAACAGAGCAGCAGACGTCTGCGCAAAGCTACTGAAGCTCGACCCTTTGCTCCACCGAAAATTGTCGCGCCGGGAGGAACAGCTCTTGGCCACCATGGAAGCATATGGAGGTAGCCCAGACTTTATCAACCCAGAGATCGTTATTCGCAAAATCCTTGATGACAGTGGACTGCGCAAGATCAACAACGGCCCATGGCGCCCCGATGGTGTCCTTTATCTGGCCAATCTTGCCTTGCAGATGGTCAGGGTATTGAGCCGCTCTTTAGAAGAACGTCACACTTATCTCGAGTTGATGTTCAACAACTTCCCAGCACCTTTTCACGGTCTTGACCCTTTTATCTCCTCGCCTGACATGCTGAAAGGTACTTTCCACTGCTATATTGAGATTCTCACTCAGTTCTACATCCGACAAGTAGAGATTAAGCATCACGAAGAGGGATTCGACCCTGATGAATATCTCGGAAATGTCTTCTACGACGGACGCTATAAGATAAAGGGGTCGTCGGACGAAGCGACCTACGCGAAAGCAATGTCACGGATGTCCTCCATTAAATCCCATTTCAACACGGAAATTGCCCCGTACATCAATATCGAAGCCCTAAGACAACAATTCCCTTGGTCAGATTTTGCTGTGCAAGTGGTCAGATGGAGCCTGGCTCGCAAGAAGGAGTTGGACGAAGTGATCAATTCCAGGGGGGGCATAGAGAAGCTCATCGATACGCTTCTTGCTGAAGATTTCCAAGATGAGGCAGCTCTCGCGAATAGACTCAGTCAAGGACCGGAGTTAGCAGGCCTCAACAAGAAAGAGCAGGATCCTGTCAGAGGCGACATTCAAGCAGAGCAGGTTGAACATGCCAATAACCAATCTACAAGCCTGAAGCAGAAGGCGGCAACCGGGAGTTTGTCGGGGAAAGCCATGAAAGCCAACATTGACAGACTCAAGGCCCTCAAAGTCCAGCATTCAACACGCCACTCCGGGTCTAAAATAACCCAAGTTGCTCCAAATTCGCCAGAACCAGAGCATGAGATTCCACGGTCACCATCGCCATTTGTCAATGAAACTCAACCAGGAGCTATCGATGGAGGCGACAGCCAAACAGAGAGTCTACCTCAAGCTGCAGCATCTGACGAAGAGATCGTCCCAACTCAGCAGACAAACATAGTCCTAGAGACTGTTCGCCGACAGAATGAACAGAGCGACAAGGAGAATAAGAATCAACCTGCGAGGAAGGCATCATTGCTCGACCGTCAAAAGGGGGCAGAGAGGGTGGAATGGAGCGAACCTTCTGATAATGAAGATACTCCCCGCCAGCTTCCCAAGCGTCGACGACCTCAAACGGTCGAAATTGACGCCGGCCCTGACGAGTTCGAGACGGATAAAAGAGCAACAAAGAGAGTTCGTGCTAGTGGTGAAATCGCTAGACGACAATCAAGGACGACCCGCCCAAGCCTCCCAGCCGAAGAGGAGAATACCACAACTACCAGTGGTCAAGATGCTCGCCTCTCCGACAAATCCCGGACGGTTGCATTTGCAAATCGGGGCCAGCCTTCAAGACTGGCCCGAGCAGTTCGCTCACGGTCGCCAGAAGCCGTGCAACGCGCGTTGTCGATCGAATCATCACAGCCCTCAAGGTCCGGTACACGGAGGTCGCCATCTGATCGAGCACCTCTTGAATCTGTCCCAGCAGCCCAACGATTACCCTCTTCGAGCGCGCCCACTCGAACTCACCTTGAGAGTTTCAGGTCATCCAGGCAACCATCAGAGGCGCCACCACTCGCGTCCCAAATTGATCGTGTAAACCAGGAAGCTAAAGCAAGGATGCGCATGTCCCGCGAGTTGGCAGCTCCACGGGGCAGTCAAGTTCGTATACCCTATACGCAAGACGAGGTCGAAAGATTGATGGAGATGATCGCATTGCACGAAACGTCCTGGGCGATGATCTTAAAAGAAGACAGAAAACACAAGGATGGGCCGATGTTGCAGAGGAGAACCCAGGTGCAGCTAAAGGATAAGGCGCGGAACCTTAAGTTGGATTTTCTCAAGTAAGCTTTGCTTGCCTCCCCCCTTTTCCGTCAATGTCTTTTTGCGCCGCTGTTTAGCTTCGAAAACCCATGGGTCCATCCAGTGTTGCATGCTAACCATGTGCCAATAGAGCTCGCGCTCCCTTACCACCAGGATTCGAGAAAGTGGGGGGTATCGGCGAAAAGAAAATCGCGGAGCTGAAAGCACTCGGTATCGACTACGTTCAAGCACATGAGGATGGAGCTCAGGATCCAGTCCGTTATACCAAACGTCGGCGCGTGGCCGATGCTGCTGACAGTGACGACGAGGCTTGAAGATTAGGCAGCCCCTTTTTTTATTCTTCTTTGGTTATTTGGTTGACTGCTTGTCTGCCACTGCAGGCTGAGGTGTGTGTTTGTGTGTTCTCACGAAGTCTGCAATGACGGCAAAGGGTCTTTTATTCTAATCTCTTGGTTCTCGTGGATTACACATGCAATTGCGATACCCAGGACACTTCAAGAATAAGCAAAGTTTGGGATATATCCTATGTTATTTTGCATTACATTTCTACACACCGACCAAGAACCGGATCAAATTGACTCTCTCTCTCTCTCTGCACCGCTTTCCTTCCTGAATAAATGACGAACAATCAATCCATTATCTACCGTCTCCCCCTTCCCCCTTCCCTATTCCCTATTCCCAAGATCCTCGCGATAGCTACGCGTAGGTAACCTACCTAGAGTTCGGACTCCTAATCTCTACCTCTACACTGACCAACCTGCAGAGTGAATAGAGAAACTAATCTTCTGATACTTTGTTTTACTTTCGTTGGGGAAAACTTCTGTCACATTTCACAAAAATCTCTCATCCTAGCTAGGTACCTCTCCTCTCGCGTGACATATGGTATTCTCTCTCTCACAGAAAGATAGTCCAAAAGTCCAAGATATAACTTTAAAAAGGGGGGGCCGCAATTTGCCTGCTGCCGGGTATTTTCTTTTGATCATCCAAACCCATAATAACCATCCCGGTTCTTTCATTCCATCACGCATGAATCCGAGACTGACAACAAAAAAGTAACCCAAATGCTGAATCCCGAGGTATCTGAAAAGACAGCAAGTTGGTCTCCCTAATATACAAAATCGCTCCCCATTTTGAAAGATCAACTGCAGACAAACAAATATCCTCCCATTCACTTTCCCGCCTTCGCAAATCAAGAAGAGAAATAGTCCTTTCCCGTATACGGGAAGCTTCATCAAAGTCGTAAGACATCGAGCCATCCATGCCCCCTATCGGGCCACAGGACGCCATGCTGATAAACAATTCGCAAAATTTCCCTTTCGACATTTCATTTCCACCATCGCCTCCCCCAGAAACAGACAAAACGAACGCACAATGTGGAATAGGTACTGGCGTTGAACCAAGATACCTTGCTCGGTTCACATATCCAACAGAAAGTCCGCCAGTGCTTTCTGCTCCTCAGTCCAGGTCTCTGGATGCTCAAGGTCCACTCCTAGAGCTTGAAGGTGGAGCTGTTCGGTCGATAGCTGTGGTTTTTCGACGGGTTCGAACGGTGAGCCGTCCTCGCCCATGATGACGTCCAGATCATTAATATTCTCGAATGGGGACATATCTCCAAAACCACTGAGATCAAGACCCTCAATTCCATCGAGGTTGACCTTCCACTGATCGTCTTCAGGCTTTTTCTCCACCGTTGCTTTCTTGTCCTCACGCGATGCAACCGCGGCCGAGCCTTCCTTGTCACTGGCAATCTCTGGGCTTTTGGACTTTTCGGTAGAGGTGTCGGTCAAAGCACCATTAGGTCCTTCGACTATCTTCCGCCATCGTTCACTGGTGTTGCGATAGGCCTCGTAGAACTTGGACTGTTGCTCATAGAGCTTTTCATCGGACGGAAAGAGCTCGTCCCAATCGTCGCCACCAAAGGCAACACGCAACTGATCCAGTGTGATATTGCTGTGCTTCCAAGGATCGTCATCATCCATAGAGACATCACCACCCATAGTAGCCGTGCCTGCAGGACCTTGGCTAGGGATCTTAGCCATGGGTACAGCAGTGTCTGCAGAGCTCTCATTCTTGATGTTGCTGGCACCTGCTGCTTTGCCCTCGGATTTGGGAAAAGTCTTCTTGATTTGCTTGAAGTTTTCGTCTAGGTTGAAGGCAGAGCGCAGAGAGTCGTGGAGAAAGGCAAGAGGATCGGTGACAGGCTCCATATCTAACTTGTGCGCCACATTATGGTGGTGATCAAGTTCGGCCTGAGTTGCAAATCCTTTGAGCTGATGGTCGCATCCATTGACTGGACACTTAAACATTTCGGCAGGCTTCGGCGTCTTCGTCGCTTGAGGAGAGGTGAGCACGGTAGGCGTCGTGGCAGTTGCGCTTGCAGGTTGTTGTTGGTTCTTCTTCCGCCTCTTGGGATCCGTCGGGAGCTTAAGGTCTTCTTGCTTGAGTCCTGGAGTCGCGTACCTTGGCGTACCTTGGCCTCTTGGATCTCCAATTTGGAACGGTGGTTGTGTGGACGTTGGTGCGGGAGGAGCTTGGTTGACTTTAAGGGATTGTTTCCGTTCCTTTTCCTGAGCCTCAAGCAAACTGAGGTTTTCTGGTGTGAGCTGCGCCGTTTGTGGGCGGGCTTTGTTGTTCGGTATCTGCGCGGCTGTTTGTTGGAACTTGGCGGTGATGTTGCTAACAATTGCATCAGCGTTGTCGGCGGTAATGCTGAAATGGTCAGCCAGCTCAAACGTCTTGTTCTGCAGCGATTGTGGTTTGTACTGCGAGAATAATTGTATCTTCTGAAGGACCAGTTGCTTGATGGCTGCATCGTTCGGCTCAATCCGATAGAAAGCGACAAGGAACGAGTCGAATCGGCCAAGCATATTCCTTACGTTAACAGAAGTCAAAAGGTCTGTGATCCGCTTTCTGCCATTGGCATCCATGTTGGTGATGGGCCGCAACTTGGGCATACTGGTCTGAACTTCCTTCGTGAGTTCCATAATTTTCCGCATAGCAGCGTGCTGCAGCTGATAATTCTTGTACTGCTGTCTCTTTACCGGGTCCAAAGCATTGATCTGCTCCTTTGTCAAAGCTTGAAAGCCCCCAGGCTTGTTGCCATTTACTTGCGGCTGAGCTTGTTTGTTCTGCATTGGTATATCCGTCACATCGTCATCGCTAGGTCGTTTGAGAGTTTTGTTCTCAGGCTGCACTGGGGTTTGTGGCGGGCGAGGTTGTCCTGGCGCTGAGGCGGAAGGCGGCCGAACTTGCTGCTGAGCCTGCGCCGAAGATTGGTTCTGAGCAGATGGTTGGACACCAAACTGCTGTCCCTGAAGGGTTGCTTGACCTGCCTGCGGTGGCATTGGTTGTCCTTGTTGTTGCATGCCTTGTTGGTTAGCTTGTTGCTGCATGTTCTTTGCCTGCACTTGACGATGCCGATTGATGAGGATAGCTCTAATTTGCTCGTCCGGCATGTTCGCGACGCGGGGATTTGCAGCCCGCACCTTCTGAATATCGAAGGCGGTCGGGGTTCGAAATGGCATCGGTCCAGGAGGGTTATTCGGAGTCTGGCCAGGACCAGGTTGCATGGAAGGCTGAGGCACCGGTTGAGTCGCTTGTCCTGGAGCCTGACCCGCCATGGCACTTTGCTGCTGCTGTTGCAGATTTTGGCCACGATTTTTCATAATGTGGGCGAAATGTGTCGCTTGGATGTCCAATACATGAGGGATAGGCCAGTTCGCAACTGGATTCGACAGCAGCCATTGTTTGAGTTGATACCAGGTCCGTATTTCGGGCAACTGAGCATGCTGTCTTATGCTGCTCAGAACAGTGGGCGGAACTGGTTGCTGATCCATCAACTTCATCTGCGGAGCCGTCAACTGTTGACGAGGGCCTTGCAATTGTCCCTGGGCATTTGAAGGCCCTTGCTGCGGCTGCTGCGGTTGTTGCGATTGCTGCTGCTGTTGTTGTTGTTGCTGTTGCTGCTGCTGCTTTTGCTGTTGCATCTGCATTTGACGCTGCCTCATGATCTCCTGCTGGTTCTGCTGCATTTGTCCCTGGCTCCCAGGCTGCATACCAGGCATTTCTTGACCCTGTTGAGAAACGGCTCCAGCTGACAGCGACTGCTGCATGGGCATTGCACCACCAACGAACGCATTGTTTTGCATTTGAGCCATGGGCGCTTGTTGCTGTTGGAGCTGCTGTTGCTGAGGTTGCATCCCCTGTGGCTGCTGTGACATGCTTCTTTTCATTTGACCACTTTGCTGAAATTGCTGTAGGATATTGCGCCATTCGCTTTGTGGTTTTTGACGCAGAAGGGCCTGCAGGGGGAGAGGGAAGCTAGCCAGTGCTTGTTCGCGCTTTTGCATTTCTTGCATATTCACTTGCTGCTGTTGCTGCTGGCCTGGTTGTCCTGTATTGTTCATCTGCTGCATCTGCTGGTTCATCATCGGAGTTCCAGAACCAGGCCTGGGAACCGTTTGTGGGCTAGCTCCCGAGACGTTAGGTCCAACGGGCCGGTTGATGGCAGACAGGGGGGTGCTGGACTGCGGCATTGGCATATCCCGACGTTGACCGGCCATTTGCGCCTGAGCCGCAGCTTGAGCGCGAGCTTGAGCCTGCGCTTGATTCTGTGCCTGAAGTTGAGCCTGTTGCAGTTTGGTCGCCTGTGCTTGTTGGATGCGCTGTTGCTGCGCAATGAACGCCGGGTTCAAGTTGTTGGCCTGGTTTTGTTGCCCCATGCGCTGGTTAGCCATCATCTGCTGCTGAAGGCGCAACTGGTCCGGCAACATGCCTGGCGTACTGCTGGCGGGGACCACCAATTCACCAACTTCTTGGGATCTCAACCCTTCAGCCTGTTGGCCTTGGAAGCGGCCCATATCGCCCATGAGCGGATTCCCATTCGCTGTCATTCCCTGAGCCATCGAGTTCGGAGTGGACTGATTTTGCATCTGTCCCATCATACCAGCGGCGTTATTCATTTGTCCAGCATTCCCGGCCCCGCCCATTCCTGCCTCCATCTGTTTTCGTCGCCGGAACTCTTTGGTTGCGAGCATGCGGAAATAGTAAATAATAGGGTCGACGGCCTTCTGGGCCAAGTTCTGCCGTAATTGTGGATTCATCTTCTCGACGATATTGCGCATCTCTTCCTTGGGGGTGCTTTTGGCCAGCTCGGCCGCTCTCAGGTTGATCGCCTTGTTGTCTTCCGGGGTTAACTCCGGCAGCTGAGTCTGTTTCTGCTGAACATTGCCGGGCATCATGGCTACCATGGATTGGTTTGGACCGGACTGGCTTCCTTGGTTTACCATAGGTTGGGGCTGATTGAAAACGGGCGAGTTGCGCATCCCCTGCTGCTGCTGCTGTTGCAGCTGCTGCAGGTGCGGGGGCAGAGACATGTTGTTTTGCATTTGCTGGGTGGGTTGCATCTGTGGTATGAAAGTCTGGCTGGGCATTTGCATACCCTGCATGCCTTGCATAACGCCGGCGGCGGACTGGTTCATCTGTTGAGCTCGCTGGTCACGGATTCTCCCTAGCTTCTCGCTACACTCCCGGACATAGTCCTCTCTGCTCGCGGACTGAGTAAAGCACTTGCGCTCGAACTGGAGAGCAACTTCAATCGCACGAGGGAGCTCGACCGGGGGTCTGACTAGACGGAGAGAATCGACCAGCAACTTGATCTGACCGGCTCTTTCGCGAATGTGGACGTTGGCTTGCCAGCCGGTGAAAGGCCCCTGAGAGTTCAACATGTCGAAGATGTGTTGTTGAACTGAAGGGTGGTTGAGGCTCATCTGTCCGGCCATCTGCGGAGGCATGGGTCTTGCCATGCCCGCACCCATTTGCGCAGCTCTGGGGTTCATTTGACCCATTTGACCCATCTGTCCCATCTGTGCCATTTGTGCCGCCATCTGCCCGCCCATCTGATTTGCCATGGCCATTTGTTGTTGCATGTTGTTGGGCATGCCTCGACCCATGCCCACCATGTTCTGAAAGTGCTGTGGATTCATGGCTGCGGCAGGGATTGGCGAGCGACGGGACGCTCAGGCTGGGTGGTCTCGATCAACGCATTCGGGACAGGTAGGGAGTATGAAGTTGCGGAAGATCGGCTCGCGGGAGAGGAGGGGTTGCCTTGAGTTCTCGACAAACTATACGAGATATAATAGCGGCTGGCAGGGGAGAGAAGTGAGGAGATCGGGAAGGCACGCTCTGGTCAGGCCCCCGTCACGGGAGGTGGTGACACAGGCAAAAAGGAAGCGAGAGCCGAGTCTGGTTCGCGGTGAAGTTGAACGTCTAGCAGGGTGACACGACGCAGACAATAAAAAGGACACACAGGAGGGTATTGAGGAGGTCGTCTGTGGTGTCAGGGAGTGAATTCTAGCGCACTTTGTCACTCTCCGGCCATGGAGGAAGCGTAGAGAGAAGAAGAAGAGTCTGGGGATGTGGGATGTATGCGTTGGTCGGACAGGAATACGGAACAATCGAGGCTGACACTAGCTCGAGGACGACTACCTTGCTGCGGTGCCTTATTATGTGAGGACTTGGGATGGGAGTCGGGGAGTGAGCTGTAATTGGGCGCCAACCGGGCGCGTCGTGGAGGAATCCAGGCCAACCCACTTTGCGATGAGGCTTGTTGGTGGCTTTTAGCCTTGTCTACCAAGGGAACAGGGAACAAAGCGCGGGGAGTGGTGCGACGCACCTTTTCGAAATCTCATATATTAAAAGATAGAAGGACGTAGCCACGAGGGAGGGTTCCCACGGTAGAGCGATTTAGAGAGCCATACGGAGATATGACGGGGGATCGTGGACAGAGGGCAGAGGGAGCACAGAGAAGAGGCAGAAAGAGAAAAAAGTCGCTGTCGCAGGTGACGAGGATGGAGCCCAGCATGGAGCCCAGCATGGATGACTCTTCGCCAAACACAAACTAGTGCAGACGAGTGAATTCGCTACTGGCAGCCTACTGCGTGCTGTACATGGGACATTACCACAATAGCTAAAACTGATGGTTGTTAGGCTGAGGTGTGCAGGCCCTGGTGCTCTGAGTGGCCCGAAGCCTGCTAGCCCATCTCGCCCATGCCCCCCCCGAGTGCCCCGAGTCCACTCAATCAGGGCTCACTAGGCCCTAGCAGTCCCAAGACTCAAGAGACAGACCTACTGCTAGGGTTCAACAGGGTTCATAAGGCCATGGCTTGTCCCTTGCTCTTCCTGACTGGGCGACTTCAAGTCTTCCAACGATGATTACACCCTGTAAGCCTGCTATAGCACCAAGAACGAGTGACTACCTGTACAAGGACTCCTTCTGCTCCCGCAGCATTCAAGGGGGTACACCTCTGGTCTTTTGGGGGACCGCCGCTCTCCCATCCCCCTCAGGTTCTCTTCCCTTCCCCCACCCCCTGGCGCCTTTGCCACTGCGACCACGAAGCTCTGGAGACCCTTTACCTAATGTCGCCCTAAACTACATCGGCTATAGCGTTGCCGTGCTTTTCCTTGTCCTCCATCCGCCTTCCAACTCTCTCTCCATCCTTACTACTGCGAGGTACACCGTACAACGTCACTCGTCTGATTGCAATCCTTCTACCTTTTCCTCTTTTCACAGTTGTGCATAATCATTCCCCCCCTTTCCGGGCTCTTCCCACTTATCGCATTCCATTTGGGTTGAGGCATTTACAGTTGTCGAACTGATTTGCCTCGATATACCACTTCGCTGACGTCCAGAACACAACTGCGCTTCTGGTGTCAGCTTCGAAGCCTCCCGATTTCGGTGGTGCCTTTTCGACATGAGAGACCGATCAATGGCCGCCATCAGCACTCTTTGTCATTAGCAAAACTCATCTCTGCCTTTGGCATTGGAAGGAAATGGCATCGTCGGTGGGGTCCGACATCTTCGCATGCCTGGCTCTTTTGACCATCTCAGTCGCTGTCTTGTTCATCCTACGACACTACCTACCCCTGCGAACCAGTCCCGCTTTCCTCCTCGTGCCGATTTTCCTTGCCCTAGTCCTACCTGCGAGCGCACTCATTCTAGTTCCTATTGATCTCGCGTCTAGCGCGCGAGAAAGCGATCATGGCGGGAAAGGAATATGGTTACCTAAAAGAGCTGTTTTGGTCTCGTGGAGGATAGTCTACTGGTTGACCTTTGTCTTGACATGGGTCGTCTTGCCTCTGTTGGGGGAATATATGGACGCTGGATACCGTGACCCCAAGTCACGGCTGATCTACTCCCTGCGCTCCAATGGCAGGTACCAGCTGATTGTTCTGGTCTGCGCCATTGCCGGTTTGATCTACATGATCTTTTCCTATGGCTTCGACTTCACTGCGATCAGAGCCTTGGTCATGGCCCTGGCGTATGTGTGGGGTCTTGCTCTTGCCATCTACTTGATGGGCCATGGGCTAGTCTCAATCCCGAGGAGGATGTTCCGAAAGGCAGATATCAGCGGCAGCCTGCGCCGTATCCAGGGTCAGGCTCCAAGGGTTCATGAGAAGCTGGAAGACGCCATCGTGGCGCTAGATGAGCTGGAAGCTCAAGTGATGCAGCTCAAACAAAGGAAAACTGGGAGCGCCCGAGAGTTTCAGGATTGGATTGATGAACTGGTTGACATGACCGGCCAACCCGAGAGCCGAGTCTTCTCAAACGTCACCACCATCGATGCCTCTGCCAAAGTCCCCGCAGTCATTACCGAAAGATACATGGCGGACCTGACTCGACGATTAGTTCGAGCTAAACACCGACGAGCTAGATACATCCGCGAATGGGACAACATTGTGCAGACCGCCTCAGATCTGCAGGCCATCCTCGATTCCAAAGGCTCTCGGAAACTGGACTTTGGCCGATCCACGTCATCCTCACTCAGGTGGTCTCTCATGACCCCGTCAATGCGCTATCATCTACACGTCCACCTCGTGCCCGCCGTCAGGGTAGCTCTTGGAGCCATCCTCTCCGTTGCATCGGTCGCCGTCATCTGGTCTGAAATTATCAAATTTCCTGCGCCGCACCTTTCGGCGGTCAGTCTCACAGTCATTCACCACCCGAGTGACAAGAACTATCAAATTGGCTTCGGTGGGCAACTCGTCGCCTCCATGTGGATTACTTATATGTGCATCTGTGCCCTGAGTAGCATGAACGACGTCCCTACCTGGAATCAGCGAGCACTGGTCAGGAGGAACACCTACGCTGAATCCGCGTGCTGGTACGCAGGACAGATTGCGAAACTGACGGTGCCGCTCGCGTACAATTTCCTCACTTTCCTGCCCAGGGACATTCACCAGAATTCGACGTTCTATGATTTCTTGGGGAGACTAATCAATCTGACGCCACTAGGGACTTGGTTTGATTACCTGTTTCCCATGTTCATCCTTCTTCCAGTGATCATGACATTATTTAATCTATATGGCAAGATCAAGAATGTGCTCGGCTTTGGCATATTGGAAATTGATGAAGACGAGGATGACAACCCATCCGGCTTCGGAACCGGAGGCTGGCGTGAAGGACGAGATCTCATCGCACGCGATCTTCAGGGGAATCGACCAACCGCCACCTTAGGCATTACAGATTCACCGCGCACATCTTTGGATCGGCCTCGCGCTGCACCTGCACCGACCAGGGGGGTGCCTCCCACTGATCGTGCTGGGGTTGGAAGCAACCGCACGACCGCATCGAGTACGCCGCACAACCCGGCATCCGGTGGTAGATTCAGAGATAGACCTGCGTTGGAACCTGAGCCCGATGAGGAGAATTTCTTCACGCTGTTCGGACGAAGGGTGAAGAATACAATCGATACCATCGAAACACCCAAGTGGATGCAAGCTTCCACAAGTCGTGGTGGCGGATTCAAACGGCCTCGATGGTTAGGCGGGTCAAGCGATGAGGGCGGAGACAACGGTGGTAGAAGTGGCAGCGGTGATGGTGGTAGCGGTTCTAATGTCCTGGGATTGTTCGGTGGCCGGACCCAGGACGGGAGACTGACGATATAATGTGAACGAAACGAGACTCTACGTTGTGACGCGGTAATTAGCAAGCAGTGAACCATAACCAATAGATACCTTAAGTATTTATATACCTCTGAATGTATATATATATATATATATATCTATGTATGAATGTGGTTAATTTCAACCACCCAACACCCAACCTCTTCACATCGTGATCATATCAACATCACCGCAGCCGAGCCCCAGCCTCGTAGCCTTATCACGTGACAGAATCTGCACCACTACTCGGTAGCATCAGCAGATTTAAGGGGGAAATACCACCTAGGTACCTACTCCCGGTCCGGTCCCCGTACCAGTATCATACTGTAAATATTGCCGCAGTTAGGAGGCATTGATGATGAGGATAGATAGCAAGTGATGGGGTGGTGCGACGGGAGGGGAAGTTATTTAAATGGGCCTAAATAGGTAGGTAGGTGACTTTGGTATTTTGACCGCCTGATATTAATATGTACAAAGTACCTATATACGAGGTATCTACATCCTCGTCTATTAACCTCCCCTGTTTTCCTCCATCCCATGCGGTATACGAGGTAGAATGGTCACTCTGCGGCAATCTTCACTGACAAAGAAGGCGCTCCCTACCTAGATACTCTGTCTGAAACATATTGAAAGTGAAAGTCCTGGCTTCTGCTCATAGCCTCGTAATCATCAAATCATTCCATTCAATGTACTTCACAAGACCCCAGCCTGCATATCACACATTATTAGACTGGACTGTACGTAAGCTAAGCTTTTGTTTTCATGTACTCGATATATCCTTCATATCTCCCTCATGCCTCCCATTCCCATCCCGGGTCCCGGCGCAATCCCTGGTCCTGGCCCAGGTCCGGGTGGTCCCATCGGCCCTCCAGGCAGAGGTGATCCCATGGGAACCGGATAGGGACCATCGCCACCACTACCCACGGCACTAGCTGGTGGAACACGAGCTGGTCCTCTCATCATTCCACCCCTCATCCCAGGGCCACCGCCACGACCCCGTGTTGGGAGACGCGGTGGCCCCATGGAACCGGGCAGCTCGAAATCTGGGTTACCTGCCAGGAGCATGTCTTGCCTCGTCTGATGATCTCGCCTCCTCATAGGACCCAGACCGCTGAACTCGCCTCCGTTGCCAGGCCCAGGCCGCCAATTGGGATTGACCCCGCGCTGGCTGACGGAGGTAAAATTGCTGGTCTCGCTTTCCGCCGGCGATCGGGCACCGGGCAATTCCTCATACGAGTTTGTTGGGGGAATCTCATTGTATGAGTCGGGTCGGTAATGGCCGGGTGGTCCTGGATTGAGAAGTGGAGGAGGTCTCCGGTTCCGTTCTTCCAGCTGTGGATTTTGTGGCAATGGCGGTTCTGGGTCAGAAGCGAACCGTGGGTCGACATCTTCATAGTAGACATCACTCCCTCCAGAGTTGACGCGCGGTCTACGCGGTTGACTGCTATACCCACCTACGTGACTGCCGCTTGTAGGGAGCTCGACAGGAGATTGACCTTGTCTTCCAGGTGACCTCGGGTACTCCAAATCATCACCCGACATATTGTTCCAAATAGCCCGCGGAGGTACATAGCTAATCAATCAGCAAAATCTACTTGTCCCGGGAGGCAGTTTCACTTACGGATCTTGACTCTGCGACCTCTGAGGTTTGAAGTCCCGCACTGAGGTGCCGGCCATTTCGACGGGACGAGTAGTCGGCAATGGAGGCATAGCTGGAGGCGGGGAAGGTCGACGGAGGGTCCCCGACGGAGATTGAACACGACTACCATATGGTGATGTTCTGTCCCTTGCTGGGGACTGCGCTCTCGCTCCGTATGGACCTTGCGCCTCCTCTCCTTGAGTGTAGACAGAAGGACTCCTGTTGTCGTACCTCCGCTCAATGTCTTCGATGTATTGTTGCGATGGTGCCATCGGTAGCGGGGGTCCCATTGCAACTGGGTATTCGTCCGGTGGACTATACCTCTCTGATGCACTGTCAACTCCATTGGGCGGATATCCTGGAGGTGGTCGTCGTGGGCCACCAGGGGCGACGGGCGGAATTCCACCTCGACCACGTCCACCATATCCGCCTCTCATGTCAGTAGAAAATCCACCTCTGCCAGGATAGCCTTGTGGAGGTAGCCCCCTGGGGCCGAAACCGCCTCCCCGCGAAGGATAGCCACCTCGAGGGGGGTAAGTGCCTCTGCCACGCTGCGAATAGCCTCGACCACCCGGCCCCGGCGGTGGCAGGCTGCGGTCACGATAAGGACTAGGAGGAGTCGGTTCGTCTCCAGATCGTCTGTATTGTCCTGGCACCGTGGTTCCATCTGCAGCGGACGGCACTGGCGGCGGCGGAGGGTGATTTCCGAACTGATCTCGTGGCCCGTTGTAGGGTGGTCGACTGCTCGATCTGGAGGGAGGCCCATAGTATCGTTCCGATGCCGTATCTCGAGTAGGCGTGACCAGACTTGGCTCATTGGACAGAGCTTGCGCTCGGAGAGGTTGGCGCTCTTCGTCAGACTTTTGGCTTGCATCAAAGGTTGCGAAGGTGGGCAGCCGGTCTGCGCCAGGCGAGCCATTAACCATGGGCATAGTAGGCTCTGTGGTAAATGTTTGCGCAACCGTCTTTGATTCTTGTGCTTGTCGATTGTAGTAGTTCTCTCCACTCATTTCAGCATTCTCGGCAATTCTCTTCTTACGCGCTTTCCTAGAGACTAGAGTCCGCCTCATGGCACAGGTCACAACACCTGAAGCGGCGATGAGGATAGTGGAAGCGAGAACAATCCAACCGGCCCATTGTAAATGTGGCACAAAGAGTAATATATCGACTAGGAAAGCCAGCAGAGTGACCAGGAGGGTTGGCAGTAGCAAAATCAGCAGGCCTAGAAGGTAGCGGGCGGAATGAGAGGGCGAGTGCAAGTGAGCAGCCCCAGCCAGTGCAAGACAGACCAAGTTACAAAAGGCCGCGACGGGATGGACGATGAGGAGGGACGATAACGAGTGTCTGGTAGAGGAGGAAAGACTGAAGTCGGTGTCCCCGGAGGGGAAGAGGCCATCTGAGAACAGCAGTCAGTGACACTAGTATTTGAACAACACGGATGATTGTTACCAGTTGTATATCCCACCCTGATGCCACTGCATTTGGTTGGTGTGCAGTAGCCGAAGACGCCAAAATTAACTCCTTGATAGGTTGCGAGGGGGATGCTGTGGATGACAGGCGTTGAGAGGACCGACAGCAGGAGGAAAACGAAGGATATGAGCAGCAAAACGGTCAGAGGAGTGGCGGGCCTCAGCATGATGTGGAATTGGAATAACAGTGGGATGCTGCAGTTATCTCCTTGTCTTTCAGAGAGTCCACGGCGCAAAAGCGCAACGTCGAGTATGGTGTGAGGTGCGCATTAAGGGAGACGGTAATGATGTTCTTCTGCGGTGACTTCAACGAGCGGCACCAACAGTGCTGGAATCAATGGGGCAAGGATGTGAAATAGAACAACTGCAACGAAATGCTACAACAATATGGTGGATGGTCAACGAGTGAACGTGCAGTGGGGGAAGGTGTAACTGTGGTAAATGTGTAGGACAGGATATGATTGAGGCGCAGTCGTCGCATCACCAACTAATAGAAACCGGGCAGGTGCAGATGCACGTTTCTTGGAGGAGCTTGCAGAGGGTGGGAGGATAGGATGGAGGACTGGAGAGTGGAAAGTGGATAGGCGTGTGTGGGCGGTGGTGGGTAGCTGATTAGAGCCTAGTAGCCTAGATTTAAGGGCCGCTTTAGCTGGAAGTGGGGGTAGGAAGAGCACGAGATTGGGCTCTGGGCCACCACGGCGGGCGGGTTACCAAGTGATCTTCTGGAACCTGCACCTCATGTCCGTCAAATCTTTACCGTCTCAGGCCTGGGCTGCCGGAGTTTTAGGTGTGCCTGAACCAGTCAGAACACGCGGGAGAACCTCCGTACAGGGCAACGAGACAATCCACCTGGCACCCACCTACAAACAGTGGAGTATAGGTACCTGGAGATAACAGCCTATCCACTCAGATCATTTAGATCTGGGCAGACTTGCCCGTCAACAACAAGTCCGTGAAACATATGCGAACGAGGTATCTTCTCTCTTTAAGCACTTGCAGTGGCTGATAATTGGTGGTGGTGATACATACCTAGGTAGCCGAGTACTACTCAGGTACCTCGTACTCGTAGTTTGTTGCCGCGCGTCGTCTTCTCCGGCGTTTCTCTGGTCCGATCTGCCGCCGCTCGAAGTCACTTAAACCTCCCGCTGTAAGGAAGTATCAAGTACGCTATCTACCTTCTCTATACAGGGATGGGGCGTAGATGGGGCGTAGATGGGGCGTAGTGTGCAGCTTGTTGCCTTGGTCTGTCAAACTCTAGTCCCCAAATCCATGTTCAGTGTCCTGGACAACAGTCCAATGGCCATCATGATAGTTGCATTTATCACCGCTTAATCCTAGTATATATCTTTGCCACCTCGAATATGACCTGCCATCCCCTGCCATCCTTTGATTCCCCTCCGCCCTACGCGAGCAATTCATCAAACTGGATTTCCACTCTGGGGTAGCTCACCCCATATCTACACGTGTACCAGTATGCATCAAGTATGATTGCGACACTGGGTACCGAGATATGGTCGTTTGCCTGCACTTTCGTACGAGACTGTCGCTCCACCCGCCCAAGTCTTACAAAGATGAGAATCACGGATAGGGCCCCCTTCACCCAAGCGAGATGTGCAGGACCAATCCCACAAACTCGACCGCTGGCCGAAAGCTGACTCAAACCGCCGCCTTCTCTTGCCACTTTAGGCCTGGGACCCGGCACTAATATTACAGGGCTGACTCGGACCGCAAAGAATTATTTCAAAAGCTTCATCTCTCGTTGCCTTCCCAAAATGACTTTCCACAGGTCGTGTCTTTATGGCCTTCTATGATTGTCATTAGCCGCTATGGACCACCGGACTGTCATTGCCTCAGACAGTGAACAGTTATCGACCTCCTTTCGTCTCCCATGCAGCCAATTACTCCCGTCCCAAGAAGGCTTGGCTCAGACGTACCTCCCTTCTTGAATTCCGTAAATCAGCCCAATCCCAGACAAAGGAATCGCATCCACAACCAAGCCATCAGAAGAGCCAAAGCTAATATCGGGAAACGTCGCGACGACATAGTGTCGACGTTCCGCGAGGAGGATATTGACCCCAGGCGCATTCTCGACCCACTGCTCGGCTTGACCAGAGCTGGCGCCGACCCCCGACTCACGGCGACGGCCATTGCACCGTCAACGAGATTGACTGTAACATCTGGTGGGCTGCGCGGCGACCCGTTTTGTGCTTTCCCAATATCGGCGGATGGGGGCGTCCTTTCCGCTGTCGACTATTGTGAGCTCTGTTGAAGATCCGGTCTGGGAAGGGTCGCTAATCCTTGGCTTACGCAAAGTCCTCCAGCACTATGCGCCGGTCCATATCAATCCTAGAAAGGAGCAGTTAGGTCCAGCAGATAGCTTGCCACTGTCGCGAAGATATTTTAGTCTCGCGTTGGAGAATGCATCCATGTTTGAACTCATGGTGGCACTCGCCCAAGCTTCATATGATTCCCGGCGAGGAAGTGCTCGGGAACCGTCCAGGGAAGTTTTGGTTCACTATGGGAAAGGAATCGAAGCGCTGCGTCTGAAAATGGCGCGGATCTCAGCCTGCGACGACGATGCCACAATCTTGGCGGTCATGGCGCTGCTGGGAATTGCCGTATGTTCATCTCACCTCCCACAACAGGACAGATTTCAAACTGACATCTGTCAAGTTGATTTACAATGACTTCGTTTCGTTTGAGACGCACTTGATCGGCTTACGCCAACTCATTGAAATGCGGGGAGGGGTTGACTATCTGGGATGGGACGGCTTCTTGAAGAATTCAATCATTGGGTAAGTCCGGTAGAAGATTGGGACATTCATCACACACTCGTCCTTGTAGCTGTGTCTCGACAGAAATGACTGACAGGCATCAGCCTCGAGTCGCTCTGGGCGTACCACGAGAAGAAAAAGTTACTCATTTCTTCGACCGAAGCCAGAATCAATCTCCAATATCCAAAGCACCCATTTCCCCCCAATCTCTGCACCTTGATTGCCAAACTCCCCGATGGATTTCGAGAAGTGGCCTTGTCCGGCAGTCTCTGCGTCCAGATCATCACGATATTATCACGTGTGTCGGAATGGGTGAGACAACTGCAGGGCCCGCGGAAGAAGGGCATTCTCCCACTGGGAGATCCAAACGGCAGATATATGAAGCAAACACAGGCGTGTCTCGAATTGGTGCCTCTTCGTGGGCTGAACACAGTTGAGAGAGTGCTGTGTTCAGCGCTTGCGGCCGTCACGGTAGAGACATTCAGCAAATTAAAGGAACAGAACCCGGTCCATCGGCGCATGCTCGAAACCCTCTCGGAAATGCTGGCTACATATAACCTCCGCGATTTGCCGCCCGAGTGTGCCACATGGATGGCATTGGTTATAGCGGGCCCTGCACAGCCATCTACAGAGGGAACCACAAGCAAGGCGACGTCGACAAACAAGGGTCAACCACACAACCCACGAAACATACTCCTGGATAGGATGATTGAGGATTCATCCAGCGCGAGGAATTGGAAGTGGGTCAATAATTCAGTTAAGAAGTTCTTCTGGAGTGAAGACCTACTTGAGACATGGCGACAGACGTGGGAATTGGGGATTGTGCGATACACCGACAAGCTGAAAGAAAGACGGAAATAGGAGGTGATCTGGACCACACCCTCCCTACGAGGTACCGAAGATGTGAAGGCTAAAACTGGGACCTCGAGATCATCGATACTTGATTTACCAACTTCAGCAAAGTCTATGGCTAGTCGACGACCCAGTTCTACAGCGAAGAAGGAAACGAGTTCCGTACAGGTAGTCGAAGACACTCGCTCCAAGGGCAGCCTCATGCAAGTCATTTTGCGCACTTGAGCCACTTACGATGAAAACCCACCCCCAGCAACCCGTTTTTAGTTAAGTGTGTTGCCGTTAGGCATGCTTAAACTCGACAGTGGCAGCCCCAAACTGGGCATGGCGACGCCCCAGGCGGGAAGAGGTTGACGCCTGATTCGCCTAGAGAAGAGCCACCACTGTCATGCACCCAGTCACTGGCACCCATCGGTGCCACCCACCGCCACTCATGGCGTCCTACGACGTCATATTGCTTGGCCCTAACCACCTGCACTTTCCCAAGATCACCGATAGAACGAGCCTGTGGTCGATCGATGCACCCCCATACTACCTGTTTTAACGAAACCACGATCTTCTTCAGGGAAGACTCCGCCTGGATCCAGACAATCCCATGTATGCTGAACGGGATTCTCACTCTCTTCCTGTCTTACCTCCTCCTCGTCTCACACAACAACCGTTCATTCAGTGACCTGTATTCCGTCCCATCTTCATTCAATCCCTTGCATACCAGTAGCCTTGCGCACACCGAACACTGTACCATGAAACACCAACAAAGAATGCCGTAAACATCCCTCGACTCTCATCCCTTTCATCTATCTCCTCCGCCTCAGTCCTCCATTGTCGCTGCCCTTCTCCTCAGCCCATTGGCTCTGCAGTAATTTCTCAGGATGAACGACCCAGGCCTTGATGAACCCATAGCCGACGCCTCTGCGGTTCTCAAGGAAAATGTCGAAGACTGTCCCCCTGCATCTCACCACAATGCCCAAACTTCATCACCTCCCCAGAACCGAGATGAGTCTCCCGAAGAGATGTTCGACAAAATGTCCGAAGAAGAGCAAGAGCGGAATTTTCTCATGCCGGCGAGGTGGTGGTATGCCTCGACGGGTGTCCCCCTGTTAGCCGGTACTTTTGGACCTATCGCCAATGCGTTCAGTATCTGTGCGCTGGTGGAGAACTGGAGGGTGGAAATCCCTCCCGGAGGGACAGAGGAGCATGGAATTGACATCAAAGACCCAGCGTGGTAGGTCACGCTCGAATGATACCGCCCAGCCTTTTATTGCTTATTGTTGAAGGCGAGGGCGGTGGATTTACAAAGTGCTAAATAACATCCGATGCAGGCTTATCGCCGTCAATGCGGTCTCCCTGGCCTTCGCCCTTGTTGCCAACGCGTCCCTGCTACTCAACATGGCGCGCCGTGTCCCCTTCAAAATCGCCCAACCTATCACCATATTCGGCTTTTGGATCGCTTCAGTGCTCCTGATTGCCCTTGTTGCCGTCGCATCCAGCAATTTTCACGCTCCAGGCGTCAAAGATCAGGCTCTTTCCCAGGCATACTACTACGCCATCTTCGCTGCGGGACTGTACCAGATAATCTCTTACTTGATGTGTTTCACGGTGTATGGGGCGTACAAGGGGCATTTCAGTAAAGAATTCAAACTTACTGTGGCGCAACGGACGTTGATGTTGCAGACCATTATGTTCTTGCTGTATCAGCTATTGGGGGCGTTGGTGTACTCGCACATCGAAGGCTGGAAATTTTTGGATGCGGTATATTGGGCGGAATTCACTTCTCTGACAATTGGTATTGGTGATGACTACGAACCAATGACCCATCTGGGTAGAGGGCTTCTGTTCCCCTTTGCCTTGGGCGGCATCATCATCCTGGGTTTGGTGGTCGGTTCCATTCGGTCATTGATCCTAGAGAGAGGGAAAAAGAAGATAGCGGCCCGATTAACGGAGAAGACCAGGGTGCGATTACTCAAGGAGATTGAGAGAATCAGTAAGAAGAAGAGCCTCCTGAGACGCAAAGGCGCTCTGGGGCTCGCGAAAAGCACCACGAAAGCATTGACTGTGGATCCAGGGGATGAGGAGGTATCGGAGCTTGAGAGGAGACAGGCCGAATTCGAGGCGATGCGGAAAGTCCAGGACTGGGCTGCTACAGAGCGCAAGTACATGAGTTTGGTCATATCGACATTTGCTTTTGCTTTCTTGGTACGTGTGGCCTTGATCTCCTGCTGAACCTTGCTGACCACCGGTAGTGGACGATTGGGGCGTTGGTCTTCGAGCACGCCGAGAAGAACCAGGACTGGTCGTATTTCGAATCACTTTACTTTTCATACACAACGCTGTTGACTATCGGATATGGAGATTTCGAGCCCATGTCTAACAGTGGGAAGCCCTTTTTTGTCTTCTGGACTCTCTTGGCCGTCCCTACTTTGACGATTCTCATCTCCGACATGGGAGATACCGTGGTAAAAGCCGTCAAAGACATCACCATCTGGCTGGGGGAGATCACTGTGCTTCCAAGTAGTGAAGATACCATAGCAAATCGGCTCAAACATGGCGTGTACAAGGCCACCCTTGGACAGCTGGATCCTCGATCATCGGGAGATGTGGAACAGGGCTCAGAGACCGGGAGCGAGGGTGGATACCAGGAACTGCATCCTGGCCTTGCACGCCTGTTCCGCAATGGTCGTCAGAAGCACAAGGACCGCGGAAAAGACGCGGGGACCAAAGATCGCCTGGCTGCTGACTTCGAGGAGGAGGAGAAACAGGACGAGTCCGAAGCTAGAGACAAGGGCGACCGTTGGCAAGAAGGTAAAGAGCGTTCTGTTCCCGGTGGCATAATTCAAGTGGCTCACTTTGCTTCGAACAGATACCCACCACTATCGGCATGTGCTGATATCTCAGATTCGGAAAGTCTACGCAGATGCTTCGGCCTCAACCCCCAAGAAGTACAGCTATGAGGAGTGGCAATACTTTCTCAAATTGCTGGGGGAGGATGAGGCAGATGCCTCATACCACCGGCGAGCTCCCGCTCATGGTGATAACGAAGTTGAGGCTCAAGAGGCCAAGGAAAACCACAACCAGGGTGGTAACCTCGGCGTTGGGAGACAGGGAGCAGCAAATGATGGGGAGCAGCAGGGCAACAACAATGCCCAGGCCACCAAATGGAGTTGGATAGGTGCGCAGAGTCCATTGATGGGAGACAAAGAAGAAGCTGAATGGTTGCTGGAACGGCTCTTCCAGCGTCTGGAAGAAAGTCTTCATTCCGACAAGGCGCAGACGGAGAATGCGAAGAATTACACAAGGGACCTCAAAGAGCGGAAAGAACGAGAGGAGCCTGAGGACTGCACTGGCAGTGAGAGGACAATGTCTGAGAATCGAGACCTCGACGGTCTGGACCGTCCTTGAATGCGTGATGAGGCTCTCAACGAACAGGGGTGGTGAAGCTCGTTAGAAATTTGAGCGCAGCGGACTTCGTCCAGCGCCCATCTTTGGCGATGCCTTTTCTGAAAAGTAGCCAATACGTTTATCGAAGTCGCCGTTCTGACAAGGTATAGCAAGAAGTATAGCCAGAAGCAACATTGGTTATACCATCCGGGTTCAAGGAATGTATTCTGATAATGCCGATCTCGGGAAGTGCTATCCGACTCTCCCCAAGTGTTGCAGGCACTCCGTTTCTCCGGGGCGATTGCAGAGATTCCGCCGATATGGAGGGCAGCAGGGATGTTAGGCTTGGTCGACCTCGGCGTTCAAAGCGACGGAGATGCTTGTGGCTCTCTCCGTGGCGTTTCAGGGGAATAGGAGTTAGAGAGAAATCTTGTGCGAAGTCTTGTCTCGATGACAAGTGGACGAGTATACGATAGAAGACATTCAGTGTCTGTATCTGCCTACAAGTTGGTGGAGAGAGACGGATAGGGTGCAAGGTTAGTAGCTGGTAGTCCATACTTTGGTTGGTACCTAGGAACAAAGACAGACAGACACCCAATACCGAGGAGGTACAAGTTGATTGTGCTGAGGTGAGGTGAGGCGAGGTCTATCGAAGTAATACTAGGTACCTAGGTAGGTATGCAACCCTCACCACCACCATCACTCTCACTCCCTCCTGTCCTCTACCTAGGTACTCCTCACTGCCACTGCTGCATCTAGACAACCGGAACTGGTCATCATTTTCTCGGAATCAAGGTGCCCTCGTCATGATGTGGCCCTTCCACTCCCCCGCAACTCACTGAGTTCAGTTACCTACCTAGGTACATAGCGCTCAGCCACTGCCTCGTATCTGGCTTGTCCAACAAGATCTCGCGGGTGAGACGAGACGTTGATAGAGCTTCAGGAACCCTCTGACTCGACCCGTCGTCCTCGTTACGAGAATTGACCATGGCGTCCCCACCATATTCCACCGCCTTCCAACAAATCTCTTGCTCCCCCCACACTTAGCAGACTCCTGCAATGCCAGAATGGAACCTTTTCCGCCATTCACGGCGTAGCAATACCCCGAGGGTCTTCGTGCTCCACGCGGATCAGCGCGTTTTGAAGGGCCTTCCATCCGAGCCACGACCTGTCATCATTCACGGGGCTGCCATCAGCTGCTTTCCATTCCCAGAACTTCTCTGCCTGTCTTCTAATCCGTTCTCATATCCGCCACTCCTTTGGCCCGCTTTCAACCCCTCACTGTCGGACGTTCACCGACGCCTGGGCTCCGGATGGTGATCGACACGAATTATGTCGCATCCGGGGTCAATCGGGGGTGGCAAGGGAACGCGGGGTATGTCAACAACAGATACAAAAGGCTCGCGGTCGCCGCCTAAGGGGACTGTGCGGCCAGTCTTCTGCATCTCTTCGTTCTGACCTCAATCGCCTGCTCCACTTATCGGATATTGCCCTTGCCCCGAATCCCCCGACAATCATGGGCTCTCATCAGATCGAGCAGGTTGATGTCCTGCTCGTTGGAGCTGGCTTTGCCTCATTCACTTTGCTGAACCGGTAAGTTCTGTATTCCATCTTACGTCATGAGCATAGGGATTGACTGTCATCGATAAGCCTACGAAAACTCGGCTACAGCGTCCGTATCTTCGAGAAAGGATCTGCTAGTGGCGGTATCTGGTACTGGAACTGCTATCCCGGGGCCCGCGTGGATACCGATACACCCATCTACCAGCTATTTGATAAAGAGCTATGGGAAGATTTCACCTTCAAGGAGCGATATCCAGGCTGGCAGGAACTTCGCCGCTACTTCGAGTACGTCGAGAAGAAGTGGAATATTCGTGACTACACTTCGTTCAACAAGCACGTGGACAGCGCTGTCTTTGATGAGAGTCGCCAACAGTGGTTGGTCGAGTGCGCGGACGGGACCGAAATCTACGCGAGGTGGTTCATCCCCTGCATCGGATTCGCCAGCAAACGGTATACGCCCCCCTTTCCCGGGCTCGGCAACTTCAAGGGCGATATCTACCATACCGCAGTATGGCCTCAGCACGGTGTAAATTTGAAGGGCAAGCGAGTTGCTGAAGTGGGCACCGGGGCCTCTGGAATACAAGTCATCCAGGAAATCGGTCCGGTGGTGAAGGAGTTGACTGTTTACCAGAGAACCCCCAATATGTGTCTGCCTATGAACCAGCGCATGCTCGACCCCCAAGAAGAGGAGGAGAAAAAGAAGAATGGCTGGTATGAGGCGGAAATGGAGAAGACCCGCAACACTTTTGCCGGCTTCACCTACGACTTTCTGGAGAAAAACACCTTTGACGATACACCCGAAGAACGCGAAAAGGTTTACCATAAACTCATGGTCGAAGATGGCGGGTTCAAATTCTGGCTTGCCACGTACAAGGACATGCTGTTTGACCTCAAAGCCAATGAACCGGCGTACCAGTTCTGGCGCCGGCAGGTCTTGAAACGCGTCAAGGATCCCGAGAAACAAAGGCTTTTGGCACCTGAGGTGCCTCCGCATCCATGGGGCACCAAGCGCCCGTCCCTCGAACAGAGGTTCTACGAAGTGGTCGATCAACCCAATGTGAAGATCATTGATGTCAACGAGAACCCGATCGAAGAAGTCACTGCCACCGGTCTCAAAACCAAACAGGGTCTTGTCGAGGTGGACGTGATCATCCTGGCTACCGGCTTCGACTCGGTCACGGGCTCGCTGGCTCAACTCAACATCCAAGGCACAAACGGAGGCACAATTGCCGACCATTGGAAGGATGGCACCAAGACTGCCATGGGTATTGCCATGCCCGAATTCCCCAACATGTTCTTCTTGTACGGACCTCAGGCACCCACCGCCTTTAGCTCGGGCCCGTCCTGCACGCAGTTCCAAGCTGAATGGGTTGAGAAGACGTTCAAGGTGATCAAGGACAAGGGCATCACCAGGCTTGAAGCCACTCCGGAGTCCGAGGAGGACTGGTGCAAGAGGATGAACGAGAAGTGGGATGCGACTTTGTTTCCCATGGCCAAGAGTTGGTACCAAGGCGCCAACATCCCAGGCCGAAAAGTCGAGCCGCTGAATTGGTAAGTTTTCACCTGTCGTTTCCCCAAGGATTCTTGCTAACAGTCATGCCAGGTCCGGCGGAATGGTCGAGTATGTCAACACTTTGAACCGCAGTCTAGAGAATGATCTCCAGGGCTGGAAATATTCAACCGCCACCGCGTGATTTGTTGCCAAGGGGTCAAGGGTGACTCTTCATGGTGGCGCCCCCGTGAAGACATTGGTCGTTTGGTAGAATTGATCCTGAGGGAAAGCGAGTGAATTACTCCCAGGGTGGGACGGCAGCGATGTGTTGAAGGCGTCAAGGCTCGTTGGACTAGAGAGAACGTTCCGAGGACGTCTGTATACTTGAGACAGGAGGGGTTCCAGCCAGTTTCTCGTTGGCGAAAGATCAAGGCGCATGTGTAGATTTCTGTGGAGCAACTGCACACAGCAAACACCAAACAGCAAGACAAGAATGTATCAGGTACCTGACGACATGACTGCCGGTGTTTCCCCAATCAAACTTGGGGAGGTATGATGAACCACCATATCTACCTAGGTATCCAGACAGTTTATGTCCTTTCCCCCCTCTTCTTTCAAGTTTTCCCAGCTTTGGTGTAAGCACGGACCGCGCTGATTCCCCGAGGCGTTACTGACGAACATTGCCGATACTCGATAGAGCGCCAGGTTTCGACAGCAGCAATCATTAGTTCGGTGGTGTAGCGGTAACCTGGTTGATTGGTAAGATTACAGTTGCTGCTTCAAAATGTACCTGTTTCGAACCTTTTTCCCATCTAGAGTGTGACGGCCCCAGGGTACAACCCAGGTTTCAATCATCACAGATTTGACAATGACTTTTGTCAATGGTCTCATTCAGCCCACGTCACATCCTCCCAATCTGCACGCCATGATTGGGAAAGTGGGTGGTGGTAAGACAGGCTCGAGCCAGCGATCCTCCTTGATTCACAAGCTCTGAGTCCTCGTGAAAAAAAACCCGCGAAACACGTCGGAGCGGTAAGCACAGCTCGAACAAGCCAGCCCGACGGTGATAAAGAGAGACGATCCGCGTGCATCGTCCCTGCGTTTTCTCCCACAGCAAATCATGGCTGACAAGAGAGACCTCGAGGTTGTGATCGTCGGGGCCGGCGCGACGGGGTTGCTGCTCGCACAGGGATTGAAACTGGTATGTATGTAATGTGTTGCTGCGAGGGGGGGACATGCTAGTCCAACAAAAAAAAGTGCTAACGAGTGAGCCTTGCAGAATGGCATCAAGGCCACCGTCTACGAACGCGAGGACGAGTCGACGTATCTCACTCGGCCTCGGGAATGGGGGATGACGCTGCACTTTGGGCAGGAGTACCTGGCGAAATGCATCCCGCGGGAGCTCATGGCGCGGCTGAAGGAGGCGTACTGCGACGAGTTCTACACGGGCAAGCACACCTCGTGGCCCATGTTCAACGGCCAGACGGGCGACAAGTTCTTCGACATGCAAGGCTTCAATCCCCTGCGCGTGTCTCGCCGCAAGCTGCGCGCCCTGCTGAGCGACGGCGTCGATGTGCGATATGGCCGCAGGATCGTTTCGGTATCGGTGTCGCAGCCCAACGGATTGGCAACTGCCACCTTCGCCGACGGCAGCACGGCCACGGGCGACCTCGTCGTCGGGTGCGAGGGCGTGCACTCGTACCTGCGCGAGGCGCTCGTTGGGAAAGAGCAAGCCGCCAACACTCCCATAGACATACAGATGTTCAACACGTGCTGGACGCTTCCCCGTGACGTCGCCGTCCTGCAGCGCAAAGCCCATCCCCTATTCCGCATCGGCTACCACCCGATGGGCATGACCTGGGTGACGGCGATCCAAGACGTCAAGGACCCCAACGACCCGACCACGTTCCTCTTCCAACAGTGTCTCTCCTGGCCCGGCAGACCGCACGCCGACGACTTCCAGACCCAGCAGTCCAAGATCGACTTCATCAAGTCCAAGGCCGAGGCTTACGCCGAGCCCTGGAAAAGCGCCGGCCTCAATATCCCCCCGGACCTACAACCGCCGCTGCAGGTCGACGCGGTCGCGATGTGGAGACCCGATATCGACTGGTCGACCACCTCTCCGCTGTGGCCGCACGTCACGCTCGCCGGGGACGCCGCGCACAATATCCCCCCCTTTCGTGGCCAGGGGCTGAACAACGCGTTCCAAGACGCCGAGAAGCTCGTGTCGGAACTGGTCGAGGCGGTGGGAAATCGGGGCTCAAAGACGCTGGAGCACGCGGTGAGGGCTTACGAGGGGGAAATGAAGTCCCGCAGCCTGAAGGAGATCGAGGTCAGTCTGATGCAGAGCCGCATGGTGCATAACTGGGAGACTCTGATGGGTGCGCCGTTCATGAAGGTCGGCATGAATGCGTACAGAGACGAAGTCAAGGGCCATATGGAAACCGCGAGCGGCGGCAGAGGTGGATAGTGTGGAATCATTGCTTGGTTAAGTAAATGATCTGGCTGGGGAGAATAAAACTGTTCCAACTTCTTGCTGAAAGCGTTCTCGATATATACGTGAGATACGGGAGTGGTAAAGCATGTGTAGCAGAGTATACTTTGGAGATAATGGCCAACAGGCTTCTTCCTGTGCAGAACGGCCTTCGCGAGCCTCGTCACTCAAAGAAGATGAACGACGTGCCAGAGGCAGGCCTGCCACTTGAGAAACAGAAAGAAAACAGCAGCAGCAGCAGCATCTCGAGGTCTATTTGACCCCAAAATCTGCAAGAAACGCCCAAAACATCTTCTCCCGCCAGCCCCGTTTCTTCCAATCATTCGCCGTCTGCGGGAACAAATCCGCCACGCCCCTCGCCGTGGCGTCGTGCGCGTAGATGAACAGCACGTTCTCGTCCCCGTCGGCCTTCTGCGCCTTCTCGATCGTCTCGATCGCCTGGGGGATGTCGAGGCCCATGGCCGGATCAAAAAAGGGCTTGGTGGGTGAACGCCCGCGTTTCGTTTGGATGGCCTCGAAGAGGGCACCGGGGCAGGGCGAATGCATCGCTCTCGTCATGGGATGGGAATGCAGGTGGATTTGTTGTGGGAGCGGCATGTAGCTGGACGGACGGATCTCGCCGCCGTGGTGGCACAGGTCGCCGCCCATGAAGATGAATGTCTCTTCTGGGTGTGAGGTTGTGCGCGCCAGGCCGCAGACGTGGCCGATCGCGTGGCCCGGTGTGTCCAGCAAGTAAAAGGATCCGTCGCCGAAGAAGTCGTGCGCGCGGAAGGAGCCGATCTGTAGCGTGTTGGGCTCGGTGAATGTTACTTCGCGAAGCGTTCGCCCTCTATTGTTTAGGAGGAGTGAGATGTGGTTAGAATTAGAGCCTCATGTGTTGAAAGAGATCCTGGTGGAAGCAAAGAGAGAGTAAATGGGAGAACATAAGGCTGGTTGGACTTACTTGAAATCAGACTCGCGCACAGGAGAGTCCGGCTTGCCAGGATGACCGGGCATAAAAGCCTCCTTGAAACCGGGACCTACCACCACTTCCGTCGAGGGAGGGAACGTGGACGGATCGCCCAGGTGATCCCAATGCCAGTGACTACACGTCTCCACCGGGGAATCAATGCATGTCTGTCTTCACGAAACATCCGAACACAGATGAACATGGGTGTACACAACTCCTCGTCGAACAGAGGAACTCGCTTCTCACACAGGTGAAACAAAGGAAGGAAATCAACTCACCTCCAGACAATACTCCCGATCCCCTTCAGATCCACCCCGTTCTCCTCCAGCACCTGGCTCGTATGCTTCTCAGCATAGATATCCCACCCTCGGGGCTTCAACGCCTCGACCACGGCAGGCGCGAAATGGTTCTCCCAATCCGGCGGCACGCCCAGGTCGAACAGCGCCTTTTTCCCCGTGGTGCTGGATTCAACAAGAAACGACCACGACGGTAGGTCGGGCATGGTTTCGAACTCTTCCAGTGGTGGTTCCATCAGGTAAGACACGGGGATCCGCCCTATGCGCGAGGTGGTGTCAATGATGGATACCTTGGCTGTGGAGCCTGAAGGGATGGGGAAGAGGCTTTTGGAAGGAGAGCTGGATGCTGCCATTTTTGGATGAGTGTAGTAGATGAGGTTGTGCTTTGATTGATTTGTTTCTGGAATCTCCAGTTCCCTGTGCGATTGGAATTATGCGAGACTCTGCTATTCGGGTATGTCTGTGGGGGAGAATGAGGAATTGCTGAGAATGAGCGAGCATTTCAATGCATTTGATGTGCGGGGTGAGGAAAAGAGCAGAAGCGGGGAACCGAGTTTCCTTATCGACGCAGCCTTGTGGAGCAAGAGCTCAGCCTTGCGGTGCCCACCAGTATCATGGTACCGAGTCATCGTGGTCGAGACAACTCATTCCAGCCCGTCCAAAGCTTGCCGCAGAGCCCGTCTCGCTTCTGCTCTCGACCTCTCAATAATCTCTCCTGCCGAGTCAATCGCACGCACGAGCCCTACGGCACTCCCTACGTATGCCGTCATTCTCCCGTCCTCTCCCCATCCAATCGACCCATTCTTCATTTGTTCTTGGAATATCTGCTTGTTCTGCTTGAAATCCATGCCTGCTAGGTCATCCTTCACGCTTCCATTGATAACGGCACGTCCGTCGTAGCGTGCCGGCCAATCATCCCTCCCCTGGAGTCGATCGAATAAATCGGTGCGGATGGTGCTTTGGCCGCCGTCCGAAACTCGCAGCACGTCCTCTTGGTATCCTGTCTTGATTTCGGCCTCGTTGCTCGCGAGGAAACGCGTGCCCATCACCGCACCTGCTGCGACGCCCGTGGCCAGTACAGCAGCAACTCCTCGGCCGTCCGCGATTCCACCAGCGCCGACGAGTGGGATTTCGGACCCCAAGTTTTGTAGAGCGTCCGCTATTTCTGGGAGTAGTGATATCACACTTGCGCCTTTCCTGAGACCGTGCCCACCAGCATCAATGCCCTGCACGACCAGCACATCCGGCGCGTGTTTACTTTTCGCCGCCGCAACAGCCTCAGCGACAGAGCCAATCTGGATCCATATCTTCGTGGAAGGTGATTCTTTCCGAATCCTCAGTGTCCACTGATCTAAATCACATTGACCAGATGCCGGAACAAAAAGCCACGCTGCGACAGGCTTGTATTTGCGTACAGTTGCCGCAGCAACCTCGAGGTCACCATCGAAAAGCTGAAACCCTACGCCAATGGGGAGGTGGTCAATATCCGGAGCATTGGAGGCGGTAGAGTTGTGGGCAGTGATGGACGTCTGGTGCAGCAGACCCCGAGCCTTGTCAAGCTTGGAGTCCAAATCTGTAGGGCGTAGACCCGGACCAATGAAGCCTAGGCCTCCTGCGCGGGATGTTGCAACTGCGAGATCCGGACCAGCGAACACGCGCATGGGCGCAGAGATGATGATGGGGGTTTTGAGGAAGGAGTAAGTTGCTTTAAGGTGCTGAACTGCCCGCGGAGCACCCATGATGACCAAGAATTTTCAGATGTGTAACTGCGAATTACAGTCCAGATGCTTGCTTTCACCCCGGTTGATGCTCCTTGAGGTTTGATCCACGTCCCATAGCAAGGGTATGATCTTAATATCCGTCGTTCTGTAAGCGCGATCGCTTGTGTGGACCGAAGCTCGGCCCAAACAGTCAAGGTTGACTGCGGGCATCCAGGCACGCCTTTTCCGCGGTATCAGAATATTTGCACACGGCAGTATTTGCGAGTCATCGGCACCGTGGCAGCTTTGATGATGGACGTATTGTGTCATGAGAGATCAATTTCGATGACAAAGCGGTGGGGGCCTAAAAACCACCGAGATGGAAATACTCCAGCCTTGTCCGCAGTACTTCCGCGGAGAGGCCCAAGAGTTTGGTGCGCATTTCTTCGATGCCTTTGAAAGAGCTGCGTCAATTTTTGTGTCCAACCGATGATTGAGTGCTGCAGGTGACCCAATAATGGTGTTTGGTCGTGACAACCACGATATTCTCGGCATGCCTTCTCTTGGGAGTCGACGGGAGCATATTATCCATCATGCGATTCGGCCACTCAAGCAAGACGGTCCAAGAAACCTTTGAAACCCATTAACCCCAGCCAAACAGCTTCCTCGGTTCTGATCGTGCGGCTACCCTGGCCAGGTAACAGATTTACCCACACATCGAACAGTTCTTTGACTTTTCCCCCAATAAGACCCATTTCTCGACAATTCCTATCATTCTTGGCTGCGATTTCCAAGCCTGCCACGCCGCCGAAGACCATGAGCACGTGTTTGTAGCCAGTTGCTGCGGCTATGGGTCGTTCGGCTAGCACCTTTTCCAACGGCTGGCCCCTTTCGGAGGTCCCAACTGAGATGTCGTAGCCTCCGTCATAAGGGCATTCGGTAAACACGTCTGTGAGGGAGCTGCATTGTCGTACGGTATAACCCCAATAGTACCCCTTTGCCTCCCGCGGAGCATTGGGTGAGACGGCTACACCGTTTTTGGAATCTTCATCTTCTAGATGGACAGTTACTCGTGTATTTGGCGGAATCTCTGCCCCTGATAGCAGCAAAAACCCGGGCAGGCCAACATCGACCAATGTCCCCTTGCCGTCGGCAACGGCGGTAGTAGTGATGCCTTCGCGATACTCACACCATTCGTGCGCGCGTAAATGGTGCGGCATATCAAGGCTGGGAAGTGTACCTGCGGTTCGAAGATTAGGGTGCATAGAAAATAGACTCTTGCGGAGGTGAGGCGGCGTTTCCAAGTACGATAGAAGGTGAGCTAGGAAATGGTCTGGATGGGAAAACGCCGTGTATTCGTTTTCTCTTATGGCTGGTCGCTGCTGCTGAGTTTCAACATCCTCGTCGTCAAAGATGACCACTTCATCCACACAAAATACCGCCAGAGCCCTTGCAATTTGGCCAGCTAGGAAGGTCTTTTGGTCATGATTTTTGGCATTGCCGATGATGCTCCCTGGTAGAGCTACAGACAGTGTGTGCGAGCGGCCGCCTGTGGGCTGGAACACTGCGGAGGGTTTGGAAGTGTCGACCTCATGTTCATGAGCACGATCATCTCGTTGTTGATCCTCGAGTGTCGTTTTCGGCCTGTTACTGGACCTGTTTGCCCCTGACTCGCGTTTTCGCTTCTACAAGGTTTGAAGCAAATTTAGGATTGGCCTCCAGAGAAAGCAGAGTTTTCCTTACCTTTTCTTTAGGCATCTTGTACAACAGACCTTCGGGCCCCTGAGCAGCTTCCGAGCGGCTGGCTTCTCTTCAGTGGGACATTCCCTGTACTCGGGACACCGGTAAGATAAGATGAAGCTAACAATGGGCTGACGATGTCGATGCTACCTCTCGCCAACGTAGATTTGGTTCTAGAACTCAGCCTCACTGGAAAAAGGAGTGCCAAGAATAGACGCTCATCGGCTCCGCTGATTGGCGGAAAGGCGATGCCCGAGCTGAGAAGAAAAGGGAAAAGGGACAGAAATCCCAGAATTCCCCGTGTCCAAAAGAGGACCAGCGAGCCAGGAATGAGATCCAAATGCATGCGAAAAGGAGCCAAAAAGTTTCCTCTCCGCTCGAATCCACCGCCAATTCGTGTTGCATTGAATAGCGGCGCGTCCGACCTTCTCGTTACAATCAGTCGACCTCTATTGAATCGGTGACTCCCCTTCCTTTGCTGCATTCGCCTCTCGATTTTGAATCCTCAGTCGTCTTACCTGCGCTGATCTCGACATCACCACTCCCCTCCATCATCGCAGTACTCACACAATCATGAAGATCGGACGGCGGCGCGCCCAACTACTCCTATTTCTCTTCTCCGCCGTCGCCCTCTGCGAGGCATCAGCCGCTGCTGAACCAGGCGACCTCTCTGCGGGCAAACTGGGTGACGTGGTTGTTGCATCAGGAGGAACTGCTGTGAAAGCATCTCCTGTGGGCACAGAACATGCCCCAGTAGATGGGAAAGATGGAATGCCACATGATGGCCCCTTTGTGGAGACAAATGCAGAGAGAACGAGGAAGAAGACGCAGACTACAGGTGCTGAAGACGAGATTCCGGTAGCAGATCCAAAGTTCAAGGACTCCTACAAGGACCTCTCCACAGATGGCGACCTGCCTCAGACAAACGATGCCGTCATGGACGAACGCGTCAAGTCAAATCCCGTCGAAGGGACCAGAGGCGTGGAGGGAGGCATATCTGGGAAATCTAAAGAACTCAAGATCACCGAAAAGAGACCCGATCCTCCCAAAGACGCAAGGCCTATTCCGCACAGCGAAGTTGTCGGAATGACAGATGCCGTGGGCGGAGAAGCACTTGCTCCTGCTGATGAGGAGACGAAGAAGACCCTCACGGTACGGAAACAAACACAAGCCATCTGATGCTGGAACAGGTATTGACACTCATCGAAACAGGTCCCAGAAGATCTCCCCGACAAACCGCACGACATCCCCCATCCCGAGAACCCATCCTCCCCCAAAGACACCATCCTCTCTTCCGAAAGCACCACCGGCCAACAAGCCTCTGGTAAACCGAAGGATCACGAACCTGCCGTCATCTCACCCATGCACTCGCTCCTGCTCTCCTTCACTATGATCATCTTCTCCGAGATTGGCGACAAGACATTCCTCGTCGCAGCTCTCATGGCCATGCGCCACCCTAGAGTGGTGGTGTTCACGGCCGCCTTTTCCGCCCTCATTACAATGACTGTTCTATCCGCCATGCTGGGACACGCGGTTCCAACACTAATACCTAAAACACTTACGAACTTTGCTGCCGCCGGGTTATTCTTGGTATTCGGCGTGAAGATGCTGATGGAAGCCCGCTCAATGTCTCCGGACGAAGGCGTCAGTGAAGAGATGAAGGAAGTGGAGATGGAATTGGAAGAGAAAGAACATCAGCAGGCAAGGAGGATGTCGAGACACCGAAGAAGATCATCCGCCATATCTCCCTACGCTCTCGAAGCGGGCCGCGGCCCTGGAGGGAGAAAGAACACAGACTCACGACTCCCCTCACCCCCGGAATCTCCGGCGTCGTCACGCGACGTGTCCCCCGTGCGCCAATCGTCCCTCCAAAACATCCTGGGTGGAATCAACAATCTCTGTTCCCTCCTCCTCTCCCCGGCGTGGGTGCAGACTTTTGTCATGACCTTTCTCGGAGAATGGGGTGACCGCTCTCAGATCGCGACCATTGCCATGGCCGCCGGTCAGGATTACTGGTGGGTTACGGCTGGCGCGCTGGTCGGACATGCTATTTGTACGGGGGCCGCCGTGTTAGGAGGCAGGGCTATTGCCGGGAGAGTCAGCTTGAGAACTGGTAAGTTATATCCTGCAAAACCTTTTAATTGGCAGATGGTCAATGGATTTGCTAACCGGGTGAAAATCGTACAGTTACCATGGGCGGAGCAATTGCATTTTTGGTCTTTGGAGTGATTTATCTGCTTGAGGCCGTGTATTAATTCCCACACACACCTGGTCAGGAGCTCCCCACTTGCGACTTTTGTCCTGGATTGCCAATCTATGATGGGCAGATCTGTCCAGCTTTCTCGTTCTCCCGACCCTTTTTTGGACAGCGGAGTTGATTAGTTCATTCCATCCCCAGTCCGCTCTGAATGATAAGCGTGGCAGAACCAGAGCGCTTGTGGTCGTTTCAAAGCTCGCATTTTCGAGGACGGGCCGGGACATCAAACGAGAACGAGGCCCGGGCTAGGGCTCTCCAGAAAAACCACATGCCGTATTGTCCAAGGCAGCCGACCCCAGACGCGACAATCATAATGGTAACCATCCCCGTCGCCATACACGCACGCGCGCTCGCGAGCAGGAGGAAAAGAATCAAGCTGGGCACTAAAACACCCCCCTTTTGAGCTGGGAAATTTTCCCGTTGAGCGAAACCACCTGCAGACAGGCATATTCTGTACAGTAAACCTATTAACAACAACACGCACTATTACTGGCCTTTGCTATTCTTTTCCCCCTAGCATTCCTTACGTGGTTATGTGGTGGGTGCATCTTTTTGGGTCTCGATCGTGCGTGCCTTCGCTCGTCCCAAAGGGTCACGCCTTCGTTTTGACAGCTTAGGAAGAAAACCACAAACAATGAATGAATGGATGATTGGATGGGATGGATGGGAAAGAAATTCATTCATCTTTTCGTATGGAGTCGTGGAACGGATCGATCCTATCCTACTGGCAACTTTGAAACCAGCTTTGCCTCAACGCCGTCTGCCCCCTTTGGATGGGAGCAAAACATACAAGCTTCTTTGGTCTCCCCTCTCCATGGGTGAAGTACCTACGATACCCAAACGCCTTGATGAATCCAAGAACTCCTGGTCGTACTGTTGATTTTTGGGTAGAAACGCCATGCCCAAAGACTCTCCAAGATTCCTACTTCCCATGACTTGAACCTGTTTCCCTTGATCCCTGGTTGTATCCTGAACAAGACGTTGAGCTTTCTGCATGAGAACCAGCCCAATCCCCAGATGCAAACTGTCCTCGTCGCCAAGCCCGTCCAGCAAAAGGCTAGAATTTTTTACACAGATCCCGAAAGTAAGAGTAGAACGCAACTGACCACCATGCCCAAAGGAGGTCAGTCACTGAAAAGCAGAGCCATAACAGGCAGAGAGGGCATCCGAGCTGGCTCGCTACTGCCTCGCACACCGCAGCAATGGGCGAACCGTAAGCCGGATAGATGAAATGAGACGCCATTCAACCTCTCTGCTTAGGCCGAGCAAGCATGTTCAAGCGACTGAGACTCAAAATGCCGCGGCCACTCTTGCGATCTTTTGCGTTCTGCTTCGCCAGCTCGCGCGCAGAGCTTTGTCTTGGCTTCTTGATAGGACTCATTGTCGTTCCCAGCACCGTCTTGTCCGACAAATTTCCTGTTGCCGAGTCAGTCCGTACCCGCTTCCCACCTCGCTTCATACCCTCGTCTTGCTCATGTTCGTCACCAATATGAGGGCTTTCTTCCCAACCGCCGGGAACACTGGGCATAACTGATATGCGTCGATTCTCTTTGCCAGATTCTTCATCCGTGTTCTGGTTGTCCTCGGAGATTGTTGACGCGCGTCGGCGCTTCTTGCCAGGCAACCCATGTGGCACGGTTTTGACGTCCGCATCTTGGAATGGTTGGACCACATCTGTAACACCAGAGGAGCGCACTCGCCGGATCGTTGATGGGGAAAGGGTTGAGAAATTCCTATTGCTGGAAGACCGAGTAATATTGTGCACATTGACGGTCGGATCTGCTTTGTTGACTATAGTGTTCACAGACGTCAAGGTCGACGGGCCGCCAGAACGAGAAGGATGATGCAAAGTGGTAAAGATGGACTTGAACTCTTTTGACTCGCGACGGTTATGTTCCTTGGCCTTTTCGGTAAATGCAGCATCGACCTTGGAAAGGGCGGCTGGGCTCGAGGATGGGTCTGGTAAGGTAGGATACTCGACCTCACTTGATGCGTCTTCCCATACATCATCGTCCTCGACAGCATAGGCAGCTGGATCATAGGGAACGACTGGTGGCAGCGCCTTCCCCGGCGTGAGTTGTGGCAGCTTAGCTGGGCTAGGACTTCCAGCGGCTAACTTGACAGCATACCTGGATTTGACACTAGGGGTAAAGTCGACTTTCTTATGGGAGCCATTCGGGGAGGCGGCAGTGTTGGGACGCTTAGGTGTTGCTTGCCTCTCATCAATCAACGGCGGAATGTCGGTCTTGCGTCCAGAGCGAAGAATTGATTTTAGACCAGAAAGCTTTGGAAGCTTGGAAGAAAAGCTCGATGGACTAGCAGTCACAGCACTCTCTGCAATCGACTTTGACTGCGGCATAGTGCTGGCAACTGATGACGGACGCTCCTCGCGTGGCAACGGAGGAAGCGGTCTTTCGGCCTGTAAGCATGCCTTTTGTTGCAGCCCAGATAAAGATTTGGTGCTGCATTCCCCTTGTGAGGTAGAAGGTCTCCCATTGGGTGCTGTTGATGCAGCTCGCAGGGACTTCACTGAAGTGCTGCGGGTAAGTGCGTGTACTTTGTTGGGCGTGGCAATTGGAATGTGACTTGTTGTCGCTCTAGCCAGAGACGACTTGGTAGGTGACAGAAGACTACTCGAAAGAGGTCGTGGTAAAGTGGAGGGTCGTATTGACGAAGGCTGTTCTGAGGGTCGACTGGCCGACACGTCATGGAGTTCCGAACGTCGAGCACGTTTGGCGGGCATAGCACTTTCGACGCGCTCCCCTTGCGTCGGTATGGACTTGAATGGGCTGATCGAGGTGGGTCGACCAAGGAATGGAGGCGGCTTTCGACCTGGAGTCCCTTTCCCAGCAGTCCGAGGTCGATCAGCTTCGTCGAGACCGGCCTTGGAGCCGCTTCTCTTCAGTGATTGAGCAGTTGGCTGAGCAAACCCTGGCTTCCCTCTAAAAGCGGATGGATGATTGGCGATTGAGTCCATCTTCTTGAATTGGGCCATATGGATGTCGCTGAACCTTCCTGCTTTTCCTCTCGGTTTCGCGATTTTCCTCCCAATGGCATTAATGCCGCCAAAGATTTCTTCAGCTTCTGCGTCCTTCTGCTTCTGGACTTCCCTCTCCACTTGCATCTGAGCCTTGATCCTTGCCGCCTCTTCTCGAACATTGTCCATGAGCTTTTGTGCCTCGCTGCTCAACTGGGATTCTGAGCCAAAGTTGAAGTCGAAGGCGGTAGAGGACAAGCTTGCCGGTGGACTCGAACGCGCTTTGGACGGAGTGTTCTGAGCACTTGCAACGGAGCGGGGAGGATTGGCCGGCACGTCGACAAACCCCAATTTGAGGCCGGAATCTGGAGCTTTGGTGGTGGTCTGGTGAACGAGATGAGGGTGCATTTCGCCGCGATCGGCTTGTGGCTCAGTCCTAGGGGTCTTCAGACCAGACAACTTGGAAAGCTGTGACTTGATCATGGCCGACGACGTTGGAGTTGCAAGCACATTGTCGATGGACTGGGGCTCGCCGACTTCTGGAGTCTCATCTCTTTCTACGAGGGATTCAAGGTGCACCGTGGAGACCCTCTTGCGAGAAGAGGGAGGCTGTAAGAGACAGTATTAGCTCCAAACCATGAGAAATACCTTTGTTACATCGCAGTGGGCTGTGATGAAGAGTTGGTTCTTTGCAGATTGGCCAAACATTACCTGTTGCTGGGCCGCCTTGCTCAATCGAGCTGAGCGACGGCGAGGAGTGGCCATCTTTGGATGTCCTCCCCCAAGGCCGAGAGGATGTGAGATTGAGAGCAATCGCAATGTGAGCTCCAGAGATGTGTGGGATTTTGAAACCGATCCAGGTGGTGTGGTCTGTTCGTTGTGGAGGATTTGTGATTGCAGATTCGATTGTTTGGTGGAGAGAGCTTGGACGTTTTCCTCTTACGTCAGAAACGTAAACAAGAGCACGTGACAGCACCAACGGCCGGCGGGCCTGGGCCACTAGCCACGCGGCGATTCGGCTCGTCGGCCAGCGCCACGACCAAGACGCGCAGTCACATGACGTGCAGGCGCATCTGGCCACAACCTCGCGTCCTGCGACTCGGGCCCCAAGTCTGAAACAATTCGGATCCTTCGTCCTTCGGCCTTCGACCATTTGTTCCTTCCAGAGCGATTTTACCGTTCAGTTGCTGCGGTTGCTTCTCATCTTGTCTCCTCGACTCAGTCACACGAGTTACATCTTCACGAATTGCGGTTGCCCAACCTCCTCGTTCTGTTCCGCAACATGGAGATTCGTATCAGTTGATGGGGCCACGAGATAGTCCTTCTTAGCCTGCTCACGAGCTCTTCCTGTTCTCTTGCCGCAGCATCTCGTACTTTCTCAACATGAGAGTTCATCCGGCGTTCAATTGACTGATCGAGATCCAAGTTATTGATTGCCTTAAGTGGAAGCCATCTCAAGAGGCTGAGTGAGCTTCACAGACTAATAGCTGCACGAAGTCCTGATCCTTGACCCTAAATGAGGGTTGCTCCAGAACACCGCCTCTGGATTTCCGGCGACCACACCGGTTCTTTTGAGACGGCGCGCTCTTTGAGTTAGAAACTTTCCATCACAACGTGTGCTCTCAGACCTCTGCGAGGAGTTGCGAACCAATGGCCTGTTATGGCCCCATCCTCCAAGCCTCATCCAGCCTCTCTAGGGCTGACGGGGGAAATGAAGGTTTGATCCAGGAGGAGGGATCCGCAATCAAAACTACTCGAACTGGCGCAAATCCCGGCAACAGCTTCTACCCGTTTGGTTGTCACAATATCTCTTTCTACTGTTTCCCTGCTTCAACGTGCATTTCTCATTTCTGCCTTCAAGTCTCCTTTGTTGATCATTCCGTCTACATTCGGTCGGGCAGCTGGCTGTCGCAATGGATACCATCCACGGTTCCATGAGCCATCGTTTTATGCTTCTTGGTCTTTTCGCATTGACTCAATTCGATACTGCTCGCGCAGGAGTTTCACTCGATCCCGTCAAAAACTTTTGCAGGAGGATTGGACACAGCTGTTAGTACTTGCGAAGAGCGCACACGATCTTGAGCCATACTGAAATACTCCTAGCTGTCTATAAGAATGGCACACTCTATATCAATGGCGGTCTCGAGACTTTTGTGGATTTTGGTGCAAATGGACAACAAGACTGGAGTACAATTACTTCAGGCATTAGTGGGTTAATGCGTTGGTCCCGGTATGTCTCTGTCTCGCTAACAGTCACCGCTCCCTAGACGAAAACCTGATCTCTGTCGATATGACCGCCTCTTGGGATTGGAAAACGAACGTGTCCATCTCCCAGAATCCTAGAGAGGAAAGTGGTAGCGTTCCGGGCATGAAATGGCCTGTCAATCTTCATGATGGCTCCCTCTTTGGAGGATTGGAATCCTCTACTACTCTATATATGTTTGGGGGGACGACCTCGAGCTTTAACCAGTCTTTCCCTAACTTCGAGGTTCCGCCTACAACTCAATACGGCCTATGGACCTATGACATGGATGCCCAGGTCTGGGCCGCTGTCGACACTTCCGGATCCTTGGAAACAACACCGTCATGGGGAGCGAACGCCGAGGCTCCAGACCAAGGACTTGCTTTCTACGTTGGTGGCCAGATTGATAGTGGAACGGCAAATACCACCCAATTTTTGGGTAACGATACCGTTGGAGTCGGTGGAATGGTGATTCTCGACACGACGAGTAACAGTGTCACTAACGTCACAGTCGACGATGCTGTTAAGAGCAACCGACAAGGTGCCGGGATGGTGTATGTTGACAACTTTGGCGACGCTGGAGTGCTCGTGCTCATTGGTGGAGAAACTCAAGCAGACGGCCTGCTTCCCATGGACGAGATTTGGGTTTTCGATATCAACTCCACGGACCTGAGTGATCATCCTTCTTCTGGTAAAAATATGTGGTATAAGCAGACCGCGACCGGCGATGTTCCCGCATCTGGACGCGTGGATTTCTGTTTGGTTGCAGCACCTGCCCAGGACAACAGCAGCTCAAACATTTATCTCTACGGTGGTACTTCCAATGGTACAATCTTCGACGACGTCTACGTTCTCAGTCTCCCCTCCTTTACCTGGGTCAAGGTATATACGGGGCAGGACGCTCGGTGGAGTGTGACTTGCCATTTTATTCCACCCAGGCAGATGATCACAGTTGGTGGAGGCGGGAGTAAGTATTTCAGGGTGGTCTGGGGATAGCCCTTAGCTAACAAGATTTTGCAGAAAGCAGCAACATCACTTCCGACTGCGATTGGGAAGACAAGAGCTTAGCCGTGCTTGATCTGAGTACTATCGGATGGGGTAGCGTCTTCGATGCTGCGGCACCACATTATGATGTGCCTGATGACGTTGTCCAAGCTATTGGCGGAGGGTGAGTTAAATGCGAATCAAGCAACGAGCACATCGAACTAACGAAGACGCTCAGGCCAGCAGGGAATGCCACTAAGAACCAGCCGACCGGAGGATGGGCCGAGTCGGGGCTCAGCGAGCTCTTCACCATCAAAAAGGCAGCGACAACTACTCCCGCACCCAAAAACAGCACAACCGTGACTCCTCCGCCCACTGCCACTCCCACCGATGCCCAAGGTAAGAAAAGCAGCGGCTTGTCTGGTGGTGCAATCGCAGGCATTGCGATAGCAGCGGTAGCTGGTGTGGCAGTGGTCTGCGGCGCAATCTTCTTCTGGCTTCGTTCTCGTCGACAACACAGACAAAATGCGGGTATGGAGATACCCGAGAAAGATTCTCTCCCGTCGTACAGCACTGTCGCTGCACAAAATACACCAGAGCTTGGTGGCACGCCTCAGGCTGCTGAAATGCCAGCGAAACTTGACCCTGAAGTGTCGAATACCGCAGTTCAGGAGCCTGTGGAAAAGGATGCAGGGACAGTGCAAGGTCCACACCCATCGATGAGACAAAATGGACCGGCGGAAATGGAGTGAAAATCAAGATCTTTGGCGCCCATGGTTTGATGTCTGTGCTTGGATTGATGTGCAAGTTAGCGATGCCCTTCTAATGATATGGTGTGTGTAGGTTGCCTAGGTAGTCACGGGTAGTATATATTGGGTTCTTGAATCGGATTGCGAATGGATTTGCAAATATGGAATATCCAGTCGGCCTTGGATCGGAACCACTTTTTTCCTGCTCGGGCCGCCGAGGCTCCGACTTTTGAGTTTTTCCGCCCGTGGGCGATGCGCCGATGACGCAAAGTGTTACTACTGACGTCGGCTTTTGATCCCCTCCCACCACTCGCCCACACTCCTTTCACACAACTCAGACCCCCCCCCTCTGGGCACCTCAATCGTTGTCCAGTCAAGGCTTTATCCATAGCGTCTCAAGCATTGGCTTCTTTATCAGTACGATGCAGGGATGTTCGGACTCGCGCCGGACGATCACTGCCCCATCTCTGCAAATGGCCCGTCTCGCGTGCTCCTGTCTCCTTGAGGATCGCCGGGCAAGGCTGTCGTGACGTCGAAGTCAGGAAGTATAACTGGTGAGGGGATGCTGGCTATGGCATCATTGTGCACGCATACACGGGACAGCACACTCTGCTTCTGTCGATCACTTCACTATCCGCAACCTTGGTGTTCATATACTATAGTATCTCTTCTTGCCTTTCTTGTACTCTCGAGTCTCCTGCGTAAGTGACTCTGTATTGCTTTGGCCTACGACGACAGCCAGGATGGCCTCTCGATCGCCTACACTTCGTGCCTCATCCGACCCCTTCGGTCCAGACCAAGAGAAAGACCTCCACGGTCTCGAAAATCCACCAGTCCTGGGCGACCGACACCCGGATATCGACCCTTCGACGGAGAAGAGACGTTCTTCTCTTGGCGCTGCATGGCGGCGCCAAAGTGAGTATCAAGAGACAGACCCCTTTGGAGATGACGATGAAGAAGGCGGAGTCAAGTATCGGACTTTGGAGTGGTGGTGAGTACATCAGCCTCGACGCATCTCATGAACGGCCGTATACTGATCCCTACGTGCGACAGGCAATGTGGCATGAGTGAGTTCCTCTTGCCAGCTTTGACGGCCCTAGGATCGATCTGACATTGTGCCTTGTTCCTCAGTTATGATTGCCGAGACGATATCCTTGGGCATTTTGTCTTTGCCATCAGTCCTGGCGACAATCGGTATGGTTCCAGGAGCCATCCTCATCGTTGGACTTGGTGTTATAGCAACGTACTCGGGATATGTCATTGGACAATTCAAGGCAGCGCATCCTTGGGTAGGTAGATTCTTCCATTCTCAGACGACTTTCAGCAGCACATGCTCATGTCGTTTCATCCAGGTCCACAATATGGCAGATGCAGGCTACGTTCTCTTCAAACCAATGGGACCACGCGCAGCTGCTATCGGTCGCGAAGTCCTGGGCGCGGCGCAGACAATCTTCCTCATTTTCAGCATGGCGAGTCACATTCTGACTTGGACCATCTGCTTGAACACACTGACTGACGGCGCCGCCTGCACGATTGTATGGGGCATTGTCGGATTGATTCTCTTCTGGATCTTCGACATCCCCCGAACTCTGCTGAAAGTGTCATGGCTTTCGTGTGCCAGCTTTTTCAGCATTACGACTGCGGTGATCGTCACCATGGCAGGAACAGGAGCCAAGGATACGTCGCATGGCCATTTCCACGCCACCCAGTCGGCGACCTTTGCCACGGCATTTCTCAGCGTCACCAACATTGTGTTCGCATATGCTGGTCATGTAGCTTTCTTCAGTTTCATCTCGGAGATGAAGAATCCGCACGACTTCCCGAAAGCCTTGGTCTTGTTGCAGGTCACCGACACCGGCATGTATTTTCTGGTCGCAATGGTGGTTTATGCCTATGGTGGAGATCAGGTTGATTCACCGGCCTTGGGATCCGCGGGAACACTGGTTGGGAAAGTCGCCTGGGGCCTGGCGATTCCGACAATTATCATCGCCGGCGTTATTTATGGCCACGTCGCTTCCAAGTATGTCTACGTGCGTCTCTTCCGAGGAACGAAGCACATGTCCAAGAAGACTTTCCTTGCCGTGGGCAGCTGGCTCGCCATCACCTTGACAGCGTGGGTGATTGCGTGGATCATTGCCGAATCAATCCCCAACTTCAACGATCTGCTGGCTCTGATCTCGAGTCTGTTCGCTTCCTGGTTCACCTATGGGATCTCCGGGATTTTCTGGCTGTTCAACAACTACGGCCAATATACCAGAAATTGGAGGAAGATGGTTTTGACTGTGGTCAATGTCCTGATGTTCCTCCTAGGTGCCGGTATCTGTGGAATGGGCCTGTATGCCAGCGGTTACGCCATCGCTAATGAGCCAGGCGGGAATAGCTGGACATGCAAGAGCAATTCACAGTGAGCCGAGAAGTGCTGAAATTGAAGGCGAATATGAGAAAGGGCACCTTTGTCAGCGTCTTCGTACCATGTATGATTACGAAAGTGTAACAATATTGATGAAAGCGATCTGGAATTCAATGATTATGAAGTTGGACTTTTGTCCAGAGGTCACTTACAGATTTACCATGTCCCAAGTTTAGGAGGGTTCGATCAGCTTCAAACATCTCTCATAGCAAACATGGTGAAGTGCTGGATGTTTTGCTGCTCAGACATAGCGTAGTGAACTGGCTGACGCAGGACTCTCATCCCAAGTCGAACCTCTGTCCCAGTCTCCCTTAGATGGCCTTTCTACAAAGCACATACCTGTCGCCCAACAACAAAGATACTGACCACAGAGGCTACCTCTTTCACCTACCTCACCACCGTTCCCCCATCCACCAAACGAATCACCGTCTTAGTAGGTGTTCCCGACTGATCAGCACCCTTACAGTGTCATGTGCAAGAGAAACAAGCGATCCTTCGACAGCCTATTTGTTCGCCGGGACTCGGGTTGCCAACAGGCGAAGAGCAAGCGACGCTGGACAAGATGCCGTTGGGCTCTCGCAGACCAGTCGTGGGCGCAGGAGGCTCAAGGCCAAAGCCTCAGGGGGAAAGTGCGCCTAACGGCCCTATGAACAGCACCAACACCCACGCCAACAGGCGCCAACGTGGGAGGAGCACGAGGAGTGGTGAGCAGCGTGGTGAGGGCCGACAAGGTAATCTTCTAAACCCTGGCTCGCCTGGCTCCCATCCCGGCACCCAGCCCGGAATTAATCAGAGTCCCACCAAAACCTGCAAAATTTCTAGACATTTCGACCAGGATATGCCCGAGAGCAAGCACGACGAAAGCCACCCAAGCGACAGTCCTCATCAGCACGACAAATTCTTACGGCCTGCGAATCCTCGTAGTCAATCTCAAGATTTTCTCGCAACCGGCAAACTGAAGTCCCCAAACCGGTCGACGTCGTACACGACACCCCTCCCGCTGTTCACCGAGGAGTCAAAGCCTAAATCAGGCCAGGCGGCTCCCGCTCCGTTGACTGAGCAAAACCTACGGGCCCTCCTACGATCCCTGAACGCTGCAGATTCAAAGAGACAAGAGCCTGGGCGACGGAAGGGTGTGTCTGAAGCAGCAGAAGCACCAGAGGGAGATCCCGAAACAAGCATCAACAACAAACCTAATCCTCCTCCCGCTGCCACTGCCGGTGTCACTCGCACCGCTGTCACCGCGGGCACAACAGGCTCAGGCCGTGCAGCCTTTGCCTCAGCCCCACCCGCAGTCACAGTCGCCCTCCCTTCTACTGGCCCAAATCCAACATCCATGCGGAAGTCAAAATCGCCCAAGAAGCAAGACAAAGACAAGGAAAAGAAGAAGTTTCGACACAACTCCGACCCAGACACCCATCCGCTGAATCTCCCTCCTGACCAACTCCGTCAACATCTGGCTCAAATGGCCAGGCAAGAGGCTGAGTCGGCCGGCAGAATGTCGCTGGATCGAGAATTTCCAGATACCAATAATCATGATTCCTCCATGTCCAACGGCACCGCAGGCTCGTCGCAGCCAGCCACTCCTTCGAAAGAAATGCCCGGCGCCTTCTCCGACCAGGCCAACAGTGATGCCACAAGTAACGGCACCAACGGCCACCACGATGAGCGAAGTCCCACGCCTCCTCCGCACCGAGTTCCTCCTGCACCTAAAGTCGACGCCGAGGCCTGCAAGGCCGCAGGGAATAAATTCTTCAAGGCCAAAGACTATGATCGGGCCATCGCTGAGTACACCAAAGGTATGTTTGCACTCAATCAGTGGTTGAGGCTTCAAGGTCATCCGCGCTGACAAATCCACACAGCGGTCGATGCAGAGCCCTCGAACCCGACGTATCTGTCAAACCGAGCCGCAGCCTACATTTCCGCCAACAAATACAGCCAGGCTCTTGGTGATTCTCTCCAGGCCAGCCGGTTAGATCCCAAAAACGATAAGATTTTACATCGGCTTGCCCGAATCTACACCTCCCTAGGGCGGCCGCAAGATGCCTTGGATACATACGCGAAAATCCCAAATGCGTCAGCCACAGACTCTGCATTGGCTCGAAAAGCCCTGCAGTCGATTGAAATGGCAGAGAAGCAAATCGACGCAGAGGACGGAAATGGTAACATGGCTCTCTGGAGCATTGAACAGGCACGTCAGACGTTAGGATCAGGCACGCCCACGCCGAGGAGATGGCAGCTTCTCAAGGCCAAGGCCAATTTGAAGATCGGGTCCGCAAATGCTCTGGGGGAGGTTCAGGGTATAGCGCAGAATCTGATGCGTGAGAACCCCATGGACGCCGAAGCTATTGTTCTCGCCGGTCGAGCATTTTATCTCAAGGACGACAAGCCGAGGCAAGGGAAGAGTGACTATGAGCGTGCCGAAGACTACTTCCGACAAGCACTAGCACTAGATCCTGACAACTCCGACGCGCGAAACTGGTTGCGAACAATGAAGAAGCTAGACAGGGCCCGAACATCAGCCAACGACATGTTCAAGCGCGGCAAATACTCCGACGCCGTCCCTGCCTACACAGAAGCCCTCACCATCGACCCCACGAACAAGGTTACTAATGCCAAACTTTTAGGAAATCGTGCTCTCGCGCGAATCAAAATCAAGGAATACGATGAAGCCAAAGCCGACTGCGACCAAGCGCTCAAACTTGACCCGAGCTACACCAAGGCTCGCAGAACCCGGGCCAAAGCCACAGGAGAAAGCGGCGACTGGGAACAAGCCGTCAAGGATCTGAAATCATTGTCCGAAGAAAATCCCTCTGACGCCGATCTGGCCAAAGAACTCCGTAACGCAGAACTTGAACTCAAGAAATCCAAGCGAAAGGACTACTACAAGATCCTAGGTGTGGATAAGGACGCGGGCGACAAGGAGATCGAAAGAGCTTATAAGAAGAAAGCCGCCGTGTTACATCCGGACAAGACGCAGGGCGATAAGAAGAAGGAAGAAGAGTTCAAGGACTGCCTTGAGGCCAAGGAGACGTTGCTAGATCCGCAGAAGAGGCAGATTTATGACTCGGGAGCAGATTTGATGGAGCCAGGAATGGGCATGGGTGGATTCCCCGGGGGCATGGGCGGCTTTCCTGGTGGTTTCGGAGGCATGGGTGGATACCCTGGAGGTGGCTTTGGTGGCATGGGTGGTGGCGGTGGAGTGCAGATTGATCCGGAGATGTTGTTCAACATGATGAACGGAATGGGTGGTGGAGGGCCTGGTGGTGGTGGCTTTAGATTCAGTTCCGGTGGGGGACGAGGGGGATATTCACCATTTGGCTGAGACTATCTCCAGCGAAAGCCTTGAGAAGGGGGAGGCCAGTAATCCCCGGCGCTGAAGTGGATGCGACGACGTCGACGACATTCCCGTTCCCTGGCGGTCCGGACAAGAGTTCAAAGAGCGGAAAGACAGATGATGGCCCCGATTTCCGACGGAACCGAAACAGCAAGGACGAGAAGACAGCGGCGCAAGCCAGGCTCAGCTTCAGGTCCAGGCTCCATATCCCGCTCCAGCAAGCAAGTGAACTGAATAACTGGTCCATACCTGAATGCATTGAAGCCTGAGACGGGAAAGGAGACGAGATAAAAACCCCCTTTCAATGAAAGCCTGGCACCATTCGCTACGCAAAGAGGGTGGAAGGAAGCCACCTGAAAGTTACAGCCTTCGCCGATCTTCACTCAGCGAAAGCGAAAAGCGAAACGACTGCATTGCGCGGAGACTTGGGGAGGTACCTCGTATTACACCTGCAGGCACCATGCTCGAACTCGGAACTGGCATTACATAGCTGAGCGTCACGGTTTGTCATTATTGAATAGAGGCCGAGGCCGCGGCCGCGACCACTGCGAGTCCTTCAGGATCTCACATGTTGTCCCTACTTAGAGTTGGTTTTTTTTTTGTCAAAGGTTTGTCCTGTAGTTACGTCCTTCCCTGTCTGTCTGTCCCTGGCTTTTTCACTTCTGGTCCTGTAGCTGGAATGGTGGGTATTCTATGCGGTGAGGGGATAAGGCTTGGTTGGCGATGGGACGAGGTCAAATAAGAAACGCCTTCAGCACCTGAATAGGACATAGGTACCTAGGTAGGTACGTAGTCTCTGTCCATCATATGGTAAAGATGTCCGGTTTGGAGGCACATTACACTTGTGTCCAAAGCCATTCAGAGACCTGGCTCCACATAATAAATACACTGTTTCGCTTCGCTCAACAGGATCAATCGTCATCTTCGTCACTGTCTTCTCGTGCAGTCCTTCTTCCGCCGCCTCGACCTTGCGGATGGTCTCTACCAGACGTGTTGGGTCTGGACCTCTGTCCTCCTCCCCGTCTCGACGATCCCGGCTGTCCACCGTCTTCGTCGCCCTCTCCATCATTATCCTCGGCATCTTGATCGCCATCACCTCTCCGACTGCGCTCCACCACCGCACCGCCCTTTCCAATCTTGACACCGAGACTCCTCGAAAGTTTGGCGTTGAGTTCGTTCTCCTCGGTCTTGACTAGGCGGGCAGCAGTGTCCTCAGGATTGCTATCTTCGTTCGCTTCTTCTTCTTCTTCGTCTTCGTCTTCGTTGCGCCGTCTACGACGCTCGTGAATTTGTCGAGGTTCTCTCGATAGAGGGACTGCTCCAAAACCATAAACAGTCCTCACCAATCCTGCCACACCCTCCACCCCAACCTCAACTTTGCCTCTCGGCCCCGGTGTCCACTCGATGATTTCCTCGCCGCTGGACGTATCCCTTCGCCTCTCGACGTATCCGTCCTTCATCATCCTTTGGAGTAGCTTCTCTTTGTTCCCCAGCGGGGTGTAGGTGTCGGCGTTGACGCGCTTGAGATAGCGTTCTAGCTTTTGGTCCGTGACCGCGTTGTTGTTTAGGTAGATCAGGGAGAGGATAAACGTGTAGAGGGCAGTGTAACTGGATTCAACGTCCACGTTGGGGGCACGTGTGGGTTGCGCAATGAGAGGATTCTGTTTGAACTGCGGCGGGAGGGTGGAGACCAGGATCCACGACTTGGTAGAATTATTGCTCGAGGATGACTTCGTCTGCGTTGCTTGTGTACGGCGATCTTTGAGAGTTGTTTTCTCCTTGGAAGGAAGCTCCATCAACTGCATGCCAAACACATCCTGCAACTCGCGCTGAGCGCCCTCGAAGACATTCTTGAAGGAGACCCGCCCTCCACTGGTATTTGCATCCTTGAATATCTTTTGGGAGATGTCGCTTCGTCGCAGGGGGGTACGGGAATATTCTGTCGCCAGGGCTAGACGGATGAGTTTCTTGATGAGAATGTTCTCTGTGGATCGACCTGCTGCGGAAGGGGAGGCGGGAGCGGAGGAGTCTGAGGAGGAGGCGCCGTCCGACTCTGAGGGGGTAGTTGCTCGCCGTCTTGCAGGCGGTTCAGGTTCAGGCTCTGATTCAGATTGGTCACGAGAGATGGCGTCTGAGCGGCGCTTGAGGCGTTGAGGCATTGCGATTGAGGTGGGCAGGTGGTGAGCACGAGACTGCGGATCTCAGTGAGTCAATGGGCAGCGGAGGCCACAGAACATCTCCCGTCAAGTTTAACGCGTAAAGTGGAAGTTGCAGACGCGTCTAGCACATAGAAAATCGCACTAGTTCTAGAATAGCCTAGCTCAAGGGCAGACAAAGAGACTGACATCATGTGTCCGTGTCTAGCGGCGAGGCGGCTCTTATTACTGCGCTTAGTACTAGGCTTAGGCCTAGCGCTGGCCCTGGCACAACGTTGAACGCTATCAGCAACTCCACGTCTTTGATCTTCCGTTTCCATGGTAGAGGGTGATGGGTACCCAATGGGTACATGTAATAAGAGTCATGCCCAGGCAGACTCAGCATGACAATCCAATGGCATCCTCGGTACCAAGCTTGAAGGATTCTTGGGGCATGAATCCAGCATGGTCCGTCGGGGAATTGAGGGACCAGCAGGCAGCGAGGGCAGCTGGCCTCTCAGCCCCCCCATGGGACTCGTTACAGCCTCACGAACTCCGCCAATAAGGGCTGGACCTAATGGTTGCCTGCCAGATCCCACCAGGAACCACCAAATGACTCAAGCTTGATTCTTTTGACGACTTACGACTCACGAACTGTGCTAGGAACAAGGCAACGATGGTTAAAAGTCTGTCTCGTGCGCTGTGTCGTCTGTCGTCTGTCGTCTCTCGTGCCTAACAGTCTTCACCAGCTCTGTACCTAACCGTCCATCCGTCCCATTCTCTTTAGTGCTTGCACGGCCGTGTCCGCCAGCCTTATGTGTCTCAGCCTGATATAGTCCACCCCTCAACCCCCCCGTCAAAGATTCACTCCCATGGCTTGTTCACTTGTCTGGCGCCTCTTGCGCCATCGACCTTTCACACGAATTCCTCCTGCCGACCCCTCCAACCCGCCTCAGGCGCCTGCCTCACCCCCATCCAACGTTCTTGGCAGTCAACCTGCTCTTGCCAGCCTGAACCTGCAAAATCATACTGACGCCTCTGCCTCGGTTCTCTTTCCTTTCTCAAATGAGATCAACGACAACCTGGTCCTTCTAAACACCATGGCAGGCCAGGGTTCACCACTGATCGCCTTTCGCATGGCTGTCCTTCCAGACCACACCATCTACTCTCCATTCTCCGACTCGGAAGGATATGTTGGCTTCCACGAAGTTCGACGAGGTGTTGGTCCACATGGGCACATTTACTATGACTGGGTCTACGCTTTCTCGACTGCTGCCGCTGCATCCAAGGCCCTTCTGGATCACCCTCACATCTCCATCGGAGGCATTCCATACAACTTTTTCCCCTACGAGGCTGACCTTACTGAACCTCATGACGACCTCGCGGAGCCCGGCCGAAGACGAAATGCCCTGGCACTTACTCCACCTCCACCCTCAGACATCTCCCCGCCACGGAAGCGCCTCAGGAAATCCCCTCCACCTCCCAAAAAGATCGTCTGCAAAATCTGCTTCGGTGATATTGATGGAGCCTATTCCACGCCCTGTCGACGATGCAAAGAAGCTACATGCTACGAGTGCCTGAAGACCCAGTTCAAAACGGCTATGCAATATATCGACAGGATGCCCGTCATGTGCTGCGCCACCGTCATCCATCACGAAGTCGCACGCGGGATCCTTCCAGAGCCCGAAGTCGAAAAGTACAAGCAAAAATACGACGAGTTCAACACAATTGATCCTCTCTACTGCCCTGTGCCGACGTGCTCCGCTTTTATTCCTCCTCGAATGTTCAAGCCAACCGATAAAACCGTCACATGTCACGCTTGCGAGACTGCCATTTGCACAGAGTGCAGGCAGAACGCCAAAGACGAACATGTTTGCGCCACGGATGACTCTCGACAATTCATTTTGCAGACCTTCGAATACAAAACCTGCCCCAAGTGTGGAACGGGTGTCATGAAAATGTTTGGATGCCCTCATATAAGATGCCAGTGTGGTGCCCATTGGTGTTGGAACTGCCAACGGCCAATGAATGCTTGCTACCAAAAACCATGTCAGGCTGCCAGAGGCGACGGTGTGCACTCGGAGGGGGGAGACCAAGAGCCAGATTCTGACGAGGAAGAAGATGGAAACGAGGCTTCTGCATCTGGTCCAGTGCCTCCTGAGGCAGATAGTAGTACGCAAATGCAGGCTCCACAAGACCAGATCCTTGTCAACAGTACTACGAACACGCCCAACGAGACTCAAGAGACAGGACCAAACCAGGCTGCAAACGTTGAGTCGGTAGGGGTTGAGACCATCCAGGACAACGAGAATGAGACGCAGACACACCCCCAAGAGACGGCCGAGCTTACAAGCGATCCAAATGTCGTTGAGGCATCCTCAATCAGGCTGCCTGAGAATCTGGATGACCCGGAAGAAATCGACTGGGAAGGCGTAAGTATGGACTTTGGGGATGAGCCGACTGACGAGGCCTGGGATACGTGGGGATGTCGACACCAGTTCAGTGAGTTTGGAAAGGACCGTATCCCCGAGTTCTGGCTGGTGGATATGAAGCCTGCAGGAGACGGAGGCTTGGAAGTGGAATGTATGGGTTGTTTCAACAAAGTGAAAGTCGCGGACGGTGAGACTAAGAAGACAGGATTCAGGGAGAAATGGTGCCATCAGACCCCGTCCCGTACGACAGAGCCATCAACGAGTGAGGCAGGGGCGGCGGCTGATCGTCGATCGAAAAGATCCGGCAGAAAATCGCACACCTCATTCGAATGTCGCCTTTGTGGGGTTGTTTACTGCGGTGCGTGCAAGAAGGCGGCGCGAAGAAGAATTGCAAGTGAACGTGTGACTCCGGATGAGGATCCCCATTGATGATGCAATCGTTGATTCTCTGTCACGGTTATGAGCGATGATGGTCAGGAATGGCTTTGTTTTCAACTGGTAGCAGCGGCGCCGGCATGGCGAGTGGTGGTATTGAGCTCGTTCACGGTGATATCATGCTCGTTGATGTGTATGGTTAATTCTCCACGGATTCTGGAGCTGCAGGAATTGGAATACGAGATGCCGGCTGAGGCCGTGTTCGGTGGCAGAGAAATTGAGCTGGTTGATGCTGGGCTCTAGGTAGACTGGAGAAGAGGCAGCTACATCAGACTGATGGAAGAAACTAACAGCTGTGAATAATGAACACCAGGTTTAATGGACATGCTCTCTGTTGTACGCATGTCACATTGCTCTGATCTAATACATTTAAAAGTGAACAGACCGGGCGTCCGTTCGTCCACCCATCACCCATCTATAGAACCCAGCACCCGCGCCGGGTCACGATGAAAGAGAAACAGTATACACTGCTACAATCTGTAGATACCCGCTTGGCATAGGACAGCAAAACTCCCGTATCACAACACTACTCCGAAGCATACCCAGCCGCGCCAACCCAGCCGTGCAGTACCAGCCACATAAGGAGAAGCGAAGCAAGGAAAAGGAGCAAACAAAAGACACGTCACAAACGTATTGTCGCGACATTCCCTTCCCTTCAGGAGGCACCGGCTCATTTCGTTGGTCAGTGCTTCTTGACCACCAGGGCCAAGTACCCCAAAACCCTGTACGCAAAGATGATGGCGAACATGATGCCGATCCACTCGCCGATGACGTCCGAGGACCACGAGTACTTGTACGCCTGGAGGACTGCGGTGCCGCGGATCTTGCCTTGTGAGGCCAGGTCGGACGGGTACATGCACTGGAAGCCCTCGGGGGATTTGGCGCAGTCCCAGACCGTGGAGCGGAATTGGTTGGCCATCATGCCTTGGAAGACGTAGGCTTGGTAGTCGATGTAGTGGAAGACATCTGTGTAGACAGACACAAGGGATGGGAGGGGAGAGGTCAGCCACATATATACATACATACACGCACGGTTGAGGATATGGACATAATCATGTCATAGGGAGATGGGGAGAATCAGGATGGACACGAGAGAAATGGGGGGGAAGGGAGTGAGGGGCTGAGTAAGTCAGATGAGACGGAGAGGAACACACAAGACTTACACTTCCAGAACGGATTCAGCTTGCCCAGCGGGACCATGAACCCATCCACGCACATCCACAGGCCATTGGCGAACGCCGTGATGGCGAGCGCAACGACGAAGATCGGGAACAGAGACGACACCAGCACCACCAGTCCTTCCGCGGCCAGGAGATCCAGGAACAGCCACAACACCCACATCCAGAATCCCCCCGCGGTCGGGTTGAAGTGGCCCAGCCAATACGTGACGACGGAGAACATGATTGCGATCAGGAACAGCCAGGGAATGCCGACGAGGGTGTTTGCGATGACAAACGGTAAAGGTCCGTACAGGCCGTTCTGTCTTTCTTTGTTGAAGGTGTGCAGGTCTTCGATGATGGAGGGCACGTAGGCAACGGCCATGAAGGACATAAAGGCGCCGCCGAAGAAGATGGCGTTCGTAAAGGGCTGGATCGAGGCTTGCGAGTACGACAGTCGCAGCCACACGGTGCCCATCATGATGGCCAGTCCAAAGTACATGACCACCCGGGTGCCGTAGGCGATGAAGTCGCGGTACGACTTGATGAAGTTGCGGTGCAGGAGCACCCAGGAGACCGTTACGATGTTCTTGGACGATCTCCGTGCAAGGGGGATTGGCGTGCTGGCGGTGCCTAGCGCATCTGTTCCGCTGGTGGCGGCCTCTAGGGCTTTGTACTCCTCCGAGGACGTCCATGCATCTTGGATGTAGCGAAGGTTGCCCTCGGCGGCGCCCGCGCTGCTGTGGCTGAAGTCGCTGTTGACCAGGTCGAGCAGGAACTCGGCCGGGTTGATGTGCAGCGGCACGGGGCGGTCGATGCGCTCGAAGTAGGCGTGGATGTTGGACACGGGGCCGAAATAGCACGTGCGGCCCTCGGACAGCAGCATCAGCTGGTCGAACAGCTGGAACGTGGTGGTCGACGGCTGATGGATCGAGGCGATGACGATCAGGTTGTGCTGCTTGGCCACCTGCTTGATGTACCTCATGCACTCGAAACTGGCCGCCGAGTCGAGGCCGCTGGTCGGCTCGTCCAGGAACACCACGCGCGGAGACGTGACCAGCTGGCTGGCCACGCTCAGTCGGCGCTTCTGCCCGCCGCTGAGGCCCTTGCGCAGCGGCGTGCCGACAATGGTGTCCGCTTGCCGTTGCAGGCCAAACGACTCGATCAGCTCGTCGACCCGCGCGACTCTCTCCTGCTTGGACAGCTGCCCGTTGACCGACAGCCGGGCCGCGAAGTCGATCGTCTCCCGCAGCGTGAGGATGCCGATCATGGCGTCCTCTTGTTCCACATACGTCGAGACCTGTTGCACCGCCGACGCGTTGGTCACTTGTCCGTTGATCATCATCTTCCCCTGGATCTCGCCCTTCATCGAAGACGTGCGGTGAGCAAGCACGTTCAGCAGCGTGGTTTTGCCGCTGCCGCTGGGGCCCATGAGCGCGAGCACACTTCCTGCCTCGACCGAGCCATGGCTGGACGTCAAGATCCGCAGGGGCTGTTTTGTCTTCCTGTCCTTGACCACGACCGAGACGTCCGACCACGAGAAGGTCGACACTGCGCTGTTGGTCAGGTGGCGGCTCAACTCGAGGCCCTTTTCCAAGTCCTTTGTAATCTCACTCGGTCCGTTCGACGAGTCCAAGGGGAGGGTGAGGTCCTTTGGGGTAGCCATGGCGAATTGGGATGCTTTTGTCCAATATGCTTCAGGGGGGAGGCGTCGATATCAAAAGGATTGTGAAGGAGACCGGAGAAAATAGAGACACAGGAAACAGGACAGAACAGCATTGTGAAGGTCCGAGGCAGAAGGCAGTTTCAACATCATTCTTATACAAATCTCAACAACATCTTGCCGCCGCAGACACCGAAGCGTATACGACGCATCAAAATACCCAAAGCCCGCAACAACGTGCAAAGTCAGCAGAGGCAATTTGAGCTCCCAGAGAACTAACGACCATCCTAAACCTCTATCAGCCCTGCGTAGAGGCCAACGACCTACTCTTCCTCGTATTCTGCACGGCCGTACGTAGACAGGAGACTGTGCTTGGCTCCTCAGAACCAAGCAAAGCACCAGATGCTCGGAAATGATTATCGATTCTCCGCGAGGCTGGCTGCGACGGTCGGGTCGTCCGACCGTCCACTAACCACACAGCTCAAGCCCGACACCCGATCATAGATCTTTCAGGGAAAGCGTACCGGGTACATCGTACTGCGTAGACAACAGTCAAACAGGACAAAGCATCATATCGGGGACTAGCATTGAACATCTCTTTCTGGATAAGAGTACTCGGCTCCACCAAACTCGTGGCAGCCGTCTTTTCGGGGATCTGGACGGAGTCATCCTGCCAAATCGTTTCGGATCCTTATTTCTCAGCCCCAGAACGGCCCCCTGGCTTGTGTGCGGGATTGTCATCCTTAGCATCAGGCCATTCCCTGTAAGATCCGTTTCACATTGGGTGAGGGAGGGTCAGCTTTCGGGAACGTCGGGTTTCACGACTTTTGCCGACGCGGCACGGGTCTGACACAGCACGGAGGGAGCACACCGCGGGCTCTTCTGATCTGCATGTGGTCAAGAATAGAGCGGATAACCGCCGGAGGTGCGATGGGTGGTGTCTGTACAAAGCCAGGTTGCCAAGAGCGATGCAATATACTAGTTTTGACCAAAGGGACTTGGTAATTGAATTGTGGTGCAGGCAGAGACTGAGCCACAAGGAGACTGGAGATAAATTGGAAGTGAGGTGAACGGGGAGAAACTATTTTGGTCAGACAGATTCGGTGCTGTCACCTCCGTGCATTCCTTGTGCGCACGTGACTTGCGGCTAGCCCCCAAACAGGTTTGGCGTGCGGGCTAAAAATTGTCGCCATAGTTTCCGTCTCCAACACGAGGGGTGGCGTGCCCGTCTCCACCAAGTCCCCGAACAACCTCCTCCTCCCACCACCTGGCACCCGCTGGTTCCCTGAGTCAGCCCATCGTGGCCATATCCCAACTCCCACGCTCACAGCACCCAGCACCAGTGCCCCCCCGGGGACCATCAAAGGACGCAAAAGGACGCAGATCTAGGGCTCTCCAAGGCAGGTAGCTGTTGCCTATTGCCATTCAATCCAAGGCACAAATACCGCAGGCGAGCTGGAGGCCGCATAATCAGCACGGTTCCTGTAGCTCATCACCCCCCCCTTTTCTCCTTACGGAACATTAGACCGCCATTCATCGACATTCCCATCTCAGGCGAGACCGAAAATGTCCACCGAGGATGCTACTAATGCCACTCCGGCCCCCAGTAAAGGCCGATCGAAGCACCCAAGCCTTCTCGCGTGCATTCCATGCAGGAAGAGCCATCTCAAATGTGATGGCCAGAAGCCGCTATGCAGCAGGTGCTCCGAGAAAAACGGGGACTGTATCTGGATTAATTCCCGAAGAGGATACCGAGAGTATCGGAAAGGCCAATCAACTCCTGAAGACAAGAGTGACCAGAGGCCGAAGAATGATACCATCTTCCACGAATCCAAGTCTTTTGAAACTCAGGAGGCCTATCATGTCTTTAACGAGGCTGATACTACCAAGCTGAGGGCTATGACCTATGCCGAACTCTTTCAGCCTACCATGGATCCAGCCTTCCCGGCTCTCCCTCTCGAGTTGCAAACCGCACCACCCGTCAAAGAACAGCTGCCAAGTCCCAGCAACAGCGATTCAACAATGTCAATCACCCGAGATATACTACCTGCTCAGGCCGACCGGGCCTTGATAGAGAGCACCGACTTGATCGACCTGTTCTACAGGCATTTCTATCCCTCCCACCCCTTTATCGTGCCGCGCAAGCTCTATGTCCAGAACCCTGCCATCCTGCCTCCATCGCTCAAGGCATGCATGCGATGGCTGGCGAGCCATTACATCCCTCAAGCCAACCACACCGCTTTGGAGAATGCAGCAAAGGCCATCTTCTCGCCCGAAGTACCTGACGATGGCTTCAAGGTCCAAGGCCTCCTCATATACGCCATGACCTGCTTCGCTCGATTTGGGCAAGGAGAAGGATCCATGGCCCTGGACAAGGCCATCGAGATCACACTCCGAATTGGTCTCAACCGGCAGAGCTATGCTTTACAGCAATCACCAAACGATTCGACAATGCAAGAATCATGGCGCAGAACATGGTGGACACTCCTGTTGATTGAGGGCTTGGTCGTGGTCATTGGGGGTCAATCATCCCCATTCCGACTGTACTCGACCTACACGGACGTGGCTTTACCCGGCCACGATGAAGACTACAACGAGCTTCGATCGCCTCCAATCACTCGCACAATTGCAGACCTCCGAAACAGAACCTTTTCAGAAGATACTTTTGAATACTCGTCCTTTGCCTTCTGCATCGAAGCAACGTATATCCTTGGCTCTGTGCTCGCCTTGAGCCCAGATACATTCGCCGTGACAGATCCTCAAGTTGAAGGCATAGATGCCGCAATTTCGAACCTCCTCCTTTCGCTACCCATGGACAAGAAAGAAGTGGTGCGTAACGATGGTACTATTGACGAATGCCTTCTCATCGCCCATCTGGTCATTCATTGGGCTGCTATCTGTCTGCACCGTCCACGATCGACCTTGACCTTCATCCGAAACCACTATCGCACCACATGTACAAAAGCAGAGGCTGCCGGTCTTCCTGCACTGGCTTATACCTCCCATACCGCCAAAGCATTGCGAGCAGCGAACGCCATTACCAATCTGGCGTCCATCCAGACAGATGTCAAGATGACCTCGCCGGTGCTGATGTGCGGCTTGACCACCGCTGCAACAGTACACTTACCGGCATACGCCATCGTGGATACACCAGATCAAGCTATCGCAATCAAGGAACGGCTACAACTCAGCATCTCCGCCCTTGGATCTTTCGGTGAGGTTTGGCCACGGGCCACCATCGCCAAAGGGCAAGTGGCCAAATTTGCTCGCGAGGTCTTGACAAAGCCCAACGTCTACGTCGACAGCACAGTTCCTGGGATGATACCACGTGTATCGGAACCTGTGCCTCAGCTGGAGTACCAGATGCCCTTCAACAATGAGTCCTGGATGGACAATCTGATCCAGGCAGAACAAGAGATAGAAGCCCCGTCGTGTCCGGTCTTTGACACCTTCGCCATGGCTCAGAGCCAGCATCACTGAGCAATTTCGGAGAATGGCGTGTGTATATAGGCTTTTTTCTTCCTCTCTTCTTAGAGCAGAAATGCGCTCCCTGTTTCACAGTGAGCTTGAAGGCCACTGCATCAAAATTCTACAATTCTACAACGGCGAGAGCTATAAACAAGATGCTGGATTTGAACAGGCGGGGAGTTTGTTGGGTATCTAGTTGCTTAACGAATTACGACTACTTCTTCTACTTATTTTCTTTTTTACTATCATCTACGCACCTGGCTGGGCTTTTGAGTGCATCTAAATAGATGACAACTGGAGGTGAGAGCCATCCAGCCCACTGGCCATCCCTTCTCTCTGAGTCCCTCCCGCCCTCGTTGTAGTCGAGGTGTGACAGAAGATAATTGTCATGAAGTGTATTGATTCGTCAACATCCTGGGTACCTAGTAATAATACAGCACTGCGCCAGTGACCGGCTACAGCATGCAATCAATTATTCTCGCTCAGCACAAAAGTGAATCCTGCCCCGTCACTGGTCCCACCTATACACGTGCTGCTAAACGTCCCCGTCGGACAAACTGCCTGTGCCGCCCTCACACATCCTTCCCATCTTCCCTTGCTCACGTTGATCGTGGCGCCCTGTGCTGCATTCACGGCCGTCAAGGTAAACTTTGAAGTCCCCGACGCCCCCACAGTCGTCGACGGGTCGCCTCCGCAGAACTCTATCGTGCCGGCGATGCCGCCGCAGATGGACAGGATGGCGACGTTGGTATCGTGCGTGTTGAGGACCGCCGTGCGGTCTACGCAAGTCGTCCCCGTCACGGCGTTGGGGTTGACAGAGGTGTTGGCTGGATCGCGCGGGCGGATCGGGTAGCTGAAGTCGCCGCCGGTTGTGCTGGACGGCGGCTCAAGATGGTCGTCCCACCATAGAGGAGATGCTGTCGTGTGGACGGTAAAGAGCAGGAATGTAGACGAGAGAATCTGTAGGAGGAGCATTTGCATGGTGGGCTGAACTGAGCGAAGGGGCGCGGATCGGCCTATCGTAGAGAAATTGGAACAGCTTGGGAAAAGATCAATGGGTATGTTAAACTTCGGCTTTTTGCAAGACAGTCGTGAGCACGACCCAGGTACCATGTGTACTCATCACACATATATATTTAATATGCCATCGTAGCCACAAGTCTCCTAAACGTGGTCATCTCGGCTAAGGAGGGTTCAATGATCTCACCCCCTTCGATCCCTCTAATGACTTGCAGACAGCCGGTCGAAACTTGCTCGCATCTCCGTGAGCGAAATACCTTAAAAGGGCTTGGAAAGCAGCAAGGGCTATCTCGTATTCAATATTGTGACGGAAACTCCAGGGTGATGGCTTGGTCGGCGTGAGACAACCGTCATTTGCTGAAGTGTGTCAGGACTTGTGGTGTGGTGTGGCAAATGTCACAGAAGAGTTTGACGAGTTTCTAGCACGAAGCCTCGTGGGCCGAGTTCAGTTTAGTGCCAATTACGGATCAATACCGGACTCAATACGGTGGAGTATAGCTAGGTATGGTCTTTGTATACGGTGAAGTAAATAAGTTGCGCCTGCCCTGATATTCCCTCTCAACAGAATGAGTGCCTTTCACACCCGCAAACTCTCCATTACCTATGTACCCAATTGTGCCTATACTTGACTCGACCTATCGCCCCTGCTCCGTGGCCGAACTCGAAGCTCACGAACACCTTTCCATTGAATAACGTCAACTCACGAACCGCCGGTATCCAGTCACTTGAGCAGCCACCACCACCTCCAACTAGCTGCACAGCTATTGTCTGCCAAAAGGAACCCCACACCCGGAGTGATCAAGACGTCCACACGGCTTTGTAGGCGGATCTGGATACCCTCGGGCGAGGCTGACCAATATCTTGGATGAACTTGGGTTGAGGTGGACATGGTAGTGGCTGCTTCAACAACCGGCTGAGTATACCCTCGACTTGGTGGCCGCGGGTATCAAGGCTTTAGCGTAGGATTGCCAGTCGCGTGTTGAAAGGCTTCTTATGCTTATCCCCGTCCTCTGTCAATGATCTGACGATGGCTCCGCACACAGTGCCCATGGGTTCGTCACAGGTTTGTTTTCCCATAAAAGCCCCAGTGAGAGCTCCGCCAAGAGCTTCGAGGATTCCTCTTTCGCATTCAGTGGTCGAATCTTCATTGTAGGGCCAAGGGATTCTATAATCGGTGTGAGGACACGAACCCTGGATAAGGTATGACCTACAGTCACGCGAATCGTTCGGAACAACGGCCGCAGACGAGACGAGCATTTGCCGAGCCACAGAACTTTCGAGCGCATTTCCAAGCAGGGGTGAGGTGTCTCTCGAAGCAGATGTCCTTTGTGGAGGCTACAGATGACATGTCGTCATGCCTGGAAAGCTTGTAAAGAGGAATAACGGCTGTGTCGTTATGGTACAAGTGACCACTACTTCCGGAGCAAGCATTCGTCCGCGTTGAAAATTTCCGGGCTCATCTGCCCCCAGTGGATCAATGGATCAATCCACTAACGGTGCGCTGTCATGCTTCTTTTGTTCAGCGTAGCATAACATTTACCCCCAAGGGTCGATAACGTTATGGTCTAAGGGCTGGTCGGTGCAAATCCTACGCCGAGGAAGATAAGGCTCGAAGCGCGGAGTGGTATAACGTGCAGCTGAACGGACTGTCGAGTCAGAGAAGGAAGCATTTGCTCGCTCGAAAAAGGGGCGAGCAGTCATGGCGTAAAGAGCGGGATCGGATGTACTTAAAGAGCGAGTCAGTTGCCCCTTCGGTCCTCCAAGGCTCGTCATCAGTCTCATCTCTCAAGGAAGGTACAAGGTAATAAGAGACCAAAAAGCCCACAGCCATGACTCTAAAGCTCTGGACGTCACCGCTCTCCTGGAACTGCCTGCGGGCTGAGCTTGTGTTGGCCGAGAAAGGCATCGAAGACGTCGTCGAGATCCCTGCCGACCTCATCGGAGGGAAACACAAGGCCAGTAATCTGAGCCTACAAATACAAAGGGGCGCGTTGCTGATAGGCGGATCAACAGACTGAAGACTTCCGCGATAAGTCCCTCTTTGGGAGGGTCCCGCTCCTGGAGGATGGCGAGCTCGTGATCTTCGAGTCTCGCGCGATCGCCCGCTATCTGTGCCTGAAGTATGCGGATGTCGGTCCAAAATTGATGCCAGAGGGCACCGATGCTGAAGTGAATGGTGTCTGGGAGATGTGGTTGACCCTCGAGGCGGTCGAGTTCGACAGCCACGTCGTGCCTGTCATTAGCGAGACAATTATTCGACCGTACGCCTCTTCTTCCCCATATCACTCCCCTCCCTTCCACCGATTAGGGCACTACGCATGTGACCAAGTGATTGACATAACAGCAACAGTGCCCTTGGACAGGCCACGGACGAAGCGGTCATCGGAAGACACAAGCCAAAACTGCTCCACTGTCTGGATGTGCTCGACAAGGTCTTGTCAAAGAGGGCCTACATGGGAGATACTGAGTACAGCCTGGTCGATATCTTCTACATGCCATGCATTTTCACCGCCAGCCGATGCCTCGATGTTTTCGAGGGGAGATCCAATCTGAAGAAGTGGTGGGTGACAGTCAGTTCCCGAGAGGCATGGAAGAAGGCTGTCAAGCCGCTTGACGAAGGCTACAGCCAGGTTATCCCGGGATGGAACAAGTGACAATCGGCAAGAGGATATGGCACGGCGGTGACTCGGACGCAGTTACAAACCCCTCCGATGGGTTGCTGTTACTGGCCCTAGCTTGGGAACAGTCCAGGAAAGCCGCCTCACTTATCCATATCGTCTAGAACGTGTCGTGCACGCTGTACGACTACCAGGCATTATGAAGGAGTCTTTTTTGGCGGAGGCGGTTTCGTTGTCGTTCGGAAACTCTCCGTGACCAGGCAGCTATTCGAGCCGATGAGATATTATCCCTTGGGATGAATGAATGTCCTCAGATCTCGGCTCTTCCATGGAATATGTAATACTGTGGAGTCTAGAGCCTCTTTCCGCATCAGGGAATTTCCAAACCTCGCGAGGCTATGACCCCGGCCAGCAGAGGAAAGTAATCAGCCGAGCGAAGGACCAGACGACTTGGCGCTGACTTTAATGAAGTGAACTACCGTCTTTTGCCCGAGTACCTCCATCACCTTGCTTCGTCTGTCCTCACCACCTTCATCAAAGGCGATGCAGATCCAGATTACATGTACAGAGACAGTATTGGCCGGCCAGGGCCCGAGACCACACAAGGACCCGGGTATCCGGACGGATGAGGACTCTCCAAACATATGCCTATGGAGCCAGATACCAGCTATTTATGTCTCAAAAAAAGACAAGTCTCTCCCATATCACTGTCCAACCTTCTCTTCATGCAACACGGTGCCAGCCCTCTTGGCCTCGGCCTCGGCGGTGATCTCGTGCAGTCTGTTCTCCAGGTCGTGGCTGAGGTAGCTCTCCCTGGTGGTGCCGACGACGATCCACGGCGCGTGCTCGAACAGGTAGTTCATCTCCTCGAGCGGGCGGCGCGCCGTCTCGGGCAGGAGCAGCCAGAAGAAGATGGCGTTGGTGAAGTTGCAGATGATGAAGACGTAGTAGAATCGGTACCCGATGTTGGTCATGGCGATGGGTGTGACTTGGCCCTGTGGTAAATGTTAGCTTTTGATTTGGGAGGGGAGATCGGGGAGTTTCTATGTGTTGTGGGAGCAGTTCAAGAAGAAAGGGGGAAACGTACAATCATTGTGTTAAAGGCAAAGCTGGTCATGGTGGCGATGCTCACGCCTTTGCTTCGTCTGGAGGCACATTGACAGTCAGCACCATCATCACAGTGGCATGGGGTAGTTATATAGCTGGATTAAACCCCCGCCATACATCAAGGACCTCTGAGAGCACTCACGTTCTAGTATCAAACACCTCGGCCGGGATGATCCAAGACAATGGACCGCAGGTGGCGCTGAAGGAGAAGTTGTACAGCCAGGTCATGATAATGAACCCCCACTGCGCGCCAGTGTTGGTGGAAACGCCCGGGGGGAACTTTGCGAGCAGAATGGTGGCGATGATGAAGGTAACCATGTTGCCAATGTTGCCGCAGATCAAGGGCCAGCGGCGGCCCGTGTGGTCGATGCAGAGAATGCACAAGAACTGAGCAACCAGGGCAATAATGCTATTGATGCCTTGGTACTTGAGCGTGTTGTCGCCAGAGATGCCTGGACGAGATAGATATGTCAGTCAGTCTAGCATCGTGAAAGAGGGCAGGACCATACCGATCTGGCCATAAATTTCCACCGAAAAGTACTGAATCGCCGAGACCCCAGTCATTTGGATACTGGCCTGTAACGCGCAGCACAGGAAAAGCCTGCGGAAGGCCGATCGGGACCTGAACAACTCGAGATACGACTTGGCTTCGTATTGGTGCTCGTGGGCAATAGACGCCTGGACTTGTTCGTATTCGGCAATGACCCAGGGATCCTTTTCGTCACCGTGGGCATGTAGTTGGGCAAGGATCTTCAGAGCTTGGTCCGGTTGATCGTGGTCCATGAGCCATCTGTCGTTCAAGGCAGTGGTTAGCCAGCAGGAGGAGGACACGGCTAGGGCGAGGGTCATACCTGGGAGATTCTGGGAATAGGAATATCAAAAAGCCAAGAAAGACGGCAGGTATAATTTGCAACCCGAGTGGGACTCGCCACTGGGCGCTGTTGTTTTGGATGTGGACAAACTGTAGATTCCTTGTTAGTTGTGTCATCACGAATGAGTTTTCGACACAAGGCAGATAGATATACCGTAGCCCACGAGATCCACGAAGCCACAAGCGCACCCACGCCAAGCATGAATTGCTGCAGGGCCGTGATGCGCCCTCGAATGCTGGGGTGGGCCAGCTCTGCTTGATACAGAGGAACAATCATGACCAGGAAGCCCACACCCAGCCCGGCGAGGAAGCGGCCCGACCAGAGGTAGCTGATGTTCTGGGCGCCTGTCTGCAACCCGCCACCAAGACAAAAGATCAAGGCTCCGAGGACAATGGTCCATCGACGACCGAGATAGTCGCCGCAAGGCCCTCCCAGGGCTGCACCGAAGAACGCCCCAGTGGTGAACATGGAGACAACCAAACCTGTTTGGGTATCATCGGCCGCAAATTTGGCCTTGAAGGTGCTGCTGGCCACAACTTCCGCGATGACACCTAGGTCGTAGCCGTACAGGTACGACCCAAGCGAGGCGAAGACGCCGACGAGGAATTGATACCATTTTGGAGGCAGAGCCATGATGGGCGACTGGCTGAGAAGCACAGGGGACGACAGAGCGGCCAAGGCGAGGTTGGTAGAGATGGGACAAAGGTAGTGTCTGTAAACCGGCGAGAAGACCCTCCCTCGAAGATAGGAGAGACTTCAAATAGATCGACGGAGTCCGCAGGCAATATATGAACTCATGGATTACCTCTCACGGTCTCAACGCCCATCACTCTTTGCACGATGAAATGACCCCCGGAGCAAGCTCACCGCGTGACGCTTTCGCTTGATTCCGCGGTTTTTCCCAGTCGAGACAACGAGGATCCCCCGCCACCAACCCGCAGACATTTGCGTTCTAGCGAGGCCAGAAAAACATGGGATTGCGGAGATGCATGACAACATTCCACCTCCACAAGAACGGTCGAGTCTCGCATTCGCTGCCAATTCGTACAGATGCCGAAGCTCTCGTCAAAGCTTTGTGCCGGGCTATCTCACCTCTTGGTGGACCCTGTTTTGTGGGAGTCAAAGCTCCGGTGGGAGAAGAGGCGAATCTCCCAGAATGGAAGTTCCCCGGTGGAATCGTTGAGTCCGTCCCTGCCATGCTTTTTCCATTGGCTCCACGGATGTTTTCCTGGATCACCGGCGTCGCATTGCTCGACTGGTGGATAAAATCGAATAGCTCGCGTGGCTATCCTCCTGCCGGATACGAGGGTTTGTCTAAACCGTATTTTTGCAGTGGGCAGCTCAACCGGCGGACTTCTGCCGTCCACTCTGGCCTCTCTCATACAGGCGTTTGTGCCACTAAGATGATGGAGAGAACCAACGAGGAAAGAGCTGGCACAGAGAATTCTCGGTCGGACAATACCTGACCCTACTCTAGCATTTATGTGCTGCTGGCTGCCTGTAGTGCTGGGTAGTAGACGAGCCTGAGATCGTCGACATTGTGGTCTAGAGGTGTGACCCCGGGGTTTCAACGGCTTTGCCCTGCAGAGATCCAACACGACAGCAATAACCCGTGGCCAACATGGCAACGCCATCGATAACGGTCTTCCCTGACCGCAAGGTCTCCAAAATCAACCGGAACATCTATTCAGGCTTCACAGAGCACATGGGCCGCTGCATATACGGCGGAATCTATGATCCAACAAATCCAAACAAGGACCTCGTCGACGCTGAAGGGTTTCGAAAAGACGTGGTTGACGCCCTGAAGCCGCTCGACGTCCCCGTCTTTCGATACCCGGGGGGCAATTTCTGCGCCACTTACCACTGGCAGGACGGGATTGGGCCACGAGACCAGCGTCCCTCCAGACCGGAGCTGGCATGGGACAATGTCGAGACGAACCATTTCGGAACAGACGAGTTCATGGCCTGGTGCAAGGCTGTGAATGCCGAGCCCTATCTCTGTCTCAATTTCGGCACCGGCACGCTCGACGAGGCCATGGCGTGGGTCGAGTACTGCAACGGCACCAAGGATACCTACTACGCGAATCTTCGACGGAAAAACGGCCACCAAGAGCCGTACAAGGTCAAGTATTGGGCGCTGGGTAACGAGATGTGGGGACCCTGGCAGGTCAACCAGATGACGCAGGAAGCGTACGCGGAGCGAGCTCTTCAATGGGCGAAGGCCCTGAAACTTCTCGATCCCAACATCCAGCTCATCCTGTGCGGCAAAGAGGGCCCCACGAGCTGGGACTACCACACCCTGAAACACTGCCTGCAGCCGGCCGGCCTGAGTGACCTGGGAGAGGAGCGTGTCCCTCTGATCGACATGCACAGCATCCACCTATACACCGCGAGCGACGATCACTACGAGAACGTGACGGCGCCGCTTGCCGCGGAGCGCAGCATCGAAGTCTGCACGAGCCTGATCGACCTCGCCTTCGTCGAGAACAAGATTGGCCCGGCCCAGAAGCGGCCGACCATCTGCTTCGACGAGTGGAACGTGTGGCTGCCCACTCGTGCCGTGGGAAGCCAGGGCGCCGAGGAGACGTACACTCTCTCGGACGCGCTGGCCGTGGCGGTGTGGTTGAACGTGCTGGTCCGCAAGTCCAAGGACGTGAGCATGGCATGCATCGCGCAGAGCGTCAATGTGATCAGTCCGCTGATGACCACGGAGAGAGGGACCGTCAAGCAGACGACCTGGTGGCCGTACGAGCTGTTCTGCAGGTTCATGAAGGGCCACCAGATCGCCGTACACCTCGAGTGCGACTCCTATACCGGCCCAACGAAGCCGGACTGGGTGAGGGCGCTCAAACCGACGCCCTGGTTAGATGTCAGTGCTACGCTGGACGATGAGGGCTGGGTGACCCTCTGCGTGGTCAACATTCACGCAGAGCATGATCTGAAGACGGCACTGGGAGGCCTGGATGCACCATCAAATGTCGAGGTCTATATCGTCACAGGAGCAAATCTTCAGGTCACAAACATGTCTGGAAAAGAGGAGGTCGGTTTGCAGAAGTCGGAATGGGATCCAAGGAAGTCCTCGACATTCGTCTTTCCAAAGAGTTCCATCACGATGCTGAGATGGAAACACTCATAGCCGGAGGAACGTCGCCAGTCAGTAATGGGCAATTTCGGTGCCGGGCCAGCATTCTGCCGTGAGTATATAATAGAAGGGCTATAGACCGTGGCTGCAGATTAGACGCGAAGGAGTGATACACAAGTTCAAAGTCCTCGTCCAAGTGCGTTGGAGGAACGCCTCCCTCTTGCTCACGGAAGCATCTCAAAGTTCAACTCGCTTTCCTCAACTCTGCCAGCTTCATCAAAATATCGTGGTATTCTCGACTGACGCCCCAACAGGCCAGTCTTGTTCTCAATAATTTTGCTCCTTCCAACAGTACCTTCTGTGGTGCCTTGCAGATATCGCCCACATTCGTCATGTGCCCAGACATGGTGTGCCCGTTGCGCACAAAGTGTTGCACCATCTCGTCATCACAGGGACGGTCCAAATGGATGAACTCGGGTCGCTCATCTGAGGAGGAAGAGTCTTCGTCGGTATCCGAGTCAGAGCCGGGCGTCGGAGGTGATCTTGAGCTAGCTGTCCTTTCCTCTAGCATGGCTGATACGGATTTCTTATCCGAGGAACGTCGATCGGCAGGCGATTCGTGAGACGCAGAATGCGGCGGAATTGATGGGCCGGCAGCTGTGCCTGGCCGTATGCTGGCCTTTGCGATGAATTTGATCGGATGTTCTTTCCTCTCCATGCGAGACGGCTGGATGGGAGCGCCCGCGTCTGGTCCGCTTGGGCCGCCTTCGGGGTTCTGGCTGGCAGCAGCAGCATCGCGCTCAAAGGCAGTCGACTTATAGGACCCATACGTCCAGAGCACCAAGCTAGCCAGATACACAGCAATCGGCTCGAAGAAACTCATGGCGGAGTACCGGCGAACGTACCAGAAGACGGAGCCAGCATGCACCATGGCAAGACGAGCCTTGTGTTGATCTTCTCGGAGCCATCGCCACGTTATCTTGCGGATCTGGGGCAGCTTAGCGCTGTTGCGCGGTTGGTAGCTGCCATCATGAACGTAGAATGATGCCTTTGGAGAGCTCCCCACTTTACCGATCAAGGAGAACAGCAAGTCCTGTATCTCCTGGAAGGGTGTTAGGAGCACGATACGGGCGAGGTGAAGATGAAGGATGACCCCGTGTTCAAGACCCGAGGCCTTGGCAACAATGCTCGACGCTTGCCAATGAAGCACGTCAAGGCAATCGCAGGCGCTGTTGCGCCAGTTTGCATAGAGTGGGTAGAGCGGGAGCCAGAAGTTGTCCTTTGATGGTGTGTTTAAGAAGCCGCGAGCTTTGCCTGTTGGAACCCATTCGCTTAGCGGCTGTTTGATGTGTGTCCCCACTTCCCACGTTCGTTGATAAAGAGAGTGGATCAGCAAGGTCTGTGACAACTCGCTGTACTCCGGATCGACATGTTTCTTGCTGTAGAGCGTCTCGAGGGCTGCGCAGAGGGAGGGTGTCTCCGCCAATCCTTGGGTTCTCTCCGCCCAGAGCTCTGGAGTTGTGGCGTTCCAAGCGGATTCGGAACAGGGAAGAGGAGTTCTTGCATCGTCCATGTTACAGAGTGGACGTGCATTCGCCATATAGCCGAGGCAACAATCCAGTAACCAAGCCATATAACCCACACGCCGCAACGACTCGACCCTGATCCATTTTGGCCACGATCGCGCGCGATCCTCAGCACTCTCGCCATTTCCTTCGCTATCGAGCAGATCGCCTTTCGCAGATAGCTGTAACACTCCAGATTCCAGACACCACCGTGAGAGATCTGCATGATAGCGTGGCGACAGGGCTCTCAGCTGCTCGCGGTCCGATTGGACCAGGCCGACGAGATTTAAGATGCGAGCTTGGGCCAATGCAATCTCCAGTGCAGCATCTGGTACTCCATCTGCGTAACTGTCAATGGCTCGGCGAAGAAATTCCTGAAACGCTTCTCGAACATCCAGACCGTACGAGCATTTGACAAAGGAACTGCCGATTGTCGCAACAGCAAGAACCACTATCCAATGAGATTGTGGCCCGAACGAAGGTTGGTGTAGGAGAGGGAAATTCTTGTGGAAGTCCTCGAAATAATGATCAATGCAAACATTGAGCACATACAAGGGTGGAAAAGCAGAGCTCTGGAAAGGGGCTGGCGACTTCGTCTCTATGCATAGATTTCGAAAGCCATTCAAAATCAAGTCGTAGCTAGCCCCAGGACAGTATTCGGCGGTGTCATTCGTCAACGTTTGACTCCAGAAGTCTGCCACCTCTGGAAATGCGTAGCCGGTGCTCCGTGTTCTGGGTTGGGTGAAAATATCGGGTAGGAGGGAGTTTTTCCTTTTCTTGCGTTTCAAGTCTGAGCTGGCAGAGCTGCCGTGGACCGATTTGGTCATGTGTATGCCGTCACTCGTTGAAGATGAAGGACTCTGGTCAACAGCCACGAGTGGGGCACGAGACCCTCGAGTCTCGGACGATTTGTGGGTGAAGTCTTCACCGGCCGAATAGGTGTCTCCAGGTGGATTGATTGAGAAGTCCACCATGTAGTCGGCGTCCAAATTGCTGGACAATGTGGGGAGAATAAAAGCGAAATCCTGTTCAAGCTCTGCATCGTATGGGGACGGGTAAATGCTGGGAGGTATCCAATTGAGAGGTTCGTCAAAGGTGTTATATTCGAAAGCCGCCGTAGGCTCAACAAGTCCAGGACTGATCTGCGGGGCGAGGTAGTCATTCCTAAATTGTTCGTGCCGTAGCATTTGGACTGCGCCCGAGTCTATTGCACCAAAGCTCAAGCTCGGTTGCCCGCCTTGACCAACCGAGTGGTCTCCCAGTTCGTAGGTCGACGATGCAGGAGCTTGTGCAGTTTGAGAGGAGCCTGGAAACGCTGTCGAGGTGGACAATGTGTCTACGCTCGGAGGGATATTTACGGACAGCTGATCCCGGCCATCAGCAGCGAAGACTAACTGGTCGAAGTTCCCGAGTATTTGCTGCTTCGTGGCCTCGTCGTCTTTGGTCTTCCCTGGGTCGGTCGACAATGACGTCTTCCGACGTTTGTTTGGATAGACACACTCGAGCTGGCGAAGGTTGCACCTGCCACATGGGAACCCCCCCGAGCACCTGGATCTGGCCGTTGCGCAGGCATGGCAAGCTCGGAATGTCCCAGTAGTGACTCGATGGAGGGGTCCTCGGTCTTGGGTGGAATGATGATTTTTCTCATGCCGAAGCAGAGTGTCGGAGCGGGCGAACGTCTTGCCACACAACTTACATGCTGCAGACCGTTCAGTAGACTTTCCTCCTTGCTTTTCCCTCATATCTGCGACGAGACCATGTTGGGTGAGGATCCGGGGCGTAAATGGTCGTCAAGCAGGAGGAGAAAATTAGAAAGACGTGGTTGAGGTCCAGACCTCGGCGGAGCTGCCGGACTGGGCCAAGCCTGGAGATGAGCAGCATGACCCCCGAGCCCCCCGTATTGTTAGTGACTCTATCCAGCGAGCTAGGTACCTATCTACCTAGGTACCTAGGAAGGGAGTTAGAATCAATTGGCTCAGGTGGATGCCAACTTTAATGTCATGCGGGGGAAGCGACAACCCGGACAAAGTGACGCACGTAATCCTCACGTTACTCCTCTATCTGACTAGGTACACTTCATACAATGTACCTATGCCCAGCATTGCCGCTATCGGTGGATAATATCCATTGGCACAATCATGATACAAGGGCCAGGGAGATTTGCATCGCGGCACGAACCACTGGGGACTCCACATGCAGTCCTGGCTTGCCCGGCTCGGGCCCTGGCAGGGGCTCCGTGGGCGGCCTTACGCCTCGAGAGCCTCAAGCTTGTTTCAGCCCAAGGCTACCGGCGAGCCGCTCGCCGGCTATCCAAGATCTACAGGACGCGAGTTTCTCCGCCCCAGTTTCGCATCTTGATCAATACATTATTAAAAGGACGCTATCGCCCTTCGCCATGGGCGCGTGGTTCTTAATTCTCCTGCATCGTGGAGATGGGGGACCCAAGTCAAGAGCAGAAAACGGTAAATATAACAGAGTCGAGAGTCGACAGTGGGTTTTTATTGAATGCTGGCTCTGACAGCGACAGTGCGCCGTCCCAGAATCCCAAGCACCCTAGGAGTGCTCGACGGCTGTCCTCTCTAAGTGTTCTTGGACAAGGCCTGCTGGATTTCCTCATTGCTATCTCCTGCGCCTATTTCATTGTCTTCGCCGCCCTGGTTTATTCTAGGCGCAATCAGCCTGTCGACCAACAAGGAAACCAGGACCTGCTTGAAGCGGCCAAATATGTGAGTTTGAACGTCGCCACTGTTCCGTTGTTTACCATCCAGGCACTCGTGACCCAGTGGCTGTTGCTAAAGAAGACCAGAGTCCGACCATCTTCCCCATCTTATTCTCCGCGGTCGTTGCCAAATTTCTCAGGGCTATCGCAGCAATCAAGCTCGAGAGTGGCACCTCCGTGCTCGCGCTCGAATACCTCTTGCAGAGCCGTAGCGTCTTCAGCGCCTTCATGGCCCCAATTGCCTTGAAGACAATCAACGTCCTCACGCCGTTTCTTTGCCTCCTCTGGGCACTCTCTCCCCTGGGGGGTCAAGCCGGACTACGTGTCATATCCACTCAAGAATCCTTTACCAATGCGACACAGAACTTTACATATCTCGCCTTTGTGTCCGAATTTAGCAACGAAGGAGTCAATTCGGCCTCGGCGGAACCGCTGATCCCAATCAATGCAATCTTCACTGCTGCTCTCATCGGCTCGGCCAAATCAAAGGATCTGGCGCAAGACCAATTCGGCAACGTCAAAATACCCATCTATGAGAGTCTCACCGCGCAGGATGGCTCAGATTGGCGGATCGTGCCAGATTCTGGTGACGTCGAATGGAGTTCTCTCACTGGACTGCCCATCCACAATCTCCCATCAGTAGGAGTCTCACGTTTCACGATGAACACTGGCTATATGGTCACAAGCTGCAATGTATCAGGCCACGACTGGACCCCAGAAGACCGACAGAGCCTTGAGCAATTTAGAGGCTGGAGTGGTGCGAATTACGCTCTCAGTCCCAACAGGTTCGACCAATACGCAATAACTAACTTTACGTTCCGATCTCTTGACCTCTACGGTGATTCTGGTCCTTCGGTAGAAGGGGAGATCCTCACCGTCGCAGACTGCTCGGTTGGCATGAGTTACATCGAAGTCCAAATCGAATGCAACGGTCAGACCTGTCAAAGCGTTGCTGCACGACCTTCGAAAAATCCCGCCTCGCATCAGCGCGACTACAGCTACACCACCCTCAATGTAACCGAATGGACACCGATCAATGGTCTCGGTCAAGAAGATATCATGTACGATGCATTTTTTCCTGATTTCACCAACGCGACCAACCCGACAGTGGGTTGCGATACCTCGTTCTGCCCCCCTAGCGCCATAGAAGCATACTTGGCGGACCCGGCAAATGTCCTGTTGCAGACTGCGACTACCAAGCTTTGGAAGCTCGGCGACGACGTTTTCTCTAAGCGGTTCACGCAGCTCATCAACACCTATTGGATTGACAGCATTGCTCCCTCTGCGATATCAGGGAACTTCACAGTGGGAGGAAGCGACTCTCAGCTGTACAACACGGATAGCACGCTGGGCACAATCACCACCAGCCAGATTGTCGTCAAGTGCGACTTCACGTGGCTCGCGATCATGCTTGTCTGTTCGCTTGTGCTGTTCATCATCGGCTTGGCAACGGTAGTGCTGACGGCGTACCGGCGTGGGCCGGACGTGTTGGACAAATTCAGCTCGCTGTTGAGGGACAATCCGTATGCGAATATCCCGCATACATCGTCGATGGAAGACGCGTCGACCCAATCGAGACGGTTAGGAGATCTGACGGTTCGGCTCGGCGATGTTCGTCCCGAGGACGATCTCGGATATGTTGCGATAGGGGTCCTTGATGGTCACCAGGTGGTGCAGAAGCTGAGTACGAGGAGGAATTATGCTTGACCAGCGGCTGCGGAGTCTGCAAATTACACACGATCCAGCGTCAAAGCTAGACCAATTCATTGCTTCCTTCCAGACTCAGCTCGAAGATCTAGAGGTCGCTGGCTTCTGTGACATGAGCTGTATTGAGCTGAGATCGATTTGATATGCGGCTTGATACGTGCTTGCGATAGTACTATACCATATATGTACGGACTATGTACCTTGGATCCTAGCACCCAACAGACCCTGGCCGAAAGCTGCATCAATACGAGGGAGCAAATCCAAATTTGAGCGTCTGTTCGGGAAGCTTGGTTCCTTACTCGCATGGCTACTATGTACTACTTACTGATCCCGATGAGGTCATGTCAAAGCATCAACAATTCCATTCCTCGCTTTGTCGATCACAGCTCTTCGTCCGAAGACAGACTTTCTTCAACCAAGAGTACTTTTTCCCACCGCGCCATACCAGGCCAACCCCAGCAGCCCTCCCAAGACAATCGCCGGAGCCGCGGGGATGTTGAACCAGGCCGACTCGGAATATGTCAGGACGGCAACCACGACCCACCAAGGCTCCTTAGCCAGACTCTGCCCCTGCGTCGTTTGAGGTGTCAAGTAGCCGATTTCCCACAGGCGATAGACAGCGGTAAACACCAGTCCGACGGCTGTGGCATTGACCCCTCGAAGGAGGCTGCCCACTACTGGCTTTGTGCGGAGAACTCGCCAAATGCCCTGGACTCCCACGGCCAGCGCGATGCCCGGCAGGAAGATGCCGACGTACCCCATCAAGGCACCGAGGATTGTGGGTTGAGACGTGCCCAGCAGCGCCAGCGCACCGAGGTAGACGCCAAAGTTGAAATTTGGACCGGGTATCGCCTGGATGATTGCCAGGCCGATGAGGAAGTCTCTCGACGACACCCAGCCGGGCTGCACCACGTATTCTCGGAGCAGGGGGATCACGACGGGACCCCCGCCGAAAATGATTGTCCCGGCGAGATACATGTTTGCGAACAGGTCCAGCGGGCGGGGAGTAGATTTGAGCAGACCCCGCGTGACAATGATTGCGATAAATGATGCTAGGGATACAGTCAGAAAAGAGGGCCGCCTGGCAAGATGACAGAAGAGAGAAGTGGCGTACCAAAGAAGACAGCGATTATTATGAGTCCCATGGGCACCGAGATCCCATGTGAGCGCATATCCGTAGAAGGAGCTGCTGCATGAGCAGTGGCAGGCGCAGATGTCGAGGCTTCGCCAAGCTTTGGTGATGCTGCGTTCGCCGACTGCGCAACTGACGCTCCAGCTCTTCTTTGTACCGCATTCGAACTCTCACTCTGCACAGCCGTCAACTCAATGCTTTGGCTGCTCTCATTGCCTGTTTCCTCCACTGCAGGTTCTGGTCGCGATCTCCGCTCCCTCAATCTCCTTCTCCAGCGAGCCAGGGCTTGTCGGAGTCGAGTATCCCAGATGGCCGTCGCGATGCCTCCACCAAGAATGAGAAGGGGAAAGTACCACAAGGCATTGTAGCAGAGGCCGGCGCATGCGCCGAAAATGACAAGAATCCTCGACAACCTGTCCTTGATGGCTTTATCTGCGAGCTGTTCGCGACCAGGTCAGCCTAGTTCCCGTTGCTGCTTCACGCCTTCAAAGTGAAGAAATCTCGCACCTGTACAGCAGCAAGGGCGACGATACCGACGATTGAGGAATTCAATCCCGATAGAAATGCGTAAGCTGCACCCGGGAGGACAGTGTTGATGTGTTGCACTCCAAGCGACAAGCCGTACATTGCGATCGCCCCGGGAAGACTACACAGAAAATCAATTGACACCCATGCCTTTGGCACTCCACATCCTCATATCAAACCCACCTCCAAGTCAGGAAGACCAAAACTGCCGGTATGAAACCAGCATGAATTAGCGCCATACAAAACAGCATTTTGGTGCTGCCTGGCCCCGGAAGGGCCTGGCAAATGGCGAACAGCTCCTGATACTGTGATTGCAATAAGTGAACTGGGCGACCCATGGATGAATCACATCTCTCACCGTTTGCTCATCGATCCATGGGACCAAACCTCCACGCCCTTCTACAAACCGCCTATGCAAAATCTGAAAATGCACAGGAGGGCCTCCAAAGGCCGTGAATCCAAGGTCGTACGTCCGCCAAAAGACGTCGGCAAACCTCCAAAGGAGCTTCTGATTGTTGGCCTGCAGGGCATTTTGGCGATCTCGAGTGTATTCGTGAATTGCTTTGATATTTTCAAAAAGCGGCATTTTGGACCTCGTGCGGCTTGTGGTTCCCGGGAGAAGCTTTCTCAGCTCAATTGAAGGACCGATGAGAACAAAGATAAACAACCAGATGATGGAGTTCGGAAGCTTTCAAATTTCTCCAGCTTTGTCGAATCAGATACTAGCGGTGAGTCGACGAGTGCATGTGGCATATGGTTGGACGCTTCCCCATAATCGTCATTTAAAGACGATATCCACTTCGAACAACTACATAATTTAAACGATATTTCTTAGGGACTGGAGTTTATTAAAGGTTTCACTACGTAGACGAGCTTGACCACACACGCCGCACAATATTTACAGTATATAGATACATACATAGTACTTTAACGTGTCATATTTTACCTTAGAAACATAATCAACAACACTTAGCACCTTGCAATATATATAGTATATTCATCACGTGATCAGTCACGTGGATGTCACGTGTATATCAGGAGGGATCGTAATCAGAAGCTACATAGTACAAATTATGTAACTACATAGCACTATATATAAATTTGAGGCCTCTTTCGCTATTTTAGTGATCGTATAGATGGAAACGAATAAGGTGATTACTATCAAAAGTTGAATACCATATGATAGAGCCTTAATAGTACGTGTTGAGTTTATAATTGCGATTTATAGACTCCCTGATTATTGAATATAGGACTAAAACGTCCTAATGAGGTTTAGCTGGCTTTTCATGATAGTCACGTGACTCACTCTACCACTACTAGCATGTGACACTTGGCTTCCCCTTCTGGTAAAGATTAATACATTGTGGAAAGGACGATTGACGACTGGCAGGATTATACCTACACGCGCTTTATAATGCCATGTGGTGAGGTCTAGTACTATGTACTCAGTACATACTTAGTAGTGCTACTCGTAGCCAAAGGGCAAGTTGTAGCTTCTCGTACAAGTTGCCCTTTCCAGCTGGTGATGACGATGTACCGTGCAGGCGCTGTCGTCCTCAGACTCGTGTCCAATCAACCTCGGCTTTGGTCCACCAGCTTTGGCTTTCCCCTACCAAAGGCCTCAGACCTTCCCCCTCTTTTCTCTCTCTGTCACTTGAATTTCTCGCCTGCTTTCAATTACTATCATTGGCTACCATGAATTCGCGCGAGTCTCTTCCCGAGCGAGTACGGCCCTCCCCCGAGTTTCTCAGAATTCATGTCGTTTCATTCGCTGAGCTGACAACGTGCGTCGACGCTAGATGATCTGGTGCCTGAGACATCGACATTCTCTCGCTCCTCTCATTTGCTCATTCTGGTGGCGTGCAGCAACACGAGCTGAAGCCAGGAGACCAAGCAATCCAAACACCTTCCAGGACGGGTTTCTACCTAGAGCCTAAGCCTTTCCCCTCAACTGTCACTCCCAATAGGGCAGCTCCAGCAGCTTTGGCAGCTCTGGGACGGGACATGCTACCCGACTAGCGGCCAGATGATAGCAACAGCTATAAAACTTGGAACAAGCTCCTCCGTTGTCGCAAGCTTCTTTCTCTTGACCTCCTCTTGATACTGTCAGAATCTGTCGCACATCTGAGCACTCGCTACTCAAGATACTACTGCTAGTACCATCCCACACTCGCTCGTTGAATGCGAATAGCGTTTCCCAAAATAATATAGACGACGATACAGCTTGTTCAGATCCAACTCAATCATTGAACCATCGCCATACCACCCTGCTCCTAGCTTCACAGTCCCCGAACTTCGGCCAAAATGCGCTTTCTTTCCCTCGCTGCTGTCGGGCTCTCGTCCCTCCTCCATCTCGCAGCGTCGCAAGATCTCTCCAGTCTTCCCACTTGCGCGGTATGTGATACGTCATACCACACTTAACGTCCATACATACATAGTATTTGCACCGGCAGGCAGAACTGACATCAGAACCTCTAGGTGAGCTGTGCCCTCACCGCTATCTCCAGCACTGGCTGTCAAGCCACCAATGCTACCTGCGTCTGCGAGGCGAGCAGTTTCTTGACTGGAGTGTACTCATGCATTCAAGGCGCTTGCAATGCTACTGACATAGCTGGTAAGCTCGAGAGTCTTTGTTGGAACTGTCAGAGTCGGACATGAAGCTGATCTTCTGACTCCATTCCAGCAACTCTACAATTTGCCGAATCATACTGCGGCTCGGCAGGCATCAGCATTACTCTGCCCACGGCCTCTGCAACTGCTGGGCCGACTTTCACTCCAAGCTCAAGCAGCGCCCCCGCGTCGGCTCCGGCTACCTTGACCAGCAGCTATGCCCCCGCGAGCGCTACTCCTGCTGCAACCTACACTGGCGCTGCGCAGATGCTGAAGCAGCAGTGGTCAAATGTTGCTGGTGTCGCTGGTATCGTTGGACTGGGTGTTGCCGCCTTGCTTTGAAGGGCGAGCCAAGAGACCGACTCGACTTGGATAATTGACAGGACAGAGGGAGTGCTGAGGGGGCTATTGCAATGGATAGTACTGGTCAGTATCGGTGGCATGAGGGGTCGGAAGATGCAAGTGTTGATGAGATAATGATACAACCCGCGAAATGGGCAGTACGGTAGTGCTCCGTAAATCAGTGGATGATCCCCTTGGGCAATCTGTTTAATGCACGTAGGACTCCGTAATCCCAATAATTTCTATTACACCCTCCAAAGTACATACTATGTACTATCAAGCAGAATTTGACCACCGATTACATGGATAGTAATGCCCTTGCTTGGGTGGGGTGTGGGGTCAGTCTGGGATGCGAGATAAATACTATGTAGGGAACAATGTTTGCCTGTCCATCCACCACCATGAAGTAACACTCATCTTTCTTCCAGCATCATTCATCGAGGAGGGACAAATGAACAATACAAATCAATTTGCTCATCGACTTTGCTCAGCTATCCCAAGAGCTCCATCGTAGGTACTACAGATGGGCAGATCAGCTTTATATCTAACCCCCAATGGGTGGGTGCTCGGGGACTGGATCGAATGGGGCTCGAGGATCAAATCCTGGTTCGATACGTGAGAAAACCAACAGATCGAGCCTTTGATTGTGGTTCAGACCTGGTGTCAGACCCGTCTTAGAGCAGTACCTCTGCCCGGAACCCTATCCGACCCTCTATCGATCCTACTATTCAGATACCTACGAGGTACATCATCCTCGATCTCTTATCGATCCCACCAGAGGAGAGCACGGAAGTGGCTTACCCTTCTGAACCCTGCGCATTATGCAGGATCTCTGGACGTGTGACTTTCGTCCACCCGGCTATGGTGAACGCGCATACCTATACCTTGTAGAGGAGGGACTGTAAACGAGAAAAAGAAACAGAGTAAATACATAGGACTACTATGTATGCAGTAGTGTTAAATGATGATCGATGACTTTTGACGTTCGTCGAGTCCGGGGCCAGTGGGCGCGCTTCGGCGGTCTCCGCGCCCGCAAAATTCATTTGACTTGGCCGCGATTGGATCCGATTTCGCGTTCTTTTTACTCTTATCGAGTGGACGACAAGTTTGAATACGGACGCCTGCTTGGCACCCAGAGGACAAATGGGATATAAAAGTGCGTGCCAGCGGAGGAGACTGCGATCTGGACGTGAGAGGGAAACATTATATCTTCCTCCTTGAGCACCTAGAGAATTCCTCCTTGCAGATTCGATTGTCTCCCAAAACGGCCCGTCGTCACATACTTCTTTAGTGGAGTATATCTCAACAGCCAGCATAATCCGAACCCACCAAGAGAAACACAAAAAAAGAATGCCACGAGCCCAAGACCTAGCCACAGCACTGCTGTCCACAACAGAAAAGGCCATCATCCCGCTGACGGCCAAGCAAGTGTCGCAGGGGTCGAAGCTGTTCGGGGCGGCGGTGCTGGAGCGGGCGACACTCGCGCCCGTTGTGTGCGCGACCAACAACGAGCGCGAGTCGCCGCTGCTGCACGGCGAGATCAACTGCATCCAAGAATTCTTCCGGCTGCCGCGCGAGGGGCGGCCCGAGACCAAGGATTGCGTCTTCTTCGCCACCCATGAGCCCTGCTCGCTGTGCCTGAGTGGCATCACCTGGTCCGGCTTCAACGAGTTTTACTACATGTTCACCTACGAGGACAGTCGGGATCTTTTTGCTATTCCGTGTAAGCTCTAACTACCAGAGAACTCCCCTCCCTCCGCCGTGGATAGAGAGGGAGAGAGAGAAAAGACTGACAACTCAACTTGATCAGACGACATCGACATCCTGAAATCCGTCTACCAGGTCCCCTCGCCAGGTGACACAGAAGAGACGCTGGCGGCCAAACCCCTGTACAACCGCCAGAACAAGTTCTTCACGGCCCAGTCGCTGGCGGACTTGATCGACTCGGTTGACGACGAGGCGGCCAGGACGAAGCTGAAGAGCGACCTGGAGCGGGTCAAGAAGCTGTACGACCAGCTCAGCGCGACTTATCAGGAGGGAAAGAAGAGCGGAGCGACGACGAGCAGCTTCTTCCAATAATGAAAGCCGACAGCTTGACGACGATTCTACAAAAAAAGAATTTTGAGCTTAGGACGACTGCCGACGCTCGATAGTCCTTTCATTTCTTTCATATAAAGGGGCTGCCAGCCTACCCAGCCTCAATCTGTACGGAATATACTATGTATTTAGTATAGTACCTTCCACAACCAGTGACTACAAACTTCCGCTAATATCGTATGTACATCCCCCAAATCCTGGAGGCGTACCCTTGCCCTCTGCCGCGTCCTCCGCTGATGGACTCCAGACTCAATCCCTGCGAGCGCCCAGGCAGGTTCGAGTCCAAAGCATCCTCTCGCATTGTGTGTTCAGCCCCCTTCTCAGCATCGGCGACCCCAGACCAGGTCGGAGGAGGCTGCAAGGACCGTCAATTCGTGGCACTCGCGCCAGGACGAGGAAATATAACACATTCAAAGTTGTGGCCGCTAGGACTGAGGACGAACGCCGCATAGTAACTTGGGCCATATTCAGCCCGGACGCCTGGTGCGCCGTTGTCCGTCCCGCCAGCCTTGAGCGCCGCGGCGTGGAAGGCATCGACCTGTGCGCGATCTAGACAACGCGGTTCCCGTCAGCCTATCGGTAAGAGCTTGAACGCAGTAGTAGGATCACCACTACTTAGTACATAGTGCCAATCGCCTTGAGTTCATCGTACCTTTGGCCTCCAGAGCCACGTGGTTCTTCAAGATCTTGGTATCGTCTGAAATCGGCTGACGGTTCTCGACACCGGTGATCCACAACCAGGGCGACAACTCGCCCATGCCCACAACGCCTGGCACGGGGCGCAAGAACTCCTTCAAGCCCATGTGCCCAAAGGCGGCGGCGAGGAAGGCGACCTCGTTGTCGACTTTGCTGTATGGGACCGGGAAGGACATGTGGTGAATCGACATCTTGATAAGCTGCACTAGTGCGTTGGTGGCTGGAGAAGAGAGCAGTTGATTGATTTGCGTCTGAGACAGATGGGAAAGACGAGGGAGGAGAGGAAAATCGGTCAGTCTTCAACTGTTTTGACTGCGAGGTACAGTGCAGGTCTTCGAGAGTAAGTACTAATACCCTTTTCTCCAGGTGCCATGCTTTCTAGTAGTATCAACATGGTAGTAGCACTCCTTCACCGCGCATTGGACACAGGAACCGGCGCATCATTTCACGTGCGATCGTGTCGCTTTCGCGCATTCCGTCGCGAGCTTCCCAGCCCGGGTCCAGTCGGCTCCCTTGGCCGTGCGCGCCACGCATGCCGCGCCAGGCAACAGTCGACTTAGGGGCTTGGCGATTGGACAAACTTGGCTTGCTGCCTGGGGGTGCCTATCTTCGTCGAGCGATTTGTACGTAGGGAATCCTCGACAGAAGTCTGACCACCGAATAGGAGGAACGACTTGCGAATTAGATCTCTTAACCTACATAGTACATATGTATGTACCATCCGGGTAGGCGCGCTGGTGCTCGTAGAAGCCACGCACCGGACCAGGAGCAGTATATGTATAGTATAGGCAAACAAATCACAAGAAGAGTCTTCATACTAAATCCAACCGTGCCTTCCGTCTGATGACGACTCTACGGCAAATCCTACACTTCCCAGAAACACGAAGTCTTTCACACAGGACGATAGGAAGGAGCGCTTTTCACGTGATCTAGGGTGGCTCCTACCTAATTAGGCGAATTGGATGTCGTGTTTTCCGGGCAGGCACGTTCTAAATCTCTATCATCATACTAGTACATAGTAATACTGCATACTATAAATTATAAATATCACCAAAAGGGGGAAGTACATAGTACATAAGTCTAGTTCAAGTTTCTATAGTCTTTTCTACTGAGATACTGTAGTTGAGTCGATTTGAGAGGGTTTATTATGTAGATTTACTATATGTAGTAGTATGTAAGTTCTAAGTTCAAGTTTGCTTACATAGTTTGGTTGATTTACTAGATTTTGAAGATCTAACTCGATATGACAACTTGAAGTTTACTTTGTTTTGAGAGATGCGAACCGGTTTGACAGATTTGAAGCGAGCTGAAGTCATTGAAAATCGATTCTAAGCCCTCTACTCGGCGTGAAATTCGACAGATAGCGTAGCACTGACATCGACAAGCTGCGGCTCGAAGTCAATTCCCGCACCGACCTCAAACGTCGCAGAGCTACTAGCCATGCGAGCAGTCTGCTTGACCCGTCTCGCAGGCCATGATTCCTCCAAGTCCTCAATCTTGATACAAGTGACTTTGTCCCTGCCGATGATAGCTCCATAGGCCCGTGCGCGGGACATGGCATGCCGCAGCGCCTTGCGCCTAGCCTCCTCGTCGAGCTCCGTTTTCTTTTCGTCGGCCAATTGCCAATCAATACCACGCAGCTCGACGTACGGCATACTCGACAGGCGGACGACCATCTGTCCCAGACGGCCAAAGTCGCGGAAGTGGATGGCGATGTTGGAGCTGGCGCTGTAGAGCTTTTTCTCGAGGCGGACGCCGTCATCGTCGTATTCGTCCGTCGCGGAGATGGAGAGCGAGGCGATCGAGTAGAAGTCCACAGGTGCGTTGGGTGATATCTCGCCGTTTTCCAGTCGCGGACATAACTCGTCTAGTTCGCTTTGGATGTCGGTCACGGTCGACACCACGTGGCTTGAGACTTGATCCTTGTCTGAACCCGTGTCGGAGGCGGCTAGATTGAGCACTGCTCGCTGAGCAGTCGTGGTGATGGTGGCGCGGCCTTGGATGTGGATTAGTGTCGGAGGGGTTGCCATGACGTCGGGCTACACCGAAATGCAATCAAGGTCTAGGTAGGTAGATTGATGGGCTGGATGATGGGTGCGAAATCAGATTTGTCTGGGAGAGCTGAGCATTTTTATAGCTACAGTCGAGTCTGTTGCCTGATATCGCAAGGCTAGAGCTGAAAGAGCTCGTCCAACCCAATCCCGTGCATTTGGCGACTCGACTAACGATTTTGGGTATGGCTCGATATACTCCCGCTTATTGTGAGGGTCGAGAGCCTGCCATATACTCACGGGCGATGTTCCTTTTGGACATCCACCTGTCTCTGGTGATCCAATACGGTGTTGGCAACCCTGTCTGACTCAAATCTTTCGCCTCTCCACGAACCAGGGACGCAAGTGCTGCAGAACAGCCGAGGATCCGCGGCATGCCGTGGCCAGTGAATCCTGCGTTGACAAAGAGGCCGGGTTTTCCGGGTACCTCCCCGACCCAGGGCATGAGATCTGAAGAGTAGCCCATGATGCCTGTCCAGATGTCCGTGATCTTCGCTTGTGAGTCTTCCCAGCCATGAAACATTCGCTGCATGTAGCCAGTGAAGTATTCCTCAGCACCAGGTATCAATTGTGAATCATCAATGTTGTTGCGCCAGTAGGAGTCGTTCAAAAGGACGACTTGTTTTGCACCCCCAACGACTATGCTTCCATCTGTCCTGCTGATCAGATAGTCGTACTCCTGAGGCCCATACCTGATGCTGTAGGTATTGTTCAAGTGAGGGGCCATCTTTCCATGCTCCGGCACAGCAATTCTGCATGCCACTCCTCTGGCTGGGGTGATGTTGTCGCTAAATTCAGGCAAGAGCTCCGACAAATATGCATTTGTGGCCAGGATAACTTTCCTGGCTCTGATTTCTCCGCGAGGAGTTGTCAGAACCCACCGGCCATCGCTGCCAGGGGATTTGGAGATCGCCGTGACGGGAGTGTTTGCTTGAATGTTTGCTCCCCACTCCAGGCAACGGCGGAGAAGATGAGAGACCAGTTTATAGGGCCAAATCGATCCAGCTGTAAACGTAAAGGCTGCCAGCGCCCCTTTCACTCCCGAAATCTGTTCAGCTTTCTTGGGATCACCTATGAAGTGCAGGTCATCTGGGAAACGATATCCTCTGGCTTTCATGTCCAGATACGCCGCGATCGTGGGTTCGGCAACTCGAGGATCCACAAACACGTCGATGGCTCTTGTGAGTTCAAAATCGCAATCAATCTGCTCCTTCTCGACCAATTTCTTGACGTCCATGACCTGCTGCGTCTCAAACATCCTCACGGCCTCCGCAACTTGCGGCCCATACGTCCTTTCATAGAGGGCTGCATTGAAATAGACATCGGGCTTGAGGTGCCCACCATTGCGCCCCGTAGCACCGGAGCACACGTCTCGGGCCTCGAGTATCACGACCGAAGGTCTCTCGCTGTCGTCCTTTTCGAGGATGTAATAGGCACATGCGGCTCCGACGTAACCTGAGCCAATAACCACGACGTCTGCCTCTTCGGGGAGATCCTCGGTTGTGCGATGTTTCGACAGATTGGAATCATATGAGAGCCAATACGGTGGCATAGGATTCGGCTTTGGTAGCGGCATATTGGTGTGACTTCCAATCAGATTTGTGACCGAACCTGTTAGGATTGTGCGAGTTCAAGCTTCGTTGTCGATATTGTCAGGACGCTTCTTGGCTTTCTGATGTTGAAGCAACCCACCTCGCCATGACGCACGGCGGAAATGTCCGCATCGAAGGGCGCGATAAGGTCGAGAGGTTTGTGGCATGGCAAATTCGACGCCCCTTGTACCACCATGAAAGTGTGGCAGATGGGTCTCACCTTGGGAATGTGGGTGAACTTGAGAGTGAGATGCAGAAGTGATGAGGCGGTCGCAGAAATCAATGGCAACGACGAGCGTCACGTGTCTGCCCAATGGGGCTGGGGACCTTTGTTAGACTGTCATGACTGTATGCAAAGTCACCTAACCGTAGACACCCAGCTGGATCAGGGAGATTGGACCTACAATAGTTATATATATACATAACTGGCTTAGCAACTCCTCGCTGCGCATCCGGCACCAAGAAACTCCAAGTTTAACGAATCTAGCCAGCCTCCATCAGACGGGTTCTTGTGTGCTTTCCCAGTCCGACGGTTGGCGAACTTTCGCGTCAAGATGGAAAATGGTCGCAAAGCTCAATGTTCTCCCCCGTACCACCAGATGCTGGTCACGAATGCTGGCTACTTGCGTCTCCCTTGTCCTTCCTCCGATTCATCAGACTCGAACTCCTCCCGCGATTCTCGTGTCCCAGCGTCATTGCTCTGAACCTATTGTTGGGACTGGACGGAGTGTCGATTGACACTCCACTTCCTTCGGATTTCCCTATCCGGGCTGTCAGCGCCGTGTTCTCTCTCTGCAGTTCCCCGATCTGGCGGGTAAGCAATTCTTGCTCCTTTTTCAGCAGCTCCAGCTCGGCCCTTGCCTCGTCCCGTTCTCTAGTCAAACGTGACTTTTCGTCCTTGTCAACCTGCTTGCGTTTCTTCTCCTCCAGTTTCTTCGCCTCCCTCTTCCTTTTCTCTTCCAATTTGGCGACTTCTTTGTGATACCTCTCTTCATGCTTCTTGAGCTCACGCTGGTGTTTCTCTTCGGCCTTCTTCAGAGCGTGTTGTTCTTTTTCCGTGTCTTTACTGGTTTGGCTCGTAAGCTTTTCACGTTGCTTTGCAAATTTGGCATCGACCGCAGCCCTGCGATCCGAGAGTTTGGCCATTTCTTTGTCATGCTGCTGCAGTAGCTGACTTTCCGTCTGCTCTGAGAGGGACTTGGAAGAAATTGAAGGGGATTCCTCGGACGTCAGGTGCGAATCGGCAGAGGCAAATGAAGTGGTTGAAATGGTGGACGCGTCATCATTGTCGCCATCCGGATTATCCCCTTGCTGTATGTCTTCCTTGGTTATCTCGTGCTGGCCATCGACCTCGTGATTCCCAATTTGAGGTAGATGGTCGCGAACTGTCTGCGGAGTATACGAGCTGATGGCCTCCGTCACAGTATTCAACAAACTGGAAGAGGAAGCTGGCGTATCTGGCGCAGATTCAACTGTATCAGGCTCGGACTTTTGTACATGAGCAGCGGACGCCTTGGGTGTTCCAGGTGGAGACTCCCCAATGGCTTGAAGACTCTCTTCGTGCTCCCTAATCCCGGCAAGCGTGCCGTTGGCTTCCCAGCTGGCAAAGCTTTCACGCCGCCGGCCGAATGGCCGATGTTCGGGCTTGTCAGTGTCCTCCTCCTCGTCTTCTCTCTGACATGCCCAGTCCAGGAACTTCAGAGCGTCTGCACAGATGCTTGCGGGAGTTCCCCTCTCCACCATAAACCGCGGGACGCTGCCCCCTGGATCGCTTCGAGTAACCATGATCCATTCAACCGGGTTCTCTTCTGGATCGAAGGGTTCAGCAGGATCATGGGTTTTGATGGGGCTCGCAGGTGCATCGACTGTAACGCTTCTTTTCCTGCGTCCTGGGGACATCTCCCTGAGTCCCGAGCCGTGGCTATCGACTCTCAAGTGCCTCTGATCGTCCTGGTGGTGCGGGTCAGCATCCGTCGCGTGCTTCTCTGCGTTGTGTCTTAAGACATCTCTCTCAAGCGACGGCGAAGGTGCTGGATGGTGGCTCAAATGACCCAAATCTGTCGACGACATGGTGGATTTGAGCTTTCTGGGAACCTCGCGAATGAACTCTACCGATTCATACTGGCCACGAATGAAGCCATTCTGAGGCTGCGTCTCGGGGTGATCACATGGTTTAGAAATGATCATGTAATGCCGTGGGACCAGATCAGGCATTTTATGAGAGTCCCCATGGTGCTTAATTGCCTTGGATGATGTGACCAGAAGAGTGACAAAATCACGCGGAGTGGTCGGACCTGGGAATTGTGCACTGAGGCGATATACTTCGATCTTTCCACGATTTGGCACCGTGATTTCCTCGACCCTGGTTTCTGCGCCTATCCCTCTGATGTTTCCTTCACCAGGTTTACCTTGAACAGCGAGCGAAGTAGGAAACTCCCGTTGAAAGCCGTGCTTAAAGCGATTGAAGCCCAGCCCCTCATGCACACTCCTTCGAGCAAACCACGAGCCTTTTCCGTCCTTGCTGGACAGCTTGTAGACAGCTATACCCAATGGGTTTTCTTTCGCCGCGAGCTTTACCGGCTTCCCCCACTCATGTTGTAGAGCTGCATATTCTGGGGCTGGAGGAGGGCTCCGCGCAGACGACATGAACATTTCAGAGGCATTGTTGGCAGTGATTGAGCCCGTGGTATGTGAGCGATGTCGGTGCGTGGGATCAGGGTCTGGAATGGGTATGGACTCGACTATCGTCTGGACTTGGGAGAAGAGGTCGGACAAGAAGGGCTCTAGCTCTTCATGCTTCTGCGGGATGTCCGAGAACTTGCATGGGGCAAGGGCCTTGAGGGACTCGTGGAGGTTGACCATCGTGGAGAATATCTCCCGAGGTGATTGTGCGATCAAAGAGCCCTGCCTGCCGGTGAGCAGAGAGCAGTATAGTCGAGGGAGTGGTTATGCGGTGGACATTGCGGGTAGATGAGGGGCAATTTCAAGATGCCGTCACTGAGACTGCGGTTTGAGAGCGGCAGGACACGAGAGCCAGTCCTTACCGGAGAGGACGGCGAGCTTGAGGACACAGCATCTGATTCGACCTTTCAGAAGTTAATTCTGCATAGGTACAGGTTAGGACAGCAGTTTGAAGTAAATGGGACGTCGCTGATATGAGAAGAAGTTGATGATGACTGAGCAGCGTGCGGTTGATTGATGCCCGGTTCTTGGTAGTGCCGTCCGCCTCACCAGCCTTTATGGGTAAAAGTCACGATGACGGGTGGGCGCACTTTTGAGAAGGGACGAGGGGATTACTTGGCCAGTCTTAGTGGGGGACAAGCGATCGGCATTCAACTGGGCTGGGCCCGGGAGGGTCGGTCTTTGGTATCGTCATAGGCGCTTTTAGGCGAGGTCGGGGCGTTGCTCCTTGGCTTATTAGCCCCGTGGACTACCTGGTAGCTAGGCGTCGGCGTGTACCTACTAGGCAGGCGTGGCTCAATCAATGTGGCTGTCGGCTACACTTCCCTCGTCGCAGTATTTGATCGCATCTCTCTCGCCCCTCGCTCATCTGTCCCATACGTAGAAGATCTCGACGCAGTGACAAAGAGGCTGACAAGCCGAGATCTCTTCCGAGTTGCCGCCAAATCCTCGAGACCGTGGTAAAAGCGGTGTCCAAGAGGTAATAAAAAGAGCAAAAGACTAGAAATAAGTGAGCAGAGAGCAAGTACAAGGTGAAGAGGCAGAGAAGATATTCATATTTTTAGATTATCTTTATGTATTGAGGTATATACCTCAAAGCTCCAGCATCCGATTCCCGTCCATCCAGTGGAGCAAGCTTCCTCGACACCAGGTCGGGGATATAGGAGATGACCCTATAAACCACACTCCATCATATCCAAAGCACCAAAGACTGTCTCGTGGTCCCCCATTCAGGTCACAGACCCGTAATGGGAAGTTCGCACACGCCACAGACGTGCCATCGAAACGCGACCCCAATCAGGTCCCTGGAGCCTCCAAACAGATATCGCGCAGTAAGGCAGCAGTCGTCACATACCAGATGCGACACCTCACCACCCTGCCGCTGTCCCCCTACCTTCAGTACCAACCAGTGCACTATCAGGTGTAGTAGGAACGGGTGCTCAATTTGTGCAGCGCAGAGGACTCGCCTCTATCGTTGTAACGCCTTGAGTGTCACCACGGCATTGCCCAAAGAGATCCCAGCATGTATCCCAAACCTTGCATACCTGCCGCGAGGCATTCCGATCTTGCGAAAATGTGGGACTGTATCCAACCCAGGGATATCTCTGTATTCCATCCAGCCAGACCTGCCGCTGATGTATAGTCCAAAAGCCCACAAACTAATACTCGACATAGGAGATTAGTGGAAACAAAAACACAACGCTTGCTGAAAGATCAACCCTGTCCCAATATTATTCCATGTCCCGTGTCCCGTATAGACCGTGTCAAAATGCAGAGTGGTATCCTTGTGTCGCTAAAGTTCGATCAAAATAACTCCTTGCTCAAACGTTCAAGATCTGTGTTCCCGTGCAGGCTCGCGCCGCTCCTTTTCAGCCGACTGTTGATGGTCCTAGGAAGACAGCTGGTTGATGTCCATCAACCTTGAAGAATATTGTGCAGACGAAATGGAAGGAAAGGGTTCTGATTCCGAGATCGTTCACATAGCAGTGGCAAATGGCATCGTGTATTCTTGGTACCGATCCCAACCAAACGTGCTCAGACCTGCAGACGTACTGCAGGGCTGCGGAGTGAGCATGCTCGGTAGAGGCAGGGGTGCGAATGACGATGTTGTGGTTGGAGCGCTGTAGGCAGGTGCGCTGTAGTATTGAGACGTGTTGTATGCCGCTGTAGAGTAAGGTTGACTGAATGAGGGCGTCGGCGATGGAAGTTGGATCTCGTGCACACCCACGTTCGACCAAATATTGTGGTGCGAGTCGCAAGATGAGACGGGGCTCGGGCTTGACGGGACAATCTTCCATGCCTCGACGGGAGCAGGCTGAATGGCTTGCAGATGTTGTGACGGCCACCATTGTTCCGTGCCGGTCGAGCTGGGGAGCAGAGGAGTAGGACGGATGACATCGACGATCCTGGGGGGTGGAGGTAGAAGGGGGACAAAGAGACCCATGATGGCGGTGCGCACTTCGTCGCTCCGGCCACAGAGCAGCTCGCCAGCACCATCCTCCTCCATACCTTCCAGGGCAAGGGCGCTCGTCCGGTAGACGAACTTGTTGGCCGCCTGCACGAACTCCTCCTGCAATTTCTTGAGCTGTTGTTCTTTCTCCGACCACTCCCAGGTATTGGCATTGGTGTCGACAGAGAAGACTTCCTTGTGATACTCGACCAGCGAATCAATGGTGTCTGTTGTCAGCTTGAAGGCGACCTCGTTCTGCGAGACCATGTCGACATGCACGACGTAAGCCTCGATGTGGATGAGTTGGTAGTTGAACAGGGCTTCCACCAGAGGATTCGAATCTTTCCTCAACTCCGACTCGGGTGCCTTGGGCACCATTAATGAGCACAGTGACCAGATGGCATTGGGCGATGACAGAGTCTCGGTCAGACATCTGGTATGTTGAGGCACACTGTTGAGAGGTCGCTTGATCTTGTTGATCCGCTTGAGGGTGGCCGTCAACCAGGGTTCGACCTTTGTGTTGAGCACCACATTGCAGGTTGATCGCGGCGCAAAAGCGGCCGCCGATGCGGGTAATAATATTGTCGGCATTATGAGTTACTTTGACTTTTTGTTTATGACGGTTCTCTCTCCTGCTATGGGGAGACGTAGGGATTCTTTTGATCTTCTCACAGAGACATTCGACACTGACGGGAAGGGAAGGGCTGACCAGGCAGAAGCGACGAGATAAATATAAGAGAATACCGAAAGAGGGTTCAGGGTAAATTGGATGAATGATTGCGTTGATCGAAGTGTATCTCTGGGCGGTCCCAACGAGGGAAGTAGTGTGCGCGCCTTGCAGAGAGGGTTCGGAGATGAAGTGGTAGGGGAAAGGTGGTGGTGGTGGTGGTGGAGGGAAAGAATGGTAGAGGGAAGAGGGCGGGAAGGGCGGGGATGACGAAAAGGGCAAAGAGATAGAAGGAGGAGAGAGCCGTACCTTATATCCAGCGAGGGAGAAGAGTCACAGACGGGACTGATAGGCTGAACAAAGCAAAGCTAAAGATGGGGGACCTGGCCGGTCGGGCGCAGCAAGCGTTATGCAGTTGGATGGAGACATGGGTAAAAAGAAAAATTGTGGATACGGGCCCTGCACAGTCTCCCCCATCAGCAACACGAGAGGATGGGAACCACTATGGCTGGGCCTGAGGGTTTGCGGGATGCGAGGGATGCGAGGCGTAGAAGGGGAGATGGGATGCGCCATGGGTGTGTTTCCGAATGGAGCGAGCGAGGAAGCGAACGAACAAATCAAGCAATCTACTACTACTATCATCATACCATCTGCATCTGTAGGGGCAGTAGCAAGCAGCAGCAGCAGCAGCCGTAGTAGAGGGAAGGAGACTAAGGGCAGGAGGAGGCGAGATGGGCAAAAGAGGCGAATTCGGCAAAGGGCGAACGAAAGAACGTAGACGGCAAAGGCGACGATGAGGCGCAGCCCGGGCATGCGAGAAAGAGGCAAGTCAGAAGTCACTCACTCAATTCACTCTCCTCACTTTCCTCACTTTCCTCACTCTCGGCTCACTCTTCGCTCACTTCCACTCCCACTCTCTCGCTCAACCACACAGACACACTCTCTCTATTCTCTTCCGCTACCAGGCGAGCCCGACAATCAAGGTTTTCCCCGTTTTAGTCGCCATTGCCATTCGCATCCAGCTGCCCCCAGCCCACTTTTTCCACTTTTCCCTTTGCGATTCTCTTTTCGCCTCTTTTCCATCAATCCAGAACCCACAACCCACAACCCACAATCCACCGTAACTCACGAATACAACTGCTGGCCACACTGCGGGCTGCATTGCACGGCGTCCCGGTTACGGACGGGGCCCCCTCCCTTCCCTCTGATCCCGAGCCTGCACCTACGAGAACAGGACTCCGGCACACCTGAACCTGAACCTGGATCTGAACCTGACCTGACCTGCAACTTGCATCTACGCTACTGCACGTCTACCGACTCGTCCCTGCTGAGGGTCGACGGTGCAAAGCTGTGTCTGAGCCCTGCCACTGGCCATTCGTCATCACCCAAAAGTCTCGCGTATGTTCCAGCTCAGGCCTTTCCCTCGCCATCTCCCCTTCCCGAGCCCCCAGTGCCCTCCCTCCCGATGTAGGTGGAATATCATGACACAAAAGACAGGATTGAATTAGCTGCATATGCAAGATCAGACGCTCCTCTTGCCCAGCTTCACCCATCCTCGCCATGTAACTGGTGGCCTGCTTACCACGGCCATCTTTCTTGAAATCAACCATGCTCACTTAAGCGCACCAGCATTGATTGCCAATATCAAGTTTGATCAAGACTTCGTCAAACCTGCACACGTGTGCGGAAATTGATCCTGGCCACCAGCCTCGCCCTACGCCCCCGAATGTCTTCCAACTTCCGCCCATATCCAGCTTCCTGGTCCTGGCCCTGGCAATGGCGCCTGGATCAGCAAGCCGCAAACGGCCAATATCCCCAATCTACTGGCAAACAACCCTCGGAAATCTGCTCTTGACACGGCTCACCCCGAGAGCAAGCGTCCTTCGAGATGATTTCCCCCTTCTAGAAGACTACTTGAATTTGAATGTTCCGAAGCCACCTACGGTGCCTGTAGATTACCATTGTATCCGGCCCATAGCCCTGGCGTCTGGACCCCCTCGTAAACGCATGGCACTTTTTGCTTTGCTTCAGCGACATGATCATCAGCTACGGCCACCCAAGGGGCCTTCAATCTCAAGGGATGTTCAATCACGGTTCAGGTATGGCAGGGAACGGGACTCCTGAGCTCCCTGGGGACAAACATTCACGTAGCAGGTTGGTGCGTCGTCGGAGGCTGGGAAAGGAGTGCGCTCTACATCAATCGCCGTTGGACACTCGTAGACACAAGCACAAAACTTCAAAAGCTTTACGTATGCTGGGGGCGGTTGTCTCAAGACCTCAGGAGTCTCTAGTCGCCCATGGATGCGATTTGCAGACCCGAGTTGGTGGTACGGTGGCCCTGGTTTCAGCAGCATACAAACCAGCCTCTGGATGCTCGAGGATTTCGGTCTCCAAGAAAATCGAGAATCCGGGCGCAGGCCAGATGGCTCATCCAGCGGACAAAGTTCACAAACCATGCTGGCTGGGCTTGGGCGCTTTGATGACTGGCGGAAGGCAAAAGAACGCACAACCAGTCATTGACATTGACTTTCAGGTTCTTGCAAATCCGCCCGAGTTAGCTGGCGGAGGGCAGCTGAGGTGATCCTCGTCGGAAGGCACTTCTGCAAAAGCATTGGCTGCTGATCATGAGCGATGGTGTCGCACTTTATCTCAACATCCCTGCTATGCCTTCCTATTGGTCACACAGATTCTTGACCTCGTTCTGGCCCTAGCATCATGTGACAGCCTTTGGTGCCGTGCCCACCTGCTCCAACGGTGGGCAACTGGCTCATGGGGCTGGAGAAACAAGGTACAAGTCTGTCGCAGCAGCCGCCGACATTGTTTCCAGATCGACAAAGCTGCATGTTTCAGCCCGCGTATCCCAAACAGTGACGACAGTGCTGTTCTACGGAGAGAGAGAATAAAGTTTGGAGAGGCAAGATGCTGATGAGATCGACCGCCCGGGGAAAGCGAGGTTGGAAACAGGGCGGTCCGGTGGCCGATCAAGGTCTTGTGGCTGTGCACGTGCATGATTCATACATACCTAAGGTAGGTACCTAGGTAGGTATGCAATGATGGAAACATGGCCCTGCACAGCCTCGTCGCCTCATGCTTCATCGGTTTGTCCGATCACGTGGACGCAGTGAGTCTTCTCGGGTGACTTGCCTTCCCGTGGCTCAAAAGTACCTGCCGAGCCTGCGTACTCGGCACCCACTCGGTCCTTGGCCCGTGTCGGGCGCTCCAGGTCCTAGAGGAAGGCTTCGCCATCTTTGGTGCTGTCGATCACGAAAGATCTTTCTTCCCTTTCTGACGTCTTTCGTGAAGCGCAAACCAAGAACAAAAGGTTGGGCACCAAGCATGGAAGGATGACGATACACAGCGCAAGACGCGGAACCATCGCAATGTCTATTTTGGGGATCCTGCCACTGCCAATGTGTCCGGGCATGCCTGTTGTGCACATCAACTGTTTCCTTGGCAGCCACTTCTGGATTTTCGCTCCGTGTGCTTGCCTCAACCCGATTGCTTTGCTGCCGGGTGAGGTCTCCTTCGAGACTGCGATATGTCAGATTTGGTTACTGGAGGTCCTCGTGCTTGGCACCGTGGTTTCGATGTCTCATCTCACTTGACTCCATTGTGCTGCCAGCTGCATTGTCAGCTGAGGTGGCTCACTCATCTCCGCAGTCCTGATAAGATCCTCCATTACGTCTACGAGAGCGTCAGCGGGTAAGGGATAATCATTTGTCCCGTGATGCAGACGAGAGCTGCACGCAAAGGCCTGTGTAAACGGTATGGCGACGAACATGTCATGGTCGTTCACACCGAAAAGGGCATGTGAGCTACAGAAAAAGGTGCTGATTGCCACGAGTGGACAACATATCCGGCCGCTACGGTTGCTGGAGTTCCCTCCAGTCCGCCTTTCCGGTCGCACAAGACAGTCTCTGCAGAATACCGCGTACACTTGAAGACCACCATCGGCGACAAGCACCCTCTGGGAGCTTGCGCGCCTCAAGGATGATGAGCCCAAGGTGTCACAATTATACTTCTTCTACCAACAATGCTACGGCTGACCAAGGATCTACTCGGATGTCCCTTCGACTGTGAGTTCATTCGACCCAGAAGTAGTCTGTGCAACAGGTTATGAGGGCATGGGGACGCAGGCTCATTACTTTCGCGGGAAATAGCTGATAACCTACGAGTGAAGAATGGAAGTGGCTGCTTTTGTGACGAACTCGTCATGCTTTGGTGAACTTGGGCATTTCTAAGACAAGAAGCCTTTGGTCGTTACTTTTACTGTCGAAACCGCAGAATTACCAAGTGTCCGCTTTCCAACAGGCATCCGTTGGGCCAGAAAACGAGGGCATTGGAAGGAAAGATAAGTGTGCAGTAGGGGCGAGCCGAAGGGCGTCCTTGGTGCAAACGATACTACCTCTCACTGGATTCTTCCTCAGTACTGTATTTGTTGAGCCTCCGATCACTGAGAGAGCAACGGCAGAAGATGGTACCAGATGAAATTTGAGCCGCGACAGTAACGCGGACTGTGAGCCATAAGCACGAATCTTGAGTCACCGTGGATTTGCTTTGATCAACCGAGACAAGGCTGAGGCAGCTCTTGTCAAAGACTCCTTCCCCTTTCCCCTTTCTCCAAGACAGCCTTGCCGGCCACGCACTTTGGAAACTCTCGGTACGGGCAAAAGGGACAAAGGGTAAAAGGGGTTCAAGGCTGGAGGCTCGAGGCTCGAGGCTGTGAGCCAAGCAACCCGGATATTTTTAGATCCGTAGGGCCGGCTGATCTGGCCTTTTGTCGACCCTGTTCGGGGAATTTTCCTCCCGCACGTGTAGCTTTCTGTCCAATCAAATCCGGATGTCGGTGTTTGCCTGGCCGGACCCCGACATGTGCTGAGTCGTAGGCCTGAGCTTTACCTTTTTCACCAACAAAAAAATATTGAACAACTTGTTCAAGATTCAACCTTTCTCCCTCTCACCGAGTTTTCGTCATATTTGAGCTTCCTTTGGACCGTTGTCGTTCACCTTGTTTGTAGTACTTCTCTTCTTGCAGCGCCCGGGGTTCGGATATTTCTTTCACCAACTTGCGGACTCCTTTCAACTCAGGGGCGACCACCGCTATCCCCCTGAAGTGCTATTCTTTTACAGCTTCTTTTTCGCTCTCAAGGAAACGTTTATTTTAATCAGTCTCTCGACTGTATCCGTTCATTGTCCTGTGCTCCCCATCATCCAAATCAACCAGGATCAATATGTCAGCATACATCCGTCCTTCTCTGAAGGCCGTCGGTGTTGCAGCGGCAGGCGCCACCGCGGGCTATACAGCATGTCATTACTGGAACACGACCTTCTTCCAATTTAACACAGTTCACGCCGAATCCCCTCCGTCAGATGCCAAGGCAGCACTGAAGAAGATGAACTGGAAGGGCTTCACAGAGCTCAAGCTCGAAAAGGCTGAAATGGTCAATCACAATGTCAAAAAACTGACTTTTGCTCTACCTGACGATTCCTCAATCACCGGCATTCCCCCAGTCAGTACGTATGAGCTGCTAGTTGCCTGAAAAACCGAGACTCTCTGACTCTTCTTCAGCGTCTCTCTTGACCAGACATACGCCTGAAGGCGCCTGGATTCCGGTCTTCAGGCCATACACACCTGTCAGCGCGAACGGTAAGTTTCTTGACCTGTTTTGGGCTGCATGGGCTAGGGGTTGATTTAACAATGTGCCAGACCAAGCCGGATATGTGACATTCATGATCAAGAAGTATCCGAACGGCAAGGGGTCCGGCAAAATGCACTCTTTGAAACCTGGTGACTCAATGTTGTTCAAGCCACTCCACGAATTCGACTACAAGCCAAACCAGTACTCCGCCATGACCTTCATTGCCGGCGGATCGGGTATCACACCGATCTATCAGCTCACCCAGGCCATCCTTAACAACCCCGAGGACAAGACCAAGATTGCCTTGGTTTATGCGAACAACACCGAGGAGGATATTTTGCTAAAACACGAATTCGACCAGTTGGCGCAGCAATTCCCCGACCGTTTCACCAGGACCTACACCATCAGCAAGGCCACACCCCAAAACGAAGGTCTCTACCACCAGGGCTACGTTGACAAGACCATGCTGACCCAGGTGATGCCCCACAAGATGAATGAACGGAATGTCAAGGTTCTCGTTAGTGGACCCCCTGCCATGATTGAGGCTGTGGCAGGCGCCAAAGGCGGCTTCGGATGGACACAGGGCAGTCTTGGTGGGATCCTCGGAGAGCTAGGATATACCAAGGAAGAAGTGCACAAGTTTTAGAGCTTTGGCACACTGCTGTGATGAGGGTGTTCTTCATTCCATGTCTATATTAGTGGAACTGGCGTAAACTTTGAATTTCTTACGCTGGGCGCTTTTTGGGTCGCTAGACATAGAACAGATAGACAGGTACCAGGGAGCGAGGCGGGCAGCAAGCGGCTACTCTTGTCGGCTCGGAGACTCGTGACAAACATTTTGATAATTCCCAGCACCATTGATGGTGATAGTCGTCGCAGAAATATAGACTTCGACACTACCTATGTATCGCCTGTCTTGATACTCTGTCTCGATGCGTGGAAGACGAAAGTGTGGGAAAGCCAACAGGCGGTCGAGGTCGCTGTAACCCCATAGGATGATGGCGGATCCTCTTCGGCCAACGTGCCCAGTTCTGACGGCCTGGAAGATACCTAGATACCTAGGTACCTAGGTAGATGATCATGGACCACCACTAGGGTATTGAACAACAGCCCGCATGCGACCGGCTCGAGGCTAAACGATTCATTCATGGAAGCGACCCAAATAGGGCAATGATATTGGATAATGACTATCCAAATTCTCGGAGCTTGTTCGTCCGCCGTCCGCCTGCGCCGGTAGCGTTCGGCTGGTGGTTGCATCATCCTACTGCGTACCTCGACCTCAACCCCCTCGCTCCGCCGCTGTTCCACACGCTTCTCACAAGCTTATCCCGTCCCATGTTCCCATCTCATCGCCTACGCAATACTTGCGTCCGTGTGCGAACCAGCGAACCAAACCCAAGAGCGTTGCGGCTGGAAATGGAAGGAACCCACTAAGAGCGTATTGGGACGCGTTTGCTTTGTTCGAGGTCCTCTCTCATGTGAAAAGAAGGTGACGTCCCGTGCCCTTCCTTGACTATGCAGGCCTTTGGTGAGTTTCTTTCTGTTTCTTTCTTTTTGATCGATTAATGGTGATGGTGATGATGGTGCAAACTCCTCCTCCATGCTGTGAGGAACATGCTGCGGAAGCAAGCGCTGATCAATTTGACCTTCTCAGTCCCCAAGAATCGTAAGGTATGTCCTGCGCCGCGATTTCCTTCATCGTGCTTCCTTGCGCAATCCACTACCCCCCCTCATGTTTCTCTCCGAACGCTTCGCTGATGGAGATGATTAATCGTTCCAGCCGAAATTCGATCTCACCCTGCGCATCATCGACTTGACCAATATCCCCTTGATCTACGGAACCGCCTGTGTGAGGTGGCACCTCTCCTCTTCCAACGCCGCGGAGCACCGCGGGCGCACTGAGAAAGCCCCGATCGAAGAACACAAGGCGACATGGGACTACTGCAAGGAAATACCGGTGCGTCTGACCATCGACAAGACGGGCATGCTCCAGGAGTGCGACATCCACTTTGAAGTCCTCCAGGAGTTCCATGAAGGCGGAAGAGGTGGTCGTGTACATCTGGGCAATGTGAAACTCAACCTGGCTGAATACACTCAACTGCCCGACGCATCACCGGCAGACCGTGACCCTCAAGATGAAGCCGACGACGGAAGTATCACGAGAAGATACCTCCTGCAAGACAGCAAAGTCAACAGCACGCTGAAGATTGGGATTAGAATGAGACAGACCGAGGGTGACACAAATTTCATCGCACCTCCACTGAGGTCGGCCATGGTGGTAGGAGGCATCGCTGGAGTTTTGACTACAGAGGCCGGCGAAGGAGACGACATCCCTAGCATAACCAGCAAGACGAGGGAATTGTCAGAAGCCCAGGACATTTATCGAAGAACGCTGGCAGCGACGTGGGCTTGTCAAGCCGGAGAACTGCCTCCGGATAAATTGATTGAGAATCTGTTCGCTGGAGGAAACGGAGGACCACGGCCGCACTCGTCGGGCAATAAGGCCAGCAACCAACAACAGCAAACACCCCAGCAGCAGCAACAACGGCCCCCGTTCGGTTCGCGCGAAGAGAACGGCAGCAGTTCCAGCGAACACGAGCACAGACGACCGGTTACTCCGCGCCAACTCTTGACACCCCAAGTAGCTGCTGGCGGCCAGAGCCCTCGCTACGGTCACCGACGCGGTTCCAGTCGAGATTCTCCTACCCTGCAAACAGTTGCCGCGGGCGCCGTCAGTGGACGATCAAGCATCGAGCAACAGGTTCACGCCAGCCAGAAGGAGCTTCGCCGGCGTGATCACACCAATAATCATGAGTTTACCGAATTTGATCTCAGGGACGATTTGCGGAGTTGGTCAGTCCGCGTAAGATGATAAATCACGACGCGGAACCACGAACAAATGTATTCTGTCCCATTCATCCTTCGGATCTGGTAATTGTCCGCTTCTTTCAAGTTTCGAGACTCAAGGAGACACGTTCGCTACATCAGTCGCCCAGGCAAACTTGCGTCCGAAGCACCTAAATCATAAATGCCTGAGAACATTATAGCCAACACAGCATGGCAGAGTTATGCTCAAGTTTTGAGCCTTTTTCAAAAATCTTTTTGCATTTTGTGAAGACAAATAATTCCACCGACTGAAAAGCTTTTTTCCCGATTATTCTGAAAAAATTGACTCTTCAACTGCAATTGCCAGATCCGACCACGCTTACCAGGTCCCGCACCATTCGTGCTACAGCTGGGCCGGAAGAAAGCTTGCTTTGCTTGCAGCACGCTGCTTTTCTGCCGCGGTCGAAGGCCCATCCTCGACGAGTTCTTCATATACGAGCGGTTCTTTGACGAGTCTGGCATCGGTAAGGCCACGCTGCCAGCGATCGAACGCTTTGCGAGGGATCGTCGTGGACGTCCACATGCCTTCTTGGCGGAAACGGTTGGTGACCGCAATGGCAACATCTACCGGAACAGCAGGGAAGAGCTCCGCAAGCTCGTCCTGGAAAGTTTCTGCATCGCGTTCTAGAACCCAGTCGATTGCTTGGCCGAGGGCAATGCAGAATCGCTTCTGTGCATCGAGGATTTCGGGCGTGATGGTTCCACTTTCACGATAGTAGACGCTCCAGGGAACTTCTCCCTGGGTGACAGCCTCCAGAGCGATCGTGACGTTGGGATTGCTAGAGGCAATGACTCGGGCCGAGAGATAGTCGGTCACAAAATAGTCACCCATGCCACCTTGGAACAAATCCCCCAGCATTTTGCCGTCGAGATCCTGAATGTAGTCGACGGATCTGGCATCGACGTTATGCTCCCGCAGCAACATCTTGAAGAACAAGCCGACGCTGGCGCCCCCGCCCGACTTCATGAGCACAGTTTTGCCTGTCACATCGGACAGCTGGAATTTGTCATCGCCACGGCGCCGCAGAATGGCCAGTGGACATCGATTGGCTATTTGGGCGAACACGGTATAATTCTGCACCCTGTCGCGGTACATTGACGGCACCCAGATTCCCCCGAGCGCCATATCGGCCGAGCCATCAGCGAGCGCATCAAGCACTCCGTCCCAAGGCACGGGAATGTTGACGGTCACATCGAGACCTTGCTCGCGGAAGAAGCCGTGACGGAGCGCGATGTATTCGGGCAGATAGTTGAGATTGTACCCAGTTGCAGTGAGCTTGAATGTTTGCATCGTGGGCGGTTTTTCTGTCCGAATCTAGTACCCAGGCTGGTTCAGAGATGGAGTGAAATGTGTTGTAGCGAGCTTTTGTGCTGAGGCAAAGCAAGATGAACTCTTTCTGTTCCAGAAGTGCACATATGCGTTGTTCAAATAGTCGAGGTGATCTCCCCAATCTTCGAGAGCCAGGCCTACCTTTGCTGTCAACACCTGTGAATGGTGCCAATGGCAACATGCCGTCCCCTGCGATCGGAGTATTGCGAACACAAGGCTATCTATGTCCCGAGCTTGTCAGGAGAGAGGGATATCGGCTTTGTCGGAATTGACCGATCGAGGCCGATAATTTGGCCTCAGAAGCCCTGCACAGTCTTACTATCACACAATGCCACGTTCCTATGCCGTGGCATATGCAGTTCCGCTATTGTCTTGGAGCCAGCTGTGGGGACAGGAAACAAGATCTCTGAAACCCTTGAATACCTCTATCTAGAGAGCATCAGGCTGTCGCCTATCTGAGACGTGGGTGCCAAGGCGCCGGGCTCCCTCCTGTGTCTCCTCCTCATGTAGATGCGGGGAGGGCAGGAGCGCTACATGAGCACAAGGTAGAATAACCCAACACAGAGAGCAGGGCGAGCTACGCGCAGTTTCAATTCCTCGTGGCTGCCAAAGACAAGGAGGAGTAAAGACTACCTAGGTGGTAAAGTTCTGTCCATACATGAGGTAGCAACGACCAACGCTGACATCAGCCCCCGAACACCCTCTCATACGCTCTGACATCGCTCGCTGTTGCCGACGCCGAATCCAGCATCATGTCATTGAAATCCACGTCGCCTATATCAGGCCACTGTGCCGCTGAACTTAACATATCTCCAAAATCAAAAGCAAAAGTGTCACTTGACGACAGCATGGTTGACAGATCATTCCAATTGGCGTGTCTGCCTGGTACGCCAGCACCAGTCTGACTCCTCCTCGATGGCTGCAAAGAACCCAACAGATCTCCGATCTGACTCTCAAAGGTTGCCCTATTCCGACTGGGCTCCCCCGAACCGCTTGTCAACAGCCAGTCCGTCGTCGCCGTAGACAGCGTCTCGAAGGCGTCGCGAGACTCGCTGGCTCCCGCAAAATTTGCCGACATGGCGGACAATGTTGACACACAGGACTGCAGAGTCGCAATGATCTTGCTGGCCGGGTGCTGCGACCGAATCGAGGCCGATTGCCACACGCAATAGATGACGGTCAGGCCTGCCATGAAGAGGTCGTAGACGGCTTTCCAGAGCACGTCGAGGCGGCCTTCGCGCTGGAGCAGCTTGATGCTGGCAATGAGCTTACAAGAGGCGTCGAAGGAAATCGCAAAAGTGTCCGAAGGTAAATGCTGGATGAGGGAACTGGAATTGGGCCGGTAAAGCAAAAGGATGGCATGATTGTACATGGCCTCCCAGTACGCTTCGTGAGCAAAGATTGACGAGGGGTGGGCGGCTGTAGTGTTTGGGACCGTGCTATACCACTCTTGTAGACGCGCCTGGATGTCGTTGACCCAGAGTCTATAGTTGGGTCGTGGGTAGGCCATCTTGTTCATAGACCAGGTCTGGCTTTGTTGGACGTGCTTGATCTCGGACTCGAGCTGCGTCATCTTGAACAAGTGATTGTGGGCTCTTTGATGAACATTCTCAAAGTCCTTGACCACCTCCGTTGGCCCAACACCAAAGGGTTGACCAGAGACTGCCCAGGGGTTTGGGAGGGGCACGCGTGTGCTCTCGTCCGTGATGCCAAATGGCCGCCCCAGGGTGATGCCTAGAAGATGGTCCAGGTAATATGCCGAGTACCACAACTGTCGACGCTCGTACAGCACGTCTTGGTCGTCTTGGTCATGGTTGGAAGAAAGCTGCTGCTCGTCGGATTCCCAATGCAAGCCCATGTCGACGCACATCCGAAGAGCCATCCCACTCAAATGCCACAGGCTGCCACGCCAGGGACACATGGAGACAAATTGAGCCAGCAGAAGCAAAGCGCGGAGTGTTTCAAGGTCGCTCTGTGCATAGGTGATGACGCTCTCAACCCAGTTGATCGCGGAGTGGAAGCAACCCTCGCTTTGCAGCGGCCGTCCGGTTCCACCTGTCGGGCTAGGGACGTTGCAAAGAGCTATGGCGAAAACCATGTAAGTCGTGAAAACGTCCTTCTCCGCTTGGCGGTCTAAGGGTTGCACACCACCACTCATGCACGCATAGGCATTGTCAATCGCCCTTTTGACCTTTGTCTCCCGAATGATGGGCAGGTGCGGAGTCCGGTATTGGAAGTATACCTCGACTAGATGATCCGCTGCGTGGCGCGGTGGGAGAGACGCTTCTGCCGCCAGGGCCGACGAGCCAGAGCCAGACATGTCTGGAAGTTGGTCGACGACACCTGAGGTTGGTGATTGCCTTAGAGCGTCGACCTTGATTGACGCCATGACCATTCTGGCCAGTGTTATGCCGCTACTCGGCCCCAGAAACCGCGGTTGCTTCGATGGTTCGACCAAAACGTTCCTGACGCTCTTGACCAAATCTCGAGCACCGCGGTTTGACTCTGGACTCGATGTCGTCGAGGCCTCTGGGGAGATGATGGTGGCTGCCGCGGAAAATTCTATATCGGCTTCCTCACGATGGGTTACTTCTGGCGGTCGGGTTTGCGTCCGAAGATCTCGAACCTCCTGCGTCAACTTTTGGACCTGTGCCTCCAATTGCGACACGTAGGTGCGAGGGATCTCGTGAGATGTCAGTTCACGGACAACACATTCGAGTGATTCTGAACCCACCTCGGCTTGTTTCCGGGCATCGTATGTCAAACAAGCAACATTTGCGCTCTCGCAGTTTGAGCAACTTGGATATTTCAGATCACACTAAAGGTGTTTGAATGTGTCAGTTAGAACAACCCTGGCATATGTCACCCAGCCAAGCGAGGTGCCATCGACTACCTTCTGTTTCCGCCGCCGGCATCTGTGATACTCATCAGCCTGTTTGTTTTAGAGGCCATTTCTTGTCGACGTACCTTTGGCACGCCGTGGAGGCTCGTGCCATTCTTCGGGTTTGGTCTGCGAAGATAGAATCTTTATCCACAATCTGCGGTGGGTACAGCAGTGATTCCGGAGGCCATTTGCAATGCCGACACCGATTGTTTGATCAGATTGTGAGCATTCTTCGGTAATACGCGAAGGATGATATTGAAATACTGGGGAGGAGACGCAGTCGACCAAGTTAAGGCGTCGATTGCGGTTGTGATAGATCGGACCCTGCTTCAGGCCATCGGCATTTTCCGATCGTGTGATAAGCGTAATAGTCGCGATTGGCCATTGGTAGCACTTGTGGGTGTCGATACGTGTTGTTGGAGCTTAACAAGGACCTCGTATGCAGCCAGATTCCTTATCTTAAGCTTATCTCATAGGGTAGACCGTCCCGCTTTAGTTGAACCTCCACAAAGTTGGGGTCGCGTATCTACAGCCTAGTACGCCACAATGCTCATCATCGCGGGACCTGAATACTCTGGAGCCGCCGAAACGAATACCGTGTATTCGTTGCACATGTCATGAGCATCCGGGTGGCTTGGTATTCAATGCTTTGAACATAAGTTATCTTGCTATCAAAGTATATCCCTGGGAGAAGTGGATCGGCTCAAGCCGGTCTGCTGTTACTTTCTTTCGCACAGAGCCTGCAGATATCGCATATCTCACGTCCTGGGGGTTATCACCCGAACTATCATGAAGATATTGTAGAAAACCCTTTAGAGATCACCAGGTACTAACATGAGGAAGAATGGGTAGAATACGGATATATAAACACCCAACATCGATTGATCAGTCGTCCCTAAGTCGCGGAGTACAACCACATTCACTACTGAAGACCTCAGACTGTACTAAACAGATCCCAAGCGCCCTTGTCTCCTGTGCCCAGCTTGCCTCTTCTTATGGCCATGACAATGTCTGCCAGTCCCGAGATGGAGAAGAAGCTTCCCACGGACACCACCTACCAGGTCAAAGATGAAGTATCCGAAGTCGGATCCGCCAGCCAAGTCATCTACATTGACCCCGAGAAAGAGAAGGCTGCTTTCAAGAAATTTGACAGATATGTCATCCCTGCCTCATTCATCTTCATGGTCCTTTGCGCCTTGGACCGAAACAATGTGAGGAATACCTCGTGAACATGGACTTCTCTGGAATCATACAGAGCTGACAGATCCACAGTTGGGGAACGCTCGTGTCTTCGGCTTCGACAAGGACATTGGTCTTCATGGTCGCCAATTCGGCAACATCAACACCTTCTCTAGCCTTACCACGATGCTCTTCGAAATCCCCTGGGTTCTGGCCGTCAGGCGATTCGGGGCTCAAAAGGCCCTTGGGACCGCGTTTTTCATCTGGAGTGCCTCCACTTTGGGTACTGCCTTCGTGCAGAACTACGCTCAAGCCGTCGTTTGCCGTATGCTCGTGAACGCCGCTGGAGGCGGTCTTGAGCAGGGGTTCGCATACCTCTTTTCCACCATGTACCCACGGCACGAGGCGGGCAAGAGAATTATCACGAATAATTTGGCAATGTGTGTCTCTGGTGCCTTTGGCGGGCTGTTCGCCTGGGCGATTCAGCAGATGGGGACCCAAAGGGGCCTTGCGGCGTGGAGATGGCTATTCATCGTCGAGTTCTGTATCACTATTGTTGTTGGTGGGACATGTTGGATCTTCCTTCCTAAGACGGCGGAGACAGCTTGGTTCCTTAATGCTGACGAGAAGGAAACTATGCGGCTACGGAAGGAGCGTGAGGCGACGTATCGAGGAACCGGAAAATTCGACCGCAGATGGATACGCATTGCGCTCCTCGAGCCTTTTGTCTACCTCCTCGGTATTGCCTTCTTTACGTCCTCTGTGTCTGTCAATGGTTTCAACATCTTCTTGCCGACTATCCTCGCTGGTCTTGGGTAAGTTTTGGCAGCATTGAGAAGATTCACAAACCCTGCTGACAGTGGCTAGGTATGCTGACCTACACGTCAATTACATGACCATTCCGGTATATGTCGTTGGAGCTACCTCACTCATTACTGTCGTCTACTTTTCGGACAGATTTAAGCGTCGTGGGATATTCATCATGGGATGCTGTGTTCCTGTTGTGGTCGGATACCTCATCGCCGTTGGAACTTCTAACAAACACGCTGGCTATGCGGCCATGTTTATCCTTGTTCTAGGTATGTTATGGAGTTTGTGGTGGACTCAGTTCCACTTGTTCCTCAGCTAATCACCATGTTCACCAGGAATCTATCCCATCTCGACCCTTGCGGTCACTTGGGCTGCTGGCACCTTGGCTCCAGACGATAAACGTGCCTTTGGTATGCCTCTCGCCAGCTCGATTGGAAACCTCTCGAATTTTGTCTCGTCCCAACTCTACCCAACTCAGCAAGGCCCACGGTACATCCAGGGCAATGCCGTTTCTGCAGGTCTGACTGTTGTAGCTGCATCTCTTTACGCCTCCTGCTGGCTTTTGTTGAGGACCAGGAACAAGAAGAAGGAGAAGCTGATTGCTGAGGGAGCTACAACAAACGGGCTCGAGGGTGACCAGGGTCTTGACCACAAGTATATCCTTTGAGATTGGAGCTGTACAAGGACACCGGGGAGAGCTGCAATCGGAATATTGGGTGGTGGACGGGGTCGAATTGGCGGCGGGCGTCTTCTTGAAGCGAAAAAAGAGACTAGTCACGAGGTTTTGTTTTACATCTCGCTTTGTTCTCCCGTCCTCGATGGAGCGATACCAAGTAGGTCAAGGGCGAGGTCTCAAGGACTCTCTAGGGTCAGCACATTGTATCGTTGGGGCTCGTAATTGGTAAATGCGAGTCTCGATCTTGAGGGGTGAGACATGTGGATCAAGAGAGACCACGGCTTGCCCAAATCTTTGCGGTTGGAGCGAAATAGCACTTAATAGCTATCGACAAATGCAGGCGCCAAAACGAGGGGAAAGAAGTTATTAGCCCAACCCGGCAGGTGTTCTAGGCTTGACCCTCAACTCTCCCTTTCGCTTTCCTTTCCAATTCTCGACAAGTAGCTTTGAACCCGGGACCAAGCTAGGACAAGCAATGCTTAGGATAGTCTTGTTTTCTTGGGACGGCACCGGTTGCCAAGTGCCAAGGGTGGAGTGGAAAGACCGAGGCTGCGTCCCTGGTTGGGTGGGGCGTCTCTGAACACGCCCATTCGCCCGTGGCCCATTCTGGAAACCGTTGAGATACACTATTTGGGTAAGTCGTCAAAACTAACGTCCTCGCGTAGATACCTAGGTATCGGCATGGACTCTTAGCTTCTTCACGGTAAGTAGCCACTTCAAGGGGATCTCGAGAGACTACTCGGTAGTCTGCCGCTGCGATGTCGATCTACCCGTATTCAAAATCACTCTATGGTTATTTTTTTTATTTCCAGTCTTCAAATATGCGCGAAGGTCGACTGCCAGGGACACATCTCTTGCTTTCCACCCTTAATACCGGTTGACACCAGACGACGACAAATATGGTTTCACGGTGGATGTTGCCAATATGGTATATCCTATGCACGCTATCTCTTTGGGCCTCGTCGACTGGCGCAAGCTCTCCCTGCTCCAATCCACCTTACAATGCGTTGTTGTTCCTCTCGGGTTTCCCTGCGGCAGAAAGCTACTGTTCCCAGCACTACCCAGTGCCGGCCGTGACGACCACCATCACGCCGCTTCTAAAGAGGTTCAATCGACCGACCACCACCACCTCCTCGCGCACTACCACGCATCCGAAGAAAACCACCACCTCCACCCACAGCACGACCTTGAGCACAACTCATTTCCCGACAACCAGCAGCAGCGTGAATACGTGCACGGGAGCTTGCGCCACGTGGTCGAGCATCAGCAAGGTGGCTGGCCAGATCCTTGCGACCCTCTGTTCGTGTATAGAAAAGACTCCCACAATAACGGTCAGTAGTAGTGATCCACTTCCAATGTCTTCAATTCTGTAAGTACAAGGGCATCTTACTTTTGGTATAACAGGTCACTCTCAGTACTTCTACCACGACATCCACAACGGTAAGTACATATACAGCTTTTTCCATTCCACAGAGAGCACGGACTCCAGAAGCTAACGTAACAGCAGACAACCACTACCACGACTACCACCACCACCACCACCACCACATCAACAATACCGGTAAACCTTCTATCCAATATAGACCCCTTCCGTTTACGTTTTCCCTGAAAAGGCTGACAAAATCCCGCGCAGACCACAACCACGAGCACAGTTTCAACGACACCGGTAATCACCCTTCCTATCCAGAATTGGATTTCCCCTTCCGTATCCCCATTCCCCTTTTCAAGCTAACAAAAATCCCCCAAACTAGACCACGACTACGAGCAGCACAACGACCTCTACAACTACCTACTCCATCCGCCCCACCGGCCCATGCGGCCCCGAGTTAGGCTCTCCCTGCCTGGGCGAAGAGTGCGCCCAAGACGGAGAACTGTGCGTGTTGGACACGGAGTGCTGCAATGAGGATTCGACGTGTGAGAACGGGAATTCCGACGGGTTTGGGACGTGTTTGCCGGCCAATCCGACCCCCACTTAGGAGCTCTGGAATGGAGAAAGAAAAAGAAGAGCGTGGATCGTGATAAAGGAGATATACTACTGGTATTGAGAGGGTTTAATATGCCGTGGTTGGGAAGTTAAGTGACAAGGCGTACGGGACTTATTCAAATAGTTTCTGCAGCTTATACTCAAGGAGACTTGAGGCGGGAAAAGGAGATTTCTCCCACGAATATATATATGTGTGTAAGGGTGTGTCAAAATGTCTCCTCTCCATTACGTCCATCCACTCCCACTCCTCCCCTTCAGAATCAGAGCGTAAACCCCATCTCTTGCCTGTGGTCACTCACCAACCGGCCATACTCCATGAGCACCCTCAACATGGTGAGTTCCAAATCCACCATCCGTAGGGTCTTCTGCGCCCAGTCCCTGCCCTGCCTTGCAATGCGCTCGCGGATCTCCTTCCCCCTTTCGTCCTCGCTCAAGTATCTGACCACCTCGGCCAACTCCTCCGCTCCGGGACTGATGGGGATGAAATGCACCCACGGCACGAGCCGGCCGTCGTGCCACTCCTGAAACACCGTCTGCTTCAACACGGCGCTCTTTGACAACAGGAGCCGGTAAAAGCGGCCCGAGAAGGCGTTGCCGTCCATGTCAAGGACGTATTTCGCACCGTAGGCGGTAGACAAGGGGTCAGCGTTGGGATTTTTCCTCCTTTTGCCGCCGCTGCCGCCGCCGCCACTCTTGTTGGTTCCTTCTTCTTCTCGGGGAGGGTCGACGTATGTGGGGTCCCGCTTGAGAAAGGCGTGGCGCATTGCGTCGCAGGCCGAGGATTCACACTGTTCAGGCGGGATCGATGTTATACGGAGATCGAATAGGTGGGAGAGGTTCGACATGGGAGTGGTTTGGGGCTGCCAGACATCTTCTTCTGCTGAACCCCGCTGGAGGATCGTGACCGAGGTATTTTGGGACATCGTTTGAAGAACCAGGCTTTGACGATGCAATGTGCGCCAATTCCCCAGTGTCGCCCAGCCGCCTGTTGCGGAGCCTGTCCAGTAGACAAGGTCCTTCTTTTCCGACCACTCCATATCGTCATCCTCGTCGTAATCATCCTGGATGAGCTTGAGCCAGTACCAGATGGGCGGATAGAGGATGTCATTGAAGATTGATGGTTTGCAGGGAGAAAAGACAGGATATAGAGACTCGGTTATGGAGCATGATGTCGGAGACGTGAAGAAGCCGTGGGATCGGTGAATGGTGGGATTGTTGCATACGTCTTGACTCTCTTTCAGGCTGTGGACGAAAGGTAATGCACGGTCCTCCTGTTTGATAGGCGCCATCTTCTCTATCGTCTCGTCTCGTGATGGTGAGTTGGCAGGACAAGCCGATAATATGGTGTGCCGCAAGCCTCTTCTAGCGCAATCGAACCAAGACAACTCTGCTGCTTCACGAGGTGGCTTTCGTGTGGCACTAGTTGACATTGCCGCCTCTCTAGCAGCCAACAAGGCCTCAGAGGAGGCGACCACTGTGGCACATGTCAGTATCTCTTCTTCAGTCCCCGTATTCTCATCTCCCCGGAGCAAGGCATTCCTACCTCGAGGCTCATCGTATCGGTTGACCAGGATTGTCATATCAGGCAAGACATCGAGCCAACCAGGCTTTTCCAGCCACCGATCAATTATGTTCGCGTGGTATATTCCTCTGTGCGTTGCCTTTTCCTCTATCTGGTGGTTCTTTATGCTGATGCGGACCACCCCTGATGCTGTATCCGGAACAGATTCAATTGCCCGGCGCATGAGCGGAGGATCAATCCCCCAGAACGGCTCCAGGCTCTCCATAATCGTGTCGAATTCGTCAACGAGGGAGTAGTGATTCTTCTGCGCCAGCTCGAACCACTTGTCGAAATCCGGAGGTGGATCTCGATTGAAACGCTTTTTGTAGGTCACTACGGCTTCCTCGATAGTCTTTGACTGAGAGGACGCCATCTCTGCAAATCGTGCTTGAGCTCTTTTGGAAAGGACTTCGATTGGGTGGTGCCTATAATTGGTTACTTGACCAGTCAAAGTTGTCTGTGATGGATCGTTTCTTGCGTTTCGCATCCCGACGGAAGTGAATACTGGGACCATGCAAAGCAATAGCAGTTTTCGACGGCCGACGGACGCTGGCAGCATATTAAGAAGATGCATTATAGCCACGAGAGCCAGTATGAATCCAATTACTCTGCCAGTTCGAGATAGATCGTGAGAAGCCAGCGATGATACGAGCGTGGTTGCGGACGAGGTTACTGGCCCAAGCAACGTGTCCTTTGCCGCCTAGCTGCAATCAGTCGAAGTTTATGATAATAGACGGGCGATACTACCAGGGAGATGATACATTGGAGCTGTATAAAGCGCAGGAAACCTACAGCTAGCGTCGACGGCTGGAGTTGGAACGGGAACGATTTGCTTTCGCAGAGATTGTAGACCGTCCATAATAGAAACAATATTCTGCATGATCCGAATACGGGTGAATTGGCCCAGAGGTCTGTTTTGTTGTGGTAGCCATCGCGGAGGAGAATAAATACCAAGGATTGCAGCAGGGTGTATAGAACTCCAATGGCTATTATCGAAGGCGAGAGGATTGTGAATTCCAAGGCAAGAAAACAGGATGCTACCAGCATTATAGCGTAGAGCGACCAGACAGGCGAGCGTCGCGACTTTGACCAGCTACTTGTGCGGCGATTGTCACCCCACCCCCGAAGAACGAAGGGTTCATGCCATAATCGAGGCTGCCACGGATCATGCCGTTGGTAGAAGGACGTGACGGCGATACTGACGATGGGCTCCAGCAGGATACGTCAGTATGAAAAGCAGTCGACTCGATCCGCAAGGACTCACCGTCGACCACCAAATGTATTCAAAACTATGCCGCCAAAGTAGCAGAGAGAGGAAAGAGGAGCCCGCAATTAACAGCTCGGAAACAGCCGTCGATTGCAACATGCTCGCGAATTTCCAACTTCCCAACGGCCCAGTGCCGCCGTCGCTGGACCTCGTCGGCCTTGATATTCGTCGTATCCAGCTGAAGAGGGTCAGGAGTGCCCAGGCAGTCCATTCAATGTATGACTCTTGGCCACGCGGGACAACATGGTGGAGTTGGAGTACATCCACCAGACATCCAGAAATCAGGCCCGCTGCGGTAGGGAGGAGGGGACCCATGACCGGGGTGAGCGAAGATAGACAATGGCCGACCCTTGCCAACGCAGTCGATCGTTCTGCTACATCGCACGACGAGAATCTCTGTCATCCCTAGGTAGACAAATTGTGTGTGGCTCCCGTGAAAGGTAAGAAAGTTTGCTGATCTAGAACTTCCCCCAAATTGCATGTGCCAAAACGAGGTAATAATAATTCGATACCGAGCTCACCCCTCTTTGGGACAAAAGTACCTAGGTAATGCCGCCTTATGCTGACCTTCGGCTCGCGCGTACTAGCGCCACGATACGAGCGCTATACCGCCAACGTTACTCACCTTAGTGATGACTGCCAATCATAGTTATTCTGTTAGTAGTCTAACTTAGACGCTTTAGGAAACGGAGTCTTCTAGATATCGTGTCGCGTATGGCTAGTGACGGCGGCCGCTATAAAATACCCTCCCCAACTCCCCTCTCCCTTGAGTCCAATGTTACAAGATGACCTTGTGATCATAGACTACAACCTAGCATAGGAAACTTCCCAAATGGCTTAGCAGAGTTTCGGTGTTGATCCACGGTAGTCACAAGAGAAGGACAAATAGAAGGAACACGATTTAATCCACCAACAGTAGGAGCGATGGATTTGCTATTCCATGTTTATACACCATTGTGCCGTAACAGACACCGGTCCTTCTATTGGGTCGGAACATCAGAACTGAGACTTTTGCCCATCCCAGACAACGACAGCCTAACCTTCTACTAGTTCACACATTCTACTGCTGCGTTGGCATCGCGACTTGCTTTTCCGTTGCAAGGGCATCCTCGGCGCGCCAAAGGCTTGTGACAGTCTTCCACTGGGTATAAAAGCGAATACCGTCTTTTCCATAAAAGTTGGCCATGCCAGTCCCGGCCACAGATCTCTTGTTCCCAGTAAACGAGAAAATTGGCAACGGCACAGGGATTGGAACATTGATACCAATCTGACCGGCTTCCAGAAACTTTTGAAACAATGTTGCTGTCGAGCCGGAGCTAGTGAAGACCTTCGCCGACATCAGTATTGACCAACCCAATACAACCAAGAAGAAAAAGAACTTACCGAAGCGCCATTTCCGTACTCATTGCTATTGATAAGCTCCAGAGCGGCCTCGATAGTATCAACAGCCAAGCACACAAGGACAGGACCAAAAATCTCCTCGGTATAGCATCTCATATGTGGCTTGACATTCGTGATGATGGTGGGACCGACCCAGTTGCCCTGTGCGAAAAGACTGTTCTTAGGCTTCTGCCCGCGGCCGTCGAGCAGGATAGTAGCACCCTCAGCTTCGGCAGAAGCAATGAAATCTTCAACCCGCTTCTTGGATTCTGGAGAAATCACAGGGCCAAAGTCAGCATCTGACTCAAAGCCACCAGTGAACTTCAGCTGTGAGGCTCTATCCACAAGCTGAGGCAGCCAGTTCTTCGTTCCACCGACACGAACGAGAGCAGATAGTGCCATACAGCGTTGACCAGCCGCTCCAAATGCGGCGCCGATGATGGCATTCAGGGCATGATTTTTGTTGCAATCGGGTAGTAGAGCTGCGTGGTTTTTGGCACCGAGATTGGCTTGTACTCTCTTGCCGTTTGCAGTTCCCCGCGTCCAGACGTATTCTCCGGCTCTATTCGACCCGACGAATGATATAGCCTTGATGCTAGGCTCGTCGAGAATGAAGTTGACCGTAGGATGTGCTCCGTGCACAATGTTGAGTACGCCGGGAGGCACACCTGCCTCCACGCAGAGCTCTGCAATGATCATAGCTGCTCCAGGATCGCGCTCAGATGGTTTGAGGATAAGAGTATTTCCGGTGACTAGTGCCAGCGGGAGCGACCAGAGTGGGATCATGGCAGGGAAGTTAAAAGGACAAATAGCAGCCGTCACACCCAATGGCTCGCGGTATGAGCGTGTTTCCATGTCCCTAGCCACTTCAATAACCTCTCCAGGGAGCTTAGCGTGGTGATGCCACAAGCTGTCTCGCACACCTGGAGACCACGTAGGACATCTCCCTTCGCATCAGCAAAGGTCTTCCCTTGCTCGATAGTGAAGTTTCGCGCAAGGCGATCCATGTTTTCGCGTACTAGGTGTGTCAGCCTGAACATCACCTGTTGACGGCGCATAATGGAGGTTGCTTTCCAGGACGGAAACGCTCGTTGAGCGGAGGCGACGGCGGCTTCCAATTCAACTTGCGTAGACTGTGGAACGCGAGTGACAAGATAATTCGTGGCTGGGTCCCGTACGTCGAACCATTGCTCCGCCTGTGAGGGGATGAATTGGTTGTCGAGAAAGTTGGGGGTGTCCCTGACGGAGGGCACTTTGTCATGAGAGCCTTGATCTATGGTAGGTGCCAACACCTTCGGGCTTTTGGTGACGCCAGGCATGATTTTCTTTAGTATAATGTTGAACTTTCTCTGAGTAAGGATTTGAAAGGTGTCGTGGACGAGAGCTACTGCCTCTTGATCCGTATGAACGACGGCCACGAAGGGTGAGTTGTGTTGAATCACCCAGCCACAAAGCGTGGTCCACGGAGAGGTGTTTTATATACTTGTTGAGATCCGCTTGCTGCTGTACTGCAATGGTAGAGTCCCGTTTCTGTTTTAGCGACAATAACTTCATTGGGTGTAGTTCGAAGTCGGCGAGTTTGAGCGGCATCACGGATACTAGGTTGGGTTCGACAAGTCGGGAGGAAACGCGAAAGGGATTGAGCTACGTTGTCGGAACTTGGTCTGCAATAGTGAGTCCGTAAGACACAAGTTCGAGATCTGCTAGTCGTAACTGTCGAGAGATGTCCGGTCGAATAGCTTCGAGACGAACCCGGTGGTTGTCTTCAACCCTCCCGGACGTAGCCAGAACCTCATCCAGTCGGACCGGGCTTCATGAACACATCACGAGCGCAGAAATCGAAATTAGCTCCGCTTTCTGAGCCTGTAGCTAACGTCTTGTTATCCGAGTTTCATCCGCTCTTGCTTGCTTTGCTTTTCGTTACTCCATGGTCTGCTCCCTCCAAAGGCAAAAGGGGCCGCACCGGCCGGTCCGGCCGGTCCGATCATGCTGATAGGCTGAGGACGTCGGACTGGGTCTATCAAATGATGGTCTTCCAACGTAGTCTAGACAGTAACTACCATCAGCCACTGTATCCCCGGCTCCTTGTCTGTTTGTGAGCGGGGGTTTTCTCGGGGCCCCAGAGACCTTGAACGGCTTCCCAACGCTGGATCCCACCCAACGAGAAAGGTTCCGGATACTCCAACACAGTTGAAGGAGCTGTCTCCCCCATCAATTGACATATATCCAGGCCCTGGCACCTTCGTGGACAACGAGGCTCCCAACATCCCCAAAGACCCACGCCGTGTCTTTGAGCTGCTCGCAAGAGCTACTCCAGGCTTCACTCAAGACCGCCGTCTATGGGACTCAGTGTCTTTCGAAGGCAGTGCCGAGCCAATCGCACCAGGCCCGTTAAAAGCTCCCGTTCTTGCTGCCGCTCTTCACGCCATGTGTGGAGTTGTTGCGAAAGAACTCCTGGAGCAGAGAGACGGCTGCCGTTCGGACCATCACTCAACGATCAATACCGATCACGCGGCTCTGTGGTTAGGCACCACTGCAATCACCAAACGCAATGGCATTACTGTGCCGCAACTGTCGAAAAGTGTAAAACTTGGGGAGATTTTCCCCAAGGATCTTGAGAAAGACACCTTTAAGACGCCCACGAGATTGCGCACAACTGCCTGTTACCCCACGAAAAAGGAGGGCGTCTGGTTTCAGCTGCATGGCTCGCTCAACGCGGATCCAGTTCTTCGAGCAATCGGGTTGGACCCTGCCACCCCGTGTGAGAGCCGCGAAGAAGCGTACAAGATCATCGGCGAAGAAGTACGCAAATTCGAACCGGAACAACTGGAGATGATTCACGTCTACAAGGGCCTCTGCGGTAGTATGTGTCATACGCCAGAAGCGTGGAGGCAGACACAGATGCACAAGGAGCTCTCCAAACATCCACTGGTGAACTACACACATGTACCATACATGGTGCCTACTCCTGCCGTGCCCTTCTTCCCTGCCCCGAGTAGAGACAAACGACCCTTGGCCGGGATCAAAGTTGTCGAGTTGGTCCGCATCATTGCTGGCCCGGTTATTGGAAACACCCTTGCATCGCTTGGAGCAGATGTCATCCGTGTCAACTGTAGCCGGCTTCCTGATTTCAATTCTCTGCAGCTGACTTTGAACGCTGGCGTCCGAACAGCTGACCTTGATCTGAGTAAGGCCGAGGATCTCTCAAAATTGAAGGAGCTCATCCAGGAAGCGGATGTCTTTATCCAAGGCTACCGGCCTGGCGTCTTCAAGAGGAAAGGCTTGGGTCTCCACGAAGTGCTCGATATGGCGAGCAAGAGGGGCAAAGGCATCGTCTACGTGGAGGAGAACTGCTACGGGCCGGATGGTCCGTTCCACGATCGACCTGGCTGGCAGCAGATTGCTGATGCTGCTTGTGGCTGTTCCTACGTGACTGGCAAATACTTGGGGCATACCGACGGGAGGTGCGTCCTTCCAGCATTGCCTGTGCCCGACATGTTGACTGGTCTTATTGGTGCCATTGGGACCATGATGGCCATCAGAGACCGCGCCCGTCATGGCGGATCCTACCACGTGTTTGCCTCCTTGATGGCCGCAGCTGCTGTCCTGCTGGAGCCCGAGGTGGGCTTGTATCCCCCAGAGGTGACGCAGAAATGTGATGAAAGATTCAGGTGGGGAGCCGTGGATCCTTCACTGTTTGTCTTGGAGCTTCTCGCCGTCGTTGTTGAGGCCTGGCAACGGGTGCTTCCTGAATACTTTGGCTCCGATGCAACCTGGACCACCAAACTGAATGGCGAATGGGGGCATTTCGAACTCCTCAAGCCAGTGCTCCAGTTTGAGGATCAGGAGGTGTCGCCTCGCTGGCTGACGGCCCCAGAGCCCAATTGCCGCCACGAGAGCCACGAAATCTCGTTCCGTCAGACGGCCGCTCCCATCACGACCATCATGAACGCGCACTGAAATTAAACCTCCAGCATCTTGGCGACTGCCTAAAGTATTCTTCCGGACAGCAGGTATTTGTAAATAGCGGTCGACACACAATCATGATGAATTTTGACCTGCCTGGGCTTGTGTAAGACTTATATCGTGTGGCTTAAATTTCTCCAACACCGTAACTGCTTACTGTACTTCTCGAATGGCGACGGCACTCGTGGCATTGTAGCCTTGAAGTTCAGGTAGTGTAAATGTCAGCGTTAGTTCGCCAAATGAATTCCACCACCAGAAACATAACAACTCTTGTCATGAGCCTCAATTGACGTGAAGGCCATGGTGAGCGAAAGCCCTGAGCAAGTAGGACTTTTCCGATGGAGGAGAGAGGAGGATGGTGGGGAGGAGGTTACAATTTCAACAGGAAACGGGTGCAAATGAAATATAACGTGTGACTCAAATTCCTGTGGTGTACTGCCGCCCCCGTGGGAGTTGTGAGATATAACTAGGTACGTGAACAAGACCTCTCCATTTCAGATGTTCAGCAGCTCACGTCGATAATGGTTGAAAGAAGTCATAGTGGTGCTAGGCTCCTAAGAGCCTATCCCAGCTTGCTATGGAATTACATTGCTCTCGCAATCTCCTCACAATGCAGCCTGAGATTGTCCAGCATTGGCTCGGAGGTCGCTCAGTGCCTGGAACACGCTACTGAAGTCGCGGTTGCCCCATTCTTCACTACGCGCCAGTGGCCTGAAGACTTCCTCGCAGCGCTTCCCGAGCTCGAGGGGTACATGTGCACCTTCTGCAGCCTTAACGGCGAGACCAAGGTCCTTGTGGGCTAGCTTGGTCACGAAGCCACCTTCATAGCTGCGATGGGCTGGAGGCGATGCGACTCCAACCTTCACCGATGGGTCTGGATGATTCGTCTGAATGGTAACTGTCAGTACCTGTTGTGATACATGACGAAACGATCCTTGATCACGACCCGCACTCAGCGGAGCCGAGAGAGGCGACATACCTCACTTGACCAGCAGCGACCGGTGGAGTTGTTGATGATGTCGGCAAGCACTTGGGGCTTGACCCCGAGAGATCTGCCTAGAAGCGTGGCTTCGCTGTTCACACGTCAGCACAGGGTATTCCTGAATGGGGGACGCAGGCAGGTCTTACCTCAAACCGAGCATAGTGATTCCGAGCAGGAGGCTGTTGATGTCCAAACATCAATATCCCCTATCATTCGAAATGATGATAGACGAAACCTACTTGTTGGAGATTTTGGCAGCGAGGCCGGTTCCCAGATCACCACAGTGCGTCACCTTTCTTGCCATTGGTGACAGGACCGGGAGAGCTCTTTCAAAAGACCCTTCGTCACCACCTACCACGATGGCAAGAGTGCCGTCTCTTGCGCCCACAACACCTGCAGGCAGTTAGCATGGTCCACAGGACGATGATGACGAGAAAGCCCACCCCCTGACACTGGTGCGTCCATCATGTCGGCTCCCACTTCTCGCATCTTCAGCGCGACCGCCTTGCTGACACTTTGCTCGATTGTTGATTGATCCAAGCATAATGTTTGCGATCGTGCCTCCTCATCGAGCTCTTTCAAGGCACTCAGGACTCCGTTCTCGCCGGTGTAGACGTTTTGGACGTGAGCTGACGTGGGGACCATGCTGATGATGTATGATGCTTTGGTCGCAACTTCTGCAGGAGCTACATTCGACTTAGCACTGTGGCCCAGAGTGGAAATTGGGATCGTCTTCCTTACACGAGCACTTCAATATGGGGACCAGAGGATGCTCCGTCTTGTGTCGTTGAATCTCGCGGTTCATGGCGATCTCGTTAACATCGAAAATAGCAAAACTTTTGAACTGGCTACAACTCTTCGCAGCACTCGTAACGAGGTTATTAAACTATACTTCATATCAGCAAATACTTCCAATGCAACAAGAGGTGTGGAATTTCTCACCATATGGTTTCCCATCGCTCCCAACCCGATGAAGCCGACGGTACTAGTCCTCTCAAGCAACATTCTGGAGTTCGACATAGTGTTTACACTGGTTTAGACGATGAGATCCCAAGTTTGGAGGTTGTCGCAACATAACGTGGTCGTTGAAGGAATTCTGTCTACTTATGTGGCTTTCTGCTAGAGACAATTGTCGCTGTTTCCACGTCGTCACATTTCGGCCACAACACCGCCACGCTTATGACGCCCATCAGAAGGGTCTGCGAGGTCGACCGAGGCTTGAAAAAGCGGCCTGAAAACCGAATACTATCCGCTGCGTCTTTGTCGTCACCTTGAAGTTGTGTTCTGCGCCGCCGTTAAGCCGAGACTTCTAACCCCGGCGCCCCCCGGAATAGCTGCTCCAACTGCTTAACACAGATATCTCAACGAATCGGGGGGAGACCTACTTCGGACCGGCCGGACCGCAGGCCAAGAAGGGTGGAATCGTAGTCCACTGATTGGCATGACAGAAGAGGTAGGGTCCATTTCTCGGAGCATACATTGAGCATGCGACCTTTGTAATTTTGAGGGACGCATCCATCAAGCCTTCCTCCTTCAACAAACAGTCCTTCGACAACCTTTTATTAAACAAGAGCTCAGTCACGATGCCGCGAAACGCTGTCACTATTCGCAAAGTCGAAGGCGACCCCGGGAAGGTGTACTATCCGCTCGAGAGAATGACCTACGTCGAACCAGAGCCCGAGAAAGAGGAGGCCATTGTGCAAATGACGGCAGCAGCTCTCAATCATCGAGACTTTTTCATCCGAAAACATCTCTATCCGGGTACGACATTTGGGGTTCCTCTCCTGTCCGATGGCTGCGGTGTCGTCTCTGCGACAGGGTCGTCGGCCGATGCCAAAAGGTGGTTGGGGAAGCGAGTTATTCTGAATCCAGGCGTCGGGTGGGAGTCCAGTCCTGAAGGACCTGAGGACTCGGCGGGATATAGATATCTCGGGGGGACCAAGTTTCACCTGCAGGGAACTTTGTCCGAGACTGTTCGTGCCACCTGGCTTGAGGTTGAGGAGGTCCCAGAACACCTGACTGACATCGAAGCTGCTGCTTTGCCACTAGCCGGACTGACTGCCTGGCGGGCTCTTGTCACCAAAAGTGGAGCCGCGGCTCCAGGTCGGAATATCCTGGTCACGGGCATCGGAGGCGGAGTGGCTTTGATGGTGTTGTTGTTTGCATCAGCAATGGGAGTCAACGTTTATGTGACCAGTGGATCAGACGAAAAACTCGAGAAAGCCAGGTCCCTCGAAGCCCGCGGAGGGGTGAACTACAAAGCCAACTCGTGGGAGAAAGAGCTTCTGAAGTTGTTGCCTGCGGAAATGCCTTTCTTTGATGCGATTATCGACGGGGCTGGGGGCGATGTCGTGGTCAGTGGCACAAGAATCCTCAAGGCAAGTGAATCGTCAAGATCAGCTCCTTGTTAGAATCTGACTAACGGTTATTTCTCTGCAGCAAGGAGGTGTGATAGTGTCATATGGTATGACCCTCGGCCCTGAAGTAACCTATTCAATGAGTGCTGTTTTGAAGAATATCGAGATACGTGGGTCTACAGGAGGCTCTCGCAAGGAATTTCGTGATATGGTCCGATTCGTCAAGGACCATCATGTCCGTCCGGTCATCTCGTCCGTGGTCACCAATGCTCTGGAGGATCTGGGGGAGCTGGACAAGTTGTTCGACAAGATGAAGGACCAGAGCCAATTTGGAAAGCTGGTCGTCACAATCGGCCAAGCTCAGGCAAACCCTGGTACACCTGTAGGAACCCAGAAGGGTCATAAAATATGATGAATTCGCCGCAATGGCATTAACAAAAGAGATATTGGACGGTCGTAGTGCCTTGGGCTCCACTTACTCCTGTCTGCCTTGTCTCTACCACTATGTACGTGCTAGCTACTAACGTTGGCTTCTTTATAGGATTGAAATTTATGTAGTACTGGTATGTACAATAGTTGATGTTCTTCTATGTCCGAAGTGATCGTGTCGGCGACCTCTAATCGAGTCTTCTCAGAATGTAGAGGTTAAGTTCGACCCGACACTGATCTGCTCGCGGCCGGACCGTGTGGACTTAGACCGGACCGACCATGGCAGTCCAGACCCCAGACTCCAGACCCCATGGAGGACAATCTAGAGACTTTCATCTGAAAACGGTGCGTCCGTCTGTACGGTAACCGCATCTATAAGAGTCATGCTTGTGAAGAACAAGCCCCAGCCTCCAGGGTTGGAGACCATCCTCCCACTGCTTCCTACAAAGAAACAATCTAACAAAACTCTAGCATGCAAGTTCTAGCAAGCAAATTTAGTTGCTCTCCTCTTCCGCCACTTTCTCTATATTGAACCCAACCCATCCATGATCATGGCCACCCAGAAGGAAACCACCGCACCACACGAGACAGATATCCAACGCTGCGAGAGCTCAGAAAATGCTTCGGAAAAGGGACTCGACTTTGGCCACGGCCCTCTCGCTCACGTGCGAACCAACCTGTCCGCAAATCTTCCAGGTAAGGACTTCCGAAGACGAATCTGAGTGCCCACTCAATTGCTCATTGACTCGCATCGACGCAGCTTTCGGGGGCGAGATGCAGCCCTGTCTCTATCGATCTGTCTCGCAACGGAAATTTGCCAATCCAGATCCACTCGGATTGTCAGCCTTCGCATTGACAACTTTTGTCCTCAGTTTGATTAATTTGGAGGTCCGCAACCTCGGCGTGCCCAGAATCATAATTTCTCTGGCGTTCAGTTATGGCGGCCTTGTTCAATTGCTCGCAGGGATGTGGTAAGTTTTGAATCTGCTTCGTGGAAACCTTGAGGGCTTTAGAATTGATGACGATTTGGATATAGGGAAATGGCCATTGGCAACACGTTCGGAGCCACCGCACTTTCTTCATACGGTAGCTTCTGGATCGCCTTCGCCATCATCCTCACTCCGGGCGGGTTTCAGATCGAGGCGACTATCGAGGAAGCGGCCGGCCCAGACGCCTGGCTGAACTCGATTGGATTCTTCCTTATGGTATGATCAATTGAGTCCTTCAACCCCTAGTCTTCAGTACAATTTAACAACCCATCTAGGGCTGGTTTATTTTCACCACAATCCTGTTGATCTGCACTCTGAAGTCCACCGTGGCGTTCTGCGCTGTTCTTCGTGCTCGAAATTGCACTCTTGATGCTCGGCTGCGCATATCTGAACCCGCAGAACGGCGCTCCTCACAAAGGCCTGATGCACGCTGGCGGTGGCTTTGGTATCATCACGGCTTTCTTGGCATGGTACAACGCGTTTGCCGGTATCGCGGACACATCCAACAGCTTCTTCATTGTCCCGGTGGGGCATTTTCCGTGGTCAGAGAAAGGGAGGAGTACGAGACTCGGTGATGGAAATAACGATGCTGTCTAGATGATTATTGATCGACGGCATCCACAGGCCTGTCAGTTTGCGACCCGTTGATTAAGCCGTTGAGAAGAGCTGCCTCGAATTGCGATAGTCCAAAAGCGGGGAAAAAGAGACTTGTGGTCCTGGCCTGTATCTATTCTGGAGATTTGCGAGGCTAATGGACTTGCTGCCTTGGTTGAGAGCTGTCATTCATCTTATTCGCAGGGGGAAACTTACTTGCAATGAGAGCATTGGCGAGCACAAAGATCATCGCCCAATTTTCCACCAGAATATTTCGCAGCCACCATGCATCCGACGTCGTCATGAAACCGAATATTATTGTACAAGTCCGTCATAGAGGTCACCGATGCCATCTGCAAAGATCGAAAAATCGGCTGTGGTAGCATCCATAATGCCGAACAGGTCGGTCCAAGAGTCCAACCACATATCCGCATCTGGATTGAGAGCCTCCCTCAGTCCTGCCGCCACTTCATTCGACATTGTGCTATAGTCGACGAGTCTCCACATCGTATCTGTGTTGGGACCGGACAGTGGTGCAATTTGAGGTGAGGAAGTGCGAAAGTCTTCGAAAACAACGGCGTTCTTGGCGATTTCGCGCAGAATAGTGGCCTAGGTCATGTTAGGAGAATGGTTGAGAGAAGTGGTTAAGACAATTCAGGTCTCTCAGGTTCGCGGGAAGCCGCTCGAAAGTACCTACCATTGTGGACACGTTGTTCCAATAGCGACCAACGTCCTCCAAGTAAGAAATGGCTTCATGTACTAGACTTCGGGCTGTCAAACTCAAGTCCGAATCGTCGCCACGCATATGCAGCAGGGCGATTGATCCTGCTACGGTTATGCAGTACCCACTAAAGGAAGATTGAAAGACACAACCCAAGTTACGAGCAACGCGAATGAGTTCGAGCATACTCTGCGCGTGTAGAAAGCCGGTCTGATTTGTTCGCGCCAAAAAGCTGCTCGGAGCCGTCATCCGACTGTTTTCGATCCGCCTCCTTAATAAGAAAGGGTGATTGAGCATGCAATAAGAGAGATGGAACAGTGCTCGAGCGAACAGAATGTGTCCAACGCTTTGGTGGTCGACAGCGCCGTACTGGTCGATGTGGGGTGCAAGTATCTCTTGGACCGGCTTTGAGGTTTCTAGTCGTGTTTCGAGATGTAGAAGGTCCGACTCGATGGCTGCGAAATCCGAGCTGGGGTCCCATGGGGGGCAGCGGCTCCGGATGTTGAAATCTTGTAACATGTATTGTGCTCCTCTTCCGAGGGTATAAGCCATGACGATGACGTGGGCAAAATTGCCTTGAAGTTCTGAATTAACCATGGTACGGTTGGTGAGCTCGTCCAGGGTTGGTGTCTTTTTCCATCGTCCTTCTTTCCAAATCGCGTCGTCGCAGGGGAGTTGTAAGTGGCAGGATGAATCAACAATTGCTGGAGGTCGGCCTCGCCCGCACGATACCAAGCGGTCGAGAAGGTAGACTGACCAAAAAGTCCTGTGTCGCTCTTCTCGGTCAGGAGACGGAAGGTTGGGAGTAGCATCGAGCATAAGGCCGAGATCTTGGGCGATCCTGACGGCCATTCCTATCTTCACCCAGGCAGAGCCATGGCGGGTTTGACCAGCTGACGGACAAGATGATTAGTGTTTTTCTCTTAGTGTCAAGGAATGATCCTCACCTGAAAAGTCGAATAGGGCTAGAAGAGCTATCGTCTGTACGATGGAAAGATCCGCTGCCTTGTTGGCAGTCAAGCAATTCTTCACCACCGACTTCCAGGATTGGTTCGCATACAAGACAGACATTTCGTGTGGGTTATTGGCAAAATAGGAATGTGCACAATAGCGAACACTGTACGCAAAGACGGCGAGAATCAAATACTCGGGAAGGGAGTCGATCGATAGGCGATGACGAAAATTGCCCTCGTGGAAGAAGGAGTACGGTTGATTGTGGCAGTAGGTGAAATACGTAACGACGACAGACTCGAGGATGTCATTGGGTATAGAAGGGTTGGCTGGTAATGGGGTGCTTGCTGCGGTGTCATCATTGAGCTCATTCCCAGATGATACAATGTTGCGTGGCTTCTTTCGAGGCCGCTCGGCGACGGCATCATTCTCGTGGGGAGCAGCATCATTGGAAGACTTCTTGACTAGGAGATCCAGGATACTTTAGAACGATGTGGTCAATCGAAGCCACGGGCAATTCGTAAGGGTCAAGTAGTACTTGCTTTTGAAGCTGAGTTCCGAAATGATCTAGCCGCTGTTCGATGGCGTCTAAGCGGAATCGTATGTGATCCTGATGCTGGCCCTGTGAGCTCAATCAGCTTCGGCGGCACTGAGGAGAAAGCCTGGAGCCATTTCCGCACATTACTTCCGGGGCCATGTTGGGGCGAGGAGGCTGATTCTTCCACGCTGCTCTTTGATCCAGTTGATTCGAGGTAAACACAGTCTGAAAAAGGTCAGATACAATGTCTTTTGAGACAAGTTCAGAATACCAAGTTTCAAGCGACGACAATGTCCACATTTAGGGCGCTCGCCTGTACATCGAGACTTTTTACGTCTGCGAAATTTTGATTTGGTTCAGCAAGAACCGAGAGGTAAGGAAGAAGCCGTGAACGAACCTGCATGAAACGCAAGCTTGGCCAATGCGGCGGACAGGAAAATAATTGCTGTGGGAGCTGTCGTGTGCTACGTTCATATCTGATAAAGCACTGCGTGTGATGACTGAGGACTTGAGGAGGTATTGAGAAGGTTGACATGAAGGCCAGCAGCCTGCGATAGAGGCCAGAAGCAAGGCCTGGCCTCAAAAGCTTCAGGCACTTTGGTTCTTTTTGGCGGTCGCCTTCATCTTCCCCGCGTTTCGCCCCACGCCGCGCATGAGCAAACTACGCGGCGAGGTGGTTCCTCTAGCTTTCTGAATTATCGCCATGACTGAGTCTCGCTAGCACCTTATCATAACCGAGACTCAGTTGCTCGAACAAGACGTACAGATAAGGAAATCTCGTGCTCTCTTCGTATGTGACGAACTCGGAGAGCTCGCCAGCTGGATGCTGCGTCGTCGACTTCTTTCTGCAGCTTCATACTCGGAGGCGAGTGCGATACAGCTTCAAACATTGTCGTGGATATTTCTAAATAATTTTGTGAAATCTTCCTGGAGGGCTCTGGACATTGCATTATGCATTCCACCGACTGCGACATGGTCTCCGATTCCACTCCTCTTCCAAAGCCTCTGTCCGATGCAATATCCACCCGCTCACAGTTTGGAATCCTGGTTCCGACTCGCTCTGCACCGGGTGGCCTAGCCTCAAAGACCAGTTGTGGCCACAACTAAGATCTGTCTTCCATACCCACTGGACGCACCCTTGATCTTCTAGACAGGCTGCTTGACACTGGGAGGGAGATAGCGTGACAGCCTTCTGCTCTTCTGGGGTCTGGTTTTCGGTGTCAATTTTGAATACTCGATCCGTTGACAGATTGTCCCAATTAGTCTTTGTGTCGGCAATACTGGGTTTAACAAATTTCAGGAATAAATGCTTGAATCGATAGAATCCTTGATTCTCTTGGTGCCACCTCCGATCAAAGTCGAATAGCTCCTTCATCGCCCACGGCTCGACATGATGCCACGTCCAGCTTGGCTCACACCAAGTACGGCTGCTCCAGCTGATCTCGGGAATGGTCGCGAACTGTACCAATGGTGCCGCATTCCGTAGCTTGATCCCGGCGTCTCTCATCGCCATGCCTAACATGACATCTCCGCAGCAAGTGATGGCCGTCTCTGCCTCCCACTTATCGATGTGCTCGCGATCATAGATTCTCTCGAAGGCAGCAGCTGCGCCGGCGCTGATGATGTAGCCAGACCCGCCATGCGCAAAAGTGAGTTCTCCGTCATAGTTATTCGCTGCACCAATATAAAGAGGCAGAGTATGGTTGAGCTTGTCCAGGGTTTGCACGACATTGTGAAACGCAAGGAAGGTATCTGCGTCAATGAAGACATACCATTTGACATTGGGGTATTTTTGATATGCTTCGTGTAGAATTGGGATATTCTTCCACTTATCCAAGGTCCAGGCTTTGCCGGCGTTGCGATCTAGTTGTCCAAAAGCGGTGACATTCACCTGGGCATAGTATGCCTTGTGGACGCTGCGGTAGAATTCGAATTCGGAGCTGTTCTCTCTGTACTCAGTTGAGACTGATTTTAGAGCATCGTGTATCCTGTGGCTTTCGATCTGCTGGTCGAGATCGGAGAAGATCATAACGTTTGGAATGCACACACCAAAACTCGAGAGAATAGGTGGGATGCGGACGGAAGCCTCTGTAGCTCCCGTTTTGATGACGACCAGGACATCGCTCGATCCGGGCAGCGGTGGACATGATGTGGAGGACTCTGTGATGGGAGAGTTTGAGTTCGTGAGACCTGGAACCGCAGTGTCTTCCAGGGCATGGAGAGGTTGGTACGTGCGGTAGATCAGCCATATGAGGGATATCGCAACGAATATAGCGGTGATTCTGACTATCCGGGTCTCCCTCATCCCGACCCCAGAGCCAACCGGTCTTGCACCGGGGCTGCCACGTCGAAAAAGCACGGTCTCAACGCTCTCAGGTATTTCTGTGTCGGACAAGACCCGACGTACAATACGATGTCTCGTCCTCTCACATGGTTCTGTATTTGGATTGGCCTGGGTCCCATGACACTCCAAAGGATGCCCGCCAACAAAACGGGTGAGCGACGAGAGTTAGAGCGGCGAGCATCCAACAGCCGCTTTCTACACTAGTGGGCGGTTTTAACTACTAGGTAGGTATGGAGTACCTAGCGAGCTAGGTAGGTACCCTCGTACATGTACTGTAGTACTACCTAGTCTTTACCCGCTGAGCCTTGGCGACAATCTCCAAATTGCTGAACTGCGCGACTTCAACAAACTACGAAAGCCCCCAGCAGTTCTCTTCCTCGATCAATCCGCCGCAGTTGCGGCATTTCATGCACGTCCATATATGTTAGCACGTGCGACCAATACGGTCCATATCTGCCTGCAATGCCAGAGAAACCTTGCCAGGGCCAGCCTCAATCCATCAGGAGCCGCAGAGTCTGGCTACCGTCGTGGACTACGACGATGGCAGAGCGTAGCGGCACATCAGCTAGCACACGAAGAAGTCGGCGGAGATCATGACGACAACACTAAGCCATCTCTCGAAAGCGATATAAAACGCCAACCAACAACGCCGTCCTGGCCTCAGCCCCGACGTCGAAATTTTCGAAATTGGAAGCCCAAACCCACCGCGCAACTTGGGGTCAACTCCCTTGGCCAACCCACCGAGGTGTTGCTTCTGCCCACGAGAGATCGGCGAATACCCCAGGTCCCACAGGATGAAGGGAAGGAAAAGATGCTGGGCAGCACATTGCAAGAGTCCATCGCCTTAGAGAACGTCCCGCTGAACCGCCAGAGGCTGGCAGAGAACATCGAGCAGGTGCGCTCTCTCGTGGGGAAGATGCGCGGGCAGCTGGAGGAACACGAGTGGACAACTCTGAAGAGGCACCTGCAGGGCGGGTTTGAAAAAAAGCAAATGAGAAGGTACATTCGACTGCGCAAAAGCAACGGCTCCTTTCCCAGGGATATCGAGAAATACAACAAGAGGGAACTGATTAAATACTTGGTTGAAGAAGTCTGGGGCTTCACAATCCCAATGCAAGACGAGCCCGTCGCTCCCACAACCAAAGAGTCGAACAGAGAATCGGAGATGATTTTCGCCCTGCACGAGTCCGTCAGGTTCGACCATCTCCTGATGAATCCCAGTCAGCCTTTGAAGAGAATCGCTCAGGAGTGGGATGTTCAGATCGATGTCTATCCGGAGCAATTCAAGATCAGAACGAGGGGAGCCAAAACCAAACTTAACAAAGCGCTGCAAGAAATTTCTGCCTACGCAAAAAAACTTGGACAGATTGCCATACAACTCACGGGAACCCTCGGTGCCATGTACCGAGATCCCGCTACGAGGGAGTATTCGAGTGCGTATCTGAAGTCAATCCAACGGAAATACCAAGGATTGAGTATTGGCATGGACGAGCAATGCATCAGAATTGTCCATCTTAACAACCCCCGTGGTGCTGACCAGGCTCGCCGCGAGATCCTGCTTTCTGTGCCTACGGAGAACTCTTTGGGGAATTCACTCATCTGGCCGCGAATGGACCTACCGACAACTAGCCATCAGCCTTTCCCAACACCACTTGAATTTCCCGCGTTGTTGCATCATTCTCAGTGGCTGAGGCTGGTGTCTACGTCCCAGAGTTCGCAGACTTCCAATGATGGTAGTGGCAAGGATCCTGCACTTGCACCGCTTCTACAAGGTCTCCGGGATGCATTTGACCCAGCTTCTAGGACCCGCAAGGCGGACAATCGGCAAGAACTTTACTATGATGTGACTGTCAAATTTGGGCAAGCTTTGATGCAAGACTTTCCACAAGCTGTCAAGGGTGCTGTTGTTAAGCCCGTCGCTGTCGAAGCAGAGGAGAATGAGCGGTCGGCAAGCGTCGTCATTTCACCCGCTGGCAGACCTGAAGGACTTGAGACTGGCAAAGAAGATTTATCAGCAGAGAACCAAACAAGAGTCAAAGCCGACTTGTCCGAGGCGCAGAAGAACACGTCGACTGCTGAAAATAACGGACCTACTTCTGCGACTACATTGAAAGCTCAAGGGTCGATCGGACAAGCTTTCACAGGAGGAAGATCAGAGCGACCACACCCGACGTACGAAACTCAGAGACGACGTTTCGTGGGCGGAGGACCATTTCTGGCACAGCACCTTGCACTTATGGAGCCATGGATCGATTTAACACCAAGCCCTTCCACGGATATAGACAAAACAGCTCGTGCCATATTGCGTCTCGAGCTTTCGCCCGTTCCAGACGTGAAAGACTCGCCGACTTTCGAAATATTTGTGAGCGCAGGCAAATCCGCAGGTCAAAAAAGACCTCGACTCCAAATCGTTCGGGTATCGGCCATTCATCAAGAAAAACATCTTACGGTGTTGTGCCCAGACTCTCACATGGACATACAACTCACGCAGCAGCTCAAGCGAGACCTTTCCTACCCTGGCTCTTCCGAGGCTGGAATCGTGCACTCCTTGGTGACTAGCTTGCGTAGCTATATCAACAATGCGTCCAGCAAAGGTTCCTCGGATTGGGTGTTTCCGCCATTCGTCGCTCTACCGGTGCATCACGATTTGCGAGAAGCTCACAAACGGACTCAGCGTGCCGTCGGCCAAGATGAAACGCAGGAAACCCCCAGTGGAGCGGAGACAGCAGGCGAGAAGAAGCCCCAAAGGAGACGGGAATACATTCTCCGATCAGTGGATGTCGTCGACATTGATTCGCGGCTCTTCTCGGTCGAGTCGACCTCCAAATCCCCCAAGACCAGGTCTGATACTAGATCAAGCTCTAAGCGCGCAACTAAGTCGACGGCAAAGTTTTGCTTGGACCACGTTACATACACGGGCGCAGCTGTTACGAGGCAAGAGCTCCGTCTTGCAGAGCGACCATTGCTGTGCCCTCCCACGTTGACAGAACCAGACTTGCCCATGTTGGTGAAGGCAGCGTTGGATTTGGTGAAACGACTGAGCAACAATCCTGTGAAGACTCAGAGCCCTTCAGCTAGGAAGACTTCGTGAGTGATCGAAGGTCGATTAGTTGGGGAGCAAACCATGTGGGAAACCTGGAAGCCAGCTGTAAAGACACCGAAGAGTGCATTCGAAGAAAGTTTGGGGAACCACAAGAGCAAGCCTGATGCTGACGCGACAAACAAGCAAAGCCCTTCAAGTCGGGAAATTGTCAGGATTTTCGCAAAGTCTCTCAAAAACGAGTGTGCCGAATCCCAGAAGACGACGTAATGGAGGGTTCCTGTGCATTAGTGTTTTTGGAGGCCATTGCATTAACGATAACCCACGGACACCTGGAGTCATGGGTGCTGGTCCTCGCCTGATCGCAGTCTAGTCCCTCAGGAGACTGTGGCTCGTAGTCATCATTTTTCTTCTTCTTTACATGTGTACACTAGAATCCAAATCAACCACTGTTCATTCCCACATCCATACTATGTGCGGATGAGACAGGAGCATACATGAAACAAGGGAAGGTAGCTTTTTGGGCGCCCGCGACTGTTTGCTTGCACATGAGTGAGCTGTATGAGTAAAATAATGTACCGAGTCAAACGGGTATAGCAGGGCAAGCAATGCCTTTGTTTGTGTACGTGTAAGCAAAGCTAAATGGGACATGGGAATGGGAATGGGAATGGGAATGTACGAGGTACATAGGTACTTTATTATATAAAGAGGCTACTCAGGGTATATGGAGATCACGGACACTCACGGGCGGGAAGGGAAAAAACGGAGAAAAGGAAAAAAGGAGGAATGAAAGTAAAAGCACGAGTATAGCACAGCTGTTGATATCGGTATACTCATTGCGTCCCACAACGCAGAGAACATGCATAGAAATGATAGAAAATATAGAACACCCGTTCCTACATAGATTTCCGGCCGTGCCGACGGGACTGGAGCGGTATATGCGAGACATTCCCCCACAAGCACCACCTTTCCCCCCCTCTCCTTCCCTTTCATACACTATCAATGAGTCCTCAAGTACTCCGTAACAGCAGGTGCGATGCTCGGCCTGCGCGACGCGTTGGGCGTGGTCACCACGGACCCTCTGCGCTGGGCCAGGGCGTCCTCGGCGCGGCCGTGGTTGGCCAGCACGTTGGTCACCGAGGGCACGAAGGACGGCCTGCGCGGGGGACCGCCCGTGACCGAGTTGTTGTAGCGCGCGGCGAGCTGGTTCTGGTCGTGCTCATCGAACTCGTCAATCTGGGTCGTCTTGAACTGGCGGGCGGGCACGTTCTTGGCGAAGAGGATGTCGAGTTCGTGGAACGTGCGGCCCTTTGTCTCGGGCAGGCGGAAGTAAGCCCAGATGAAGACCAGCCAGGCACACCCTCCCCACACGAAACCCGTGTACCCCTGCAGATTCCAGGCCTTGGGGTTCATGAAGAAGTTCTCGAGCGTGCCGCCGATGACGCCCGTGATGTTGGACACGTTTCGCGCCAGGCACACGGTCTTTTGTCTCAGCCGGGTCGACCCGATCTCGGCGGGCAGAGCCCAGCCCAGCTGGCCGGCGCTGAGCTGGAAGGTCACGGTCCACACCAAGGTCAGCACTGCCTGCGTCCAAGCGACTGAGGGATGAGAGGTCCAAGGGTTGAGGATGCCAATCAGGCACAACTCGACGGCCATGGCGCACATTCCCCACACGTAGACGGTGCGGCGGCCGAAGTACCTGGAAGATTTCGCGTCAGAAAACGACCTGAGGAAGAACAAAGTTCAGCGAGTGATGTTTACTTACGGCATGAGCAAGAACCAGTTGGCGAAACAGGCCAAAAGGGCAAGGCCGTTGGCTCCAACGCCCAAGGAGTAAGCCGCCTTTGTGTCCAAGCCGACTTGTTGGAAGACTGCGACAGTATTAGCACCAATGATCCCCCGTCCGCAGAGGAAGCAAACTCACAGTATGTTGAAGCATAGGCAAAGCAGAGACCACACACGAGCTGACCACCAAAGACCACGCAGGCGATCTCCGTCCGGCGCCTCTCAAATCCTCGGAAACAGTCGAAATACGACGTCCCCACGGCGAGTTGCTCCTCCAAGTTATTCGTGTAGACAATAGTCGCGAGGGTTCTTTTGGGGTCCAGCCCGGGACCAGGAGCCTGCAGTCTGCGAATCGACCTCTCGGCTTCTTCGAGGCGGTTGTGACGAACAAGGTGATAAGGCGACTCCGGGGCGAAAAAGATCAAGGGGATGAGGAACGTCGGCCAAAGCCACTGGACTGCGAACGGGATTCTGTATCCCCACTGGTCGCTTCTGCTGACCAGGCCACGCAGGACACCGCCGGAGATGAACTGGCCGATGATGAAACACATGTTCACATACGAGGTGAAGAAGACGCGGAGCTGCAGTGGGAGCACCTCGGATGCGTATGCCGGTGCAGTGGTGGCAAACTGAAACGCGCATCAGTACTTGAATCGATATCATGAATCGGACAGTGATGGCTTACGATGCCCCATTCGAAACCCAGCAGAATCTCGCCCACCAGAAGAACTTCCTTGCTGGGCGCGAAGAAAAGGATGAAGAGGAAGCAGGTCATGACACAGAGAGTGCATAGCAGGACCTTGCGAGGACCGAATGCGGTAATGAGCCACCCGTTGATGATAGTACCCAGGATCGAACCGCAGCCTGCGCAGTTTTGTTAGCCATGGCTACTTGGAGCCTCTTTTTTCTTGCTGTTGGAAAACCCACCAGAGCCTTGCCCGAGACCAGACTGCCAACCAGCAGTCAGGGAATAACCAGTGGGCGTCTGTTTCGAGACGCCAACCCAATCGCCATACTTTCTCTGGAAGGATGCTATATGGATCATCAGTCCGCGGATATAAGTCGGAATGTGGACATCAAAAGCCACTCACGGTATGCGTAGAAGTTGCCGATAAGATTTGTATCATAGCCCTAACTCGGTCAGATTGACTGGGCGAAGAAGTCTTCTCGGCGTGGTGACATACCTCCATGATGACGCAGGTTGAAATTACCAAGCTCCAGAAGATGGCTTTCTTGTAGGCCTTGAGAGCCTGAGGGATTGTCATCTCCTTCTCGTCTTTGGCGACATCCTGAGCCGCAACACTCAGTTTCTTGTCTCCCCACTGCTCCTCTCTCCATGTGCGATCGAAGTTGCCGTTGGGCTCGTCGAGGTGAATAACATCCTGGCCTTTTTCCGCCATTCTGACGACGAGGCGAGTGTCTTCGAGATAGGACTGTGCTGGGATGTTGAAGGAGGGTTGTTGCAATGATCCCAGCATCAGGCGCGGGCGCAGGCTGGTAGTTATAGTTGTTTTCTCCTCCTCAGTCGCAGGAGTCCTTCCCCAGCATGCATCGCTGAATCCAGTCTGTCTACGCGAATAGCGAACATATTCCTCATGGTACGAATGTCACCTGGCTGTAGTTAGCATTAGTTTGGGAACACAGAACAGCATGAGGTCATACAATTTTGGTGGCGGTAGCGGACAATGGCGGGATTGAAATCGTATGATTTGCTGATGATTGTGTGGCATCTTGAAGGAAACAGCACAATACGGGGCATAGCTGGTCAGGTCTAACCAAGAGCTGATCAGCCTCAGTCTAGAACGAGTCGAAGGAGTGGATGGCGTCGAGAGGCAATGCGGGGGGGCAAGTGTGGGTGAAGTTGTGGTGTCGAGTCCCAAGACTTTTAGCCTGATGTGCTTTCGGCCCGATTCCAGCAGCACCAGCCAGTTGGGTGCCAGTGGTGAGTGGTGCATCTCTAACAGAGAATTCATTCTCCGCCAGGGGTCGGAATATGCGTGGAGAGCTCCTCATTTCATTTTCTTGCGGAGAATATGCATGTAGATTTTGCTCAACAAGCTGATCCAGAGATATCGTATTCCAGACAAGAAAATCCAATGCGGGTTAGTCCTTCCCCCCGAAATCTTCTCCAGGCTCGACTCTTGGTAGTAGCCTCTCTTCATCATCGCCCACTTCTCCAGAATTTCTGGCAACCCTGCCGCTTGCTCCGGCCTGGTCAAGGTTGGTCAGTCGCTCGCTTTCATCCACAATATCCCACCCTGGACTTGCTGCACGGGCCGGCGTATTAGCTCCCGCTTTCCTCGAAAACTGCTGCATCTCGTTCTCGTCCAAAGCGTGGACATTGGTCGATTCAAAGTCCCGCGTGTTGACTCTCTTTGCGAACAAGATGTCAAGCTCTTCATACGTCCTGTCCTTCGTCTCCGGCAACCTGTACCACGCCCACACCCACGTAAGAATGGCTGTTGTGCCCCAAAATAACCCGGTATAACCACTCCAGTTCAATGCCTGTGGGTTCAGCATGTACGGCTGGACCGCCCCTCCTACGAAGCCGACAAGATAATAAGCGTTGCGCGCAAGACATATGGTCTTAATCCGAAGTCGAGTAGAGGAAACTTCTCCGGGAATGGACCAGCCTAATTGTCCCACTGAAAGTTGAAAGACTATAGTCCAGACGAGGGTAAGCAAAGCCTGCGTAAAGGCGACGAAAACGTGGGAGGTCCAGACATTTAAGACGCCAATGATGTAGAGAATGAGAGACATGACCAGCATCGACGTGGTGTAAATTCTGCGACGGCCGAAGTAGGGCATGACGAGGAACCAGTTCGCCAAAGTCGCGACCAGTGCCAACCCGGTCCCGAAGAGACTCAGCGTATAAGTGGTTTCTGCACTGAGGCCGACCTGCTCGTAGAAATATGTCGCATTATATCCGAATGAGAGCCCGGAGAAGTTTTGGCCCGCGAAGACCATACACGCAATTTCGGTGCGTCGGAGTTCGAATCCACGGAAGCAGTCGGCATAGGACGTGCCTATTTGCAACGATTGTTCCAGATTATTTGTGTGGACGATATCCGCGAGCGTGTCTTTGGGGTCAATCTTTGCTGTGCGCGACTGAAGGCGTCGGATTGATTTCTCGGCCTCCTCGAGACGCCCCTTTCGGACGAGGTACCAGGGTGACTCTGGCGCAAACGACAATAGAGGAATGAGGAACGCCGGCCAGATCCATTGAAATCCAAAGGGTATGCGAAATCCCCATTCATCGTCCCTTTCTAGAAAGATTCTCAACACGATTGCACATATAATTTGTCCGATGATGAAACTCATATTGGTGAAACTCGAAAGGTAGGCCCGGAGAGCCATGGGGAGCACCTCGCTGGAGTAAGATGGCGCGAGCGTGGCAAAGATCCCCCATGGAAAACCACATAAGAATTGTCCGATCATCAGGACCACTATGTTAGGGGCGAAGAAAGTCATGAAGATGAGACAAGAGAGGAGGCACAGGGCGCCAATCAACACTCGTTTCTGGCCCAGTCGGTCGACAAGATAGCCGTTCAAAATCGTGCCCAAGACAGCGCCAACGCCCGAGGCCGTTCCAATCTGCGGTTCGTGATTAGCTACAACCACAGCTTCATGTTTGGACGTTGAAGCATGATTGAGACACAGGTCAGGAAAAGCCAGGACTTACCGCAGCCATCCAAGCCGCGCTGAGCTGATACCCAGACTTCGTCTGCTCGGTAACTCCAACGAATTCGCCATCTACAAGAAAACCCCTTAGCACCGGGAAGCTCTAAAGAGCGAATCAATGGGGCGGAGATGAGACGTACATTTTCGTTGAAAGGTAGGATAGGCATAGAAGTTGGGCACCAGAACGCTGTCAAAGCCCTCCATGATGACGCAGGTGCTGACCGCGAGGGACCAGAACACGGCCATCGGGTAAGCTCTGAGGGCTTGTCGCACGGTCAAATTGTGCTGAAGATGGGAATGATTCGAGGCAGCTTGTTCAAGCCCTCGATTCTCTTCTCCCTCTCTACCGCTATGCCCCTCGTGGCGCAAGGGCAATTGTCTTGCGCTTCCATGATGGGAGAAGTCTCGCACCTGGACACTCTCTTCGGCAGCTCCTCCGTTGGCCAATAGCGGGCGGTCGCCCGAATGGTCGTCGTCCTCAAGACTTACCCTCGAAGGAGTGCTGGCTATGGAATCATGGTCTGGGTATCTCGGTCAGGTACATTCCAATTTTGCGGAAGTATTCTTCAGCCTAGAGTCTTTACCGTCCATTGCAGCCTCTCGGGCATCCTCACCGCTGGTAGGAGTAGTGAATCCTCCGTTGGCTGGGTGGAATCGAAGCGGTAGGAGCCGCGTGCGTACCCTGTTGTCGCGTGAGGGTATTGGCGCGTCAGACTGGAACGGGACTGGCGCAATGGCCAAAAGACGCGAGAGGGCGGGATCCACGGGTCAACACCCCAGATCTGGGTGGGTCATAGACGCATCATTGGAGAACAGGGTGGTGTTATCTTGTGCTTTCTGGGGAGTGGCTGATCAGGACAAGCTCGGGGAAACAGATGGACTCATGGGTCGTAGTGATGGAAAACGACGGGAAATGCAAGTTGATGCAGGAAAACCCGCGAAGCGAGTGACGCGGAGTTTGCGGGAAAAGGGGCGGCGGGTTTGACGGCACGTGATTGGCCCAGGGTCTCGGCAAGTTTGCTGGCGGCGGAATTAGAACAGACGAGACAGACACCCACGACACCCACAACACCCACCTCCAACCACCATCAACCACCACCGCCCGCCTTACCGGTCCATCTACTAACATGGCAGTGCTACCGCTGACAAAATTGCCGGTGTCCGATTGCTCATTCGTCCGCTCTTTGGCTCGGTCCTTTTTGCATGGTGTTATGCCGCCCTTTGCGCAACCACCTTGACAAGACCTTTTCCACTGATGATGCCTTATTGTAGTCATTTCTCCAGCTCCAGCTCCTCCTCTAGTCCATCTAGGCGCTGCATCAAGAGGAGATGTCCACCAGGACCGGAAAAGTACCGCCGATCTTCACATCCTGCAGCAGAGGTGAAGCTGCTAGGTACCAATCCTGGTGTGGTTGGTCCTAGTTGTATAAATGGCGATCCTGGCGTCCCTGAGAGGCTGAGCCAGCCCAGTCGCCTATTGTCCGTTTCATCGTTCCTTCGACGTACACACGATGTTGTTTCTGTTTGCCCACACTCTTCTGGCTACTTCCGTGTATGCTGTCAACAATGGTCTCGCCAGAACGCCTCAGATGGGGTGGAACAACTGGAATTCTTTGGGTTGTGACGTCTCCCAATCGTTGTTGCTCGAGACTTCCAAGATGCTGCTGGATAGTGGCCTGAAGGATGTGGGCTATCAATATGTCGTCCTTGATGATTGCTGGTCGGATGGTCGCGACGCAGGGGGCTATCTTCGACACGATGCCAACAAATTCCCCAAGGGCATGAAATGGGTTGCCGGTGAACTCCACGATATGGGTCTTCTGTTTGGCATGTATTCGAGTGCTGGAGAGATGACCTGCGCCAGATACGAGGGCTCGCTTGACAAGGAGGAGAAAGATGCGGAGATCTGGGCTTCGTGGGATGTCGATTACCTGAAATACGACAACTGTTTTCATCGCGGCCGATTTGGCTACCCTGAAATCTCCTTCAACCGTTACAACAAGATGGCCAAAGCTCTCAATGCCACCGGTCGACCAATTTTGTATTCACTGTGTTCCTGGGGCGAAGACTACGTGCACACCTGGGGCATGTCCATTGCCAACTCCTGGCGTGTTTCTGGCGACATCTACGACCACTTCAATCGTCCAGATGCTCTATGTGCGTGCGACGATCCTCGAGATCCGCACTGTGTCGCACCAGGCACCCATTGCTCGGTCATGAATATCATCAACAAAGTTGCGCCCTATGTCGATCGTGGCCAGTTTGGCGGCTGGAACGATTTGGATATGTTGGAGGTGGGACAGGGCGGGATGACGGATGAAGAATATAAAGTATGATAAAGTCGATCCTGCTTCACGGCCCTCTGACTAATCGTTGATGTCTAGGTACACTTTTCGATGTGGGCTGCTCTGAAATCCCCGCTGCTGATCGGCGCCGACATTCGCAAATTGTCGCCCAAAACCTTGACCATTCTGAACAACCCGGCGGTCATTGCGGTCAGTCAAGATCCGCTCGGTAGATCAGTCGCTCAAATCTTCCGCGATCAACAGGTCAAGAAGGACAAGTACGGACAAGGCGAGATTCAGATATGGAGTGGCCCTCTTTGGCTGCACGACCAGGTCGTCATCTTCCTCAATGCCGCGGACGAGGATCTCGAAATGACTACGTCTCTCAATGACATCTTCCTGCACGAAGGGCCCGAGGGTTCAGCGCCGCAGACCATGGAGGAATTCGACGTTTACGACCTGTGGGCTGACCGCATGGAAGACTCTACAGCCGAGCAAATCCTCAATGGGAAGGCTCAATACAAAAGCTCTTGGTATAACTCAACCAGAACATCGTACCAGGAGGGTCTGGCTAAGGCTGATCCGCGACTCTTGGGCAAGCGAGTGGGTAGCATTGGACCAAAGCATGACGTCCTGCGAGCTCATGTACCACGACACGGTATCCGCATGTTCAGGCTGCGGAACTTGACCGGTGGCTCTCCAAGATATGCAATGACCAAGAGCGAGCTCTGAGATTATCTGGAAAAGGGGCAAGGGTCATGGCGAGATGTGCAGGGTAAATCGTAAACCCACCAAAGAAAATAGAGACATCGCGGTGCTATAGAATGGAATAGATGGGGCTCAACTACCAGAACAGCCATCCTGCCAGTCACGCTGCCTTGGCCATTTCTTTCGTCCTGGAAAAGAAACCTGCTGGCGGCAGATCTCTCGTATACGTCTTGCATGTCTCGATCTTCCCCACCTACATCATGTTCGTCCCTGTCTACATGTCCAACCCCGCATTTCTCTTAGCCACATCCTTGGTCCGGCTCCTGATCGCTGGTGGAGTGCATGCTAGATCCAGGCGTGCAGAAAGTTTTCCGCTCTCTCTCTTCTCTTCATCATGTCTGCTAGAGCTGCACCGAACCCGAGCCCTTGAGCCAACCACTCACTCCGACCCTAAACCATCAACGCCAGACTATGCGTCCTCCTACTGCCTGTGTAGTGTGTCGGTAGGCGTTTCTGAATCCCTCTTGCACTTCTGAAATCTAAACTTCATCAGAACGCGTCGTCGTAAATGCGAAATTACCGCTCCTGGTGCACCATGTGCCTACTGCAGCTCCCGCAACCTCAGCTGTTCCTTTGCTCCTTTTCCCCAGGTCGATGCCAACTGGCATAACCAATCACCAACTACTACTCCCGACACCGTTGCATCTGGTCCGAGTCGGTGCCAGAGCATCGCGACGGAACTGCCATCCCAACCTTTGTGCATAGAGCTTGTCGAATTGTATTTCCGGTACATACACGACACCTTCCACTCCCTCTTCCATCCACCTAGCGTGATGGAAGATGTCATCAACGGCGCACTTCCGAGGGTCCTCCTGTTTGCTATGATCAGTCTCTCTGCAAGGTTTTCAGAGGATCCTTTCTTCGCGGGCATTGATCCTAGGATCCGGGGCAGGCCATATGCCCAGGAAGCTGAGCATCTCCTCAACCTGCGAGAAGTCTCCTTGACGACTTTGCAGGCGGCCGTCCTTGTCGGCGCCTATGTCATCACGGAAGGCGAAGCAGCGGCTGAGTCTGTCTTCTACAGCGTGGCTTGTCGGAATGCATTGTTGCTCGATCTTCCCAACATGGCCGTTACATCCAGGGTCGAGCAGGAGGTGAATCGGCGGGCGTGGTGGACACTGTGTATGATTGATGTCTGGTCTTCTAGAGGTGTCCGTATCCCGCGAATGCTGACGCCTAGGAGTGACGTCCCCTACCCAATGGAAGAGACGGTATTTCACAGACTGCGCTCTGATGGCATGGACGTTCCGAGCCCGTCTCACCTGCAGGAGTCGAGCGCTTCGCTGCTGACGCAGATGATTAAGCTGAATGCGATCCTGTTTGAGATCAGCACGGTCAACGAACTGGCGGCGTCCCATTCACACCTCGATAGCGGCCACCAGGAAGCCGTCGACACACTCACTGCCAAGTTAGAAGGCTGGTACAACAACCTGCCCATTGGGCTGCAGGACACACATGCAAACCTGTCTCGCTACGCCACCATGGGGCTCGGCCCAATGTTCGTGGCTGTCTACTTGGGATATTACCACTTTGGGCAGTTACTGTACTACCCATACTTGCACGAGGACTCATATGACGATACCATCCATGCGCGATATTACGCCGACAAATGCAAGGGCCACTCGATTGGGCTTTGCGAGATTCTGTACCGGGCATATTCCACCCCGGGCTGCGAGGTATACTACACGATGGTGGGGCACGTCTTGGTCATTGCGTCAACGGTCCAACTCCACATCCTGCTCTTCAGCACCGACGAGGTACAGATCCGGACCGCGCGGTCGCGTCTGGAAAGGAACTTTGAGATCTTGACGCGCCTGCAGACCTTCTGGCCCACCTTGGACGTGTGCTTCACACGATTCCGCGAGTTTCACAAAGCGTGCCAGAAATATAAGGAGACGTCCTTCCGCATGGACAAATGGATGCTGCAATTCCTGTTTGAGTTTGCAAAGCCCGTTGGCGAAAAGGATCCAGATGAACTCGCAGAACTCAGGCCGTGGACTATGCAGGATTTGGGGTTCACACCTCCTGCTTGAAATTAAAGAGAGGCTCAATCTGAAATTGACAGCCCATGAGGTCATAATGTCAACAGGTGATAGGTCTCGGCTACACCGCGTTCTATGGGTTTTCAAAGGCATAAGACCATGCGTACCGCGTCATTCTCCATCCAGCAAGTCTGAGACAACTCTCATGCATCACATAATACGTTTACAGACTTGCCTTTCCGCTTGTCTCATATGGGAAGATGAAGCTTATGAATCCAGCAACGATATACAAACTCGCCGAGACGAAGATCGGTGTGTTTGTATAGCCGACATAAGTTGCGATGATGGGTGCCATCAGACCGCAGATACGGTTAAATGCTGCTGCTAAACCGGTCCCTGTCCCTCGGTGCACGCTGGGGATGACTTCAGGGGTGTAACAGTACAATGCGCCCCACATGCTGCAATACTGGTCAGTGGACAAGCCGAAACACCGGAGATTCTAACGAGATACTCACATGTACGACACGAAGCTGGTTATGCAGTTGAACGCAAGGATTGATGCTTGTGTCCTTGCCGCTGTAAAGGCAAACTCGAAGACGGCCGTCAAGATCAGGGCAATCCCGAGCGTGCCTCTTCTGCCAACATAAGGCAGCCCAATGAACCACCCTGCCATCAGGGTGCCAGGAATGGAGCATGCGATGATGATGAAGTTGTTCCGGTACGTGATGCCGATGCTGTTGGACCCGCTCTGTGCACCATGCAGTGCCAGATCTGCTCTGATATTAGCGACTCTCCGAAATTATCTCTCCAGACACATCCTCAACGTACATTCTGGCAGGAAGTTCGCGTATAGAGGTGAACTGTTGGATGTTAGTGCAATTGCCCATATTTCTAGCATATTTCTTACCTAAGACCAATCATCCCCCATACCAAGATGATGAGCGATGTGCTATAGGCAACTTTCCTGGTTGAGAATAAGGCTCGAACGTGCTTGAATCCACCGGGTCGGAATTGTGCGAAAGTGCGTTCCCAGGAGGTGGGTCTCTTGATGGCGGCGGGATGTCCGGCGCTCGCATAGTCTCTCTCGACTTGCAGCAGATCCTCGACAGTCAGTGGCTGAGTGGTGCCGTTGTACTTTGCAACGTCGTTGAGCACGTCGATGGCCTCTTGGTACCGTCCTTGACCGATCAGATACCTTGGGCTTTCACGGAGTCGGAAGAAGACGAATCGGGCGAAGAATGCAGCCAGGGTGAGGCCACCCATGGTGTACATCAAGTATCTCCAGCCCATATTGTCCTTCTTGTGGCATTGTCCAACTGGGGTGTCGGCGCTGCACGAGAAGTTGGGAAGAAAGCCCCAGGCGGCCCCTGCTGGGATAGCCTGACCAATTGACCACCAAACGGCCAATATTTCGAGGAGGTACTGGTGAGTGCCAGGAAGGAATTCGAGAAACACGGCGGAATCCACAGGCACTGCCCAATCAGCGAGAGCTCTCCAGACTCATTGCTCTGGACTTACAATTTCCTCCAACGCCGAACCCGCAGAAGGAGACCAGAACAGCACAAGACACAAAGCTGTTGGCAGCTCCTGCAGCGGTGCCGAATACTCCGGCAAAGAGCAGGGTTAGATTGAACGCAAGTCGTCTCCCGATCAGATCGCCTGCCACAGTCAGCGCATTCATTGGATTCTGGACGGAACATCTCACTTCCAAGTCCCCAAAAAGTTGCTCCAACGACCAGTCCAGCGATCAATGCAAGAGACAAAAAGGCAGAATGCTTTGGAGTGAATTCGACCGCCACTTGAGCAAGCGCGTCTGAAACAGTCGTTTGCCAGAGCTGGGACAATCAGCTTGTGTTGTACCGGATGGGTGTCTCGAGAACTTACCTGATCACACAACCAACCATATCCACAGAGGACGAACAGGGCCCATTGGTACTGAATATGTCAACTTGCATCACTCTCATGGCGTCTCTTGGTATTACCTTGCCCATGCCGATGCTCTGGACAGCATGGTTCACGAGACGAGCTTGATGCTCAAAGACCGGGTCGAGACCGTCAGTGTGCAACGACTTAAGCTCTCGAATGGTGCCAACTTCCGCTGCCTCCTCTGAGACTGGACTTGCAGTCCCAACATTGGTCTCTTTGTCGGTACCCATGGTCTCTCCTTTTTCAATGAATCCGAAATCCTGAACTTGGAGGAAGTCAGAAGCATTCACAGCGGAAACGAGCCATTCTTTTGTATTAGAGTCGTGGTTCATATTCCCAAGGCACGGTTGACGTTGGTCGCTATCGTATCTGCTCTGATAGGCCCACGGGATCTTGCCACTGCCCCATATCCTGCATTGTGATAAACATGGAGGCGGTGGATAGTGTGGGATTTTGGCATAGAACCAAAGGAACCAGGCGTCCGCTTGCCCGATGACGGCCAAGACTGTATATCCTCATTGGAGAGACTCCAAACACCCATTAAGATAGGGAAATGTCCGGCTAGTGGAGAGACTATCGCGGGCAAGAATGCGCGGCGAAGGAGCTTATCTCGCGGCAAGAGTGAGACTTATGACATTGCGGAATGAGCCTAGCGCAGGAACCGTTGAAGCAGGAGATGCCCGCCAGATCGATTTTCGGTTCGCCGTCTGCTTGCCCGTCCATACAGAATTGTCTTTCCTTCTACCAGGCCATACGGCGACCAGCTCGTAAAGCTAAACCTGACCTATCTTCAGGCAACGAAGCTCCCCGTCGCGATGGCCATACCTCCAGTATCATGGAGCTTGTGGGATAGACGACGTCCGGGGCATGTTTATAAAATCAAGGTAAGCTAGAGCCGAACTCACAAGTCGGAGCACCACAGTATTCAACAGCTCGCCCACCATGGCCGCCGAAACCAGGGTTCTTCCTTTGCCAACCGTCGACCATGCATTCGTCAAGGTCGAGCCTCTTATTTCCAGCCCAACGGCACCCGTTCGCTTTGACCCTGTCAAACATATGTGCTTCGAGCCTCCGAAAAACATCATTACCTTGAAGGAGTTGCTATTGTCAGAAAAAGATGCCATCTCACCCGTCGCCATCACGGAGCCATTCCCCTTGTTCACCCTTGAAGGTGTCAAGCAGATGCGAGCCGACCTCTTCCGAAAAGAAGTTGTTAACAAGCATGGCAACAGGACGAAGAAGAACTGCTACAAGATGAGGGGCTACTCCCAAGACACCCCGTTTGTTGATGCCGCATGGCGCAGCAAAGAAGTCATCAAGGCCTGCTCCAAAGCCGCGGGTGTCGATCTCGATGTTGTCTTTGACTACGAAATCGCCCATATCAATGTCCAAGTCGACGCCCTGGAGGATGACATGCCACTAGATGCTGCGCTGCCGCCTGCGATGCCTCCCAACCAGGCGCCTTCGACCCCGCTTCCAGCTATTGACCAATCTGAGGAGCTCTCGACAGTTGGTAGATGGCACACAGACTCGTATCCCTGGGTCTGCGTTTGCATGCTGTCCGATCCATCCAACATGACTGGCGGTGAGACTGGCCTCAGAAAAGGGGATGGTTCCATTGCCAAGATCAGAGGGCCCCAAGTTGGCTGGGCTGTGATGATGCAAGGAGGCTGTATCGAGCACATCGCGTTGAGAGCCATCGGAACCGGCGAGCGTGTCACCATGGTTACTTCGTTCCGCCCACGAGACCCGAGTCTGAAGGACGTGAGCAATCTTGGCAATGTCAAGAAAAGCAGTCGTCACGACCAACTTTTCAAGCAGTGGTCGACTTACCGCCTGGATGTTCTCGAGAAGCGTGCCCGGCTACTGAGAGAACGCATTGAAAATGGCAACTTATCTGGAGAGGAGATCGCCAAGCTGGTCGCTCAATGGAACGAAGAACAGATTCCCTACATGAACCACACTGCGGTTGAGATGGTAGGCCCCGGGAATGAAGGCTCGCAAGAATAGGCATCACATTCGACAATACAACTGGTGCACCAGTATAGATTGTGGTCTAGCTAATGGACTTTCTTGATGCCTTGAGCAGTGCTGAAGCTGCTTCTGCTAGGATACCTGCATCTCCCCCTGGTAACATGATGAAGCTGAATCCCATATGCACGAGACGCGGAATTGCGGCCTGTGAGCCGAGAATGCCGATTGGCTTTGCAAACCGCTTGCCCAGTTGAAGCACTTTCTGCAAGGCTGCGATGTATTCTGGTTCTTCCCCGGTTGCGCCCTCGAAGCCAAGTGAGTGCCTCAGATCAACAGGCCCGATGAAGACTCCGTCTACACCTTCCGTTCCAATGATGTCTTCGGCATTCTCTACTGCCTCTTTCGACTCTATCATTGGTAATATGACAACCTCGGGTGACCGTTTCCGCTTGTAGTCGGCCACGTCTGGCAGGGCGGGAGTCTCAGCAAACGGTGTTCGAAAAGGACCGTAGCTTCTTTGCCCAGCTGGAGGATACAGCGCTCGTTTGATGACTCCATCAACTTCCTGCTTGGTGTTGACCATTGGGACAATGATTCCACTGGCACCACTGTCCAACGCCCATTTGATCCATTCGACGCCGTGGGACGGGATTCGGACGATTGGCGCACAGTTTCCCGCGGAAGCCGCAGCGGTGGAATGTACCATGGCTGTGATTTCCTGCGCAGAGAGCGGCGAATGTTCCATATCGATCATCAACCAGTCGAAGCCGCATTGTGCCAGTATTTGGGCGCTGTACGGGTCATTGAAGCTGACAAAGGTCCCGATCAGGGGCGTTTTCGTTTGGAGCAAAGAGCGGAACGAAGGCATTCTGAGATGATACAGTGCTCCCTATTGGGGTGCCCTGCGCCGAGCGTGCTGGACGACAACTGTCCGTGGTTATATAGCATTTTGGGCTAACCTGACAGGCGTGGCATCTACTTCTAGAAGACGGTGGAGTTGCGCCGTGGTAGATGGGGTTACCCAGGACAGGTTTGCTCAGCAGCACTGCGATGGCGAGGTCTCCATAACGTCTTATCGACGCTCCTTACGGGCAACATACGTTGAAAGAGGCGCGGAGATGCGCGATGCCAACATAAAAGCTCGTGAAGACGACAACAAGGGCGTCAAGACAGGAGTCTTATAAGAAGCTTGATACTTCGAAGCGGCTTATTGTTCACGCACCATTGACTTCTTTCGACCAGTGTAGAGCCGGGTGAGAGAGAGGAACGTGTTCAAACCCGGGCAAATGCGCGAGAAGAGAAAGCGTCGTCGTTATCAAACAAGTATGTAACTTGTCTAGCCACTTTCAGATAACAATTCCCGGTCCCCCGCGAAGCACCAAACTTCCTCTCCATCCCGTCCGTCTCATCCTTCCCAGCTACTTTTGATAATCATGCGGTCTACCCGGCAACTCTCAAGGATGCGCTCTATACCATCCAAATGGACCTGTCCAGCCGCCAGGAAGGTCCCAGACCGTTCCGCTCGAGACGTGATCGACCTTGCGATGCGTGTCGGGGACGGAAAATAGCCTGTCGCATCGACACATCGCCCCCATGCGCGTTCTGTGAAAGTCGCGGAAGCACCTGTACTTTCCAGCAAGGCCCGAACAACAAGAGACGGAGGGTCTTCTCCAATTCGATGCCCAATAATCACTATCTGCCGCAGCCGGACAGTCTGACATCGATCCCTCAGACCTGGGAGGACTTCACCGCGGAAGCGTTCGACAGCACCCTCTTCGACGGTATGGATCTTGCCGAGGAAGGGAGTCCTACTTTCCAGAACCAAAGGTCGCCTCAACAGCCACATACCGCGGATGGACGCCACGCAAGCACAAGCCCCCGGCATTTTCGGCCGCAGAGCCAGCGGCCGTCGTTGTCTGGAAATGCCAAATATCACGACTCCAGCGTCCTTCATCGATCTCAGGTCCCGCCGGATACCGGCCATTTGAACCGTCATGTGATGACGGAGTTGATGAAAGGCACAAATCAGCTCGAAATCTCCCGAATCGGCTTGAGAAGGACCAAGGATCGCAGTGACGACTCGTTGACCGGTGAAAGCCCTCAAATATCAATGGTGAGAGAGGATCCACCTTTTCTGATCAGCGGCAAGTTGTGCATGGACTGTGCATCGTGGTCAGACATAGAGAGCCTGCTCTTGGGAAAGCAGCGCGACGAACTGCTCCGACTGTATTTTCGGTTTGTCCAGCCATTGTTTCCCATTCTCCAACAAGGCGACGGGGCCTACGGCGACACTCACGGCGACCCTCCTCAAGACACTGCCCCGCTTGCCCTTTGCGCTTCGGTCTACGCAACGGCTCTGCCATTTGCCATTCACAATGACTACCTGAGTGCCACACTGACAGACGCAAACGGCAAGCGGGAGCAGTTGTACACGATCGCGATTGCAGCTCTGTTGCAGACGGCACATTCACCTTCCATTGAAGCTCTGCAAGCCTGTCTCCTTTTGCTGCAGAAAGGCCCAACCATCCAGCATCAAGGACTGACGCCAACATATTCATGGCTCGCCTCGGTCGCAGTCACAATTGCCAAGTCTCTGGGCCTGCAATACGACTGCAGCGCATGGGAGATACCCTTGGCTGAGAAGCAGCTTCGTAACCGACTATGGTGGGCCACGTATACGATGGATATCTGGGTGAGCGTTGACTCGCCGGGCGGGCGATCAATTGTGTCGGACGACTACGACGCGCCTCTGCCAAAGTCCGGGGACGGATTGCCTGGCGAGTACGAGGTTACGGGCTACGGCAACGAGTTCGACCGACTCGTGCTTCTGACGCACCTTCTCGCGCAGATCCACGAAACATATTATACGATCCGAGCGGCAAAGCAAACTTCATCCGACTTGTTCAAGTCCCTCGACTTCGCCCGTCCGCTTCGCTCGGCTCTCAGTGATTGCAGGCAGAGTTTGAAGGCAGACCTCCCCCTGAACTCTGGCGATGAGCCCGGGATGAGCGCATCCGTACACCTGGCTGCGTGCGTTGTGTCGATCGTTCTGTTTCGCGCCCTCCTTCGACCTGTCCAATGCGGCAGAGCCGGTGCGTCACCGGTGGAAAGCCACAAGTCGGCAGCGGCAGCGGTCATGACTGGGTCGGTCAACTGCGCGAGGGAAAGCGTTGAGCTGTTGGAAAACATGGTGTCCATGGTCGGTCCGTGGAATGCGTTCTGGCATTCCTGGTCGCAGGGCAACTTTGCCATTGTCAGCACGTTTCTGGTGCAGCTGCTGCTCATGACTGGGGATGGCGATGGGATGAGAATAGAGGTAAGCGAGCTGATTTCCCGCTGGAAGCGCGCCATACGTGTCATAGCTGGGAGTGGCGGGTGGGGGAGCTCTCTGATGAGTATGGCGCTCGGCAGACTGGATTCTCTTCTCAACCAGGCTGGGCTGTGAGGGGCCTCTTGAGAGCCGCTGCTGGGGGTGGCGGTTGGCATGTCAGTCTTGAGCATAACAGTTACTGCACCCCAGTCTTGAGCATAACAGTTACTGCACCTCAGTCTTGAGCATAACAGTTACTGCACCCCAGCCTTTCGTGTGTCTTCTCGCTTGGTATTATATCCTTCCACCCTGTAGCCTCTCAAAAGCCCCAGATTCCCCTTTGCGCGACAGCATCGACTCCCAGGAAAAGTGACGGATACCGTAAAATCCCGCTCACAGACCAAGCTGCACGGCACCTGCACAGGCGTCGCGGAAAAATAACGTGGTGTGACCTCGTAGATAGATGCTGTAGACCGCGACAGTCTATCAGGCACTTTTGTATCGTGTGACAATGTCCTGGGTAGTATTTCGTCGCTCTCGGTATGTACGATACGCGTGGCCAGCCATGTCCTCCCCATATGCAGAAATCCACAATGACAATGACAATGACAATGGCAATGCACCGGAATACAATTGCCATGCCATGCCTGCTGCGAGGGAGTCTGTTCCGTAGAACAGGACCTCCCGGACCAAGGCTCCCCTTCGCAGACCGGGATACGCCACCGAAATATTGAAACCAAGCGAGCCCGGCTGTAATATTCAGACTCCAGCACACAGCTCACGGGCGAGATCGCCCCGGGAATAAAGGCACCTTGGATTATTACTCAAGCACCCTACAAACCACTCGCATCTTGTTCCCAATCCCAGCGAATCGGACCGATGCTGGGGACAGGGGCGGTTGACATCTCATGCCTGTTCGTACCTCGTAATAAGAGATGGAGCACCTATTATAGTGATTAGTGTTTTTTGATTCTTGCGTCAGGGTTCCAGCTTAAAGGGTGCGAGGACGGCAAGGCTGGCGAAAATCAGGAGAAAGATTTGCACACCGCCCCCCGCCTTTTTTTTTAAGCCTACTCCTGCCGACTTAACACATCGAGGCAACGCGTGTATATCCCGACAACGACACTCCTCCCTATTTGTATAGATATATATATAAAAGGAGGACAAAGAAAGATGTGATTTCACGGAATGAGAATCGAGTTTCCATCTCAACCTACGTAATGTATCCTGGCTTGACATGGCACTAACAGACGCAGACCAGCGCGGGGGCAGGTCAGAGATTCAGTGAGGTCGAAGAAACAGTTGTTGATTGTGCTACGGAATGGGTTCAAGAGGGTGTTTGCCTATAGACACTGCCAATTCAGGTGGCTCGGGATGTTTCTCTCTCAGGGCACTGACACCTAGGGGGGAACGTAACGCAACGCGTGTCTACGCACCCACTATCGGGTGTTTCCTGCACGATATCTCGATTTCTCAAACGTCACATCTCCCTCCCACCGCGCCTGCCCCCCTCGACCCTCTCACACGCGGGACACAAGTCGCTATACCAATCCTTCCACGTCTCCCGTCTTCTCACCCCGGACTTGCACAGGCCGATGCCGTCGCGGAACTCATCACCGCCCGACCTGCCGCTGTGTTGGGGCGAGTGTTGCGGACCTCGCGCCTGCTTCCGTGGCTGCTGTTTCTCCCGCCTGGACTCGTCGCACTCGATCTGGAAGTACTCGTCCGTGGCAAAGTGGAGGCCGCAGATCCGGCAGTGTTTGCGCGTCGGGGTGGAGATGCACATGATTCCAAGGATTCTTGCGTGCCGTGTCGTCAACTGATGATGGTTGGGAGATGGGTGTTGGACAGGACACTGTGAGGGGGCAGATAGAGGTTCCCAATCTGGGGGATTGAGTTGAGGTGTATAAAGTCGGAGTTCGTATCTGTTTGTCAAAGACAGTGGGTTGGATTGTTATCCCTCCTGGTGATTTGCTTGTGGTGGATAATCTTGGTTTGGATGCATCGAACACTTCGAACAGATGATGGTGCGCCCCATGAGGAAAGGATCGCGGATGGATTTATATACCTACCGACCTTCCTCGGAGGCTGTGACTTTGTGAGTGACGGTGACGAGATCTCAACAATCTCACCCTTTTGCGATTGAAAACCAAGATCAACCCACAGGGCGGGTGATATCCGACCCGCAGAGTGCTGCCAGTGATGACGGGCCACTATTTGGCCTTGTTGAAGTGACATGTTCGTGAAGTACTGTTTGAAGGTCAATCGGTACAGAATCTACGGGAAATGGGGAAAAGCTCTTTCGGGTGCAAGTGAAGATCCCCCTAAGATATTGCTCCAGTGACCATCCTATCACTCTTTGACTCAACACTCTGTCAAACTCAGAAGGTTGAGCTTGATGAGCTGACGCGGACTGTCACCAAGTGCAGGCAACGCGATCAAGGAAAACATCTTTACACAAAGGAAATCTGCAACTCATCAAGCAAATAGGCGCTGTAGACCGATTCCGGGACGAAATACTGGGGCGTGCACAACTCTGCAGACGGAATCGTCATTGTTAACCATTATTGTTATTACCATTTTGCGTCTGATGAACTGTACATCCTGGGATTGCGCAGGCTTGTGTCATTATCTACTGTTCTTCTCCCTGTCCACTCCTTAGAAGTTCTTCCCGGTGAAGGGGCTCTGTACGGAGCCGAATCTGCAAAACTGTCAGCCAGTGCGGTAGGTGGAGATTTCTGCTGTAAACCTACCCTTGAGGACACTCCCTACCCAATGCGACATTCCCGCTTCTCATGTAACAGATCTTGGCTGCCGCACAGGCGTTGCTCGTGCAGTTGGGACTCATGACACTCGTCTTCCCCTGGAAAGTGTTGTGGATGCTCACCAGCGTATGATTTGCCTCCATGGCCTCGGTGACTTTCTGCCAATATGTAGCGTTGAGAGGCGCATCTTCAGGCCACCCGACTTGATATGTGTCTCTGGTAGAATATTCAAAATTCCAGACGGGGCCGGTTTGGGCAGGGTTGAGGGTTGTAAACGCGCTCACGTTGGCGTAATACGTATAGGCGTTATAGATGGAGAAATCTCCCGTGTCCACCTCGTACATGCGGTAGCCGGAGTTCAGATTGGTGAGGGGCGTCACACTCGGCCCGATCCAAGCAACGTTGACGGCGTGCGCGGCATCTTGAGTGGTGCCGTTATTGCTGTAGTAAATCATGAACTGATCTTCATGAGTGTGGCCGAAGAAGACACCGGCAATCACATGTGGAGAGTATCGGTCAACCATCTGGTAGAAGAGATCTGCACAAGCAGTTAAAACCCGCCCACCATGGTCTCGCCCGACGTACCTGTAGGGTTGGGAATCGGGTTGGAACCATCCCAGCCGGACAAGACATGCCCAAGAAGCCAGACGCGTTCCCCTTTGCTCTCGGCGTCTGCGAGCTCTTGCGCCACGAATTTGAAAACTCCACTGTTGTCCGGATCCGTAGTGTTACTGCCCCCAAAGTGAGAACTCTCTTCAACACATTGGGAAGCTCGGCCTACATATAATTCAAGAGGTTGCTTCGGTACCAGAAGTCCGTGTTGAAAGTAATGATCCTCAACTGAGGGTACTTCGGATGGTTGATACTGTAAGCCCCGTAATGCATGCGGGCCTCGTTTGCGGCCTCGGCACTAATCCAGCCGTTCTGCTGCCACAGCGAAGCGACATGGTTCCAGTTCCAAGACCTGCTCAAGTCAGAGATATTCAAAAAGCAGCGGTCCACTTACTGTTGCTGGCCCAGATTTCCTGGCAAGGTGTGCGGAGAATCAATGCCGTCTGTATTTCAATCTCAGTCAGGTCTCTCTTTACGAGTTCTCTGCTATTCTTACCAGGGTTGCTATCGTGGTTCCCGAGCACGGCGAAGACGGGGCCGCTAGGAATATAAGACTTGATCATGTGATAGATCGAGACCTCGGCGTATTCGGTGTAGTTGTTGGACAGCTCGTTCTGGGACTCATGAGAAACCAAATCGCCAGTGTAAATACCCCAGGCGAATTGGTCGTTTTCGGACTTGTTGTTGAACGTCGTGCCAGTCAAGGGTCCGATCGACTCCAGGGCCGACGTCAGAAGGAAGTAAGGACTGTCGCACCTGAATGACCCGTATAGTGGTGAGGGGATTTCCAGTTGACCGGAAGCACTCGTGGGGTTGTTGGAACGGCAACACAACCCACTGGTGCAGTTTGCTTCGGAGCCAACATCGTATCTCGGATCAATATGAAAATCGCTCATATGGATGACTTTGACTCTGTTGCCACTGGGTTTCGGCACTGTGATATTGGCAGGCTTTGGACCAAAATAGCCCGTTGTATTGGAGGGAAGGGTGAACGGACGAGGGCAGAAGTTCCCGCTCACATAGTTGCACAGATACTGGCCGTCAGATCCAGACATGTTGCCTAGGGCGAGAACTTGGGTGTAGACGGCGCCAAAGTTTTCGGCGTCGTAATTTTGATGACAGCTCGTGTTGGACATGAAGCCGCTGCTGATGCACAACTGGACCAGCAAATCTGGGACCATGGATGGGACCCGCTGCGCGACATACTGGCCGACTTCCAATGCCGAGAGACATTTGGTGCAATTTGTCGCATTGGTTGCCAGGATGGAGTTGACTTGGCTGATAGCATTGGCCACAATCGCACTCCCGTTTGTGACTGAATAGAGGGGCGTGGGATAGTAGACGGGATCTTCACTTTCCTGCGGGATGTTTGTCTGGTTTGTCAATTCGAGGGGAAAGGCTGCCTGTTGTCAGCACTGAAGAGGACTACCCGGCCAAACAGTGCTTTGGGAGACTCCGATATCATCAGCACTTGGGTTTCCAGGGGACTCACTATAGTTTAGTGCCGGGTCAAAAAGAATGGGTTGGGGCTAAAGGTGGTTTGTCAGCATCAACCTGCCGGACAACTTCGACATTGATAGACCTACCTCTTGACTTGGGGAAGGGGGAATATAGTACGAGGGAAATAGGCTGGTTGGGAAACCGGCAGGCACCGTGTAAGCCAGGAGAGAACAGGAGCTTTGGGCATATGCGAGAGGGCAGGAGAGCAGAGGCAGTGCCAATGACAGCCACATGCAACGGCACATCATGATGGGCAAGATTTGGAGGCAGATATATATATATATGAAACGAACGAGGACCTCAACCTACCGTGGGATCTCTGGCGAGGAGAGAAGGAGCAGGTCCCCCAAAGGATACTCAGCCTTTTTATTGCATTGATAGCTTGAGCTTCCGCAGCAGTAGGACAAGCTTGAAGCTCTCCCGAGCTGCTTGCAGCTCAATGGAGGGAGTTGTGTGTGTAGACCAATGGCGTGGACGGTTGAAGGCAGAAGCAAGAGAAGCTGCGAAGGAGCTGCGAAGTAGCTGCGAAGTTGGCGGTTCCCTGCCACAAAGCTGCCAAGGTTTCACCAATTGTAGAGGCGCTGTCGCCGCACGTGTTGGTCTAGTACAACCACGTCGTCGACTACTACTTTGCTTGGTCCACCGGCTGGCGGCCGGCAAGGGAAACGAGTTGCTGGACGTAGTAACCGAGCCAGACACTGCCAGACACTGCCAGGGTTGGGCGTGCGGAATCTGCTGATAAACCTTGCCGATCCCGATCCTTCATCAGCAAGCAGCTATCTAGGTATGTGGGTGGTATTCACCTAGGTACACAGAGCCACCGTCACTGTACAGAACTCCACCACAACCCAAGATCGAGATAGCATCGACAGCGGGTACTGCAACACCCAGTAATAATAGCACTGCTCTAGCCACTCCAGGTACCAGCACAAGTCCACACTCTGTTCGCCTCTACATTCCAAGCTTGTCCACTGTTCTACCCACAATCTCTTCGTACTGCTGCATTCCTCGTTCTAGCTTTCGAAGCCCAGTCTTTCGCACGTGGTATACCACCCCTGCTGTACCTGCATCACAATCCGACTCTTCGCTGCTTTCGTCTTCCTCCCCTGTCCTTACTGGCTTCTCTCGATCCACCACACATCGCATAAAATGCCGATCATGAGTTATCACAAGAATAGCACCCTGCCACTGTTGGAGAGCCTCGACCAGTGCGTCGATGGTGTCGGCATCCAGATGCGTCGTTACTTCATCGAGAATGAGTAGATGAGGAGAGTTAAAGAACACCTCCGCCAGTGCCACACGTACCCGTTGCCCGCCGGACAGAGCTGCCAGTGGAATGTCTGTCACAGTATTGCCTCGGAGACCTAGCTTGGCCAGCGTGCCTCGAGCTGCCTGTTCATCGCCCGTCCATTCCGCGACATTCATCAGATGAGATAAAGCCGTCCTTTGTGGATCCTGCCTCCCAACTCTTTCCAGGTCTTCGACTGCGTGTTGAGAGTAGCAGCCGAACTTGGCCTTCGAATGCACTGTGATTGAGCCCTTGGTTGGTCTCGGATCCCCTCCGGTGGCTGCCCCCATCAGGAGCTTGACCAGCGTGGACTTTCCGCTTCCATTCAGACCGGCCAGTCCCACGCGTTCACCAGGATGCATGACAAGATCGACCTCCTTTAAAGTCCAGACGCCCGACTTGGGATAGGTGAACGATACTTTGTCGAAGCTGAACAGAGGTCCCGAATGACGCAGCGGTTCTGGCTGCTCCGGCAACGTTATCGTCACGGGCGGATCAAACTCAGGAATGTCGATATCATCGCGCACTGAGTTGTGCCATCCGGCAAGGTCTCGATTGAGCTTGAATCGGCCACCACGTTGGCCAACCTCGAGCCCAGTACGCTCCTCCAGCTTCTTTCTCCGCGATGCCGCTTGTTTCAATTTCTTGTCATCCCCCGTCCGTTTGGCAGCCTTGACGTTCTTGGCTATGGTCTCTTTCATGTGCTCCGTCTGCTTTTCTTGTGCTTCGGCCATTCTGGTCATGCGTCGAATTTGTCGTCGCTTTTCGCTTTCATATTCGGTCAAGTTGCCTTTGAAAACCTCCAGCGTTTTGGCGGGAGCAAGTCGGACGAGAAGCACCTCCTGAGCAATTGCATCAGCAAAGTCGCGGTCGTGTGTCACAATGATCACAGTGGTCCCAGCTAGCGACTTCGTAATGTATCTTTCGAGCCAAACAATGGCGGGCAGGTCAAGGAAATTTGTGGGCTCGTCAAGCATGAGTATATCGGTCTTCTGAATCAAAGCGCATGCGAGGTCACAACGCGTTCGCCATCCTCCAGACAACGACTTGACAGGTTTCTCGATCTGCTCCTCGGAGAAACGCAGGCCGAGGAGTATCGTTCGGGCTCGAGCCTCAGTGCTACCGGCGTCCATAGCCTCGAGTGCCAAACGTGTCGCTTCCAGCATATCAAGGCCGATTCGGGTGGCCTCTTGGTCGTCTTCGGCACTCTCAGCTTCGTCATAGCTTGTTCGCCGTAAGCAGCCAATTCTGCATTGAAGGCGCGAAAACATATTACCGTTTCTGTGCTTCCTCCACTTCCTTCTCCTTTTCGATGAGCATCTGTCGGGCCTTGAGTCCTCGAGCACCACTTCGTCGTGCCGCAATAAGTTGAGCTTCGGCCAACTCTTGCTTGGCTTGCTCAAGTTGAAGCGACCGTACTGTCGTCACAACATTGCTGGAATGGGCTTTATCTTCTAGCGCTGCGGCGAGACCTAGATTTTTGTTAGAGAGACGCCCCCACATCAGTGGGGGACCACCTGCGGTTCGAATCCCTGAGAGCCCGTTCTCTGCGTCGGTCACTTCTTGTGACGTGTTCAAGCACCTTGGTGGTATCGCTCTCGCCGTCGTCAGATTCTGTCACCGCATCGGAACTGATGCGCGTCTGGCCAAGCAAGAGCAGACGCAAGTTGCGAGGAACACCGGGCACTCGTCGCTCTGCCAACGCTCGCAGCAGCGAGCTTTTCCCCGTTCCATTCCGCCCGGCCAGAACATAGTGCACGCCTTCCACGATTCGTAGATGTGCGTGGTCCAATAATTCTCGCCCCCCAACGGATAGTGTTAGATCCTTGACATCGATATCCTTTGATGTTGGTGCATCCAAAGCATCTACATGGAAACGGCTTTGCTGGCTCGTGACGACTATGGTTCCATCCTGCAATGAGGGCGTTGACGTGCTTGTCTTTGATGGTTTGGGCATAGTAATCCAACAAGGAGAAGGGGTGCTCTGACAAACAAGAGAGGAGAGTTCGGATTGAAAGGAGAATTATGCCCTTGTCTCCCACGATTTTGATCACTCAACTCTTCATATACCTATCGTCCTACATTGTTCCTCTGCACGCTGTCTTAGCCGAGACCGCGGGGGTTAGCTTCTGTAACTGATTCCGTGAAGGCAAACCGGGCGTCGAGGTCGCAGACCAAACTCCAATTTGTCGAACATGACCTCTAGTGTTCGAAAGGCATGAGTCACTAAGGCGTCGCAATGACTTTCTTGAAGAGGTGAGTCACGTAAGAACCAGCTCCGCAACTCTCTTCGTAAAGTCGGCCAATCTGAACGTGTTAGCGGGGAAGAGAAAGCAAGCTGTACGAGCTCAATCTCAGCAGGCCAAGAAGAATCTGTGACTGTCATTTGAAACAAAGTCGGACCAGGTGTGTAGCCCGTGACCGTCGAATCCGCCAATCAGAACAAAGGACACGCCGTAGCTGCGCAGACTTCTTCCCACTCCAATGCGAAGGTGCAGCGAACCGCTCTAACTCTCGCAAACCAGTTCTCGACGACCTTTTTGACCTTACGAGCATCGAGTCTTTCGAACTGCGCATAGGCCAAACCTTCTCCCAGCGATGGCGCAGTTTCGCGCAAAGAAACTTGACCTCGGATGCTTCATCAACTCCAAAATCATCCGCGACCACACAAAGCGCAAGACCTTTGAGCAATTTGAACCCCAGAGGTACACACATCTCCTCACCTTTCGGATAGTCATTTCTGCCTCCAAGCCATTCATACAAACTCCAAGACTCCGTTGATCTGACACCGAACCGAGTAACTCTAGGCAAGCACTCCGCTACCTCGTCCGGAACACATCCCTTCCAGACTGGGTGCGCACAAAGGCGCAATTCGAGCTGAGAAACATGCACTGCTACACCCGGCCGACGCAGATAAAGAACAGGTGTATAATGGGTGGTGTGGCTAGGAGTGTGCTGAGGAAGTTCAGGATGGGCAGGGTAAGTTCCCGAAATGTCTCTCGAGGCGAAGCAAAGAGGGGAAGAACCGGCTTTCTGGCTTATAAGATGAAAGCGTGGCTTGGAGAGGACATGGAAGAATATGCTAACTATCCCGTGCTCCTGCAGTTTCAATTCCGGATGAATGCGCTAGAAGGAACCATACCGGGCGTCAAGAAAGCCAGCTGGTGACCAACTGTACAAATATTTTGCGAGCATTTGGGACTACGGCAATCATGGCAAGAGACGGCGTTCTATGTGTACTACAACTTCTAGAATAGAGGGTTCGAACCTGAGGGGCCATAATTCAGCTGGAGTGAAGATCGAGGCTTCAATATTGAGGACGGACGCATTCGACTCTTAGGAGTGGGCCTGCGTAGCTCCTCCCAGCGCAGCACAATCCGGGTTTGCGATGGATTGAAATGTCTGAAAATTCCCCAGACCAAAAAAATAAAGCCGGTCTTTCGGTCTCGTTGATCCCTCTCACGTCCTCCTTCAGCTCTGTTGACTCGCAAAAGCTCAGATGTAACTGTAACCTTCACAGTACGGAATCTAGCCTCATCATGAGCGCCCGCCATCCCTTTGTCCTTGGATCTTTGCGAATGCTAGAGCCATCAAGAGGCCGGAAACAATATCGGGAGAGAGAAAGGAAATCAGGCCAAGTAGAGCACCAATCCTCCAAGGTGGCGAGGTCATGACACCCTCGTCAGGTCCCACCCCGTACTTAGTGGAAACGACGCTTTGGTTGTTCCTCATCAATGGTCGTATCCAACTTCAATCTTTCCACCACCGCAGCAATAGTCTCATCTCTCTGGCGTCGAGGGGATGCTTCAGACCCGGGCGAATCCAGGATAGCGGCCTCAAAAGGGTCGAGATTCCCTGTCTTCCGCTGACGGTCATCTGGAGAGTGTGGCCGTCCTGGATCGTCGTTCGCAGCCAAGTCTTGGTTCCAACTGTCGTTCCAACCCGATTTTTGCCGTCTTTCTGTGTCTGCTTCTTTCTTCTGCTCCTTGTCATCTTTCAGTCGTGCCTTAATCAGCATTGCTATCAGCGCTTCTAGCGTGTACCGTGCATCATTCCCACCATTGTGAGGGAAGTAGCATGGAAGGCCCAAATCTTTCATTATCGAAGCAAGATTACGGTGCTGGGTCTCTTCCTTCAGGATTCGATACAACGGTGCCGTGTCAAGTGACTCGATGATAGAGGCCAATGTTTTGGAACCACCTTCTCCGTTGGCCATGATATCCATAGCGGCAATGGGATACGTAGCCCGAGAAGGCGTGAACATCTTGGATCCGAGATCTTTGAGATACGCAAGGTCCGTCCCAATATCATGACCGACCAAAATGACATTGCGCTCTTTTGATCCACGCTGCAAATTTTCCGTGCCTGGTTTGATTGTTTCGGCAAGTGTGATGGCATGTTTGATGGCATCCTGATCCCCAATACCATATAGAACGCTGGCAACAGCTGCTCTGTTCGCAGCGTCCTGTTCAGCATTGGTCGGACCCATACTGACCCCTGCGAAACTGGTAGAAGTTGCTTCGCAGGCCTTGTTCTCTTTCGCGGGATTGGCTGGCTCGACACCCCAGGGATCAACGAGGCTGGGATGCTTGTGATCAACAGAGAATGGCCACTCAAAGCAACTCTCCACCTTAGTCACGGCATCTTTGAGATCAACCCATTCAGACCTGCCGAATTGGAATGAGTTCGGATGTCCAATGCAAAAATCTTTATTGACTAGATGCTCCCTGCCACTGATTCTGAAATGTCGAGAGCGGATTTGATCCATCCAATTCTTGCCGTTTAGACCTGGAGGGATGTTGACAAGGTCGAGCGTGTCCAGAGTGCTAATTCCAATCTCTGTGATAAGGTTGTGGGCTCTTTCATATGCCTCGACATCAACCGCAATGAAGACGACCTCTGCTTCAAAAGGATGGGGAACCGGAGCCCTAAGGTCGAGCGGATTAGAAATAAAGTGGGCGGTCTTCAACTGTTGTAGACGGAATTTTTCCTGTTCGTCCCATGGCATGTTTGGGTCTGGTTGTTGAATCTGGCCAGTCTTCCGCCGCAAGCCCATATACCTCTGAGCCCTTCTTAACTGCACATACCAATCTCTTACTGAGACCAAACGGTCATCTTCCCTCTTCTTTTTGCCTCGCCCACCTTTGGTCCTGGCTGCGGCCACGATGGCAGCTTGACACTTATCCTCGAAGTCCTTAAAGAGCTGTTTGGTTTCAGGTGAAGCATCATGGGGACATTCACCGTGGTCAGGAGGAGCCTCAGGGATCCTGTTCTTTATTTCTTGTGCTTCTTCCCTAGAGTGTGTCTGGCCTAAATATTGAGGTTTGGGGGTTCCGTCCTTGTAAAATGTGAGAGTAAAAGGGAACCCTGGTACTGACACCGGAATTTTGAAGGCCTCTCCAATTTCTCTAATGAGCTCCTGAACCTGTGCATGTGGGACGAGGATGATCGGTCTCGCGCTCAAGCCGAGTGGAGGATGGAGGTAGTGGCTAGCTTAAGCGTTAGCAATAAACATGCCAATCCATGGGCTTTGTTGCCAGCATGGGATAGACAGAAAGGCCGACAAGTCAAAAACTTACAGGTCCCAGGTCCGATTGTAGAATTTATTAGACGCGAAGAAGTGGCGCGAGACACGATCATTGACATCGTTCATGTATTTGTAGGGGAATTTTGCAGCCAGCGCGAATTGACAGAAGTGTCCTACAACCGGATTTCCCTTCCTGTCTGCTGTTGGTAGCGCCTCGTTGTCAGAGTCAGAGTGCTCATTCACGGTCCAGAAGGGCTCGCTTTTGGAGATCTTGCCCTTGGCAAGATACTGAATGGGGCCGTTGGGGGCAGTCACGACATCCTTGGGATTTTCACCGAAGCTTGCTTTTGGCTGTGATATTTTTGGAGGAGGTTTCATGGAGGGTTTCTGCTTGAAGGCTGAAACATAATCGTCGTCGTCATCGGAGCTGGTAAGAATCAAAGGGTCTCTTTGCGGTTGTTGCTTTTTGGGTGATTTGGTCTCTCTGGGATATTGAGCAGTTCCAGGGATCCTCAGAGGCTGTTGGTCTTTCGCTTCTCTTTGTTCGAGCTCTTTTGCTGAGAAGTGAGGTTGACCAGGAGTTGGAGCAGGTGGAAGTGCTTGGTTGAAAAACAGCTGATTCAAGCGATCTTGAGCGGTAGTGTTGGCCATCTCGCCTCGGCTTTCCTTGCGATTCAATTGTGAAGAAATTTCAAAGGCCTGGCTATGGACCGGGCAGGTAATAAAGCGGTGTGCTAGCAGGGTGAATGAAGGAAGGAGAGACTGAAGGAATGGTATTGGAGAGCCGGATTGCTGTTTGCTCGGATGATACTGAAAAACTTTGCTGTGTAGTATGAACCGTGTGCGCAGGGTATAAAGAGAGCAGTTTGATACACGGGAGGCCTGTGAAAGAAACGAAAAAACAGAAAGGATTGAAGCGAGGGGTGAAAGATATCAGACTATGAAAGACGGGTGAAAGACTAGTGAAAGTCTGGTGAAATTCTGGATTGAAGTCTTGAGAAAGGCGTTAGGGGCTCATCTCAGCTCTTTTTTGCTACGCTTGGAAAGTTCTACATCCTGTAGCTGTTCTGGTATCGTTCAGTTCGTGAAGTGAAGAGAAGAATCAAGTGACGACAAACGGCTGCGATTGACAACAAGGCTGAGAGAGGACTGCAATCTCTAAGCGGGCGCCCGGGACTTTTTCCGTTCCGGGCTTCCACGTGACTGAATCGAAATACTGCCGTATCTCACCGCCTTCGCCGCGATGGCGACTCAACTTGACATGCGCGTTGAACTGCGGCAGGGCCTTGGTGGGATGTGTACACATGCACGAACGAGACAGACAAGCCGCAACCGCATCTCTCTCATTTCCACCACACGAATGGTCATTTCTCATGGACTGAACTACCTTTACAACTCCTAATCGAGACCTTCAGCGTAGAACCAAGCGACCTACTCTGCACCCATCCCTGCTCCTGGCTCCGACCATGTCTCCGATGCGCCAGCTACGACAATAGTTCATCTGGCCCCGATGCCGACGATGGCGGAGATCGCTAGCGACCGCGCAGTCGACCCCGACGCGCAGGCTGCTGTGACAGACTTTCTCGACTATACTGAATATCTCCCTTCCGATCTCATTCGCTCTCTGACTCTCATCCGCGGCCTCGATGACACTTATCTTCACAGTTCTCTACTACTCCATGACCTTACCAAGCTCTATGGCTCTCTCCCGACCCTCGCGCCCCCTCTCCGCCCGAATGCTCAAGAACTCCGCGCACAAATATCCACCAGTCTGGATCAAGCTCTGAACGCCCGGGAATCCTCATATGCAGAGGCCTGCCGACTATTTGACGTCGTGGACCGACATCAGAACAGATTGAAGAGTATCATCGCCAAATTAAATGCCATACCAAAGCCTCCATCGCGGGATCCAACTCCTCAACCGACACCCTCTACCCAAGTCAAACGGTCCCGGAGCGGGAGAAAGATTGAGACCGGCGGCGCGTCGACGAGGCTGACTCTACATCCTCCTCGTGGGAGTGCGGTGGCCTCCGCAATCCTCAAAAGACCTCGCGGCCGTCGCGTCACTGTCCCAGGAGATGTCATGCCACCGTACGATCCCGACTCGCCCATTGCGAGTACAGAAGTCTCGGATTGGGAATCCCCACCACCCTCACCTCCGCGCCCAGTTCTGAAGCTCAAGCAACCTAAGCCACCGGCGCCGTCAAAGCACCCGAAACAGAGGCCTCCGCCAAACGATGAAAAGACCCGCGAATCTCGAGAAGCTACTGAACCTTATCACAAACCAACTCCTCCGCCTGAAGATGCTGAGATTGGAAGTAAGTGGAGGCCGTGGACACACTTGACTGAGTACGAGATGTACAGGCTCCGGAAGAAGATGAAGAAAAACCACGCCTGGGAGCCTAGCGATGTTATGATCAGACGCGAGTTGGCAGACCGTGGTAGAGGATGGGAAAATTATTACCGGGCAAAGGCAGAGGCTCAAGCGAATGGAACTCGGTTCATTGACATCGATAGCATCGACAAACTGACACCGAAAGCCGAGAGACCAGACAAGCCGGAAAGTCTTGACCAGGTCGAAAGTGTGGAGAAGCCAGACACGTCAGACACGGTCGGAAAGATTGAGGAGTTGGACGCCCCATCGCAAGAGCCAGAGGTTTTGGAGAAGTTTGAAGAGTCTGCCACGCGCGCGAGTGGAACCCCTGCTCCGAAAGCCAAACCTTTAAGGAAAAGTGAAAAGAAAGAGAAGAAGCCTGACCCTGCGCGGTCCCAAGCAGCGCTCGCAGCCCAAGAGGCTGAACTTGCCGCCCGAAGACTAGGAGATATTGGTTCCAAATTTCGCACTCTCTTCACAACTCCGTTTACCTCAGCCCTTGCGTCGCTGAGCCGAAGTGCCAGTACCCCAGTCGCCAACCGGCCAACTACGTCAGGGAAGAAAGGTGCGGAAAAGACGTCCAAGAAGAGAAAGGCAGAAGATACACCAACTTCATCACTCTCCCCGTCAGCGGAGCCAGAAGCTGCAAGGAAAAAGCAAAAGATTGCGCCTAAGCCGTCGCCTCTCGCAGCCAGTCCCATCCCAGTCGCAGCACCAACATCCCCTGCCGCTACGAGCAGTGAACCTCCTCCTTCTACCAATACAGGAACCATTAAAATTCCACTGAAACTTAATGTGACGGCTGCGTCTGCGGCTCCAACTCCGGCAATAGCCTCTGCCCATGCAAGCAAGACACCAACCCCCGCGCCGATGACCCGTGCTCCCAGTGTCCAGCGCAGCTCGGTCGCACCGAAACCAGAGAGCACACCGCCAGCATCGACCACCACCTCCTCCCGACCTCCCTCGCGGCGCTCTGCAGCCGCGTCCGTGGAGCCCCAGCTGCCTGCAGCGAGATCTACTAGCCGACGGGCGTCTATGACACCTTCTCTCGTTGGAGGGCAGAAGACACCCGCGGCCGAGAAAGAAGCGCAAGGACCGAGCCCGAAAGCAGCAATCATCACAGTTCCCACGGCCGCGAGCCGCCGTAGTAAACGCGATGCGCCTGGGATGGTGACGCAGTCGAGTCTAGACGGAGGCGCTGCTGTGAGTGTGAGCAAGCGCAAGACCAAGCCTGCCAAGAAGACGTCGACATCGTCCTCCACGGCCCAAACAATACCCCAGATCAGAATTGACGTGGATGGAAGGCAAGAAATTGTGGATCCGGACGAGGAGCGGTATTGCCTCTGCGGGGATGTTAGTTGGGGAGAGATGATTTGTTGTGAGATGGACGAGAAGGCATGTTCAACCCTTTACACCCGCTCTCTTGCGATCTGTTTGCTTCCCCTCCAAAGAGTTTCAGCTGACTTGTGTTCTGTTTTATCTTAGTGTGACTACGGTCAATGGTTCCACATGGAATGCGTATCTCTGGTCGAGTTGCCTCCCCGGACTGTTAAATGGTACTGTCCCGGTGATAGGAAGAAACATCATAAAGGGGAATCAACCAATGGGCTCGTGGGGAGAGGGATTAAGTGAATACCTAGGTATGGCCTTGGGGGTGGATGGACGAGTTGAGGCTTGAGAGATGAATGTGCATGCGCCATGAGCGAGCAGGCATCATGTTACTTTACTTCTATGCGAGAACTGTCTGATGCTATTCACTGTCCGTGCTGGTATTGGGGTTGGTTGGGTGATTCGCTGCAAAAGACTCCCTCCATCACCTGTGGTGGATATTGGCTGGCTGGGCAGAACAACACGGGTGTGAAAATCTGCATAAACAGCTATATTCATCGTGGTGGCAGACATGTAGGTACATTACCCGAAATGGACGTCAATACTGGCACTATTCTTCATGTCATCCTCTGGCTCGTATGAAAAGTGCAGGTGTCTGTCCTTGATCAGTGTTTTGCCTTACCGTTCGGTTGAGATGGACGCATGCATCATCGCCTTGCCTAGGCCATGATAGAGATCTTCCAATATGACCTGAGGAGAACTTAGAGCTACAGTAGAATGTCTCACCGTGCCAAAGAAGCCATTTGATACCTACCGAGTCCTTCCCTGCATTTGCTTTGCCGAAGGGTTAAGGACAGTGGGTTGTCAGAAGTCCTCTTGAAGAGGGTGGGCCCGTGTCTCCGTTCCAAATGGAAATCTTCTCCTAATAAACTCGGCTCCACGCTCAAACTTTCGTGGATAAATGGTGAGAAAGGTCGAGGTTGGTAAAAGAGAGAGGAAGGAGGGGGAAAGAAACTTCATGTTTATCGCCTTTGGAGTTATATGGAGACGGAGATTTCGGTCATGATACGCTCTGCGCCGATTCAGAAAGTTTCAGCGCTGGTTGGCTGGAAGAGAGACGAGGGCGACCTCGAGGGATCGCCGTGAATCCGATATGAATGGCGTTGGGTCCAGGTCTCCAGAGTCTGGGCAAAAAGCCCAGTTGTGCCTGATTGTTGGGAAAGAAGGGGATCGTGGGAGCAGTCGCGCTTCCGTCGTGGACCTGTGAGAAGATGAATTGATGCATCGGTTGATCGAGTTCTGGGCTCCAGGTGTGGAAATATCCTTTTCCTTGTTGCACCATTTTTGTGAGGATCAGGCTAGAATTTGCTATTGTGGGCGCGGCGGCATTGAGGATATCCCTGCTCCTATCTATCTCATGCCATTCGGACGGAGTGAATTTGCTGGTCGAGATTTATTCGAAGGAAGGACAAAGGTGTATTCTAGTGATCAGGCTGGTTTGGATGAGAGGCCAGCCCAGACACCATCGTCACATGGGCGCTGAGTTTGCGTTGAGGTTCTGTATTCCCCTCTTCACTAGGCAAGAAACGTCGAGGTTGAAAGTGCATGCATTCGATGTCGCGGTGGGAGATACCGTCAACCGTATCGGCATTGAATCGGCCACATAGGACCCAATCCTCGAAAGCGTCGGGCCAGTAGCCTTCTCGCTGGTGGCGAGCATCGGGCCCGTTCGTGGATTGCCTTGCCTGTGCGACGTCCATGGGTAGATGTCTACGAGGCAAAATCCGTGCATTCAATCCGTGCAGTTGCATGCTCGACCTAAACTCGTGGGCTTTGTCTCGGGGAAGGTCAGAAGGAGCAGGACTGCGAAAATTGTTCAACGTATGAAACTATCCAATGAAACTCACTCAGATGTGTCAAAGTCACCGTCAAGTACTTTGGCAGCAGATTTAATGCTGTCAGACACCCACCAAGTACTTTGCGCATTCCAAATCACTTTGGTCAAGTCGTACCCAATTAGTGAGTACCTGCCTAGGGAGCTGCTCGACGGACGCTGCGTGCTTCCGACACCGGCACTACATAGACCAGACAAATATTCGAGACCGAATATTGATTCTGTTTCACAATGCCTCCGCTGGGAGGCGTGTACCTACTGCAACCCGGCAGCTTGGTCAAGACCCGGGTCTGCAAGGCCTTCTCGGAAGCATGGGAAGGCGTTTTAGCTTGACCCTGTGGATGGAGGAGGAGGGTCGAGGAACTCGTTTCCATGAAGGTGTCTAGTCGTCGCTTTCCAGGATGTCTCGGCACGACAAGTTGATAACTACCTTGTACTAGGAGTCTGGGACCCTTCAAACCGATCATGGAACGCCAATCGACAATCAACAGGAAGGTGGGATCATTGCGGACCCGCGGCAAGTGGGCGCTGGAGGTACAAGTACAGGGCGTCAGTGACTATACCCAATGCGCAAGGCTGACAAGATAATTTCCGAGACCAAGATGGTGGAATTGGAGGGAGCCGCGCTAGGACGACACATGGGCGACGAGGGTCGACCTAAAATGACTTCCCTGAGGCTTGCCAAGGGAGAAGTTCATTGATAATTCCTGCGTTCCAGCCTCTTTTCCATTTTTGGTGCTGCTGGGATGGGCAACACCGTTTAGCCCTTTTCCAAGACGAATGTGATCTCAATTTCAGGGGACTCTGAGCCGCCACGTTGACGCCGAGGCAATTGGGCACGCGAGAATGGACTTGGATTGCAATTTTGTCGGGTGGGAATAGCTCTCGCAGGCTGCTGAGAAAGTATTGCATCTCGTCTGGGCGCTGGCATGCAATAATAATTCAGCTCTCGCATAGCTTTGGAGAAATAAATCTGCGTAGGTACGGGGGAGCTTTGCATGTGGCGTATTTTGACTTTAACGGCGCCCCGACCACAGCAGCCAGCAACTTCCCACCGCCACATGGTTGACCGGGTCAGTTGAAAGGGATGGGGCTATCTTTCTTCTCCCAGCATATCAAGCCAATCAGGGTGAATTGCAACCGCTGAGAGTCATGCTCTGGTTGTGATGGCTTGAAATCGAAGAGGTGAAGGACAAATAATAGGATGCGAAACGTGTGACAGAAGGACTTGCCGACAAATCGTGCGACACATACTCGGATTATCGAGCATTGACCCTTGGGGATTGTGGTTACTATTGTTGCTTCGAAGTTTTACTGGAGATGTGATTGACTCGAGATGTTCTTCGGCCACTGTCGACACAGCTCTGACGTTGAAAAGCAAATGCTTCTAGTTTCACTGCTGATCATCGACGCCGCCGGACCAGCAACATTACCTCTCCTACACGAGGTTGATTTCGAAAGCAAAGTCCGTTCATCGCGAGACTGGATTGCTCCATCTGCCAGCCTTTCGAGTTTCAGCCATGTTGCGGTGAACTGCACTTGTCATTTGCGTCCGGATCTAGCGGGCGGAAGCAATCCACCCAAATCTGCCGTGTTTCTAGCTGCATTCTAGCTGCAGGAGGAAGCCCACAGGGTGTCGACCAGGCTGAAGCAACGAGCACAACGCCTGCAGGAGAAAGGAAAATTGATTAGCAGTAACCGTATCATTTGTGCGGACCCCCTCTTAAATTCGTGGGATGCTGGGATGGAGGTCGCTACGGCGGGCCGTCAGGTCCGAATGCATCGCTGAATATGTGGAGGGCGGCTATACGAAGGTGACAAGCAAGAAGCGACGGAGTACTGTGAATGCTGACTCGACGCAAACCAGCCACGGACTGTAGGTGCAGAGCAGTACTCGTACATACGGAACACTTGTAGTACTTTGCTCAGATGTAAATGCAGAAAAATCGCAGTGCTGAAAGGCTATTGTGTTCGGAGCGATCTCACACCTGGAAAACTCCGGTGTTCGATGTAGGCGGCTGGGTTGACAAGTCTGCGTCGATATGTCAGATGTCAGTGACCCGTCAGACAGGGAAAGCAACGCACCAGAACCAGTAGGAGGTTTGGGAGAGGGACACTTTGGACAGATTGGGAGAAAAGTTTGGAGGGGGTGTGTGTGTGAGAGAGAGAGAGAGTGGATGTGGAAGCGGGTGGGTACGGAGGGTGACTGGAAAGCGAAGGTGAAAGTGAAAGGAGGCGTCGAGGCATCAACTCTGATCGACGCTTCTGCAGGTACCGGTGGGTGCCGGGTGTAGGCCGGCACACTATGGGACGGCACAGTGGACCTCATTAGCCCTAGTGGGAGTTGCCAAGGGCGCAGTGGGCAAGATTTCTCGAACTGAGGGTGCCGGGCCACTGGCACCCGCCAGTGCAAGCCACGGAAAGCCATCGACACACTAAGGCCGCCCTGGTTGTTCCCCTGGTGCCTGGTGGGTGCCTGGGGCCGACGCGATATCTTAGGTATCGATTAAGCAAGGTCCCTTGTCCCTGCGCTTCCTGACCATAATTTTTTTGGTTTTGCTTTTCCCATTGCGCTCCTACTGGGTACTTTGCACGGTGATTTCTTTTTGGATGAGGTTTTCTTTTCCGTTTCCAATCTTGCATTATGGGATCGACCTGAAGGTCCATGTCACTCCCTGCCTCCGAACATGGCCAGCTTCTGCCTGGTAAATGTCAGTGACTCAATCCCTGCCACTGGCTCACATTTCTTTTGGTGCGGACAAATCAATCGCTCCAGCCGCAGCAATGTGGGCTCATTGCGCATCCGGGCAGTCAATCATTCTCCAGTGTTTCTAGCCTCCTCGTTTAGTTGTTTGGCACGCTTCCATCACGCTTGATTCTGATCCACGCGCTTTGCCCTTGCCTTAGAATTCAGGCCATTGATTTAGTTGCATTTACCTTCCGATCCCCGTCTGCTCGCCTCCTCGCGTCAAAGTGTCTTTCCTGTCGGCGGCTCAGCTTCCATAACTGGTCCATGTCACTGTCACTGACCTGTCACTCAAGTTCACGTCTTGGCCACGACAGAATGTAGGAGTTCTCATACGAGTTTGCTCCCTAGATACAATTTTTCTCAAGTCTAGGCTGCCCCTTGCTGGACAATCAACCCTGTCAACGACATCGACAGGTCCTTGTTTGCTTGTCCATCGTCCAATGCCAACTACGGATCCCCACTTCGGAAGACAACTCGATGCGTCATGACCAGTACGAGTAGGTTCTCCCGTCCACGGGCAACAAAATAAAGAAAAACAACAATAAAAAAGTCAAAATTGGCGCTGGAGTTGAGCCTGCTGCACCGTGCACAGTACACTAGGATCGGGGATCAAGTTCAGGCCAGTCCCTCCAGCGCATCGTTGTTTTAGAATCGCGATTCATGGCTCCGAAAACGTCGAGGCACACAAGCAATCGCAACAATAATCTATTCCCGGATCCTGCCTCCTCGTTGACTCGAACCTTTAGTGTCATTGCGGGCTCAGCTACGGATGTCGCATCCTCGATTTCCGTCTGCCTGGTGTCTGGTACTCTGGGTCTCTCTGAGATAAAGACAATCCCCTACAGGAAGACTAGGCCCGCTCCTCAGACTCGGTCAGCTTGCGACTCGAGAGTCGAGAAATCGAAACGCCGCCCCCTGGCGCTGCTGGTACCCTTCCAAGGTTGGGAAGCACCTCTAGGGCTCCCGCGGGAAACTAGGCCTCTAGGCTTCGGCGTAGGCCCCACCACCCGTCCATCCAGCCTGGAGCCCTTGGAGCCCTTGGAGCAACTCGAAAGCCTTGTGGCTCCCCGGGTCCCAAGAAGAAAAGCCTCTTGGAGCCAAACCCTGCGTATCCGAAGTGCTTAGTTCTATGCTAACGTACCATCCGTTGAGTATCCATCCGACCAGATGGGGGTGGATAAGGGGTAGCTGCAGCTTGTCTCCCTGTCCCATCCTTTTCTGCTATAACTTTCACGTTTCCTTGTCCGGGCTACAAATGTTACACGTCTTTCGCTTTCTCATCTGTTCTCGACGTTCTTTGCTTGTTCATAGTCCTGCATTGCCTTTCGCTTGTCATCGACACAAAATCGTGGCTCTGGCCCTGTACCGAATTACCTCCTAGATTTGACGTTCGAGAAACATCCGCTCGACACATCACAACGGGCTGCACCCCCTAAAATCAGACACCAACCTGGCCGAGTACCAAATCTATCTGCCCGCAATCAATTCCTATCCGAGACTCGAAGACGTGGAATAAGCTACCTGTCGGATCGAACCTGATCTCAGATCTGTCGCTCAATCTAGACAAGACATTTGCACTGGACTGGAACTCCTTCTCTGACAGCGCGCACAAAACTCAAATTCTCGGCGCATCTCCTTTCCTCATCTCGCATTCCCCCCTTGGCTGGACCGAAAAGGCCCCTGGCAAAAAGATCGTTCGCACACTGCCACCTTCCCCAGGCCAGCAGTCAGCGAGCCAACTCTGTATCACATCCTAGTCTCCGGAGCACCTCACTGGACAGGTGCAAAATAGTCTACGGACTTCCCATATTACTCTTGTGAGTCAGCCAAAAAGAATCCCGTGCTGCCTGGCTATATAAGCCTGCGTCCGGCGCCTACGCTGAACTTTCCTCGTCCTTCTCATCCGCCAACTCCACAACTAACGCCTACACAGAGCACACAGACACAATGACTTGCTCATCAACATCAACATCTTCAACTCCCTGCGACATGGGCCGTGGTGGTTACGACACAACAGGAGTGCCCAAACCAAAGCCTCCTCAAAAATAACATCCGACGATTCCACTCTTCCGTCAAAACACCTCAACATCGCCCCAGGGCCCCAGGGGCTTCTGGCAACATTTGCCAAACATTCCATTCTTCTGCCGGTCAACCACAGACACTCAGACTTGACGCGTGAGCCATTAACAAAACGGCTTGTCATGCTTCGAGTCTCCTTTTTTACAACTGCGACCGAGCAACCTGTTTCTCGACAATTTTTAATCCCCAATGTGCTTTTGGACCAATCGACTACCCTGTACAAGTACTGTCTCAAAAGATTTGAGCGTTCTCGGCGACACTTTTTCTCCCCTGCATGTACGGCGCTAGGAACATTGTTTTCGTCTCTCGGGGACTCGACCAGCACGACTATTTCCTGTACAACCAATATTTGATGTATCAAAAAAGTGCTTATTCTCTCGGCGTTATACCATAGACGGAGGCTGGGATACGGACGCGGACGGCCGAGGATGAGGAACACTGCGGCATAGATTATATGACTCAGGTCACTATTTTGGGAGTTTCGTTTTGGGTCTGGAAGGAGAGGGTATGATGCCGCTGCGTCGGCCATGCCCAATTGCAATAGGTGTCTGCCTGGATACCATGATGCGGTTAGCAAAATGAGATGGCCTATTCACATGACACCACGGGCTCCATTGATGGTCCCTGTGGAGTCATCGAACAGAGGTTATAATCGATGAGTGGCTTCCTTTTTCTTGTGACACTAAATGAAATTGAATAATGTTGTCAACATCGACCGAGCGATCTGTCCTTCATAACTTATCCGGTCTTCTGGATTGCTGCCAGAGAGGCTGGCATTGATATGCATGGATGATTCGTCGCACGAGGCTTCAACCCTCAGGGGTTGCCCCAAGGATGCTCGTTGGGGAAGTTAGTGCGCAGGCAGAATGGAAGATCAATTTTGAGGCAAAATATGCAATTGTTGCAGATGGATATGTAGCATGCCGTACAAATACGGCGGGACGTAGCCGCGGAAACGCATCTCGGCATCATCTGCGTCGTCAGTACACTGCGATGCATTGCGATCAATCCACTTCCTAGTACCTAATCATCATCCTCAGTCCACATCCGCCCTCATCCCTGACAGTCTTTGCACCCTCGATACTCTTCTCCTCCTTCTCTCACGACGGACCTATAAGGCAGAGACCTACGAGATCAACCCGAGCTTTTCGAGTGAAACTAGTCCCTCGACCGCCAATTTTGACCCCGAACTCGAGCTTCCGCTACTGACACTCTCCCGACTGCACGTCCAATTACTGAGAAAGAACCACGACATCTCCAAGCACAATCTCCCACCAAAAGAGGGTTGGAAGGAGTAGTATGGCCGACTCATCTTCAGCTCCCAAGCCCTCCAGCAGCGTCAAGCTCGTGCTGCTGGGAGAGGCCGCCGTTGGAAAGGTGGGTTGCGCATGACCCATTGCCGTTCCTTCTCTGGCTTTCGATAGTTCCCTGCCATGTCACATTCAAGACAGCTCCGGACACTGCAGCTGTGGTTGTACGGTTGAGATCACGATACCTTATCCCCACGTCAAAAGAGAAGAGATGCCTAAAACGGAGCGGAGGGATGCGATCATGAGAGTCCTATGGCAAGAATTACGATCTTTACTGACAGCCTGAACAGTCATCTCTAGTCCTTCGCTTCGTCAACAATGATTTCCAAGAGAACAAGGAACCCACCATTGGCGGTATGTCAACGTCCTGTCAACGTCGCATTTCCGCTCGACTGCGACCCTTCTCTTTCTTTCGGAACCGCTTCCCTCTCTTCTTTCTACAGATCAATGCGACCTCTTTTGAGAGCATCGAGCTGACGCTTTTCTAGCCGCGTTCCTTACCCAAAAGATCTCCCTTCCCAATCGGGTCATCAAGTTCGAAATATGGGATACCGCAGGCCAAGAACGTTTTGCCTCCCTTGCCCCCATGTACTACCGCAACGCCCAAGCTGCGCTTGTCGTGTATGACCTGACGAAACCCACGTCCCTCGTGAAGGCTAAGCACTGGGTTGCGGAACTGCAGCGACAAGCTTCACCAGGAATCGTCATTGCCCTGGTTGGCAACAAACTGGACTTGTGCGCTGAATCGTCCAGTGACGGCGCCGATGCATCCCAGGAGCCATCCTCCGCGGCGGGCGAGGACGAAGCCGACGCCAATAACGCCGAACAGGCTGAAGCCGAACCTACAGAAAACGGGGATGCACGCAAAATCTCTACACGAGAAGCCAAATCATACGCTGAGGAAGAAAGCCTCCTGTTCTTCGAGACGTCGGCAAAGACAGGCACAAACGTTGCGGAGGTCTTTTCAGCCATTGCGAATGCCATTCCCGAGACGTCGTTGAAGGGGGCTCGAGGAGCGGCTGGTGGAGGGACCCAGGCAGCGTTGTCGGGTGCAGCCCAACGAGCGGAGGAAGCGAGGGTGAATTTGGCGGACAGGGGAAAGCAGCAGAAGGATAACTGTGCTTGTTGATTTGACTGGTTTAAAGAGTTAAGAGTGTATGCCGGAGGAGTCTCAGTATCAGGCACCTAAAACAAACTGGTGTGCTTGGGTCTGGGGGATAAGCTTGGTTAGTCAACTTGGCCGAGGAAAAGAAGTGGGCTGAGTTGAAATGGTGGTGAACAGAAGAGCACGGGTGGGTGCCACAAATGCTCGAAATTGTTGTGCTCGCTTGGGTGCGAAGCGACGGGGAAGTACTGATTGGAAGGGCATCTGGTTCTGTGGCGTATGGGAGCGAAGAGCGAAATATGGATCTGCGATTGCACTTGTACAAGACGTTGAACCAACCTCACAAAAAGACCTAATTCTCTTACAATCAAGTATCATTACAAGCCATCTCATTCCATTATCGAACCCGGTTGAATTTCCCTAGTTTCCATGCTCGAGTCAGAGCACCGTCTCTAGACTAAAACTGTTAACCCTGGAACTATCCCAATGCCGCAACCTGCTAATCGCGTAGAATGCTCGGCGTCGTTGAAGAGTCTTGTGGAAGCCCCCATAAAATGGTCCCGGCATCACAAGGGCTGAGATACACCTTGCCCCGATGGTCTTTGGAAGGATTCGACACCCGCTATGGCCCCGATATTATGGATCTGGTCATCGACAATCGATCTCGGCCCTAGATACCGAATCAGCGGCGATCTGGATCGCCCATGGGTCTATTATTAGTTGGGTCTATAGTCACAGTGCGCTGCCATGCTCTTCTCAGCGACCGCAGTGTTGACTCAGTCCTTGGGGGTCTTTTTTCCATCTGCTTGGGCCTCTCATGTACGAGAAACCGAGTGATTTTTATCGTACTCCAAAGTTAGGATCGGTGATCACCATACCGAACTCTGAATATCTGGTTCCAAATGGAGTTCCCCAAGTCATCCTCGTTACATGGCATTGAACCTCCTCTGCTAGTCTGGGCCATCTTTAAGGAGAACTGGGTTGCACATGTACCGATAGTCCTGGGGATTTAGAGTACGCTGTGACATCGTTCTCCACTGTAAGCAGACAACACTCCGGGGGGCATCCAGAGAGCTGGAGGAAATGAAGTTTGGATTGAGCGCCCACTGCACTATCCCAACTCTCCCGCGAGGAAGTTGAGTCCCCGCGCCGTGAAGCCAAAGTGGAGAATGCGACTCGCTGAGCCGCTTTGAATTTGTGTCACGATGACATCAGACCTTCGCGCTTCTCAAAAGTTTCCTCTGCCGGATCAACCTGAGGTGCTTGCACATTGTCTGCAGTCATTCGGAGATCTAGACCTCTACATCCATCATCTTTCGTCCAGCTTGAGACCCGGTCAAGATGGCTGATCGAGTGAAACAAGTTGCCGCCGAAGAGGCAGATAACATTCGAAGGGTGACTGAAGAGGCTGTCAAGTCGCGGGCCTATCTCTATCCTTTCAAGGCAAGGCTCTTCCGCCAGCGCAACATCACGTTTCTGACCGTGCACAGGGTATATTCTACTTCATCTCTCACAAGGATCTATGGAGACCGTTGACTTCCAAATTGGCTCCGACGATCACACTGAGCATTGGAGTCACCACGTTCATGTTCCTCGTGGCGTACGTACCTCAAGCAGCAGTCATGGCTTTCACTTCTGGGCCCGTTGCAGCCATCTCAGCGGCCTTGCTTACCCTCAGTGAGAGCTCAACACTCATCAATCTCCTCTCGAGAACATTTTTGATCGAAGAGGCACTGGTCGACACCTTTGACGGTACCCTTCTTTCCCGAAGTTGCACCAATCTGGTTGAGGAGGGCAGGCAAATAAAAGCTGGAGGGGACAACATTGCCAGACTGGGAAAGCTACTCAAGCGACCATTCGCAAAATTTGCTCCCAATGCCATCATCCGGTACCTCATCTACCTGCCGCTCAACTTCATACCCGTGGTTGGCACCGTTATTTTCATAGCCCTTCAAGGTAAACGAGCAGGGCCAGCCGCTCATACCAGGTACTTCCAGCTCAAGGAGTGGAACAAGAGACAGCGCGAGACGCACATTGCGGAACACCGCGGAGGATATACTGCGTTTGGAGTGGCGGCTTTTTTGCTCGAGATGATACCATTTGCAAATCTTATTTTCGCTTTCACAAATACGGTGGGAGCAGCTCTGTGGGCTGCAGACATCGAAAAGAATGCCACAACGGCTCCAAAGGTCCGTGAGCTGGCTGAGAAGGCCGAGTGATGACGACTGCAGGAACCATCAGACTCAGACCGGTTGTCGAGATGCAGTTGAACAGGGCTACACAAACATTGGTGTTATCCAGGGACTTGTCGCGGAGCGGCCGGTGGGGGTAAGCAGAGGGCAACAAGGCTGGAACAGAAGGGATCGTTTCTGGAACACTTGTGAGGCGGTGGCAACTCCGTTGACAGTTGAAACGACTTCTATTTCCATGGACGGGGAGTTGTGTGCAACCATGCGTCTGTCTCTGTCCATCCTCGGCAGCGGAGCGAGGGCCATGAGAAGCGAAGCAAGCAATGATAAGCCTGGAGGGTGAATTCGTGAAGTCCGATTGGAATCAAGACATTCACACCATGAAATGAAGGTGGTAGTCGCTTGCATGGTAACCACCATAATGGCGAGCCAACATCCTCCAGAGCCCATCCTCGAGTTTTGAATCGACAGTCTGTATTCACGTATCTGGATTCACCTGGATCCATATGGAATTCCTTTCCTTTTATGCTTGTGTGAAGGTCCAAGACTGTGCCTGAGTTGACAACTTGGAATCACGCTGGGCGAATTCTGCCAGACCTTGTTTACCGTTTGGTGACAACCTGGTGCCGTCCTCGACTTTCAGCTTCCTGCCTTTCTCGTACAACAGAACACAACACTCATTATCGAACGTCTATTCTACTACATCCCAGCACATAAAGCCTTTCTATCAACGCTGTCGCTCTCTATCGTTCAAACTTAAACCGGCTGGCTCGGTCATCGCATACCACTCGTTGGTGAGAGGTGAGTGTCGAGGGGGTCCTCGTGATGGAAACTTGAACTGATCAAAAGAACGCAGATCGCACCATGCGCTCCTTCTTCTCATTGTCCAGCTTGATGCTGCTGATCTACTTCTTTCTCTTCTTTCTTCATCCTTCCGCTACTCATCCTCACGGTTTCAATGATCTCCGCCATGGTCTCGCAGGTCGAGATGGACCAGCTCAGACAACCAAATATCCTATTCCAGCCAAAGCTCAAATCAGCGCCGTCTATGCAAGTTCAGCCACTCCTTGTTCCGGTGCTCATTGCACTGTTGCTACCCCTCTCCCTGGAAATCTACCTTGCAACGCTGTGAACGGCTCGACCTTTCTCGACGCGGTTCCCGAGGGCGCAAAATACACACTGATCTGTGATATTGACTTTCCTGCTCAAAATATCTACCCTTTTGTTCTGGCTGGCTCTTTCGACGCGTGTTTGGCACAGTGCGAGACCTACAATATGAAGAATCTCACAGACACCCACTGCGCTGGGTTTGTCTTTGCACCAGACCGCATTAACGACGCAGACGACTGCTACTTGAAGTCCTCCTTGGATAAGCCGAGTTCAGCAACAATCCATCTTGTGGGCGCGACAATCGTACCTTCTTCAACTTCTAGTTGCTCTTCGCCATCCGCGTCTCCCACTTTCCCGACTCCTCGCTCCAACCTCGGTGGCTCCACGCCTTCGCTTCGTGTAGGGGACTTCAAAATGCTTGGTAGCTCCACAAACAAGCCTACGACACAGTATGTGAGCCATTTGCCTGCGACCCCTCAGAAGCTCGCGAGCAACCTCCTGGTCCCAGGCATTAACACCGACCTCATCACACAATACCCAATAGCAGATGACACGGGTTGCTGGACTTCAAGCCGGTTGCAGGGCGATACGAATTTGTCCAACATGAAGGTCGTACCCCACATGTCTCGTGATGGCGGAAAAGGAGGCACCATCAATGGAACTCACCTTTTTATCTTCTGTGACACCGCGAGTTTCCAGATCGACCAGACCTCCAACACAAGCCAGATGGTTGGATTTGTGTCCAGCTCGGTCGCCACGGATGATGGAATGAAGGCTCTATATGGCCAGTCACTCGATCTGATGGACAACGTTGGCGAATGGCAGGATGACGTTGGCAGAATGCGAGGGTTTGCTCCAATGACTACAGGAGAAGAATCCTTCAACATTGATCTGTCGGGCAATGGCTATCGATATGCGGTGTGGCCTGAATCGTCCCTGATCCCGCTCAATGCAAGTCATGCTTTGCTTTACCCGGCGCTGGTGTATGATGTTGTGAATATGACAACACAGGCGGCAGTCTTCAACGATGTTGGCAACTCTATTCTTGTAGTCTCTGTGGACCCAACCTATGGTCCGTTCGCCGACCGTGTTGTTCGACAACTCTACACTCAAGACCAAGTCACATTCGGTACTTTGGGTGGCATCCGTTCTTGGGGCTCCTCTGGGACAGGAGGCAATGACGGTCACATCTACCTCTTTGGAAAAGGCGACAATGGCGTCCTCGTGGCAAGGACAATCCCAACTGGATATACCGATTTGTCGACTTATGACTACTGGAACGGCAGCTCCTGGACCAAGGATCTACCTTTGTCGAACTCGAGCGCTGTTATGCTCGATGTCTCGGTCCAAGATCTAGATGTCATGTACGTTCCTGCAATGCGAAGTTTCCTCATGGTCTACCTCAACACCCTTGCCGACAATACTTTCTATTACCGCTATCTGGACCTCGACTTGAATGTGGAGGATAAAGACTTCGACGTGGAAAATATCGTGACAGCTAAGTGGTCTGATGAGCAAGTCCTGGCCAAGATCGATGCTCCTGCTCAGGGCTACATCTACGCCGGCTCCGTGCATGCGGGATACTTCGAAGGCGACGACATTGCCAACGGAGGATGGAAGATGCTGATCACTTGGACTGAACATACCGGGCAAGATGCCGCATCTCCGGAATCGGGCTACGCTCATAAATCCGCGTATGTGCAGCTCAGCGTTGGTTGAATCTCTCTCTGGATCATCCAATAGCTCGGCAGCATCTGCCAGCACATACTCAGCGAGGCAATTGACGGGGGAGACGAGAATGATGCGCCTGGATATGACATGAGGTGTACGACCGTTACGGCTGGCCACGTTTATTATGCATGCATTACTAGTCGGCAAGGCGTGATCCTCTTTGGAATACTTTTACACTTGCAAGACTGCGATATCGTTCCGGCCTGGCGAGAAAGGGTGATTATCGGCGTCGTTCCGGGAAGTCATGATTGATGAGTTACGATTTGTTTTCACGAGCTGCCTTGACGTGCCGCAAAGGCTAAGCGGATGCGAGATGTCACGAGTAAATAAATGCTTCATGAGACGAGTTCAATTAGAAAGATTCGATCCCACCGCTAGAATTTGCTGTACTGGAAAGAACGCGGAGAGCAACTGTCTCATTTCCGCGTGCCCTGGCTCTTTAGTCTGGGATGAACATTTTGACACATAAAACCTTATGTGAACAGCGCACAGAATGCTCGAGATTGTTTCAGTCAGACGATAAGACTTCTTCATCGTCTGTTCTCTGCCTACTGTGCAGCCATCGTCATGATCCAATCTCAGCTTCTTCATAGCAGCCTGGGAGACTCCTTGCCAGACTCCAAGCATTCTGCCATTCCTCCGATCCCGTCTTTCTGTCTTGAGAGATACGCCCCCGTCGACTGTCCACTTAGACGCCGCGCTTCCTGCTTATCCGGCCGATCCTACTCCTCGTCCGTCCTGTACCACCTCCCTGCAGGACTTTCCCCGCGCCAGGACCACAATTTGCGGGACAACCGTCTAGTGGGCTCCCCTTTTTGAGGGGTAAGCAGCCACGCAACAAAACGCATCAGCAGCGGGCGGTGCATGATGCGCAAGATGCTGGTGGAATCCCGCCGAAGCAAAAGCACGGCATATTTTCAAGCGAGGAAAGAGGGGGGCAAGGATGAGAAATATCCAATCTGTTCTCTTTAGAAATCTTGCCTTTTTGCCTTTTCTCTGTAGCGCTTCAGCGATATACTCGGCCGCGAGCTCAATCAGATTGCGCGACTTAGGGGCTCACACGGATAAGGCTGTTTGATTAGGATTTGGCCTGTTCTAACCATACAGCGGCTGACTGGGTGCAAGGCCGCGGAGGCAGGGAGCAAAGCACCATTAGCCCTGTGTTGAGATATTCCAACTTACAAAGATATACTGTTTCGCTTCGCTCAATAGGATCAAAACTCCACAATGGCTGGTGTCTCAAATGGCGCGTCCTCGACAGAGGCAGCACCTCCCCAGCTTCAAGATCCTGGGTCATACCCTCTGGCTGCACAAATCCCTCTGAAGGGATTCGAATTGCCAGACTTCCCTCCCCATGCTTCCCACCTGCGAGAACTCACATTCACCGCCGACATCAAGCTGGACGAGTACCAAAACATGGTGCAGACCCACAGCGACGCCATCGTTACTCAACCGCCCTTGCCAGACCTGCCCAAGTCCATCACTCATCTCACCTTTGAACTGTTCGGTCTTGGCTTTCCCGGAACGCCGCCCTTCCTCACTAGACTGGCACGATCATTGCCAAACGTCAGAAGCGTGACGTTCTTCAGCTGCTTGATCGATGGCCTCGATGAAGCGTCCCGGAAGGATGCGGAAAAGTTCTTCGAGTGCCTGCCGAATCTACAAGAACTGCACGTCATCGATTCCTTCGCCAGACCCGGATTTTTCAAGACCGTAGGTGGGATTCTGGAATCACATGCCAAGGGCGGCGCTGGTGGCGAAGGGTTGAAGCTCGTCGACGTCAGCTTCACCTTCCGCGGACACGAGGATAGCGACTTCCTGGCAAGAGTCCAAGGCGAGGACTTGCCGAACCTGATTGTCAAGGGTCTGGTCGGTGCCAGCTTCGACTTTGTCCCGGAGCGGCAGGATGAGCTCGCTGAGGCTGCTGAAGGAGAAGACGGAGAGAAGAAGGATAACCAGAAAATCAACGAAGGGATTTTGCCGTTTGCGAGCGACGGACGAGCACCTACCGCGGTCAGGAAAAGGTTTGAAAGTATGAGTCACGGGGCACAGTTGACGAGCTTGAAGATCCTGAACCTGGGCATGTATTCCCTTCGACCCGCCGAGGTGGGTGAGGTGGTCTATGCTTGTGCCGGAGGGCAGGAATCGGCCGGTCTGGTCGACATTACCGTCAGCGTTCTTCTCGAAGAAGGCTGGGCCGCCAAGTTGGCAGAAGGCCTGCAGTATAAAGGAGTGTCTTCGGTCTTGGAGGGAATCGAAGTGGTCGGAGTCCCCGACAAGGCCGTGGAGGAAGGCGACGATTGGAAATCCGGGTTGAGCGTCGCCAAGTTGGCGGATGTCGAGAAGATTGCGGCCGGGTGTCCGAAGCTGGGGAAGTTCGGGATGAGTATCCTCAAGGTCAAGAGTGCGCCGAACGTGGTGTTCTTGAAGGAAGGGGACTCCTGGGTTGAACGGTGATTTGCCGCAAAAGGTCCCAGCCTCAATCCAGTCCAGCTATGCGATAGAAAGCGTCAGGTGGTTGGTTCATGGGAGGGAATGGGTAGAAAGGAAAAAGTGTATTCTGAAAACAGCGATGAATTGCAAGGGGATTTGATCTGATGCAGACAACGACGCTGGCTGTACAACTTCATTATACGATTCCAATCCGCCGACAGAGACCTTTGATTGGACATTGCTGGGATACAAATCGGTCAGGATGCTCAGAACTCACCAGTGTCCGAAAGGGTCTATTTCCTCAGTATTTGGTAGTAGTACTACCTGTCCCGAACCCGGCGGCGCACGGAAAGGCGGAGCGGTGGGTTCCTCATCAAATTACCCCTGCCTTACAATCTACCTAGGTACTCAACTCTTACTCTTCCCTTGCTTCTTCTTCGAAGACGAACGCTGCTTGTCGGCGATGTCGTCGTCGTCGTCGTCGTCGCTACTCTCCTCAGAAGCATCGCTACGGGAGGAGTCTGCGTCGTCTGACGCTTTCGATGAGTCCGAAGATGATGAGGGCTCGGCCTGCTTTTTCTTGCTCTGGGATTTGGTTTTGGACTTTCGTTCTCTTGGTTTGCTGTTCTTTTCCGAGCTCTTGCTCTTGCTCTTGCTCTCGCTCTTCCGCCTCTTAGAGGAAGACTTAGCCTTCTTGGCTGGCCGGTCATCCTCGCTGCTACTGTCCCACTCAGAAGCAGTACCTGGGTCGATGCCGAAGCTATCGTCTCGCGCGCCGCGCTCCCTCGCCAGCTGCTCGTCATCTCGCCGCGTCTTGGCCAGATACTTGTCGAAATGCTTGCTGGCTTTCGCCACCTTCTTGAAATGCTTCGGCTCCAGGGCCGGTCCCTTGACCTCTTGCTCGCTGCTGAGCTGCAGGTAATCCCAGTCGGCCAGCGCGACGGCCGTCTGGAAGGCGTTCTTGATCTGCCTGCCGTTCCATCTGGTGGAAGCGTCTCCCTTCTTCCAGTGGTATTTGGCGTATTTTTCGAGCTCTCCCTGGTCAAAATGCACCCGGAGTTTCGGATCCAGGTCCCGGTTGCGATCTTCCAGCGCCGCAATGTTCATCTGCCAGACTTGGAAGGTTTGGTCCTTGTCGAGTTTCGGGTAGTAGAGAGAACAGTGGACGCGGGACTTGACTGCCTCGTCGAATAATCCAACTCGGTTCGTTGTCAGGATCAGAATGCCGGGGTAATACTCCAAGACTCTTAAAAAGACTGGCAATCTCTTATTAGACTTGTTCGTCTTCGTGAGAAACATATTCTTGATTGGACTCACCAGAGACAAGACTATTCTGTCTGATATTTCCGACCTCGCGGGCACTGAGAAAGACATCGGCTTCGTCCAGCAGCAGTACACAGTCCCACTTCCTCGCGAGGTCGAAGAACTTCTCCAGATTCTCCTCGACCTCCTGAGCAGAATCACCCCCGATATCTCCACATGTTATAGGGAAGAGCGGCTTGCCCGCATTGGCGGCGACGCACTCTGCCGTGGAAGTTTTACCGACTCCCGGTGCCCCATGGAGGAGAATGATGAGGCCCTTTCCCTTGCCTTTGACGACGTCGAACTCATACCGCGACTTATCGGCTTCGAGCTTCCGAGCGTGGGTGTTGATCAAAGCTCTGACGATCTCCTTGTGTCCGTTTGGTAGAACGAGTTTCTGAAACCCATCGTTTTCGCCTGGCTTTACCTTTGGGACGATGTCGACATGGCTGATATCTAGCGGATCTGGTGATTGTAAGCAGGTCGTTTGGGTAACTCTCGCTCTGGGATGCGTCGAAGCACTTACACCAGTTTCGGCTCAACAAAACATAGCCGTATACTCTACCTGGGAGCAATACGTAGATATCTCGATGCAGGGTCCCTCGCGTGTGATTGCGAAGGAGGTCGTTGTCGCGAGTCCACAAAGACCGCTTCGCTGCAAGAAGCTCAGCATCATCATACACTAGGCCGGGACCGTGTCTTTCTTCGTAGTCCTCCACAGTTGGACTCATAATGACTCCTCCCCCAAACTCCGGTCTAGGGATCCTGCGTTGTGTGTTGCGATATGCCATCTCAAAGTCGATCATCACGTCACTGTCGACCTGTTGAGTGAGAATTGATTCAGCGACGACAATCATCCATGCGATAGGTGAGGAGGAATTCCAAGTACCTCATCAACGGTATCAAAGATCTCACCTTCCCGAAGAGTGTAGCCTTGATACCTGCGATGACTCACTTTGGTGAGCTCTTCAAACTTTTTGCCTCTCTTGATCAAATATTCGAGCACTGGCCGGCCGTCCCTCGCACTCTTGTCATAAGCAATAGGGTATGCTGGTAGGGCCGTGACGCTCTTCACATCGTCATATGGCTTGATGGATATGGTGAACGGGACGGCCCCAAACTCTTTTCCATCATAGTCGATATAGAAGCAGTCGATGACCAAGTCGGAAATAGTCCTCCCTCCCGTACCTTTGTCTTTCTTCCTGGCCTCCAGGGACCGTCGTCCACCAGTGACCTGCAGGACCCGGTAGGCTTTGTAAGTTGGATACTTCACAACGATTTCCTGGCCCAGAGGGAACAGATACCACAGATGTGAGAAGGGCAGTTTTTCCACCGTCCCCGCTTCGATCTGCCGGTAGCTCTGCACAAGGTCTCTCAGGTCTGTGTCCAGGACATGGATAAGTGCGCGAAACCCGTCCAGCAGGATCCTAGCTCGGTCGATTCTGTCTTCGATGGCCGCGTTGATGGCCGTTTTGAGGGGCAGCTCGAGGAGGTATGCCGCCGCGGCTGGTAGATAGTCACATGTACGTAGGACAGCGGGATGCTCAGGGTACTGACGGGCGATGTCGGCAAATTCCTCCTCGAGCTGCTTGAGCCGGTTTCGGAAGGCTGTCTCGGATGGTATAATACTCCTGTATGGAGCTACTTGGTCATGGTTGAGAAGAACGTGCTCATTGTCCACGGTACGATACCCGCCCGGCACCGATATCCGCGACATCTCTTCGAGCAGTAGCTCATTCACAATCTTCAAGCGAGGGGGAAGAATGCCGATGGTTGTCTTTGCAGCCGAAAGAATATCACCTGCTTCCGTCGTCGCTTCCTCCGTGCTCTGGCCGCCGCCTTCGCCTTCGGCCCTGCCGTTCGTTGCACCCTGGACAAGTGGTCCTTCAACGGATACAGACCCCGATGATATATATAGGTGGGCGTTGTCGGCGAACTCCTGATACTGGGTCCATTTATCTTCGTGGACATAGATGACACCGTTCTTTCTAGTGAAGCGTTTCTGTGCGGACACTCTGGCCAACTTCTTTTCCAATGTTTTTTGCCTGGCTTCCCGTCTTCGCCGGCGCAAAATGTGCATCGGTGTGCGACTCTTTTCGCTTTCACTTGAGCCCTCGTCGTCCCTTGCCGCGATGTCTTCAGAGCCGCTGTCGGACGCTGACCCGCTGTCCGTAGATTGCCGCATGACAAACTCTGACACTACAACAACGTGCTCCTCAGATTCTTCTAGCAAAGGTGATGTGGTAGCTTCGACTGCAGCGACAGGCGATTCGACACTGGTTCGATAGTCTGCCGCCAAACGGGCGTCCATCTCCAGAGGAATTTCCAAGCTCTGCTCCATCCTAGCAGTTAGCGAGGTCGCCGACTTGAGCGTCACTTTGTCGCGATTCGAAGTCGTTGACATGGGTTGATTGAGAAACTCCATGTCATCCGCGGCTGAGCTTTCCTGCTTGTGAGGGTCAGACCGCATCGTGCAATCCAATCTTTCCGAGTAGCCTATGAGCAGCTTATCTTTTGGAGGTCGAGAAAAGGTTGGTGAGGACGCGACGGGCAGCCAACGGATCAGCAGCCTGATAGAGCTAGAGGTAAGTCTATCAGGGATTGAGGCTGGCAGAAATACCAGAACATGCAAGCTCGTTAGGCGGATTCTTCGGCGTCAACCCTGTCCGGGCTCATGCACACGGGTCTCATTTTTGGTCGTTCCTTCAGCTTCATGCAGCTTCATGCAGCTGCAATCAGCCGCATTCAGGGTCTAGTAACCTCTGCACCCCTCCCATAGGCCTCATCCTGCCAGCGAGCGTGTGATACGGAGGGGTAGATGGATGGATTGGCCAGACGACGGACACGTCAGCTGCGAAATGGCGGATTAGACCGGACACCACACTAGGCAGGCTGGGTCTGTGATTCACAGGGGATAGCTCGGACAATGCTCGATGCGCCCTCATGCACTGCAGCACTTCTTGCCTGCAGGAATTTCGTATCCGTACGACAGCGCAAACCTCCAGAGGCTGCCTAGCATTCAGGGAACAAGTATTTCTTCGCCAGAAGGCTCAAGAGAGATAACGGCATCGCAAGAAAATTTCTCGATGCACTTTCGACTATTGGTCTCACGTTGTTTGCTGTATGAACGGCTCCGCTGGGCCTTTGCGAGGCTGTGATTTTTCCCCAGCGCACATGCCGTCGGCAAACCCAACAGCGACACCGATGAAAACGCCAGCCTTAGGCAGCTATGTCTTCCCTTGAACTATCTACTCTTTTGGGAGAAAGAAGTGCTCTCAAGCAGACAGCCGACAACATCGCTGAAAAGTTTGCCAAAAGCCCTGACAGGCCATTTGCCTCTATTCATCCGGCTCTGCAGCCACAACAGACACACTCACCTGTGTCAGCAGGTGTTGACCCAGCTAATGGCGGGGCTTTGGTTCCAGTCAGTTCGGCCGCTGTCATTGCGGTGACGCCCACAGGCAACACAGTAGTGGCAAAGGGACGTGATGCAATTAAGGATAACGGCGCGAATCAGTAAGCATCCTTCGGCGGTGCAGAAATGAAGTACTTGGCCTACAGGGGCTGACTTCTACCACCAATCCCAGATCCGCTCTGGCCATCAACACCAACAGTGGGGAGGCCTTGTTCAAAAATGCAATGCGAGAATATGAGGCTAGTGTCAAGAAGAAGTACAGGACGGGGATAAACCCGGACGACAAGCACAGCATGGACCAACTCTGGGCAGTTATCGACGAAGCTATCGATCACTATGAGACGGAGGCCACGAAAGGCTTCTGGGGCAAGATCCGTCTATCATTTCGGAAGCTTGGAGAAAATGGCAAGGCCATCGAGGGATGGCTTGGGCTACTCCCCTCCGAGTCCGAATACATGTCGGTCGTGTGCGGTGGATTGAAACTCCTGATCAAAGTAAGTCCAAAGCTCTCCCAAGACTCAATTCATAGGCCATAGTCAACTGACGACCGACTAGGCTGCAGCTCGAATGCGCGACGTGGCCGACAAGGTTTTAGATGGTCTTCATCAAATTCCTGCTGTTCTCAACGGAACCCAGCGGGTCCTGAATATCTTCAGAGACGACAAAGAACTTCGAGGTTACAGCGAGACGCTGTACTGCGCCCTGCTGGCTGCATTGGGACACATGCTCGAATACCTGAAACGGAAGAGTCTTCGAAAGCTCCTCCCTGCCGTGCTGAAACAGGAGACGTACGAGTCCGGGCTTGTGCAGAAGATCGGAGCCGTCGAGAAGGCGAGGGACAATTTCAACCAGCACGCCCAGACCTGCCACATGGAGGCGATGAAAAAGCTAGCAGAGGTCAACTGCGAGAACTCCAATATGATCCAAGGGCAACTACAGAATATTTCCAACATCCTAGTCCAATGCGAGGCGGAGAAGAAGAGGGTAAATGCCGCGCTTGAGGATGCCATCAAGCTGGCAAATATGAGCTACAACCAACTTCTAAAGGAATTCAGAGAAATCAGGGAGCCATTGAAAGAGTTGATGAAGCTGCTCAAGTCCAACCCGGCTGTGGAAGATCTGGCGGAACGAATGCGTCAGTATATGCCCCGGAGTCCTCCAGATGCGCAGACAAGTCACTGACCGCAGACATTGACATCACAGATAGACGACTGGACGCTCCAGAAGCACCACCCGGGTATGGAATAGTCCGACGTGCATCCATGCTTCAGGCGCGCAGCAAAATTGGTGAGTCCCAGATCCTTCCTTATTCAAGTGCCACCACTATCGCCGTCACATCCGCTGACAGACCACATACAGCGGCAGCCAAACGAAATCGACAAAAGCTTCTGTCTCGATTGGACTATGACCCCGACATAACAGGCGCAGACGTGGTAAGCAATTACATCTTGGGCTCCGACCTGTCCAGAGAGGATGAAGAGCGAAGCCTTTTTGTCATAAAGTCCCAGTTGTTGGCGGATTGGGTCGAGGCCGAAGATTCCGTGGCCTTGCTCGTCAACGGCAACGCCAAGCGCGCCGACCGCAAATCCGCCCTCAGTTTCGTCTGTGCTCGCCTAGTCTATGCGTTGGACCAGATCCGATCTCCTCCTGCAGGGTCCTCAAAAGTCGATGCACCGGGCCTCGTCCCCATTCACTTCTTCTGCGGTAGACATGATACGGGTGATGAAAGCTGGGAATCACCCGCTGGCATCGTTAACAGCCTATTGGCCCAACTGCTCACACAATGCAAGGATGTGAGTTTAGCCAGGGCCGCAAAGCTCGGAGACTTCGACAGTGGTGACATAAAAGAGGTCTTCGCGCGGTTCAAGGCCGTGCTCAACGAGCTTCCGGCCGGGACGACGGTCTTTTGCGTGATTGACGCCATCTCCTTTTACATTGACAAGAACAAGACAGAGGGTGACGCGAAGTGGCTGGTTGTGAAGCTGTTGAGGCTCGCCAGGAGGAGCCCTCCGACAAACGCTGTTTTCAAGCTCCTGCTCACGGCTCCAACTTGGCTACGAATGCCTGACTTGGACCTGGAAAAGGGGGAGATTCTGAGCGTCAGGACGCCCCTGCCAAATACTGGGGGGTTTAGCGCCATGAAGTGGGATCTCGGCGTCGGGCGGCGGCTTGAAGAACTCAACGAAAGTGACGATTGATGCTTAACCTACCCACATAGCCACGTTATTGTGGCTAGTGGTGAGCAAGGGGCGATTGAATCGATTATAACACCTCAAAGAAGGGCGGTCTTTCAGCATAGAAATGATGTTGAGTATATTTGGCCGAGCGACTGCCTCCCTTGACACGGTCTTCTGTCCGTTCATCTATTCTCAGCAGCTTTATCATTCTCTATCTGCAAACAGCCTACTTGGACTCGAGCTCGTTCAGGTCACGAATGTCGACTTTCGATTCCGCCCCTCAGCTCGGATACTCTTTCAAAAGGACCGTAACGCTTAGAGTGTTTGGCAAATCAGGCCGAATAACGACTGGAGTGTATACATCAAGCCACCCTGTGATGACTGTTGGCGGGTGCCCCTGGTTTGTTGACATTGGCTCCAAGCATGATCTCAGCAGCAGCTTGGGTTTTTAATTCGACTTTGACGTTGCGTTCAGTGACCAGTCGGACCCATCAAGCTCGACATTCGACTGATTGAAAGCCGATTTGTTCACTTTGAGAGCTGTTGGCGGTTCTCGCCTCATGACGCTCAGCTCGGCTGGTGATTTTGAGAGTCGAGTTATCATGGGAGCAACTTCATTTACGGTCATAGCCGCTCGAGGATCCACTGGGCTTGCCAACATAATCATGAGATTGGGTTGATGTATAGGTTGAAGAACCGGACCCGGTTCCAGTCCCCGAGACTGAGGAAGAGATGCCCAACTCTGGCTTCGGGTCGTTCAAGGATGTTGGATTCTTGTCGACAGACGATGTGCTGGAGTACTCAGATCCGCAGTTACATGAGTAGTGGTCGGACTGGTTTCCGCAATACGCACACTTGGGCATCTTGGAGCGTGGTTGTTTGGGAGTGCTTGGATGTCGGATTGAAGTTCGGGACTCTGGGGGTTGCGTATATTTATTCTCGATCGGTTGTCTCTTGACGGTGGGTTTCTTGGTCTTGTTGAACGTGCTTGTGCATTGGCAGAAGGGAGAAGGCTCAAAAACAGCAGATGCAGACCTGCTATTATACGGGTCGTCCATCATATCACTGGGCCTCGTTTGCGGCGTTGGTCACTGAGCGTTTGGTGGGAAGGAGATTGCTACGATGGCTGGAAACAATCTAGTCGAAACCGTGAAGATGTGTGCAGTCAGACTGTGACAGCAGAAGAAGATCTCAAGTCATCAACCTGCAATGGTGAAGGTAATGTTGATGGTATGGAGTATATTGTCGATTTCAATCCTTCCGACACTCTGGAGCCGAGATGCAGAGCAATTATAAAGTGGGAGTGACTGACGACTCGAGGGTCCATACCGACGAGAGCGGTGAAAGACAAACATCATGAGGGCACGATCGTTCGGGACGACACCTCGTAGGAGGAGCAGCTGCAGCGGCGAAGATGCGGTTGAGGATACACAACCTCGACAACAGCCAGGTAGGAAGGGTGTCACTGTCCGGTGTCGAGACGACCTCCTCCCTTTCGACCTGCCGGCTCCTGCTGCTGTTGTGATCGGGTTTCAGCAGCCATTGACTCCCGCTGTCTGCTTGTTCTCGAAGATTCGGCGAGCCGCTGCTGTGTCACCTCCTTCCCGATAACGAATGGCGATGGCAAACCCCCCTGCACTAGGGTGTCAAACCAATCTTCACCCCTCGAGGCGGTTCCTCTCACGGTCTGACTGCAACTGTTTCGGTGGCTATCACAGAATCCACAAACTGTCATTGCTTCGTTCGTTCCTGTCCCTTCCTAACGACTCCTCGACTTATGGCGAACAGATCGTGGGTGTATATGAGCTCCCCTTCGATTGCTGGCTTTCGGTATCACACCCGATCTCCAAGCTCTCGGTACTTGTGTGACGTTAGTTCGGTGTTCTAGAATGTTGCCAGCTGATATTCCCGTTTGAATGGTACAAATGACACTGGAGTCGAGGTCTCGAAGGCTGAAGCATATCACAAGTGTGAAGATGTCGCAAAGTGACAACCAATAAGTCTGGTTACGGGGTAGGTATTCACTCGCACCAGGCAATATCAGCAACCAGTGAACAATGTCGACAACCATGGAACCGTGTCTGGGCCAGTGAGTCAGCCAAAATCTGGATACTTCGTTTTGGCGCTGGGGATTTTGGCGCTTTTTGCTCTCCAACAGCTTGCTTCAGAGACTGCAGTGGCCTTGGACGGCACCTAGTATTCACTACCGAGTAGAATCAGGGCTGTCATGCGCCGGCAATTACAATCTCATGCGGACACTGGGGAATGTAGGTGTGCCAAAAGCACCATGGCTCCTGTCTGACGTTTCACGAACAGGGACATTCCGGTCCACGCTATATGTTCTCGTCCACATTTCTGGGAAAATTCTATAAAGCGAATAGTTTGCCTCCGAACAATTGCGGTGAGAAGGGAAGATACAACTAGTGCCACTTGCTCAATAGTCACGAGGTACCTCTTAGTAAAATAAGGACCTTGAAATTGGGACGCACCCCCAAGGCAGTACAATACTTCACAACCGGAAAAATTTGTTACGAGCTCACCAGATCAACACCCCTACAGTCCATTTATTCGACATCCGTCCTTCCCAATTTATTGCAGGATGGAGGAGCATGAGCCGAAAAGCTCAAAACTGCCATCTGGGAAACTTGAACAGTGGTCTCTGCTGAACAATATCATTCTTTCTGGGTCTCGAGTCAAGTGACACGGCAACACACACTTCATATTATACAACGATAGGACACTTGACCGTGCCCTCCAACAGCGCAATCAACTCCCTCACATCTTCCAGCTTATCCATTCCCAAAACACACTTCTCGATCTGATCCCTTCTCTCATTATCGAGCACGTCGCGCACCAGCATGCGCCACTTAGTGACGATATCCTCTTCACTCGCCGGGGGCATGATGCCCTTGGGCCCATCGACCAGTGTCTCGACCTCCGTCGTCTTTCCCTGTTGGTCTTTAAACCGCACCGTAACCACGGTCCGCCACCCCTTGCGCTTGTCGCTGTCAAACTCCGGGTTATGCGTCGGCGTGATTTTGGCCATGAGCTCGCGCAGCTGCGGGCGGTTCAGCTTGTCGGCCCCGAACTGCGCCATCAGCACTTCGTGGTCGACTAGCTGCGCGGCCGCGGCGTATTGGATGGACATTTGCGCCGCGGTCGACGTGAGCGGCTTGTCTGGAGGGGCGGTCCAGCCGCCGTGCTCGAACGCGGGCTTCGAGTGCTGCGTCGTGATGGATTCGATATTGACCAGATTCTCGGCCGCGAAGAGCGATTCGTGTTCTTTCTGGAGTTTTTCGATGCAATCGATCGTCCCGTGCAGGGCGGCCATGGCGGCGTGGAGCTTGACTCGTACGCCGTGCAACTCCCACTTCTCTCCTAACCCATTAACAAGCTCCTCGGGTACGGACTTGGGGGAAAAGTTGGTGACGCCCTCGGAAAACATGGACAGGAATCCGCCGTAAGGAGTCTCGTAGACTTCCTGGATGCCCGTATACCCTTCTTTCGCGAGTAAAGTGGCAAAGAGGCCATTGCGCGACGCGAAGCCGTGTTGCATGCGTTTTGCCATCGAACCAAATTGCGCAGACATTAAACCACCGGCTTGTGTGCAGGCTATTCCCAGCGCGGATTCGATATACCCGGCTGGGAGGCCCAGTAGGGAGGACACTGCTGCGGCGGAGGCCGAGGGTCCTTGTACGGCACCAGAATGCCAGCCTCGCGAGAGAAGGTCTGTGCCGTGGAGGGCCAGCCCGACCCGGGGCCCAACCTCGCAGCCGACGATAAACGCTTTGAGGTAGTCCCGACCGGAGAATGTGCGCGCAGGACCCTCCGCCTCGACGGCGGCGAAAAGAGCCGGGATCAGAATCGAGCACGAATGCAACGGCGCGGTCGAGTGGTAGTCGTCGAGCTCAAAGCCTTGGATGAAGGTGCTGTTCAAGATACTGGCCGCGAGCGGGGACAGCTTCTTGCCGCCGCTCTCGCTCCGGCTCCCGCCCCAGCCCATGACCGTGCATTGACCCTCGGGTTCCATGTTGAAGATTGCGCGGGCCGCGGTCTCGGACCACGGCAGGTGCGCGGCGACCAGTCCGCACGCGATGCCGTCGAGGATGAGGTACTTTGCGCGTCGCACCACGTCGTCGGGGATGGAGCTGATGGTCGTGTCGTGGATCCACGTGCAGAGCTTGCCTGTGATGCCGGACGGATTGCTCACGGCCTTGGGGTCGTGAGGCGTTTGCTCTTCTCCATCTGCCGCCACTTTTCGGTGGGGAGCCATTTTGTCTCAAGATCTTTCTTTACCGTGCAATAGGGACTGATAGTCGAGATTTTCGCTGTTTGGTTTTTTTTCACAGTAGAAATGGTGGTACACCTTCCGTTTGGGCTTCGTCTCGAAGATCCACAGCGACAACACTAAGGATTATATAGTTTCATTCGAGGCTGTCTTTCAGGCCCGAATAGTCTCACTCACCTTGCTCGTGGGCGCGCGCACACATGGAGAATTGATGTTGTTCTGCGACTCCACACCCATGGAGTGCAGCGCTGAAGGCCTGAGAACGGACCGGGACCGGAGATGGATCGGCATACAGTGACCTGACGAGTTCGTATGTCTATATCCTTGCATACCCCATGGAGGAGACAAGGGCGATAGTCCCCTATATTTCCCAGTCCGACACAGGAGCAGGGCGCCGTGGACGGGCTGGATGAGAGGAAGTCGGCCACATTCTGGAGGCGCCTGGATCTGTGAGATGCAGACGGTGGCCTTGGAGTTCTGAAGTAACGGAATAACAATGATCCGAGGCCGATTCTGGTTGCGAACTCCGGTCCGACATGATATACTCGGAATCGGTGGGTCACTAAGCTAGTTACTCTTCACAATAGAATGAGGTTTGCTTGGGCACGCAGACCTTCGGCCACATTTCCCTGCTTGCCGGTTATGGCTCGCTTCGCTTGCTAGGTCTAGTTTGGTCTTGCTCAACGACTACAGGAGACATCTCAGACGCCCTTTGTTTGTCCAATCGACGCTTTCTCCAACCCATTCCCTTCTTCTTGATACAGTCGCGTGCAAAAATCCAAAAAATTAGCAAGTTAGCCGAGTGTGCAATTATATACCACACCGCCATATACGTATACAGCGGTGTAGCCCTATAAAGCTCAAAACAGTGTAAATCACGTAGAAAATCGATCCTCTATAATACTCTAGCTTAGATTAATATAGCTTCGTAACCTCGCCGTAGTCCCACGCCTTCTCGCCGCCTCCTAGAGTCGCGCGACGCGGCACTAGGAGGGGGGACCGGAAGATATATATCAACGCTAACGCCTATTAGGATAGTGTCTCTAGTCTTAAGAGAGCTTACGCTTACCGCTCCGGGGTCGATTAAGGTCTTAGAGGCCTTATCTATCGATTTAGACACTATAGAATCGATAGAGAGCGTTAATAGATAGCCTAAAGTCTAGCCTTTCTAGCTTATATTTAACTAATCTAAGGGCCTCTACTAGGCGTAAACGCTAGTTAGGGAGGCCTAGCGAGATACTCTAGATTAGCCTAAATTACTTATAGTAAAGGAAGCTACGCGGTTAGTCTAAGGGAGGCTTAATTATCCGTAGCTTTATAGCTAGAATACTATATAGATCTTTAGAGATTCCGATAGCCTATCCGAAGATTCCGCTAAGGAGGATAATAAAGATAATATAGATAGGTAAGATCGAGAGAAGATTAATAGAATAATTAGATATAATTATATATAGTCTTAAAACGCGGCCGTAGTAGTAGTATAGTTAAGGAAATAGATATATCTAAACCGTCACTCTCTTATTAACTATAGGCTACTAAATAACGTAAAAGGCGTAAGAAGACTCTAACTCCTAGTTAGATCGATTCTCTAGAAGTAGAAGCGTTCGATATAAATAAGGTTTCATTTAATATCGAGATATCTATAATAAATAGGAAGGTTCTATAATACTATACCGAAGCGTAAGATACGATAGATTTCGATATATATACTATTATTAACCTCTATCGAGGATAACTAGAACGTAAGTTTCTAGTTACTTAATATCGCGTCGAGGACCCTACCTTTAGCGGAGACCTTATCTTACTTATAAATAATAGGAAATACTAGTAATTTAGCTATAGGAACGAGTATACTTTTAAGCGATTTATAAGGTAATAGTGAGATATTATCTACTTAGAACGGCGCTAGAAACCCTCTATACTAGTTAAGATATGATTAGTATATATAGTTAAGTCTATTATTCCTTAGCGGACTATTCTAGAGAACTCAATATAGGCTAGGCGGCGGCGGAATAAAGAGTAAATAAGAGCCGTAATAAGTACTACTTAACGCTAGCGCTAGGCTATTACGGTAATCGAGCTAATCTACTATACTACTAACGATATTAATCTACTCTAGACTATAAGGAAATAGACCTATTAATCTAAATAATACCCTAACTACGACTATACTTACTTTCCTATAGACGAGAGTCACCTTAAAATAGACACTATTACTATATAGTAATAGAGTAAAGCTATCCGCGAGGGCGCCGCTATAATCGATTAGATCTCTTCTATCTTACTTATAAAGCTTTAGAGAGATAAGAATAACTACGTAAATAAGAAGGTCTTAAGGAATAGGACGTAGATCGCTACTAATAGTAATAGTATATATATTAACTTTTATTACGGCGTAGACAAGACCGCGACTAAGGAGCGAGATTCTTAGTTAAGCCCGCCTTTCCGTATCGGCGACGACGACTAGAATATTATTCTATACCTAAGCTAACTCTCTAGGCGTTATCCTACTGTTACGAGTCGCCTTACAACACGTGAGGTGTCAACGAGCAAACCCGAGGTGGTTTACTTGGTAATATAGTAGTGGGGCTCAATGTAGTAGAGACGGAAACCAAGAGTACAGTATGTAGCTATACGCAAAGCGATCAAACCGAGAATAACTCGATTATTTGTAACTGAGGTTGACTATACTTCCTATAGAAGCGTCCCTAGCTAACTATATACTTTAGGTAGGTTTCCTATCTAGGTAGGTTTGGGTATTGTACTATTGTACCTATTGTAGTCCTTCGTTATGTAACCTAGTAACGAGTGTAACGGGTTATTTCCCCTCTTGGTTATTACGTGTTGATTAGTCTTGCTAACGAGGCTATATTACGTTTCCCTCGCCTGACCTTCCCTTCCTACTCTAGGTTTGTCTGGCCGTATGAAGGTCGGTTCGTAACACTTCCCCCTCCTTAGCCTATTCGTTGTCCGTAACGTACTTAAGGTAGGCCGGCGCCCGCCCTTATTATTCTCGTCCCTCTTTTCTTTGTGTTATGGCTAACTATATAGGCCTTTAGAGTCCAAAAGTCGAAACCTAAACCTTTAAAATCCTCTAAGTCTCCTATTCCCTAGTAGTAGCGTCGGAACGAGATTACCGATTATATTGAATCCTTCGAAGAGAATAAAGCTATAGTTACGTGTTCTAGGTGTGTCGCTAGCGGCGACGTGTATTTCTACTCCCGAGAGTAGAGTGTAAAATGTGTAGCGTATTTACGGTATCGAAGAGAGTGTAACGGAATATTTTCCGTTGAGTAACTCCGGCGGATTGGTGAATAAAAGAAATAACTAGCTTCTAAGTCGCGCCTAAAGAAGCGCGAAATTACGCGTCTTCGTAAGACTCTGGTAGAGGCCCGCCGGTCTCTAGCGGCACTAGAGTCTAATCTTGCCGAGTTTGAGGAGGAGGACTCCGAGCTATAGGAGTCTATTACAAAACTAGATAAGTTGTCTAGTAATATGTTAAAAAGAGAAATGTAGACGTTAGGCGCTTTCGATAAGCTTCCTGTTGATAAGGAGGTGGCTCTAGTAGAGCCTGAATTTATTTAGTAGGATATTCTATAGACCGAGTCGATAGACTGGGATACCGTGTTGAACTTCGATAGAGGTTTAGGGACGGCTATCTAAGTTCTACGTCTCGTGTAGTCTCTATTCTGGAGGTACCGTTAAACCTCTTTAGATAGTAGGTTTCCTACGTTTTCCCACGTGTCGTCTTCTGAATCGTACCCTAACTATCTCACTAGGTAAACTAGTTTAAGTTCTTCAGTTTCGGGTTAGTATTTGATAATTTTATTAATAAAGAAGTTGTTTCTATCCTCTAGTAGTCTACGCTTTCTATAGTACTTTCGCACGTCTTATCTATCTAGATTATCGAGTGGTTTCTAGGTGTTTTCCTCCTCTAGGTACTCTTTCTATTTAACTAAGTAGTGTAGTACTCTACCTCGTATCTTATATTTCTCGATTTTCTCGACTTCGTATCTCGGTTCCTAGGTTTCCGGATCCGTCTCTATAGGTCTTAGTATCACGTCCGGGTTCTTATATAGTTCGAGTCTATCTTTATGAAATATAGGGTATATTTTCAAGTTTGCCGGTAGTTCGACTTCGAACGTAATTGATCCTAGTTTTCTTTTGATATAATAAAGCCCAATCTTTATATAATCTAGTTTGTCGCTTAGTCGTTTTGTTTTGATGTTTTTTCGTCGTATATAGACTATCTCTCCCTCCTTAAGGTCTAGTCCCTTAGATCTTTTCTTATTTTCTCTTATCGTTATTTTTTCCGCTATTCTTTATAGTTCTTTTTACATTATTTCGTGTAGTTCCTTGATGTTTTCGACTTATATTTTTACTTCCTCTGATATTGGTTTCCTGAATTTTAGTTCCGTAAACGTCTTCGGGTGTTTTCTATAGTTTACGAAGAACGGCGATATTCCTATAACGGCTATACTATTGTTAAATGCTATCTATACCGTAGATAGTAGCTATACCTAATTATCTTACTTATAATTGACGTAGTATTGTAAGTATTATTCCAGCGTTTGATTTATTCTTTCTGTTTATCTATCCGTTTATAGGTAGTATATTGTTAATAACTTATATTCTGTCCTCAGTAAATCTATAAGGGATTGCCAGAACTATAACGTAAATAGCTTATCCCTATCCGATATAATTTTATCCGGTATTCCGTATTGTACGATTATTGTCCTTATAAAGAGGTATACGAGGTCTTTTACTGTAGCTTTTTCTATAAACGGTAGTATATAGGCGTACTTCGTTAGTCTTTCTATTACTATTATGATATTGTCATACTTCTTACTCGTAAGGGGCTCTTTAGATTTCGGTAGCTTCGTAATGAAATCGATTATAATAGAGCTCTATAGTTTACTTAGTGTTTGTAGTACTATTAGGAGTTTATAAGGCTTATACCTTTTCTTTTTTGTTTTCTTATAGAT